TGTAGTTGGTTCATATGCAACATGACGAGAGGAGGGTTTGGCAGAGAGGATTGTTGTGTGAGTTAGTCTCTCACTCTAGAGAGCAAGGTCGTGCCATATAACCAATACTCTGCCGATGCGCTTGAATATCAAGAGCGTAGGAAATGCCTTCTACGCAGGCTCCCTCATAATTTTCCCATTGACACACACACGTTGGGAAACTATCGACGACTGATCTGTTAAGTTCTGCCATATGCGGTACCAGTGAGATGGTAAGTTCATGTATGTTGGTGCTTTGGAAGACAACATGCAGAGCTATATGCGGACACTTGTCAAAGCTCACCTGCTAATGTGATCATTAAATGGCAAAGGCACCCAAGGAATACGCATGTTTGACACATGATAGACTGAATGATCAGGACAAGGACAAAGAAGCGTAAGTCGACGTGCAAGGCGATGATGTGCGTCTCTCTTGGAACAAGACCAACGCAGAACATGTACTCAAGAGTTAGCGTGTATCTGACCCGCGTGTAATGTCTTGAACGATATGTAGTTGTTCTGCTTACCTGTGGTAAGTGCTGGTGATGCAGACCGAGTGAAAGTCACTCCAGAGAAGAGCGTAAACACTGAATCGAGCATGAAGGGATAAGAACAACCATCCGCGTTGAGCAATCCAGTCAGGGTCAGTGTGCATCAGACACCGTCTCATCTGATATGCGCGGCAGGGTAAAAAACGTCATGCCCCGTTTCTAGACTATATGACAGAGAGTATAGGCTGATCCGGGTAATGAATGAGTTACAACAAGTCTTGCGCAGGCGGCTGATAGGGTTCTCGCCTCAGGATATATTCTTGTGCAACAGAGAGCGTGTGAAGCGAGCCCCGTGATGCATGCTTCGATACGAATCTGCTACACTTGTCAGGTATCGTGGGTGAAAAGCTGGAATCTGAGGCGACTCGGACGTCTTTCAAACACACGTAAGTCACGACCCTAACAGACAACCAGGATTTACGAAGAAATGCAAGTGCATGAGTTTGTATAGCAAGGACAGTATTGCAGTCTGTTCAAGACCTAAGAAGGCCACGGGACGAGTATAGCTTACAGCGAGAATGAAGTGCGAACCTACGTATTGGTATTTGCTGCAAACTGCGAGTATTCGAGAGCCGCAATAATAGCGGCCCCTGTTATTGCGTGTAATCGAGCAAGTGATAGACAAGCACTTCAGAGCTGCAGAAGAGCGCCCAGCGAGTGCATTGAAGAGCCCCCAAACGCCCGTGCAGAAGCTTGGGCCGTGTGTTCCAAAGTCTCCTGCCCTATCCGCGGATTGTCCACTTGTTCGATCTGCCACCACAGGGTATCCCTTTCAGTTCAACATGACAGGTCACCTACCTAAACGAAACATCGTGGAGCATCGGTTAAGTGCCGAAGGATTGTCACCTGGACGAGCACCTGCCTGCACCTGCCACCACTATCACGTGTTGGATCTTCACGACGCGCTGACCTTGGCTGTCACGACGTCGACATGCCCGCGGAAGGCAACGGCAGTCCTGCCGCCTCTGCCGCATGGGCAGTGGGGTAAAGGAACACAAAAGTGGACACAAAGGATATCCAGCTTCACCGGAGACGCAATGTACGAACAAGTGCTACTGCACCGAGACTGCGAGTCATTTCCGCATCTCATCTCGTCTGGGTCAGTCTTCTAGATTGAGATGGCGATGTGATCCGGTAGGTTGGGACAGGAACCAACCGCTGTACGCGGCTGTATCATGTATACTCCGTGATTAGCCCCATCACGTGTGACGTGACCTCATAGTCCCCTGAACTTCCCTCTTGGCTGCGCAACCGACAGTCTGGAACCGGAAACTGGTGGAGAGGATCAGCCAACCGAAGGCTGAGATCCATCTGTGGCGCCGTGCCCGCCCACGGTGTTGGTCGCAAGCTATGACAATTTCGGACGATATACCTGGCCAAGGCGCTCACGAGGGTTCAGCTTGCGTCCAGAAGCAAGCGGCCTTGACAATTGTTGCTAAGGCTATCTCTCAAGCGCTAAAATCTCTTCGATTACCCAAAGAACCCTGCGGCTCCGCACATGTCATCCGCGAGTCTTAACTCGTCCCTACTTGCAAGATACACGTCGTGGGCTTTGCACTTCTGCGCAAACTGCAGCCCTAAACAGTGTGAAACCAGAGCGGATGGAATGCGTGGCATAGAGATCGTCTTCATGTCCTGCAACGTGCACGCCGCTACCAATTCTTCGGGTATGAATTGCCATAGAAAGAAAGGGTTCGAGAAGCAGGAATCACACATGGGTTGACGCCAGCCAACTGTTGCAACACGCCACAAGCTAGCTCTATTCAATCCGGTGTGCGTGTGTGGGATGTAAAGGCGGACACCTGACGGAATTTGCAATGCGACAGGGGCTGGAAGTTGAAGCCCAACCTGCTAGAGTGTTTTGCACCGGCGCAAACTCCATGCACCGTTGCAAACGGGGCCTTGCACGGAAGACGCCATAAATTTCGCAATGCTAGTCTCGCTATGCCAGAGCGACGTCTATGGTATTTGCACACTCATAGCTGACGATCAGACGGATCACAAATCTTGTGCTGGGGATGCGGCATCTGTATCGTGAGCCGCTGCACATGCTAATTACCCCCACGGCATGCGCGGGGAACTGTCACCAAATCCTGGTCATATCGCTCAGTATTATCACCACAGCAGGCCGAGGGCTACCATGTCACTGATTCGATCGAGTTTCAGAAGCTCATCATCCACATCAACATAACTAAATGTCTATCATGCCGTCTCATCAACTTGGTGTACCCCCACATGGCCACTGCGACACGTCCACATGAGGAGCACGTTTTCGACACGCACGTTTTCCAGGACGGAAGCGATCGCTCCTTCGTGGCTGCATGGCTGCATAGCTGCATGGCGTGGGCATGCCAATTTCTTCTGTCATCCGCGAGACGGGGCGTTGCCGCTGCTGACCGTCCCGAGATGTTAATGGTGCTTACCGCCTCGGAAATGCAGGTGTACAAGAAGCAACCCACTGATGAGATGAGACGACCAGAGCTCTTACCGATCTCTGCGGACATGAGCGTGGGTATGCCGATCGATACACGACCACGTCCGCTCGTAGCTGTGGCTCGTATTTTGTGCAGTGCGTGCAGCGCGCGAGGCATATGCGGCACAGAGGCATGTTTCGGGGATTTTAAAATTCGCGATTGGCTACCAATGAGGCGCTCAACAAAGCAAAATGAAGTGCACAATTCATTTCACAGCGAGTGGCAAACGAAGGGATCATGGGCTGGGGCACATGATGAGACATGCTCGTGCGTGTCACGCACACGCTGCTCACTACCGCTGCCTTGACCAGCCCTAGCAGCGCTCGAAGACATGCGTGCGAGCCAGCCACGGCTCGCCTTTGCGAGTGAAGTAGGGCCGGCAAGCTGCAGATGAGATGACAGGACGTCTTTCCGGACTGTCTCCCGCAGGTCAGTGCTGGGGCTGCAGGGCGCGGCCACCAAAGTTACGCTTGCATTGGTTTGGGCCACCAGGCCACCTCGCGACGTCGTTCCTTGGCCGCCGCCGGCTGCGTCTTGTTGCGGTGGGGGGTCTAGTCTCTCTTCCGCTTCCGCGCATCGTCACTGTCGAACATGCAGTAGCGCGCAAGACGTGCGTGAGTAGCTTGCCAGCATATCCTAGCAAGCACGAAGGCACCGCCTAGCGCGTCGTCAAAGCCGCCGACAAGGCATGATGTACTTGCTGCCCTTCCTCGCGCAACATGGACCAGGTTTGACAGGGGCACAATGCACCTTCGATGGTTTGCTGCCCGGTCGGGGCTCCTCCGACTATTACACCGCAAAAACTTATATCACACCCGGTCCTGGCGCGACCAGTGCCGATTGCGGGCGCGACACACCTCGACTCCCAGACTCTTTATCCGTTCCATCGACGTTGCCTCGCAGCTTCACTTCCTCAACGCTTCACTTTTGCTACTGATCTCCAGACCTCGTTCCTGCAACGTCGGTCGCTTACTCCCAGTATAGCATGGCCGTCAGCCCCACACTGCCTCAACTGCCCTACTAGGAAACTCATCCTCGCCTCGTTCTCCTGCTTTACCGTTTGGATTGCCGCCATTCTCTCTGATCCAGATTTTTTTTCGCCTCCTGCAACTGTTCATTACCTTCAAGTCTTCTGGGTTGTCTTCTAGGCGACCCAACCAACATTGTCATCCTGGCTACTCAAATTCTCCCCGCTCTTCGGGCCCCTCTCCCTCACTATCCACGACGCTTCCAGTCCTCTTTAACTCCACCATACCACAACGATCCAAAGCCGGACGGCCCATGGTTGCGTCAGGGCGGCCAAGGGGGCTCGGACGATAATTATTCCATGTCAATTGCATCGGCAGGAGAACCTCGTTCAGAGCGGACCACCCCACAAATGTCGCCCATTCAATCTTACCCTCCAATGCAGCCACCATACAGGAGTCCACGGGAAGCTCTGGCAAATCCGCCCGTTTCACTGCCACCTCTTCGTCATCTTTCCAGGACTCCACCGACTCCATCCGATCGAAGATATGGCAATCCTTTTGGAGTCCACTCCATTCTGAATCCCCAGGCCGAGCTGGTCGAACAGCAACGAGCTTTGAGACGCAGTAACTCCCAGATGGAATCCCCATCACCAGTTGATACGCAGAAATCTCAAAGCCTGCCCTCCATCAGTCGCCCCAATAGCGTGGACTCTACCCAATCCACACGAGAAGGGCAACAGCATGCTAGACCCTTTCAACCCCCAGAGCGACCTCCAGTGCGACCTCTCTATGCCGAAAAAGGGATTAGGACCCATAGCTTGAGCCGGTTAAATCCACCTACAGGCACAATCGATGCGCAGCAATCGCCCTTCTTAACTGCGAGTACACGCCCCTCAGAGACAACGACGACCCAGCCTGCTTTGCCCACACCCCCTGCTGGCGGCCGGACGCACTATTTCCCTCCGACAGCTCCGACACCCCCGCCGAACATGATGCGAACAGAAATCCGTCGACCAAGCGTGAACTTCCCCCAGTCCGGTAGTGCCAGTCCAATTGCACAATACTCTCCTTACAGCCAACCAGCCTCCGTCGCGTCGAGTCAATACGACAATCACAGTACTCAGGGACAATATGGACCAATGCGTAGACATACCCCCATTCACGATTCCCGCCAGGGATCCGTGTCTATGGAGAGTGAACGCAATAGTATGATAGCCATGGCACCATCCAACCAGAGCAGTGTCCAGCTCATGACAATTCAGAGCCAGGATGGGTCCCTACATAACATCCAAGTGGAAACACAGACCGCTTCCAAGGGTGCCGATGAGAAGAGGAGGCGTAATGCTGGCGCTTCTGCACGTTTCCGTGCTAGAAGGAAAGAGAAGGAGCGTGAAGCTTCTATGAGCATATCTAGATTGGAACAGAACGTCCGCGATTCGAATGAAGACGCCGAGTACTATCGGGCTGAGAGAGACTATTGGAGATCGATTGCAATGCAGGCTCATCCGGAACGTCACATAACCCGACCACCATCGCCCCGTCTAAGGCGTGTATCAGTAACGCCATCACGCGCACTATCTTCTACCACTGGGCACGGTTCAGAAGCGTCTTATGACGACTATGAAGAGGAGACGCGCGAGGAAGAGCGCAATGTTCGGAGAAGAACTAGCAGCTATCATCCGGCCCTTGGTCCTCACCACACTGATGCGTCTGTTTCCGGCCACGAATCGCATGGTTATGCTACATCCACCTTTGCACCAGTAAACCATGCTCCTACTCAGCCTCATCAGTACCCACAGCATCAACAGGCACAAACCACAGGTCCTCAGTCTACAACCAAACGACCAGCATATGGCGAATCGTTTCCTCCTGAGGCTAACAGGTATGAGCACCGCACCTGGGCTCATGAGCAGACCCAGGAAAGGAAGTAATAATACTTTCATCGGTCTACAGCATTGTAGCTCCTCTTGCGCGTGGGCTCCTACCACTCTGCTCCTAAATCACTTTCCCAAAACATGCATCTGAGATGTATGTTCCTTGTCGCGCGGGTGGTTTTTTCTAGCTTCTGCAATTTTGCGAGCACAAATCTGCGTTATACCCTATGGCTTCTCGTTCTTAATTTCTCCTCAACTCTATGAATAAATTGCATCTAGATATTTCCGTCCTCGCGGACGCTTTCATTATCGTTGTCATCGTACCAAGATTGAGGAACTTCGCTTTCGCCATGTACAATACTTTGTCATACGTACCACTCCGTGGACGGCATCAATGCTTTGATCGCCTGCTCGCGAACACCAAGGACAATGGAACTACCTCTTGTTGTAGCTACTTCCAAGTCCCAATACCTACCAACATAACAAAACTCGGAGTGTTTCTCAATACAGGCCAAGGTGCGCCACTGCTTAGGCTTTCGGGCATATCGCACTTTACTTTTACAATCTATTGTTTACTGGCCGTTCTCCCCGAGAATTGACAGGCGAGCCACCCGGCAGATACAAACTATAATCTTACACATGTATGCGCCCAATGTATCAGACAATTCGCCCGACCAGCCCATCTCCGCTACCGTGTTCGAAAACATGCACTTACAAAACTGACTTTCGGATATGGGTTGACGTACTAAGGAAAGCCGCCGTCGACTTTCTAGAATCCACATCGGGAACTGACCCTAACGGATGAGGACAACGCAATACCAAGTGCGTCCTCAGGTTGGTGTACACGACCGACAACTGAACGAGCTTAGAATGGGCGCCATCACATCATACGACCCGCATTTTCCACATCGCGTCTTAGTGAAGGCTTTCGTCGAAAGTTTAATGCCCATCGCAGGTAAGCGACCCGGAACGACGGACGTCGACTCTTGAACTATTTGGTCTAGCAGGTCTGCAGTCTTTTGCAACCTCCTAGTCACCGTACCCGAGTGTGTTATTATACCTTTCTCTTGTTTCAGAAAAGCGCTTCATATTGGTCGTATACCCTCTAATGTCACCAGACATGCCACGTTGGGAATGAGCATAAACTATTGTAAGCTACGCAGACACGTGTACAATTGCAACCTCGTGCTCGCAAGATCAATGCTGATTCCACTGCGCACGGTCCACAAGGTTCCATCAGAGAGGTCCGTAGCCACCTGACCATCCTACTGGAAAACAGCCGAGGATGTGAGCTGGCCACAATTTAAGCTTCGTGTTTCGCATACTAACTAACGGAGACGTCTCCGGCGCGGTCCGTTGGACGATTCGGCGCATTTCCTGATCCAAGCCGGAACTTTATGTATGGCATTATAGCGCCTCTAGAGGCCTCTTACTTTCCTCAACTAGGAATTATATTGACAGCCCGCCACCGTACGGTACTAGTCCTAAACTTCAACAGACTCCCGTCTTCCTGATACTTTACATGCTAACTTGAGAAGTCTGTGGATATTATTTAGAAGACCGGTGTTGACGATGTTGAGTGGAACTTATCCGGTGGTTGACTTTACCACACCACAAAACGTCCCACAGTCGCAGTAGCTTGAACCTTCCACGAAAACGGTCCGAATTTCACCACCTCCTTTGCACGGTCCAGCCAGCACCTGTCCCGCTCTTGTGCACATCTTACTTCTCGTACAGCGATCAAGGGATTACAATATTGCAATCGGCCGGATTAAGCGTTTTTCTAAACAAGGAAGCCGCATTAAGCTGACCAAAGATTGTCTACCACAGCAACTCCTTAATGGGGAAGTCGACGGTGAAATAGGATATCGACGGCCTTTTCCTCGAGACTAGGGATTGACATTTTGTTAACGATGTCTGAACAGACACTATGGCGCCCTGCAGGTTTTAGATGCTCGCACGACATGTCAAGGCATGTCAAGACATGTAGGCAGTAGTTAACCTATGGCAAGCTCCTCAACTGAGCATTAGCTCTTCACCAAGACAGCACAACAAAGAACCGTATCGCATCCGTATTGTCCAGGTCGCTAATCAATTCGACCCTTCGCTTTTCCATCTCGACCAATCAACATCCTCATGGACTTGGAGACCAGCTGTTGTGCCGCTCTATGCACGACATGCCCTTGATCACCATCCTCGTCATCGGGCCTAACCTTAGATTTGCCGGGCCCCCGAAGCGCGCACGGCGCACGCAACATCTTCACCGCCATCTCTCCGCCTTCGATGCTACCACACCCGCGAACGCTATATGTACCAGCATCCGGTGTAATACTGACTCGCAACAATAATGTGGAGACGTGCAAGAAGAAGCACTAAAAAATTCCAAGTAGTAACATGCGCCGCAAGGATACAATCTAGCTTGAACACGAGCCAGCCGCTTGTCACGTGATCCGGCGTATCGAGGGAAGAACTACCTTCTGTAGGCAGAGCCGCTGTGGTGCATGGGTGCTCACTGATGACATGCCGCAACTGGGGACAAAGACCCACCCAATCACACGGGACTGTGTGTAAGATCAGCGTTTGCTCACCGTTTACCTCTGCGGCGGGTAACAAGGCTGTAAGACTGCGCATGATGCAGCGGATTCGGCCCATAATCAGCCTCTGCTGTGCTTACCCGATTCTTGTTCGCTACTCGGGCCGACCGTGTAAGACGGGACAGATCTTTCGGGATACGCAAGCCCGTTTTGATTGCTTCTGCGCAACTGCCGATGGTGTTTTCATGTTTTTTGCTTCACCACCACGGCGCAATCTAGTCATGTTGCTGGTCACGGATTGCCATACCATACTGGGATGCGGTTCCCGGACCAGCTTCCTCATTCCTCAGCCTTTGCAGCTGATGCCTATTTGACTTGCATAATGGGGTCCATTGATGTACATCTGCAGGACTTAGGGGGCTCCACCCACATCCAGATGACCGACTCTCGACACGTGTACCTATAATTCACACCGCATATTCCTGCCATGTTGGTGCAATGCCATCGATGTCGTCCCCACAGGGTTCGATCTGCATTGCGCGAACGTCGTATCCCTCGGGAGTGCTTTTGCATCTCTATCGAATTATCTCGTCACGCGCTGACTTCGCGCTCCTCCGTCTGCGCACATGTTTGCTTTACTACACAACGATGCATTACATATAGCAAAGAAAGCCTTGGAAAAACCCTCACCGGATTATGTGACTGACTCAATCACCTTGTAGATGCAGTGCATATGCGAGCACTATGGTCATCGGTGCTTTCTGTCGCAGAAAGACCAAGCATGTGATGCACATCATCGTTTCCAACTCAGCGATCAAACTGCACTTTCGTGAGGTTCATCCCGATTGTTCTGCGTGCCCGTGATGTCCCGTAAATTTGATAAGATTGGTCGTCATACAGATCTTCGTACCCTCAAAAATTCCAGAAATCTGCGAAATTGCGGGGCAGGATTACTCACCCCACTCTGTTACGTGCATAAGCGCTTGAGCTTCGACACGAGATACACAACCGATGTTGAGAACATTTTTTGATGGCAACGACTTGGGCGCTACGCATCCTATCACAGCAAGATTCGTCGTCGATGTACTTGGCTGATCTTATTGGGAGTTGGCACGGTAACCATCAACCTAAAGAAAATAGGTACCACGTCACGAGTCATGTGCGGCAAATGTAGACTCAGCTACTCATGTATCCCCTCAACAAGAGCCGCTAGGACGGACGACTCCAGCTTCACTATCAAATCTTGTATCACGCATCGCACCCTCACCAGTTCTATAATCCTGCACATACCCACACCTCATGATGCAGCTAGCCCAAACGCCGAACCATCCCGTCGGGCCTTGTATATTTGAACCAGCATCATCCTTGCCCGATTTGCGCATTGCTTTCCCCAGGACTCTGCGGTTAGAGCCCAACCATGCAAGCCACGCGGTACAACACACACCGTGCCCATACATGCAAGCAGTGACAAAGCCATCCAAAGACGTGACGAAGACCCGCATCTCCAATACCGTCACGTGAGCCCACTAATCTTCTTCCAGAAATTCAAACAAGGGACGGATGCAAACGTGTTGGCCCCGCGCTGCACATCATATCATACCAAATAGCTTACTCGCAGGGAAGGAGACCCTGCCAATCAGATCATTGAACGCAATTCAACGCAAGGTCTGGATCTGGGTTGAATAGGGGCTCCCGCCAATCGTTTCGCTCCCCACACGCATCTTTTCTGTCCGCTTCGAGAGGGTGGGACATATGGCCCCAAACTATTCTTAGTAGACGTGTGTGGGAAGTTCAAGGCGAATAAACCATCAAAGGGATTTCGGGTTTCGGTGTGTCGTTCGACGTTCCGATCCGTTTTTCCGTTTTAACCCGCCCGTTAACCAGGCGTGCGTCATCCGCGAGCATGCAGTGCGATCACAAGTGAGATGATGAGTGACGTTTAACAAGCTTTGCGCCCAGGGACGCAACACGGAGTTGGGAACGGTTGGAGACTGTTCGTTTTCATCTGTTTCGCTACCTGGTAGATTATGTTATCCACCCTACACAAAATCGCATCCTGGCACCCAGGACATGCGTGGTTTCCCATCCGTGAGGATTAAGTTTGGGGGAGCAAGAGCATAACGCGGCTCGCGCGAATCGCTACAAAAGAGCAACCGATACGCAAATGACCATGCAGGGTCCTCCAGAACTTTCCTTAATGGGGTTGCTTTTGGTGGCTTCCATGTTTGCCATGTGGAAATTAATGGGGGTGACACAACGCACAAGTGATTACTTTGAGATAAAGGCGCGATAGGCGATGCTTTTGGTGGGTGGGTGGTAGAAGTGAAAACAGGCACATCGAGTCCGTTCAATCCCGCTTCACAATCAGGTTCTGCGATACATCCCACGAACAAGTATCGTCTCCGGAAGCAGTGCACCACTCCGCACACACCACCACCCGCCACTGCGCGGTAGTATTCACGCCACGTTTGCGCATGCAATGTAAGGCTTGCAGCAAAGCGACACTGCTACCCGTGAGATCTCGCATGCTGTGCATGTCGCTACGACCGCTTGCATCTGTCGTCAGACGGAACCTAGATATTGGACAGCACACACTTTCAAGGTTAAGAGCAAGTAAGCCTATCTCACACACGGAGATTCGCGAGAGACGACAATTCGCCACAGGTGTGACGGCTGATGACGAGCGGCATGTCGTTTGGTGAACAGGCGCCCACGAAGCCGTTATCGGTGTGCCATGCTGTGTTGACATGCGCAAGTCGACGTTACATTTTCTATATAGATGTTCTGGGAGAATGCGGAGATGATTTGATTCGTGCAGGAAATTTAGGCGGGTGGGACAGCCCTAAGGTCGCATACACACCAGTCGTCGAGACCCTTTTAAAGCGGCCGTTGGCTTTCTGTGACCTGTATAAGGCTACCATGCAGATTATGAAGATTGATGGTCGAGGTAGATAATGTACGTAAGACGATTGAGTTTAACACGGCCTAGCGCCTTACCAAAACAGCGTAGGGGTTGCTCGTCGACATGTGTCTATGTGCCTAACGTTACTAAGGCTCCTGTACCATGTGTGCTGTAGAACACCGGTGTGGTTAATAGTTATCGAACATTCCTTTGTTGCTGCAGCTAAACAACTCTCAACCACGGAGTTTAGTCAGCGCCCTCAACTCGAGCTGCCGCCTGGGCTCACGCGCTCGTCATCGAATACAAGAAAAACAGGAACTCACGATGCTCTGGCGTACACTGACATCGAAATTATGGGGTACGGCTAGTATTTTGATGCTCTGCAGCTTGCGTTGAGATCATGTGTTTGTGTCACTCGAAGCGCGGAGACTGTCTGCAAAAGCTATTCCAGCCAAGCGATTACATGGCTTCGGATACCTCGTTGGCTTCGGCTACTGCGCAATACAAAAGGGATACAATACAAGCTATTTTACCTTTGCGAGAGCTTTGTGCTTATTGCTGTAAGCTCGCGACAAAGTGGAAAGAACAAACGACTGGGGCTCCGCGGTTAAAACACCGTCTGCGGATCGATCCTCCACGAGTAGCAGTCGTTGTTCAAGTAACCTCCCTGCTTTCCATTCACACCTCCACATTGACAGCTGTTGACGGGAACCTCCAGGTATCTGTGGCACAAGTCGTAGCTATACATAAACTGGCAGCCTTTCTCAACGCTGAGCGATATGAGGATCTGAACACCGGTTCCTGTACCCTGGGGGAATGTATAGGTCACCGTCTTGAAATAGTCTTCCTTGAAGACGTCACCCGGGCTGCCCAGTCCACTACAAAAGCTGTTGATGGCATTGTCCATGCGCACATGCTCCGTCTTCTGGTCTAGACCACTGTAGCAGTCGACTTCATTCTGCATTGGATCGCCCTCGCGGGGAGATGCTGTAGGCTCTGGCGGGTCTTCACTTGTCGTTGTAGTTGTTGAAGTGGATGAACTAGACGAGGAACTGCTCGGTAACGGACATACGACCAAGCTGTCTTCCCAATTCTCATCGAAATCGTCGTCGCCCGGGTCTGAGATGGTATTGTTCTCGCCGTAAATCCATGGTTCGCCAATGCAGAAAAAGTCGTAGAAGCCACACTCCTTCACCAAGGGCTCCTCCATTTTCCTGATGATAGGTTGGATCTGTCGCTTGGGCCAGCTACCCGTCGGTGGAGGCTGCGCATTGGGGCCAATAGATGGAGGTGGCGTGGGGAAGGACGCCTCAGGCGCTACCGTGGATGATTCACCATCTGGGCCAGCATAGATAACTGATGGCCAGTGAGGTGTGGTCGCGGGTTTAGGCCAGAAGGCCTCGAAGCCTTGACGTTTCCGGTTGGCAGCTTGTCCAGTCAGTGTCACTGGCTCAAACACCCACTCCGATATTGTCATGGGCGCTTTTGTAATTGTGCTTGTCCAATCACCATCGCTGACTGTGATCAATGGATAGTTCAGTGTGCTCGTAGCACGGGTCCATGGGGGAATCTTGACATTGCAAGGGGGCGAGCAAGTGAACTGTGACTGGTCCATGTCCCAGATTTTAGGATCCACCCAGATGTACTTGCCATACATTGAGCCATTGCTGCTAACGTCTAACACGGATATCTGCGACCAGAAGGGGTGCGAATTGACATTGAGGTTGTCCTTGGCTAGTAAGCCCTTACCGTCCATGACTGCCATATACTTGGCGCCGATAGTAACGAGATGCTGAATCCTAACGTTAGAAAAGTTCTTTTCAAGTAAAGGCAGGGCTTTCTGGCACAGTTGCTGGTCGATGCAGGTCTGCGCGTAAGTGGAGAACCACGAGTATAGGCCCGCGCTTGCGATGAAGATGTTCTGCGACTCTCGAATTATCATGGCCCACGACTCGTCGCACCCACTGAACTCATCACCCGCCGCGCATTCGTATGTCGGGTCACCCGGGAAAACGCCGACGGCGGACTTGAAGGGAGCGGGTGGAGGTGGCGTGGGTTGGTAGTATGGTGACTCAGTCTGAAGCAAACCTGCAAAGATGTTTTGGGCCTTGTAGAAGTTGAACTGGTAAAAGACAGCATGCTCAGATGCAACACCATAGAGCCTAATTCTCATCAGTCTGATTGCGAGGAGCGAGACAGTGGAGAGCGAGCTAGACATACCATGTTGGCTCGGTACTTTCAGCCAAAAAGCCACGAGCCACATACACCGAGTTTTGTTCCATGTTGTTGGCGCCGCTTTCAAGATCGAGATCACTACAGGCGAGTCAGCCAAAGATCTTGACCCATGGAGAAGAGGTGATACTCACTCGATCATGTGATCCGCACTCCAAAACCACGCATTTTCGAGATAGGCTGAGCCAGACGACGTCAGATGGAACATCAAGCTTGCAGCGCTGCAGCCTTGGTCGATACCACTGGTTACTGGTGGACATTCCTTCGGCGTCAACTTGGTCCCGGTGGCGCCTCCAACACGTGCGTGGCAATCCCACAACGCAGCTGACCCAGTGCTCGATGCTTTGAGGTTTCACTCGACCAGGATGGCTCCAGCTGTTGCACCGACAGTAGTGAAGAACAGATCCTGCATCTCGACATCTCCTACTTGGCCTTTGGTACCAACCTTGAGCATCACCTTGGGATGGAGCGCATCTTCGAAGTAAGACCCGGAAGCAACCAACTGAGACCAGGTTTCGCCAACAATTTTGGCGCCGCTAGGCACCGTCACCGTCGATGTGAGTATGTAAGAGCCGGCATCGACGAGCAGGATTTTACCCAAACTCGAACACAGCGCAGCTTGGAACGCCGCAGTGTCGTCATTTTTTCCATCGCCTTTGGCTCCGAGATCCTTGACGTGTATGAAGTCACCAACGGAACGGTCTTCGTACTGAGGCTTGGCACGTTCAAAGTATGCTCCATCGTTATCCACAAGTGTTGAATGTCGGCGGAAACTTCCGACCTTTTCACCTGTGGTGAATTTGCGGTCTTTCTTATCAGCTAAGCCTGCGTAGACCGGACCCATCGCCCGTTCGTCAATCTTGGATGAGGAGCCGGCCAATATTGTCTTGCCCCCTGTATCGGCGACGGTGGTACCAACGCCTGTTAGCTTGATGTTCTCGAGAACGAGCCCGGTACTGCCTGACCCGACCGTCGAGGTGAGAGGTGAGATTTGGACAACCGTCTTGACATTGTTGAAAGACGAGTCGAGGAAAGATGCTGAGCCTATATTTCCCGCTGCTGCACCTGAAGTACTGTCGGGTACAAGCTTGAATCCTGTACCGACATTGTTCATGGTGATGGACTTCTAGACCCAGCCCCAATCCCAGATGAGATGGACGCCAATCGTGCAGCCATCGAACTTTAAGCGCGGCGCTGTGAACTGCTGACCACCACCATAGAGACCTATAGCTCCGCCCTGGAAGGTTATGTCCGAGATTTGCCCACCGCTGCCGTTTCCAGCGTACATGCCATTCTGTGTCGGACCCGCGATGAGGAGTACATTCTCCGTACTCGTAGCCTGAGCGACCTGATAATGCAAACAGGAGGCCTTCTGTGAAGCACGGGTCTGTCTGACGTCGATGATGACGTTGCGAATTTGTCGGTAGAAATTCGCCGTGTTGATGTAGTACTCCTCATCCAGACCGTCCGCGCCGGTGCCTCCGCCCGTGTACTCGTCCGTAGACAAGACCCCCATCCCAATGAACGATTTGGAGGCAAGAATGGTTGGTCTGTCATTTGCATCTCCAATGACTTGCGTCCCGAATGGCATGGGAATGGTAGTCGAGATCAAGTACGTGCCTGGAGGTATGTACACGATAGCGTTCTTGAGTGTAGAGCCGTTACAGCCTTTACCACAACGTTTGCCGTCTAGCATGGCGGCTTTGAACGCTTTGGTATCATCTGTGACACCGTTTCCAACAGCACCGTAGTCGAGAACATTGCGGAACACTGCGTATGTTGCGTTGTCGCCCCATGGTACAGTACCTTTCCTGTCGATACCGCCCATCCAGTAAGTACCTTTGACAGCAACAGCGCGCTTTGTCAGGTTTCTTATACGCCAGCCGCATCTGCTTCAGCTACCAGAGCTGCAGCGTCGGCTATACCGTCGGTAATGTTCAGGAGGGATGCGACTGGTGTGCCGTCTTCTCTTGCGCCTAGACGACGTTTGACCTTCGATTGCCCGATGATAGTGCCAGGCTTGAGCCCGTGGTTGTTGCGCATAGGGTTCAATAATCGAGCCTGGTTCAGCCTAGAAGATTCCGCGATAGCGTCTTCAACAATGATTCGCGCTTTTTCCAGATCGGATAGTGAGGCGTTGTTCAAGAGAGGAGTGATGGCGGATGCAGAAACGTTTCTCGTGTCAGACTTTCTTGCGATGATAGGAAATGATGGCGACACCGGTTTGTTGCGCAACTTATTTTTGAGGTTTGCAGTTTCTTGACGAGATTCAAGTCGTTCCATCTCATTTTCTCCATCAATGTCGTAATGCTCGTCGAAGATGTCATCTTCGTCATCATCCTCCTCATCCATCCAGCGAATTGAATTCATGTAAGACATAGGCACCGTTGTTCCTGTCAGATCCGCGTCGAACCATGAGTCGTATCCATCGGAGTCGTTTGCTGGGACGATGTACTGGCTACCGAGACCCGACTCTATCAGCTCTTGGATATGTTCCATTGCCAGTTCCCATTTCGAGCCTAAGAACGTACTTGAGCTGTTTGCATAGTCCGTTCCGGGTGTGTCTCGCCTGTGCTGATTGACGACCTTCTCGCTAGAGAGTATAGTGCTGGCTGGGTCGTCGAATGTTAAGACCCTCGCGGCGACGCCGTCCGGCAGAGTGACAGCTGTGAAGCCGAAAAGTGCTACGCTATTTTTGTTTTGGTACGTGGGGTGTAGACGGTTATCAGCTCTCCTCTGCTGTATGATGACAGACTTGAGCTGACGCTGTAACTTGTTATGCGCGTCGGCCTGCCAATTCTGTTCGGCTTTACATCCACGTGCACAGCTCAGAGCGGCACAACGTGTCTGTGATGCTACGCTGGGATCGCTTCGATCACCCCCACCTTCAACCTATGTAGCTGGAGGGAATTCATCGCACGAATACCGCATTTTGGAGGGTGTTGTGATCGCACCCACGTGATGGTTCCTAATCTGGTTGATGGAAGTGCCAGGCTCCAGATCTTTGTACCACCACGTACCGTCGTTTCGCATTACGTCTCGCTGGTTTGTTTCAGGGCAAGGATGGCTGTTTTTCCAAGGTCCCGGGCAGGATTTCGATCGGCGCTGGTACGACCGGAAACGACTTCTCTTTCCAGTGTTGAAGTCATAGCCGAATACGGTAACTGGTAGGCCACTTCGACGAGGACCAATACCTCTTGGAGAAAGGTTAAAGAAGTTGTTGGCATTCTCACAGATATCTCTCAAGTAGTGGCAGTTGTATACGAGCCACACCTTTTTTGGCGAGACATCGATTACCCGCTCCTCTGCTGCCGTTATCTCAGGACGGCTGTACATTCTTTCGTCAGTCACTTGGGTTAGAATTGTCAGTTGTTCTCCCGAACTTACTAGAACCATGCAGTCACATAGTTGTTGGTAATAGGATCGATTACCTGTCGGACATTGTAGTCCTGATCCAACTGAGCCAAGGCCAAACGCCCAAGGAGCAAACTTTGGAAGACCCAAAGACACGCAAACAAACGTAACGAAGCCATACTCCCGAAAGAAACGAGGGGAAAATGGAAGTCAAATTCCAAGGAGCGATATTGTTCACTGACTGCGATGATCCGCCTCTGGTAATAAGTGCATAGCGACTTGAACATTACCAGCTATCGCACAGGAGACTATACTGCGAGCAAGCGAAGTAACATCTAACCCCCCTGCATTGAGTCGTGGGATCCTACACTCCCTGAATCCAGACTATGTGTCACCGGAATATGACCCATGTTTTCGCCCGACAGTGTACGAGGCTGACAGACGGTCACCTAGTAGATTGGTAACCTACATTCTCGTGATGTGAATCTCTTTGTTGACTACTTACCCGAAGCAAGGTAGGTCTCGTGAGGAAACCAGGCGTTGTAGTGTGGGTGTCAAAATGTACTCGCCTCATGCTCGGTCAAGAGGATTTTGGTTGACCGCTAAGCTTTTCTTGTCCGTTGCTTATTGGAATAAGCTGTGGGTAGATTGTCTGACCACGCCCCGGCCATGGCACTTCTGTGTACGTCTAGACAGGTCCGTGCCGCAATCAGGTTATCATGCATAGAGGAACGTTGATTAGAACGGGGCGACATGCAAGGGTAGGGACTGAGTGCCAAGGTAATTTGTACACCTGTATGAAGGGCCAGTTCAGTGATACTACAAAATATATCGTAGGATGTGAACCCCTAGGGGTCTTTTGGGCTATCCAGTATTGGATGAGATGGTTATCCAATCAGAGTACATTCGCTAGGTCAGGGTCAAGAAAGCAGGCTCCCCCGCCTTCAATCTCATCTCCTTCACGCCGGTATAGCTGCATCCTAAATGTTCCCTAGGCTAAAACGCATATGATATTTTGGGTGCTTGTACAACGTTTTTAGGATGCGGAGGCATGTTCAATAGCAAGAGAAGCGACCGGAAAAGCTGTATTTTATGCCTACCTTGCGTTATCATACACTTTAGCTTACCACACTCTCGTCTTTCTGCACATGAATCACTTTTCTACCGCTAACTCGCCCAACCTCGTATTGGCCAGAAAATCATCTTATGTCGTAAAAGACTGTAGGACCGTCACTACCTAGGTAAACAGGTCCGGAATCTGTAAGCACAAGGTGAAATGTAGTCGAATATAACGAAGGTGTCGATTAAGCAATTACATCTATCTCCAAGCTAACACAGCGCTTACTCATATCAACCATGTCATCCAAAGTACATTCAAGGTCTTTTCGAAGATGTCGAAGTTGATAATGCCTTGCTTGAAGACGATGCCAGACGTGACGTGACTGCGGTTGTTGACGAAGAGGAATCACATTGCCCAAATTGCGGTTGGCTGCGTGTGACGGTAACGTCAGTTTCAGTTCATAGAAAAGATTTCGAGCCAAGCTGATGAACTCGAGAGGGGAGACTTACCATCCTGCACCGCAGTCCACTGGCAAGATTCCACATTGGCCATTCTTGTTGCAACAGCCCCCATACACTACGTTGCAAGTGTACTTGTTCGGACCTCCACAGCTACTATCGGGTGTAGTACCAGTTTTCCACGGCAACGAGACACTAGTAGTGGGCGATGGACGCGTGCAATTTCCCGACTGACAAGAGGTAAGACCGCAGAACGAAGCACCAGTACCGCACTTGCCATCGAAATTGCAGCAGTCGCCCCATTTCCCTGCACAGAGTCTATCCCCGTGTTTAGTGCCGAAGGTACCGTCGGTGCTGTATGTTTTGTCACCCAAGCAGCCGCCCTCGTAACATGTGCCATCAGCGCAATCTTCCCTAGATAATTGTTAGATTGTGTCTTATGTGTTTGGTTCAGTTCCCGCTAAAAGATTCTTACTCTGATGCACCGCAAGTGAATGTATTGGCATTGCAGCATGGGAAGTCGGTCCCAAGACAGGTCGCATTGTTGTGCTTTGGGCCACAGAGGCCATCTAGAGCCCTCAAAGGCTCGATGTCTAGCATTTTCAATGTTAGTGTTCGCATCTTGGGACTTTGTCAATTAGAAATCGAACTCAAAAATTTACAGCCGTCGATACAGTACTTTGATTTCGGCTGGATATTGGAGCAATCCAACTTCAACGTTGGGTTCAACGAGGAAAAGTAATCGGTCGTGATCTGGTACTTGTTACAGATCTCCGTGCAGGTATAATAGTTGACTTGATCGTAGGTTTTGCCCCAAGCTCGACAGTTGAGTTCGCCAGGCTTCACTTCCAGAATGGTGATTCTGCCACTCGAGTTGCTCACAGGACTCGCGGTTGGCGTCGATATCATGGGAGTGCCAGTCATTTCTGCGAAGCGCGCGACTCTCGCATCGTTGGACCATGTTACAGGTCGGCAATCATCGGCGATGGACAAGTTCGGGAAGCAAGACAAAATGAAAGAGAGCGCGAAGATAGTTTGTATCTTGAACAACAACATCTTTGGAGTGGGAGTGACGCGACTTTCGGGACTGAGATCGATGAGGTAGTACTGACTTGATGATGAGGTTAGCTACGGGAATCGAAAAAACCCCACAAGGAGGTGTACTTCCGAGCAATTTCGCCTGACTCAAAACCAGTGTTCAGTTACCTGTGCGTTACGCACCGTTAGTCTTGGTTAGTATCTGTGTAGTTTCGTGCTGACCACCCTTTAGCGATCAATACAGAAGGTCGCATTCAATGAGGCCCTCAAGTCCGCCCCGTGTCATGCAGGGCAATGTTGCCCCTTCATTTCGCAATATATTCACATAGGCAGTGGACTTCGCCCTGCTGCTATCGAAAGACCCTAAAATGGATGGTCGTGATCTCGATTGGTGGTACGGTCAAGGTTGCATCCGGTAAGCGATATGGTACCTGACCGTGATTACGATATGTCGTCTACTATAGACGTGCAGCTGTGGTCGCTCTTAGCGAGAAGGTGTTTGCATACGATTGAACTTACATTGAAGCTGGCCAAGCGAATACTGTTTGTGAACTGGTTCCGTAAGGTGAGAAGTCCGAAACTCGTGACAATTTCTCGTCCAAGCCGTTACGAGAATTCACCACATATAAGCATAAGCCCCTCATTACCTGTTGAATTCAGAACTTTGCTACAAGCTCACTGCTCTTCAATACCAACTCGGCCATGCAGAATCCTCAGTCTTCTCGTTCTTTCTGTCCTTCCAGCGTTGGGATCCAGCTCCAAGCCGAGAAGCTCTCGAAGTACCACTTCGAATTTCAAAGCCGAATCCAAAGCCACACTCGAAAAATGAGCTTGCGGCGAAACCAGTGCCCGCGTCTGCTACGACGTTGGCGGTGGCGAGGCGCAAAACATCGATGAGGCCGGCATTGCCTACGCCGCATCATACTTGCGATATCTGGCCGACAACAACAACAACCCACTGTGGACTATGTCGCCCGAGTTCGATTGCTCCGAGTGGGGCTTGCCTGTCGCTGATGCCGGAACTGTGCTTGTATTAGCCAAACACATTAAGCCACGCACCAACTCCTCGGTCACCTACTACGATCTGGCTCGCACTATCGATGGTGGCGCGGAAGCTACACCTGATCAGCTGGCCGCATCTTTGCTGGGTGCATGCGGATCTGGAGGCGGCATGATGGGTGTTACGGTTGATGACACGGACTCGGCATACAACACACCTGCTTACAAGGCCTCAGGTGCAAAGCACCAGGATCTTATTGTCAAGGTTGTAAGAGCTCCGGCAGTTTGATTTGGCGATGATGGAACGAGCCAGCTGAACGATTAAAGGCAGATTATGGTTCTGCACAATTCAAAATAACCGAATTCGATCATGTCAGCCTAGGACTTTACTTCACAAGGTACAAGTGAACTGCAATTCTTACGTGACTCTTCGTTACTTGCTTACTCATTTCGGTTGTGTATATGATCGCTCTTTGTAGCTCGCTCAATACAACAACCTTATGCCTCCTTTATAACTGTACCTACGTACATCTGACAGACTACAATAGTGTAGTGGAGTATTGTGTGCGTTCTCCATCGGAATGGGTGCTCGATACAATTGGCTGTATTCTGCATACGAATACGGGATGTGTTGTAGTTGTTCCCATGTTCTTGTCTGAACGTCCTTCAGACTTCCCTCGTGATTTTCTACTTCTCGCATTATCGCCGAGTCTGATGATCCTTCGGCGCCGTCCACCACAATGGGGTCGGTTTTGTCAATCCATCCAAGACTGACCAGTCTGTAGGCTGCTCCCAAACTGAGCGTCCGTTCGTAAGGTCAATCTTCAGTGGCTGTTCCGACATGCTTTCTTGCCAATCTTCCTCTGTGTTGAAATTCACCTGATCTGGCAACCCATAACTGATCATTAGCTTGGTGTTTGCAGCCAGAGGCTCGTTCTTCATCAAATCGCCTTCGGCTCCTAAAATATCTTCACGCTGCCCTAATAACCAGGGGTGGACCACCGAGAGGTAGTCATGAATGGTAAGGAACGCGCCAGTAGTGTTGACGAGTAGCGTCTCACCCTTCTTCCGTGGCCGGTCAACACGACAACACCTCAACAGATGTACTTCGTCCTCTTCGTCCTCGTCGGGATCGTAGTCTGGAAGATCTCCGAAGAGAAACTCATTGGGGTCCTCTCCGTTCTCGTCTGGATGATGACAAGATCGATGAAATTCGAGCCACTGATCCTCCCAGTCTTCGATACTTTCGATGTGGACAATGACGGAGGAAACTTTGGGATCAGTGAGGGGAGATCGAGATATCGGATGCCAGATGGTCGTCGACGCAGTCTGGTCGCCATATGGCTCTGTCGGAATGTCGGGCTCGTACTTCATGCTACGCATGACCTCAATTGCGCTGTTTAGTAGACCTTCGAGAGCCCACTTTACACGCTTCGCATCAGAACTCAGGCCGATCGGCTGACGAGCTTCGCGATACACTTCGTAGGCAGGTGGAATCGCGCTTTCCGTCATTCCAGAGAGATCCTCGGACATCGTTGCGTGTTCAACACTGGATGAAGATAAGATATTGGAGTTCAGAGCTGGAGACGCTGGAGGCACTAGCTTTTGTAGCTGGTCTTGAAAGTGGTGACCCGTGATTATCTAGGGGTAGGCTGCAGCTTATAGCACGGGGCCGATTTAGGCTAAACCTGCAATGTTGGTAAGGCTATATCTCTGCGTGAAAGCCATAAATTTGGCTGCCAGCAGTACACGGGATATCGACCTACGACGATTTCTTCCATTATATCTATCTCAGTATGAAACCCGTCTTTATAAAGTAGCCGCTTCCACTGTTCCAATTCTTTCATTGTCGAATTATGTGGCTCAGCGATCAAACCTATCAGGAGCGAAAAGTCCGCACTATGTATGACGTCTTCTTCTCCATGAGCATTGACATGGGCATGATGTCTTTGCCGGAATGTCCGATACATATGTAAATTCCTCCCCGTAAGCGTCGCTTTACTGAAGTGGCGATCCTCGTTTTCATGAAGTGGATGAAGTTTCGGTAGGATGATGGATATGTCTGTCAGACGTTGGTAGCCACGAAGAGATGAAACAAGAGGTGACAACAAGGCTCTTTCGTAGGCTACAGACCACGTCGTAGGATCGTCGTGGTCAGTCCAAAGCTGTAGCTTCGAGAGCCGCTCAAGGTGTACGAGGGTCGATGGGTGTTGCAACCACGCGTTCGTATCCTCTGATGCTGGGTGGATCTTTGAGTTCAAAGAGAGGGCTGCGTGTGTTTACGGTATTGGTGCTTTTTGCAGTATTGTGGGTGCCTTTTGGCACACATGTTAGAACAACCTAGCTCTGACCAACAGCCCAACCTTGTTTGTATCACCCTTCTCGAGGGAGAGTGGCACCGTGCACACTTCGCGCGGGGTTGTACCATAGTGATGTGATATTTCCACAACACAAGCCCCTTTATCGTTCCGTCTTAGGTTGATTCCCAACACGCATAGATTTCCAACACGCGTAGATCATCATGATCTGCTTGGCACAGATAGTTGGTTGCACAACTGCGCATTGCATGCATGTTGCTGGGATTCGAAAAGCCTGGTGCCACGAATGCCTGCAACAAGCCTGTCCAACCGAACTCGTAACGGGAAAGAAACACGTGGGGGCAGCCGAGCCGAACGTGCATGGGTTACGCGGAGGCTTTGTCCGCTGCATGCAGTACTTCATTGGGACAATATGCATACAACGTCACAACAAGGCGGTCACCGCGGAGATGCTTAAACATGTGGACCGGAGTAAGGCGATGATAAGATAATGTCTTACTTGCTTCATCCACCCCCCACACCGAACCGGGTGCGCAACGTATTGAGCCGCCGCAACGTTTCAGGCATGTCGTTATTGCCGCTTTCGGTGCGCGTCAGCCGGTAAGCCGCATAGTCCCTATTTTCCTGAAGAAGGGTGTCGATGAGAGTAAAGTCGCCAATTACACATTGACCGGAACTGAGGATATCAGCAGCGTCGGCATGGCCAGACTCGGAGGATGATTGCAACAGGGCGTCTTCTTCGTTGTCGGGATCCATGCCCAAGTCTGATAAAGTGTCGGTTCGGTGTAGCACACCTCGCTCCTCATCATCGGCATCTTGATCTCGGGCCGCATTGTCGCTCGTCGCTGCTGCCGTGGCTGTTGGTGCCGAGTCTGACGTGGCTCCGGTGGTAGTGGTGGTGGTTGGTGCACCCCCACCAGCTGACAGCTTTGCTAGCTTCTTCTTCAGCTCCCGCCTCTTGACGTGTACCGAAACCATGACGAGTTGCAGGAACAGGATGCATATGTCGAGGGCTCCAAGCTTCCACTTGCTGGTGGGCCCCTGCTGTCCGATAAAGTCGATCATCAAGCCGCCATGCAGATAGCCTCGGGTATCCTCGCCAGCCGAAGGCGCGGGATATGTAAGATGCAGGAGGAAATTGACTCCAAACGAGAACAGGAGCAGCGGGAGGAAGGGCCTTGGTTCGTCTGGTGGGCGGGTGACGGTCGCGGTGTCGGGGAGAGGCGTCAGCAGGAAGCCATGTGTAAAGGCCTTGAACAAAAGCCAGAAGAACGAGCAGCTACAAGCATGATTAGCGCAGAGTAACAGCGTATAGGTGGTAAGCGTACTCCAAGTGGTAGAGTGTGATGAGTTCCAGGTAGACAACCATGTCCAAGTCACGCAGAAGCTCGCCCAGCATCTGTATGCGTTTTCTTTTTGCATCCAATCTTCTCTGTTTGACCTGCTTCTGCTTCTCGTGCTCTTCGGCCTCTTCAAAGCGTGCTAAGGCATCCTCCAAGTCGGCCAGGTGGGATGCAGCATCGTTCTGGCGCTGTGGAGCTCGAGACGACTCGGCCTCATCGTTCATGGCGCAGCGAGAGGAGTTTGCCTGTCGCCTCGTCTCTCATTGAAGGCGACTCCGTAGTTTGGTGTTGGTAGAGATGCTTGGCCCAGGCTGTCGTTGTGCGCGAAGCTCTGGTGATGTATGTACAGCTGCGCGCGCATCGGGCCTGGAACATCACGAAGGGCCGATGGCCGAAGTGGTGAGATAATCGATTGCTCCGCATCTTGAAGCCATACACAACCCACTCTACACGTGTGATAGCGCTTTCAAAGCTTCTGTATAGCTTCAGTTTGCGCACTCAAAGCTAGCACTCTACTCCAAGTCTGCGGGTTCATGTAAAGACCTTGCCATTGTACTCATCTACCCACGCGACACCTCCGCCACCTCCGCATCTGCACCTGGGCATACTACCCACCATGTCTTTTGGACCTCCAAACAGCGCGCCGCTTCCCTCTTCTTTCGATGAAAATGCGTATGTAGACAGTCAAATAATTCTTTATGCTTACATGGGATTCACCTACTAACAACTCATCCAGCGACTTTTACAATGAAAATACCATTGACAAGATATGGCGACGCCTTCGCGAAGAGCCCCTCGTTCCCCTCGGCTGCGGCCTCACTGTCTGGGCCATTGTCGGTGCAACCCGCTCAATGAGAAAAGGCGACCACAAGATGACCAACATGTACTTCCGGCGACGTCTATATGCTCAAGCCTTCACAATCGCCGTACTAGTAGCAGGAAATATGTACTGGCAAAAGGATCGCGTGAAGCGCAAGGAGTATGAGAAGCAGGTTGCCCAAAAGGAGCGCATGGACAAGAGGGATAGGTGGCTGAAGGAGTTGGAGATGCGAGACGAGGAAGACAAGGCCTGGAAGGAGAGGATGGCCAAGAAAGCGAGGGGAGCGGCAGAGGAAGCCAAAGGTGTCACTGATATGGTCGCGGAGAAGACAAAGGAGTTGAAAGATCAGACAGTCGGAAAGTAAACATACGAAATTACGAAGAACTTGACTCTGGTGCAAGACGGTGGCACCACAAGGACTGCTTTTACGAGGAGGATTGGCTGTAGAGGGATGCACTGGATTGCAGGTTGCGCCTCTAATCACACACCTTCGTTGTATATATACTGCGCGCTGTACGAGTATCATCTGGGAATTCGGGATCATTTCATTATGAGCAATCTGTCACTACACGAACACTTGCGCTGTATGCGCTACGAGGCTGAGGTATCAACATGCACAGATACAGCCTCCTGTAACCTAAACCAACATATCATACCCAATCTTATATCCACAACTTGTCTACACTATCGCTCCCCACTTTAAATTGACGTTGGGACAGAAAATTCAACACTTCACTCTATATGCGCCGCTCGGACTTGAAGAGCTGTTTTCGAAGCTCGAACTCAACCGTATGATAGGCGGTGCTTCAGCCACGGAAGCGATACAGAAGCGTATACAAAGACTACGGAAAGGGTATATCATTTCCACAACAGAGATAGCCTATAACCCAAGAAAGGTCCTAACAGACAACTTGATGGTTGATCCTTTTACGTTTAATAACTACCATCTGTAAATGCCATATTTGAACTTTGCTATCCTCAGAACGCTGGATTCAATGCGAGGTTCCCGGCTCTGGCAGATATATCGAGAGGCAGTGTGTGAAACAAATGAGGTCAGGGATGTGTCCTGTTTGATAGCTCTCGAGAATGAGTAGATGGAGATGTTCCGAAAGACGACAGGGGTTGGGTTCGACTGATACTCAACATTCTCTGGATAGCGTATCCGGTCGCTTCAGAGGACGAGGCTTGAGCGAGACTTGGGAATATCCTGACGCAGAAGGGCAAACCAGAAGGTATGGCCAGCAGAAGTTAGGGTTATGTTGTATGTAAAATTTCGAGTCGTATAATATCCTCATAGTGCTTAGCGATCTCAATGTAATGTGGCTGGTGTGTCAGGGTTAGTAGAAACCGTTCATACTCACCGCGCACCTATGACGTCAAGGAAGAACACACGGTCAATGTGCTATCTATCAATGAATTTGAACCGAACAAAGCTTCAAAGTCAAGGTCATGACGAGAGTATGTGTTGAGGATCCACAAGTTGGCTTAGGGATAGTTCTGGAGTAGTAGTAGTAAGAGCGAGAGACATGACTAGCGCCGGAAAGTACCGATTGAAGTCTTGGCAAAGGACACGCTTACGTCTGTGTCGGCGCAACGTTAACAGCTCCGCGTTCACTCTTTCCGAATCAGCAACGATGAGGGTACTTCAAGGCTTTGTTTCTTCCCTTCTACTCTCGGGCGCGGCCATTGTGTCCGCAGCTTCTTCATGGAGCTTTGAGGATGCTACCGTGACTATTTCCAGCAAAGGTGCTGGTGTTGGTGGAGGTTCAAAGGACAAGTGAGCTTAAGCTTGCATTGTATGCAATTGCTACAGGACTAATCATCATCCAGGCTGAGTCCCTCAACACCTTTGGGCAAATCTGTCTCATTGGGCGCAACGGATACATTGAAGCTTGTCCTTACAACCCTCGACGGAAGCACTGCGAAGCGACCCCATCAGGCATTCCTTACTTTGACCGAACAAACGACCGGCCTGGAAGAGTCTTTCGTGTTCAATGTGAAGGATAGTGGCAAGGGAAAGGTCGATTTGGTATGTTGTACATCTCAATGGCTGGCAGCACAGCTAACATGACCAGTCTCACAAAGACCTGCCCCACCAGTTCTTGACCTCCGAGAAGCCAATCGTCGCCTCTATCGTTATCGGGTCATTCGGATCTTCCGCACCATACAAGAGCAAAGCTTTCGACCTCGCCGTCACCCGCGACTCTAGCGTCCCCCTTAGCGTCCCCTCGCCGCCCGTCCGCTACGCCGCCGAGTCTGAAATTCACCACATCTTCCGCGATGACCCCAAGTCCCCGCCCAAGATCATAACCATTGTATTTGCTGCTGCTGTTGCTGCTGCACTACCTATCCTACTGGTTGTGTGGGCCACGCTGGGCGCGAACGCTAGCCATTTGAGCAAGGCTCTTGGCAATGCACCCGTCTCGCATGGCCTTTTCTATGGCTCCATACTGGCAATGGAGGGCATTTTCTTCCTGTACTACACCAGCTGGAACCTCTTCCAGACCCTGCCAGCGGCAGCTGTCGTGGGAGCTGTTGCCTTTCTGAGCGGTAGCCGGGCCTTGTCTGAGGTCCAGGAGCGGAGGCTGGCTGGACAAAGATGAACAAATCTGAGACTGGGGTGTGTACTTTTATATCTGTGTGACTTGAAAGGTCGCTTCGAAAGCCAAAGGGGAGGATGTCATTACCAAGAGTAGGCGCTGACGCAAAGCCACAATAGCATAAGGCATATGGGGTATGATTAAACTCAACAATATAGGAAGAGGTTGTTGTGATACCAAAAGATCCATGATCTCGTGACCAAGACCGTCTTCATCTCTTCTTTCGTGCTGTTTCTAAACCTATACATGTTTACTCGACTTGTTGCGTCGGGCTAGGGGCCATTAGCGTTCAGTGGGTGCGATTAGCTCGCGTACGCCTGTTCTGCAGCCTTCTCCTCACACCTCGATGGAAGGCGCAGCTCGGCTCTGCCGTATCTTGGCTTGCGCCTGCCGTCTTTCATTGCGATGCACAATATGAATCTTACCACCTACCAGAACCTTTGAACGGAACCCGACAACCCACCATGGAAGACTCGACGTCGTGGTCATCGTCGTTGTGGCATTCAGAGGAGGATAACGACTTTAGTTTCGGGATAGAAGATCCCTTTGCCCTTGCCAAATCCTTCAGGGCTAGGCGCTATCCAAGTGACGAGGATGAGGCTCCTTATGAAAGTTTCAGTGTCGCAGAAAATGATCGGGTCGTCATCGAAGACTGGTCGCAGACTGGTAAAGGTGCCCGTGTTGACTTTGACGACAGAGCGTCGGTGCCGCTGATACAAGATACGCTTATGTCATTTCTCAGGAAACGACAGTTGGAGCTAATCAGAACTGACTCAAGGCCAGTTTCTTGGCCAAGGTGCTACAGGAGACGTTCATGAAATTACGGTACAGGGATGGAAGCTCGCGCATAAGAAGATATACTTCACTCGAAGAGTGCGGGAGAAAGAGAAGAAGGAGATATTGATCCTCACGAAGTTGGTTCATGTTCATATCACTCAACTGGTTGGTACATACACCCATACGAAGATACTGGGCGTACTCATGTATCCGGTAGCAGTGTGCGACCTGCACACATTTTTTGAAGACGTTGAGGCATGGTCAGACCTGGCGCCTATGGACAGGCCATCCGATATGGGATTGGATTCTCTCGATCCAATCCACAGGTCACGACTTGAAAGTCTTGGCTACAACTTCCCGACGAAGACGAAACAGCACAAGGCTACCATAGTTTACTCAAAGATTGGCTGTTCGGTGTCAGCTGTGGAGTACTTGCACGATCAAAGAGTCCGTCATAAATACCTACCCTTCCAGCCAGTTCAGAAAGTGTCTAAACATCCTGTAGGGTAGCAGAATTTAGACCCAGCGGGAGAGCAGCCGACATTTTCTCGCTTGGCTGCGTTCTTGTCGAAATACTGTGCATACATAGAAGAGGCTCATTAGAACACCTCAGAAAACACCGATCACCCGATTCATCATTTCATGCAAATATCGACAAAATTTCCATATGGCTGCAGCACAACGACGACGATTTGTCGCGGGAAGAACAACATTTAGAATGCGAGATCAGGCTTATGCTTTCTACGAAACCCGAACGTCGGCCGACAGCAGCTCAGCTTTTGAGCAGTATCACCGTCTATGGCATGAAGCGACCTGATACATCAACGTCATCTATGTTTGGCCAGTGTTGTAAGGGGAATTTGGTTCCACTAACTATACATGCTGCAACGATCGCAAGGCTTCATTATTTTATGGCGAAGGAACGGGATAAGCTAGCCCGGGAGGAAGCACTCCGACGTCTAGATCGTTACCATTATAAAAGGATGATAAAAAAACAAGAAGCTGAATTCGCGGAGACCAGGCGAAACCTTATCCAGCAATCGAGGGAATTGAAGATGGAGCTTGCTAGATGTGAACATGTCCTCGAAAAGGCATTGATGCATCCGCGGGAGACAACGGAGGAGCAGAGTAAACATTTTGATCAAATGAGGAGAAGTACCGTTTACTCCACTTCGGCCTCAAGTCTTGATCAAGCAGCTTCCAGGAACGGCGGCAGCATGAATAGAGTTGCTGCTAAACAGCCAGACTATCCATCCTATGCACGTAGCCGCGTTGCAACGAGTCATGAAGCGAAAGGAAGCGCAGCGGACGTACTAATTAATCTAGGTGACCTGCGAATGCAAGAGCGGTCAGAAGAGCCAGAAGAGCGTCGACATCGAAAACACCGATCTGGAGCACATACTGCCTCTCATGAGAACAAAAAGCCAGACCAAACAGGTTCGATGCGAATACTAAGTATGATAAGAGAAGGCCAGACAAAACCGACACTTCGCAGTCGAATTGCTGCCGGACTCAAAAGGTCTTAGACAAAAAGTGACAGGTGTGAAGAGATAGACGCTAGAGGTTTAAGAAGCCTTGAAGATGGGAAAGCGAAAGAGACAGGAATTTCCAATTCAATGAGATTTCAATAGGGAACCACGTTTAGCAGAACCGATACGCACGCATACGTATCTACATCGATGCAGGCAAGGTTGGCGTTTTGACATACATATCCTAGATCCAATTCAGCAGGCCCTCAACATTCTCCTGTCCTACGATACCCTCCTCGACCATCTGTTCCAAAACCTTTGCGACATCTGCAGTCCTTCCCTTCCACGTATCTTTCGATATTTCCGAACCACTCGCCACCGCCTTCAGTATCTCTGCTACAACCGCCTTGGCATCTGCCGTTCTCCGCACTCCAATCACACCAGCTTTCTCCGCATAGCTTCTCCCCCCTCGGTAGAAGACGCCAGCATTAGAGACCAAAGTTGGTCCGCTCTTCGCCCAAGCAGGCTTTGCACCCTCGAAGAGCGAGATCCGGAAGCGGAAGAGATCGGTATCACCTCTTGCAATGAAGACATCAGCCAGCCGTGATGGGGATAGGACAGAAGTGTAGGGCGCAGCAGATAGTTTGGTGAGCAGGTTTTGGGTCTGTGTGAGAGCTGTCCATTGGATATCGACGTCCGTGCTGAATGTTGGTGCTGATGGGGTATATTGAGTGCCATCCGCAAGTGCTGAAACGAGGTCCATGAGGGCGTCGGCATATGCAGACTGAACATTGATTGATGCGAGATCGGGACTTGGGCGTTGCCCCGCGCTTTGTACCATGCTGCTGAATATCCGCTCTACGGTTTCTGCATATTCCGTCGTTGTTGTTCTGCCACTACGGTATTGCACTTCCGCTATGCTAGCCTGGAAACTGGCAGCCGCGATGATGGCATCATCTTTGGGTGTTGTTGTAACTTCTTCTGCCGTAGAGCCTATGGAGAGTGTTGGGCCTACTTTAGGCTCATCGACAACTTTCGGGGCTGGTGACTTGTTGACAAGATCTATAAGCATCGGTACTTTGTTTGTCGCTGTGTCCATTCCATCTTGGGCCTTCTTCTCTATATTTGGTAGATCTGTAGCGGAATTGTATAGTCCTAGCAATGTCGTCAAAGTACTCAGCTGCGCCGTGCATGTTTCCAAAATGCTTTCTGGAGTCAGCGGCTCTTCAACAGTGGCCCAGTCGCCTGGTGCCTCTGAAGCCCCTGAATCGGTCTCCATGTCTTCTTCTTGGGTTTCTGCTGGTTGCTGTCGCTCACCCTCCCAGGCTTCCTGATACTCTCCAGAGGCCTGGATCTTGGCAATTTCAGCCTGCATCTGAGAATACTCTTGTTGTTGGCTCTCTAAACACTTCGTGAAGATTTCGACCGCTTCCTCAAGCAATGGTCTTGCATTGTGCTTTCCGGCTGCTTGCGGGCTAGCTTCCAAACCGGCTTCCGCTAGTGAGGTGAGCACCTGTGCAGCGTTGAAGAGAATGTCGGTGTTTGTTGGATTCAGTGAGATAGCAAAGCGATGCGACATCAAAGTCTCCTCCAGGAGCGCAGTCCTGTTTCCAAAATGTGAGATGATGCGCTCATCTTCGGAGATGGTGTATTGGAGGTTCGCTCTAGTGTTATTAGTGCTCGCTGTACATTCAGACATAGGAACGACTCACTTGTTGTAGGCGAGGTCGAACGACTGAGGATGACGCTTCAAGCCCTCATTGTACGCGTCTATCGCTCGGTTGAAGAAGCGAGCGGCCTTCGCGGCGTCGCCTGCGCGCCATTTCCCTGCCGCTTGTTCGAATTCGTCCGCAGCCTCAAGGAAGTCGTTTTCAGTCTCGGGGTCTGGCGGCTTTATTTTGCCCTTAGGCTTAGGCTTCAGAAACTTCTTTGGCGGCATAGTGATGGTTGGATGTAGTAAAAAGGTTGATGTAATGCGGGTCTTGAAGTGGTGTTGATACCTAGGTATATCTAGCTATGTAGGTAATCGACGTTCAAGTGGCAAATTTGCGTAGGTGCGATAAATGATTTTTCAGCAAGTGTAATGCGTCGCGCAAAACACGATTTTCAACCAAGCAGCCTCGACAGAACTGTGCTTGATACCATATTACCAGGTCGTGACCTTGCTGATGCACCAAAACTTCTTGATCGCCCCGCCCCCACTTGCCCGAGCCTTAGGAATCTTTACGCTTCCACAAGCTTTACCTCAACTTCTCCACGTTGAATTCATCCCACAGCAAGGTTTTATCTACCAGAAACCCATCGGTATCAAACAAGACCCCTTCTTCCTTTAGCAACTTTAGTTTCGAGTCCTGGTTCTGCCCGCTGGGTGCCTTCTCCCAGTCACCCTTGTACCCGCCAACGAACTGTCGAAATCAGTGTCGACTCTCACATTGGGATAAACATACGTACACCAGTACTGGCGATACATCGATGGCACGGAACCTCTGGACAGAACGGATTTACGCGCAGCGCGCCACCCACCGCACGAGGGGAGCTGTTCAAGGCTTTTGAAATCGCGGCGTAGGTCGTGACGCGTCCTTCTGGGATCATCTGGAGGGCCGTATAGACTCGCTCTTGATATGGAGTGACCTTTTGCTGCTTCGACATGCTGAAGGTGCGATGAAGTTACATCAACGCGTGCTCGAGCTGTAATAGATTGACGCGTCGTCACGTGGTTTGCTTTCAAACTGACCAGTCATGGACCGAAACCACATGTGCCATCCAGGTCGCATATCCTGCAACGAAAGCAGCCATGGAAGATACATCAGGGATAAAAGGCTGCAAAAATAATGAATTCCAACACATTTTTTGGTCTCGTGTCAAGAAGCACCTTCGAAAGCTCATGAGAGAATTCGAAAGTTGACAAGTCAATGTTGAAGACTGATTGAAGAATAGTGTACTGAATACTCCAAGAAGACATGAAAGAACCCACTAAGGGTACCGTATGGAATAGCGTCACAGCACATGTACCTGGCTGTTACCTCGAAGCTCGCCGTCATCAGCACTGCGACCAGGAAATGGCCATTGCATCCTGGCCTTCCAGCTCTTCGAATGACTTGCGGTGATCAGGGCGCACAAAATCTACGCAATGAGTTCCCGCCGTTATCGGAGCCTTCTGTCAACATGGTGTGGGCCATGCAAACGAGAAATGTACACACGCCCGTGCGATCGGCCTCCTCACTTCGCACGACACACTTCAAAAGGATACACATCCGACGAACTGCGGCTAGCAGATTTGTGAGGCGTCATTTCTGGAAATCACACTCGACGATTGCCCTATGGTTTCACGGGCGTCTCCAAACGGCTTGACGACCAGTGCGGTCCAGCGTCTTTAGGTTTCGCACTAAACAGTCATCATCAATTCCGCACGGTCGCCTCGTGACGACTTGCTCTGGTCTGGTACCGCAGCGGGCCGAGCTCCACCAGAGCTCACAGGGCTATATAGCACTTACACCAGGTGATTCGTAGACACTGAAGCAGTCGCGCCGTGCCGCCCTCCCTTATCTTCCTTGCTCCGTTCGACCAACGGATATGATCAAAGCATGAACCTGGACGGGGTCATTATGGACCCACAGTGTTCACTGTCTTACAAACACATACTGTCAATGACTTATGTCATATCTGTGATACCTACGTCAGCGGCTATCAAGAACTAGCGGTTACATTGAATGCAACCAGCAGCCTAGAAGACTAGGTCGGATCTAGATGTGAGATATCTCAACATAACGGTTAGTAACGTCAGAACGTGCCGGGCGCGCAGATGATTTCTTTTGGGTGGGAGTCTAGACTGGATGACGATGAAGTGTATGGAGGACATACAACTTTCTTCAGGTCCCACCGACGGAACCTTGATAATCCTCTAGGCGAGATGGATCGTACTCTGATATTGATGCTGATTGTAATCATCGGAAATTCAGATCGGTCAAGCTTCGCATCGCAATCATCAACGTGTAAGAGGTTTTTGCAGACCTCTGGCCCCCCTGCATGTAGCCGCGGCCAGTGACAGCGTCATATGCCGGGTTTGACTTCTCATTGGAAAGCCTCCTTCACCAGATTCTTCTCTATTCAGTATGGTGCCGTCACGTGGCCTTTTAGCTCTGCACTCTCCCGTTTTTTTCACATTGACGGAACACGAATGAGCGTGCAGAACTGGGATCAGCAGGTGTAGTGGATTAGGCGCGACCTGGGCGGTGGGAGATACTATTGAGAGACCGGCCCTTCATCCGACTCGTAAGTGCGACCGTTGAGATTAGCAGAAAGGAATATTCTCGCCATCGCGGACAAAGGACAAGTTGGTATGTTCCTGATAAGTCGCGACTGACGAGGCTTTTGATGCGTTGTCAATGTGGCGAGGCCGATCAAGCGCTCAGCCTCAGACTAAGAGCCGAGGTGATGCACTTAGCCACACTTCAACTTGCTGGGGACGGGCCTTCCGGGCTTGACGGCATAATGCCACAACCCAAGAAGCGAATCTGCAGGATTTTCGCCAATGCATGAAAATGGTCACGAGAATAGTAACAGGAGTTGCGGGAACCGTTGGTCGTGCTTCGCGAAAATCGCTCAGAGAAGCATATGACTCTGCTGCATGAGCAGGCCGCCTGTTGCCCTGTGGGCCCTGATTGAACAGTCAGACAATCCTCGACGGTAGAGGCTTCTCAACGAATATGCTTTCTGACCTGTTCAAGACAGGTGCATGCGAGCCCTGAGTGCCTGTATCGGTCCTTCTCGAGTGCGATAGAATATCCGATGGCTGATCATCGCGTGCTTTCACCGGCTGAAAACACTCAGAGTGACACTTTTGTAGCTGGAAGCATAGTTTGTAAACCAGTGTTGTCGCGACTTGAAGGCCGCATTTGTAGGACACTCGCTAAGTTTCCAACCTCAGCTCTCTGGAATGCCAGCCCTGTCACGAGACGAGCCTGAAAAATTGATAGCAAACACGAGGCTTCTGGCAAGGGTTGCTGAGCATCTGAAACGGCATCAAGTTGGTGGGTAAACGACGGGTAAGGGCGACCCGATAGCCAATTGGGCGTTCCACTTGGCTGGCGACGCTCCAGGTCTGTCTACGAATCGTCACCCACCACGGCCGTTCAGCAACACAACTGGCTGCCTTCAATATCCAAGCCAGAGACCTCCACTCGCCTATCCAAGCGCAAGCGCCCGTAATAGCCCACCATGTCTCCGTGCCGGATCAGCCCAACTTTGCAAGGCCGCCGGCGCCGGTTCTTTGTGAGAACAAGTCTGCGCGTATTGATGCGTCCGTCGCGACGTTATACATATGCAAGCCTACGCACCCCGCAACCGCAACAAGCGTCAAAACGCTCCTAACCAACAGATCACAACGTTGAGCTTACCAGACTTACTATATTATCGCATCAGCCAGGACTACTTCGTTTGCGCATCTGGACTGGTCCTCCGCTTTCAAGACGGCTCATCCGCGAAAGCCCCACTGAGGCGACTCACGGTGGAAGCCCCGCGCTTGGACGGTCGACACTGAGGGAAGAATAGACGGGACGCGTGAGCGGGCTCGAGTATAATATCACTGTCGTCTCGTTGCTCCTTGTACACGTCGTTGTCGATTTTCCTGGTCCTAACTGCGATATCCCTGCACAGCCCCATATCGGGCTTTGCCGCTGCGCCACACCCATCTACGATCCTCGGGCCCGCCGATAGATGTGGCACACGAGAAAGAGTCTGAAGACCTCACCGTAACTCTGCACGGGGACGTAGGACCGCATGTACTTTGTGGCTGGATGACTTATATTGATGGACTTGCAATCTCACGTCTTTGTAATATTCCGAATCGCCACCTCCGTCCCGTTATTCTAGTCTTCCCGCCGTCAGCCGCTCGTACCGTCAATTCGCTTCACGGCTTCCCGAGCTGAACCAGCTGACAGTTCCGGACTTTCGACTTTCTGGTTACCCTACGTTCAAGTTACTGAATCTTAGAGTCTCACAGGTGGAGAAGCACATGCTTTCATGAGTTTCTCGGTGCACACAGGGTTCCGTCATACATCTATCCGGGCTATACAAGGTTACCAGAAATGGCTTTCTATAAGTCACAATACCCTCCCCCTAGGAAGATGGAGGACCGGGCGCCTACTACTCGGTTGCCTCAACGATCTGTTACTCCCACCACAATCACATCCCAACTACCTGCGTCAAGCCAGTCTAAACTGCAGAAGAGGAGGCCTTCAAGAGATGACGAGACAAACTCCAGAGGTGTTATAAGTCAACAAGCTCCTGCGCAAGCAGTCAGCTCTCGTCCAAGGAAAACAAGCCGGTCTACACCTATGTTTCCGCAACACCCAAGTATCGCCAGCTCGAAACCCTCACCACAGATCTCAACGTCACGATTACCAAAGCTTGAAGTTCCCGCAAGCATACGCACGCCTTCGCTCGCCTCAGGCTCATCCGCGTCAACTATTGAAAGCCCTCGATCAAATGTACTCAGGAGGAAACAAACAAGTGTTGGTGCTGCAAGTGGTCGGCCAGCTACACGGATAAGAGACGACTCCATATCGTCCCAAGACGATAGGCAATTGATGGAGGGTATACCTGGAGGATACAAAGACCCTTTCTCTGAGACGGTTCTGGGGATTTCTTTACCGCCGTCTTCGACCATCCTAGCTCGTTCAGAGACCCAAGTCGATTCGTACACCAATCCTCTGTATGATTATGAGATTGGTCCTACGGACATACTTCCTCTTCCAACACCGCAATATGCCCTCTCCGCAACACCTTCTACTCGTTACTCAGATTCCCCTGGGCCGTTCAGCGTATCATCAACTCCTACGTCTATGTCGTCCTACTCGCCGGGTACAACATTATCTAGGGCCTCGAATCGAACACGGCAAGCTAGTCCGTTGCAGAGTAGGCCGCCAGTCACCCGGCATAAGACTCCAGATGAAACCAACACTCGTCATCCTCACACACTCTCTACCGTCAGGGAGTCCTCTACCTCATCGTCATCCGCGTCTACCGTTGTTACAGATGCAACGAAGTACAAAGACGTCCAGTCACCCAACGGTCTTGCTACTCTACCCCAGAGTCCTCGGGTATCTGACGTTATATCTGGCGTAGAAGAGAGGCCTCGTACCCAGGCGCCTCCGGAGTTTGCTCATCTTGCTGATCAGTCGCCTGCGTCAATGCCGACAGCGAGGCGACCTTCGAGACCTAGCAGAGATGGTACCCCCGAGATATCTGGACTTCGTGGCCCATCACCGATAATTCAAAGCAATATGCTCAACTTCCCATCCCATCACAAAAGAACCGCGTCATCTGAGTCTAGGACCGGTCTCATCACTGCAAGGTCCAAAATCAGTATTCCTGCCAAACCTTCTTCACGAAACCCTTCGCCAAATCCTTCTTCGACACTACCGACAGCTACCAGAGCACCGGCTCGTGGACCGACACCCGACGTTAAGCAAGACCGGAAGCCACGAAGGACCAGTACTGGCCCTGCGCCAGCGCCAGCTCCTGCTCCAAGCCCGAGTAAAACTTCTAGGTTTGGATTCTTCACCCGTCGTACTAAGACCGAGCCTACTCCAGCAGCGAAGTCCGAGAACAAGCTCCACAGAAGAGGACCAGCTGCCGGGACCGGCCACGAAGGCTATGGAAGATATGCAGTGAGGGGTCGAAGTGGAAGCTCAGTCAGTACCAACAGCATCGGACGATCCGCCAGCGCTGGGACTACCTCTGAGAGCTTGGATAAAACCCCCTCAACCCGCAAAAGTAGCATGACTAGCACAACGAGCGGAGAGATGGATGACTTCTTTCTCAACCGGCTTGCTCCCGTCGTTATTCGAGGTACCGGAACGAGCTCAGAACTGTCGCGAAGCCCAGAACCAATGCAGTCTAGCAGTAGTCTAGATGTCTCAGTCAGCCACGGATTTGAACTAAACAAGACTATGAGTAACTCTTCACAATCTGTACTGGACAAGAACCGGCCAACGTTGCTACCTTCTGCGATGCCGGATAATGTACGCAATGGATCTCCCATGAAAAAGATGACTCTAGGATTGCGAAGGCCTTCTGAGAGCGATGATGATACAAAGAGGTCGTTCCTACCTTCCATGGCCTCGAAACGGACTTCACGCGCTTTGCAGACCGCTCAGGGTCCGAATGCACGGTCGGGCTCGACTAGCCGGATCGCTGGGAAGGTTCGCAAGAACTCTATAAGCGAAGCTGCCGCTGAGATCAAGGAGGGCAGTTGGTTGAAATCGTCAAAGAAGAGCAAGGCCGAGACGGAGGCCCCAAAGCCCTCAAAGAGATGGAACTTCTTTCAACGGGCTCATGCCGGACCACGCACAGCGACACCTGCGGCTCCTGCTGCCAGCCCCGTGGATCAAGCGACTGTTTCTCGCTCTATTGCGCACTATGCTTTGATGGACCAGTCCGGCCTTGAGCTGGACGACATTGAGCAGCTGATGCAGGAGGTCGATGAAGGAACTGAGAGCGCCCTTTCGGACGACGAACCAGGGAGAAGGGAGCGAATGCAGTCTATGCTTCTTCCACCTAAACCAGTGATGCTGTCCAACTCTACAGCACCCGTACGATCGGCTTCGCCCAAGGTCTTCTTGCGTCCAGAGGCACAACCACAGCCAGAACACCAACAAAGCAAACTGAGTATCGATACGAGTTCCCGGGCGTTGTCCCGAAATTCGGACCGTTACTCGCTGGCAGACCTGACTCCGGTCACGGATCTCTCTCGACCCTCATCGCCCTTTGGTGAGCCATCGCCGGTTCGTGACAAAGATCTCGCGCCACCTATGGACGTAGCTGTTCCCTCGCAGCCTGAGCCTGAGTTCATAAGCGAGGTACCTACTCAAGATGAGTTTGTCCTTCCTCAGAATCTCCCATCACCTGGTCCACCACCCACGAGCCCACCTCCTCGACCGAGTCGCTTGGCTCAAGTCGGGCGTATCCCTCAAGTCGTCTCAAGTCGTCGCCAGCCACGCCGTCCTTCTTCGCAATCGTTCTCTCGCCCCTTCGTATCGAACCAACCTCGTCCAGCAGCTCCTCCTCGAACGTCTTTTGACTCGATTGGTTCCGTTGTCGCGATTGCTGGTCCGGCCGAGCCGTATCCTGTTTTGCATGGCTTGAGCGCCCTAGCCCACGGATCGGCTATCGCTACGATTAGCCCAATGGAGGACGAAGCCAACCGTCGAAGCGAGTTCTTCAAATTTCCACCCCGCAAAGACTCTGAAGTGTCCTATTCGAGCAGTTCAGGCATCTGGAGCTTTGCGCCCGCTGTCGGTACAGCTATCGTGCCCAGTCCCAGCGCTCCGTTATCAGACGATGAACTTTGGAACGAGTATGACGATCTGATCGATGAAGTGCTCTCGCCTGTAACCTCTCGCACGAACGAGGACAAGAACAGCCTTCGCAGTCACCCGTCTCTTGAACCAATGCCTCTGAGACCCAAGGCGCCGCGTAACGCTCCCGCATCGGACAATGACGATGAGGTTACGAATCCTTCGCTTCATCTTCGTCGGTCTCGTCTACTTGCAGTGCTACATTCCGCTCAGTCTCCTACTTCATCGATCTCTTTCTCAGAGTTCATCTCAGACTACGGTGAGCGAAAGATCAGCGTCATAGACCCCGTTACTGGGAGATTGAGCTTGCCTTCCAGCCCTCAGCTATCAACTGGGACCGCTACGAAGCGCTCAACTCGCTCCAGTCTACCGGCTTCGTTGTCGCAAAGTGCCCGACAGTCCAAAGCTACTATTACCTCAAAGTCAAGCAAAGATCGCGAAAGTGTCAACACCAACCGATATCGAGACACGCGCTTGATGGACATTGCCGAAAGCCAAAATGATGGGCTCTTATCTATGGCTAACCTTCGTTTCGGAGCCCTCATGACGAGCAAGTGGCTCTCATTCGGGCGCGTCTTATTCAGTCCCGTGCACTTTGAACTGAAGGACCCAAACGAGGACCGTGTGCTTGTTATCGATGGTCTTGGCAAAGACTGGTCTTACTACTGCGCGCTCACTTACCCAGAGGCGACGGTGTATGATATGGGGCCCGATCCATCATCAACCACATCATCCGAGGGCGCATCTGAACCATGGTCAACACTCCGTAATCACCGCCACATCTGCCACCCTTCTCTCGGCAAGGCTTTCCCGTTTCCGATGCACTTTTTCGCTTGCGTCGTGCTTCGCTTCCCAACCGCACTTCCCTCATCGGAACACCGCTTCATCCTGTCTGAAGCCAAGCGCGTCCTAAGGCCCGGCGGCTATCTCGAGTTTAGTGTTCTTGACATGGACCTTGTCAACATGGGCAATCGTGCTCGTCGCGCTGTCCGCGGTCTAAAGATGAGGATGCAAGTAGCGGACAATAGCATCTCGCTTCGAAACATCAGTGACGAGGTCATGGCCGGCATTGGACGCAAAGGCTTTGTTGAGTGCAATCGCTGTGTTGTTGGCGTCCCAGTTGCCGGCAAACTCCCCAGTCTAGATGATGTCAAGCGTACAACCACGAAGAGGAAGGGCAGCACAGCAAGCTCTGCTAGTAACACAAACAACACCATGCCTCTGCCTAAAGGACCGAAACCCGAAGTGTCCTTCTCTGACCTTCTCAATGCCTCCTCGTCCTCTGAGTCTACTGACAACGGCATCACCGACATGGTGGCGCGCGTAGGTCGGTGGTGGTACTCACGCTGCTACGAGTCGCTTGTCCTCCCTGAGGCAGGTGAACCTGGTGCCGCTACTTCCGGTAACCTCCTCGAAAACAGTATCTGGCGCGACGAAAGCCTCATTAACGAGTGCGAGAAGCGCGGAACTAGTTTCAAACTCCTTATTGGTTACGCCAAGAAGCCCGAAGTTGGTGTGCGACGAACCGTCAGCGTTTAAACATCTTTTCCGATTCTCTCGAGCTGTGCTCTAAAAGTCCTGGGGACTGTTTTCTTTACTACTGCTCGTAATGAGTTCTTATCTTTTTTGGGTTTCACTGGCGTTCTGCTGCGTTCAAGCGTTTGACTTTCCCTTATACCCTCGTTCTTCTTTCACCCAACTTGCATGGCAAATGGTGGCTTAGCATTACAACAACTACACAGAATGGCGCAAGCCTGGAAGCATCATTACGACAACGACACGCACACATTTATGTAATATCTTCTTCGACCGGGTTGATACATGCTGGCATTGGACAACTTTTGGAACGAACTGAAAGTGAAGGGTAGCTTGGTGGAAATAATACCCAGGATTGTTGATATGATACGAAGCGCTATGTAGATACGATACCACGGTCGCTGATCAATACGAAGAATGAATACTTTCCACTTAACAGCGTAATGATGAATTAACAACTTGAATTGTATATACATATGGACATGACCTCAAGATGCCTGTCACTAATTACACGATATCTCATGACTTGCCATCTTCCAAGCGCTCATTCTTGCGTTTATCATGATACCATAATAGTACCTTCTACAATAAACTTAGCTCAGAGCCGAAGATTCGGACAAAGAATCATTTACTTTCAGCCTCCCTCACTCTTCCCTCATTGGTTCTAGAGTAGGAACCAAGATCTCCACATCAGTCGTAAGGTCCAGAACATTAGGGTCGTCAGTGACGCAAATTACAAAGTTTTCCCATGGCGAACGATAACCCAAATCTGACAACTTTTTTCAGCGTCAACATGCCCGGTACCACGCTTGGCACTCTGGACGCTGACGCCATATTGTGGCAGATGACAAGGATATCAAAGGTAACTATGCTTAAAAACTCAAAAAAGACGCCCCAGCGGAAGTCAAAGGTCTGGCTCTGGTCAGGTGGAATGGAGGAACAGCCATGGTGCTAGGCACATTGTTCTGCCATGTTTTTTTATTCTCTTGTTTTTAGCGATTCTTCTGTGTTTACTAGTAATGTGATATTGTTTCCTTCCGTGCCCATCCAGGTGGTTTGAAGTTCAATGTGGTGATGCATCTTTCGCAGTGTGCGGTGAAGGCCGCCCTTTCCTAAAGCGCCAAGCGCACTAACCCCGATACCTACAAGCGCCTCGTGCTAAAACGATATTCAACAACCAATCACTCCCATCACCTCCAAGCGCCTCCACACCTTCATCATTCCCCTTCAAGCACTCTGCAATCCCCCGAAATCAGATCAATGCCAGTTTAACAGAGTTGGAATCAAACAAAGGAGCTAGGGATTATTGGAAAAGATGAATCAAAATTTCCAAGGTGCGCCCGACAGGGAGGATATCAGGCTATTAGATCAGCTTCGCAGTCAGTTGATGCCGATGATCAAGACTATGGATCGCCTGCAGGCGGAGATGCAGTTCAAGATGAGTCGCGGCGAGGTCGTAGATTGGTAAGTGAGAGGCAGGTAGTAATGCGTTCACATTAGGATGCGATTGTGTTTGTTATGCCGCTTTAGTTCGTGCACGTGTCTTTTTGTATCGTACTTTCTCGACGCGTAAATTTGATATCCAGGATGGAGTTTCTGCTATGATCATAGTCTCTAGAGACACGTCTGAGAAGCGCTGTCCAGACAGTCCTCCTACCCTACGGGATGCACGCTAACAGGACTCCAGGCCACAAATCCACCGAACAACACAGTTGGTAACCTCCTACCTAAACTCAATACATCTCCTCATAAACGGTGGCTACCGTCACCAATCTAAACTCGTCACTCAAAAACACCGTGTCCCCTCAAAGGACGCTGCCGGTAACCCCATGGTCGACAGCGCTGGCAATGCAATTCTCGTTGAGCGCGACGTCCGCCGGAGAATGACAAGCATACAGGCCCTTCCTACCAACACGTCAAAATTCGAGGCTCTGCATCCATTTCCCAACCCTTCGTTTCCAATGAATGCAGGGGGCGGCATGGCAGCAGGTATGGCGGGTACCTTGCTACGAAAGAGGCTAGAGCCCATGGAGGAAGGTTGGGTAGAAGAGCGCATCCGCAAAGCATCAGGATGGTGCTTCGTACCCGAAGAATGGGGCATTGAACCCCGGAAATCTGACGCAGCAACCACGACCAAGCAAGACGCAGCCGAAGACGAAAACGACGAAGATGAAGTCCCGGAGTCGGAACGTCTAGATTCTGAAGCCATACCCACTACTCGCGTCAAAAACCCGCTCTCTGCAGACGAAATTGTCGATCTGTGGAAACATGCGCATCAAGAAGTCTTTGATCAGAAGTATCTTAGACAGAGATACCCGGCTAGTTACCCTGACCCGGGTGCTCAGGATGCGGGTGAAGGCGAGGAAGACGAGGAGGAAGGCGATGAGGAAGACGAGGAAGAGGAAGAAGAGTTTGAAGATGTCATGGATACTTCTGGTGGAGCGGAAACAGAAGAGAAGAATGTTGCGAAACCAAAGGTGGTAAGGAAGAAGGTCACGGTAGGAAAGCTGCCAGTACATGAACCGGTAGATGGTGTACCGGTGCTTTCGCTTGGGTTCGCGCATAAGTTTTCAGAGATTGGTGAGGTGTAGATGGCATGTGTGCAAGCATGGTAATTGAGTCAATTGTTTCAACGTCTTGGGTATCATATTTCCTGCGCCTGACACCCTAGCTATAGCTCACTAACAGTACAACTGGGCATACACCTACTCGGGTCTGAGCGCGTACATCCTGACGGGGAACAGTTCTCTAGGCATTCCTCTCTGTTGCTCCGTTGCTACAATCTTCAACCCTGCCTCCTGGAACAAGGCCCTGAACTTCTCATCTGATCGTGTGACGCTTGAGTCCTCATCGTCGTAGATATCCTTGTGGTGGATGTCGGTCGACATGTTCTCCTTGACCACAACCCAGCTCCTGCTCGTCGCATCTCCTTCTGGTGCTTTCTTCAAGCCTTCGCTACATCGTCGTAGGTAGACAACGAGTTGGGCGTCGGTCAAGTGCCCCACACACCACTGGTTCCAGATGACATCGTATGCGCCAGGCTCAGGTATCCAGTCCTGCAATCCCAGATTTATGACTTGGCCCACCTGACCCTTTCCATCCTTGTCTTCTCCATCACCAGCGTACTCTCCATTTCCGAGGCTTTGCACCAACTCGTCGGTAAACTTCTTGACCGGCTCTACTACGTCCACCTTCTTACTGACAGCCAGCAGCAAACCCTTTGTTATACGCCCAATACCCGCACCACAGTCTGCGACGCGTTCCAGAGTTGGCAGCGGTTCTTTAGATGCCTGTGATTTGCCCCGGCGCAATTTGGTCAGGAAGTTGGAAGAGCCCTGCAGGTCGATGCGCGAAGTTTGGGGAAACCCGCCAAGCATGCCATTGACATCTGGCGAGACGCTGTTCCAGTATTCGAGCGAGTGGGTAATATCTATCGAAGCGTCGGGGCGTTCGGCCTCGGGGGTAATGGCGAGGGGCGGGTCTTCGACCATGTCTATTGTGGAGTCTGAGAGGGCCAGAGGAAGTTTGGAGAGAGTCTGTGGTAGTCTGAGTAAGTGTGCTTTTTTCTGAATACGAGTCTCATTGCGAGTGTCCCGCGACATTGTGTAACGAACTTGAGTTAAGACTGGTGTGTGGCAGGGAGCAGGTACCAGTTTGCGCAGGGCGGGAATAAGAGGTTGTTTGATGCGCGTATGGAACTTGTCGTGGTGGTGGGGTAGCTACAGGGCTGCGTCTTGCCGACTGCTGACGCCAACGCGTCGCGACTGCCCGCTTCGCCTGCTCACATGATGGCGCCGGTCCCTCAACCTTCCATGGTGGGACGCATATCGCGTCCCTAGTCTTGCCTGATGAGTGATTCAAGAGGCCGCGATGCTGTAGATAGGCGTGTAGAAGGTGGAGTGCAGCAGTCGGAACAGGCAGTTGCATGCGGATAAGCTAGCTAGTTACGGGCATTTGGCGGGCACACGCGGGGTCCACACTATCAATGGAAGCTACCACTGTCCCCGCGGTCGTCATCAGCATCGTACATGTCTGCAGCCTATAGATAGCTAGCTGTCTCCTCGCCGGCCAAGGAGATGTCCTGTCTCTACTCCGCCCTCACGCGTGCTTCGCTTCGCTCCAAACCATCTCTCCCTCTTCAAACTTGGATACGCAGAGCTCCTACAAGTAGTTACAGTCCATTGTGGAGATACTACGGCACCGAAAGCAACATGTCTGACCTCTTCGTTGAGCTTACTGCGCCGAATGGTCGCAAGTACCAGCAGCCAAGAGGCCTTTTCATCAACAATGAATTCGTCAAGTCCAAGTCGGGCGAGACCATCACTTCCATAAACCCGAGGTATGCCAGTCCTTTCTCTTGGTAGCTGTAGTTAAAATCGTCTAGTGATGAGAGCGAGATCGTCTCCGTCTATGCAGCTGGACCCGAAGACGTCGACGACGCCGTGGCAGCTGCACGGAAAGCATTCAAGAACCCAGACTGGCGAGACATGGACACCAACGCGCGAGCTGACCTTCTCTACAAGTTTGCCCAGTTGATTGAAGAACACAAGGAAACACTAGCGACTATTGAGACCTGGGACAACGGCAAGCCGTACTCCGTCTCGCTAAACGACGACTTGGGCGAAGTTGTCGGCACCATCAAGTACTACGCAGGATACGCCAACAAAATTCACGGCACAGTCATTGATACATCGCCTGCCAAGCTTGCGTACACAGTCCGTGAGCCACTTGGTGTCTGTGGCCAGATCATCCCGTACGTATCCATGTATGTTGAAGGTGTGCCCTGCTGATCACGACCAGATGGAACTTCCCTCTTGCAATGGCGGCTTGGAAGCTGGGACCTGCTCTCTGCACTGGCAACACAGTAGTCTTGAAGGCTGCCGAACAGACACCCCTTTCTATCCTGTATCTCGGAAACTTGGTCAAGGAAGCTGGCTTTCCTCCTGGCGTGATCAACTTCATCAACGGTGAGGGCAGGAAGGCTGGTGCCGCCTTGGCCCAGCATCTCGACGTTGACAAGATTGCCTTTACCGGATCTACAGCCACAGGAAAAGAGATTATGAAGATGGCAGCTGTCAACATGAAGAACATCACACTTGAAACCGGTGGTAAATCGCCATTAGTAGTGTTTGACGATGCAGATCTTGATCAAGCAGTCAAGTGGAGTCACGTTGGTATCATGTAAGTCATACCCGTGTCTTTGACAAACTAAGCTGACACTATGGAGGTACAACCAAGGTCAAGTGTGCACGGCAACATCAAGAATTCTTGTGCAAGAAGGCATCTATGATAAGTTTATCGAAGCCTTCAAGGAGCACGTTAAGACCACCTCTGTGGTTGGCGACCCCTTCAAAGACGACACATTCCAGGGACCCCAAGTTACCAAGACCCAATTCGACCGTGTTCTGTCATACATAGAGTCTGGCAAGTCGGAGGGCGCCACTCTTGTAGCTGGCGGAGAGGCGTACAAGAATGTTGGCGGCAAGGGCTTCTTCATCTCACCCACCATCTTTACCAACGTCAAGGACTCTATGAAGATCTACCGTGAAGAAGTGTTTGGTCCGTTTGTCGTTATCAGCTCGTTCAAGGAGGAAGAAGAAGCGATTGAACGTGCGAATGATACGACATATGGTCTCGGCGCAGCAGTCTTCACCGAGAACATCACCAAGGCTCATCGTGTTGCTAGACGTATTGAAGCGGGCATGGTCTGGATCAACTCAAGCAACGATTCTGACATTCGTATTCCATTCGGAGGTGTGAAGCAGTCTGGCATTGGCCGAGAGCTGGGCGAGGCTGGACTCGAGGCATACACCAACAAGAAGGTACATCACACTAACAAGCAAATATTCGGGACCGGCTAACGCAATGACTAGGCCATCCATGTAAACCTAGGGAACAAGCTATAGCGGACTAGTATACTACGCGACACCAGGATGCCAGTAGCAACACTGGAGGCTGTGACCAGGTGCTAGGTGTGGAGTCTTGCAAACACACCAGTTCTGGTCACATGGGCACCTAAGATATCCGCCCTTGGCGCCACGGCTTGGGCTGTTGACGTGCTAAAGAAAGTGGAGAAGCTACAAGTTGACATGAATGCAAATGTCGGTGTAAAGCATTTCTCGCAAAGCCATGGCTCTCCTGACACGTGTGACGTTCTGCAGGTACGCGCTCAATACCCCTTGGGCAGCGAGCGAAAAATGTCGCAACGGCGGAACCTGTAAAGTGACCTTGGGCGCATGTGCAACAGTGTAGTTGGGCCTAGTAGCGGAACAAGAATGCTTGCGTAAGCTCTTGAAGCTGACTAGCGGAGAACAGGGTTCCGAGGAGCGTTGGAACTGCAAGTTTATTTATTCCCATAACTTGGGCGAACTGCTGGTAGTGGGCCCATGATGTCGTTCGTGGGGTCAAGGTTCTCTGAACATGATTCGCATTTTGCAGGTGTTCCCACGGGGGCGCGCGAAGGTCGGCAGCGGTGCGTGTAAGCCGTCAATGCCAGCATCTGTGATGTGTCGCTCAAGAGGTGGTCGGATCTACCGAAAAGAGGTGGTTCGCTTTGTGTGCCCAGTCGTCATCCTTGTCCTTATCTTGGCGAGGTGCTCTCTCCAACTTCGCTACTGTCTGCGGCGCACTCCCTCCACCGTGTCTGCCCCTCTCATGATAATCACTTCAGCAGTCTCCTGGTTGCCGTAATCACCGTCTTCTCGCAGTCCAGGTTGTGTACTGCCTTCACTCTGCGGTTGTCTCGGCTTTTGCTAGTTTGCCCTCGTTGGTACGCTAGTGGTGCTTCCAACGCTGCTATTCACCGGTCCGCAGAGCCCGAACAACGCCAGCTTGCCCACCGGCGTCACTGCCCATGCCCTGGCTCCAACTAAGGTTTGCGGCTGACATCGCAACTAAATCCCCGCTCTGCTCGCGTAGAGGTTGATATCATCGCTACTACCACCACCACCACCACCACGACACCCAGACCCATAAGCACAGCCACTGCCTGCACATGGTGAGCCGGCCCAACTCGCCCACAGCCCGCATACCATCGATCTGGCGCGCACGCTGGAAGACGATCGCTCCCCCGTCGCCTCGCCCAGCCTCGCCTGCCAGTCTCTGAGGCAGATAACGACAGCGCCGACGGAGGCACACTTCCTTGCTTTTCTCGCTCGCCTCTACCGACCGCCCTAACGCCCCCTCTGCGCGTGGCCTACCTACCTTTTGTACACATCACCTGAGAGCGTGTTTGTACTTGGCATCGTCGCCTCTGAACCTCTTGGGAAGGAACCAAGGGTACCATCGGCTCGATCTTTCACATAGCAGCAAACACCGCTGCCGTCGCTTCCCTAGTCTACGAGACTAGAAACGACCGGCCTCTTCCAAGACATACACACACTATACTTCTCTACACACGCTCGCTTAGTGCACAACCTTCAGCATGGGCAACCAGCAGTCCAGCGGCAAGGATAAGAAGGGCGACAAGGGCGGTGCCGACGGCGTGCCTCTTGGTCGCGAGTACTACCGCTCCTTTGAGAGATCTGACACCAAAGACTCTACGCGCTCGTTACGCAACTCGTTGCGGAACAAAATCCCAGGAACCGGCAAATCCGACAGCCCACGAAATTCTGTTGCTGGCCTCAACGATACCAACGGCAAAGCTGACAAGTCAGATGCAGCTTCCACTAAGTCGAGAGGATCGCGGCGGGGCTCCGTCGCCTCAGCTTCAGCAACCATACCGCCAGAGGCATCCCCAGAGGTCGCTGACAAGGCTGACCAAGACCAAGACGAAGATGAACCGCAGGCGCCGCCCTCGCCTGTCCACGGCGCGACCCTCGGAACAGGACATGAAGGAGTGAGCAAGGCTCAGCGAACCGGCGAAGTCGACCACGTCTCTGATGTGCCTCCTACAGGAGCAGCACAGCCACTGGCATCTGCCCAACCCGGAGAGTCTATCCTGCAAAGGAAGGACCAACCAATACCCAGGCTTCCCGAGCCTCCCGCGCCCACTGACGGTTCAGGTTCTCCCATGGAGCTCACTGCGCTCAAGACCATGGATCTCGACGATATGATCCAGCGACTCTTAGACGCAGCCTATGCTGGAAAAGTTACCAAGACGGTCAGCTTGAAGAATGCTGAGATATTCGCCATCTGTTCGGCTGCTCGAGAGGTCTTTCTAAGTCAACCCGCACTGCTCGAGCTCGCTCCACCTGTCAAGATCGTTGGCGACATTCACGGGCAGTACACCGATCTGATCCGCATGTTCGAGATGTGCGGATTCCCACCAAACTCGAATTACCTATTCCTTGGCGATTACGTAGACCGCGGCAAACAGAGCTTGGAAACAATCCTGCTCCTACTCTGCTACAAGCTCAAGTTCCCCGAGAACTTCTTCCTCCTACGCGGCAACCACGAATGTGCCAACGTCACACGTGTATACGGTTTCTACGACGAATGCAAGAGGAGATGCAATATCAAAGTCTGGAAGGCTTTTGTGGATACATTCAATACGCTACCTATTGCGGCTATTGTCGCACAGAAGATCTTTTGTGTGCATGGTGGCTTGTCTCCAAGCTTGTCGCACATGGATGACATCAGGCAAATTGCGCGACCTACCGATGTACCCGATTATGGCTTATTGAACGACCTGCTGTGGAGTGATCCTGCAGACATGGAGAATGACTGGGAGTCCAACGAAAGAGGTGTCAGCTATTGCTTCGGAAAGAAGGTCATCATGGAGTTCCTGGCAAGACACGACTTCGACCTTGTTTGCAGAGCCCATATGGTGGTAGAGGATGGTTATGAGTTCTTCACTGATCGAGTGTTGGTCACTGTATTCTCGGCACCAAATGTAAGCGCTACTAAACTTCTCACAATTGGATCACTGCTAATACTGCCTAGTATTGTGGCGAGTTCGATAACTGGGGTGCCGTCATGTCAGTCTCGGGAGAATTGCTCTGCAGTTTTGAGCTTTTGAAACCCCTCGACTCGAGCGCGCTTAAGAGCCATATCAAGAAGAGCAGGAATAAGCGTCAAAGCATGCTTAACTCACCAGTATGTATCGCAACTGAGCTTACTGAATTTCTGTTTAATTCAGGGCTATCTATTGCATCTATAGCAGTACTAACTTTGACTTGTAGCCCGCACACTACGCACCTCAAAGTTACTAATCTTGGACTTTGGTGTAGGATGCTGACGGCTTTCCTTTCTCCGGATCGCCGATTATCACAAGAACGGCAATCATACCACAAGAACAGGAGTGCCAACAGCCAGCAGATGCTATTACGATCACGGCGGCGACGACGACGACGACGACGACGACGACGACGACGGCGACGGACGAACCGGTGAGACAAGGCCTATCCCAAAGACTGCGACGCGTGCGAAGGAAGCCTGGGTTGGAACAACTGGGCAGTCAAGACGACGGTGCTGCTACGGCAGCCTCCCACAAGCAAGGTCACAACAGAGCGAACCCATGGGCCAACAAATGGCGCCAGACTACTACATTACCCATGAGCCTGAGCGAACCACAGCTTTCGCAACGTACACGAGAATACGCCGCAGATGTTGCGAGCGCAGAGAGACAGAAGCAGAAGCTTGAAAAGCAACGGGCGATGTGGGAGTCGACTCTGCCCAGGACTCTTTCGGACCATATGGGCTATTTCTCTACCGCGCATCATCTCGACTACGTGCATACCGATGAAACGCCGCCGTCGTGAAGGAGTGGTTTTCTTGGCCTGTTTGTCAAGGAACGCGTCTTCGCCATCCATCAGTCCCCGTCGGCCTGTCACAACTACACTGTAGACTATCCAACTGTTCTAGAGGACCTCTCACGGGCATTTCAATCTTCTCATCTTTTTACTTCAGTATATTTGTATTGCGCATTGAAAGGCGTCGGCGCATAGCAGCATGACGTATGAATGTCGGCAGCCTTATTGACTACCGAACTACTTATGCTTGGACTGAGATGTTTCTTTCTTGTTTTTGCTCCGTTTGCAGTATCGGCGGACGAAGTGGGATGTATAGCATACTGATAGCATACTGATGCCATGTGGCCGTCTTCAAAACAATATTGTGCCCAAGATACGTTGCCATGTCTTTCGGTCAGTAAAGACACCGTTAATGCATATACCTCTTGAATGATCACCCCTGATATACGAATGAGTTTGTTTTTTTCAAGTTGTATTTAATACTCAAAGTCTATCCTACAGGTATTCGCTGTACCTTTTGTTATGGTACTCGCAGAATACTACAAGTGTATATTTTATACCCGCAGGAGGGTACAACTCAGAAGAACCGAGCTTGTTTATACACAGCCGTAGCGTATTTACGTCGAAGCCGGACTGGGCGGTAGCTCACCTGTCGCCCAACGACTCGGACTGCTTCCCATTACAAACTCCATCGTACCCCCATTCTCAAACACATCTTCCCAGGCTACCCACGCTTTATTCCACGCCTCACCATTGACCTTCAGGCTCTGTACGTAAGCCGCTGCATTTCGGTCGCCACCTTCGCTAAAATTTGTAGTGACGGTAAGCCCTTTCCCTTTCCCAAGATCAAGGGTAAGGTCGGGGAACCAAGGGGAAAGAACAAGGAAAGTAGTTTGACCTGTCAACGGATAAAGTCCAATCATTTGCCACTATTTTAAGATGTTAGTACGACGTCCAAAAGCTTAGCCAAGAAAAGCATGACTTACAAGAAGATTTGCCTCCATAGCCCCAGCATCCGAATTCCCCGGTAGCCCTTGGACCCCAGCATTATATAGCCTCCCTATTTCACGACTCCTCTCCACGCTCCTCCACTGCTCCCCAGCCACGAAATTGTATAAATACGGTGTCGTAAAACTAGGTTCATTCCCCGCGTCAAAGAACCCAAGTTCGAAAATCTTATCCAACCGATCGATGAAGCGTTCATCGCCGCCGATACGGCGTTTCAGCTCAGCCACGTCATGAATGGCGTTCATGCTGTAGATCCAACTACTATCTTCATAGTATGCGTCGCCCCAGTAACAGCCACCGCAATCCGCAGGGTCTTGCTTTACGAAAGATCCGTTTGCCAAACGTGGGACCATGAAGCCGGTGCGGTTATAGGATGCAGCTGCGGGGTCCCAGTGGTTGCGCCAGTTGCGGGAGCGGTTGAGATAGGTAGATGCTTCCTGTGTTTTGCCCAACCCCGCGGCGACTTGGTGCAGGCCGAAATCGTTGGTCGAGTATTCGACTGCGCGGGAGACTGCGCGTGTGAAGCGTGGAGTGATGTATCCGTACTGAAGCCAATCCGGAAGCGCACCTCGTCCTTCCTTGGTTGAGGAATCCGGTGCTTTAGGGTCGAAATTATTGCGAGGCACGACTTCAGCGTCGGTGCGCATGGCGGAGAAACCATCTTCCCAGTTTATTGACCCTCGAACGCCTTTGATATAGGCGTCTGCAAGCACGTTGTCTGCGTTTGAACCGCCTTGTACGCGGCCGTTGTAGTTTGAGGAACGGGCGTCGGGCATGAAGCCGTCGTGTCGCCAGATGTCGATGAGGGAGCGGATGAACTCTTCGTATGCTGAGGGCTGAATGATATGGAATAGGGCGGTGTGGCATCGATGGGTGTCCCAAAGGGTGAATATGTCGTCGTAGTATGGTTCTCCTTCGTTCCAATCAGGGTTCTCGCCTGTTCGGTTTGAAGGAATAAGGAACATGCCGTAGAGCGAACTGTATACTAGCTGCAAGTCGTCTGTGTTCGAAGAAGATATCTGGACTTTGCTGAGTATTTCGTCGTTCCATCTGGTCTTTGCGGTCTCAACGAGAGTGTTCAGTTCAGTGTCTTCTGAGATCTCTTCTAGGTTCTCGCAAGCTTTCTTAGATGAGAGGAAGGAGATACCGACACGAGAGATCACCTTCGATTCGGTAAAAGTGAAGATCCCACCAATGCGTGTACTCCCAGATACTGGCTCGTTTGATGCGCTCGCATCTCCGTTGAAAGTTCGTGCGCGCAAGGGTTGCTGGTCGAACTTGCCGCAAAAGTAGATTGTCCAGTCTGGCGACAGATTCCAGCCGTTATTGTAGATGCCAGATCCTTCGTAGTGACCATCTTTGGAAATGCTGAAACTGCCGCCTGAATAGTGTTGCTCCCACCCAAGGCCTCTGAAGCTGGGAAGTACATGCGAGACATCTACTACGATGGATGACGATGTGCTGTTTGAAAAAGAGTACGAGTACAAACCGGCATGCTCAGTAGCACCAAGCTCCACCGTGATTCCATTCGCCAACGAAGACTTGTAGTATCCTACACCTGCCTGATCCGGCGATGCTCGCGGTTGAGAGAGATCTGCTAGGGGGTCCGGGACATCACCGACAACTGGCATCTGACTTACAACGCCGTATTTCGGCGCACCTCCAGTACCAGACTCGTGCATCATACTGAAGCCGAAGATATTGCCTTCGGGGAGGTAGCCAGAGTAGGCGTCAGCATTGCCATTCTGAACGTCTGGTCCAAGCTTGACCATAGCGAACGGGGCGGCGACTACACCTGGAAATCTGTTCCCACCGCCTTGTGTTCCTTGACTGATACTTGTGAGCAGTTTGGTGCTATAAACGAGACGTGCTTCTTACAAAACGTTGACATATTGACTAAAATCGTTCTGCGCCTGAACATATCCAGCTGAGATTAGTATTGAAGACGCACAAAGACCTTTGAGGGACAACATCTTGACGAATGCCGTGTAGTCGCCAGATAGTATAGCCTACACGAATATTCCAGTTATGTGGTATTGAAGGCAGCCAGCACACTGGGATGTGACGTTTTGTGCGCTGCTAAGTACTAGACGCATCCACCCTTCCAATGTCCCTGGTACTGCAAAAAAGGAATTAACCAGGTACCGGCCAATGCTGCCCGGAGAGCCCGGATTCCAATGAATAATATACGCTTTACGATATGTATGGCAAAGCGTCTATCGTGTGGCTAACCTGTGGCTATGCGTGCCGTAGGTGCCGTAGATGCCGATCGGTCCGGACGGTTCAAACGATATAGGGGTACGAAGACGATGAAAATGGAGGAAGAATACGAGTAGAAACGACAGAAAACTGTATATAATGCCCCATGTTCAGCTATTTCTCCCATATCGTACGCTGTACCTTGGGTTACTGCGGGGTGTAATGAGATAGCCTGCTGACCAATGAGATCTCATGATACCAACATGTGTGAGCTACATGTCGCTATTAAGACTGAAGCCTGCATCATGCATCAACGCTGAGAAAAGAAGGAATATCTGACGTAGATGTCGGGAGATATTACAACTGATTGGGAAGTTCCACAGCCTGCTTGATTCCTGAGCAGCAAATGGATATCTCATTGATATACAGCTGCCGCAGATTGGCCACGTGCGAAGTTACCAGCGTGCGGGTAGACTGTCCACATGAACGCAAAGACAGATCCTCTGCGAATTTGAAAAATCGAATGTTCGTGTTCCGAAGGAGTCTGTCAGCAGGATCTGCTGTAGGAGTCTTAATCCTTTGACCATCCCTCAAGATTCTGAACGACAGGGTTTCTGCCGCCCCTTGTGATAATCCAAACAACGTCTTCATCACTGTCATTGACCTCTTGGTGCTCTGCATACGCTGGTATAAGTGCAAAATCTCCCGGTGCTAGCTCTTGTCTCTTGCTGCCGTTTGATCCGCTCACAACGGCGCCATGGCCTTTCGTTGCATACACGATGGTATCTGCCGAGGTATCAGGTTGCTGTTTGTGTAAGATTGCACAATTGCTGGGGCCTGTGGGAAGGAGGATATGGGCACATTTGAGACGCACCCTCTTCGCCGTGATGATGGACTGCAGAGGCTGTGTGAGGTTTCGCGATCATGACTGTCACCGTCAGCAGTTACAGTATTAGTGAACTATATCGGTCCTACCAGTGCCACATATTTGATCCGACATGTCTACAATCGCGGGCATGCGAATCATGCCATCAGTTTGCGGACCATCCGGGGCTTGGATCTCAGACCCCTTCTTTACCTGCACCTCTCGAGACATTGCGTGTTGCACGAGTATTGAATTACGAACGGCAGGTAAGTAGGGGTCTTCATGATGAAGTTGTTGGAGGCGTCGAACTATGACGCCGGCTTGATGCGGAGACCCCACACGCGGCGCGTTAGAAGGATTGCCCGTAAACTTCGTCAGGGGTCCTAGCTCGACAATGTGAAATGTCGCATGGTATCCAGGACCAAAGTAATCATGTCGACGGGTCGTCAAGCATCTGATTGTCAGCATCTGCTCGTCGGCATGTGAAGGGTTCTGCGCCGCGGAAATGTCGACACGTGAGCATCCCAATATGGTAATGACCTCGGCATCTACGCGTATGACGTTAAGTTTCAAACAGCAAGTCACCCGGTCATTGACGGCAGCGACCAATTGCAGCACTTGCAAACCAACGCACGAGATCATCAGACAGCGGCTTGCTGCACTCCGGAACGCGCTACTTGCGGCCGACGTTCAGCAGCTGGCGGTTTCCCCGGATTACCTTGGCGTGGAGTAGTTGCTAGCATGTGAAAGGATCCCGAAACTTGCTAAGCCTCTTATAAGTCAGTAAGGGTTGTCTTGTGATTAGTGACACCTCATCATCCTATTCTTCTCACTCACACCTTCTCCTTCCTTTGCATACTGACAGACCAACATGTCGAAACGCTTCTCAGCAGCTGACGTCGCGTCGCACAAGACAGCGAGCGACCTCTGGATCATTGTAGATGAGGATGTCTACGATCTAACCAACTTCCAGGATGAGCATCCAGGAGGCAAGAAGAGTATGCCGACCCTTGGTCTACAAATCCTGAAACCAAAGCTAACGATTCCAAGTCCTCTCACGCGTTGCAGGAAAGGACGCGTCGAAGCAGTTCTGGAAGTACCACAATGACAGTATCCTCAAGAAGTACCAGAAGCTACAAGTTGGATCGCTAGACACCAAGGCTGCTCCTCCAGCTCCCCCGGCAACTGCTGCTCCCGAACAGAAGGCGGAAAAGAAGAAGGACGTGGTCAAGCCAGAGGCCAATTCAGGCGTTATAGCGCCACAGCCAACCGAAGCTGCTGCTGAGGAGGCCGAGCCTTTCGATGCCTATGGCGACCTCATTCCTTACGCAGACCCATCGTGGTACCAAACTGTACGTCAACCTACGAAGCATGCATTGGCGTAGCTAACACCAAGTCTAGTACCACTCCCCCTACTTCAACGATACGCACGTCGCCCTCCGCGACGAAGTCCGACAATGGGTCGAGGAGAAGCTCATGCCCAACGTGACCGAATGGGACGAAGCAAAGAAAGTACCAGACGAGATATACCAGGAGATGGGCGAGCGCGGATACCTCGCTGGTATGCTCGGCATCCACTTCCCCAAACAATTGACAGACCGGAGAGTCAAGTGTGTGCCGCCGGAGAAGTGGGATCACTTCCACGAGATGATCATTACGGATGAGCTGTCAAGAACAGGCAGTGGTGGTCTCGTCTGGGGCTTGATCGGAGGATACGGAATTGGTGCACCGCCTCTGTTCAAGTTCGGCAAGAAGGAGCTTATCCAGCGCATTGGACCAGATATTCTGAGCGGAAAGAAGAGGATTTGTCTCGCGATCACTGAGCCCGGTAGGTTCTGCTTCGCTGTTTGACAATCCGTGAACAATGTACTGACTGCAACAGATGCCGGTAGCGACGTCGCGAACCTCGGCTGCGAAGCTAAGCTCTCTGAAGACGGGAAACACTACATCGTGAACGGCGAGAAGAAGTGGATCACGAACGGTATCTGGTCCGACTACTTTACGACCGCTGTGCGCACAGGTGGTGAAGGCATGAACGGTGTGTCGGTGCTCCTGATCGAGCGCAGCGCCGGTGGTGTCTCTACACGCAAGATGGACTGCCAAGGTGTATGGAGCAGCGGCACCACCTATGTGACCTTCGAAGACGTCAAGGTTCCTGTCGAGAACCTGATCGGCAAAGAGAACCAGGGCTTCAAGGTTGTCATGACGAACTTTAACCACGAGCGTATCGGCATCATTATCCAATGTCTGCGCTTCGCTCGGGTCTGCTACGAAGAGAGCGTGAAGTACGCACACAAGCGCAAGACGTTCGGCAAGCGCCTCATCGATCACCCTGTTATCCGTCTCAAACTCGCACATATGGCACGCCAAATCGAAGCGAGCTATAACTGGATGGAGAATCTCATCTACCAGTGTCAGAAGATGAATGAGATGGAGGCTATGCTGAAGCTCGGTGGCGCTATTGCCAGCTTGAAAGCGCAGAGTACCACAACATTTGAGTTCTGTGCTAGAGAAGCAAGTCAGATCTTCGGTGGTCTGAGCTATAGCCGTGGTGGACAAGGTGCAAAGGTTGAAAGGCTGTATAGGGACGTTAGGGCCTATGCTATCCCCGGCGGCAGTGAAGAGATCATGTTGGACCTGTCAATTAGACAGGCGCTGCGGGTACACAAGGTGCTCGGTATGAAGCTGTAGATCGTTGTAGTGTTAGTTTGACTTACTTGTACCAATATCATACATCATAATCAACTGCAAGTCCTGGGGTTGTGAGGTCTCGTTATGTTCGGAGTGATGTTTCCGGCCGCCAGGGCTGACAGCCAAAGTTATGTTTTTGGTTGATGAACTTCGTCCTCGTTCTCCACCACATTAGTCTCGCAATGTGGCTCAACAGCTATCACAGAGGGATGCGATCCTTCAAGCCGTGCACGCAGTCTACATCCGACCCGTCCATGGCATGTCGCCAGGCCTGAGTTCCGGCTGATGCCCCCGCGGAAGCCCCACCTCGCGACTTCATCTACGGCAGTTACTGCCCAGCTGCCGACACTATGATTGATACAACTTGTGACCGCATCAAGATTACACCTCATTGTCTCACTGGCCGTCTCGCGAGAGCAGAGGTCATGTTACGCCATCTTTGTGATCTACCCAGGTATCCTGAATATAGGTTTTTACCCATACAGTGTCTAAATGACAGGCGTGCAGGGTCAGCAACCCCACGTGTATGGTGTGTACTCTTTCAGGATACTCATGAGACATCGCAATGCGGGGAGAAGAGCGATCTCGTCAATCGAAAGGCAAAATGCGCTCCTGTAACACAGCATGCTCAAGAGGTCGTACTGCAATGGGACATCTTGGCTCTAGATGCCGACCTCGTTTCAGTACTGATAGCTACACAGGAAGCGGGGTACGAAACAACGCCCTCGGGGTCCAGGATCAAGAGCAGTATGGCTCAATCTATCATCATCTCAGGATCTGGGAAGCAGACAGATCATGTATCATCGAAATGAAAGCCAATTAACAACTGACCGGGGAAGACAACTCAACTCGCATGCGAATAGTATGCACCAGGTACTGCTATAAAGTTTGGAAAGAATGCACAATAACACAAAATCAACCATTTCACAGTCTTGACAAAGTCAGACAACACCAGATCTTCCGTACAGCGCCGATTCACATCGATCAACAACATGGCTCCCGTAACCGAAATACCCCGAAGGGTCGAATGGAACGGCAAGCAGGTCCCAGTCTACCCCATGGAGACAATCGACTTCTCTGCAATTCTTTCCCAAGAGCCTGCTGAGCTTGAGAAGCTTCTCCAGTGCTGCAAAGACGAAGGTTTCTTCTACCTAGATCTGAATAATGTTGATGGGCGTCGATTCATCGATGACCACCAGGAGCTATTGAAACTTATGCATCGATTCTTTGACTCGCCTCTTGAGGTTAAGAACGAATATGGTCTGATCGCTCCTCATCTTGGGTAGGTGCTGGCGATCAACTAGTACTGGTTGTTTTCAAGGTGCTAATAACTTCCAGATACGAACCAGTTGGCTCGCGCAACGGTGTTCTCGAAGACACACGGGATGGCTACGAGATGGTCAAGGTATCTCGCGATGAGATTCAACGCGAGTCCCCTCACATTCCTCGCAACATCAAGAACAGCGGCGATCTCAAGGTTCTCGAGAATGCCATCTCCGGCAACAACATCATTGGAAAGGCCATTCTGGCAGCTCTCTCAACAGCGTTTGGTCTCACGGGTGCTGCGCGCTTTGAAAACCTGCACCGCAATCACCGCCCTTCGACGAGCACCTTGTCCATGATGCACTACATCCCATCTAACCCCGCCAAGGACGGTAACGTCGGCCACCAGAAGCACACCGACATCAGTTCGTTGACTGTGCTCTTTACTGAGCAGTGGGGTCTCCAAGTCCGCCCGCCCGGAAGCAAGGAGTTTGGTTTCGTCGAGCCCAAAAAGGGACAAGCTATCATTAACGTCGGCGACTCTCTGCGCTTTGCTAGTGGCCACACTTTCCAATCGTGCATCCACCGTGTGGTGCCGTACAACTACAGCGAACATCGCTATTCTGTTGCATATTTCCTCCGCGCTGAGGACGAGACCATGTTCCAAGACAGCGAGGGCAGATTTGTCACGGCACGCACGTGGCATGACGAGAAGTTTTTGGCTTTCCTTGCATCGCCTGCGGACCAGGCTGCTGCTCCAAGCTCTATGTTGTTGGGCGGTATGCAGGAAGATGAGACTGATGTTTACAGCCTTCCTCAGCCAAAGCCTGTCGCTGCTGACGCGACTAAGAGCTCTGCTGTCGAAGTGACTGCCGTTGAGGTTAGCGCTTAGTGAAAATCCTCCTGATCAGGTGCCTTGTGGCATAGTCTCATCAGCTATTACGAACAAATTGTATATACCAAGCAACATATCTTGTGCAAGGTCGCTTAATTCTGTCTGTCATGTTTCACGTTCGATGGTGTTACCACCACAAGTGCGATATTAATCACCTGAACATAGAGGTTATAGTTTGCTTTACATCATGGCACATATGCAAATGAACGCTACAATCATGGATATAAGCGTAGATGGAGAATACCCCACAATATGCGACATCGAAATAGAGTACATCGGCTGGGATGTGTCAAGCAACTAACCTGGATATTGGCTAAAAATGCGCATTTGCCGCCACTTGGCACTATATGTAATCTTTGAAAAACCTGGGTAACATTTTTGTATCATCATCTCTAATTGAAGCATCGAGATGACCACAATGTTACTCATTTTGACCTTGCTCTCCGTAAGCCTTGCTTATGCATGCGACAAGGAGCACCATTACCGACACCACGATCGCCATCTGGAACGACGCGATACTTCTCCTGTTTTCCCGCCGATTTTGGCGACCAATGAAGAGATTTTGGTCTCTTCTTTTGACAATACGTCTATAGCATCGTGGTCAAGCTACTACTGTAAGAACCGACTTCCTGCTGTTCGTGTCAGCGAAAATGCTTATCAGGTCGCGCAGCACACAAACGCAACCTCGCGGGCGAAAGTGATGCAGTTCTGAAATGGACTGCAGAACGATGGGCTGAACATGGCTTTGACACAAGGTTAGACAGTTATCGTAGGTCATGTATATTAACGGCTTTGGTACGTAAGCTGACTGGACCTGAAGACGTCTACCTTGATTATCCGATCCATCGTTCTCTTTCCCTCGACTACGGTAACGGCAGTACGTACCATGCAACACTAGAAGAAGAGATACTCGAAGAGGATAAGCCTACTGGTGATGCTGACAGAGTTCCTGCCTTCCATGGATATTCCGGGTCAGGGAACGCATCGGCTGAGTACATTTACGTTGGTATGCGCTCCTCCGCCTAGACCATACTTGACATTAGAAGTTAAATTCGCTAGGCCGAGCTTCCCAAGAAGACTTCAAATGTCTCCTCGCCCTAAACATCACACTCGAAGGTAAAATTGCTCTCGCTAAATACGGCGGTCCATTTCGCGGTCTCAAAGTGAAGAATGCACAGGCCTTTGGCATGATCGGAGCTGTGATCTTTACCGATCCGGGAGACGACAGAAACATGACAGCCAAGAACTACGCTACGTATCCTGATGGACCTGCTAGAAATCCAACGAGCATCCAGAAGGGCAGTGTGATGGACTTGAGCACCTACCCTGGAGATCCGACAACACCGGGATACCCTTCTAAAGAGGGTGTAAAGAGGGAAGAGAAGAAGACTGTACCGAAGATCCCAAGTTTACCAATTTCGTGGATTGAAGCAAAACCGTTGCTCACCGCGTTGAACGGTTATGGTGTTGGTGCAAAGACTGTTAATCGACCAAATTGGGTTGGCGGAATCGATGGCGTTGATTACAATACCGGACCGTCGAAAGCTGTATTGTCAATAAGCAACATCATGAGGGATGAGATTAATTGGATCCACAACGCTATTGGTATTGTGAATGGTACGAACGAGGACGAGGTCGTTATCGTGGGCAATCACCATGACTCTTGGATGATCGGCGGAGCTGGTGAGTCGCAGACAGCACTAGTATATCTTCAAGAGTTTACTGACGGTTATAGCGGATCCACACTCCGGTTCTGCGATTCTGATCGAGTTGGCCAAAGCATTTGATGCTCTACTAAAGACTGGTTGGAAACCAAAGCGAACTATTGTGCTCTGTAGTTGGGATGCTGAGGAATACGGCCTAGTTGGAAGGTAAGCTATCAATACTACCTGAACTCAAAGTATCCTGACTGAGCATTTACAGCACCGAATGGGTCGAGGAGTACATTCCGTGGCTGGAATCCTCGGTCGTATCGTACTTGAACATTGATGTTGGTATAGCAGGCACTATCCCCGACTTCGGTGCAACTCCTGACCTCCACGCCCTCACCACTTCTACGGCCCGCAAGGTCATCTGGCCGCATGACCAAAACCGCACTCTATACGATGTCTGGGAAGAAATGACCGGTGAGATTGACACACTAGGTGCGCAAAGCGATTACACAGCTTTCGTGCACCGCGCCGGCATCTCCGCTATTGACATGGGCACCACGCGAGCACCTCTTGATCCAATTTACCATACGCATTCGAATTTTGATTCCTATCATTGGATGACCAAATTTGCGGACCCGGGGTTTGTGATGCACAAAGCCATTGGACAGTTTCTGACGTTGATGTTGTATCGATTGGTCGACGATGCTGTTGTTCCGCTTGAGCCGGCAAACTATGGGGTAGAGATGCGAGCGTGGCTAGGAGAATTGGAGGGCGTTGTCAAGGAAGTGAATGCAACAGCCATGATCGATCTAGGAGAGCTTGAGGATTCCGTTGCTGTCTTTGAGGATGCAGCACGGAAGTTCAATGCTGCCCGCGACATGGCCGTCAGCTCAAACAGTTCGCTTCTCATAAGAGAGCTGAATCACAAGGCACGCGATATTGGCAGTGGATTTGTCAGTCAAGGAGGGCTTCCGGGAAGAGAGTTTTACCGGCATCTGGTCTTTGCTCCTGGAGTTGATACTGGTTATGCGCCTGTCACATATCCAGGAGTGACTGAGGCCGTTGCTGCAGGAAACCTTACTCTAGCAAAGGAGTTTGTTGCAAAGACAGCAAAGGCGATCTTAGCTGCTGCAGACATTCTGTACTAGTAGACCAATGCATGTCAAATCTTGAGCATAATAAGGGAAAGGCTTTGAAAGTACTCATCGTTGCTTCGGTCATAATATACACGTTGAACTAACCTTTTCCGGGCGTTGAAGCCATTTCACGTCCTCCCAACCCGCAGCGACCCTCTCATGTAAGTTGTTTCCAAGCCAACTACTACACCTTCGCGACTCGGTGTTTGATTCTCATAGTAAATCCGTGTTCTCTTTCGAGATCCAAGAAACCTTTCTCAGGATCATAAGCAAAGTCATGGAAAAAGCCTGGATTGAGTTCCCACATGACCATAATTCCCGGTTGATAAAAATGAATCATGGCGCCGTCCTCGAGATGCTTATTGACAGCGTAGTCTGAGCCTTCCTTCATGTAGAGGATGGCATCACGGTTAATGACACCAGGAAGATCCGGTTCCATATATCCTGCCTTCGTGGTCCCGTCCGCGTATTTGTGGAGCATCTCGATTTCATACGGATTGTGTTCTGTGGTTGTATTGCCAAGGAATGAACCGTAGTCGAGGATAAACTTGACTGGAAGTAGCCTGGCGAAGAAAGTATTTGATGCCCACTGAGTAATTTCCTCATACAACATCTTGCGGAAGCGTATTAGTGCTAGCCACTGGCTGAGGTCGAAATCCTGCTCGTAGATATATGGATAGTGCTTATATATGGTCAAAAGACCCATGAGTACATGGTAAGCAATCAGCCAACGTGATTCGCGCTGCAGAACTCCTACGTGTTGGGGAAAGGCGGAGTCGTCGTAGTACTTAAAGGCAGAGCCGATGCATCGCGTAACGAGTTCGCCGTATTGGTGATTTAGTAATTCGACTGTCTTTAGAGATAGTTCGAATCTATCGGAAACTTTTTCATGTGCGAAAAGCGCAGTGATAGCAGCGCGTCCCTCTTCGGTGAGACGTGTAGCCTCGGGGCTCATGAGGTCACCGAGGCTTTGGAATGTGAACGTGTCCACCATGATGGGTGTGACATTGTGGATGAACCAGCTTTCCAGGAATCTGGGCAAAACAGACCAAACATCCTCTGTCTGGAGTGCATGAGCAATAGTCGGGCCACCAGGATAAAGAAGCTGTGAGTCATTTACGACATTGTCCGCATCGTCCGTTGGGGCACTGGAGAGAGTCCCGAAATAGAACGCTTGGCTTTGGTACTCTAGTTGTGCATAATATTGGCCCGTTGTCGAAGTTTCGTACTCGGAAGTCTCATCTTGCAGTTGGGGTGATGTGATTTTCTCAAAGAGCTCACGACGGCAGAACGGACATAGATTGCTGACTTCCTCACCATCCTCTGTTGCGAAACAGATCAGGAGACATTCTTTATGCACGGGATGTTGAATGCAATGAGGACTCGGAGCTACGACGTCCAGATCTGGATAATCCCATGCATCTCTGCATATCGCGCAAGTCGGCTCATCGGCTGGAGGTTCGACTGAACAGAGGTTGGCGATGTAATCACGTTTTGAGGGAAGCTCTATGAGAGCAAGTTCCTCGACTGTTTCGCCCGCATACTGTAGAGACATAGTTTTGTTAATACAGGGACCCGACGACGGAGATAGTGGCTGGTACTGATGCTAGTCAGTCAATGAGAATTAAGAGAAAAGGTGCGTTCTTAAATAGTCTTCGGTGTGAGGAAGTCGTGCACTAACAATGTATATAGAGTATGTTGTGAAAGTGCGAGATAAAACATATGAAGAACCATGCCGTACACCATATTGTATGAGAGTGCGCGCGATGCCGTACTTTGGTTTGCATCTACCGGTTCAGCGACGACGCATAGTGACGGGCCACTCACAGCTTCTGCAATCCAAATGGTACTTACCCAAAGATTCCTCTTGCACGAGAGACATCGCAATTGTAACATAAGTAAGCGTTGTGTAGTGACCTAGTATTCAGTCAGCACTGCCTTCTTCTCACAACGCCGGAAGCCCAGTGGAGCAGAAACATGCGTTGGTCTACAGAGCAGTGTTAGCATTGTTAGCAGATACAACAGAACCAAGGTTATCCAAGGAGGATGCATATGTACTAGAGCCTCTGTTACATTGGATGCAGAGAACTACATATACATACGAAGTTGTCGTACTAGAAGTTGTGCTAAGCTATATTTACGTCAAAGACGATATTAGTTCCCATGTTTTTCCGCTACTTCCTTCTGGCCCTTCTGGACCCACTCTTTGAACGGATCCTGTACATTCGGATCCTTCCTTAGTCTCTCAATCTGATCTTCGCCCGACGGCACCAAAAGGCCCTTCTGCACAGCATCCCTCTTCTCAATCCTCTCACACCACTCTTTCAGCTTCGGAAACTCCTTCAGCTCAATACCCGCCCACGGTGCCCACCGAACCCAGGTAAATGTTGTAATATCGGCGATGCTGTACTTGCCCCGAACTTTGCCTGCTAGATAATCTCTATCTTGAAGTCGCGCTTCGAGCACAGAGTAGAGACGCTTCGTTTCGTTCTTGTACCGCTTCACACCGTACTCGATCTTCTCGGGTGCATATCGCACGAAATGGTTCGCCTGTCCTTGCATCGGGCCCACGCCAGCGTTTTGGAAGAAAAGCCATTGCATCATTTCCATCTTCTCATCACTATTCTGGAAGCTGAATCTGAAGTCTTTGTCATAGTGCTCGGCAAGGTAGAGGAAGATGGCCCCAGACTCAAAGACAGGGTAGGAGTTGCGGGTGTGGTCTATGATGGCAGGGATGCGACCGTTAGGATTGACTCTTAGGAAAGAAGAAGACTTCTGTTCGTCTTTGGATAAGTCGATCGAAGTGGTCTTGTAGGAAATGCCGAGTTCTTCGAGGAAGATGGAGATCTTCTGGCCGTTGGGAGTGGCTGCTGTGAGGAGTTCGATATCGGGAGTAGGCATCTTGACTTTTTTCTGTTACTATGTAGATTGTTTTCTGGTAACGCAAGCTTAGTGATGGAGAAGGATCAATGTTGTGGCGCTGATGTAGTATAGTTGCACTATGCTTTCGCACTGCTTGTATCATGATGACGTGCGCTCGAGGTAGCTGGAGAATGCGGCAAGGGTCTGCTCATTAAACACACTACGCTGTAGGCTTTTGCATCACTGCAAAACACTCCAAGGATGGTGCAGTGATAGAACTTTCCCGAGTCGCAACTCTCGTAGCATCATATCTTGGGAGTGGAAAGTTGCTCACAGGATCCAACTCGTGTTAGCATTCTAGTTAGCGCAGCGCTAGTCGCATGCCTCCCGATCTCGGGAACTACCACCTCGATACCGGAAAGTTATCTCAACGCATCACAAGGCCGAGTCTTTCGCAACACATGAACCATTGCTTCCCTTCCACGCCGCATGCTTGCACACAGCAAAATCTCACAATCGCCGATAATACGCCGGCACGTCGATGCATAGAGATGCCGTTCGTTTCGCGCAGCACTGAGTGGTCTGATTTTCTTTCGGGCCTTAGTCCCATTTGGCCCAAAACAGCAACCATCATGCCACTTTCAAGACCAAGATCCAATTGATGTGTAAGGGGAGGGATGCATGTGACCTTGGATTGAGCGACTTTTGGAGCCTAAATTGTCTGCTCGTACGCGAATTTGGCGGTCTCACTTCTTCGGCTGTGTTCCTCTTTCCCACTCTCTATTCTTTGCTCTTTGTCTTCTGCGTAACGTTACCTTCGAGCCCACTACATACCAACCTACATTCATCTTCCCATCCCACACTCCTTTTGGACCATCAAAACAGCTAGCCGAACGAAGAACAAGTTCGCGATGATGATAACACGTACCTTTTCCCTCACAAACTTCCTCATCGGCTCATCAGCCCTCTGCTTCCAAATTTTTGTCCTCTACCCCTGGCATGAAAAATTAGAGGAGGAATTTGTAGAGTTGAAGAAGGAGCATGCGAGGCTACTAGAAGAGACGCACTCTAGGCACAGAGATGAACTGAGGGGAATTAGGGAACAGCTGGAACTGGCCAACGAGCGGAGGAAGACCGGGAAGTTCTGGTAGTTTGCTAGGACATTAATGAAAGACGGGGAGGGAAGGAATGGAGAGAGAGAGAGAGATCAATGAGAACTAGAAGAGGAGGAACGAAGGATTTAGTCATCTATGGAACGTTTGGAAGGCGCACCTCATCGCAACGCTAAGTAGAGACTCATGAGCTACACACTTTATTTGTTCACGACATCGGAGAAACCTAAACTCGGTACTTTCAAAATCCGAACTACATCGTGCTACATCTATCCAGAGGCTAGCACCGGGCTCGGATGTTCGCGGAACGCGCTCCCACTATTTCCGGATGTTTTCGATGGGTTCGAGATGATCATCAGCATCTGGATTTGTATGCATATCTGCAAGTAGGAGAGACTACCATTGCTTCCAAACTCACTTTAAAACTCTGGGGCATAGGTAAAAGCGACGGGCGATGGAAGATTCAATGAACTAGAGAACAGAACGCCAGTCCATCTTTATTGATCAATGAAATACATAGTTTCAACGGTCTCTCGAATGTCAAAGTCTGGTCAAGTCTGTCAAAGGCGGAAGCAACTCCGACACAGAGGTACTCGCTCAAAAGGGCGGGACCAGAGCAAGGGGGCGGGCAGCCCCTTAGCCATGCTACCCACGATGACGTTAGGAGGAAGCGGAAATAGACAATGATCGGCACCGAATAAACAAAAGGATCAACGAACATGTATGTGCCGAGCCGTCATGACACGTTTGACGGCGGGTTTAGCACGCAAACTAGATAGCGGCACACAAGTTGTACTGGCAGAAGGATTAATCGTAGACGCGCGTTATGCATTCAAGTCCGTCATCCATATTCACAAGCGTAAATTTCGTGCAACATGATTTCTGTATTCATTCGATTTCGAGAGTCAAGTGAAAAAGTAGACAGGCGCTCAAAGAAGCCCGTACCAGTACAGTTGGAAAGCAAGGAGGAAAAAAAAAAAACGAATTAGTAGTAGGAAATGTAACGCCCTGGTATAATGATGAGAAGTATCAATCCGAGTCCGTCGTGCCTCGAGGAGCGATGATAGAGCACTCGCTAGTAGCATCTTGTAGCCATGGTAATGCCTTGCTACGTCCTGTGACTTCGTTGTGACTGCGACATGTGTCTAGCAGCAGGCCGCCTAACCCCCCAGTATGTCTGCTTGTGTGCTCGCTCACCAAAGGATATCTCGAATGCTAAACCCCGAAATTCGTGCCGATAAGAAATAAGATCGTGTATGACCGTCCTGGCTGCGAGCAGCTGTTGAACCTCGGCTCATGACGAAAGATGAAAGTGTGTTGTTCCGCCGCTCCCGTTTACGTCTGAATTTCCTTCTTCTCACTAACACCCTTTGGCCGGAAGACGGCGTCTTGGCCTGACATGCGACGGGCAAGTGCGCGATCAAGCTTTGCCCCCAGCGCCAGCTTGCTCATGTCGTCTGTCTTCTCGTTGGTGAGGGCGTACCGTTGCTGAACCAGGCGCTTGTCTTCGAGGCGGTCAAATCCAGCGTTCCATGTCTTGATGTCTTGCGACTTGGGGTCGCCGGCGGTCGACGAGGCTGCTGAGAGATGCGATGGTGCGATGGAAGGTGTGAGAGTAGGTGTGGCGCTGTAGGTGGACATGCGGGTTGAGGCGCGGTTTGCGGCCGACTGTTGTTTCTTTTCGTTAGACTGTGCTTGTTCCGACATGTTCGCGGTGTGGTATGAGTGCTAGTGTTGTGGTGTTGGAACGGGAACGGGAGCGCGAGTGGTTGTATAGTGAGTGCAAGAGGAAGGGAAGGCGCAAAGGAAGTACGATCAAGCAAGCAATGCAGGTGCTCGGCGAGCATCGACCACAGGCAGGGGACGTCTGAAACGGGCAGTGGATACGGTAGAATGACTTACGTTGGCAAGCATGGGCCGCGAGGACTCAAGAGAGTTTGTCATGATGCGCGCCACGGCGAGTCCGGTGGTTACTATGTGGGCGTGGAGTAGCGTGCCTTTGCAACGTCGATGTGAAAACTATGGCAGGACGGCGATTCAAGGCTCTGGAAGAGGGCGAGAGCAGGTACAATAGCCCAGAAGCCGTCGTCTGTGCTGAGTTTGTAGATAAAGTGAAGAGATGGGTGTAGACGGTAAAAGTCCTGTGCTCAGCCTATCTTACTCCTCGCGCGTTTCAAAGGACCTAGATCGGCAAGGGGCTGCGTGAGCAACAAGATGCACGTGCAGGGGGACGATGGTTAGCGAGTAGCAGCGGGATGCGACAATGTTTGGTAGGATTGATAAACGTCAGCCTTGCAGAAGGATGGTGATATGTTGGTGTTGATGGCGCGTAATCGAGGATCTCGCCGAGCGCACATGGGGAGGAACACAAGACAGTTATGTACCCGCGGCTGTTACCAAAGACAGAGAGCGACCCTGTTAGCAGCAGCAACACGACCAGCACCAGACTGCTCTGAAACGTCCGCACGTAAGGATGCTGCATGTAAGGACACTCGCATTTCGATAAAGTGAGTTGCATGCAGTCAGCCTCCAGGACAAGCCATTCACGCCGCCACTGACAGCCGGCCAATCTCCCTTTAGCATCACCCACGCTTGCATCGCGTATGCCACGTTTTTTCTGCGGGAACCCACGTTGGCCGCTACAGGGCTCGGTGTTGCTTATGTTGGTTGGTCTCCACTGGTGCGCGCGCCCATTGCCGCTCCTGGTTTGGTCTTGGGATCAGCTACGCAGTCGGTCCATTGTCCAACAACTCCTTGCATCATCATGAGACGTACCCAAAGAGGCGGTCACAGCGATAGACAATATTGCATGCCCCAATCGTTGTCAGCCGGAGTTTCCCAGCAAGCTAATCAATGCATTTTGGACCTCCTTGATGGGACTGCAGATAGTCCTAGCACCAGGTAATCAGCATGCTGTGGCATTTGGGCACCAAAAGATGCTGCCATCTTGCGATGAGCAGCTCATATCAAGGCACAAGGAGCCGCCCCCTTACTTCCAGTCATCTTGACTACTGCGTACATCCTTCTGCTGCTACTGCGTCTGGCTTTGGCCAGAAGAGACATGGAAAAAGTAGGTCCAGAGAGTCTAGAAATCGTTTGGGCAATGAGGTCGGCCACCACAATACCTAGGTATGCTTACCAGCAGTCAAAAGCAACCTCAAACCCCAAACCTGACCCATCAAACTGCACACCATCCCCAGCTATGTCCATACATGCGCAATAGCCGCCCCGACTCCACATACCTCCCCAAAGCGGCAACACGACAGAACCTCTCATCCAGTGTCTGAGCGCCTGCACGAAAATGCATGCTCACCACGTGGCCGCAACGTGGGTTCCATGGCGCGCACGGCCCTCCGCAGTCTGACAATTACGGGTTCCTGGCGACAGGTGGAGCACAGATGAAAGGCCGGGCTGGGTCGGAACAATTATCCTCGATTGTGAAACCGCAGTCATTCCGAGGTTCAAGCACGGGATCGCACGCATGAGCAAGTGCGTAAGCATACTGTACACCACACCACACCACACCACGATGTAGTTGCATTGCATGGCACGTACGTCTTCTTCATGGGCTGAAAGTGGCGTTTCGAGGGTCTAGGGAGAGGAAAAAGTATTCTTGGATCGATGCGACGCGATGGCATCGCTTACCGTCAAGTCTAGACTGTGGCTGCTGCGACGCAATCTGTCCCGCGTTCGTCAATACCATCTCCGACGCGACCACATCTCCGAGGATATAGGCATAGTTGACAACAGAGAATGAATTCTGAAACGACTGTTTATGTGTATAGCGAGCCCAAAAGCGAATGCAAAGTACAATCTGGTATCGCAAGAAGAGACAAGCACCATCGGTCCTGTTGCTAGTCACCACTAATCTACATCGCCATACCTGGCAGATGGTCGAGCCCTAATCGATTTCGTTAGTATATTGATAACAAAATGCAGCTACGACGCCAACCCACATCCATCCAAGTCCTCCTTGATAGCGCTCTTGACCTGGCACTTGTTCATCGCCTGGACGTTCTGGCTCTGCAAATACTTGTTAGCAGTCATCCCAGACCTGAATAGCTCGCGCCGCACGACTTACTTTCAACGGCCTTCCATTCTCGCACGCTTGGAACATGCAGCTGTTATCCATAGCCTTCTGCAGACTATCGTCTTTCCAGCCAAAGAGGTAATCCGCATGAGTACCGTAGCCTTTGTTGTCGTTGTAAGAAAGGAAGAAAGGGTTGGAGCCATCCTTGGGCCACATGTTGCTAAACTGCGTAGTATCCCAAAGCGTCTCGTACGCGACTTGTGGCATGCGGACCGGGTGAGAAGATGGGCATGCACCGGCGGGACTGAAGGCTTCTTTGGCTGTGTTGTACATGTGGTCTTGGTGGTTGGGAGAATCGACGTTCTTACCATCCCAGCAACTGGATGTTGGTATCAGGAGTCAGTACCCGTCTTACATAGAGTGGTTACAGGCACTGCTTACGACGGGAAATGATGCACAGTCATAATGCCGCCTTTGCAGGCCTTAGGTGGGAAGTCTGGGGACTCGGGAAAACGAGTGTTCTTGTCTTGCAGACAAACGAAGCGTAGGCCTGGGTGCTTCTTCGCATCTTCTACCGTGTTGGTAGTGGGAGATCCTACAGTCATTCGGAAGCCCTGAGAAGGTCAACAGTGCGTGAGGTGAATGAAAGTATGACTGACCTTGGGGAACGCTGTTATCTTCTGGTTACCATTGCTGTTGAAATCTTGTTGTGTGTAATAGATGGCTGCAAAGAAACAGGTATAGAGTTAGTGTATGTCCCACGTGCAGTCGTACGACGACACTCACTCATGCCACCGTTGATGCCGTTGGGCAAGGCAGCATTCTGCATTATAGGTACCCGTTTGTACGAGCCGTTGGTATGTTTGAAGAACATAGCTGCAGTCCAGTAGTTGCTACGTTTATTAAAAATAGTGGACAGAAGACTGAAGCCGATGTCGTACCTAAAGTCCTCGGAGAATGTGCATGTAGTGCAGGTAGCTATCGTAGATGGGTCTTCCTGCATTGTCGCGTTGAAGGCATTGCCGCCGACGATTTGGTGAACGTGAGCGGAAGGAAGTTTGCCTGGCTCAACGAGCGGATCAAGGCGCTGAATGCTCAACGTCGAACATCCGAAGCGTAGTGCGGCCTGCGCAGGCGCGGCGAGAGCGGCGATCTGGTACCACTTCATTTTCGTATGTCTTCGTATGGTTCCAGTGAGAATGTGCTTGCCACGGGATAGTCGAAGGGCGAGTTTTCATCTTAAGCTGTAGGTTTATTAATCGCTACAAATCTTGGTATCGTGTTACCACCCCTGCTACATGGTGTTGATGGTCTGTGGTGTCGAGAGCTTTACCCATTGATTAAACGTCTCTGCGTGCGACCAATAACGGCCATAGTCTTTAGATTTCCCCGCGTTAATGTCCGAAACATATTCACAGTGCTACACCGATGCAATCAACTCCAGATTTCGGCACTTGCTTCCCGCGTAAACCTCCGAGAAGCACGGCACTTCTCTCTTTGGATGGAAACGTGAATCCTCGCCATTGATTTTGTTGGAAGGGGTGAGCAAACCGCGCTATTTGACGAGTGAGAGGAAGGATCAGTAGATATGAACGAAAGGCGTGTGCCTCTGGAGTTTCAATGTAGTGACGCCGTGCTACTAGGTATTCGATTTCTCAGAGTGTCTTCAGTAGACACTCTAGCTACCTTCTATGTAGGTTCGCGCGTGACAAGTCAATGCAAGGTGAAGTCGTACAGGTACTATACGGCAGATCAAACGTCCAAATCAGTATCATCGATGCCTTGAACGGGATCGTATAACGTCGATCGGCCAAGTATGGTAGGAGCTTCGACAGGACGAGAGTGAACAAGAACCCAAAAGCTTGTGACGTCTTGCAGAGGTCGGTGATATGACAGCGAAGCCGTTGAGGCAGTCGAGGACCCATGCAAACAGACGATAGGTCCTGGCTGGCATGACACGGGTGTCGCATATAGTGAGACCTGCGAGACTCCATATTGCAAATTGGTGAGCGTGAATGGAAATAGACGGCAGCTTCGATCTTCTGGGAAGCCCTTAGCGGACGGGAGCAACAAGGTAGCGAACGAGAGCGAAAAGGGAAGGAGGAGGAGGAACGCAGATGAGAAGTGTCGCTATGTGTAGTCCAGCCTCGGGCAGCACCGGCGCCCTTAGGATTCAGTGCGGTTGGATATACCCAAGCTCCACGGTTGACAACATTGCGTGTCGACAGTGAAAGCATACTCAAGCAGGCACGAACTGGCGAAGCCGTCTAGACCACATTGGAACGATTAATGTCGGGCCGTCTCCACTGAAAGGTGAAGAGGTGGGACGCTTGACGTAACCGTGACCGTTAGGCGTGCATCCCGAAAGCTTATCGGGTGCCTGACATGGAGGGGTCAAGGGCGAACGACGTTCGCTACAATCGACGGCTTGGCACGCTCGCCTGCCTATCACGGCCTCTCCATTGCTCCCGGTACCCGATACACACCTTATCGCAGCCTGCAGCACGAAGCGACATGAGATGAAGCGCCCGCACATGGAACTGTGATGTATCTTGCGATTGCATCGCGGCTGTTGCGGGCTATTTACACATATGTTTGAAAGTGATACTGTAGTTTCCGAAAGTCAGAGGCACCTGATGACCGGCACCATGGCTGCACTCACACTGCCGATCCAAATGGATGATGCTTCCAAACCAACATCTTCCTCTATCAGAACCAGAACTACCCAGTCATTACCTGTTGTCCAAATATCGTAATAACAAGCACGTAGAAATGTGAGAAAGCAGTCAAACTGACAAGGTCAATGCTGCTTTCCTGGCAGGCAAAGTCAAGCCTTGAACCATTTCACAAGGCCTCATCATGCCTGTCTTAACCCGGTTCATCTGACTATCATCAAGCACCTATATCTTTCCATCAGCCTATTCAATTAGTCATTGGCGGTACAGTGATTGGAGGAATAGAGAAGTATCCAGCTTGCGGCATTAGTGTCGATCGCTGTACATGTGACGGTGGCACGGTTGTCGACGGTGTGAGTGAGTGTGCAGAATGTGGCCATGTAATGTGCGAAAGGTGTTTTGATATTTGGGTGAGTGGGTGTATAGGGCAATTGGAAAGAAGGGGAAGAAGGGTGGAAGGAGAAGCCAGGATTAATTATGAAAAGAGGACGATAACAGTGGAGGTTAGTGAGTCACATAGCAGGCAGGGTACTAGGATGAAGATACTTTCTAGAATCATGACAAAGTATCAGTGAGATGATAGAGCACATATCCCTGTGCAATATATCCCATGCGACACCGAACGCCCCGCTATGCAGAAGTCTTTCCATCCTCGAGTATGCGTCCCCTTTAGGCATCACTAAGACCAATAAAAGTTGAGCGATGCTCTCTCGATCTTTTACCGCCGACGCCATGCTCAATTTTATGCCATCGCGCCGGCAAAGTCGACCAATTCGACAAGCACATTACACACGCCATCAGCCCAAACAGCAAAGGCCTTCTCCCTCAGTACACTATACCAGTCATCTGCATTACGAATAGCACGCCATCCCTGCGGCCCAACAGACTTGATAGCATAACGGGGAAGAGACCTTGTTTCCGGATGACTGTCGTTAGGGAAACTAGGATGCTGGCTGGCTGCCGCAGTCGATATCGGAGGAACAGAGGGGGTACCATCCGCTGGCGAAGATGGAGAGAAACACGCGGTTGAAGAAGATGCTCCGTGCTGAGCATGCTCCGTCTGTAGTGCATTGGCAGCAGCAGCAAGTCCGCGAAGATTGCCTGTGCCGGGCTCGATATCCTGGAATTCGACTCCTGCCCTGAGCTCAGGATATTTGTCTTTGGCGGCTTTGAGAAGAACGACGGTCTCTCTCACCAAGTCGTTATAATCATACCATGCCAAGTGTGCTTGTGGTTTGGCCGTGATGCGCTTCTCGCCGAGCTTGCTGCCCGGTCTGCTACCGGATGAGGCGAGTACAAGGAAGATGTTGATATGAGAGAGGTTTGGCTCAGTAAGACTAACTGCAGGTAGCTGACCAGTGTATTAGCAGCATCGATCAGATCAAGACGTTACGAGAGCGAGTCTTACCTTGGAACTTGCTTGTGTGGATGCGTTGAACTCCTGTTTTCCGCTAGTGTCCGAGGTTCCTTCCTGCCTTTGGAAAGAATGCTGCGGAGTTGGAGTTGAAATGGGGACTGGAGAGGCTACCAACCGTGACGGCTGCGGATGATGAGCTAGGCTGTGATCGAGGACCGACTGCGACTGTTGCTCGACGCCATAGCGCGTATTGTCTTCGCATTGCTGAGCCACAAGCTCAACACTACCTTCTTTGTCTCTCTTCTTTGTGCCTCCTTTTCTTGTCTCAATTGCGTACTGTCGTTGCCGCTCGTTGGTGACCATGCGTCGCATCAACGGAGTAACAAGACTAATAATCTTGTTACCGTCCCTCGGCCATGTCAGTCTCTCACAAGGATCAGGAGTCTTGTCTTCTCCCAGTGCGCGAGCAGCCTCTATCGCGTCTCTTTCGCCTGGCTTCTCAACGTCTTCACCGAAGAACTGCTCACCAACTCCGTCGTTCAAAAAGTCGCGGACGCAGTTGAACAGCCGCAGCTTGACCATGTCGGTATCACCCTTACCACGATTTCCTACACAGCTCTGCCGTTCCGGGTGTGATGTGTCGAGCATGTAGGCTTTCGCTAAAGACTGCAGTTGGAGGAAATTCTCAGGGCTGAGCTGGAGCGACATGAATAGCTTTGACATTGGTGGGCGTGTGTACTTCCGAGACGTTCTTTCAGAGGAGCGACGGAAGAGGGCTGCAGCGGAGTGGACACCTGCGGCACGAGCATCGTTCAATAGAGACTCACTGGAAGGCGGTACACTGTCGTCGACAGAGTCACCATGTATATCGTGGCCATGATCCTGAAGTTGAGGGTCGGTAGGTCCACCGGTCCTACGTCGCTTAGAGTTGACGGGCCCGTCGGCTTGATGCGAGATATCTTCAGTTGGGGAGCTGGTAGCTCTCTTTCTCCTACCTCTATCCTGTGATGAAAAAGTCGCCATCTCAGCATCCCCAGTGTCCATAGCATAGGCCACTTGACCCGCAGCTGTCGCAGCCTCCAGTAACTCAACGAGGTTATGGTTCTCCTCTAGTGCGTGTTCGTCTGACGTCTGACGAGCAGCGTGTTCGGTGTACAGGTGTGGGTGGAGATTGTGTTCGAGCGGCGATGCGACAGTAGCGGGACCAGACAAGTCATATTCATTCTCGTCGGACACGAATTGGGGCGGTGCAGCGTTTGTGCTGTTGGGCGCAGTGACGAACTGGCCGGAGCGCATCTGGTAGTATGGCGCGTCAACGTTTGCCCTCATCGTGATTCGTATCCCCCGAGATCAGACGGATCAGATGGTAGGAGCCAAACAGGGCTGGGAATGGTCGGGCGGATGAGCTGTCAATGTACAGATGGTAAGTCTTGTATTCAATGCGTGGGAATGATGAGAGAGCAACTGAGCTCATGCAAGTTGGACTATGGGTAAAAACCGACTCGATACGTCTGTGAGGCGAGCGCGACACCGAATCTTTTATGTATGCAAGCTCCCACGAGGTTTGGTTTGATACCGAAGCAGATACATGGTTTGGCTGGAGCGCAATAGAGCATCATTTGCGATTTGTAAGAGGGAGTAGAGCATGGCTTGACCCGACATGAGGAGAGGGTAGAGTGCAGTTTGACCCATCTCGGCGTCATGATCTGGCGTAGAGATGCAGAGATTGGGATCGTGGTTTGGTTTGATGCGAAACGTAGGGAAGTAGATCAGCAGACACACCTGATTGCTGTCGTGTGCGAACGACAAGCGGGGCCGGCCAGCGGGCCAAAGAACTCGCGATGGATGGGTTTGTCTTGTTTGCACAGACGACGCGCGCTCATGTGATCGAGGCTTCGCGAAGATTAGATAAGCCATCTCCATTCTCAACACGCGTACTTGGTTATCAACATGGAGACAAGGAAAAGACTATGTTGCAAATAAAATGGTATTTTGTGTCGTTTATTCTGTCTAGGTTCAGGTACGAAATGGTGTGCCGGACCCGAATAGCAGGCCAGCAAAAGCCCTGAAGGCCAGAGAAACTTAACGCCATGTGCGATCACGCCCAGACACGCCTGCCAAACACCCAGGGTATCTTTGAAATAAAATAGAAAGTGCTAAAACCCATCACCCTCATGCCATTCTCTCCCAGCTTCCAATGCCCGATTTCGAGGGTCTCGTCCTCGAATCTCCGCATCATGCTTCAGGCCGTCCACAATAGGTCTCAACCGGTCAATCTCCCACCTGAACTCGTTGTCTTTCCCTAGCTCAGGAACTTCCAACTCCTGTAGCTTTGCCTGGTCGCCCTTCTTGTGTGCCTCTTCCAACTCCTTCCGCTTCTCCTCCCATTCCCTGAGATCCTTTTCCCGGTCGCTAAGCTCGTTCTTGAGAGCCATAAAATTCTCGTATGCTTCTTCACCACCAAAGCACGATCCGTACTGATCGCAGAAACAGATGTGTTCCTTGGGGCAAAATATATTCTGGCCTGTGAACACGAACTGCCAAACGTATTCCCAGATGCGTCCGCTGAGACGATCGGGAAGACGCGTGTTGAACAGCCAGTCTCTGTACCAGACGTATTGCGCGTAGGGCTTCGCTTGTATGCGTTCTCGCGAGAGGGCAAATTGTGCACAGCAGGGTTGTGCGAGCACAGTAGGTACTTCGTCAAGAGGGAAAAGCTCGCTCCACGATTTCGCTAGAAGTACCTCTTCCTGCTTCTGAGCGTCCTTTTCGGTGTTTCCAGGGTGCATCCAGTCGGGGCAGCCAGGATGCCAACTGCACCTCATATTCACGAAGCCTTCCCTCCAAACGCGGTGTCGATTAAGTCGGGTTATGAGGAGATGTGCGTTGTTGCCAAGAATCTCGTCGTTGTGCCAGGACAATTGGTGGGCGTGCATAAAAATAGCGACATCGGGAAGGTTGTCGTAGTTGTCGATGATCCACGAAAGATAGACCATGACTTCGTGTCCCTTGTTCTTGGGCGGATGCAACGGTGCGGTAGGATCGTCGGCGACGTAGACTGCTGTCTGCTGCTCCGGCATCTTCTCCAGTATCCAATTGATATTCTCGTGCTTCGTCTTCGCGATTACCAGTGTCGAAGTATAGTTGTGCTCTGGTGGCATTGGCGAGCCTGGCTTGAAGACGGGCCTCGGGTTCCAGTTCGCATAGTCTGGGTCTTGGGTCGTGTCTTTGGACGGGTTGGCGCTGCCAGTGCTTGAAGGTGGTTGCTCATGGCTCCCAATGTGCTCTCCCAGACCAACACGTTGTGGTAGGCCCCGCCATGCTTGACTGGTGTCAATGCCCGAGTAGAAGAATGCGATTACGAATAGCGTGAGGATTAGCGCGAGGATAGGAATGACGTTTCGACGGGTCATGCTGCGTGGAAAAGGTGGGAGCGAGCGACTGGCGGAGAGCGAAGGGCGTAGATCGCCAAGATCAGGTTGAGACCTGGCGTGTCTTATACTGTTGCATTGTCAGCCGGCCATATTCGAAGTGTCGGACTTGTCAAGCTCACGGTGGAGTCGCCGCGCGGCAAATGGGGTTCAGGGAAAGCTCCGCAGTGACGAACGACGATGGAAACTCCGAAGTGCATATGAAAGACAAAAGGGAAATCACAACCCAAAGACCACATATACATTGCGACAAGGCGCCTAGCTACACCGAGCATGACGCACAAGACACTGGTGTTGCACCTTACGGTCCCTTGAAGGGCGCCGCACCGGTGGTGATGATTGACTTGGGCTGAGGTTTGGTCGTGCTAGATGCCACAGACGGGCCGCTAACAACTGCCTCTAACCCTGCCTCTAACCCTGCTTCGGCCTTCCATTCGGTGCACCCCACAGTTCCGCGGTTGCCGTGGATCACCCAAGAACAGCTTAAAAGTTTAGCCAGGTACAAGCGTTACGAGTACATTTCGCATTCGCATCCAAGAGAGGCATGTTGTGAAGAAAACGGGAGTTGAAATTTTATACATATTCTACGTGGTTATACAGAAACTACGGGGAATCAAAGCGCTCAAAAGCGTCAGGCGCCCGTAAGGTTCAGCGTTAGTTGTTTGATCAGTGATCATGGAAGCTTGAAGACCAGGAGTGGTGGCTCAGGGGTGATAGTTGCAGTCGCAGTCTATGTGCGACAAAGGCAGCTGAGCCTCTTTGGTCACAGGGACGTGGAATGCCATACTGGAGTCAAGTCGTTGCGCAACGCAACGACACAATCTGTGCGCACCCTAGCACAACCAGGATATGCTTAGTTGTTGAGATTCTACTTTACGTCCTCGAACGGCAACCGAACATCGCTGTATTTTACCTTTTTGTATGGAGTCCGACTCCGACGACGAGTGTCATGGTGAGGAAGGCACGTATGACGAAAAAGGAAATGACACAAACGAAATTGGAGGGCACGCACCTTCGGATGTACCTTACTCAAAGAGCCCAGACACGCATGCAGCACTTGTCCGTTTGCATAGAGCAATCGCGACTCATCTGCGAGCAATAATCACGGGCTTGAGCTTTATTTCTCGACAGATGTGCGTTACGTAGTTGGGCGAATTTACATTTCGAGATTGCTGCAGTAATCGGGAGTCGATGAATGCAGGCCATTTATGTTACTAGGTCGGGGGCTGTGTTGACATGGATGCGGTCATGGTGGATGATAGTAAGAGTATTTAGACAGTGCTGGTCATGCGGAAGGTGGTGTGGACTGGTTACTGGACGTCCAGGTTGCATCGTGAGGCAGCAGATAGAAGTACAATTTGGTGTCGATCAAGATGACTGGTGCTCCCAAGGGCTATAGACGTTGCCCCGAAAGCATTTACCGAAGTGCTGAACCGTTTCTCCAAGGAAAATACCGAGCCGACGAAGGCTAAGACGATGTCGCGCTGCAAGACGGCAGACCATGGTGTGATCCTACCTTGCGCTGCCGCGAACCATATCGAAGAACTTTTGTCGACCACATTTCCTTTGTATGCGTGTGAAAGCCGTATTAAACTGAACCCAGTGAAGTAGCCATGGGATTACAGGAATGAAGTGCTGAGAGAGAGGCGCCAAACCGAGGAAGCCATACGAACCCTAACTTAGTACCGCTTGGGTTCTGCCTGGGTTAGCTGAGAGCTAGCGGTATGAGCGATCGTAGTCACCCTCGTACGAGCGTCCTCCGCCGTACGCCTCACGCGGAGGAGGTGCATCGTATGCGCCAGCAGCTGGGGGTGGAGGCCTGTCGTAGTAGCCACCTCCACCACCCCGACGGTCGTCACGTCCGCCCTCACGACCGCCCTCGCGTCCGCCATCCCTGCCACCATCCCTGCCACCATAGCTGCGGTCAGAAGCATAGCGATCGACACCACGAGGACCGTAGTCATCGCGACGGCCGCCACCTCCGTAGCCGCGATCGTCATATCTTGAGCTACGGGAGCCGTAGTCATCGCGACGGCCGTATCCGCCGCGGCGGTCATCAGAGTATCTATCGCCGTAGCGAGGGCCGCCTCGGCCACGTCCACCGAACTCTGAGTTGTTGTTAGCACGGCATGTCAGGTGCGGACAGCAAGCAGACTTACCACGCTTGGGCGGTCCGTAGTACTTGCCCGGAGTGGGAGTACGGGGACGCGCACGGCGAGCCTTCTCGATGCTGAGCGTTCGGCCCTGATGAACCTCTCCTTGTAGACCCTCCTTCGCTGCGTCAGCCTGCTCGGAGGTGACCATCTTAACGAAGCCAAAGCCACGAGACTCCTTAGTGTGAGGATCGCGCATGATGTTACACTGCTCTACCTCACCATACTTCTCAAAGAGACGGGTGACCTCTTCTTCGCTGAGAGTAGGATGGATACCAGTCACAAAGAGGTTGGAGCCCGAGTTGCGGCTCTCATCGTCATCCTCCCTGCGCTCTGGCGGCGGGCCCCTGGACGTACGTTAGTCAACAGTTCCATCTACACGAGCAAGCAGACACATACCGGCTGTCGCGACCGCCGGGTGAGGCACTACGGGCGCGCGCGCCATCGTCGCGACGGTCACCACGCGGAGACCTGCTGCGATCGCGCTCATAGCCGCGAGGCTCGTCTGTAATCCAGTCAGTATTCGCGCGAGCATCACACAAGGCGGGAGACAAACCATCGTAGCCGCGTTGTTCGTTTTCGTACTCCATGGTGGTGATGTTGTGGTGGGTCGGGTGAGTTGGTAGTTGGTTGGTTGAGGAAAGGTGTTTGCTGAAGCTTCGAGGTTGGGCGATTTTTTGGCAGGGCTGATCGACAGTAGCCGCGTCTCTACTTAGTAAGCGTCGCGCTAATGGCCAGCAGCGCTGCAAGTGAGTGGAGTAAAAAGCGGGAAATGTGATGAGAGAGTGGAGGTGCCAGGCTGGTCAGGTGCTATTTGTAGATAAATGCTAAGTACTGACATAGGAGCTGTGCTGGAGGCAACTGCGCATCGGCAGACACAAGTGAGGCAACTGCTAGGGGCGACACCCAGCGCCCTGGCCGCCCTGTCTAAGCCGCCAACGTGCGTCAACACTACTAGTGAACCACCATTTCTCAAAGAACGAGGCTCTGCTTTGCTTGTTCGAGACTTTCACCGCAAATCGCTGCTATGATCAAGGAACCAGTAAGCGATACGCGTCATAACTAGGTGTATTCATATTCAAGTCTATCGCGATGGGGCGCTTCGTTGACCGAACCCTATCAGACGCCATGCAAACCGGCCTCATCCAATTACTCCTGCTAACATGCTCTGCTGAAACAACCCATCGAATGCGGTATCTGTCGCAGCCCTGAAAGTGAACACCATGCGCCAGTAGCACCTCGCCTACCCAATAAGGTAACTATGTTACAAATGCCAATGATAATACAAGACATGCCTCAAAGAGTGCATGCCAAAGAAAATAATGAAAAGCAAAGTCAAACCCATCATCTACCATCCCCTCGACCTCTTCTGCCTCTTACGTGCCACTGCTTTTTTGATCGCTGCCACGTTCGAGTCCGGTGAGTCCATAGGCCGAATAGGATCTGAGTCAGCCAGACCGTCTAACTCGTCGTCATCGAGCTCACTAAGCTCCTCGCTCATATCTCGGAGCACCTCACGGCCAGTGTATCGTTCCTCGTAGACAGTAGTACCGTGTACGTCGAAAGTCTCAAAGTACCAGGGAACACCGCCGTTGCCGAGAGGATTTAGTAAGTTCTTTTCAGACCTCGGAGGCGTTAGAGGCTCAGGGCGGCCATTGGTCCCGGCGTGAGGTTCTGCTACCGTGCTCTGAGGCTGGTTGCTGGACACGTGGAGAGCGTCCTGGCCGAGTTGAATGGCGATGGCCGCCTCGTCTGCCGCTTCATCATGTGCATGATGGGCATCTGCAGCGTTTTCGTCAGGCGTGGGCGCCATTTGCATCTCTTCTGGTTTTTGACTGAGCACAGCAGCCTCTTCCCCATCAACAGCATCTTCTTGAGTTTGCTCAACAGTTGTCGGGTCAGTTTCCGTCGTCTGTCGAACAGTCTCATCATGTGAGAGGACGCTAGGTCTACGTTGCAGCTTCTGGTTGAGGAGCGTCTCTAGATCAGGCAATTTCTCGTATGGCCGACCAGCCAGCTCAGATTCCTTCCGAAGCGCGTCCTCAAAGTAAGGCTGCAAAACTTTGGTAATCCGCTTGACGACCTTCTTCATTTCCTTCTGCTCAGAGGTCAAACTGCTGTGTGAAACCTTGTTCAGCTGTTCTTCGGCTTCGCCAACGTTAGTGACGGCGGCAAATCCGAGCTCCGCGCTCAACACCGCCGCTACATCGTCATTGAACGTCTGTACAGAAGTGTAGTACTTCTCGTCGAGCTTAGTCTGAAGATTGCTGAATCCGTCGGTGAAGTACCCTCTGCTGTCGAGTCTAGTAAAATGTGAGTAAGAATCCCAAAGACAGGAGTAAACTGCTTACGCTTGTGCTCGCACCAGAATAGGCTGTAGTAGTTGGGGAATCGGAAAGTAGATGCAATCGACGATCTGCTGCAGTATCAAGACGTCTTTGAGCTTCTCTGCTTCTCGTTGTTTGACCATCTCGCATAGAACGCGGATCTGCTCCATGTCATCTTCAAGGCGTTCTGCAAACTCGATGCGTCGTTGGAGTCGATGCCTGCCAGCTGCGCCCATGCCCGCAAAATTACGGCGAGTAATCTCCATAGACGAGAAAGCTTCCATTTGCAGCTGAAGGCGCTTGAGAAGGGCAGCACCGCGCCGAGCCTCGCGCTTGAGCGTCCAGTACTTGCAGGCCTCTTGCACGAACTCCTTACGCTTACGCACGTTAAACTTGATCAGCGTGTTTTCCACGTTGTGGTAGACAGCTTGGGGAACAACAGGTGCTCCAGACGGCAGTCTCCAAGACTTGGTAGATTGCCCACGCTTCCGCTTGTTGGATCCGGGGGTATCGTCTTCCGGTCCTTCAATAGAAGGCATTGCATGTGAGGAGCCAATAGAAAGGGCATAGGCTTGACTGTCTGGCCATCGAACGTGACGCATGGTGTGGCGGTAGAAAGCTTTGGCATCCGCGATTGCACTCTCGACATCGTACTCGCGCTTCCAGTCTGATGGAGTGTGACGGTCGCAGTAGGCTTTAAGTACAGTCGTGTCCTGTGGGTTCGATGACTGTGAAGCCTTCATGCGCAGGCATAATCTAGCCCTTCGTGCACAGGTGACATGAAAGGCTTCGAAACATGACTTGTGGCCGCATTGGATACACGCTCCCATCTTCTGTTTGCAGATGTAGCACGACTAGTAGGTAATCAGTAAGCTGCTCACGTAGCGAATAATCTTGGAATCTCACCAGCTTCCACCTAGTCTTAGGGACCTTCTCAACATCCTGTACTGGCTCTTGGAAAGTTGCATTACCCAGTGATACCTCCGGTATCCACATGGCGCAGAGCAGATGTGCCCACTTCATCGCAGTAGTTTGCTTGAATGCTCCGTCTATATTTGGACAGAATATGCAGCCCTGTGATTGTCAGCATGAATTTGGCAGAGTAGACGGGGACAGAACATACCGGAAGCTCACTGACAGGGGTACCGCGTCCCACTAGTTGACACCGTCTGCAAAGCCATTGTCCCTCGGGTATAAAAGGCACGCCGTAGCATTCTTGATGAACGGCTAGGTCGCAACCATCGCAGAAGACTATTGCGTTGGTGTTTTCGCAGTCGCCGTCGTCGCAAATGGCGCACTTTGTGTCTTGCTCTTCACCTTGGCCAGCAGGCTCTCCATTGACTGCGGCTGCACTGCTTGAGCGTGGTCGATGCGTCTGAGGTGGCTTTGGGTTTGGCTTGGGTATACCTTTCACATATCAGCTGTTACGTCCAACACGGTTCTGCATCAGGCCAGACTTACGCTTTTCCAACGCATGCCATTCCTTCTCAATCTGTGTGATGGTCACCTCGAATATCGCAGGCTTGATACCTTCGACACCTTCTTCCTTCCGTTGTATGTTGAGTGCTTCCAGCCAACGATCGTCTTGCTCGTCCATGTCATATTCGACGCGGCCTACAGCAACAGCACCTGCAGTTCCTTCCGCTTCTGTCTGCAGAGTCAAATCCAGATCCTCTTCTATAGAACCTTCGGGCAGCCTTATCAAGCTGTTTTCTGATGGTCTTGTAAAGATCTCGCTCTCCTGGTATCCGATGTTCGCCATTGTCTTGTCGACATAGTTGACCTTGACTGCCTCGCTTTCTTCGTGTTCTTTGAACGGATCGACTTGGCGTACTGATGGTTTGGGCAGATTGAGCTTCTCCCTTGGGTTCATGGTCGGAAGGGGGTTGACTCGTGGTCGGGGTGGTGATCCAAGGCCAGCTAGCATAGAATCTCTATTGCGAGGTGGTCGGCCCGGACGACGCTTTGGTGTGACAAAAGCACCTGAGCCGTTGACGGCTAAGCTGGCATCCTCTTGCTCTTGCGCGGCGTTCTCTGCTTGTTGCGCCCGCAGACCGTCAAGCATTGCCGAGATGCCACTATCGACGGCATACTGGCCAGTCGATGAACCGTTCAGCGGAGTTCCTGGGGCGCTGTCTTGAGGGCTGATGCCATCGATCTGGTCCGCGCTATAGACGGGGAATTCAGCATCGATGTCTAGGTCGGGATGGAACTCATCCCAGCTCCGCTCCTCGCGCGGCTTGTATCCATCGTTTTGAGCCACTGCGGCGGCGACTGCGGCGGCCGAACTGGAACGCGGTCCAGCTGGCGGCCTTTCGCGTCGGGGTCTTGTGTACGAGGGCGAAGGCGCTGATAGAGGCAGGCCTTGTCGTTCGGCGTTGATGCGTCCTACGCGGCCACGGGGACCAGTATACGCGTATCCTCCAGGTCCAGTTCCTCCTACAGGTGTCTCCAGCCCAGCGTCATCCACGTATCTTCCCCCGCCTCCTGGTCCACCTGGAATGTACTTGCGCCGCTTGCTGGCTGGCGCCGAGTCAGATATGTGTCGCCGGGGCGGTCGTGTGCTTCTCACGCGTGGTAGTGGTGTGTCGGGAACAGGCGCCATGTAGACAGAGCGAATGTGTCCAGAGGCCCGCAAGGGTGAGGTTGGGAATCGCGAAATCACGCGCCGGCGCCGGTGCTGTGTCGTGAAAGCTACGGCAAGCGCGTATTCACCCGACAGCCAAAATGCACCGTGTTCATCGATTCGGGAGCCGGCGATGGGCGATGGGCGATGTTCGGAGGGGCGTTGGCGGCGAGACGGGCGCGATACTGTGATGCGCCTGCTTGGAGGTGCAAGCCGGGGTCGACCAAAACGGTTAGTATGCCAAGATTTATGTGGATTGCAAGCTAGTTCGCAGTTCCCGTTCACCAGGCTGCACCCTACCGTCTTGTTGCAGAGCCGATCGCTAACTTACCAAGCCCATCGTCGGCAACTCAAACTGTATGTGCCGGCTTCAAAGACTACTTTGGCTGGTGTTTTCACGACTGTTTTACGTTCTTTCACACGCCATCGGAGTTGTCTCCAGTTCAGTCAACCACCCTGCAGATTTGCTGAACCCTTTCTTGCATATCGAACTTGCAGACATTTGCACGAATATCAAAGCTGTGGTCTGCAATCGACTCCTTGTCATGAGTCGTGCATTCTCGGATACCTGAGCCAACACGACATCTTGTGTTAGACCAGGGTCGCCGATCCACTACCCCAGATTCCTGCGTCACAAGCGAAATGGTTCCTGCATTGACACAGTCGTTGCGGCCTTGCTCGGCGACTTAACCGCCTACAGTCGTTGGCATAGCTGGCAAGTAGTCAATCAAGCAACTATGTTAACAGCAATTTTCGCAGCATCCATTAGCATCACGTCACACCGGTCAGCGAAGCACATGATGTTATCGTGCACCTCGAGAATGGAGTTGTATTCCACCTATAGTTATTGTTGTGGACGGTGTAGAAACCTTTCTTCCACTCTAGCTAACCATATATGTGTGCTGTATCTTTCGCAAAAGATTGCCTTCCAGTATCACACTCGATACGACTATCCTGGAAAGAGAACAAGCGCAGGATTACCAATTGAATTATCTCTGTAATGAGTCTGCAGTCATTCCGCGGGCGCCGATTTAGACAGTCACTGTATTTACACAGCGCTGATGTCAGCATCTACAAAACCGAGATACGGCGGGAATGTTGGAATTGTTGCGACCGCCAGACATCGAGCATCAGCACTAGCGACGAGATCAACCATACGGAGGTGTTGCCAACATGCCTGGAGTTTATCCAACCAACAGCAATCGCGCATGGTCGATGGGGCGTAGGAAGCCTAAATGCAGATCTAGTGGCACACGCCCACCATATAGCTTGTCTCATAGAACAATAGGAAGCATTCTACAAATAGGGCCAAGTCTACTCCAGCACAAATCTAAGCTGCTACATTCTCCCATATTTTCGGCGTCACAGTTCCAACGGCAGAACAATAAATCCTCTAGATCACTCATTATCAACAGCCGACGCCTGAGTCTGATTATAACATGGCACAGACAGATTCAGCCACTTCAAAACCGTTCAGAGTCATCATCATTGGGGCCGGCATTGTCGGCTTATCGCTCTCCCATGCCTTACAACTAGCCAACATCGACCACGTCGTTCTTGAAAAGCACGACAAGATCGTCTCAGTAAGAGGCGCAGCACTGATCATCTGGCCGACCGTCGCACGCATCTTCGACCAATATGGCATTCTCGACAAGATCACCAAGACCATCACGCCTGTAGGCCAAGAGTACATAAGATGGCCAGACGGGAGTTTGAGTTGGCATGATCCCACTCTGCAGTATATGAGTAATCTGTACGTTGGCCTTGTCTTGATGCGCTACTTGAGAACCAGAGTGAAGGACGAAATGCTGACTCTACGGAAGCTTTCAAGTACCGAGTATCTTGTTTGATCGCCAGGCTTTGGTATCGCACCTATACGAGGGACTACCGAATAAATCCTACATTCACACTAGCAGGCGGTTTGAGAGGATCGAGCACACTGAGACTGGTGTTCGTGTCCATCTGGCTGATGATTCTGTGGAAGAAGGTGACATGGTCATTGGAGCGGATGGTGTGCATAGTCTCGTGCGACAGCTCATGTGGGACTATGCCTCGAAATTTGAACCAGGAAGTATACCCGAAAAGGACAAAGAAGTCATGAGATTTAGCGAGTTCAGAGGCTTCTTCGGTGTCAGCACGCAGACCGACTCGTTCGGTCTCGGCCCTGCAGAAACGCATGTCATTCTTGGTCACGATAACACGAAATTGCTCTTTACTCAACAGGGAAAAGCGTACTGGGGTATCACCTTCAAAGACGAGGCTCATCTGCCAGAGAAGAGAGCCAAAGCCACCGAAGCAGACATTGAGGCGGTAGCGAAGAGATTCGCCGACTATCCTATGACAGATAAAATTAAAATAGGAGACTTATGGAAGACTAATACTCGGCACGGTCTTCTCACCGTCGAAGAAGGCATTCTAGGTAAATGGCACGCCGGACGCATAGTTCTCGTAGGTGATTCAGCACATAAGGTACACCTTTCCTCGATCCCCGCCAACAAACCCTTTCCTAACCACACACCAGATGACCGCCGACCTGGGTATGGGTGCCAATATGGGCATAGAATCTGCCGTCTACCTCTGCAACATTCTTCACCGAGAATTCGGCTCGAATTCTACTCGACATATCGCCATTCCCGAGCTCGCGAACCTCTTCGCCGAATATCAAGCCGGTCGCCACGAACGAGCGAGCAAGTTTGTCGAAATGAGTGGCCAGGTGACACGTATGAATAGCTACCAATCGTACTTTGATCGATTTTTTGTTGGGTATGTGGTGCCTTATATCATGCCCCTGCAGAGGAAAGCTTTTGCGAAGTCGTTGGCCATGGGTCCGAAAGTGGAGTATGCGCCGACGAGGACGATCAACGAGGGCGCAGAGGGATGGAAGTTGGGTCAGAAAAAGGATAGAAACAAGGTTTGGCCGTCGTATGTCATCGTGTCAGTTACCTTAGCAGCGAGCTTTATGTATTTCCGGTCTTAATACTGTTATCCAATCGTCGCTCCTCTGCATTCTACGTCTCGTAGGATGACCCCCTCTCGTCTCATGGAAAGTAAATTAAGCACTTAGCAGATAACACTCGCAATATTTTCCCCCTCCCGCATCCCTCGCCCGTCGAGAGCCATCCGAACGATACGGTAGCAAACACTCCCAGCAAAAGTGAACGCGACATTTTATACCTATCATCCAACGCACGTTAGCCTTATATTCCAAAATCCTTCAACCCCGTCTTTCCTGAGGCAAAAGAAAAACTCACATTCCATATGATCGCACCCACGATTCTTCTCAATAGGTCTCCTACACCCAGGACACTGCTTTGTCGTCGCCTTCATTACTCTCCTACTAGCTTCTTCTTCCTCGGCTTTGAGCCCAGCGTTGGTTCTGTAGTCGTACTCGCTGCATGTTTCGCCTTTGTGCCATTTAATGTGGTGGACGACGCAGGAAGTCCTTTCGCAGGTGTTGCACCGGAATTTGGGGGTGTAGGGGAGATGCACTTGGCCGGCTTTGCAGCCATTGAGGTTGCACCATGTGAAGCCAGGACGCGCCTCTTGTTTTGCTCGGGTACTGAGCTCGATATAACTATGAGGTTTGTTAGTGGAGTAAACCGGGTAGGTGAATAGTAAGGTGGGAATGCTAGTACCGTTTGAACACTTCTTTCGGAGCGAAGGCTTGCATATCCGGGCGTTTCATTGCGGTCGAGCAGGTGGGACATTTGATGTCGTCCCACATTTTGGTGCTAAACTCGGATTCAATCCATGTGCGAAGACACTTCCGGCATACGTCGACCCCGTGCTTACAATCCTTGGTCGGAGGCCGATCAGGGAAATGGTGCAGAGAGATCTTATCTGTACAGACCACACACTCCTTCTTCTCCTCTCTTTTACCTCGATGCCTTTCGTGAAGGTGATTATGATGGCTATCTTTCCGGCTGATAACCTTGTGCTTCGTATCGTTTTCTTCGTTCTTCTCTCTTTTGATACGACCGGACTCTGGCTTCTTTTGAGCATCTTTGCGATTCTGGCGCCTATCAGGTATCGATGGCTCTTCTTTCGTTATTCTTGCTGTGGCACTGAGTATGGTATGTCGAGATGTACGTGAAGGGGTCTGCCTGTGATCTCCTTGGTGTGTTTTAGGAGTGACGCTCCTTGAGACTGCTTGACCATCGCGGCGACGTACTGTTGAATTTGTGCTGTATGGCTGATTATACTCCGAATTGACCTGGGCACTTCCTTTCGTTCGTTCCGATTTGGTGGCGGCTTTCCTTCTACGACGTTCATAGGTCGGGTAATCCGCTGCTCGACTACTCCAAGACTGGCCCATAATGGTATCTACTGCAGATAAGAACTATAATATACTATGCGATAATCAGGACTTCAATCGAACTTCCGGAGATCCTGCACTGTATTTAGTGTAAGTCGAAACGAAATGGGAGCAAGTGACGAGCGCAAGGGTCCTTTGTGTAGCTGAACTACAAGAACGGGTGAAACTTGGTGGTTATGTTACTGCAAACGGACCCTCATCATGTTAGGATTGCATAAATGTACGAGAGATTTGAGATGGAAAGATATTCAGGCAAATGCACAGTGATGAGGGGATCATTGTGCGCGGGGTCAGCCCATGGAACCGGTCACGGAACCGGTGAGTAAGCTAGTTGGTAATTGGTTATCCGCCTTGGAGGACGGGATGTCCTGCAAGAAGGCTGAACATCATCTCAAAGACACCCACGTTTACTCTTTAGTAGCCATTCAGCCTATCAAGTGACTTCTGTATGCAAAAGCGCATACCTGTACGGCTGCGTCGCAACGCTATTGTGCACCTCAACGGTAATACCAACCAGATTCATAACGGTTACCGTAGCAGTCAAGTTCGCCAGCTTCTGGGTTCACACTCTTCCTCAGGATCGTAATATCCCCAGGCCAATACCCCTCCACGTCTGGTTCAGACTCGCCCAGCTCCACTAAATTGTTGTATACGGCTTTCCTTTCTTTGCGGAACCTGCCAATCTCTCCTACCACATCAAGCAACGGCCCCGTTTCAGGTACACCCCCGCTAGACCCTATAGGTACGGCAGCACGGCTAGGTGCAAGTTCCAGTCCACTCATAGCTGCTAAGGGAAGGGTACGATTTGGCTCACGGTCGGGTTGCCCGCACTCTTCGTCGTCGAAGAAGGAGAAGTCATGCGCTGCAGCATCCCAAAATGCTTCCGAGTCTGCGTCTTCAGTGGATGATTTTGTTGGATAGGCCCGCCAACTACGGGTGATCTTCTTAGGCGCTGACTTAGGAGGCGCCATTTCAAGTACCACTCTTCGAAGCGCAAATTGGTTGCGCGCGTACTCTTCTTCTGCAATGGCACGTCTACGGCCCGGTGGGAGTACGTAAGTATGCCTAGCGCGCTTCCTAGCGATCGAAGCTTCCTCAGCCGTGTCTTTGATAAATTGTGTGATTCGATGAATGATTTTCTTGTCAGTTGTCATGGCTGGTACGTCCGTCAGAACGAGAGTGTGCAGCTTTGGAAGTACTCCAGGATGTAGTCGAGGTTCCGATGCTTGACGAAAGTCTAAACGAACTTTCCTGTCTTCGATGTAATAGAAGGAGCTCGCTCGAGACCTCACCGCAGTGTCTCTTGTCGGCTGGCACGACATGTTGCTACCATGAGTCGGCGTGAGTGATGGACGATTTTCTCTTGCGTCATCGATACCTTCAACTGAATCAGGTCGATAGTTCTCGTCATTTCTTAGCGGACTGAGTGGGGTCAATGGTGAATCAACAGGTATGGGCTCCGGGGCATATGAAGGACCTCGATTGATTTGTAGTGGCTGTAAATTAACACTTATCGCGGGGACGATTGCGATACTTTGCTTGTCACTATCAGCGCTGCCTGGATTTGACTCAATAGGTGCGGAAGATGGAGGTACCACAGGCGAACCAGGAAGCTCAGCCGGGTACAATGAGTCTCCAGATATCTCATGAACAGCTATAGACACCGAATCGAGCTCGGGTGTCGGTTGCTCGACAGCTTCGAGTTCATGCGCACCTGGAGGCTTGTAGATGCCAAGATCTCCACTGAGTTCCGCACGCGGTGATTTGGGCGCTTCGAGAGGCGCGTCTTCTGTTATCAACTCGTAATTGATCCTCAGATATTTCAATTTACGCGACGCGTACTCAGTCAGAACTGGAGTAAGTTTGGATACGCTAGGCAGCTCCACGTCATCATCTGGTGATCCTGGTGAGACGGCAGAAGGATTCCTTACTACAGCAGGTAGTATGCCTACATCCAGGACTTGCAGGCGCCCAGATCGCAGTAAAGCCGAAATACCTTCTACAGTTACTGCGTTGTTGGAAAGGTACAAGTGTGATACTCCGACATCATTTGTTTCCTCTATAGCAAGGCTACCGACGAAGCCCTCAGTAAGCTTCTTGCGGAGATGACCAACAAGGTTTTCTGACTCGAACGCCTCCGGTTTGTCGACGGGGATTGCATGTTGGACGGGCGCGAGCGGACCACGAGAGTTATGCGCTGTGATGGTAGTCTCTTTCAGGCATAATTCGAGAAGAAGTCGAACGCTAGTGTCCGTTAGGAAGTTGTTGCTTATGTCAAGGCTTCTGACACGACTGCCGATCGTATGTGCAACTATCGAAAAGTCTTCATCCTTGATTCCAGTCCCACGAAGATTCAGGACTCGCAGATTTCGGAGGTACTTCAGGGTAGAGAGAACTGCCTTGTCTCTCGCAGCTGCAGTCTTTGATAGATCCAATGAGACGAGATCTGGAAAGTGTGGTAGGGCTTCTGCAAGACCCATTGATGTAGCGTTCATGCAGCTCGAAGCGTCAAGTAAGCGCAAGCCGAACACCGGATACGCGTTGGGGCAAGTCGACCTCCATTGCAAACTCGAGTGTCGCAGGCTCAAGAGACAAGCGTGATCGAAGAAGGGTAGGCCGTCTACGACCAAGCACTGTAGGCGGGGAAGGTGCTCCAAGCAGTCTCGGAGCCATTCTGCATGCGGCCCATCATATAGCTCTGCATGAGCCGGCGGAAAACGTAAAGTATGTGTGAGCTCTCGTACGGAGGCTCGCGCATAAGGCAACGTACGCTTGAACCGTGTGAGTGCGACTGCCGGACGTCAGATAGTACAACTATCTCCGCGTCATAGTATCTTACCATACACAGTATCATTTTCGACCCCAAAATGTGAAGCTGGACTACCCCAAAGGTTTGGTGTGAAGGTCTGGTGCCATTGCCGACAGACTAGAGCTGCGGAGCATAAATCTTGAGAGGGCAGGTAGGGGGCGATGAGCACCCAGGGATCGCGTCGCATCACGCTTTCGTAGGATGGAAGAAGGTCGTCCATGTTAGTTAGTGGGCAGGAGTAGCACTTAAAGAGCTGTAGTGATGCTATGGCATATCCGTTATATCGCCACCCAGCGACGTATTGGAGACGAGGAACGGAAATGTAGGCATATCTTCTATTTCCGCTCAGAGCAAGATATGCACGCGCATCATTTGATAGACGGTCGACGGTGGGTGGTGGGCTGAGTCGTGAGGCTGTGTTACTGTTGACCGGCTCGCAGCTGCAGCCCTGCGGATGATGCAACAAATGGCGGGCCTGACTACTAACCCGATTCAGCGACCTCACTATCAAGGCTTACTTGCATCTGGCGACAGCACTCTATGCCCATGCGAGTCGGCATCTTTGCTTCAATGACTGAAAAATATTCTGATCACAGTAAACATTCCTCTTCACTTATTGAAAAGCTTGTTGCTATGCTATGTATCTGACTGCTACCCTCTCATCCCTCAACTAGTAACGTCCATGATCTCGCTTGCGAATTTACTTCGCGCTCTGATCCTAGGACCATAGAAGACCAGAATCCAAGGCACGATGGTCAACAATGCGCCGATTCCTCCCAGCAGACTACTCGCAGGGCCGTACCCAAGCTTGTTGTACATTTGAGTCGTAATGAGTGGGAATATGCCACCTAGATTGGAGTCAATATATGTCCACTATTCATGATCAAAGGTGACTTACCAAGCATGTTTCGGCAAAAAGACTGCGCCGCCAGTGCCGAGCTTGCATACCGATGGTATGTATCTGCGAGGAAATTGAAGGTTGCTAGATAGATGCTGAAGATTCCGACAGTAGCGATTCCGATTGCGATTGCTGGTACAACCCAATGAATCTCGGGGAAGCTTGTCCACCCGAACATGAAAAGGCCGACGGGCATGCAGGCGCTTTCTATGCAAGCGAAGTAGAGGCGGCCTTCGGGTGTGCCTGTCAATTTTCCGTTTCTCTTCGCAATTTTCTCTTGGTAGATCGATAGTATAGTCGAAAGGATACTAGCTATTCCCATCGACGCGAAAACTGCGTTGGCTTGTTGTAGTGAGAAGCCGTGGTTGCTCTGGAATACTAATGGAATGGCGGCCAGAGTGAGATAGAGCACGGCCCAGGAGAAGGCTACCCAGAGCGAAAACCAGAATACAACGGGTTCTGTGAAGAGAAGATGGAACGGTCGGTAAAGAGAGACTCCTATCATCTTGCTAAGAGAAGCCCGCTCCTCATCTGATCGGACTTTCCATCTCAGACGTTGCGATACCATCGATCCAGGCTTTTCGGTATCGTAGACGTTGAAGCCATAATATCCAGACGCCTCGCGGGCCTCGTACCACTTGTTCAGGGCCCTAGCTTTTTTAGACAGAAGAACTGAGCCACGGGTTTCCTTGAATACGGCACACATCAGCACGACCACCGCCCCGCATGCAATAGCCTGTACGTAGAATATCCACCTCCAAGACGTGTTCTGCGCGATGAAGCCACAGGCCAACGGTCCCCAGGAAGTACCGAACAACGCGGCGCCTGAGAAGAGAGCCATTGGTGTATTGCGATCCTCAGCATGGTATATGTCAGATACCACGCCACCGACCATAGTCGAAAATGTAGATCCACCTACGCCCAGAAAGAACCGCGCGACGAGCATGCCAGCATACGATTGCGTGAGGCCAGAGCAGAGCTGACAGATTACGAATAGGATACCGGAAGCGAGGAAAACTGGTCGTCGGCCGTTGATCTCAGAGAACGGGGCTAGCACCATGGGCGCGATCGCGAACCCAGTCGTAAAGGTCGTGATGCCGACCAGCGCAGCAACACTGCTCACACCCCATTCCTGCGTCATTTGCCCAATGCCCGGGCTGTAAGCTCCAGCCGAAAACGCAGTGAGCGCGGTGATAAAACATGAGATGCATATTGTGAATCTTTTTCTTGTCTCCGACCAATCGAAAGGGTTCGTATACTTGATAAGGTTTGGAGGTTCAGGTGGAGCTTCCTGATCGGTTTGCGTCGGATGGATAGTCGTCGGGTGTGGAAGTTCCGTGTCGAATGTGAGATATCGCCAAACAATCTCTGAATTCTGTACGTTTTCCTGTGGTGCGAACTCGCTACTGGCGCTGTTTTTCCCATAGTAAAATTCCTTGTCTGGGTCAATGTCTGGTTCGGTAGTGGAATCGTGACTCCTGGGTTCCTGTGCCGAAGTCCTGTGCATGTCCGGCAATATGCTTATTCCCGCTTGGCTTCGCGAATCTGATACTCCAAGCTCAGAGGGTTCTGGAAGGTTGATCTCCGGATTGGCAGCCATGCTGCCATGAACTCCTCTTCTTGAATAGAGATGCCAAAGGGGGTTTTCGAGGATTTCGCAATGAACGCGTCAGAGTTTGAGAGCAAGCGTGAAGCTGGTGACGATGAAAAGCTCGACCCCCATAGCTTAGGTCTTGTCCGCTAACCCACACGCGTAGCCGATATGCATCCCGGCGAGCAACTGGACGGTGTGGGACGCCCGGCTCTATCCCGACGGGATGGAGGAGAAGTTGATTGTATTGGTCGGGAATAGGAGTCTTTCTCCATCATCCAGACCCACCTTGCATGGGGCGTCCCGCTTCGGGGTAAACTTGGGAGTTATCGTGTTCACCGACACGCCAAGGCCGCCTCAAAACCTTTGAAGCGGACGGAGAACGGGGTCCATCTGGTGCGTCATGAGGGAAGGACGCTGGCGTGCCTCTAACAGAGACAGCTCAACCCGGACGAGCGAATGGCTCCCCGATCAGCGACGATGCCAGCGGGAAGTACCGGCACTTTCCCAAAAGCAAACACCTTCTTCGCTGTCCAATCTTGCGATAACCGGTACAAAGATGCATCTTGTCTATGTAAAGTGGGTATGATGGGTGTGATATCGGTGGTTCGGCCTAATTGTGCCATGAACCGCCAGGTGAAGAGTATTCAGGAGCAGCCTAAGGTCGCTGATATGAACTTGTACTAGGAACAGAAGTAGTGATGTTTGCAACGCGTGAATTATACATGTATGTGTAGTTATCATGTCGCACTGTCTGCGAGAAGCGTGAGGCCACGACGATGATGGTTTTCGCGCGACATGAAAAATGGCATGTGCACGCCTTCGAGCAGTTGTTCGGCGAGGCATCCACAAGGGTGCTCGCTGAGATAGAGTTACCCAGGCCGGAAGCGGACTGTGTCCTTCCTCATACTGCCAACTGGAGGCATTGTTTGCGGAAGCGTAACATGGTGAATCGGTGATGAGCGCGACTTCCTCAATCGTTTTGCCAACTACGCAGCCGAACAGCCCGCCTCAATATCAATGCAGGCCATGCCTCAAATCTATACAGCTATCCCAAGACCTCATGTAAAAGACAAGCAGGCTGCACGCACATTGCAAAGCACATAGTTATTAGAAGCTCGACCTAGATAAATGGTGGCCGTCTCATCGAACGGACCGCAAACTATCGGGCCTGATTCTGAGCTTGCTTCACCCAGAGCATACAGTAACAACGATGAGGGATTTCCCGACAGTCTCATTGGCTTCCATATGCTTCCAATTGCGACAAATGCTCGGCAGGAGGGGCAACTATTGGCAGTGAGACACCGCCGGAGATGTTGAGTCTTTGATTCGTCTGCAAGTCAAACGACGTGGGATTTCCAGTGGCAGAAAAGCTTTGGTGGAGATTCGTGACGATTGCGCAATATGCGCTAGCTAGAAGTGTTGATTGTCAATTGTTGTGTATGGCCTTCCAAGAAGACAAAAAGGCGCCATTCACCCCACTACTACGACTCTCTCTCACAACAACACTACAACTTCTCAATTACTCACCTCAAAGGTACTTTGATATCTTCTGCACGCCCACTTGTACACCAAATCACACGACCAGGTATGATGGCGACTTGCTCTTATCTACCCCGCCACCCCGCATGTTTGTGCAGTTTGCTTGGACACGACCTGACATGAGCGCAGAACACAATGAGCGACCGACCAGAGCCTCTCCGCCTCGGCAGCAAGGCCCCTAACTTCAAGGCCGAGACCACTCAAGGCCCTATCGACTTCCACGAGTTCATCGGCGACAACTGGGTCATCCTCTTCTCGCACCCAGAGGATTATACCCCGGTCTGCACAACTGAGCTCGGTGCTTTCGCCAAGTTGGAGCCGGAGTTCACCCGTCGTGGTGCCAAACTCATCGGTCTCTCCGCCAACACCGTCGACTCCCACGATGGCTGGATCAAGGACATTGATGAGATCTCCGGAAGCAAGTTGAAGTTCCCCATCATTGGCGACAAGGACCGTCAAATCGCGTTGGCATACGACATGTGAGCAGGAGAGGTTTCGCGACATTTGCGACACGACTGATAAAATCGCTAGGATCGACCACCAAGACGCGACCAACGTCGACAGCAAGGGAATCGCGTTCACCATCCGCTCAGTCTTTATCATCGACCCCAAGAAGACCATTCGCCTCATCCTCTCATACCCCGCAAGCACTGGACGTAACACCGCCGAGGTTCTTCGCGTCCTTGACAGCCTCCAGACAGGTATGTTGTGATTGTACGAAATGCGTGTGAGACATACACTGACTTCGTACCTCCCAAAATAGGAGATAAGCATAAAATCACCACTCCCATCAACTGGGTCCCTGGTGACGATGTCATCGGTAAGTGTCCTGTACCAGCTGCATGTGAGACATACACTGACTTCGTATACCTACAATTAGTCCACCCAAGCGTCAAGACTGAGGATGCCAAGACTATCTTCCCAGACATCAGAATTGTTAAGCCGTACTTGCGCTTCACACCTCTGCCGAAGGAGAAGACCACTGCGGCTTAGACACAACCAACATCGACGAAGCGATACCTCGAGACGGGATGGTCCTGGAGACTCACCAATACTGTGGCGATGGATGTGGGACGCAAATGGGTAATGATAAGGCATATATGGGCCAGTCTATGATTAGATGCGAAAATGAAGATGGCATGATCATGACAATGGAAACCCCTTACCACAAAGCAGCGAAGGACAAGTGACCATCGTGTCGGTCACAAGACCATGGTGACCACACTGACACGCCCTAGCTTGTCGTAAAGAAGACCACATGAGTGGTTGCGGGCGGGCCCAAACGATAGCGTTATTCCTTAAAGTGATTCAAGGTACTGATAGTCGGCAGGAGAGAAGCCATAGGTGCCATCGGTGAACATCGTACCCGAGTAGGACTGCTGTGCTTTTGAGTGCGCTGGTGGACCATGCGGACGTGGCTACTTGCCCTCGTACCCATCATCAGCTAGCCTCTTGCCATTACTCTTGGAGCCACTATGGTCGGTCGACCTCCTCTGGCATCGGTTACACAAGGGCAGTTGGCAGTTCTTGCAAGTCAGGATCGTGAAGATGCTGTTGATGTATCAGTGATTTATCGTAAACGGAAAGAGGTCGAATAATTACCTTCCGCTGGCTGCTCTGCACGTAGAATGAGAGCGAATAGAACAGACAGCAGGTCCACCTCTCCTGTGCCATGTATTGTGGTGTATACACAGAATCTTTCTAGTGGTCGGAGGGGACGAAAAGCCTAGGGTGAGTCGCTCGAGACTTGGGATGGGCCTAGGAGTATACGTGGTGGCCAGGGCTTGAACAGGACTGGTGATGGCAGCAGCTGTAGGAGCCTGACTCGCTCTGGAAGCTCGACCCAACAAAGCAGCTTTCGAGTATGACAACGCTGAGGTAGGCCTTGTCTCCGCAGCTTCGGTACTAACGGTGAGAGATTTCTACAAGGTGTAAGAGGGAACTGTAAGTTGATGTTAGACTTGGCTGTGATCTCTTTGCAGAGCCGTATACCTTTTAAGACGACATCAAACTGTTCTTTCGTCGGGTAACGCCCGAATGGGGTATGTGGTCATAACGAGGTGTCTGCATGATGCTTGTGTACTGAACAGTGGAAGGATGGAAGACTAGGTGACCCGAAAAGCAAGAGAGAGCTCAGTGACGATGTTGACAGTGTTGAAAAAGAGATGAGAAGAGAAAGATGAAGAAGTGAGCAACGGGGAAATTGAGAGTGCAAGGAAAGAGCATTTGGCTGACGAAGCCAGAGTGACCGCTGGGAAAACGCACACATGACTGAGAGAGAAGGAGCACTTTCACCCACATAAACACTAAAGAGCAACACATACGATGTTGCTTTGCCATAAGACGTTCTCGGTCGATTCTGCGGTACCAGAATGCACCTGCAAGTATTGGACCTGATACAACCCGCGACCAACAGCTGCCAGAGGGCCACAAAAGACACCCATCGCCTACTCAATCCCACACTGAAACCAGAAATTGTCGGTATCGTCGAAGATAGCAACGACGCTCAAACACCCGTTCACACCACACCCAAGACTCTGGGCATTGCTTCTACTACCATTCCAGGCTTACCTATTGTTCCAGGTTTGCCTGGAATAATAGTAGAAGCCAACAAGGTCCTGTCCATACGAGGGCTACCTGAAGCCATACTGTTCTGACCTTCACTTACAGTAATATGTATCTTACCATTATTCAAGCTTTCCATAACGCTGACTTTTACTTCAGCCGTATTCAGAACGTGCATGGAATTCCTGATCCAGCTGCACTGCTCACTTGCACGTGGCCAGGATGTGAAAGTTCATACTGAGATACCTCGGCTTTTCAGCATCTCACCAGTCAGTGCACACCATTCGAACAATATCACACCTTGCTAACTGACAGCCAAGGCACGTTCGTTCAGTACATCCACTACCTGACCGCGTCGAGAAGCGTTACGTCTGCGTATCATACCTATGCGAAGAGGCTTCCGACGATATCAGCGACGCCAAGGCACTCATGGCTGAGGCCCATGGCGGACAATCGATATATCGCTGCAATGCCCTTGAATGCGATGACAGCTTTCGATATAGCTCAAGAACAGCGCGGACGACCAAGAATGGTTTCGAGATGTCAAAATCCAACGAGAGTGCTCTAAGGTCATCCAACCTCTTTTCTTCACAACGTACTCGAGTCATGCGTCGAACCATCATTCGTGTTTTTGGGGTGATGCGGTCTGGAGAAACTTCGGCTAGCATGCCTGCTCAATATGCGGTGTTGGGACTACGAAATATATGACGGAACGTCAGCTAATCTTCCCATCAGCTTTGAAGCGCACTGCCGATGGTCAGGCTCCGATTGGAAACTAGCAGCGACGGTGCCAGACGCCGAAAGGCTACGTCTCGGTCCAGTCCAATGCACTACCAAAAAGTCACCAAAAACCATAGTGACTTCCAAATACTGTCTCCTCGAGTGCTAGCTATACGGTTCCAGCTTCACCGATTATCCGATATGAATATCTAGACGGGCCTCCTACGCTAATAACGCCTCTAATCTTGAACATACGACTGTTGATTTGTCGCCCGATATTCATTGCGCTAATTTGTTTTCGCGACCGTGCTCCTGCGTTGATGAATCCTCTTTGCAAGCCTTGCTGAGCCAAAAGTGTGCAGAGCCCTCGCATCCTCGAGACTCAGTGTCGCACACCAACGTCTTTGCGGCTTGAAATTGTTGCCTGTGGCCCCAAGGTACCCACCGGTTTTGAGTCTCGAGGCTCGACCTATCATCTCGTTTCGGATCTCCTCCGTAGCCCCGCACCTGTCGCCTGGCCTGTACTGCTACTCGTTTCACCCATCGGAAGGTCCTCAGCTATCAAAGTGCTACGGTCGCCTTGACTCTAGAGACGTCCAGCATCAATACCTTGCTAGCGAGCTGCACGCGCCTAGGACTGACAATTCCTGCCAAGACCCTAGTCCACATCCAGCTTAGAGCGCTCCACACGAACCTCGCTGTCATCTGTATCGCGCGAGTTCAGCAAGACCACGCGTTACTACCGCCTCTTCCTTCTCTGCATACGTCTACCGCCCTGTTGGATCTCATCTTCCCCGCTCCCGTGTGTGGCCACTCTCTCTCAAGTAAGGCTCGTCTTCCTTTTCTAAGTCTGCACCCCTCTTTTTGTTTCGTCTGATCGATTTTCAGCCCACTGTTGCGTGCCGTCAACATCAACATGTCGTGTCATTTTCCCCTTCTCATATCTTCAGCTACCCTGTTCCAAACCATGTGCTTGAAAAAGTCTGGAAATTTTCCCTTGTCCTACCATGAGGCGCTGCGTCATTGAAGATTACTGTTCGTACCACTGTAGCAAGTCGCACTGCAGCAACATGCCTTTCCCTAAAGTGTCAAGATGGCTTTTCAACGTAGGATAAGGCGATTTCTGTGCAGTCCATACCTTGCAGCCATGTCTGCATTGGAAATATGCTGCCGCTGGTAACATCGGATCATTTCAAAAACCAGGCGATTCCTCCTCTTTCAGTATTACTTTGCATCTCCATTCTCATTCTGCAAACTGGTCGCTAACGATGGCACTGCCTTTAGGCCTCTTCTACCCCTCTGTCGGTGCTAGTACCGAACCATTAGGCGACACTTCGTCATTTTGGAAAAAGTCAAGAGGAATCAACATCAGACAAGTCTTATCGAAGAAGACACGCTCTATCGACTCTACGGGTTCTTTTCCCGGCACATATTGCAGGGTCCACTCGGAAACGCCACCCGAATCCGATCAGCCTCCACTCTCGTCACTGACCTGCAGTCGCAGTCCGTCCCGTCAAATAAAATCTAAGCCACGTGCCCATCGTCTATGATCAGATTGTAACACCCGGAAGCCCCTGTACGAGTATTGATTTCAGCTCTCCGCGATCGCGCAGCTGCCCCAGCCACGCCAGGTTTCCCTTGCCAAGCGGCAAAACTCTGAGCAAATCCATCAGCGTCAAGTCCCGTCATGTGGAGATTGTGATACCAAATTGGGCTATACCTCTACAGAGATCCTCATCCTCTGCCATCGAGCAACTTCCTGATCTCGGTGGACCCCAGCACGTTGCCCCTTCTCTACAAAGCCCGAGCAGCATGGCTAGCCGGACTAATACCCTGGATTCTCAAACATCGGCACCCTATACATCGAGTTTCAACGATAGCCAAACGAGTTTGCATCATCAGGACGGTCAAGATGGCGGATCCGACCGGCCCCCAACATCGTCAACTCGGACACCTGGTATCTCTCAGTCACCAGCTATGCTTGCAGGTCTAACTACACCGACAAGCTCAACGGCAGGATTGTCGGGTTTAGTCTGCAATGTACATCGCACAACTGGAAGAGAGCCACATCCGCTCGTAGGCGCCACCACTACGATATTAGGCGATAAACTATATGTATTTGGTGGCCGTCGACTTTCCCGGACGAGACCGCAGCTTACTTCGGATTTGTACGAGCTTGACCTTGTCAAGCGTCACTGGACAAAAGTCGATACCAAAGGTGACATTCCGCCTCCTCGGTATTTCCACAGCGTCTGCCCACTTGGTGACACGAAGCTCGTCTGTTATGGAGGCATGTCACCTGTAAGTCCGTCTTCTAACCAAGCAACTTCCGTGATACAAGGCGCCCCAGCCGATGCTCAGCCCGAAGTGGTGGTCATGTCCGACGTTCACATCTACGATGCGCCCACAAGAACCTGGATGCATGTCGCCACGACCGATCCACCACAAGGTCGCTATGCCCACTGCGCAACCATACTCCCTAGCTCTGCCGTTTTCAGTTCAACATCAGCCGCCGTAACAGCCATACGGCATAACCCGCCTTCATCGAATCCGAACCAAGGTTCTCTGGGTGTGCAGTTGGATGGTGAGGGCGGCGCAGAGATGCTAGTCGTGGGTGGTCAGGACAGCGCAAACCACTACATTGAACAAATCAGTGTATTCAACCTCCGGAGCCTCAAGTGGACGGAAACAAGCACGTTAGGCAGAAGTTGCGGCGCATATCGAAGCGTGGTTGCGCCTCTCACCAGTATCGACCCTAGTGATATTGGTGGAGGGACACGGCAGGCCGGCGAAGCAAGAGCATCTGAAGAGCGGATTTCGAACAAGACTGGCGAATCATCAATGCTCATATACTCAAACTACAATTTCTTAGATGTCAAGCTCGAACTACAAGTACGACATCCCGATGGAACTCTCTCCGAGAAGCCAATGCATGGCAACTTCTCGCCACCAGGTCTCCGGTTTCCAAATGGAGGTGTCATTAACAATCACTTCGTAGTAAGCGGTACATTCTTGACCTCTTCAAAACAAGAGTATGCACTTTGGGCTCTCGATCTGCGAACACTGAGTTGGGGACGAATCGAAGCTGGTGGCAATATCTTCAGCCAAGGAAGCTGGAACAGAGGGGTGCTATGGAACCGTCGAAACAGCTTTGTTATCCTTGGCAATCGCAAAAGAAGCTTGGTTGAAGACTACAATCACCGGCGCATCAATTTCTCAAACATGTGCGTGGTTGAACTTGAGGCATTTGGACTCTACGATAACCCACGCAAAGTGACGCCTGCGTCGGGCTTCAACTCTGTAAGCGCACCGCCTCAGCACGATCGACTTGACATGCTTGCTGGTGGTCGCACATTGTTGCCTGCAGCGGCCGAGCTAGGTCAGATGGCTTTAGGTATGCGAGAACTCGCGGACATGGACTTCCTGGCCTTACATGGCGAACGCATACCCGCAAACTCCCATATCATTGCTCGACGCTGGGGCCCTTATTTCAACCAATTGCTCCGCGAGAGTGCTCAAAGTGCTGAAAAAGAGAACGCTGAGGCGGCAACTTTGCGACCTACTGCCACAATGCATCCATCAAGAAACTCAAGCATCACCATCACACCATCTATCAGAACGACCTACTCGAACGCGACAACACTTACCACCAACACCATAACGCCATCCGAAGCCACAGCCGTGTCAGCGAACTCTTATTCTTCATTGAGCCCCCCAGAACCCTCATCACATTCGCCGTCGCAACGGCCTCGAACATTGTTCTTACCACATACTCATCTCACACTTCAAGCGCTTATACATTTCCTGTACACCTCATCACTACCACCACATAACTCACCCCTGTGCTCGCCGCAGATTCTTTGCTCTCTTCTCCAGCTGGCGCGACCATACCACATCGATGGCTTATTGGAAGCAATCATTGAGCGACTTCATATCTTATTAGACAACAGAAATACTGCGGCGATTTTCAACGCTGCGGCCATGGCGGCTGGCGGCGGCTCTGGTATCGCCTTCAAGGGTGTCAACGGTGTTTCGGGTACAAATGGAACAACAAATGGCTTTTCCAGCTCTGTTTCGAGCAACAATACTACAGTTGCCGACGTCGAACGAAGTCTGGATGCCGGCCTACGTGCACTTCGCGTCAACACGGATGTAGATCGAAACCATGACGATGAAGTCAGCTCGGCTGCGTCTGAAGCTACATCAGCTTCGGCGTCTGATAGCGGTTTGGGGGACGGAAGTGGCATTGAAGACCGAGAAATATGGAACGGAGAAATGAGTGCGGTAGTGGGACTGCAGAAGCGGGGACTGAGGGGCCTTATGGAGGGTCGCAGGATCAGGGAAATGGGCAGAGGAAGAGACAGAAGCAGAGACGATGGCGCTATGGGCAACGGAGATGGAGTAGGTCTTGGCTTGCAGGGTGCTTGATAAAAAGAAGACCGAATTGAATAGCCAAGGATGGTCATCTATATAGCGAGAGGGGATTGGCAGAGATTGGCGTTCCTTCTTTCTTCGATGGGAAATTTTCATGGTGATATTGGAAATCTAGGGTTTGATATAGGTGAACCAAACGTAGGAAGTGCTATGATCTTTCCGTTTCCGTCTCAACGCAGCTTCAGGTCTCTGGCATCTATACTCTCATAGCCTCCTGCTGCAGCCAGCCGTATCTTAGGCTTCGTTGCCATACCCGCATAGCTGCCGCTATATGCACTAACTGGTCGACGGCAGGTCTCGTGCGCGATCACTTCAATTATTTCGGAACCCTCGTCCTGGTAGCGATCGTGGAACCATTGGAGCCGTCGGCTCCGTGCGGCGTTTGATAGTTGTTGGTGGGTGTGGGCGCAAATCCCACTCTGCTTCCGGAAAGTAGTCATGCGATGAGTAGGCGGATTCAACAGAGGCCCACAGGCGTCTCCGCAGTCGACCTCCTAAGAACAGTGGACGTGTTCTCTCATACGTCTTCATCCACCACCCTCAACGACCGACTCTAGCAGCTTCAGGCATCCTAGGCATATACGGCGGCGGCGCCTCAAAAGCACCTCTCCCATCCCAACCCTCTCCCTTTCCCCCAATTAACCTCCCTGACGGTAGTCTCACCGTCGCCACTCCATCTTCAGTCCTCAATACTCTGAGCCCACTTCTCAGCCCGCCGTTTACGCGCAAGGCGCGCTCTCGAACGCGTCTACGACTGCGGCTTTGTACATACACTAAGCTGAGGACGACGCTGACAAAGGCACCAACGAAGACGATGATGACGAGGAGGATTATGCGATGGGTTGTGCAGGAGGAGTCATAGGTATTTTCGCAGTATTCAGAGCGCTTCGAGAGGGAAGGCGGCGAGTTTAGGGTAAGGTGATGTGGCGCCATTGGGTTGTTTGTACGAGATGTGTTGTGATGTATGCTGTACGTACAGTACAAGGAAGGACCAGATGATGGATGTGTATACGGAATATGGTCTCGAAGCACGAACCCACCTACTACATATCCCATTTCTTAACCCCCTCCCTCAGTCGATCAGGCCAGCCCACATACACAACCTGGCCCTAAGGCGCAGCACTCTCACACGACATTCACAAATCCAAGGTTTCCATGCATTCGAACAGCGCCTCAATATACCTGAGAGAGACATTTCTGCCTGTGCCTTCCTTTGGCGTCTAGACGCGTTTCATCTTGTCTCTTTCGTTGGATGCTGGCTTTGCTGGCTCTGCTGATTATGTGCATGCACTGCCCCACGCGTTGGGCCTTGGGGGCAGCCGGCAGCCTCGCCGGGCGGTTCTTGGTGTCTGTGCGAGGGAGGCGCTGTAGTCAGGTAAGCGCACAGCATTGAGCGTCTAAGGTAATGTTCTTTCTTTGTCACTTTGTTTGTTAGATACAATGGGATATTTTGGTGGATGGAAAGAGCTTCTTTTGGTTCAGTTTGATGATAATGACGATGCTTGCAGTACGGGAGTCGCTTGGGCCGACCAGCATGCCTGAGACTCACGACAGCACCCTTTTCAAACGCAGAACGGACGGGACCTCCAAACATGGTGAAATCACTTTGACGGTTCCGCCCACGACGTCTACCATTTCAGTGCCGTATACTGGCTTCTGCTCTCGATATCTGACGTTTCAATCGTACTGTCAAGGTCGTTGGACGGCGCTTCGCGACACAGAACTGTGCCGTACCTAGATACGCTGGGGGCTTAGCTGTGCCTTCTAATCGCGCAACGTCAACCAAAACCTCAGGCAATGTACCATCGCGTGATCGCGTAATTGTGTCCTGAGCGGTCTCCAAGGCGATTGCTGAGCGATCAGGCCTCGGGCGTTTTATGCGATAAGAGAGGGCGCAGTTGGTGAGGCTGTCGCATGTTGAGTCAAGATGATGCTGTCAGGATGCTAATAATCAGGACAGTTGCGTAGGCATTAGTCAAGAGCTGATAGTGTGTTGGGTGCACGTAAGCAGTGGCTCTTTCGTACATTCCATCAAATCTTAAGGTTATCTGTTGGATGCTTTCATACTTTCTCAGACGTACATGCAACCGTTCATAGCCTTCTCAAAGCATTTATGTATAACGAAATTATCTAAGAGCCCATGCCACTGCAGCTTTCTGAGGGTAATTTCATATGGTATCGAGCCACTGTCGTCTTGATAGATGTCTCGGGGAATTGGTGATACGTTTTTGGCTGACTTGGGCAGAGTACTCATAACACGTATCTCAAACTTTACGGCTGTAATAGGTTTGTATACTCCGAAGCCGAGCCGAACACAATCGTCTCGAGGCCGAACACCTTACTGGCTCTTGGTTCAAGCCACGCATGGTCGACGTGGGTGACGATCCAAAAAGTGTGAACTTGAGATTCCCGCGGGGGCCTTTCGGTATGCCCAATCAGGCAACCCACCGAAGATGCCGGTATGCTTCCCCGCAAACCAGAGTATTGGAGTCTTCCACAATCGTGCCATGCATGCAATGGAGGAGGACAGTCCGAGGCCAGGCCTACTCCAAGAAAGTCCGGTGACCAGAATCTCCGCCTGGAGCCGGTTTAAGAATCCACATTGGCCCCAGCTTGCGTCGAATTTACGAACCGATCTCGCATTCCTTCTCTGTGTATAAATACTCATCTTTGAGCGACGTTGTCTGCGCATACCCTGACCTCTATAATCTTTGTCTCTTGTCTTGATTCACCGAATCCAAATGATCCAAACCATGCAAAAGACGCAAGGACTGCCAGAATTCAGCCTTGCGGGGAAGGTAGTATTGGTGTCGGGTGCTGCTCGAGGACTCGGTTTGACACAAGCCGAAGCATTGCTGGAAGCTGGCGCACGAGGTATGTCCTTCTAGATAGCTAGACAGTCAAGAGCTTTGTCAAATAACATGTGCCCACAGTGTACGCACTTGATAGACTTGAGGAACCCTCACCAGACTTTGCGCCGATTGCTGAGAAAGCAAAGAATGAACTCGGAACCTCGCTCGAATACCGCCAAATAGACGTACGAGATGTAAAAAAGCTTCACGAGATTGTGGAGGAAATCGCAAACAAGGAGGGCAGACTTGATGGATTGATCGCTGCTGCTGGCATCCAACAAGAGACAACTGCGCTGGAGTACACTGCTGAGGATGCGAACCGCATGTTCGAGGTCAACATTACTGGGGTTATGATGACTGCACAAGCAGCTGCGAAGCAAATGATCAAGTTTGGAAATGGCGGAAGTATCGTGCTCATCGCGAGCATGTCTGGCACAGTTGCAAACAGGGTACGACCATCTCGACTCCTTACCACGTATCATACTAACCAAGTCAACAGGGCCTCATCTGCTCCGCATACAACGCGTCAAAAGCTGGTGTAATGCAACTCGCCCGCAACCTAGCATCGGAATGGGGCGAGCACAACATTCGCGTCAACACCATCTCGCCAGGATACATTGTGACTGCGATGGTGGAGGAACTCTTTAAGAAGTACCCAGAGCGAAGAGAGACCTGGCCCACACAAAACATGTTGGGTCGTTTATCAAAGCCTGAGGAATACCGTGGTGCAGCGGTGTTCTTGCTGAGCGACGCAAGTTCTTTTATGACTGGAGCGGATCTGAGAATGGACGGCGGTCATGCCGCGTGGTAAAGCAGATAATCAATTGGTAATACAGAGCGACGATGTTCAAAGCACTCTTGCTATGTTTCTTTTGTGAAGGTCTTCCGTCCAATGCGAAGCTTCGGAAGTCCGTGAGCTGATGCTGAGTCAGCCGCGATTGTCGCAGTGCGGGCAACAAGGTCTACGGGTTGCTCCCACTTTGGTCAGAGCGCGTTTGACCGTTCCCTCCGAGCCATGAAGACGTCAAACGGGTGATTGGGGTACTCTTGGTAGGAATCTACCTGCCATGTTTTACTCAACGCCTATTCCATTATACCTCCACTAAGGACTTACCAGCCACCGCTCGTCTGAGACCGTTCTAGCATGACGGCGTCAACACCCTCTACCGTGTCCCGCTATACGCCCGCTATATTATTCCTCACCGGTGTATCGGCTGGATACGCGGCATATCTCATCTACAACACTATCCAAAGTCCTGGCCTTGGCGATGGCCTCCAGCGCAGCAATGCGGTACGCAGACGGCGCCCACGAGAACCACCACCGGCACCCACCCTTCCACTGAACGAGCGCGACATACCATTTTTGGGGCGATACGATTTACTCGGTACCGAAGTACCCCTCGACCCTCGTAATCTTATCACGCCAACCGAGTTGCGTGACATCATCCTGGGTGTGCAGCCAGACGCCGATGATGAGACGATAGGAAACGCCACCCGAAGCCTATACAACGAGTTCTTCGATCGACTGCTAGTCGTACTCTACCCAGATCGGGCTCTGTCTCCATCACAGGCGGACAACGTCGGAATCTGGCTAAATCACCGCAATCCGAACAACATAGCATTGGATCGTGCTGCACTAGCCCGCGCCGTGGCAAGGCATGCGCAGATATTCCCTCCTAGCGACAACCCTGCTCTCGATGATGCTGAGAGCGTCGCAGCTACAGATCTGTCGTTGGGGAGCGACGAGGACGCGGATGATGCTATCGACCCGGAGGGCCAGACACTTCAGCGCACTCTATATCACATTGCGGAAGATCGTGCGAGGCTGGAAGGTGTCATACATCGTGGCATCACGTGCAACGGCTGCGATGAGAAGCCCATTCGGGGAACCAGGTGGCACTGCGCAAACTGTCCAGACTTCGACCTGTGCTCCAACTGCGAAGCAACCAACTCGCATTACAAGAACCATATCTTCTATAAAATTCGCGTGCCTGCCCCATACCTGAGCCTACAGAAGCAAGAGTCCCTATACCCTGGCAAGCCTCATATGATGAGCCCTTCAATCGACCCAGCACTCAAGAGACGCCTCGTAGCCGAGACTAATATGGAAGCTGAAGAGATCGAGGCGTTGTGGGATCAGTTCACTTGTCTCGCAGGGGCCGAGTGGGCAGCTGACATCACGGGAGTAGGATGGGCCATAGATCGACGCAACTTCAATCACGCATTCGTCCCTCGCTATAACGGCTTCGTCGCTGCACCGAACCTCGTCTACGATCGCATCTTCGCATACTATGACACGGACAAGAATGGGCTCATCGGTTTTGACGAGTGGGTCAAAGGGCTTGATGGCATGCACGACACCGATGTCGATGTCAAGGCTAGAATAGTTTTTAACGGATACGACATCGACGGAGACGGTTACATATCGCGCAAGGACATACTGCGCATATTCAGGGCATATTATGCGATCGAAAAGGAGGCTACAAGGAACTACATTTCGGAGCTGTCCGATGAAGTGACTGTGCGGGCAGCTCTAGATACGATACGCTCTAGCCAGCCACTGGGCTCTGCATTTCCGCCCCGCAGTATGGCTGCATCCAACACGAGCAACTCTCGCCTAAGGCAGAAGCGGGAAGAAGACGCGACAACGACACTGCCGCTGCTTGAACAGAACAGCGACGTGGCAGATCGGGCTGAAATAATAGGAACAACAGGTATCCATCATATCGCACCCACGTATTCACCACGAACGCCGGATGAACAACAGGCCAACATTGTCACTCAAAGATGGGCTCGCAGACAATACTACATTGACGAAGAAGAGGGTTTATCACGGCCCGAAGGTTTTGAGGAGTTAGCCGCTGATGAGCTGGGGGCCGTCAATGAGGCGAATGATACTGCTGAAGTCGCAGACACAAATGAGGACTGGGCCCGCAACAGGAGCTCGCGATCATCGTCAAGAGTTCGCTTCCAAGATGACGTGGAAATCGACACACGCTCAAATGCCTCATCGTCCAGGCCGGTCGGAGAGCGATGGGGTGGTTATGAAATACCCGAGCCTGAGCAGGACCTTGGCAAAGAGGTGTTATATCAGGTTACGCAACAAGGATTCAACGAGTTACTCAACCCACTTTTCCTGGAGAAAGAGGATATGGCCATGGACGCACATGAGAAGCGCAGCGAGCGTCGAGCGAAGGCAGCCGCTATCGATGACCTGACCATGCATCACTTCACGGAGGGTAAGGCTGCTGTTGAAGCTATTGTACAGGTTGGCGTTTTTCGATTCTCGAAATGCATGATCGACAAATTCTGCAGGACGCTCAACAATAGACGCCCAGACGCCAGAAACCTGTTTCGCAACCCTACCGATGGCAAACCATGTACTGAACAAGAGGCATGCGCAGTGGTCCAAGAGGTCTACGACACCGTTGAAGAGAAAGTGCTCCAAACCGTGAAAACATCCAGAAACACAAACGTCGACAACATGACGATGTGGAACACGTTGTTGGTCAGATCCCAGCTTCGAAGAGAGGTTCTCAATGCTGTCATGGACTGTGTACACAACAAGGGATGGCTGGCACCGCCCGCTGTAAATGGAAGTCTGGCTGGTTCATACAGAGACCCTACCATGCCTCAATTCCGACCAAACTCATCCGATCATCCTTCAACAACAATGTTACGGACTGTCTCCAATAGCTCCTCAACCACCAGTGTAGCTTCCGATACCGATACATCCTCACTATCTTCAGACGAAGATATGGTCCTAGAGCGTTGTTTCTTTGTGACCCCAGGCCACGACGGCCTGGAACATAACCCAGAGCGAAGAGATGTTGGCGAGACAGGTTCTCTAGCACCCGAAGCTATGAATTCTCCTGAGGAGGCTTCCCAACTCGAGTCTTCGACGGCACATCAAGAAGCAGAGGACCCTTACACGATCAATTGGCGATGGTACACCGACAACCCAGAAATCCACTATCTTTTCATTCACAACTCAGAAGGCGTTGACACGTTTATGTGCGCGCGTAATCAGATCAATCATTCCACGAATCCACATTACACTGAGACGAATCAACTTAAGCCGTTACAACGCTCGATCCGCCAGCTCGCTATGGATCCGAGGTCGGGTCTTCACCTCATCATGCTAGCCAGTCTTGAGGCTGTCGAGCAGGAGATCAATGAACGGAAGGGAAGCGGTCTCATCAACTTCGAAGAGTTTGCGGAGCACATGAGGCAGGGCAGGTTGGGTTTTCTCCAGGCCTGGATGGAATGGGTAAGCATGTGAGCTGAGCATGGAGGATGAATTCCCTCTATGCCCACTTCACTCAGGCTTCGGGTGCTCAATAGGCCCGCACAGTTCGAGACTCAGTCTCGGTCCGTCGACAAAATCGCTGTGCTTATAATTTAGTCCAAGCGGTCGGCCAAGGCATAAGCTACTCTTGTATTTGGCTGACACGGCTGGATTAGTCCTTCCTACGAGAGCCGCTCGTTGCGGATTCATAACATTCTGGCTCACAATCTGAGCACGTTGGTCTGACCTGGTAATCCACGCAAGGCGACCTTGACGCTACGAGGAAACCTGTACATATCCACCGGAGGAGGGGACGAATAAGGACAAGGAGGAGGGACTATCAGTCTTGATGTCAGGAAACGAGATGCACGAAACATCCAAGAACTAATGCCTACGAAACTTATCTTTCTTATGAGCTGTAACAAGCACTTCAAGCGAAACAATACATTATATTTCATCTTCCAAGCTTCCAGGCTAGAACACTGCCAATATCTTTAGGGCAGGCTTTGTCTAGTGCAAACGAGTTTCTTCGTACACGATAGAGTCATTACCAGCCACGACAATGTCGCGTCATTCCTCCCTTGATAGGTCCTCTGCGATCCGCTTATGTTGAATTTCGCCTCATGAACTGCGCCAGCTTGTCCACTATCCTTCATTCAGTTCTCGACGGCAAGTTTCCTTGCTGCCCAACATGTGGTGAATACATACATGGCAACTACTTCCCGTCCAAAGCCTTCGAAAGGCAATTCCTTCTCTCTTTCAGGCTTCCGACCTTCAAACCACGTGCGATCGTCGGGCTTTATACAGGAAGTTGATCGGAGAAGGGTCACCCTTTCGTAGCCGTCTTATTGTTACCTCTTCTTGACAATGCGAGACGGATGCCGGGATGCTCGAAAGTGGTTAGCAAGACAGGTACTCCATTCCTTCGACACTAAGATCATGGTACCGTCGCGCCTCAATAAGTATTGACGTTCTGAGGATTGTAAATGATGTGTTTCGGTAATGATTTATCGAGAGTATTTGAACTCTGGTTCATCACACACAATACGTTGTATCCTACACACATCTTAGCACAAATCCACACCAGACTTACACACTCAAGCCTATTCGCCATCATGAAGACCTCTACTATTCTCACCGCGACCATGTACGTCCTTGCTACTGCCTCGCCTGTCCCGAGCCCCGAAGCGTTAGCCACCAGCGATATCTGGATAGGCTTGAACTTGAACAAATGTCTCGTCAATGCCGAAGTCATTCCTCAGGCCAAGTAAGTTTCAGCTACCAACTATGACTGGTGCTTAAGAAAATTCCATCTCATCTTATACATCATCCTGATAAATACACAGTCTCGAAGCCCAGAAAATCGTCGCCAAAGAGGTTATTGATGCATACAACGCCTGGGACATCGAAAGGATCCTCGGATACCGAACCCCAGACTGTAAGCAACAAGTCCTACCCACCACTCTCAACCGTGCACCCAAGAGCAACGACGAGTACCGCGCATATTTCAAGTCCATAGAGCCTCTGTAAGTCGACCTTGTATGAACTACATATGAGACACATACTGACTTCGAATACCCAAATTCTAGGTACATTAACTTTACGGTATGTAACATTGTCTTCCAAAGATAGGGCTAGATGATTGACTAACTTGGGTACAGGCCACTGTCTTCCAAGAGACGCATGACCCTGAGACGCACACATGTATCATACATGCGCGGAGTACGGCTCAGACGCCGATCGGGCCGTACGGGAATGAGTACGCACTTATCCTGACGCTTACAGAGGACGGTACGAAGGTTAGATACTTCGATGAGTTTGTCGATTCGGCGTACACTCTGGAGTTTGGGGCGAGGATGGCTGCCTTCTTGGCGAATGGGACGTCCACTGGTCACTGAGCTGGATAGTAATATGATCAGTATATCTCACAAATAGTGACTGCAGGATGAAGGAGGGGGTCGAATGAATATAAAAGCGCATTAGTCTAAAAATGTATTCATCATGCTCGTCTATTGAGTCTATTTGCGTGAGCGAAGCCTTTCCTTCCTATTCATGTCGCGCTGTAACAGTGACAGCACGTTGAGTTGAGGCCGTTACTTTTGTACTGTATTGCCTCGAAGGCATCCTGTTTTTGCAACGTCACAGGGCGAATATCCTGCGTTTGCATATATCGTGCTTGCAAGGGCCTCCTGCTGTATCTCTAGGGCTACCTTAGTATGTGCAGAACCTTGGGTTGTTGGCCTGCATCTTATGTATATGTAGATGGCCAATACATGTCGTGATGATAGATTGTCGTTCAGATTTCAAGCAGCCTCTCAGTGCGCAACATGGGGTATTGCCAGCTCTTTCAAACTCAGATTGCGACTTTCGTTTGTACCAGATGTATCCTGGCTCCATCTTGTGGTCGGTGTGCGAGGTCGCGTTATGCGTGCCTCGGCCTCCAACTCTTCAAAATCCTCTGGTTGTGCCGGCTCGCTTATGACCCTTGTTGTAGTGACCAACTTGATGTCTTTCGAACCGAACCCACAAAGATCGTCTGAGCTTTCGCCTCCTGATGGAAGTGTTACCCTGCTCTTTGATCGTCGACCCCTTGTGTGTGTGTTCATCGCTTCGATTGTGCATTCGCCTCCAAAGCGCTTAGGCTTCTCGATCCAGAACGCGGCAAACGTATCCATACCATCTCCGTCGGAGGGTGGCTCGTCAGAAAAGATCATGATGCGTCGAGTGCAGGTATAGAGAAGTACATCAAGCCAGCCATTGGAGACGATCATGGCTCCCGAGAGGCAAAGACGAGCAAGCGAGGGTGGGTTGCCGGACATCGACGCCATTCGCGCAGAGGCTAGGGGGATAGTGCAGACAACGTAGACGAGCGGGTAAACGACCATGAGGTTTGCGATGGAGCGTACGCGCTTAGCTTCTTCGGTCGTGTAGTAGCCGGAGCGAATTCGGACTGACAGGATCGTGTAGATTATGGCGTAAATTAGGACGTTGCCGAACTCACTGCGGTAAGTGTTAGATTGCGATGCATTTGAGGGTTCACGAGAGCTTACAAGACGAAGATCCAAATGTAGTGTGTCCAAAGTCGGAGATCCTCAAGGTCATGATGGATCCAACACCATACTCCAGATCGTACGTAGATGCTCTCTCCGTACATACCAAGGGGGATAGAAGATACCCCTAGGATGAAGGCCCAGAGTAGCAAGATGCAAGTGTAGAAGCTCCATGGCTTCAGACGGAAATCCAGAATGACTGAAGCAAAGGTGTGTAATCCAATGACAAAGCACCAGACTCCGCTTCCCAAATCACCCGTAGATACCAGCCAGCCCTGCGCAAAACATACCGGATTTTTTACCTCGACGGATCCCAGTCGCAGCCATTCAACGTTTAGTAGGAAGGCGAGTGCCTGTTGGATGTCCGCCCAGAGAAGATTGAAAATCAGAATGACAAACTGGTTGCTTCGCTTCGACCGTAGTTGCCAGGATACCAGTTTGTAAGTGAGTAGGAATAGTAGTGACACCGATGCGAAGAAGCTGATGAATCCTAGAACGACGACTGAGCGCAGCCACGGGTGAATATGCTCCGGTAGTACAAAAGAGGCCGACTCCGGGTCCAGTGGTTCTAGCATCCTGAGGGTGAACTATTGATCCAGCAATGTTTCGACGAGTATATAGGATACACCTAAAAAGAAAGACTCCTGTGGCTGTCCACAACTATCATATCGTGCCAGAAATCATAAAAATATCGTAGGCGAAATAAAGCAAAAAAAAATATGGCGTTCAACCTAGCACCGGCGCAGGCACAGAGTAGATCTTAGGGCACTTTCTGGGGGCAAGCGACGATGATGTACGATTGACCCAAGGGTCCCAGCATGCTGAGAGGACCCACCAACACACGACAAGGACCTTTGTAATCTAGGATCCACTATAAGCTGGGGAGAATGCAAGAGCGATGACCCCAGTCTTTACCGATTAACGTTAGTGTCGCTCGTAGCATCCACGACCCTAGTCGCAGCGTGGAAAGACGGTTGCTAGCCTGCAAGCGTTACAGCGATTTCTATGCGAAACGTGGTATAGCCGCCGCGGGGAATGCTCTAGAAGACAAAGACTTCTATTGCGTCTTCGTCTGCCATCTTTTCGTCTATTGCTCCGTAGTCGCTGCGTGTTATAGTGCTCTGCATATCGACCTCAGTCGACACCAAACTCTTCATCTGTCTGGAAGAGGAGAACAATCCGACCGCGCGTCATCTGACAGGCATGCGATCACGCATATGACCGACCCTAAGACCGACCTGCGGCACGGCATTACTGTATTTTGAGTCTCGAGAAGTCTAGGCACCAATGGATGGGGTCAGTGGCTTCGGCGGGGCCACGAGGAGCCCTTCCTTTTGGTTCTTTCGGTTAATGTGATCGTCTAAACTCTGATTTTGGTTGGTGGGAGCCTCTGGGAGGCTTGCGGGAGCTTGTGGAAACAGGCCGGTTGATTACACATTCATATCAAGCATGCCGCGATCTTGTCAACGGCCCCATGTCGTTGCCCTCGTTGAGTCTACGTCCCATGTCGCGGCACAACCGCGGTGTTGATGAATCTGACTGCTATCTGATCTGCACTAGCTCCGGAATATTCCCCAGGAAAAGACCTCGGGATCGTCAGCACCAGGTTCTCCTAACCAGGCTCCCTTCGGCTTCAAAACCTCCGTTACGAAGCGAAGTACTGAATATCCCTAACATGATACGCTCTGAACACTCTACGTTCAATCTCACGCAAGCTTCAAACATCGGGCTATCCGAGCGCACGACAATGGCCCGCCTGTCCCCAATCCAGCTGAACTACAGAACGCCTCTGCGCACGGCCGCACAAAAAATCATCGCGTGCGCCTATTGGTGTGTTACCTTTTGACGCGTCCGCGGGAGATGGGCGTGAATATTGTTCGGGGATAACAGGTGCGCGGAAGCCCCTGTAAGCACGGTCTCATCTACAGCACAGACAAAGGCGCTGCCCCTATGCAACAACACGAATTGGAACGCAAAATACAACATCTTAATTAGTTGACTAAAGTAACCCCAATGAACTCTCTCACCATGCTTTGAGGAGGGCCTTCTTTTAGTGAGTATCTACGCACGACCCGCTTACCTTACTTTTATCCTAGGAAAAGGACTCTTGGCCGAGGCCCCAACGCCATTTATCGCGATCCTACTCAGCTAGCCAAGCCCTGCGCCCGATCATGCGCAATATCGCTGCTGGCCTTCCGTTCGTGGAAAGTTGCACGAGCCGCTTCAGCCTTGTCTGACCACACCATGCGACTCAAATGTTGCGTTTCGGCACTCGTGTTCCATCTTGCATTCTGCCCTTCGGCCCGCTATCCATGACATTTTACCGCGATAGTTTTTACCGTTCTGTTGGGTACAGTGCGGTGGTATGGCACCGAAGGATTGAGTTTGAAAGTTGAGTGCTCATGAGGGGGTTTATCAGCATGGAGAGCCTCACGATTGCTGACATGCAGCTCCGGTGCATCCGAGTCTTTGCCCACGTACCTGGTTACGCAGATCTGTTATCGCTTGCCTTGCTTCTAGAAGGTTTCTGCTACATTTCGGTTTCGTCTAGGCCCTCGTGGACGCACCCTATGCAAGAAAGAAACTAAACAGGTACGATAAATCTTCCACTACCCTACAGTCTACATTGGCACAACTCAGAAGTGTAGAATATTTAGTACTAATATAGGTATCTAGACTATATACTTATGTATATAATACTCCTCTCAAGTCTATTGTAGACTGCATCATAGTGAAAGACATGTTTACGTCTGTCTAGTTTATTCCTTGCGTGAGGCGCATGTGTCACGGTTCCGCACTAATCCTGGTAGAGCAGGCATAGAAGAGAAAATGCACTAAAATGGGTGTTGGTCTCATAAGCAAAAGTCAACATTCGTTCGCATGTAGTTTATATGCTAACTGTGAGGAGAAATATCCAACGAAGGTGAACTACGCCATATGCGCGGATGTACTACAACCATGACCAACGAAAGGCCAAACTCAACCCAGCAATCTCGACGTCGTAAGAAGGAACTGAAGGGAAACTAAGAAGCTTCAATCATTGGACATTGTAGGACAAGAAAAGTGACTCAGTCGTGATGTGTGTGTGTGTGGGTCCGCGCCATCGCCTCAATGTGTGAGTCGGACAAATGCCGAACCACAGACCGTAAACACAGAATCACCGCGATGCCCAATCCGAAAAATCCTACACGTAAAAGGTACGCAGTGATGTAGGCCATTCCTCTCTCCTCTATTCATGTGTTGTGTGCCGCTTGACTCAGTTTGTGGGTCTTCTTTGTCCTTTGGACGTCTTCATACAAGCTTATCACCTAGCTTCTCCACCGTTATAACACCTCAATTGTGGACATGCTTGCTGGATTTGCGCTGTGTCGATGAACGCTCTTCTTGTGGGTCTGTCACAGATACTGCGCTGTCGTTGTCGTACGCGTCGTTGCTACCACGATACTCCATGTTCGAATCGCCTGCCTCTTGATGCTGGCCGTATGCCACTTCAGCGACGTGTTCAGCGGCAAGTACGGGAGGTCTCGCATTGGCGTTAGGCACAGGAGGCGTTATGTTAGCATTTGGTACGAGAGGGACCACATTGGCGGTGGGTACTCGAGTGGTAGCGCCAGGAACTGTGGGAGGTTGTGTGGCATCGTGCGCGAGACGTTTCTGCTCGAGGAGATTCTCTTGGAGTTTGTTCCAGTCGGCAGGCGCTCGCTCTCCAATTCCTGATTGGTTCGCACCAACTACTTTGATCTTCTTGATGCTGACATCATCGAAGGGTTCATTTTGATTGGGCTGACCAGTCATTATGGAATTCACACCATCAACGTCGACGTCTTCAACCGTAAACTAGATTGGTGTTAGCAATCTGCTCGACTGGATTACATGAAGAAACGTTACCGAGCGTGATCCTTGGGTTGCTTTCCCCGTGGAGCTTCCCGAAGGGGCCGCCATGTTCGATTTGTCGATCGTCTCCCGGAGATCTATGAGAGCCGCTTGGTGCGCTTGGGAGATGTATAAGTGAAGTATTCTCCTCTTCTTGTCAAGTGATTCGAACGCTGAGGTGATTTTATCCTGGCGTATGATAGGGGCCCAGTTGATACCAAACTTCTTCCTTGGCTGAAGTAAATGAAGCAACTCGGTAGCGAGTCCGGATATGGCTATCAGTACAGGAAGAACAGGGTCGTGGTTATCGATCTTCTGGTCGCGAAGACGTTGAAATATATTTAGCAGAAGTTCAATGTTTGTCGCATCGCTGTGATAAGTGGAATCGCCGTTTCGCAGCTCAGTGTATAACTTCTTCAGGCTGACAGCAGACGAGGTTAGATATACTGCGAGCTGGCTGATACTTGCAGCGTACCCTACCAATTCCATTACCCTGTCTCGGCATCGGATATTGACATGCAAGGGTTGGTTTCCGCAAGAATGGGGAATATTAGGCGGCGACGAAAGGGTGTTTCTAATGATGGATTCACAGTCCGCAGCTGACATGTATCTGACCGGTCTGTGGAGCTACCACTTCCCCCAAGAAAGGCTTCTCAGCCTTTCTTGTTGTGTCTAAATAGAATGTTACCTGGTACGACGAGGCTCGGCCAGCGAATTTGCACCGGTGAAGGGCTGATAGATGGTTGCCGACACCATCCTTTCCAGCGTCCACAACGCTTTGTTTACATGCAAATCGGATGTTGCTTCACAATTATCGCGCATGTACGCAGTTAGGCCCTTCCAAATCTGTTGCCCTAGATTGCGGATGCAGTATCGCCACGAACGCCACTGGGTTACACGAACCAGACGCTCAGCCAAACATCTTTGATTTCACATGTACCCCACTTTCAGAGTGCAAAACGACTCAGCCATAGTGACCAAGAGGCAGTGATTCCGGTGCGACATGCTGGCTGCAAACACGGTGAAGAACGCCTTGACATGCTTTGACGGGAAGTCCAAAGCTATTGCGGCCCGTCCCATCTGGCCAGCATTAGCAACTCCATTGGTATTGGTGGAAGCCTGAGCATACAGAGATGCGGGCCGGATTTTATCAACATAGGACCTAGGCATCGGCTTGCCGGTGGAGGACCTCACAGCCTTGGCTTCAACCTTGACAAAAGTAGATGGGCAGTGCTCAAGCGTCGGGCCTGTGGCCTACACTAACACCTCGAAACCCCCTATTAGATACTATTGGTGGGTGAGGGGCGACGATAGATATGTAGTAGCTCTCACCGGACGAAGGATTCTTGGCACCAAGGCAAAATGCAGGAGCTTGTTTCATAACATTGCCCAACTGTGAGGACTTCGCTAAACCCACAGAGCGAGTAGGCGAATCGGAATTCACATGAGTTCATCTCTTTCATTCAACAGCTCCAAGTATCCTATCTCACCATGGTCACGCCTGACGCTACACCCAACGTCAACGGCGTGAGGCTCGCACCCAACTCGACGAATACCATAGGCAACCCATCAACTGAGCTAACAACCTTCAATCCGATCATCAACAACAAAGTATCCGGATCCAACACGGATAGCAGACGAGGAAGTGGCGACGAAGTACCGATCCGAAACCCCAGCATCAAACAGCGACTGAAGAACCCCACGGAACACCCATGGTTAATCCTCGCTATAATCGCTCTTGCGGTGCTTGGCTTGGGCATTCTTGCCATGGCTATAGTTCTCGGGCTGAGATACGCACCGGACCACAGCAGTGCCACGACTGATCGTGCAGTGAGTGACTCGGAACAACATCATACAAAGTCATATTAACATATTAGAAGCCATCATCCGACACCCCCACTATAGGTTCTTCCTCTGTACCCCCCGAAAGTGGTGTCAACACACCAACATCGTTGCCGCACTCGCCTATCACCATCTCCACCCCCGCAGAGTCCATATCAAGCCTCATTGAGAGTATGACTTCAATGATGTTTACGACAACACAAAAATCCACCCAAGCACCTTCAACCCAACCTCAACCCCCAACTACCGTTAGTGCGCCCGCTCCTACCGTCTTGACTCCTGGCGCAGCTTGCACTGCAGACGCCCAATGCACTCCAAACATCTGTTACACCGAGCCGACCGCGACCTACTGCTGTGGCCCAACAATACAAGGTTGTCCTGGATGGCCATGCACTGACATAGGGCATACGGACTGCAAGGATCCTTTCAAGTGTAACTTTGCGGCAAGTACGTGTGGGTGAAGATGTATCTAGACAACTGACCAGCAGTGGTCTCGGAGATGAAGTTGTGTGGCTGAAGGAGCGGTCGATGTACTATACATGTTTGCGCGACCAACACCTGTACATTAGCGTTGACTTTCAGATACCCCGGGAGGCAGTCAATGTCATGATCCTTCAGAGACGATCTAGCGAGCATTCATAGAATCTTCCTCTTGAATGATGTGTGCGGCAAGCGCTATTGATTCGATATCTACTCTTTTGTCTTCATACATCCGCAAATTGTGAAATGCGTGATCAAACCAGCTACCCGAGACCCCCTATTCCAATGCAAACCATGCATGCGTCCCTCAACAAACAGGAAAAGAAAAAGGTTGGTCATAGTACATGAGTATGATAATGAGGAGAGTGCCTAGGGATGAATACGACCAAGCTCCTGAGAAATGCGTGCCAACGCAACGCTCAAATGTACCTCCTGCCGCCTAAACGCCGTGCATGCTCTATGCAATGCCAACCCATCAACCAACTTGCCGACTAAGGAAGGGTATTTACAAACAATGCCAACTTAGCGACGCGCCTGTGTTTGCGAGAACCAATCGTCTTGTGTGGAGTGATACTGCCGCCGTAGTTCTGCTTCTTCCTCTTCTTGGCTCGACTTAAGGATCTCTTGCATCGTCTCGATGTCCTTAATGATAACGTTGAACGCCTCGGTGACCTCCTTAAGGACGAGATTACGATTGTAGTCTGAGCGGTGCTTCCAGATGGCGTCCATGAGCGCGGCATTGATCTGCTCCAGCTGCTCGAGCGAACAACCAGATGTCGAACGGACCAGCTTGTCATGCAACGACGTGACCAAATTATCGTCGAGAATAAGCTGTGGCTTCGGCTCTTCGTCGTTAAGGATCTGATTCAGGTTCGAGTGGTGCGGAGGCGCGGACGCAGGCGCTGGCATAGAGGTAACCTGTTGGAATGACTGTGAAGGTTGCGATGGTTGTGAGTTCGACGGCTGACTGCTGACGTAGTGTACTTCTGTAGTGGAAATATGGTCAGTGGTGTGTTCTAATGAGAGACGAGGGGAGAGTTCAAATCGTTGATGGAAAAGGGTTGGCGAACCTTGTGTATCGGGAAGCTGCGACCCGTTTTGCTCGGGCATCATTTCTGAGAAGTTGGGTATGCCGGATGGTGCAGCACCGTTGCTACTCTGAGTGCCAAACTTGTTGTCCGAAGACCTGTTTGAAGTCTTCTGACCAGAAGTCGTCGTAGAAGCGCTGTTGTGGTAGTCGTTCGGGTGCGAGTTTGGTGCCATGAACGTACGACCGGACATCTGCGACTTTTGCGTTTGTGTGCCCTGACCCTCGATTCTGCTCGGGGTCTGGAATTGGAAGTCGTGGTGCGTATTGGCATTGAGATCTTGGCTGTCTGTCATATGAGTGTCATCGTTGGAAGGCGCGGTAGAGCCATTCCTTGCATGCTGTGTGCCGTCACCGCTCGTGCCGTTAGACAAACCTTCAGCGTGAGGGGCTCGCATCGGAGTTACTGGTGGCATAGCCAAACGGCCAGGAACAGGCTCACCCAAGGTAATGGGCCCTGACGTCTCAGTGGTACCGATTGACTGCTCTGGTGGTACGCGTGCAACATCGTCGAAATCTTTGTTCGCGGCAATGGCTCTCTCACGCTTCTCCTGCGCCTTCCTCTCCCGTTCGAGTTCGCGCTGATAGACTGCTTCACACTCTTGGAGAAGGCCGGGATTTTGGTGCATGAAGAAGTTGTCCAAATCGACTTCGACATTTGTGATCATCTCATTACCCTTCAAAGTCCGCTCAGCATCTCCAAACGTCCTTGCATCCTTTACGAGGGTCTTGATATCGAAGAGGTAATCTGCAGGGCGCTTGTAGTAACCATTTGACAAGCGTTTCTCGATAGTGCCTAGATCCAGATTGTAGTATTTATTGCCGCTCTCGACGTGCAGTAGAACGTCCACGCCTTTGGAGTCTTTCGAGAATTCCCAAGGGCGTATAACACCTTGCTCTTCTTGTTGCTCACGTGGCAGGTCTGATCTCACATGATCGGAATCTTGCTCCTCGAGTAGATAGGCGTACCAAGACTCCTCGAGGATGGGCTTGAAGAACTTCCTGTGACTCCTCTTCAGTTGATCCATGATAGGTTGAATGACAATCTTCATTTTGTTGAGAGTAAGTCTGTCCTGTTTCTTTTGCCATTTCTCGCGTGCTGCGAGCTCCTTCGGATCTACTACTGGAACAACGATCGGTGCTGCCTCCAGTTCAGGTAGAACTCGCTTCTTCCTGTTGTCCGGGTCGGGAAAGTCTGCTGGAGACATGCGAATGTAATGACTGATGTTGTTAAAGAACTCTGCCCGCCCTTCCTGATCAGGTCGCATAAGTTGAAATTGGTTGGATTGCGAGAAGGAGAACAAATCCATCATCATTTGGCGATCAGGCTTCTCCTTCTCGCTGAGCGATTCCAGGACACCCAACAGCATGATCGGTTCGTTCGCGCCAACACTCCGCAATAAGAGCTTGAAAGTCTTGATCGCTTGTGCAGGTAGTGTCTGGTACCAGACATCGACTGAAGGGATGTAAATGACACTAGGCTTATGTCGCCTGACCTCTGTAAACAGCTGAGTGATGGCTGCTTCGGGCGCTCGGGTGGAGTCCTCAAGAATAGTTGGCAGATCGAAAGATTGAACATGCAGACCCTCAATCTTGTTTAAGAGTGCAGCACCGAGATACTGCTGACCCATGCCTTGAAGGCCGCTGATGAGCAAACGAGGCCTGAAGATTCTGCTACTCTCAAAGTTGCGCATGGTGGCTTCACGCTCGAAGCCTTTCTCGTCGTCACGGTCGTCGTACTCAGCTTCCTCAAGTGCAGTAAGCTTCTTCCTCCGAGGGATGAGCTCATCTATGCGCTTCAAGATTGCGGCTAGGGGCTTCCGTAGTAATGGTTCAATGTTCTTGCCCAGTGGTGCTGCACTAGCGGTGACTGTTCGTTGCGAAGATGGCACCATCTTGTTGACCGAGATCATGAAATCCTTCGCTAGGATCTTGATGGTGCTAGGATCGATCAAGAGTTTCTTCTCAGAAGTGTAGATCTGAGGGTACGTCCCCTGTACTGCATTGAGAGCTGCTTCTGTACACAGCGCTCGAATATCGGCACCTCCGTAGCCCTTGGTCAACTCTGCAAGCTGATCCTTCATCTCTGGCTTCAAAGGTGGCTCCCATTTCTTCGTGTGAATATCAATAATAGAACGTCGACCTGCGACATCTGGCAATGGGAAGTAAAACTCGCGATCGAATCGTCCTGGGCGCCGAAGCGCAGGGTCTACAGAATCTGGACGATTGGTCGCGCCAATCACAATAACTTGTCCCCGGCCGTCCATTCCGTCCATGAGAGCGAGCAAAGTAGCGACAATTGAAGCGTGAATCTGTTCTTGCTTGCTGGAGCGAACAGGCGCCAGTCCATCAATCTCGTCGAAGAAGATGATACTTGGTTGTGTTTTCCGCGCTTCCTCGAACAGTAGGCGGAGCTGCCTTTCAGCCTCTCCGACCCACTTACTCAAAGCATCAGCACCTTTGCGCATATAGAAGGTGACCTTCTGTCCATGAGTGCTAACGCTAGAAGCAAGAGCTCTGGCAAGAAGCGTCTTACCAGTACCGGGCGGACCGTGGAATAGAACACCTCGGGGCGGGGTGATCTTAAAGCGCTGGAACACTTCAGGGTAGAGCAAAGGAAGCATGACCATCTCTTTGAGTTTGTTGATGTGATCGTCAAGCCCACCAACACCATCGAAATTGACGTTCGGGTCGACTCCAAGAGGGTCAGAATCTGCAAGGGCTTTCTTGTCTTTGACCTTGCCCAGATTTGCGGGGCCACCGCCAGAGTCTTGTTTAGGGTCTGCATTATGAGTCTGAGGAAACCCGAAGGCAGGGGCAGTCGCCGTAGTAGGAGTCATGCCGACCATGCCGCCGACAGGCTTGGGCATCTTCTGGTTCTCATCTTCACTGCTGTCAGAGTCACCACCTGCAGCTCCCATGCCAGCCTCCACGCCACCACCGAAGGGGCCCTGACTACGCCATAGGCTTTTGTATGTGGAACGTCCACCTCTTGCCCTAGGTCGCTCCATAGCCGGCGCATCGTCGTCATCGTTCTCGAAGATAGTATTCTGCTCTGGTCGAACAACACGATAATCTGGGGCGTTGCGGGCGCGACGTTTTGGCGCTTCGTCGTACGCCAGGTCTTTGTCAGGGTTACGTCGAGAAAGGCGCCGTCGTTTGTTGTACTCCAAGTCTTGAAGCTCATCTTGTAGTTCGTCTTGATCCAGCCTTGACTCCTCGGAACTAGAATTGCGCCTGCTACGCTGCGACCGACTTTTCTTCCCTCGTAGTCGGTTTGAGCGTCGTCCTGACCCTGATGCGCTTTCGGATGCCGAGCCCTTGGCCTTTTCGTGATCTGACTCGGACATCTCCTCTTCTTTGTCGTCATCGGCTGGAGGCTCGAAGTCACTGCTCTCATCGGCGCCTTTTTTGCGTTTGGCTGAAACGGCACGGGTCTGGGAGCAAAAGTTAGTTGCGAGACAGATCATAGATGAGTAGTTGGACGTACTCTCGCGTTGCGACCCCCGCGGGTGACTGGACCTTCCTCGTCAGAATCCTCAGCAGCGGCTTCGTCGTGCTGCGACTCCTGGATGACACCTTCCATGTCGTCGTCGTCTTCACCTTCAGCGTCGTCCTGCTGGGCTTCTTGTACGGGTGAACTGTCCTTGCTGGCCTTAACTTGAGTTTCTTCGCCAGCGAGAAGCGTGTCAAGAGGACCAGGACTGTCCTCGCGAATCATCGAGGTCTCTTGTGACGCTTCCATGATGGCACTGGGATGCTGAACTCTCGGGCCTTTGCCACCTCGAGTGGCGCGCGCGATGACGGGCTCGGGGCTGCGAGTGCCTTCGCGCACGACCTTGACGTGCCTGCCGGAATCTGTAAGCTCGACAATGGGTTCTTCAACATCGTGCGACAAGCGATTACTCCGTCGCGTGCCATGTACTTCGGGTGTCCTTCCACGCGCAAGGGATTTGCTGCCTGTGCGTGTGCGCAGGTTGCGCCCAGAGGCGTGATCAGGCATCTTCAGCTTCACAATGAGCGAAGGCTTCTCGACTTCTTCGATAGATGGCTGTGCTCGGCGTCGCGATGCAGGCTTGGGCGCCTCGTCTTCCGATGGCGTATCTTCGATTTCGTCCTCACTCTCCTCGTACTTGATCTGCTTCTTGGTAGCGCGGCGCACGCTTCTGCCTGTCGCAGGGTTGATCTCGGGCTCCTCCGACTCGGAGCGCTCTGTGAAGGAATCGTCGGACTCTATCTCGTCGTCGTCGTCGATATCGGAGCCGCCGTATGCGCGTCGCTGGCGCTTAGAAGGCTTCTTCTTAGCTCCTGGCGTGTGTCGATTACGGCGTCGTTGGGGCGCGGCGCGTTTTTCCGAGTCGTCGTAATCGTAATCGTCGGGATCGGATGCGTTGGGGTCGATGTCGAACTTGCGCTTCGCTCGGCTAGACATGGGGACTCGTCGCGGTGAAGCCTATTGCGGTCCTTCGGGATGTTGTGAGCGACCGGGCCCCGAGGATGCGTCACGGTGAGAGCGCACTTACACCGCTTATGTAGATTTTTCAAGCTTCAAGATGACATTAGAAGCAGGGAAATATTCTCCTGCATATGCGCCGATGACGGCGAAAGTGTGCGCGATGCTGACTGGCGTGTCGCCTGAGTGTCGTGTTGTTATGAGTTGGGGAGCGAAGTGCGCGATGCACAGGTAAAGAGGACGCAGAATTCAAAGAAAGCGACTACAAGGAGAATTAGTATCTTGATAAATGCCACCGAGAAGCAAAGTAGTCGAGATAGGCAGATGAGGTCGAGGGGCGTGTGGTCTTGGGGGATGCGCAGCGCTGAAGGTCGGTCCAATCCAAACACGCTAAAACCCAACCCGAATTTAGAGCAAGGGAACACTTTTAAGACGCACAACCACGACGACAACAAAGAGCTTTATTTCTCGACATCCAACAATGCAAAATGCATCAAAATGCACAGGAAATGCTAAATTGCTCCTCAGTGAGTAATTTCCGCAAATTTTCGGGAGTCTTCCGGCACGTTTTAAACCACTATTTGAGCTCTCCCTTTTCTGCTTGTCACTCTTCCTGCTGTCGGTTCCTGCATGATCGACATGCGGCTCCAAAAGCTTAACGCGTTTAGAGCTTGCTGTCATGTGTGGGGAAGAGCGAACTATGCACGTGCACCATGTGCAGGAACGACCCCATTCAACGCCGCCCCTGAGCTGCGTCGTTAGTGACGCATAGGTTATGATTCTGTTTCTATTTACTGAGATTAACATATTTGTTTAGTGAAGGCATTGCTACACACAATTGTTGTCGATGTCGCTGAGAGGCGTTCATACTTTGCCGTTGACCAACATATTCCTAACTAAGTCGGATCGCATTCACGTACCTATTTTTATGATGGTGTCTTTTTCTAAGAAACATTGTCCGCGTGTGTGGTGTTGAAGTGCATCTTTCCGAGCTCGGGTGGATGTAGAGGCTAGGTGGACGCTGGGTGTCGCAGCGAACAGCGCCTGATAAATACGCTAGACTCAGCCAGAATACTATACGAACTTTGCATACTGAAATCCTAGACCGACTCTCGTTACATACAATCTGATCAGATTGATGTTATTCGCCATTTTAACCAGGGTAGAGCACTGATGTGATCTTTAGAGAGCCCATCGCAGCACTCGCTAGATACCGGCTTTGGAACGAAGTCTTGCAAACGTTGGATAAATTTCCAGCCCAACAACATTCGGTACTAGATCTTTTCCAACTCAACCCACTTGTTTAGTCAAGCTTAGGGTCGGTGTGCCTCACTTATGTCGCGATACTTAATCTCCGCAAAGATCATACGCTCTTGACGCTGTATACGCTGTATACGCCAACATTCTCTGGATAGTATGTTACCTGCTTACTTGGAGAAATAGTAACATCTATTGAGAAATGCAAATACACCAAAGTGAAGCTCTTTAATACGCCTCTCAATCTTCTTACTTTGTCTTTGATCATCGCGGAGCTGCCTCCGAATTGCCCGTAGCCATCCCACCCAGCATAAGCCGAAACCCCGCAGTCTGGCCATAGCTCTGCTCAACGTCATAGGCTCCCGAAGCTCCGCCAAACCCCATCTGAATATTAGTCTACGAGCAATTGACGTCTTCAAGTGGGCTAAGCTATCTTTATTTCCACGTGTGCCGCCTTTAGAGTGGGCGGGTTCGTCGTAGCTTATAATCGATCTTCACACCCACCCAAAGACGCCATGCGCTCTATCGTAACAGCAACTCGATCACTCGGACGCCAACAAGCTTACAGAAGTCACTTTCAGAAAAGGTCATTACCATCGATTGTTTCGCGAGGATACGCAAATATGGGTCACTCAGTACCACCGGTATGTTTCGACCTCGTTTCGGCAGGTGTACAAAGAACAAGCGCTGACGACTTGCACAGCTTAACGACAAGTCTCTCTTGAAGAACCAGACATATGTAAACGGAGAATGGATAGACGCAAAGTCAGGAAAGACGTTTGAGGTCCATGGTATTTCTGCCCTACCCACTCTCCGGAAACCCTCTAACAGGCAACAGATCCAGCAACAGGCAAGCTCATTGGCACCATGCCTGAGATGGACCGCGCAGACACAGAAGCCGCCATTTCAGCAGCATCCGCCGCACTCCCTTCCTTCCGCAAACTTACCGGTCGCGAGCGCTCGCGCATGCTACGGAAATGGTATCAATTGATGATGGATAACGCAGAGGACCTGGCGAAGCTCATAACGTGGGAGAACGGAAAGCCCATAGCAGATGCTAAGGGAGAGGTCAACTATGCTGCAAGCTTCTACGAGTGGTTCGCGGAAGAGGCACCGCGCATGTATGGAGCCACCATCCCAGCGTCGGTTGCTGGTAACCGGGTGTTCACAATCAAGGAGCCTGTTGGCGTTGTTGGATTGATTACACCGTAAGTCTTGCTGTATGTTCGGATAAACTAAGGCTAACAACTTCAGATGGAACTTTCCCGCAGCCATGATCACAAGAAAAATTGGTCCAGCTCTGGCGGCTGGATGCACTGTCGTTGCAAAGTCCCCTGGTGAGACACCCTTCACAGCAGCAGCTCTCGCCGAGCTTGCACATCGAGCAGGAATCCCCAAGGGTGTTGTCAACTTCGTTACGGCGCTCAAGAACACACCCGAAGTCGGCGAGGCAATCACGTCAAGCAAAACCGTCAAAAAGGTCTCCTTTACAGGATCGACTGGTGTTGGCAAGCTGCTGATGAAGCAATCTTCGGATACACTGAAGAAGCTCTCTTTTGAACTTGGTGGAAACGCGCCCTTTATCGTATTCGATGACGCCGACCTTGAGACGGCAGTAACCGGAGCTATCACATCCAAGTTCCGTTCTTCAGGCCAAACCTGCGTATGCGCCAACAGGATTTACGTCCAATCAGGCATCTACGACGAGTTTTGCACCAAGTTCACCGAGAAGGTCAAGAGCTTCAAGGTCGGTAACGGCTATAAAGAAGGAACCACGCACGGCCCACTAATCCATGACCGTGCTGTCTCCAAGGTGGATGCTCACGTTCAAGATGCCGTGAAGAACGGCGCTAAGGTCTTGTTTGGTGGACAAAAGCTACCTGATCTTGGAGAGAACTTTTATCAACCCACTGTTCTCCGCGACATGACCAAGGACATGCAGCTCGCCAAAGACGAGACTTTCGGCCCTGTTGCCGGATTATTCCCCTTCGATACCGAAGCCGACGTTGTCAGCCTCGCTAATGCGGCTGACGTGGGACTTGCAGGTTACTTTTTCAGCAGAGACATCCAGAGAGTTTACAGGGTAGCTGAAGCCCTCGAGGTCGGTATGGTTGGAGTCAACACCGGTCTCATCTCGGATGCTGCTGCACCTTTCGGAGGTGTGAAGGAGTCTGGATTTGGACGGGAGGGAAGTCACTTGGGTATTGAGGAATACGTCGTCACGAAGACGATTACCATGGGTGGGAACGGCCAGCCGCTACAGGGCGAGTAGAGGATATACACAGTCAGCTTTGCGACGAGGTTCAATAAGACCCATCGCACACAGCTTCATATCCACCATACGTGTGAAAATAGAAATTGACCATGAAGAAGATGGTGATCAAGCCTTGATAGATATTATAGTGGTCGGAGAGGGTCCTCACGACGTTTATCAGGACACGACGTACAAGGAAAAACATGGACAAAAAAGTAGATAAATTTTCTACTCCCAGAACTCATTCACCATGATGCACTCATCCTAAGGGACACAATATAGAGACGCGCAGGTTCGGGAGAGAAAGAACAGAAAGTACGAATATACTCATATTCTATGTCATACAGTTGATGAATTTTTTGAGGCTTGAATTCTCGATGATGACTAAATCACATCATGGCAGATTGCACTCCCCATACTCACAATCGTTGTGGTAATACACTGAATATGCCTGATCTTGTCACTTTCCTAATTACATGCACTTTCGCATATCAAAAGCACATGGAGTATCATGACTTCAAGGTCATCATTGAAAGTTGTTCATTTTCATGCCGGTGTACCCAGCACTATCGTTGGATACATACGTGAGGTCCTGAATGTAATACCCCGCGCCATAACCCTTATGCTAGAAAGAACCCAAAAACAAACCCTCTAGTACCTCTTACCCTCACGGAGGATGTCGCTGTACTCCTCAAGCGGGGATGGGGTGAGCTTCTTCTCAGCCCACAGGTTGGGGGTGAGGAAACCGTAGGTGTGTGCGACGGCGACGAAAGTAGCCTTCAGGGTGTTCTCAAGAGTCTTGGTTGAACCGGAAGAGGCAGTGTAGATGTCGGCGACACCAGCCAATTGCAAGAGACGCTTGACAGCGGGCGATGCGACAAGGCCGGTACCACGGGGAGCGGGAATGAGACGGACAGTGACGGAACCGCACTTTCCGCTCTCCTTGGTGGGGAGCGAGTGAGGCTCACCAAGGTTGGTACCCCAGTAACCTCTTCGGATGGGGACAACGGAGAGCTTGGCGATGATGATGGCGGCGCGGATAGCGGTTGCGACTTCCTTGGAGGTCTTGATACCAAGACCAATGTGGCCCTCGGAGTCACCAATGACGACGATGGCCTTGAAGCGGGTACGCTGACCGGCACGGGTCTGCTTCTGGACGGGCTTGATCTTCATGACCTCGTCCTTGAGCTTGGGAAGGAAGAAGTCAACGACCTGGTACTCCTTGATGGGGAGAGAGTGCAGGTAGCTGCCCGCTGTCAGTACAGGTTCCTCGCCCAATGTTGCCTGAAAACATACATCTCTTCCATGCTCTTGATCTTGCCAGCCTTTACGAGACGGCCGAGCTTGGTGACGGGCTGCCATTCCTTCTCCTGTACCAATTGTCAATTCCGTGTAACTTGTCCCTCCACGATTCTCATATGCGCACCTCAGTCTTTCCGCCACGGCGGCCACGGCCACGTCCGCGACCACGTCCACGGTCACCACCGCGGTCTCCACGAGAACCGAATCCGCCGCGAGCGGGGGCAGGAGCGTCAGCCATGATGTATGTTGGTGGGGTATACGGCTGCTGGAGTTGCGATTAGCGACGGTTTTGAAGATGAGGAGAGGTGGAAGAGCGTACGATTAAGAGTTCCTGGGAGTTAGTGCGTGCTGTTGTCGCGGTCGCACTTGCAACTTTCGATATTGAAATGCTCGCTTAAGTCGTGGATGTCACTAGCCGTATTAGGATTGGCGCTAGTACGCCGCATGTGGGATGAATTGCAGGTGGTTCATTGATGATCACCACAAGTACCAGGCACAACCTCTGCAGATTCCATTTGCAGTTGTATGTACAATTGTGCACATATCTCTGTTTTCGCGAAATATTTCACGCAAAGATCTAACATTAAATGCCCATGTGAGATACTTCAAGCAATATGGTTACCTGGTTAGGTGAGTTTAGTACGTGAATGGAGTGCCGATGCATTTCATTTTACGGAAAGCCCTCATGTGTGACTGCAACCGTTGCGCTCTTTGATCACCCGATAGAGAGCTGTCGTGCGCATCGACATTGCCCATTGTGCTCTCCAAGCTGCTTGAAATGACGTGGCTGACTAAGGGCCTTCTGAGCGCGCATGACTCGTTCACATGCTCGAGGTACCAGCAGTATCACATGCACGAACACCTTTCACCAACGCTCTCAGAATCATATTACATGCCACATCGCGAGATCGTGATTAATCATAATGTCTATCTTCAACTCAGTCCTCGGCTCGTTCTCACCTCCGCCACGATTTCGAAAGTCCTTCGAAGACCCGCACGCGCGCGAACATGAGCTTCCACTGTACAACTCTCCGCCGTCTCCGCGAATACCACCTCCTGTAACTTTGTCGGTACTATGGAACGCTCCAAAAACCAGCCTATCTCCACCTCCACGAGTTCCCGACGACCTACTAGTTTTGCAACGGCGAGCGAGGCATCTCGAACAACAGCTGCAAGAGCTACTCGACGCGCAAGCTGATGGGCTGATGGGTGGTCGTGGCGGGGGAGACGCTATACCAGATGATCTCGTATCAAATGGAAGCACTACACCGACTGTTAGCAGTGTCCGATCGAGCGATCAAGGTGCGGAGAATGGAAACGGCCACAACGGAACGCGGAGGAAGAAAGTGGGACTGAATGTAGCAAGACTAGGCATATCTAAACGAATAAGGCAACTTGCCAGTGTCAAGTCCGAGGAACTAGATCTTCTAGACGAGGACCTTAGGAAACTGCAAAGCACGGTGGAGAAGACCGATGCATGGAGCCAAAAGCGCGTACGGCTCGAGAAGAAGATCAGAGACATAGAGAACGAGGACGCTGGTGCGAAAGCGCAAAGCCTACAGACGGAAGCCTCGAAGCTAGAACAGGAGATTCGACAAAAGGAAGAAGAGCTATGGTCGCTCAAGAGACGACATCGGAAGGTCTTGGACGAGCTGGCTGATACCGAAAACTCTGTGGAAGCGAAACTGGCATCTTACAAGACATCGTTGTCGCTATTAGATCGGGAAGTTTCAAATTTCCTTGCGCGACCTCCAAACGTGGACCACGTACCAATGTCATCATCCTTGTTCCTTACGTTACCCGCGAAACGACGGACGCTCGAAATGGCGCGTGAGTACTGGCAGGACAAATACACAAGACTGGCTGAAAAATGCGAAGAGGTCGATACAGATCGCGGTGCGCTTGATGAGGGTGCGGTATTGTGGTCCGATGTTGTGAAGAAAGTAGAAGACTACGAAACAAGCCTGCAAGACTATATGCAACCCGCAACACGAAAGAGCGCTCCCAATCCCAATAAACTTCTCGAGCAAATGGATACAACTATTGCCTACTTGGAGGAGAAGCTAGAGCTTGCCTCGTCGCGGAGTTGGAACTTATTGGTTTGCGCCATTGGTGCCGAACTCGAAGCATTCATACAGGGCAAGAATATGTTAGAAGAGGCTCTTGGATCGAAACGAAAGGGCAAAGAGCGGGCTGCAGAACCGCTGATAGACCATGATGGCTATGAGGCCAAGCAACCTGAAGAAATGACGGTATCTGCTATAAGAATTACTCGGTCTCCGCCGAGACAGCCCACGCCGCCTAAACAGACATATTTTGACTCTGAAGACGATGATCCGGATCCTGAGCTTATGATTTCACATCAGGATACCGATACTGACTAAGCTGGAAGTGGGATCATCGTGCAGAATATCCTTTAAGATTATATACCTTTCCGAGTAGCCACGCTTTGCATAGTCAATCAATTATCATGAGCATATTCGCGCTTGCCCATCCTAGTAATATGTACTCACCATGCGGAAGTCCGTAATGATCTATCGATAAGAGTGGGGCATTCGGAGATAGCCCTATCACCGCGACTACTACAAAGCTCACGCCCGTTACGAGCATTACCACCATGTCGCCTCGGCACAACTTGCGACATCTACAGATCAACTTTTCGCAGATATGAGTTCGTCCCACGCCCCAACCAGCCCGCCCACCGATGGGGACACAGCAAGGACCATTGTATACGACCCGAGCGACCCGTTCTGGCGAGATACCGAGGATGATGATGACGACATGGACTTTGTACCGGCAGAAGAGGGCACCGACGATAATGAGGAAGGTGAAGGTGAAGGTGATCTGAGCTTTCACGGTACACAGCTCTATCACGCCTAATCTACGATCTATCTACTAACGTTATTGTAAGATGCTGCCGAACGATTGAGTAACCTCAGCGGAGTGGAGATCGCATTCGAGTACAACGATGATAACGATGAAGATGACGATGAAGACGAGACGGATGACCCCCGCCGACCAGTCATGATTACTCGCGAACAAATCATGCAGTTGCTTGGGCACGCTGGATTGGGACGCATATTCGCCGCCGACTTTATCCCACGATCTGCACTCCGGCGACGCAGACTTGACGAAGATGAGGAGGAAGAAGAGGAAGACGATAGCGACCCTGGCACTGGATATGACCCTGTTGGTCCGACAAGGACTTCTGGCAGAAGGCGGCGGCCACGAGGCAAAGAATTGTTCGAGAAGGTGCCTAGTGAGCAGGGTCAGGAATTGATGGAGGGCGGTAATTTCGGAACCAACCCTCGACCTGAGGACACACTCAAAAGAAAGAAGAGGTTAGCTTACAAAATTATGCGGAGAGAGCTAGGCATCGGTAGTGATGGGCGCCAGAAGAATTCCACGAGGCTGTTGAGGCAAGACATGATACCAGAATCTGTGGCCGACACTATCATACACTACAATGCGCGATGCTATTCTGGACAATTTTCAGACGACGGTAATTTCTTCTTTTCGTGCGCTCAGGACTTCAAAGTACGCATGTACGACACGTCGAACCCATATGACTGGAAGTATTACAAGGCAAGCCTCTCTCTCAAACTTGAAGCTCTGCAAAGCTGACATATCGCAGACTGTGAGATACGATGGCGGCCAATGGACGATTACGGATGCGTCGTTAAGTCCAGATAACCGCTTTCTGGCGTACAGCTCCATTAGAAGTATCGTGGCGTTGGCACACACTGATCCTGACAACGACGCTGAACCTCATTATCTTGATTTCGCAGACCTCGGTCGGCCCACTCCACGTGGATTCCGCGGATACTTTGGCGTAAGGTTTGTTCATCTGATATATGAAACTGCAGCTCACCGTTCCAGATTTGGTCAATACGATTTTCTGGCGATGGCCGTGAAATTGTAGCAGGAACAGGAGACAGTTCCGTCTATGTATACGACATCGAGCGTCGTCAGTCAGTACTACGCATACCAGGTCATCAAGACGATGTAAACGCAGTCTGCTTCGGGGACACTCAATCGCCACATATTCTTTACTCCGGCTCGGACGATACAACACTCAAGGTCTGGGACCGAAGAAGTATGGGTGATGGCCGAGAAGCTGGTGTTTTCCTTGGGCACACGGAGGGATTGACGTATGTCGACAGCAAAGGAGACGGACGATATGTGCTTAGTAACGGCAAAGACCAAACTGCTAAGCTTTGGGATTTAAGGAAGATGATGTCGAAAGAGAAAGCTGACCGCATCGATCCCAATGCGTACACCAATCGCTTCGAGTACCGATCTAACGCGTACGATTTCGATGAGTACCGCCCACATCCGCACGATTGCTCGCTTGTCACGTTCCGCGGACATAAAGTGCTGAAGACGCTTATCCGATGTCACTTCTCACCTCCTGGTAGCACAGACTCGCGATACGTTTACTCTGGTAGCTACGATGGCTCGGTCTATGTCTGGAACATGGACGCAACTCTTGCTGGCAAGGTCAACGTCCTCAAGGCGACTAAAAACTCACGACCACGCGATCCAGACCTTCTCGCTGGCATGTACGAACACTGGGGAAGGAATGAGGGTAGATGGCAGACGTGTGTCCGTGATGCGAGCTGGCATCCCAATGCACCTATGATTGCCGGTAAGTATTTCCATATTTCCAATTTCCTTGGTAATCTTGCTAACCGTCGCTAGCAACCTCATGGAACGGCTGGGGCACCTCACAGGGAACTTGCACAGTCCACACCTGGAATGATGGGCTTGAAGAAGATGAAGCAGAACCAAAGATCGGGAGGCGGGTCAACGCACAACTGCAGCATGATGAACGACTTTACACGAGTCCCGAGGGCAGGGCGAGAAGGCATCCCATGTGGTACGAGGACATGATGAATGAGGAGTGAAAGCCCCTGCATCGGCTGACCCTTCTAGACTTCTGGTCAATGGGTGAATATAGGTATTGTATATAAGCATTTGGGAAGGAGTTAGGGAGGCTATTGGATGTTCATAGAGACTTTCAGTCATGTTCAACATCGCCGTCGCAGTGCTGGAAGCGCTACATCACCATTCCACTCTACGCACGCCTTTCACATCACGTCACGCATTATGTAGGCCCAATCAAAGTGAATCCTGTGCATGCCTAAATTTGGATATAATCAAACTCCCGCTGACCCAACCTCCATACTGTACAGCCATTTTGAGTATGCCATATCTCCTCTATGGAGCCAACAAAGCGAAGGCCGGTCGGTTCCCCTCCAATGCCCTAATACAAGATGATATGATGAACGGACCGGTGTCGTGGTCGAAGATGCAAAGGGAAGAGAATCGATGGTTGTAGTGTAGTAGCGTCTATGAGCCGCCGACGAGGATATTGTTTACGGGAATGTGGACAAGCTTGACAACATAGCCAATGACACCTGCGAATGTGTCAGTTTAATGAACTTGGGGGCGGGTGTGCGGCCTGCTACTGACCCATGATCAGGAAACCGATTCCGACTGCTTGCGATATCCTGATGAACTCCTTCTTGTCGGGCTCTGTAGTCATGTTAGAGATGTCATCCTTGAAATGGAGAGGCGGTCATACTGGTGCATCGGTTCATGAATAGAGTACCCTCCTTGAGGAACTCAGCGGGCATACTACGCAGAGGTTAGCGATTGCTCCCTCATCGTGCGATTCCAGTCTGGCTTACTCAGCGAACTCCTTGATGTTCTCCATGGCGATTGATGTGCGACTATTGATTCGTGGGGGTATTTGAGAGGGTCGTGAGTTGGGTTGTCGAGTGAAGTATCGCGGATTGAAGAAGTCGCGAACTCAGGGTAGTAGCTGCCAAATTACCAGACGGACGGCAATCTGGCCTTGCGGAGAAACCCGACAGGGGTAGGTGTCCCGCCAAGAACGCTAACCTTGACGCTAACTTTGAGCTATCGCATCCGCGTTCTCGTCTGTCGCTCATCCTCACTCGTGCTCGCGCCGACAAGTCGACTCTACCCGCTTCCCCAGGTTTGTCACTGAACGCAGTTACTCACTACGCAACAGACCGATTAGCGAGACGTGCGATCGCAACCCGCTTTTACATCGATATACACAGAGTCAAGGGTTGAAAGGGAACGTGTTTGGCATCTACATCGAGTTGTCGTGGCTCTCCATTTCTTCTTATTACTGGTAGCGCACGATTCAGCGCCGCATCAATTCGAAGGGATATTGTATACAGCAACTTCGCTTCGCGCAAACTGTACTGGAAGCTAGCAAAAGCAAGCGCAGGAGGCAGGCTGAGGCTTCTCACACACACATCTCTCACACCACATCCTGTACCTTTCACATCTCCGCATCTGCCAGAGGCGATCGGACTATTCCGTCTTGCACTGAGCTGTCTTTCTGGACCTTGTCACCACGCGCCGACAGCGGCACTGTACGTATTGCCTTACTTTATGCTGTTTGTCTTTTCTCTCGACATCGCATTGCAGCGGACTGCAGGCGCACACTTTCTTTTACGATACCCTCTATCTCATCATGCTGATTTGTATGCCAATCACAGAATTGCATGTACTTTGGCTATTGATACTAGCACATCAAGTACCTAAGAGCGAATCAAAGAAAGAATACCGGAACAAACCTCATCGCTTACTGCAGTTGACTTGACATACCACAGCAGATATGGCTGACGACGACAACTTCGATATCGACATCTACGGCGATGACTCCTACCAAGACTCGACTGCACAGCAAGACACCACCATAACCGACACGAACACTCCGAACACCGATGCGAACGCGCCGACATCGAACCACGCATCAGATGCGACCAAGAACGAGAACAGTGACCAGGCTGTCAAGGAGTCTACAGATGAAGCAACAAACGGGGAAGGCCATCATGACCAGAGCACCCAACAGATAGCATCCACAGGAGGCTCGGCTGGCCTCGACGTTCATAAACAAGCACCTCAGCAACAGGGTACAAAGCGCAAGCAAGGCGAAGACGATGATCGTCCAACTGACCCCGGCGCTACCGCAGCTCTCATGATCAACGATGTAAACTGGTGGATCAGCGAAGAAGACATCCGCGGATGGGCCAACCAGAGTGGTTGCGAAGACGAACTTGTCGAGGTAACCTTCAACGAGCACAAGGTCAATGGCAAGAGCAAAGGGTGAGTTACACTCTGTAGTTTTGAAGCAGAACATGCTAATCACTTTTGTAGTCAAGTTTTCACTCTATTGAACTCACCACAAGCAGCTACTGCCCTGAAACACCAGATCGAGAACCTCTTTAGAGACCAAGCTCATACAAAGAAGCCGACCGCGATCTTTAGCCCTCCGCACGTCAACCCATTCAAGACCCTGCCCAAGGATGTTCCCGCGCGAGACAAGGGTAGGAATGACCGCGCTACCTCCGGCAACTACGGCAATCAGGGCGGCTACAACAACAGGGGCGGATACAACAATAACCGTGGCAACTTCAACAGGGGCGGCATGGGCTACCAAAACAACCGCAACTTTTCTCCCGCTGGTGGAAACATGAGTGGCAACATGGGTGGCTATGGTGCCCAAGCGCCGATGAACAACTTTGGCAACCCTATGGGCGGTATGAACAACTTCGGGGGCGGCTTCAACCGCGGCGGTATGATGGGCGGTAACATGCGTGGTGGGATGGGCAATCGTGGCCGTGGCGGCAATATGGGCATGAACCCTATGGGCGCGAACCCCATGGGTGGCATGAACATGCCTATGGGCGGTAACATGATGGGCATGGGTGGCAACATGATGGGTATGGGCGGTGGCAACATGGGCATGATGGGAGGAATGGGTACGTCGAGAAACTTTCATACTCCGATTAGTGACTTGCCCCACACTTCTCAATTCTTTACTTGAATAATCGCTAACGGTGAGGCTACAGGAGGTGGCTTCGGCGGCAACCCAGGATTTAACCCAGGATTCTTCCAAGGCAACCAAGGCGGCAACGATGGCAGCTGGCAGAACCCGCACGGTGCTAAAAGACCTCGCCCCGAGTAGCCTAAGAGATGGAGCATATGTTTCACGTACCGATGCTCTTATGCAAGCCGCCGCTTTCGAGAGATTCATTCTTGCCGGAAGACCAGGCAGGCTACGAGCGCAGGCTGATTCAACGCCGACTCGACGCGCTTGAACATCAACGTGAGCGGGGGAAGCATGGTCGTCCTCCAGAAGACAAGATGTCTGACGCGACTCTGTACTGCATAACGAGGGTACATTTTTTTTATTGCAGTTCGAGCACTCTGACACGCTGTGGGCTGATGACCCATTGAGTATTTGATCCACTGTTTTTTCCGGCGTTATAAGGGCGGCAGGGACAACCTCAAGGAATCAATCTCTTCTTCACTTGTCTTAGTAGCTTTCTCTCTTGTCTTGTTGGAAGGCATAATGTACCCTGATGGTATTCGTAAGCCTTCATTTCTTTAGTATATGCTTGTCCTAGATGTTTCACATGAGCATGTTTAGTCTAGGGGTTTGTGGTTCTTATCGGTTCTAGGAACAATATGCGCTTACGTCTTTTGATCGCACATGCCGCTACTTGAGTACTTTGCACTGGATCTATGACTATCACGTTACATTCTGGCGAAACTGTTTTGGGTACGGAACACTTGTATTACTACATTTGAAAACTAGCGTTCCCATCGTTAACATGTGAGCCTAGTGTCACGAGAACTAGGAGAGACAAGGTGTGATCACTGTTTGGAGCATCTGAGTCTTTGGTGGAAAAATGTCGCTACCCTGACTAATTTGGAGATTAGGCCCGCGGGGACCTGCATATGAAATCGGGCTGGGGTCTACAATATAAATCGGACGAGGTGTCGCACTAATCATGACCACGACCAATCAAAGGGTCTATAGCGAGGAAACTCACTTTTCTAGACGTCTTCCATGCTTCCCTCTCCTCGATCTAAAACCGGGTAAGAAGTCGGTTTTGCAATCAAAGCAAATGAATAAGGAAGCTTGATGATGGCGCTAGCCGGAAGATGCCGCATCCTGGGGTAACAGTTCATTAACATGTGAAGCTTATAGAGAAATGGCGAGGGGAGAGTGGGTATGGCTATATGGAAGATCTCTATACCTAGGTACCGGGATGAAGAGTAGGTGAACCAGGCTGATGGGCGAAGTTGTATATCTCCTTCTATTTCCCAATCTCTTGGAACGACAACCGCTCAGGACACTCAACGTTCGCAATGAGGATCTCTCCCGCAAGTGCAGTAGTGCTGCTACACAGCGCCTTTACTGTCGCTCAATGTTTGTTCTTCCATGATTTCGATGAATATCGCGGTGGCTAATGCGAAGTAGCAACGAATAGTACGGGTGTAAAATGCCCTGCTACGGCAAAGTTCTCATCGATCTCTGCTGGCACTTTCTTCGAGAAGTTGAACCCAGGCTGGAATCTTGGTAACACGCTTGATGCTGTAGAGACCGAAGGCAGCTGGAACAACCCACCAGTCGTCGGCAGCACCTTTGACGATGCGAAAAGAGCCGGCTTCAAGAGCATTCGGCTACCCGTCACCTGGGCGTACCACTTCACTTCTCAATCACCAGATTGGACCGTGGATCCCGTATGGATGCAGCGTGTATCGGATGTCGTGGACATGATCACAGACCGAGGGCTCTACGCGATTGTTAACGTCCATCACGATTCCTGGACTTGGGCCGATCTCACGCAAGCGAGCACCAATGTCACGGCTGTTGAAGAGAGACTTGGAAAGCTTTGGAAGCAAATTGGAACGAAGCTGGCTTGCAAGAGCGAGAAGGTTGCTTTCGAGACCATCAATGAAATTCCTGGAACTACGGCTGAACACGGCGCTGTGATTAATAGGTTGAACGATATCTTCCTTCAGGCTATCAACGATGCAGGTGGTCACAACCCCAAGCGCGTTGTTACACTCGTTGGCGCTGGAGAGGATGGATTGAAGACGATTCAATGGTTCAAGAAACCTGATCCAAAGTTTAAGAATCCCTGGGGTATTCAGTATCACTACTACTCACCCTGTAAGTGCCCTTTCCCCATGTAACTTTCATCAGGACTAACCCAAGAGAAGACGACTTTGTTTTCCAAGCTTGGGGAAAAACCACATGGGGCTCCGACGCCGACAAAGCCGCCCTCGAAGCCGACATCGCCGCCGTCCGCGGCAATTTCACTGATATTCCCCTCGTAATTGGCGAATGGGCCGTGTCACCCGTCGCTACCGAGACAGCAGCGCGCTGGCGATACTTTGATTTCCTTCTCCGCACAGCAGCGAAATACAACACCACAACTGTTCTCTGGGACAATGGGGCCGACTTCCTAAACCGCGCGACGCATCTCTGGCGCGACGAAGTAGCCATGGACATCTACCGCAATGCAGTAAAAGGCATCCCAAACGCGCTTCCAGAAAGCACAACAGATGGCTCTGCAACAACGCAGTCAAGCTCCGCATACATCTACCATCGCAAGAACGAGACTGTAGGAGACGCCACACTAGGCTTCACTTTCAACGGAAACACACTCAGTAAGATCAGCAAAGGAAGTAAACAACTGGCTAAGGGCAAAGACTACACCGTCTCCGGCGAGAAAATTACTTTTGCGGCAACATACCTCAAGTCCATAATTACGCCCACTTCATCCACCGGCACCCTGGCAAACTTGACTCTAACATTCAACCGTGGCGCCGCTCTCCAAGTTAACGTCCTTCAATACACCACACCAACCCTCTCCAGCACCTCTGGACCCTTACCCGCAGCGGGCCAGGATCTCCTTATCCCCATCACATGGTCTGGCCAGAACAGGCCTGCGGCTGTTAAGGCTATCAAAGCTGATGGAACGTATCTCGTGGATGATTGGACGCAGTATCTAGGCGTATTGCAGCAGGCACGGATGACGTATGATGGACAGTGGAATTGGGATGCTGGACATGTCATCATCAAGGCTGCGGCTTTGGATGCCGTGAGGACGGCGGGTGTGGATACCACGTTTACGATTGAGTTTTATCCAAGGACGCCTGGGAATTCGGTTGAGTATACTGTTACCGTGTAGAACATGACAGGGATGCATTATGGTTTATGTAGGGGATATACGAGAAAGCTATGCACTCACGCCATGGTAGATTCGTTGTGTTCATCCAATAAATAGCATTACATTAAAGCTTGGAAATATGTACACTACGCTTTACAGAGGTAATAAGCCCAGAGGCATAAATTATTACACCGCCGTCCAATCTAAGCCACAGCGCTGGTGACAGGAACGATAGTACCGTCCTCGAAACGTCCGCCGCCAATAAAAGTGTGAATGGAAAGGGGTGCGGATCCGTAGACGGTAACTCCACTGTCAAGAGTCTGTTGAACGTTGACAGCTACGAATGTTAGCTTGTATTAAAGGAAACAACTTGATTCAGTAATCTGAACTTACTCGCTCCATCGTAGGAGAAGTCGAACGCGGCGCGGTCGCAGCCGTGGATAACAGGAAGCTCGGCATTAGGTGCCTCAACGCAGGTGCTCCTCAGCTTGTGCTCTTCGTCGTACTCATCCGACGTGAACTCAGCGTGGAGGTAGAGTTGCTCAATGTCGGGGCCAAGGGTCACATGGACGGACCACTGGCCTTTGTTTTCGGTGCGGGGAAGCACGGCGGCGGAGGTGGTGGCTACGAGAGCGAGGAGGACGGTGGAGAACTGCATGTTGATGGTGATGGTAGCGAGAGTGGTTGGTAAATGGATGGGTGGATGGTGATGCTCAAGAAGTGATGGATGCTTGTGATGATTTTCTGTCTGAGAAGATGGATGGAGTTATATACATAAAGCGATAGCTGCCGAATACCACCGTGATGTACATCTTTCGTGATAATGGAGTCGATAATACGATTGCCATGAAAAGCATCTATTTTCACCTCGTACTGCGAGGTGCATCCTTGACTGGCGGTGTGGAGTTACCTACCTCTTTCGCACTGATCGGCCGAGTGCTGTTGTGCTATGAGGTAACCCTAGATTCCTCATATTCTGCTGGAGCATTCACACGCATCCCTGTGTTGGTTCTCCTTTCCTATGCGTTAGCCAAGTTATTTTTAGAGTCGTGTTAGCTCCTGGTGCAAGGACTGGTGCCTGGTGGGGAGGATATTCTTCATCTTCTAAATTATCAATTCTTGTGGTTGATATCATATTCTAATGTACTAGAAACTTACAAAGCCTGCTAAGTAAAGCTAGACGCTGTTCTAGTTACATGTTGTTCATCAGTCTTTCCTTAGTTCTGCTCAAGATTCTCCGACTTTGGTGAGGCAAGAGACTGGGCTTTTTCTCCCACCGGATGAATCGCGTATGAGCATGAGAGAGGAAGTGGAGCAAAATCTCCGAACCACTATATTAGTTTGGCGCCGTCAAGCCAGAAGAAGCTTTTCAGGCCGAGAACACGAAATCGAGTGAGGCAAGGTCTGATATCGCACCTTAGACATGTACGTGCGTCGATAATGACGGTGTAATACTCACTGCAGGGATACACTACGACCGATCGACACCATGTCAAAACGACTGACCTGACCATAAACGCCGAGCCGGACTATCGATGGCCCACCTCAGAACTGTTGTCGCCATTTCATGTCTTCGCATTGACATCTTCTTATTCGACAATTATCAACTTCCTCATCAGTGCTGGACTGTTCGCAACTGGGGGCCTCTGATGCGGCTATCAAGATGTTCGTCGAATGCGAAAGCGAGGAACTCGATCAGAAAACTAGCTCAAAGAATCCATATCTTTCTCAAACCCTGAAGCGTCGAACCCATGGTTGACTGGCATTGATCGATGAAAGTAGCATCGCAGCTGTCCCCCACAAGAAAAATGGCATGACTGCTACTAAGTCATCGCACCGGAGTATCGACGATGTATTTGGCTTTGTATTACTTGGAAGGGGGCCCTATGATGTCGCCGTCCAGCGATTGTAGCTACTTGAAGGTTGCGGACCAAATGCGATACAGCTACGTCATCGCCACCTGCTGCGACCTGCCCGCGGGTGCTTTCCCTTGACATTTATAGCTTCCTCAAAACTGTGACTGCTCGCTCATCTGTCGTAACAAAACATGTACGTTTGAACATGTGTCGCACTGTCATATCTGACCTTTGTTGATATCTTCGACTCAAACATGTCCAATGCATCGACTCAGCCTCTCTTGTAATCAGTCTTCATACGTCTACACCAACACTTTCTCTCTGGCAATCCCACATACACAGTACCAGTAGAATATACTTGTGAGTCTACGTGCCCAGTATGCGCTCTCATAAGCCTCTACAGTGGACAAGCCAGTCGAATATCAGTACAATATCCCAACCACTGGAAGGCCCCCAGCCGCCGGACAGGCTATATCTCTACAGTTTCGTGTAGTTACGATCTGATAACCGAGTATGCGGATACGGTCTTGATGCGACTAGGGCTAAAATGCCATTCGTAGACATGCATACGCTCGCGGTGAAGCTGAAGACATACGCGCGTGGGGCTGCTGATACACATTACATGGAGGCAGATTAAAGGTATTGGGTAAAATCGAGAGAGAGTAAGTATTGGTGGTTATACGAGGATGAGATCGAAGAGGGACTAAATGTAGAAGGGGAAAGAAAGGTAATGGCTGAGAAAGGTAATAGGGTAGAGGGAAAGCCGGACTACTGGCTAGAATTACGGCTGTGACTTAAGACTGTTGCGTTGCCTTATCGTATCGTAGATTCCCAGTTCTTCAGTGCAGTTCTCAGTGTTACTTCTACATCGCTTTCGATCCAAAAGTGCCCTGCGCCTATGACCTCAACACTGGTGAAACGTGATGCTGGCTCGGCCTTGAGTTGTTCTGACCAGTCGCGGATCCTCTTCGCTGAGGTAAAGGCATCTTGGTCACCATAGATAGCTAGGGATGTGTGTTTGCCAACCACATCTTGATGGTCGTCCTTAGACCTGCTCCAGAACCTGTGTATCAAGGCTGGTGCGGCAAGTGTGGAGATTGGCGGTGTCAGTGGCGAAACCAGAAGATAACGCACGTCTGGCATTGTGACTGTTGCGCTCTTCGTTTCCGGTCTCAATATCGGTTCGTGGCCTTCGCGTCTTCTGTGACTAAGGCTCCGAAGCCTTGTTCGTATGGTACCGCCTTCGAGACTCCTTCGGACGTCTCGGCTACTTCTACGTTTCTCTGGGCTAGTTTCCTCTCCGCCCAATGTAACTGAAGGTCTCGCTTCATTCCCTGCTCTGCTGTTCCTCCTAGCTCTTGTCTCATCTCGAGCTAGGTTGATCCACGCCAGGTTGCTCTGGTCCGCTAATCTACGAGCGCGCAGGACTATTTCATCGGCCGCAGTACCCGCCACTGGAGCTGAGAAGGGTTGTAGTATGGTCGGTACAGGCGGTAGATGTCTAAGGATGAGGGAGCCGTACGAGTAACCTCCTAGTACGACTATGGGGGGTTCATTGTCATGCGTCGGCACTGATGCGCTTTGGTTCGACAATTTTGGAAGCTGATCTGGCGCGAAGATAAGATCGGAGGTAAGCCGTGGTCGAAGGTAGGATATGTAGTGCATGAAAAACGAGGCGAAGGATGTGTAGTCGTCTAGTTCAGGTCTTCCAGACCAGCTGGTACGTCCTTTAGATCCGTGAGCACCTCTAACACAGATTAGTCGCGTCGTTGTGCGGATAAGACATGTTACGACCGTACCTGAAGTTAAACGTGCCCACCATCCACCCAGCATGTAAGAACTCCTCCACTACGATGCCAACAACCCGATCGTCGTAGCTACCACCCATTGGCGCATACGGATGTGCCATAACAATACCCCGTCTCCTCCATTGTACAACATCGCCTGAGTCCTTTGGCTTGGTCAGGGTATCTGGATGGTATACGCGGCAGTCGAGTGTCGTGTCATCATGTATCGAGGGTATCGTAAAACTGTAGTAGGCGTCTGGTGGGCGACGCATCTTCTGGGCCGAATCGAGACCCAGTAACAATGCTCATTGCATTTTCAGTAGATGATTATGCTAAAAAAACAGCCGGTGCAACTATAGACAGGACAGTTCCACTACGCGATGATGGAAGAGTGTGGGGTTCAAGGTTGCGGAGAACGCTCCGCTGACGCGCCCGTGCGCGCCTTGTCAACAGCGAAGATGCCCTAAGACGCGTTGAACCACCAAATGATTCCTTCAATACACAAATCTATATAGCTTCCACACGGTGAGTTCCTACTTGATTCTATTTTCAACTTGTTGTGTTGAGGGTTCCTGCGCTTTTGTACCCATATCTGGAAGCGTGGGCAATAGTCACGACTTAGATGACGTCCCACGGGCTATGCAGCTGTCAGCCTTCGCTCAGATGCGCCTGGGCTGATGAGCGTACATCTAAAGATGCCTCGGTCCTCAGCCTGATAGCTACGACTCCTTTACAATATTCTCTCGAAGACTCTGGATATCACAGCACACTCACTTCCAGTATCTATCGTCACAGTTGGTTGCTACCATTACCATGAGCCAATAGCCGATACAATGGATGAAGCGTCAAGTGCCGGTCGGCATAGTGATGTTCATACTTTCGATTCCTTTCGTTCTTGCCTGTCTTGTGGTGAGATCATTACGGAAGCAACATCGCTAGCTATTTCAGAATCACCTTACAAATACGAACCGCTCGGCTACGAAACCGAGCAATGTATTCGGCTGCTGCACATATACCCAGGGCAAGAGCAAGAAGATATCACATATGAGCTCGTCAACGTCAATCTAGCGGCTGCACCAGTCTACGAAGCGGTTTCCTATACCTGGGCGACAACAAGCGGCGATGATTCCCTCTCCTAAAGCATAGTATGTAACGGGAAAAGGCTCGCTGTCACAAAAAACTGTAAAGCGGCTATTCGACGCCTTAGAAGCAGGAACTGCAAACGTGTCTATGGATAGATGCCATGTAAGTGCACTATGCAAATTTCATATCTTATAGAGTGGCTGGCTTTTCATCTCACCAACCGGATGTATAGATCAGAAAAGCACGGCGGAGAGAAATCACCAAATTCTTCTAATGTCGGCCGTCTATTTCAATGCCTCTCAAGTATTGACATATCTGGATTTCAGTCCATCCGAAAAGATATCGAAGTTCGTGGATTAGCTGAATGGAAGGTCTCGAGGCACCATGACTGAGGGTACAGGGGTTCAAAAGTCCCTCGTTCTAGTCTTTCTGCAGCATCCATATCTTAATAGGGATTGGTTGCTATAGGAGATATCTTTGGCGAAGCTAGTTGCCCTCCATACAAATAACCAGACTGTCTATTGGGATGCGCATACAGTTCAGGTACTCATATCTCTTTGCAAGAAGCTGAACTATGATCCACCAGGTGTTCTCCGCTGGCTTCCTGCAACTCAACGAGAGGGTCACAGCTGTCTAGGCTTATTGCATCGAGCTCGGCGCTGCATAGCCACAGACGCAAGGGACGAAGTTTTCGCCCTTTATGGTTTCCTCCATCTATGCTTTCAAGGGGCTCTTCCAGTGAATTATGCCATGGACACCAAAGAAGTCTTCTCGAAAATTGCGACGTATATTGTATCCACTACGAGACGGCTGCATGTGCTGAAGCATGTACCTCCCCATCAGCCTTTGGGTCTTGACAAAATGGCCAGCTGGATACCGGGTTGGGGTTTACGAGATTTCATAGACATGGATCTTCCCCATTTTACGTCGTTGCAGATAGAAAATTTTGCAGCATTTGTATCCAGGCCAGTTTCAATGGAAGCTTCGTTGAACACTGGAATACAGTCAGGAATCATATATGCCACACAGATCGCTCATCAGACGGAGCTTGGCTCGCAAGACGATTCTTTATTGTGGTATCGATATCAGGTCAAAAAGCGCTCGACACATACAGATGTTATTGAGTATGATAACTTTTCAACGTGGTACCCATACCCAAAACATAAACAACATCGTCCAGCATATATCGAAACTGACGTGGAGAATCTTTCTGGAATCCCGTTTTTGCGCGTCCAAGGATACCTTCTAGATAAAATTATCATGCATACTTTTACAGTCCCACATTTCGACAATGACAGCTGGATTGCACGGCAACAGCAGTCAGGTCCAAAAGGAACAAGTTTTCTCAACCCCAGGTTGTGTCGCTTCTGTAGCGAAGACTTGGGACCAGCGTCTTACGATGGGGTCTCATCTGACTAGCGTCAAGGTTATCAAGCGCGGCAATTGGCGAATTTGCATCGAGTAACGATGAAGTTTCGTGGAGAAAAGCGGGCCTTCAAGACCGAACAATCAATCGGGTTCACTTTGCTTTCACCAATGTACGAAGCACCGCCTTCCAAACAGACAAGGGTGGCAGGACCAAAGGATTCAATTTGGGCTTTGGAAGGACTTGATATACCTGTCATCTTGCGTCGCCGATCGCATGATGGTCAAGATTCTTACGTTCTTATTGGGCAATGCTATCTTCATAGAGCGGGGATGGACCAAGAGTGTCCCGTATGTGGCAGAAGCACTCAGCCGTGGTCGATGAAACACGAAATCATTGACGTTTGGTAGCATTATAGTGCGCATGGAGGGTGTAATCGACAATATTCATCGCAGGCACCACTTCAACTATTTAATCTCTAGCGAGAAAGCTGAATTAGTCAATATGGCCCACCCGCGGAGTCAATTAAGTCAGTATGAATCGCCTGTATCGACCCTGCTTGAAGCCAGGTGGCTCAAGCCACGCAATTTGTTGAGAAGAAGTGAGATGTGCTTGATGAAATGCTGCGAAAGGTCTCAGAGAAGTTTCTTTAGCCGAATCTCGAACTTCCGACGATCAAATGGAGGGGACAGCGGGGTGCCAGCCAGGTATCGTAGTCCTTGGTGGAGAAAGCCGATGCCTAAAGAACGTTATATTTTAGCACCACCTGCTGAAAAGCTTTTCATCAAGGATCAGGCGGTAGCATCAAAGAAGGGGTTTGCTGGTAGACGAGCACGAGAGCTCCAAGGAATGACAGTTTAAGATTATAAATTATTTGGGTTCACCCATATTCAGAGCGTCATGTTGTGCGTATAGGGAACCACCCATGACCATTGTTATGAAGACGTAACTCGATAAATAACTACCACCAGAATCTTAGATACAAGTGCAAGCCCAGCTAATGCATCGCCCTTGCGCTATGCATGTCTCTAGAGCGGGCGAAGCGCACCACTCCGGTCTTCAGCCCACCTACCAGCGATGGCCTGTCGCGTGCTCTTACCCCAAAAGGCGACCGGCATGGCGATCAGTCCGCCTACTACCTGAAAGATCATGAGTTCAATACCAACCCACATGTATCCGTGTGAATCGATCCAGGGCACAAGCGCAAAGCTCATGGCGAAGGAGAGTAGGTAACACCCTCCACCAACAACAGCGATGGCAGGTGCAGCCCATCTGGGGAAGGCTTCGGTGACCCAGAGCGTGTTGGCGATCATCAGCGTTATGAAGGAGAAGCCATTGATACCGTACGCGAAGTAGATGGCAATAGGCCTCCAGTGTAAGTGGACTGCAAGACCATAAAGTACCGAGCTGAGAGCACCGGTGATGACGGGCATGATGTAGCTGACGAGATAGTGTTCAGCCTCCAACACCCCTCGATTGCGGCTTGAAAGGCGTTTCAGTACCTTGCAGAAGAGCAAAGCAAAGATGGGTAGGCCACATAGGGCTCCGAATCCCGATGCGATGTTGACAGTACCAACAACGCTTGGCGACATGTTATAAGGCGGCGCGATGAGGATGCGTGCGTAGGTCGCGCCGATGAAGATCATGCTTGCTGAGTTGAAAGCGGACGCAACGAAGACCCAGAAGATGAGCGGGTTGGTAGCACAGTAAGCCATTTGGATGATGCAACGACCAGCCGAAGCCCATGACGCGAATGGTGAGCGCGATAGACCGACTTTGTCACGGAAGCCCGCGAGACCAGTGCGCAGGGGGTATTCGGGGAGATCGCGATAGATTTCAGAGTCTTTCTCGCGATCTTCGTAGACTGTCAGCTTCTCGGTAGCGCTTTGCAACAGAATGAGCCCATTGAAGGCTACTGTTGGCCTTTTGAAGTATGTTTCGGGATATAGGGCAAAGGTGACGACAAGCGAGACGACAATGGGGATGGTCCAATAATGATAGAACTGGCGCCAGTTGTTTCCATGGTCTGCCAAGACAGGTACCAGAGCAACGCCAGAAGTGCCAAAGCATCCTGCCATGCACCACATGAGGGCTACCGCTATTGATCTTTGGTTGATATAGGTGAGGTCAATGACCATTAGGAATGCCTGATGTTGTTAGCGGATGACGTTATAGTTGTCTTGGAAGTCTACTTACTAGAGACAACGCGAGTCCTTCGCCGAGACCGAGGAAGCAGACCGCGCCCACGAGCGAACGGAAAGTACCTGCTTCACCAGCCCAGAGCATGGCAAGCAGTACGACAAGTGTTGCGATCAAGATTGTAGGGCGGCGACCCAACCCAATGGACACTGGCACCCACAGAAAGCATCCTATGCCCATGAATAAGGTCGGACCAGTCACCAACGCTTTCAATAGCCATGTAGGTATGTCCTGGATGTAGCATATTAGTGATGCACTCCAATTCACTAGACTTGAACTTACCTCATGTTCGAAATCTCTCTGAATGTCATCGAGCACGACAGACGCAGCTTGTGCAGCAGTGAGGCAAACAATAGAAAAGAGGGCTATTGAGAACAACGCGCCCGCTGTCTTCCATCTGCTCCAGTTCAAAGGATCGGCCTTGGAATTCGAGGGCACGGGAAGCTTGAGCGTCCTCCCATCATTTGTGATGAGAAAGGTGCTGCCAATTTGATTGTATGATTCGCGTTTCGACTGTCTTGAGGTGTCTGCAGTCTCTAATCTGGATCGGTACCCCAAAACAGAAGGCACCGATGGTCTCTTGCCGGGTGTCTCGTCGGGGAAGGGTGGGTATATGGGATGTGGTGCTGAGACTGGATGAGCGTTTGGTGGTGGAGCCAGCTCCACCATAGGATGCGGATCTTCCAGGGCAGATGAAATCCTGTTGGAATATGTTTCCGACATCATGATGTCCATAACAAGAGAAGAAGGACGAAGGAAGGAATGGCGACACACGAGTCACCACACAAGTGGATCGTGAACGGACGGAACTAGCGATGAAGGAACAACTGAAGGACTAGTCACTGAGAAGCATGGCTAACGCCCCGTCCTATATCCACAACCGTTCGGCTCTCGCACTTTCGGGCGTTGCGGGTGTGACCGCACTTCTGTCGATCCCATCTAGAGTTGAGGCTTGAATGAAAGTCTAAGCTCCTTTTTCCTCTCTTGATACTCCCCAAACAGACCAGCTCGCACCGAATGTAAAGGCAGTCAAGGACTCGTCGGCATAACTTGAATGTGTCGTCCGTAAGATGCAGATCATCTTTCCTGATCAAGCAGCGTGCGCGGTGTCCGGAACTTGCCCTGAATTGGCCGATTGGTCTGATCGATTATCATGAACCCGATGGCCTGGGATCTCGTGTTGGGCCTCAAACTTCAAGGCGGTCTTCCAAGAGAACGGGTAAAGCTACGGCCATATTGCGGTATCATAGCGTTTCATCTGCCATGCTGATTCAGAGTTGGTGACAGCGGCACTCAACGGCTGCCTGTGCACTGCGTGCGGAGAGTGACCGATGGTCGCTATTCGTCGTTCACTGACCGCGTTTCAAAGCCCCTAGGGGAAGTCTACGAACAGCTATCTAGCCTAAAACACTTTTGTGTTTGGAATGTGGCTAGCAAGCATATATCTGAACTTACTCGATCATGCAAGTGAAAAGTGACGGTGATGTGACGACGGTGTTGAAGGATTCCGATTTTCCTCGGTGTGATATTTGCGAAAATCCGGGGAAGCGAGGTCCACGTCATCCTTCTCACCGCAGCTGCGAAGGGCTCAAAGCTACGAAACCCAAGAAAGCTTGTCGATCGAACATACGTACAGCAACCGAATACGTGTAACGGAGAATTTCGTAAGATGAGGCTGATGAGAACGTTGATGACTTGGCCAGCTAAGGGGCGCGCTATTGACCAAGGGTTCCACAACACGTGCAATGATCAGCCGAACAGGCGTTTGCAATCTCAACAACGCCCAACTCCATGCTTACGGCATCAATTTGTTCGAGTATTCTGCAGGCATATGGAGACGATAGGGCTGAAACCCCAAAAGGCTGTACAGCGTTTTTAGACAAACGAAGCGTCAGCTGGTGCTGGAACATCCCGTCTGGAACATCTGTGACCTCAAGTAGATGGCTGCCAAGCATCACGACATTTATTCGTTCGGGCATTCGCCAAGGCGAGCGCAGAGAAGACACCCCGTACCTTCTAATCCCTATATTCCACCAACCTCGGAACAACGTTTGCATTGGCTTGCCAAATAAGCTCTAGGCTACAGGTACTGCCACAAGAAGTGCGAGCCCTAAGAATGTCAACTCGGCCCGAGCCCGCGTGTCACGACAACCTAATAGCCCTACAGTCATCGTGAACAACGGCTGTCGACTTCCTAAACACCAAATGGGCATAGAGAGGCCAAAACAATTGCTTATCTCCTCTGTTGACTTGAGTTTGGGTCAAGCGGTAAATTACAAGGCGGGTACCCGACCACCGGCGTGCTAATTTCGTCGATCACCACCTGCCTACTTGGGGATCGTGCATCAAGGCTGTTCGAGCCTGGAAAGCCCCAGAACGCTTGGTGTATTCGAAAAGCCTTTCACGTCCCTGGATGCTTCACGAGCCTGACTTTGTTGACTTGCGGCTGTCAACACCCGCTGGCTATGTCGCGAAGAACAGTAAGCGCCCTTGGCTCAGACTACTACTTGGGCTCTCGTTCACGCTTGTCATTGGATCGGTACTCTGGGGAGCGGGTTATTCCGATTGCAATAGCTTTCGGTTTCGCCGGCTACGTTGAGAGGCTTGACATGTTAACTCCGCCAAACAATTGTAACTCCGCAAGCCACAAGAGCCTAGTCATGTGAGGATTGGACAGATCGATATGTACTGTCGGGGTATACATGCAGTCGCCTTTTATGGCCTAAAGTATGGCCATCAACTCCGACAAACAACTGTGACTGCGCAAGCCACGAGATCTTCGCTGTCCACGGATTGGCCTTGAAATGAGTAAACTAACGAATGTTCCATGACATGTGTACAGCCATCATGAAGACTTCAAGTATGATGGTTAACTCCGGAATGCCCGTCAGGGAATAGCAAACTGAGAGACTACACAGCAGGCTGTCTGTGATATAAAGTCATCGCTATCAAGTGCATCTGTAGTGACATATTCGAGAACGTATCTCCGTTAGTCTATCAAGAATCACTCACCACGATGTCAGCAGTCCCGACAGTATACGCAAAGAATCAGCCAACTGGCTTCACTAATCGCATCCAAAGGACAACCATTGTAGGGGTAAACGACCATGACCATAGTTTTACCCTGCCAAAAATAATGGCCAACAGGGTGGCGGTCAAATGGGTAAGCATCTTACTGTGCACCTTCTTGCGACTAAGAAGCATATCATCACTGCTATCACCCGGCCTGCTAGCACTAATCAACTGCGCGAAAGTCTCATCGTTGTGCGCATTGACTATGCTAGTGAAGACGCATCTGATATAGACGCTCTGGTAGACGCTCTCCACAACCAACAAGTCCTTTTAATCACAATGTCCCACCACGCCCTAGCTGCGACCACAAACCCCGTTCTTGCAGCCGCCAAAGTAGGTGTACCTTATGTCCTACCCAGCTGGTTCGGCCACGATGCAGCCAACGAGGCCGTGATTAAGGATTCCATGATGATGGGCTTCCTAGACAACGCGAAGGTGATCGGGCGCTTAGGTGTCAGCTTTGACTTCTTGTTAGTGTGCAACTTCTGGTACGAGTTCAGTCCAGGTGGCGGACCACAACGATACGGCTTCGACTTCAAGGAGCGTTCGCTCACGCTATATGATGGAGGCAAAATAGCCATCAACACATCGACGTGGCTACGGTGTGGTCGCGCGATTTCAAAACTGTTGAGCCTGAATGAGCTACCTGAGGATGAGAACGACATCTCACCTGCGATCTCGCAGTCCTGCAACATATACGTCTACATCTCTTCTTTCCGCGTTAGCTAACTTGACATGTTTGAGTGGGTTGAGTGGGTTACCAATACCACAGACGCGGATTGGAAGATTACCTATGAAGATACCGAGACACGATATTGAGAGGGCTTGCATAATGATGTTCTGGGATTACCGGTCGAGGAGTTGGATGAGTGGACAACGATTGGTGTTGGGATGGGTGAGCGTGGCGAAGTGTGGCCTTGAAGAAACGTCGCCCGACGGGGTATGACTGGCAATAGCGAGGGAGAATGTAGAAGAGTTTAACTTGTACGTCTTCACTTCTTCTCTTGAAATTCATGCGAGCATGAGGAAGACGCCGTGTTGAGTTGCAACTACATAAGATGCCTCTAGAAGATCTAATCAAAATCTTGGGGTATCATGTACTAGAACTAAGAGTAAATGGACATGCTGCTGAAGCATGGCGAAGAAAAGACAGAAAAAAAAAACATGGCAGCACAAATGCCGCCCATCGTCGTACATCATGTCTGTGATTGACTCATTTGAACGCCGCCGAAGAAAGGTGTCGTTGAGACGGGTAGTGAAAATGAAATGATACCAGGACTTCGCCCTATTGGAAGAGCGTGTGGTATCGGTACAAGTCAAGATAGAGCCTAGAAGCGGAACGAACACCAGAAGATGCTATGCGACAGTGGCTTATCCGTTATACCAACCGGTAGCGCCAACGTTTGCCGCCTCTACTTCGCGCTGTGGTATGAGTGGCGTTGTAATATCATATGCTTCAATGAACATCCGCCAGGCAGGGAAGTCAATGCTGAAGACGGCTTGATGCTTTTGGACATCCTTCCCTCGGTGTTCTGAGACTGCGCTGGGGTGTGCCGGTTCTAGTAGTAGTTAGTAAATGCATGATCCAGTTTGACTTGCAGACTTACGAAGGAGCGGAAGCCCGTGGGCATCTTTGACAATCTCGGCATTCCCTTCTCTCACCAAGAAACTAATGTAGAAGAGATTTTCTACCGTCTGCGCGAAGTCATGGGGATTGATAGCAAAGTCTAGTAGACTGACGGCAGGTGTTCCTTCATTGGTCATGGCTAATCTGTGGCGTCTAAGAGCAGCAGATTGATCCTCGTCTGTCATTTCCTCTTCCGGTATTTCCTCGAGTTCTTGGTTGACCAAAGGTTCCGCAGCTGAGATGTGCTCTACTAAGCGTTCCCTGATACCCCTGACCAATGTCAGTTGGGTGTCGTTGTTGCTCTGCTGCGTATTCCCGGTTGTGATCTCCTCAGGTCGAGTTGCTGGGCCGACTGGTTGTCGTTGCGATCGGGCTTTTCGTTGAGTTACACGAACGCGCTTCTGTACGGATAAGGGACCAAGCAGGAAACTCGATGTTGGCGGCCGCCTGTTGCAGGGGAAACATGCTTTCCGACCTAGTAGTGCCCAGTCAAGGCCATCTGGATCTTCATCGTCGTCGTCGCCCACGGGTACTACTGGTGCGTCTTCCTCGCCTGCGATATGGCCGCCAGATTTCATGAAATATATGCACTTGGAAACGAACTGATCCAGGTCGATGCCTACGCCAGAATTCCCTAAGCTGTTGTTGAGCTTCTTGCCTGCTAGGTCGCTGGCGTTGACCAAGAAGCGAGAGTCAACTGTGGCGTCGGCCGTTTGTCGCACTTTGCCGAACAAACTGTTTTGTGTCTTGAGAGCATCGAGCAGTCCGCTGTCGCGCGATTTGACGAGGTCGTCGCGATTATCTGCGATGGTCAGTGATATTCATCTCCCGTGGACCAAAGTGCTAAACTCACCATCCAGCATGCGCTGGTGCTCACGCATGTTTGCACGCAGTCTCCTTCGCGCCTCTGGGTCTTGATTGGGGTTGTAAAACTTGAGGTCGCCTTCCTCATCAGGCTCAGGCAGGGGTTGTGAGGGGAGTTGCGAGGGCGTTTCCACCTCTTCGTCCTCGTCCTCGTCCTCGTCCTGTTCCTCTTCATCGTTCTCGCGATGTGCATCCTCACGAATTTGCGAGCGGGCCATGGTGTAGTTGTCGGTTCTCCTCCTCTTACCGCCGTTTCCAGATGTTGAGCCAGAATCGGGTGTTGGCATACGCACCGACGCGCTCCGCAGGCCACTGGCTTTGCCTCGCCGTGGGGTGTTGTCGCGTGTCTCAGGGTGCTCATTCTCTTTGTCTGAGTTCATTGAGCGCGTCGGGCTGAGGACCGAATAGGACGAAGTGCGCGCGTTGCTATCATTTCGGGGCGCTACGGAGGGGTCGCGATAGAGCGAGTCGACGGTGGAAGCGCGTGTCTGGGGGGTAGCAGAGGGGTGGGTGTTAAGACGCGCCATCCCGCCCCCAAAAACGTGAGCCGGGAGAAAGGGTGGGTGTGGAGGGGTATACTTTTAGGATGGTGATGATGCGGGCGCTGTCCTGTGCCTGGGACGCGGTTGCCCGATGTGCAGAGGCGGCCGCTTAGCGCGACTTTGTTTGAGGCAAGTGCGACCGCGTTCGTCAGCCAAGCCTTGCAGCACGCGAAAGAGCAGCTTCCATTCGCGGACCCCTGCATGCGCGTCGGCTTGTGGAGCTTCTGACCCGCATGGCTTTATCAAGTGTCTCTCCCTCACCCCGCCCCGAGATACGATGAACTGGTGTTCCTGCTAGCCACATCGAATCCTGTCATGTGCTGGTAGGCAGTCAGACTTCCACATGCTTCACACCCATGGCATGCCGTAGCCACCAACTTCCCCACCGCGCACGATGGAAGCCTTCAACTTTGCGACGTCTCTTGACCTGACCGAGCTGTCGGTCCATGTTCGAATAGACCGTCTTGATGGAAACCAGAAGCCCATTCCTTACTCGGTTTTGTTGAAGCGGCCGGACCTAAGGCACCGAGCTTCGAATATCAAGTGGGTCCCCCACTAAATGAGCGAGGAGAGTGAAGTACTGATAGGTGATAGCCCACACTTTGAGCTATATGTGACGGCACAGATATGGGCAGACAGCAAGCCCCTCACCGTCCCCGTTCAAACTGCCTACAAGTCCTTCAAGAACGCGCGCATCTGGAACGAATGGCTCCAGCTGCCCGTCACGTATGCGAACCTCCCCGTCTCGGCCCAGATAGCCATCACAGTATGGGACCTGTCTCCTGCTGAAGACACTGACTCGAACCTCCATGCCGTACCCTTTGGGGGCACCACGATACCGCTGTTCGACAATGACAACACGCTGCATAAGGGCAGACAACGCTGCCGGATACACCGCTTCAAGGCAGCAGATGGCCTGACCAATACTACAACGCCGTGGGTGATACCGCCGGCGCGACGTAGTAGGAAAGCAGAGGTGGTGGAGGACACTGTGGATGAGCAGGTCGCTGAGATGGAGAGGCTGGAGGGTTTGTTGAAGAAGCAAGAGATGGGCGATCTGCCAACCAACAACTGGCTCGACGGCCTGGTATACAAGAAGATGATGCAAATACGGAAAGAGGCGCTCAAAGCCGAGGCTGTAGCGTTGAACCGACAAAGCAAGACAAACGGAACGAATGGTTCTACAGACAGCGAAGACCAGGAACTCTTCTATCTCGACATCGAACTTCCCCGCTTCGATCACGCCATTGTTTTCTCCGACGTCGAGTACCCACCACCCCCCGTATCAGACCTGCGATTACCTGCCGAAGCCGATGTAAGGTTGCGACCCCCACCAGAAGTGTCGTTCGGTCCGGGAATTGACATCGATGGAATCGGATATGGTGATGCAGATGCAGGTCGGCTTATCAAGATCTACGATCCTGAAGTCGGTCGAAGGGTCAACCCCGCCGAGGATAAGCATCGTGAACTGATGCGCAGTCAGCAGACTGATTCACTTGATCGCGATCGGAAGCCTAACGTGCACGTTCGAGACAAGCTCAACCTGCTGCTTTCCAAGGGACCTCTTGAGGAAATTACATCACATGAGCGAGACGACATCTGGAAGTTCAGATACTTCTTGCTACGAGACAAGCGAGCTTTGACCAAGTTTGTCAAATGCGTCAACTGGAAGAACCCACGAGAAGCACGGCAAGCTGCGCCCTTGCTCGACAAATGGGCAGAAATAGATGTCGACGATGCGCTCGAACTTCTTGGACCTCATTTCGACCACCCTGTAGTACGAAGCTATGCAGTTGAGCGGCTGAAGAAGGCGGACGATGAAGAGCTCCAGCTCTACCTTCTACAACTGGTGCAAGCGCTAAAGTACGAAGCGCCAGGTGAAGGTGATGACTCGTCGTTAGCGCGCTTCCTTGTTACTCGTGCAGCCAACAGTTTCACACTGGGCAACTTCCTTCATTGGTATCTTATGGTGGAGATCAGTGACTTCAGCACGGATCAAGAGCCAGAACATCGTGAACTTTTCGCCAAGGTCGAATATGACTTCATGGTCGAGCTAGAGAAGACACCCGAGGGTGTTGGAATCCGCAAGACCTTTCAGCGCCAAGGCGAACTCCTCACCATCTTGGCCAAGATATCAAAGGACGTGCGCTTCGGTGGGGGTGACCGAGCTACAAAACTTGCTCGTCTCAAGAAGGCAATCGCCGACCCAAAGAATGAGCTCACTAACTTCGATCCACTGCCTCTACCTCTGGACCCGTCGGTCTACATCACCGGGATATCGACAGAAGACTGCAATGTCTTGAAGTCGTCTTTACTGCCTATGGTACTTTCCTTCAAGACTACGACGTCAAACCCATATCCAATAATCTTCAAAACTGGCGATGACCTGCGTCAAGATCAACTCGTCATTCAGATTATCACATTGATGGACCGGCTCCTTCGCAAAGAGAACCTCGATCTAAAGCTAACACCATACCGTATCTTGGCTACTTCTACCTCTGCTGGCGCCTTCCAGTTTGTCCCGTCGATGAGCATCGCAGCAGCGTGCCAAAAGCACAAAGGTTCGCTGCTTGCCTACCTACGCGCCAACAACCCCGACGATAGCGCTCCTCTTGGTGTCCGCAAAGACGCAATGGACACATACATCAAGTCATGCGCCGGATACTGTGTGATAACTTACCTCCTCGGTGTTGGTGACCGTCATCTTGACAATCTTCTGCTCGCTCCATCAGGTGCCTTCTTCCACGTGGACTTTGGTTACATCCTTGGGCGAGACCCGAAACCCTTTGCACCAGCTATGAAGCTTTGCCGTGAGATGATAGAAGGTATGGGCGGCGTGCAGCACCCGAATTACCTTATATTTAAAGAGTACTCGTACACAGCGTGGTCTACCTTGCGCAAATCTTCAAACCTCATACTCAACCTGTTTGCTCTCATGCAGGGAGCCAATATCCCGGACATCAAGATAGAGAGGGAAGGTAGTGTGAGGAAGGTTCAAGAGCGCATGTGGCTAGGGAAGGGTGTAGGTGGGGCCAAGAATGAAGATGAGGCAGCGAGAGAATGGGAGGGGCTCGTTGAGGAATCATTGGGTGATTGGAAGGCTGGGGTAATTGACTGGGCGCACGAGTTTGTTCAGACCTATTGGCGGAAGTAAGGTCAGACTGCAGGATAATTTAATAGGTGGAGCATTGAGTAAAGACTGTAATACTTGCAAGATCGGATTCGCATAACGTACGACGACAGTAGGGCGCTCACCATGCCAAGGCTGACCCCGCCGGATCGACATCCCCATGGTTAACACACCGCGCGTGTCCCGGTGGAGACTCCGATGGAGAAGCCCACTCTCCACAAATTGTAGGTGTTGCATGACCTCAACCGTGGAGTGCATCACCGGAGGAATGCAGACGGCGGCTTTCCCGATTTTGAGTAACCGCGGCTTTGGTGCGTTCGACCTCAAGCGCGTGAAGCTGCTACAATGTAAAAGACAGCCTTTTGCCCCTCCAGGCCTTGGGAGTCCTCACATATCCATAAATTTTATACGATAAACGCATCATGTTCGGATCCAAAGATAACCGCCTCATCTACACATACGATGCCGAGCAGCTATGGATCGAGCCCTGGGGTCGCAACGCAGTGCGCGTCCGCGCCACTAAAATACCTACCATGCCACAGGAAGACTGGGCGCTCCTACAACAGCCCGACATTACAACCAATATCGACATCGCCAGCAATGGCGAGTCAACTACCCTCACCAATGGTCTCGTCAAAGCCACCATCACCAAGCGAGGCAAGATTACAATCTCAAACACCTCCAGCGGTAAAGTCCTCTTAGAAGAATACGCCCGTCATCGCCGCGACATCATTGATCCCAAATGCAGTGCTCTAGAGGTCGAAGCCCGGGAATTCAAGCCCATCCTTGGCGGCGACTATCACCTTACTGCCCGGTTCGAGAGCCTGGATCCCAAGGAGAAGATCTATGGGATGGGACAGTACCAGCAACCTTACCTTGATATTAAAGGCACGCAATTGGAGCTTGCGCATAGAAATTCACAGGCCAGCGTACCGTTTGCTGTTTCTTCGCTTGGATATGGACTGTTGTGGAACAACCCGTCGATCGGTAATGTGGTTTTTGGAAAAAACGTTATGAGTTTCGAAGCATTGTCGACGAAGGTATTGGATTATTGGGTTGTGGCCGGTGATACACCAGCGCAGATTGTCGAGTCGTATGCTGATGCTACTGGCAAGGTAAATACCAATTCCCATGCTGATATATGGGTTGGAAGCTAATTTCATGGTATGCAGGTGCCTATGATGCCAGAATACGGCCTAGGCTTTTGGCAATGTAAACTCCGCTACCAAACCCAAGAAGAGCTCCTGCAAGTCGCCCGAGAGTACCGCAAACGGAACCTCCCCATCGATCTTATCGTGATTGACTTCTTCCACTGGCCCATGCAAGGAGACTGGAAATTTGACGAAAAGTACTGGCCAGATCCCGAGGCCATGGTCGAAGAACTGAAGCAGTTGAAAATCGAACTCATGGTATCCATCTGGCCAACCGTAGACCGACGATCAGAAAACCACGAGGAGATGGTGGAAAGGGGGCTGCTTATTCGCACTGAACGTGGTGTACGCACAGCTATGACTTTCCAGGGTCAAACAATCCATTTCGATGCGACGAACCCGGCTGCACGAGATTATGTGTGGAACAAAGCGAAGCAGAATTACTACAAGAAAGGTATCAAGGTATTTTGGTTGGACGAAGCGGAGCCAGAATATCGACACTACGACTTCGATCTCTACCGTTACCACCTGGGTCCAAACGTAGCGATCGGAAACATCTACCCTCGAGAGTACTCCCGCGCGTTCTACGAGGGCATGGAGAAAGAAGGTCAAAAGGACATTGTCAACCTAGTTCGTTGTGCATGGGCTGGTAGCCAGCGCTATGGCGCTCTCGTATGGAGCGGCGATATTTCATCATCATGGTCAAGCTTCCGCAACCAACTCGCTGCAGGACTCAATATGGGTCTGTCCGGCGTGCCATGGTGGACAACCGATATTGGAGGTTTCCACGGCGGGAATCCAGATGACGAAGCTTTCCGTGAACTTTTCGTCCGGTGGTTCCAATGGGGTACCTTCTGTCCGGTGATGCGGTTACATGGAGATCGAGAACCGCGACAGCCGAAGACTAAGAATAGTCCATCTTGTCGCAGTGGTGCGGACAACGAAGTGTGGTCGTATGGTCCAGCGGTATATGAGATCTGCAAGAGGTACATGGGCATTCGCGAAGATTTACGCGAGTACACACGGAAGCTCATGGAGGAGGCCCATAAGAAGGGTTCGCCGGTTATGAGAGCTCTCTTCTACGAGTTCCCTGAAGACAACAAGTCTTGGGAGGTGGAGGAACAGTATATGTATGGGGATAAGTACTTGGTGTGTCCTGTTCTTGCTAAGGGTCAGGTGAAGACAACGGTTTATCTTCCACCGTTGCCTAGTGGGCAGAAGTGGAAGAGCTTTTGGGGTGAGCAGACGTGGGATGGTGGGAAAGATGTTGAGGTGGGTAGTCCGTTGGAGGTTATGCCGGTCTTTCAACGGGCTTGAGGTGTCCTAGAAAACTTGTCGATTTACATCGAAATGAGTGAGGTTGTAACCTGTCTTGATGTTCGCAGCCCGTGCGCTGAAGCCCCACCATCCCAAGCTTGTGATGCCTGTGAACTACGCCAGCCATCTATTTGCTCCGTTTGCCACTGACTACCACCCCTCTGCCTTGTCCCCGCATCTATCTTGGCTGGCCAACGATGACTGGGATGGCCTGCCTTCAATTTCAACCCGATCCAGGCTGCCTGGGCATATATTCGCGCCCTCCCTGCACGAGACCTGCATCTACCTTTCCAGGCAATGACATCTCCAGATGCACAGGAGCGGCCGGTTGCAGTATGCGACATCTGCGGTCGGGCCTTCGGCAAGCAGGAACATCTGGGTCGACACATGAGGATCCACACGCGCGAACGGCCGTACCTCTGTCCTTCCTGCCACAAGTCCTTCTCACGCCGTGATGTCCTCAATCGCCACATCGCCGCGCACAATGACCACGGCAATGTCGCAACTCAGCTCCCCGGATCTCGAGCGTGTTTACGATGTGCTTCAGACCGGGTGAAATGCTCGCGTGGTCACAGATGCCACCGGTGCTTACAGCGCGGTTACAACTGCCAGTACCCGGCACCTCGCGCCTCGCGAGATAGAACGGTGGATTCTGGCGCGAATGATTCAACAGACGCCTTCAGTAGCAGCAATCTGCAACCCGACAATGCCAGTCAGGAAAACAACGGCGAACTAATGATAGCCGACTTCAATGACGCGATACCAGAGTCTTCTATGAGCGCGTGGACGTGGAATAGCAATGTCAACACTATGGCTGGTCCTGACGCATTTGGCCTACCTGGCTTGAGTTTGTCAGACGTCAATTGGCTTTCGCCACAGTATTCAGGACCAATCGACTTGGATGCACTGCTCGCGAACATGGGAGGAAATGCTAATGGTAGTGTGGAGCAATGGCCCTGTTCTATCGCTACTACGATGCCCTCAGTTCCAGCGATCACCACAGTTCAGCCCGTGTCACATCCAGAAAGGATTGACTACAACACGGGAAACACTCCAAGGAAAATTGCCTCAGAAAGATCCACGTCGATTTCGGAAAATAGATACTACGTTGACGGGACTGGTGCCAGGGCCCCGTTTGGTGGTAGAGGCCAGCACTCGATCTGCTCAGAAGAAACTATAGATTTGGAAGAAGAAGAAACCAACATTGCAATCACGCCATTCCAAACGCCAAGCACATGCTCCCTATGTCCGTTGATAGCATACCAGTCTCTCATAGAGGGCATCACCACTGAAAGTCGCAATTACCTCATCGAGATAAACGCTTCGAGTTTGCCTACGCATGAACAAGTGGCCTTGTCCATTCGCCAATACTTCGACCGTTTCCATCCAGTCTTCCCATTCTTGAGGCGATCGTCTTTCGCGGACGATGCTTCCAAGAGCTGGCTCTTGTTGCTCGCTGTGTCGATTGTCGGTTCAAGATACTCGCAACTATCGCAGCATGCACGACTGAGCGAACAGCTCTTCCGCCTGCTAGGCGCCGTCCTCACGCGCTGTAAGTATGGTGTAGAGTCGCAAGTGACGATAGACGATGAGGACGTTGATTACAACCCCAGCTGCCCAGCCCGGTTCAACGTCCGCCCTAGCATACCTGACCTACAGGCCGGTATCTTGAACATGGCTTGCATGCTTCATTCTGGCAAAAAAGCTCTTGTTGAACGTGCCTTGGTAGAACGACACAATCTGGTAGAAGTTTGCCACTCACTGCGTTTGCTCATGCAGGCGAAGCGATCTTACGATCCGAGGACAGCAGCTGACCCTGACCACGATTCCGTCCGTGACTGGCTTATAATAGAGTCGAGGATCCGCACTGGGATGATGATATGGGTACCTCGTTCTTCTTGGTTTTGATAGATGGCCGGCTAATTGCAGCAGACTCTTGATACTTTGTTCGTTTATGAGTTTCAGGCCAAACCCCTTATGCGAATCGAAGACATCGATGTGCGCCTGCCATGTCACGAAGACATATGGGAGCAACCAGCTTTGATCCGACACAGTCAGAAGGGTATTCCTGATGTCACACTCACAGAAGCCCTAGAGATGATGTATGTGGAAAAGCGGTTACCCACCGACCTTGGAGAATTCAGTATGGGGTTGCTTGTCACTACTATCTACCGACATACTAGGGATGTTCTAGCTAGGGATCGAATTCGACTGAACTCATGGACACCAACATCTACGCCACAGCGCCGTAGCGACCTGCAACCACCTGTACAGCAGGATTGGTTACCGACAACGCGATTGGCGACTAAGTGGCGCAACAGTGCTTGTGATTGCTTGGATGTTTTGCATTGGCCTGCGAATAGCAAGGTCGCTCGCCACTCAGGTTTTGAGCACCACACTATTCTCCAGCTGCATCTAGCTCGCCTAATCATACTGGCTCCAACTAGCGCTATACAAGGATTTGCTTCGGGGTCTGCGTCAAAGGATCTAGCCCAGAGCGATAGGGATAGCCAGTCATTCGCTACGGCTCGTATCCAGGTCCTACAGTGGGTCATTCGAGATCACTGCAAGGCCAGACTTTGCTTGGTACACTGTGGGGCTTTGTTCTGGCACGTCCGCAGATATAGCTGTAGCAGTCTGCTTGAGCCATACGCAGTCTATATCGCGACCCTCATACTATGGGCGTTCTGCATTTGCATGCAACTTCCTGAAGCCGTCGAAGCTATTGCTTCCGAGTCCGACGAAGTTCCAGAGCCATCGTTCCTCCACCTCGATCGACCATTAGATGATGAGCTGGTTCAAACATACGTGCGAATGGGCCATAAAATGTCAGCTTATATTGCCAATGTTGGCAGCCTTGAACATGAAGCAGCTCCAATGCAGATTGCAAGAGAAGGGATTTCATTGTTGGCCAAAGGCTCTGAGCATGCATCCAGTTCCGACTACAGTTCCCTGTCTTCCGCCAAAGATGCTTGCCCTACGTGGGGCATCGAAAGATCTTATATAAACCTCCTGCGTCTTCTCACGAAGGAGCAACAAGATGAATATCTTGCGGCGTGAGTCATGCGGAGCATCCCAGTTTTGTACTCCTCACCTTGTCTTATCGAAAGAACGGTTCTTCGAGATACATTCCTGGTAACCACCATTCGTCATACCATAATTCTTACAGTGTTTGACTCATTTTGACAAAACAATTCCGAAGTATCAACGATCACGGTACCGTGTTTCATGCGTGACGATAGCCGAACCTCGTGTTCCTCGGCGTATTAGACACCGGAACACATGATACTTCTCCACCGGGGCGATTAGTGAAAGATCCACGCTACCGGTAGAGTGGCCGCGCCCCGCACGTGTCTTGATGGAAAATGCCGCGCCTAGGATGATCTCCACCGGAGCTGGGCCTTCCCAGGATTAAACTTGGCCCAGCACATACCCCATGGGGTAGTCGCGTTCCGGTGGAGAGAACCTGGGGTAGCAGCCATGTTCCATGCATGGGTGATTGGCTAGTTCCGTGCAGATGCCCGACTATGTATACGATAGTCATGTCCTCGAATCCACGAAAATCGTCTGCAACACATAGCCTTTGCAGCTCGCATTCATTTTTCTAACTCCTAAATCTTGTCACCTCTCCTATATACTTGGTGCACGCACCGAACCGACCGATCATGGCAGACATGGATGAGAAAGCTGCAACCATGGAACAGCAGGAGGTCTTCGATCAGGCCAAAGCGGCAGCCGACGAGGAGCACGAAATGACGTTACCCCAAGCCATGCGTAAATATCCCAAGGCTGTGCTCTGGTCGGTACTGCTATCCACTTGCATCATCATGGAAGGATACGACATCGTCCTGATGAGCTCCTTCTTCGCACAACCATCCTTCTCGCGAAAATACGGGGAATTCAACGAAGGTACTGGGACATACGAGATAACGGCATCATGGCAGAATGGACTCAGCAATGCCGTGAGCGTAGGTACAATCATCGGAGCGTTTGCCAATGGGTACTTCATCCATCGATACGGTTATCGTCCGGTCTTGCTGGTGTCGATTGCGGCTATATGTGCATTAATCTTCATCTCCTTCTTCGCGCCTAATGCTCCCGTCCTCCTCGTTGGCCAATTCCTTTGCGGTATACCGTGGGGTGTATTCGCTACCATGGCACCTGCCTACGCCAGCGAGGTCTGCCCACTAGCTTTGCGAGGTTACCTGACAGTATATGTCAATCTTTGCTGGGCGTTTGGCCAGCTCATCTCCGCTGGAGTACAATCAGCATTCTCCGGCAATACTACGCAATGGGCATACCGCATACCCTTTGCCATCCAATGGGCCTGGCCTATTCCTCTCTTTGCGATCCTCTGGATGGCACCCGAGTCTCCGTGGTACCATGTTCGCACCGGCAACCTCGACATGGCCGAGAAGATGATCACACGCCTTTCGTCCTCATCGCAACGACACCTTGCCAAGCAGAAGGTAGCCATGATGGTTCGTACGAACGAGTTGGAGAAGTCTCTTGAGGAAAATACGTCGTATCTCCAATGCTTCAAGGGCATCGACCGCCGTCGCACCGAGATCGCATGTATGGTTTTCGCGGCACAGCCTATCTGCGGCTCGGTCATGGGCGGTACGTAATTTTTATGTAACAACCGCGTGTGAGACATATACTGACTTCCTACATCTACGCGTAGGTACACCGACCTACTTCTTCGTTCAAGCCGGAGTACCAAACTCGATCTCATTCAAGATGTCCGTTGGCGGCCTCGGTATGGCATCTGTCGGCACACTCGTGTCCTGGGTTCTCATGAGTTACATCGGTCGTCGAAAGCTCTACCTCTGGGGACTTGGTGGGCTGGCGACCATCCTCTTCATCGTCGGTTTCATCAGTGTGGGTGCCGGTGACTCCGCCGGCGGCAACTATGCACAAGCTGCCATGATGATCGTCTGGCTCTTTTGGTACTACATGACCGTCGGTCCTATCTGTTATGCCATTGTCGGAGAAGTCTCTTCCACACGTCTTCGCAGCAAGACTGTGTGTCTAGCACGCATCACGTACTATATCGCGCAGATTCTTACCAACGTCATTAACCCATATATGTTAAATCCAACTGCCGGCGACTGGAAGGGCAAGACTGGTTTCTTCTGGGGCGGAGGAGCGCTTCTCTTCTTCATTTGGGCGTTTTTCCGTCTCCCGGAGACTAAAGGACGGACTTATGAGGAGCTGGATATTATGTTTGCTGAAGGAATTCCTGCAAGGAGCTTTGCAAAACATACTATTGATGCGTATGCTCATGGAGGTTATGCTGATCGGAAGGGTTCTGGGGATGAACATGTTGAGTGAACAACATATAGCAATGCGTCACTGGGGAAAGGTTTTGAAGCTATTTCGTCCGATCTGGCGCGAGAGAGCTGTCATCAGTAGCAATGTATCCGCTTAGCCTTGCATATATGAAATTTACGATAAAAATGCTTTCGTACACACGGATGAATGAGATAACTACATGTCTTGGTATTACAGTGCTCCCTTCAAGCGTGGGGTACGTCAAGGTCCACTGGTTCTCCACTAGTAAAAGAACGGAAAAAAGCACACACGATAACGCGTAGTATTCGAGCGATCCCTGCGTCACACTAAACCCCAAGTGACGCGTTTGTCTAGAACTTTTGAGTGAGTGTCCAAAGCGATGAATCGCTGTTGCGCTGCTCAACGCTCTGTTTATACCGGAACGACTTGGATAAGAAAGCACGTGAGAATGCCGAACGCGAGGCAAAACAAACATCCGAAAAAGAGGCGAAAGCAAAGACTGAGCGCGGGGTAAGGGAGATTAAATAATACGTAGTACAGAGCGCTCATGAGCGTGCGGACCTTGCGAAACGCGAAGCAAAAGAATGAGAGGCGGAAACACTTGCAGCACAAGAAACTATGGAGCAAAAGAAAAACCCCCCAGGGCTCCACGAAGACAGACAATACGAAAGGGCACAAGGCCGAATATGGGGAGACAAGCGATGGAAAACAGCAATTGTCGGAGCCTCCATCAACTACTACGCCGCCTGCCCGGCCCTCCATCACCAACAGTACAGCGATCCTCAAGAAGCCCAGGAAGAGATCGACACGTCCACTGTCCGCTTGCTACGTTTGCAATGAGGCAAGCCATATCGTTCGAAACTGTCCTGTGAAGCATGTCAAAGCCACTAAGGTCAATTTGTCTTCACATCGCATCGCAATGAAGCCTGCTCCAGACATCGAAGCAATGAGCAATCCTTTGCCACCAATGTCTATGCCTGCAAAGATCGTGGTCAATTTTCCAGCTCCACGCGATCAGAAGACTAGAAACATCGCAAAGGGCACCTCGACCACATTTCAAGAGTCTGCAATTCTTTCCGCAAACACAACAGCACCTGAAGAGCCTGCTGATCCAAGCAGTGGTCCGAGAAAGAGAGGTCCGCGTTCAGCGCCCCAAAAAGATCAAGGCCTCGATGGTGTTGCTACATCAGCCCCTCCGTTCATCAATACAACCCAAGTGAGCGGTACCGTGGATGTGCCTGTTAGCACCCAGGCAAGCAAGCCAGTCAAGAAGCCGAAGGTGAAGGCCCCATTGGCTTGCTATGTCTGCAAACAGGCAGGACACAAGGCGAAGAGCTGCCCCAAGAAGACTCCAGAACCGATGTTAGAGACAGTCAGGTAGAAGAATTTGTCTTGCAGCGACGTTGGAAACCGAGTGCTTCATATGGCGTTTGGTTTCAGGACATGATTCGATAACACTCCATAGCGATGTAATGGTAACCAAGGATAATAATTGTAAGCGACAAAGTAATATAAACGAGCTCTTAGAGCCGACCACGAAAGGAAATAAGAGACTGACACCATTTGATGTTTCACAACTCGTCCCTCCCATCCTTAGCCTTGACCTTCAACGCCTCAACTGTGAACCTAACCTCCTTCTCCCCAATATTCGTATGACTGACCTTGCCAATGACCGCCCCATCCTTGGGTTCATTCGAGTAATTCTCCAGCCCATCAAAGACACCCTCACACTCTTCTCCGCCTTCCTCCGCATCATCAACCCACAAGGGCAGAATCGGGTAAATCGCTCCAGGGGCAAAGAACACAAGATCATCTTGCACACTATAATGCCGTTGTAGCAACTCGCGTTTCAGCCAATCTCGCACTTTGTACGGCATATCTGCCATGTTCATCTTGATGAGTTCGCGACCGGTGCCGTGGACGTCGATGCCTGCCCAGGAGCCGGCGTATAGTTGCTTGTTGTAGAAGACTTTGAGTTGAGGAGCTTGCTCTTCTAAGTCTGGGTAGAGTTCATTGAGCTTGTAGATCTTGGCGGTGTAGGTGTTTTTGTTGCGGCAGTGTTGGGTGTATGGTTGCAGGGTGGTGCTGTCCCATTGCGCTGTCCAAAGGGCGCCTACAGGGGTGGGTTCGTCGGCTGCTGGGGAGGCTGCGGCTGGTGGTGTGGAGGATGAGGACGAGGCGTCTTCGGCGGCATACGCGGTCGCTGCTAGGAGCGCCGGTGACAGCAGAGAGAGGAGTTTCATATCGTAATCGATCGGGTTTCTATATGTTGAATTGGAACAATGCCGGATGATTGGAATGTGCAGTTATGAAAGTTTCTGATGGTGTGTAAATATCACAACGTATCGCAAACCAACCCACAGCTATATACCGTATCATCCAGCTTTTATGCGTTCTGTCCTTTTCGTTCCGCGCGAGATCCCATGACGTCTCCGCGTTGATGTTCCGCTTTCCATATTAATAGCCAGGGTTGTTAGCGACGCGACAGGAACGCGATAAATTAAAAGAACACCGTGGAAGGACGCTGCAATGATGATCGGCGTATACGTCGCCGGGAACTCGCCCACAGCGCGCGTTTTGTTTATACGATTTTCATGCTTCCGAATGGTGGAGGTTGGCATGTGGAAGAACGCGGGGTGAAGCTTCCCACAGAAGAGCTAGCGCCCGCACGTGGAGAAGGGCTGTCGCCACTCGTTTAGATGAGACAGAATTCCTGTTCTTGTCGATTTCCTTCTTCGACTTCCTTCATAAGCTCTCCATGCATGATACTGTCCACATATGCCTCGCCCAGAAAGAGGTACTTATCGCCTTTCGGTCGTAACACAAACGGCGTTTGGCCACCATAAAGCACCACGACGATATCGCCAGCACGCATACACTGCGGGCCAAGACCAAAATCTCTTTCTCGAGTCCAGAAAAAACAACGCTGATAGCAAAGGTCTTCTGCTTCAAATCGACATTTACGTGCATTGTCGCTCAAGCGGTTCAACTCTGCTGGTGAAGCACGCAACCACTCGATGAGATCCTCAAAACTTCTATAGAAGTGGCTCGGCGTCTCCTTGCCAACTCCTTCTTCTAATGTCGGGGAGAAACAACGGCCCGCTGTGAAAGTGCGAGCTACAACGCGCAACTTCTCATCCCGATTTCCGTCACTGGAACCAATATTTTCATAGATCTTTGTGACTATATTCTGTTTGCCAGAATCCTCGTCTTCGAAACAGTCAAAGCCAGATGAGAGTTTGACGATGCTCGTCGCAGCGTATATAACCCAGTAAGTCGTAATTCGCATCGTCCTGAGTCCTGCATGGCAAGAGGCCCAACTATACGTCCACCACACGCGTTGTTCGACATGTCCACCAAGGACGAAGATATTCTGCAATTCCGTTGAGGTAGATCCCATCGAGGTGCTCAAGATGCAGACTGATTGTCTCCGTCATACCCTCTACGGTGTTCTACATACGTCAAAGCGTTTGGTTGCCTGTTGAGACTGAACGTATATACAACTGTGTCAGCAAATACTTGGCCTGCACTTTTCTCGTAATCTGGTCTGTGAGCTATCTCTTCCGTTCCAATTTTTAACGAGACTTATGAGCCCGTACACCTTGTCTCTAGGATCCGTCGACTAGGAATAGCAAAACCGTTTTAACAAATCGAGGAATGATTCCTCATAGAGATCAATGTCGTACATCTCGTATATCCCTCCGATATTGATTTTGCTAAGTGCATCCAGCAGATCGCGAGCCACATCAAACCGTGGTGCCTGACAGAGGATCCACAACGCTGTTAGGCCAACATCTGCCCAAGGCAACTCCTGCTAGCCCCACGTGACTACTGGGTGCTTTGCTAGTAGTATCTCCTGGAAACACCAGACTCTTCTGAATAATGGGCGAGTAAACAACATTGAAAGACCCCGGATCACTTTAGGAGTGAAAATCGTCGGTGATATATCCACAGCCCGGAGAGTTTCAGTGCCATGCAGATCGGTACCATGTTTCAGGCTGAAGTCCCTGCAGACACTCGCGATAGATCTTGCACACTTGAGCGCCACTTTGATAACTTTCTCATCACCGTGACCTAGCGAGATATTGACTTTCGTTGCCTGAGAATATATCTTGCTCATCAGAGGAACTTGATGACTCTTCTCCTTGGTGTCGTTCTGATTGATGCAAAGAGCATCTGTCCATACGATGCGAGTCTTCCATTTGAGCCTGAGCCTCATCAGAGCGTACGAAAGCTCTGGTCGGATGGCGATAGGTTGGTCATTACATACAATCCAAACGCTCGGTGGTTCAAAACCCCACACGTAAGATAGAGCTTCATAAGAAGGTCTATCATCGAGGTTGACAAGCGTGAGCTCACACTTAAGTTGTTGGTGTGAGTCGGAAGAAAGCTGAATATGGAGGACACAGGTTTGGTTCCCAGAAAGTAGTCTTTCCGAGTAAATCGATGATTCTGCCTTGCTGCACGTAGGAATTGACGTGGCGTGTGGGCTTTTGGAGAAGTTTGATACGGTGTCTTGCTTTAGACGCCTGAGCGTAGCTATGCCGCGCTCTCGACGACGTCGGTTGTTAGAAGGTGGTGTGGTTAATGACATGCTTGTGTGCGGCTCAGTTGACATGGCATTGGGGGATGTACAGATAGAACGCTATCTGCAGTGCTAGTATATATCACACTAGAGATAAGGTGTGGTGGTAGTCGGGTACAGTCTCACGTCTGACGAGACGGAAGGCATCACCACGCTAGCCGGGGAGTGTCTTACATTTGACCCCGCGAAGAGCTTGCCTAACAACCTTTCACAGCGGCTAATCACGACACGTACACGTCACGTATAGGAGGAAAACGTGATATATCTAGGAACCTATCACGAACATTAAGTCTATACAAATTTCTTTCCGTGCTCAGTTCTGCGTTGGATAATCGCATACATTCTTCCGCAACACTAACTACTTCCCCTCTGGTGTTTAGAATTTCCTTTGTCTGACAAGTGGCTTGAGCCCCGGCAGCGCAACGACGATGATCGAGAGCGTCATCTCTACCATACTGAGTGGATCTATGAAAGAATACATCAGCTTGACTATCGCACATAGGATGCACTGTTATGAAAAAGGTGAACTTACAAACGAGGTTTTCTTGTCCTGTTCCAACCTTGAGGCAGACGAAGCGTACGATACCTGAGGCAATAGTAAGCGCTCCCAGCGCGAATGTAAGACTCACGCCAGTTGAAGATCTCAATACACCCTTCACCAAGAGCACTACAGGCACGGCATAGACCGCCAGGTAGCAAGCCAAGTTAAGAGTGAAGTTCAGGATGAACGGCTCCGGCGCGTAGAAGACAGAGCACGCGCCTTCTTCTTGAGACCACTGCACCGATACGGGTGTACCGCAGAAGAAAGTATCATCGAAGAGGATAGCCAGGTAGCTGGCGATGACAAAGGCTGTGATACCGAAGAGCATCTTGCGTAGTCCTGGATGACCGGAGAGATTGAAGAATGCCCAGTAGAAAGCTAGCATGCTGAGTTTCGGGAAACCCATGCCGACGTCGTAGAAGTAGTTCGAGGCGAACGAGATCTGTGAAGTGGGTTAGACGAGCATGGAGTATGACGGCCAAAGTAACGACTTACCTTTGATAGCCTTTCTGACGTCTCATAATTGTCCAAAACTCCCATCTGGTATGTGAGCGTGTCGCAGATGATCAGTCCCAAAGCAATCAGCGCGGATGCGATCAATAGGTAGTCAGACGCGTCCAACTTTGCGCGGAGACGGAACAAACGCGTGTACATGCGCGCCGCAACGAACAGGTATGCGAAGATCAGGAGGATCCATTCTGAGATCTGTTATAATGATGACTTGTCAGTATTGTGATATCCTGGTAGATGGTTCGGTATTTCGAAAGACATCGGCTTACCATGCAGTCTTTCCCATCAATGTAGTGTGTCATCTTCACTGCTGTAGTGTGATAGAACACTTACGAAACAAAGGATAAAACCAACGAAGAGTGGTTCGCTTGCTTCATCAGAGAACTACAAGGCGTATGTATATGAACCACATCTCATCCCATGCAGGGTACTATATTCTCCCGCGGATGAATCATGCCACAGCTCCTGAAGACATCTCTGGGCGTGCAATTGTACCGCCTATCATATGAAATTGTTACCGGACATCAGTCCTGGACTGTCGAGATGCATCTTGGCTTGCTCGACCTGCATGCATGCGCGCGGAAAACTGCCTGTAAATGAGGCGCTTCAGGAGCCGTGTTGGATGGGCTGGTCCCAACTGCGACCCTTGTGCATTGAACGGCTGTACCGTCTTGGTGGGTTTGGTTCATAGCGGGAAGGGCTTTTTAGGCGCATCGCATCCGGGTTTGCATCTTTTTATTACATTCTGCGCAAAGGTTGTTGAACGACGATCAAGCATGTGCAGATACTGCTTCTTTGTTATGTTCATGCAGCTTTTGGCTGCTGGTAACAAGCAAAGTCAAGCATCAAAGGTGTCCTCTCTTGCTCGGCTAGGCGAACCGATGGATGAAATTTGTTAAACGAGCCCTCTACTAGGCGAAGCCGTGGGCCAATGCCGACCCACAGCGTAATGGCAGGATTGCGGCACAGTTAATGAGTATTTTCTGAGGTGCGTGAGAACTCTTGGGTTCACGGAGTGATATACGGTTGCAGCTCAGTTGGAAGAAGCTCCCGTTCGGCGTGGCGCTTGATGGCTTGTGCGGACCGCTATGAGCGGGATGGAGGTGCGATCCTTCCGGACTGATACGAGTGGTCGGCCTGCTGAACGGTACAGGGTCCATTGAGACGTTTAATGTTGAGATGACCCGGCTGCTTAAACTCGCACAAATGGACTTGGTCTGATCCTTCTGATTCTTTTTGCCCCGGTTGATACTAATTACAGCGCTATTGGAAACGATCACCTCCTGAACCGTTCTCATGGGTATTTTGCAGAACCGTCGTGCTCATCATCCTGCGACTTCGAGAACTGCACGCTAACGCGACGAGTCTCGTAGATCACATCCTTCCTTGTCATGGTATTAAGCTCCACTTCGCTGCCTGAATCTTCATCGGTGTGCACACGGACACTGTGTTTGCCTCTTCTGGAAGGTCGCAAGAAGTTGTGTGAACCCGATGCTGGCGTTTGATGCCCATAGGTACGAGACTCGGAAGAACGCGACTTCTTATTGGAGGAGAATAGGGAGCCACGTCGTAGGAAGGATCTCATCGACGGTAACGAGACTACCATGATCGCGACAGCCATTTCGGCCATGGATAGGACGTCTATACGAGTGTCAGTTAGAGGTTGTAGTGCACTTGACTGCATCTACCTACAGACGTTGGTCCAAGCATGTATGACCTCGATTGTTGCAAACCGGACCATACTCATAGCTATGGTAACGGCGCCGAGTGAAAATGTCGCAACAAGACCCCAAATCTGGCGACGACGAAGCTGCAGTGAACGAAGAAGTGGAAATGGTAAAGCAAAAACTGTAGTTTCGATGTTAGTGCTCAAAGCGCTTTTTGACTGGCACGCTGCTGCTTACTGAACAGATCGGACGTGATATTAAGGCCCCAGTCGATCCGGAAAACTTCTTTTGAGCTGAAGGTGTTGCATGCTCCCTCATCAGGAGACCAATTCTGAGAGACCTGGCGCCCGCACCAGAAAGTATCGAGAAAGAAGGTCGATATCATAGCACTTCCAGTGAACAAGGTTACCATATAGAGTGCTTTTCGTAACCACGGCATCGTCGGCGGAATGAGTCTGAAGTACAGTGCGAGGATTGCCAACTTTGGCCAGTAAATACCGGTATCGTAGAATGCATTTCCGGCGAATTGTACCTGCCAGTGTCAATCCTGCCATCGGATCAATGAGACTAAGTTGTCCACTTACTTTCTTGAGTGCGATAACACGAGCTGTTGATGGCTCTGGTACATCATCCGACATGCCTCCCCATATGTATGTCAGGTAGTCGGTGATAAAGAGCCCAATGGCGTCCAAGATAGATGCTATCAGAAGACTATCGCTGACAGTGGGACATTGTCGTTGTATAAGGCGGGGAACCAGTCGACCAGAGGCCAAGAGCATGGCGAGGGCCAAAAGAGTGCCCTCGATTGGCTTTGCGCATACGTTAGCAGGAAGAATGACAACATATTGAAGTGTATGAAGCATACAATTACAGAGTCTGGAGCAACGCCGTTAGCCATGTTGAAAGATACCAGATGTATACACCATGAAGCAGTCGATGACAAGTAACAAGCCAAGAAGTCAAACAAAGGTTGTCATGTGGTTTTCCAGAAAACGAAAGCATCGCTTGGGTGTATACAGGCCCTTAAGACGGACATGTATCGGGTCCGTCTCGCCATCCACATGGCGAGTGGACCCTGTTGCTGCGATCGTACCACGCCTAGCTGCTCGCTTGGCAATTTACGCGGAAATAATCAGTATGTCTGCATGCCGGAATCTGCGGTTACAGAGTTCGTACGGAACAACATGGGTGTATGTGTTGGCGCAGGGATCTTTGCTGAACGGTAAACGGAAGGCCAAGGCGAAGGATCACGGCGCAGCCCAACAGAGTGTAGCCCTACCTGCCTATACAATGTGAGTCCGCAGCCTATAGGAGCTAACATATTGTTGCTCCGCGACAGAAAGAACGCAGTTTGCATACGAGAATGTGGCACGGAGGTGCTCGATTGTGATGGCGGAAGTCCCATATTTTCTGCTGGCATCGCGACCATGTTGCTTCCTCATCCTCGGGGTAGTCTCAATAGTTTTGATTTTTTTTCTTCACGATCATTATCGTTACAGCGTATTCTAGATGAGAATTAGACGCGAAGACATCCTGCTCTCGCGGCAATGTCTTGCTGAATGTCACATGAACGCGTCCTGGCTTGTTAGTACTCAATGTGAAAAAAAAAAATGATGAGACTGCGACACCGGAGTACCATGAACTGATGCAAGCACGAAGGAAGTTACTCAGGTGTAGGAGAGCAACGAACGGTGAAGTGAGGATGGTCGTTCAGCAGAGATCGCGCAGTGCGCGCCATCATAGCGCACCACAGCGATGACGTAACACCAATATCAACCTCGAACGCGAGAATCCAACGCGCATATCGCACCAGTACAAACCCGCCAAACCAACATGCCTCCCAGCTCCGACATCGTCCCCTCCACCCACAGCTTCCTCGCCCTAGTATCCGTCAACGCCCTCTTCGTAGGCTTCATCCTACTCCCCGCAATATTCCCCCAACCCAACACAAACGAGGAATACACAGGATGCATAGAATATGCAGAATACTGGGACTGTTCAGAAAACTATGCTGAAACATATCCCGAAACTATACATCTCCCACCCTTTTTCTACCTTTCCGCTTTAGCCTGCAGCATAGGCATACTAGGCTGTTTGTGTTTATGGTGGAAACACCAGAAGAACTACAAGTGGTTGATCAAGAGAATTTTCCTGCCAGCGTTGTGTAATAGTGTTGCGGGACTTGTGTCTACGCTTGTGATTGCGAATGCGGCAGAGGAGGATCAATATAGTAGGGCTATGAGGGTGGCTATGGTTGCTCCGTCGGCGGGGTCGGTTGTGGCTGCGGCGATGGGGTTGGGGTATTATGCTGTTATGTTATGGCTTGTCAAAAGGGAGCATGAAGGGAAGCCTGTGGCTTTGGAGAAGGGTAAGCAAAAGGGGCAGAATGCGGATAGCTAGTCAACGAATATGTATGCTGAAATTTTGACCTAAAGGTTGGTGGGTATCAAGGAAGAAAACGCCAGAATCTACGAGTACTGCATAGAGACGCATGTTACACGTCCTTACCTGACTCCTCTTTCTTTTGAGCCAACTTGATCCTCTTCTTTTGCTCACTTACCGCATGCGTAATGGCTTTGACCATGTTGAAGAGGAAGATGCCGATGAAAACGATGGTAACGAATGCGAGAACGGCGACCACGGAAACCTGCAAACAGTCAGCTACCACAATACTTAATCTCTTGCAATGCGATTGCATACCATACTAAACACAACGAAGACGTAACTGGCGCGAAGGAATGCATAGTTGCCTTCGAGTTCTTTCAGGCTCGAGCCAACTTGCATGGCGGAAAGAACAAGACTGAAGAAGACGAATACGATAAGGATCCAAGAGAAGTTTCGTTGGAAGAAGATTACGTAGCGGTTGTATCCATATCTTTTCAAAACATGTTAGCGGATATACCTATCACATGCCTTTTGAGCAGTTTTCCTTTCACGGAGAATTGACTTACAAATACCCTCTCACAAAATGCGTATGCGCATACCGTATGCGATAGATGCTGTTGATCCGTCCCAGCCTCAGGTCGCCGAACTGGTAACGTTGGTTCACCTCCTGTAGTGTGTTGATATCCACATGTTGCATAAAATCTTTCACGAAATCTTTCCACCAGTGCCAGGTTACAAAGCTTGGTAGGAGCATGTACTCGTGTGCAATCTTCAAGTCCAGCGGTGTAGTGATGAGCCACACGTAGCTCACCAGGAACCCTGCTGCACTCTTCCACAACCAGCCCTCTTCCAACTTGCGCGTAAGATCAGCATCCCCTGGTTTGCAGATGTGCTCGTTCCAAAAGTCGTAGCTGAGCATCCACTCCGGTAATGGCTTGACCAGCAGCTTGGTTGAGAACTTCAGCAGATGCAAGTCCATCTGTTGCGTGCCTAGCACTTCCATGCCTAGCATCTTGTATCTGTGAAGTGGCCTGGCGCGCATGGGTCGGCCTGCCATCCATAGGTGCCCATGTATGCGATTGAGGCGTGAGAGATCGAGGTCGTGTTTCAGAAACTGGCGAGGGTCGTCGTTGGCGAGGAATATGCTGTTGCTCCTGCCGCTTATGGTGGGAAGGGAGTCTTCGGGTGAAAGCGCTATCGTCGTGACCGAGTCCAACACGGGCTGTATGTGCGTTGGGGTGCGATCCTGGCTAGGATCGATGTGGCCATTCTGATGCGCGATTTCGCGCGAGGTGGGGTTGCTGGAGTTGGCTGCGGTGGATGGAGGTGGAATGGGACGGGAAGAGAAGGGTGGTGTCAAGGCGTTCGTCTGTTACTGGTAAGCACTCGTCCAGGACGTGTCAATACTAGTGGGCTCTACTCACAGTCTGTACAGTCGTCTTCTCAGCCATGCTGCCCGTTAGCGATCGTCTCGTGTGTTCCCATAAGAAGTGTAACGCGGCACGGTGCTCTATATGATGCTTGACGCCGGCAAGCCTGCTGCGGCTGTAGCACGAGGCTCACATGCAGGCACACTGGCGCACCAGGTAGGCACATCATGACTGGGGTAGGCATCAACTCCGCCTTCTCGACGGCGCGCGGGAACTACGCATTAGGATGTGGGGGCTGAAGGCGGGGGCTAGACGGATTCTTGGGGCTGAATTTTGGTACTGGAATGAAGTTGTGGCGCTGGGACTTGATTGGTGAGCTGGTTCGTGTGCACTATTTATATCTGCGGACAGGTACCAAGCCACCACCACATGGGAAGGCGCCGTCTGGTTTTAGATACTACCCGCGTCAATTCTCGTTCTGAGACGACGGAAAGCACGTTACGACTGTACTGCTAGGAAGCGTTGCACGCCGGCATGCTTCTGCCGTTGAAGCACCAATGCACGCGCGATTCGCAATGAGATGCAAGAGCTAGTCAATTTGCCTTCACTTGAGTCCACCTTGGTCGTTCTGTATCTGATTTGCAAAGCCACCAAAAGTGTTGAAACGCCATAACGCCACCTTCTAATGCAGTTTTGGATATCATTGAACTTCTCCTGTCCCGTACATCCGCACATCGCCTGACCCTGACCGAAATCATTTGCAGTAGTTGGCAGGAAAGCTACCCTTCTTTCCATGAATCTCGCCCTCCCACCAATCTTGCGAGCTTTCAGTCTTCTTCACCACGCGAATCCGGTCGCCCTCTCTAAAGTTCAAGTCGCCAGGTGTGAGACTGTCGAAATCATACATGGCCGTCACGTACTCGGACTGGAAGGATCCTATCTTCTTGGGGGGCGGTGGAGGCGGCTTCTTTTTCCCTGCTGCTGGGTTGGGCGATGAAGGATAACCACCTGGAGTTGATCCGTTCGAGGCAGTAGATGGGATCTTGTTGAAGTAAGAATCGCCGTTGGTTCCATTGGAGTAGGAGGAGGCCTGGGATGTAGAAGAAGCACGGCGGCCATACATGTCCTGGCCGGCGCTAAGATGGGGTGAGCTACCTATCTTTGGTTTCGAGGCGCTGAGAGAGCTGTACGAGGGTTTGCTCGAGAGACTAATGGGTGGACCGCTCTCGGAGGTTGACGACAGAGTTTGAGATGGTCGCGCAGGTCTTCCGCCCCCTGTAATGGTGGGCACACTGTCATTGCTACTGGCTCTCCGACTGGGCATTACCTTGTTCCTAATGCCTAGGCCCGTCAGTGTCTCTCCCTTGTCCGGTAGTCGCATCGGCAAGTGAACCGCCTTGCCAGTCTTGAGCAAGCCCAAGCTGGTCTCCATCTCCTGTCGCAGTGGTGTGAAGTTGGAATCCCATAACGGTATGACTTCTTCCGGCTCGGGTGGTGGATCAGGGTATCCCTGCTCGTGTGAGTACTGGTGTAGCACCGTGTACAGGTTTCCAATCAGGTTGTTCTGCAGCACAATCTGGTTCGCCAGGAGGTGCGGTAGAATAGAGAAGGTCGCGGCATTCAGACGTGGTAGACGGTCTCGGAGGTTCTCATCGGCAAGCTGGTATGCGTGGGTAGAGCGCTCGAGATCGACTTCGTGTTTGGCCAGAGCGCTGTTTTCGCGCTCGGAGCGCGTCTTCTTACCCTGGAGGGTTTCGCAGCGGCTCTTGTAGCGTTCGTAGTCGACCTGTCATCGTCTTGTCAGCATAGCCAATGACACGACTTGAGGGTAGTCTGACCTTTGCATCTTCCCGCTTTTTGATAGCCTTCTCCATAGGCTTCAATGCATCTCGAGCGAGCTTGGCCGGTACGACTAGTTTTCGGTCAATGTCCTTGACTTCCTCCATCATATCCGTCTTGAGTTCCGAAAAGGCCTCATGCAGCCCATGGACACGCTCCAAGACAGCGGGCGGAGTTTCGGCATGTGCATGGGTGCTGTTGGACCCTTCGCCGCCGAGTGGTTTGAAGATGGCATACAGGAGCTCGACCGAGGTGAGTTGGTGGTTGAGGATGTTGGTCCACGCGTCCCGCCATTGCTTTGCTGACGCTTCGAGCTGGGCGACAAGTCAGTTCAAAACTTGGTGACAATGTACACACCGGGCTCCTGCGCCGGATAGATAGGATGCATTGCATCCATTGACGTGGATGGTCGGTATAGGGCTTGATGGGTTTAGGGATCGCCCCACTAGTTCATAGGACCGAACAATGTGAGATAATAAGCCACACCGGACGTACCTTTTCCAACATCGTCTTCGAGTCGTTGAAGTCCTTCAACATAGCTTCGACATCAGCCTCATTGGGCGTCCTCGTAAGGAAACGCCCCGTGATCCTTTGCATGCGCTGCATCTTGCGACGTAAGGGCAGCAATTGTGTGCGACGTAGGCCTGAAGTAAGAAGAGGACAGAATAATACAAGTAATGGGCAACGGCAGTAAGTAATGCTCGCGCGTCCACTAGCGGTGGCTGTGCTCAAATCCGTGTGGTAATTGAGGTGAAGGTAAGCAGGGGTAACAGATGGCCCCGCACCAGTTGTCGCAACAATTCGCTGCCCGCTTAGGCCAGTTTGTTGTCTAATTGGGGAGAGTGAGAGCACTCGCGGGGAAACCCATATTTGCCAGACTCAACTCCCAGAAATGGGAACCGAGTTGTTGCTACATGCTGCCCGCGTTTGATTTCAATAGCTCAGCAAAGAGAGAAGCCATGGATCGGACGGCATGGTGATGCAAGGCCACTCAGCGTTGGGCCGCCGAGCACGAAGACGTGTCATGACTGAAGTGGAAAAGACTGGATATGGGTACCCCCTGATGTGTTTCCGGTGAAAGCTCGAGGGCTTTAGGGCTGGGTAGCCGCTTCTGTAGTGTGCAACGCTAAACCACGTGCTCGCGCGGAACAGCAGGCGCGGTTTATCCCGCCGAGGCGCGTCACCGTCACATCTCTCGACTTTCACCCTCCACAACGACCCCGCCTCTATGTCGCCCATGCGCAGTACGACGCGTCTCGACCGAACTCCAACGCGATGACGGCCCCGCGCGGTAATACCCAGTATGCTTCTACCATCGCCGCCATAACCGCCTCCCAGAACAGCGCGCCCGTGGCAGAATTCCGTTGCCTCTATACACAAGATGTCAAACGCAAGCAGAAGCGGTGGCAAGACGGGTACCTTAAATTCCACACCTTCAACAGCCGGGTTATGGTCTACGATCAGGCGAGGAACTTTCTAGGAGATACATATTACAAGGACAGCAACGAGCTGCAGGAAGGAGACGAACTCAACCTCAACAATGGCGCTCTTGTAGAGGTCGCCGAGCCGATGGGCATTACACATACAGACCTAACACAACTACTCGAGAAGAAGACGAAAGAACAGCCACCACCTCGCCCGACTGCCCCTTCTCAGCCAAAACCCTTCCAGAGACCGTCATCAGTGGCCCCCACTAACGCCCAGCGAAACGCGTCGCAACTGCGCCACAAATCACTCAATACACTGCTTGGGACGCCGAAAGGGCCAATTGGGAAGGCTCAGCCTATGCAGTCCCCATATGAGGCTCGCAAGGAAAAAGAGAATGAGCAGATCGAGGAACGTGTGCCGAAGAGGCAGAAGACGGTCCAGCCACTCTCAAACTGGAGGGCCTCTAGCCCGGCCCAAGAGGAAAGCCCTATAGCGAAGAGAGACTCGGTCACACCTGCGAGACAATCGGACACGAAGAACGCTCGGAAGCCTGCCAAGTTTGTACCCCCGACAGCGAATGTCATCACGATAGAGTCCGAGTCCGACCCTCATCCAGCGTACTTGTCAGATGTAACGCTTCCGAGCACACCACCAAAACTCGCTAGAGCGAGGGCACGGTCTGGCACACTTGATACCCCAGCACCGCAGCCCGCTATACCCCAGCAATTACCCGTACAAACTCCAAAGATACCCAAAGGCAAAGTGTCGGTACCAAGTGTAAGAGCTTTAGAGACCCCGAAGCAACGAGCGCCACCATCGTCACCCCCAGTGAGCGCCTCGAATCGCCTGACGAACGTCGATTTTGCGCTCCAACCAACGAAGGAGCCATCTAAAGACTCTACTCCTCCACCACAGCCTTCACCTCCTCCCAACCGCAAAGCCAAATCACTTCGCCTGTCTACAGGTGTAAAGCGCGGAAGGTTGCTATGTCAGTCTTTGCCTCAACAAGTTGTAAGAGCTGGTAGTGAGGCCAGAGCGACCAGTTCGAAAGCCAGAGTTCGGCCAACATCACGCGTAACGACCAAGGAACCATCGCCTACAGTGTCACAAAACAATGATGATCCTCCACCACGAGAGCTCATCTCTACAGAGGCCAGACGGATGTCCAAAGACAAGCGAAGAAGGATAGACGGAGAGGATGGTGATGATGTTGCATTAAAGAGGGTAAGGATCTCCAAATCTCCATCGCTGCCATCGCCAAGTGTTCTCGAAGACCCAGAAGTCATACACGACTTCATGGATCAGCAACTACTAGTCCCATCGTCTCCTCCACAGCCTCAGACCCTATCATCTCCTCCAGAGAAAGTTCCCAAGTCTAGGCTAGCTACTACCAAGAATCTGGCGAAAAAGACATCCGTTGAACCGCCACCTAAACCCGCGGCTGCGAAATCCAAGTCACCTCCACTAAAGGAACTCGTCCGAAAAGCGCAGCCACGAAATAGCGCCATGGAGAAGCCCATATCAGTACACAGAGCCCCATCGCCTCCTATACCTGTGCTCGATCCACCGATACCAGCATCGCGAGACGTCTCACCAGTGCTCATCGAAGCTTCGGAAGCACGATCACGTACTTCATCAACCTCGCCTCGCAGAGTCCCTCTTTCAACTGGCGGCATACCCAAGCGACCAGTGAAGCGAACCAAGAAGCAATCGGCCGCAACAACCTCAATACAGGAAGGTCCTGCTCCACCTCCCCGTAATGAGTCCGTACCTCTCCCACCGCATCCACTTCGGGCAAACAAGAAAGGACCCATGATGAGCACGACTGAACTGGCATCTCTTCTCCAAAAACCCAAAAACCTCGCCAAGGCCCTCGCAGATCCCATCGAAGACGGCTCAAATATTACCAGTGCTGGCAAGTCGCCGAGCAGGAACTTCAGGCGAGTGAGAAGCGAGAACGACACACCAATACCTAGTACAGCAGATGATTGGGAGAAGCGCAACTTCCCAAAGATGTCGAGCGATATCACAGATATCGTAGACGAACCTGTTGAGGAACCAAAGAAGAAGAAAAGCAGTGGGCTCGATGCGCTGATCAAACGAACAGATCCTAGGCGGAAGTTCAAAAGGACGCAGAGTCTGCAGGTGGAAACCAATGTGCCGCCGCCTGCTGTGGGCGAGGTCGAATTACCCAGTCCTATCGTGGACAACGATGTTGGACCGTGGAGTACAGAAGCAGGTGATCTGTTTGATTGGAGACCACCTGGAAGAGATTGAGGAACGAGAGAGTAGGAAGGATTGGTGGTTTTGCCTTGAGTTAAGACTGGCTGTTGGTAGCAATGTGGTATGAGGCTATGTAATGATGATGACATGATATTGATACCCCACAGCATCTCAATTCCAACTGCTCTCCTTCTTTGATGGTGGCTCCCATCATCATTGTGCTTTCGCCAACTTCCCCTCTGCGCCAACAAAAAGTCGGGGCAATGTAAGTTGACGAACGCCCACGTCGTCGCAATTCCAGTCTTGACATATTCTGTTGCGTTGCGTCGCATCGCTATAGTGTGTGATTGAGAGTGAGAGTGCTTCATTCGTCATTCTTCACATTGCTACCAAAAGAAACCCTGAACGCCGGCATGTTGACTGTACGTCACACGACTTTGCCCTGTCCAGATAAACCGTGGACTCCAAAATCATGGCTATGTACACCAAGTAAAGCAATATTGGCCTCGAACACTTCAAAAGCCAGTGCTTGTGAACACATGAGGATATATACGCAAACACCTCGCCCTATCCAGAATAACCGAACGCCCCATTCTGCGACACACACGTGTCACGGAACCCAAAGCCAGTTCACATCATGACGATCAAGTCTACGATGTCTTGGTCTGCTTCTTCGCCGTGCCAATGTGTGTGTTGTACACCTTGGTCGCGAACTTGAGACTCGTAATTGTCTCTTGAAGATGTGCTTGCAGCGGGCTGACCATAACAAACATGAGTGTTTTCGAGTTGCCACCCAACGAGTATTGGAGGAGATAGGTGAGCTATGTATGTGTTAGTATAAGAACCGTTAAACGTCAATTCAATGCAACATGCCTTCGAGTTCCTGTATGGCACATGTGTGCCTTCCTTTGCTGACCCAAGAGCATTAATGACATCGCCCAGACAGCTCAGACTTTTGTTGATATTCTGCGTCTCCTTGAGGCGCGCACCTTCAGCCTTGGAGTGTTCGAGTCGCTCTGATCCGGCAAGATCGACCAAGTTGAGTGTGCCTTCGCTCCTCTCACCAGTGATCTCATTGGTACCGACAAGCTTCAGGATGAAGACAGAGTGGCTTCGACTGGAACGCATGTTGGCCTTGGTAGCAGCGACTGTCCTGTTCTTGTCGGCGGTCGCTAAGATCTCCTCAACACGACCTGGGCCGTCGAGCTTGACACTGACTGCGTTTTCGAGGATAGTCTGCTTCTTCGCAGCATCGTGTCGCACCTCAACCTTTTTCTTGTCTAGATCCTCTGAGCGGCCGAGCAAGTCGTTGTATGTCTCATTGTAAACTTCGAGGAAAGAGCCTTCCATGTTGTATTTCCAGCCCTTCTCTTGCAATCGCTGCGCTTCATCCCAAATCTGAGCTGTCGCACGGGGGATCATACCGTCAGCTGAAGACATGGTATGTGTCTTTCCGGCTCCTGTTTGACCGTAGCAGAAGATACAGACGTTATAGCCATCAAGAGCACTCTGCACGAGCTGACTGATTTCTTCGAAGACTTCGTTGTTTTGCGACGCTGGACCAAACACACGATCAAAGGAGTACGCGTAGGCGGATGTAATGTCCTTGCCAGTTGCGCTTTGCTTGCTTGGGCCGAGAACTGCCACTTCTTTGCTGTCGGTATCATTGTCCGGGAACGAGATCTGCGCTGGGTTACGTTCCGTGTCATGGGTTGGCCTCACGCGACACATGACTCTGATGTTGCCCTTGAGTTCTTGAACCTGGTTGAAAAGCTTTCGGCGCAGTGTCTCCTCTTGACGAAGTTTGTCGTGCGCTCTTTCAGCAGCCTCAATGGCATCTTGCATTCTCTTGTGAAGGTCGTTGAAGGCTTGCGACTGTGCCTGGCTGTCGGACTCGAGGAAGTCAATCTTCTCCTTCATCGCCTTGTTCGCCGCGTCCAATGTGAGGTTATTGGTTGTTGCTTCTGTCAATTGGGTTTGAAGGCCATTTTTGAGCATCCTCTCTCGATCGAGTTCGGACTTGACGTTGGTGAGTTCGCCCTGGACCAGTTGCGCCTCGCGGTGTTTCGAGTCTGCTTCCATCGCTGCCGCTCTAAGTTTTGAACCGTACTCCTCCTCGATCTTTTGTGCTTCTTGTGCGCGCCTGCTTCGCTCCGTCTCCGTGTCGGCATCCAGCTTTTTCCGTAAACCGGCTAGTTCCTCGTTGTGTTCTTTCAGCAGCTTGTCGATGCGTCCTTCAAGCTCGAGGCGTGTCTTCCTTTCTACCTCATCTCGTTCTCTCTCCATTCGGTCTGTGTCTTTCCGATGCCGCGACTCCAGATCTTCGACTTCGTTGCGTAGTCTCCGCCGTACGTCGTCGACTTCGTATGTGTGTTTCTGCTGCATCATCTCGAGTTCCATCTTTACTGACTTGAGGCAACTTCGTGTATCATCGAGCTCCGACTCTAGGCCCTTGTTGACGATTTCCAGACGCGCGCGGATGGCTTCGAGTTCCGTAACTGTCAAGATGACGTTAGCATATTGACACTCCACTAGAATCGAGATCGAAAAGCATTGTTCATAACATACCGCGACTTTGAAGTTGTTGAATCGATTCCTTGTAGTCAGTAGCCTGCCGCACGTCTGTCTCCATCTTCTCCTTGAACATGCGGAAGTCGCGCTCCATAGCCTCCATGCGTTCATTGTAGAAATCTGGACAGCGATCGTTAGTGAAGCGATTCAGAAAGGGTTTTTGTGCTGATCTCCGCGGTGTAGTAGATAGAGGCCGATACGGCGACGGATCCACCTGCTGCTGCTGCTGCCGAGTAGGCGTCGGCGTAGGCTGGGGAAGTTGAGATGGAGGTATTTTTGGTTTGAGAAAAGGGTTTGTCCCGTAGTCAGAAGTCATACCACATCCGACTTGATTGCTACGCACGTCTGCCTTGGTTGCGCCCAATGTGAGCGCGCCAACCGCTGTGCAGATGTCGTCGCAATCTGTATCGGCAGGCTCTTCGATGACCGGAGTGACGGCGCGGAAATGAGAAGGAGATGAGACTGCTCGTGCATCTGACACACGAGCGATTCTCTGTTGGGACACACTGAGGGAGATTGGGCGCTTCTTCAGATGAGAAGTCATCCCGCCAGGCACTCTTGCACTGGCGTAGGGGTTTGTAGAGATAAGAAATGGTTGCACACCTTTGCGCTCTGCTTGCTCACTGTCGTCATTATCATCTCGGTTCAGCATTGCCGTCGCAGGACGCGGCCCCTGCTGATAAGACTTGCTTCTAGCATGGCTTCCAAGGCCATAGGCCGACTTTGGTCTCACAGCTGCGGCAGCCTTGGGAGCTCCGCCAACGCTGCCACTGAGAGTAGAAGCTGCAGGATGCCTCACTGTCGGCTTTGAAACGGCACGCGATGTGGACGCTGCGAGTCCACGTGCCACGGTACTTTTGATCCCACTCGATATCTTCGACGGCGGGGGTAGTCGTCGAGAAATGGGCTCTCCGGCTTGTTCAGCAAGAGTCTTCCGTTGCTTGAATGCAGGCTCCGGTACTGGTAAAGTCAGCGACCTGTCCGGTGCTACTAGTATAGGGAGGGGCAATGTACAGCCGGAAGGCTTGTGTTTCGCTGTAGGTATCGGCATTCCACTTCGCGCGTTCGCGCCGGCTTCGTGCAATTCGCCAAGGGCGCGAGTCGGCGACGAGGTGATGGTGGAAAAGGTTGATGGTGGTTTAATGCCTGAGCGCTTCGTGATACCCTACAATGGTCGTGAAATTAGACTTGCGCCGGGCAAGGGATGGGGGCATACGTACCGTGTTCTCGTTCGCAGTGTCCATAATCAAATGTTGTGTACCTACGTCTAGCGAAGGAAAGATATCAGTAAAGCATATCCCGGCGCGGCCGAAAGCACAAGCGCGTCGTCGATGTCGTTAACGTTGCTGTTGCGGAGGTCGGATATCGATTGTTTGGGCCTGCGCTCGGACGGTAAACAGAGGAAGGCACGATCCCTGTAACCACATGCTAACTTCGGTTAGCTAGCATAGCGCTAGCAACGACCTTGTCGACTCCAGCGTTGCGTACGCCAACCTCGACTTACGAAGAATCGCCGAATGCGAACTGCTCTTCTACTTGATTATGTTCGGTTCAACACGGTAGTACGTCCACGATAAGACTTCGGCACGCAGACGTCATGATTAATCTTCGGTTCGACTCGTAACCAAACGATGGCTACACTCTCCTTCTCTCGAGAACTATGCATCAACGATAAAGAACTAGGCGGCCGCAAGGCAGAAATGGGTTTGGAGAAGGCATTCTGAAGATTGGTTTCGAATTGCCGCAAGAGCAGTAACTTTGGCTAGAAAAAATCCACCACGATGATTTCCTACAGTTACTTTAGTTGAAAACCTCAGTTGAAGCAGGTTGTGCGTTTTGCGCTGCGCTACGCAATGCCGTACCTTTTTAAGCTACATTCAGACTCAGATATCAGTGACGTCTCTACATTGACATATGTTAGAAAGAATGACGCCTGTTATGCAAAACATGATGAAGACAGCACGAGCGCCATCGATTCAGTATATATGGATCGATGCCCTTTGCATTGTCCAGACCATCTTGAACACTGGGCGCACGAGGCAGAGTGTATATGATTCGCTTATTCCAATGACTTCATCACATTCTGCGCTATACTAACTTCTTCATGTCTGGATAGTCTCTATCGACCCCTACCGATCAGGGTCGCCTTCAGGTCTTCAATACATCCTAATGTATGCGAAGCCGAAAACAGCATGATCAATCATGTTTTTCATCGGTCACACATGTCTTGATCTCGCAATCTCTCCTAACAACTCTTCCAACAGGACCTTGCCTTCCGTCCGGGTTAATCGCCATTGTGAGAGGAAGCATGGTACCACAACAAATAATATGAGAACAAGGCGAGAAGCACGACATGTTCATTCGGGAAACATGTATTGATATCGCATGCTTGCAACTAGAAATGCAGTGCTATCAAACAGCCATGAGGCTCTTAGTAACTCCTCGGCCTTCTCCTAAGTATCTTTTAGTTTGCCAACACTCATACCCTCAACCCTTTGTATTTTCTCCTCCATACCCGTATTCACCGTTTCCTCTTCCCCCAAACCTTCAAAAATTCAACCTTATCCTTAACACCCAACCCCACCCTTTTGACCCTCCCCAGCCTCGCCAGATCCTCCGCAACCCTCTCAAGGACCTTCTGTTCATCCTCACTAATAATCCCGTCATCGCCATTCACCATACCACCAACGTCAACGTCCATGCCATCACCAGCCTCGCCATGCTGGCCACTAAATCCATTCCTAAAGTCCGATTGATCGAAAATGTTGGTGTCGTAGCCGGACGCCTTGAGCGGTGTCTGTTTGGAACTTGATGTAGGGCGGGACGGGAAGTCTTGGTTACTGCTGTTGTACACACGCGAAGCGATGCGAACGCGCATTTGATGTGATGGCTTGCTGAGAAGGCCCCAGAACCACGATGTATAGCCACCGGGGACGGGTGTTGTGACGTCTTGAGGTGTGTACCTGAGATTGACGGGGTAGATCTTCGTCTTGCCATCTGCACTCAGCAGACTAGGGCATAGTGGGAGAATACCCCTGCCATTCGTTGTAGTTGTCTCGGGGAATACGCAGATAATTCTGTTCGGGTTCTCATCGGTGAGCTGTTTGAGCGAGACGAGCTTGGATGAGTCCGGTGGGGAGAGGGCGGGCGGGGAGAATGCGTGCAGTATGGCGCCTAGAAGTGTTATGCGTTCGACTCTTCGGTGGTTGGGGTACGAGCGTGTGAAGATCGGTTGGAAGATACCGGCGAGGTAGAGCGGGTCGAGGGGTGACGTGAAGGAGGACGCGATGATGGTGCCGGGCTTGGGGAGGTTGTCTTTCGCAGAGTGTAGTTGTCTGTTAGATGTGTTAGCAGTGACTCAGCGCGTTCAACCTCCGAGTATGGCTCCTATCTGAACTCCTCTACGCTTTGACTCTAATGGATGTTTTTGACGTACCCTCGTTTGACACCATCAACCTGCAAATCAACCCACCACACGCCAGGGATGCCTAGCATCAGCCACAGCACCCCATACTTCAACCTTCTCCCAATAGGAAACCATTCCAGAATCAAGAAGTATAGCAGTGAGAAGGCGACGACGAAGGGCGCGCGCACGCAGAAAAGGAAGAGGTATAACGGTAGCCAGATGATACCGACCGGTGGGGCGGGGACTGGGAGGAAAGGCGCTATCGACGTGCCTGTGTGTTGCCTGTTAGCTAAATAGTTGCTTTTTCGGGGTGTGTCAAAGGTGGTAGGTCGACATAATTGGCGGAGGGTCAGATTGGAAGAGACGTTATGAAGAAGGGATGTAAGACTACAATAAACTCTGAAACAATCGCAAAGGGATATCCTCAAACACACCTTTGTCGCGGAACTGACTGTATCTCTCCATGACGGGTGATGTCTAGCAAAGAAAGATGCAGGTGTGGGCGTAGTGTCACCGAGCCATGTAAGGCGAAGCCAACTTGCAGCAATCGCGAGCGGAATGAGCCTTAGCGAGAATTGAGCGTCGTCACAGCGAGGCTATGAGAACGTGGCAAAGAAATAAGGCGCAGCACTGCAGGTAAAAGCTGAACAAGCTTCTTACGCTGGACCCCTCCAGCGTGGCGACGACGTAATGCGGACTGTATTTGGGACACTTTGGGTGGGACGTAAGGTGAGTGATCATGCGAGTCATGTATTTTCGACATGTGAATGCCAAGACGGGCGTTCTGTTGGTCTGTCAACGTCAGGTGCGCGTGTGACAGCACAGACAGGAAAGACGTTGGACGGTACGATATACATCTAGAGCGTTTTAAGAGATTCTGGATTGTGGTCTGACTATGGGAGTGGTATTGGATATCTAGTTACTATCTGGCTAGCACTCCTGCCGAACCGTCAAGACAGACCCGTGGACATACATGAGCGAAGAAGGAACCGAGCCAAACGACGAGCAGCACGAATACACGCTCCAGTCGTGGGTATGAACAGACCATGCATGTTCCAGCCAGCAATGCAAAACCAACAAGAAAGCACACAAGTATACAAAGGAAATGGTATTGATAGTAAGTGCAACGCGACCCCAAAGGGTCTGGCGCGTCGCAATTGTAGAAAGGGGGTATGTGCCAATATTACTGCTTATTTTCATGGCTTCTTCAGCCAAATCGACGCCATTCTGCGCCAATATCCTCCGGTTTTGTTGCGTAAAAGAGAAATGTGACTCGTTGCAGCTCGGGCGCTAGCGGGAGTGGGTATCGAAGCACATTGCGCCGAAGCCATGCTCGCGGCAGTGGAAGTCAAGCACGCAGAGTCTGAAACTGCAAGACAATCCTCAACCACTAATCTCACATCTGCCCCCCTCAGACCGCCTCTTGATGCAGATTACAACTGATTACAAAGTACAGGTTCGAAACTGCAAGAGCAGTGCTCCTGCAGCTTCGGCTCGAAGAAAAGTGATTATGTCGGCGTGGTGAAAAGGCATGCGCAAGGGTGTTCTCTCATCACTATCGTCTCAATTCATGCTTACAAAGCAACATCAAGCACCAAACTGACATCGCTGACCTGCTGGCCGGCAAGATCCTCAAGCACGGGTATCAGGTCGAGGAGCTCGTTGTCGTGTGCGTCAGAGAACCAGCTGCTGATGGGAACGGCGTGTTGCGGGTGGAAGATGTACGAGGTGGGCGAGTTGTCGATGATAATGGTGTCCTTGAGGTCACGACCGATTTGTGAAAGATCCTGCAATATGTTAGGAATTGATAAAGCACGATGATGTTGGCGACCATACCTTGACGTAGTTGCCCTGGTGGTTGTAGCAACTTTCGCGGAACAGTCGGTGGTGGACAACACCATGGATGTCAAGCTGGTCGAGGAGCGGGTCACCGTACTGCAATGGTTAGCATGCATCATGTATGGGAGAAGTCCAAGCTTACTTTTGATACGGACGCGGTGAACACAACGACTTCGTAAAGTTCGCCCACCCTCTTCATGAACTGGTCGACGCCAGGTCGCTTGATAACGTATACGTTGTGGTACTGGCCTTCAATTTCAACAGGAATGGTGAAATCGGCTTGATGCAGAATCTGGCGTCGCGTTAACAAACAGAAGCAAACACTCTGTATTATCAAACATACCTTAAAGCTGCTATGGACTAGTGTCTCATCCAGGTCGAGAACCAAGCACTTCTTTCCTTGGAACCTAGGTGCAATAGGTCCCAAAAGATACTTCTGAGGCTCTGCTACCTCGGCTACCTCTGCAGTCTGGTGTTGCACAGCAACCTGCCTCTCGGCGAGCGGTGGCGGTGGAGGTAGATCGACCTTGGGATGCTCGGCCTCGGCCTCTGCGCTTGTATCCTCTCCCTCTTGGTGAACATCGTTGGTCGATAGCGGCACATCCTTCATCTCAATGTCGTTATCGATTTGCTTCTGCTCCTCGGTCTGATCCTGTATTATGCGCTCTTGCTCTGCTGATGGCCGAGGAAGTACCGGAGTAGCGATGGGCGTAGGGTTTGTGATGCTTATCTGGGGATGGCCAGTTTGTAGAGTACCGGGCTGGGGTGGGGACACTGTTTCCGTTTGCTGCTTCTGGGATGGGCTTCTTGTGATAACCGGGGGCTGCGCTTCCACTGCTGGCTGTTCGGTTGTGCCGTCACCATGGTTGGGCTTTTCAGCAAGACCTACTCCTAAGGTCTCGGCTCCGGTCTTCTCATCAAGTGGGTCTTTTGAGTCTGTGTTGCTGGACTCAGCAATGGTAGGCTCCTGCTTCTTAACGGGAGTTGACTGAGATGTACGTCCGGCGGGCACCTTTTGGGCTTGCTTAACATTCTCCAGAGGCGTAGAGTCGTCTCGAGGTTCCTTGGGTGCAAAGCAGGGCAGGCAGGATAACAGACCACCGGACTTCTTCGTCTTGCTCCGTGTCGATGCTGGACGGTTTGCTGTGGCAGGTACCGGAGGCGGTTGCTCGTTCTTTTCCGAGGGTGCAGCACGCGGGTGAGAGCGTTTGCTGCTCGCCGTGCTTCCTGCCCGTCGCTTGCCCATGAAGCTTCGCTTAGAGTGCTTGGAGCCTCGCCCAATACTCTCAGCGTCGGCCGCAGTTGCGCCGCTGAGGCCGGTGTTCGGAGTTTCGTTGGATTGCGACCCGGATTGGGGAACGTTCAAGAGGGTGCGCTTTTGGTTCGAGTCGCCTTCAGCAGCGGCAGTCGAGGGGCCTTGCGACGAGGATTGACCTGGAGCGAAGGAGTTGGTGGCAATGGCATTTTGCATGGCGGCTGCATTTTGTTAGTAATCAAGTCTTGGAGGGCGGCAGTGGGTTATCATGGTGGCAGTGATAGCACCAAAACATACCGGTGCCGTTGGCGTGCTCCGACGAGCCTACTGCCTTCTCAGTAGATGGGCGAGTTGCGTCAGCAGAGAGCTGCGTGGGCTCGGTGCTCATGGCTGCGCGTTGAGTATGTCAGACGCAACAACGCGCAGGTGTCGGGACGTGTAGTGATAGGCTTGGGGGGGGGATCCAAGGGCTCCTTGGGTCGTCGCGTGGTGGAACTCGCTCGTGGGTGGGAGCGGTGGATGGCTGGCTGGCAATGGCGTGACCCGGTCGCGATTGCTTGAATTAATGCGCGAGATGGAAGGAGCGATCGCCTTGTCTCGCAGCTGGGGCAGTCGCTATCGTCGAGGGAGTCCGAGGGAAAGAGCGAGGGCGACGGGGAGCGAAGCTTGGATACGCTGCTTGGGATGAGGCTGGTTCGCTAAGGTGGACGGAAATGAGACGCCGTCTTTCACCGTCATCAGCGCCAAAGCTCCACAACAACAATCGCCAGTTCACTTGACCAGCACGGGTTCTCTCACACGTTCGTTGACGCGATTGCGTCTGCACTCTGGCTCTGCTGGTGGTTGATTGAAACAATGCGCTCACAAAGATGGCTTTCTCGATAGCTGTATCGGGGCTGTGCAAGAGCGGCCACATTCGATAGCGACAGGGGCCTCTTTATGGGGGTCCCCCAATAACCATGCCATTTCGCCCCTAGCCTGCAATCGCCCTAGCAAGAGTGCATGGCCAGACTCATATACAATACCTTCACTCCACGCTGCACATCTCCAAGGGAGCACTATTCATCATCCATTTATCCAATCACATCGTCCACCGCATCGCGGAGCAGGCGCGTCGCACAGGGAAATGACAGCCAAGCATCTTGATCAAGGGCACATTACCCATAACCCGCCGCCAACAACTTCATTCTCGTTTGCCTATAGACTCCAGACAATTACGCTTCGAGCCCTGCATAACCTCACCTTCGCGAAACCTTCAAAGGCGACCGACTCCCAGGCCATGCGACCGTTCGTGCGGCCACAAGCTTGCAGTTGACTCACGGTTAGCACTTAGGCGCCATGGTACGGGGACGCGGCCTTGCCCTGACCTATCACAACTCACATCAGCCGTAGGACCCGATGCGCTTCTGCCGCCATAATGCTGGTCCAATATTGACTGCGCCGGCATTATCCTTTCATCGATACGCAGGAGTTACCAGCCGATTCTCAACATAATCGTAATGGTCACCGTGGTCGCAGCGTAGAGCGCTGAAGTCGTTGCTCGTTCTGTCACATGTCAGAGCCTGTCGTGTTCCACAGTGGCAAGCGCTGTGCAGGACGGCCCGTCGCACGTCTGCCGATCTTGCAGCTTCATGCGATGGCATCCATGTCCACAAAGTCACGAGTCGCCATCCTTGGTTTGCGTCTATACGCTAATCGTCCCACCCACTGTGGTGGTGGTGGTGTAATATACTTTGACGCAAGAGGCTCCCCGCAAAGCGCGCCTTTGCCGAACGATTCGAAGAGACAAGATCTGCGCTTACAATATCCGGAGCATACAAGCGGAAGATCAACCGACCGTTGCGTGCTAATCTCATCCGACAAGCCCCAGGTTGCACATGCGAGGGTGGCCAAAGTAGACCTTTTCGTCACTGTACGACCATTCTCAAACAATGTCCAATCCAACGGCGGGATTCTGCTTCCCAGCATTGCGCAAGGGGCAGACGTACGCATGACCGGCCAGTATTCTCCTGCAGAGATGTCGGGTTTCCTCACGCAGAAGATAAAAGTGGTGGCTTCTTACATTTCTCCATTCTCGTTTCCTGATCTTCACGTCGCTCCGAGGTATATATACACTCTTCCCCCTCCAGAATGGTAGTTGGTCATGTCGCGCGTCCTTTTCTCTGGTTGTACTGAGCCTTCGGTATAGTTCGCCTTTTGTTCAGCAACGATGCTGAGCCCGCAGAAGATGTATGCGACTTCGGTGGTGTGCGTGCGCTGCTGTGCGGCTCCTGATGAGCCTGATATAGTTGAGAACCTCCGATGATTCACACGTCTGGAAACTGTTTCGCATGCTTTCTGAAGCTTCGCATAGCGGACGCATCGACTGCATATAGCTTCTGCAGCCTAGCGGCTAACGGAAATAGACCTAGGGGCGGGAACTACTGACACTACGTCTTCACGCACCAATCACGACTATTTTGTTTTCTGTTTTAGCTATTTGGGAAGACGACTGTCTCCATCGCACCCCCGAAAGAGCTTCAGATTTGGAGCTAATAGGCGGAGGTTTGGCGATCTGTGCTAAAACACCATCCTATTGGTGTTTCGGGATGAAAGTGGGGAAAGGCGGGTGTCTCTGAGTGGCGCGTCCTGCTAATCCTATGTTGCTTGTTCTGCGCATCATCCGTAGCCTTAGCAGCATCTTTGTTACAAGATCTGGCATAAGAAATCGGTTGCCTTGGCGAAGGCAATAGAGTGGCAAATGCAGCAGTAGGTTCTGACTAGGAGAGCTACGGATTTGCTCGGCTCAACGATATACTAATATTGTCAAAGCGTTCGGGACCAAGAGCCTCCATGTCGGTATATCAGCGCAGAAATAGATCTGAAAGTCTCATACTCGGACTGGGGCTCCACGACCGGATGTTCACATTCAAGCTTTTGGTCGCTGCAACGTTGTCGCCAAAAACGTTGAGCATCGATCAGAGCCCCACATCAGACATATGCGGCGCAGCGGTATAGTCTACGGGTCTTCTCGAGCAAAAAAGCAAACACCAGTAATGCTTTGAAGTAGGTACTCGCCCGCCAGCCACACCGAAACAGCTGTCTTGCTTATGTCGACCAAAGTCTTCAACGATTTTTGCCCTGAGCACTCTCACCCTGAGAACGCAGGTGGCACACGTATTGGAAGATACTCCGAAAACTGGTTCCCGGCGACGAAACTAGATCGTATGCCTGTTTCGATATATGTGTCGGGAAAAAGCAGAGGATGAATGATGTGAGCGAAGGGGTTTAAGATACTTGAGAGAGCCATGCATTATTGCGATGGTTGAGGTGTGAGCTGAGCTGCCCAACTTCCACTCTTTCTCGTGATTGATTCACGTCGCCATTTGCTTCAACTATGGCACTGGCTACTAATTTGCAGCCGCTGGCTTATGCCGTGGCTTACGTTACCTTCTTTTTAGGCACCACTTCGACCTTTTTGAGATTCTACTGTCGCTACATTGTACTAAGAACTTGGGGATGGGACGACTACTTTGCTGTGGTGGTATTCATCTTCAGTCTCGCTCAGCAAGGTGTCTTGCATATGTTTCTTTACTGGGGATGTGGATTGTAAGGACTATACAGTTACCCTACATCGCGAAGTCCCGGCTAACAGATACACTCAGACATATGGATGTCCTTAATACTATTCAGCAACTCGAGATTGTCAAGGTATGTGCAAACGCAAGAAGAAGTTTAGTAAGGGTGTTTGTACTGACGAAAGACATCAGTGGCTTTTTGTCGAGGAGATAATATACTACTCGGTGCACTGGGTCATGAAATCCGCTTTCCTGTTCTTCTACCTCCGGCTATCGCCCGAAAGCACCGCCTTTCGGTACGCTGTCTACGCTGGCGTGGGGTTGAACACTATTGTCTGGGCTTGCAATATGTAAGTCATCTTTCTCCTCTTATTCTCCTCATTCAAACCAAACTAACGCACGAGACCAGGCTTCTTGCATGCATCCAGTGTCTACCCTTTGACGAGATTCTGCACCCAGGCACGCACCCAAATGCCTACTGCATGAACAAACTCATTGTCCTCCTCACACCATGCTTATTGGTAAGTACACTCTATTTCACCATTCTCACATTTCACCCAGCTAACCTTGAAACCCGCTTAGAACATTGCCCTAGACCTATACATCCTCATCCTGCCCATCTCCACAATTTGGAACTGCCAAATGTCTTTCCGTCGCAAGGTTGCTGTTCTCAGCGTCATCGCCTTCGGCAGCATCTCCGTCATCATCGCAATCTTCCGCTTGATCCCTTTGCTCCAACTTGGTGCTCAGTCCGCTGAGCCCATTGACACCTCCTGGATCCTCGGCAAGATGATCATCATCGCCTCACTCGAAGTGCAATTCGCCATCGTCGCCGTCAACCTCCCCTCACTCAAGAAACTCTGCACGAGCTTCACAGACGACGAGAGCCTAGTAGAAGCACCGCAAGATTGGAAGTGGAAAGCGAGAAGATTATCTTCACACTGCAGCGACGACTCCGACGATGACGATTTCTACGCTTCTGGAGGAAACGGACGCGGTCATTATTGGCGGAAGAGCAAAGCCAGCACCCGCGATAGCTACCGGGCAAGCATCGCTCCCAGTCTGGCATCCGACGAAGAATCACTTGAAGCTGGCGTTGCTGTCGCGCTTCCGGTACTGTGGGTCAAGACTAATGTGCAAACGGTCAGAGTAGGGAGGGGTCATGTCAGCAGAGGTCATGTGGTCAGGAGTCTGGTTCGATATAGTTTTGAGAGGGTTGAGGATTGTTTCCCTAGAGGCCACTTCTTAAGGACGTATGGTAGGCCAGAGTCGAGGAGGCCGATGAGTGTATTGCCCACTTGTATGGAAATATGATGCAGTTTTTATGAATGGGTGTGCATTTTTCTTGATCACAGTTGAGCTGTTGACTTTGCTTGAGCAATATTTACTTTCGCAGTGTGGTGCCTCACAGGACAGAGATCGTGATCGTAAGACTTGTCGGGGTGCAGTTGGATACTTGAACACTACGGCATGACGTTAGACGAAACCCTGCAGCTATGGACAGGTAGCCTCTGTTCCGTGCCCTGAGCAACGCAGATCCAGCATAATCATTTCTGTCTACCAAATAGAACTGTATGAACGATTGCAAGAGCGTAGACAGCTGTGCGAGGAGGCCGAGTCTGCTCCTTACATGGTTGACGCTCATTGGTCATCCTTGCCCGCGTGATCAGTCGCCTTAGGGCTTAGCATCGAACGTATCCGTATCCCTGAAGGCCGAGCAGATGTAAATCTTACCCTTGTGGTGCCCACTTTTAGTTATGAGGGGTGCTTTCGTCTTCAGCTACCGCGGAGATCTATCATCTGCACCCTACTTCTGCTCCTTCCCCCCATCTCCAGACGAGTCCTGTGCTATTTGGCGAACTGGTTGCAACATCAGTCTAGCGCAAGCTGTCAGGTTCAAGTTCATTGTGCAGGTAAGCAGGATGCCTAGCTTCATATAGGTATCGATTTCAGCGAGCGGCCTGCCTATGGGAGGGCTTGCAGATAATTTACAATGATCCTAAATATCTCCGCTATGTTTTCAGACTAGGAGATCGCTCATGCTGACTTTGATTCGCCTTGGGGAAGAATGGCAACTACGGATGGTACATATATCGATAGCTTCAAGCATGAGCCACTCGAGACTACCAGACAGCAGATCCGACTTATATCTATCATCCCCGAATCTTCTGGCCAAATCAATTGCAAACTCGAGAACGCCTATCTCGAAGATGATAAGACGCCAGACTATCGGGCGATCTCCTACGTGTGGGGTCCGCCTACACCGCTCGCACATATCAGCATCAACGGCCAGTCGTTTGAAGTACGTCAGAATCTCCACGCATTTCTCGAGGCTTTTAGAGCGCGACTCTTCAAATTCCGAAGTAACAGCTTCTACGAGGCCGACACACAGTGGTTGTGGATTGACCAGATTTGCATCTATCAAACGGTGATCAGCGAACGAAATCATCAGGTACAAATGATGTCTGAGATCTACAGTCGAGCCGCTTATGTCTATGTATGGCTCGGGCCATCTCAAGCTGACGTTGAGGCGGCAATGACATTGCTGAAGTCTGGCCTGAGACACTATCACGAAGAAAGAACCTTTTCGTCACAAAAGAAGAAACGCAAGCGTTATCGAGTTCTTGAATTCGATGAAGAAGGGGATACTAGGAACAAAACTAGCTCTCAGCCGCCTTCCCTACCTATCTCCGCGCTCAGACGCTTCTTCGAAAACACGTACTGGCAAAGACTCTGGATTGTGCAAGAAATCATGCTGGCTCGATATGTTCGAATCATCTGCGGAGAGACTTTGCTTTCATGGGATGAGCTAAAGCGATTTTGCCTATCAAGCATACCGCGACTATCTGCTCAGGTTCAAGACTGTGTACCGAAACAGGTCATCTGGCTTGCAAAACATGCGCTTTCGGCAAAGAAATACACGTACAGTGACCTGCTTGCAACCTTCAGTAAAAGTCAATGCTACGATACAAGGGATAAAGTTTATGGCTTGCAAGGTCTAATTAAGCCGGTTGCACGACTGAAGATAGACTACGCCAAGAGTGCCACGGCTGTATTTCGAGATGCATTTCGATCGATGGACGAAGACGAAAGTGATCTAGTGCGGCTCGGAGATGGCCTCAAACGACTTCAGTATGGAGACTCGGCAGAGAAAGTTCTTCAGCAAGCTTGCTTGATCTTGGCAGCAGAAGCAGAATCAATTGTCCGACTACCATTCATCATTGCGCTTGAGGAGCTTGGGGATCATATGGGACTTTATAAGCGACCATCATATTCCGCGTGCATAGGTCGGAAAGCTTTACAGCGGATAGACTTCCTCTGGTCTCAGATCACCGCACATTACACAGAGAGATTGTTGCCTGCTCTCTATGAGGGAGACAATAGCAAGTCTGGCAATAGAGAGTATCTTTTGCAGATTGTCTCCGTTAAGCTGATTGAAGATTTGTGGACAGCTTATGCAGACTTGGGAGGTCTCCATGCTCGTTTTGTCTACTGGAAGTACGATTGTGGTCTCCCAGCACATGAGGTAAGTCGAGATTGAAGCAAGATCTATGAAGGCTGGGTATACTTAGGGTCTAGGTGATTTACCGCGTTCACAAGGATAAAACGCACTGGAGAACTGTAAGCAAATCTTATTATAGCATCTGCAGTGACTTGATAGAGCGCAAGCTGACTGTAGTAACTCAGAAGTGGGATAGATACCGATTGTCCTTCTCCACCGACTATTTCTCGGAACACCATGATTACCCAACTACCAAGTTTCACGAGGAACATCGAGCACAACTCAAAGTTGCTTTGGAAAACGTTGCTTTGAATATAGTAGCGACCAACTCCGGCGCGCATCGTGTGCCGATAGACTAAGTACATTGTCATGTATCTTGTAGATTTTCGCATTCCAGAACGCTGCCCTATCCCCTGTACTGCTTTCTATTATCGAGTAGCAAGGCGATCAGACTTCTTACCTTAGCCTCCACATTTTGTATTGTAGATCAATTAGAAAAGCTTATCTTTCACATACGACCATAGGACACTGAAAATTAGGCTTCCCGTCCGCTCAGCCATATACAAGCAGTGTACCGGCGGATTAGTAGTTAGGTGGGTGACCACTAGCGAATCCCCGCTGTTGTATGTTTTTGCTATTTCGCATGGCCAATTCTTCTTTTTGAATCCGAAAGATCCCACGAGCAAAGAAGTTTCTATACCACAGGAAGCTATGCAGCCATCTAGATCGCGGTAGAAGCGAAGACAAGCTCTAACGTGAACAACTGTTACGAAGACTTGTACTGTGTTTTTGCTGATACCGCCGTTATCTATTCTAGCTGTGGCTTCGGTTTCTGTTCCGTGTACCGTTGATGATGGAATCGTTGACGATGTTGTTGATGGAAAGGGGGCCGAGGCTGGAGTGGCTGACGACGACGACCGAAATGTTACCGGTAGATTTGCGACGCTATCTCGTTGAATAAGCCATATGTGCTCCAACAAGTCACCCGGGTACCTTGTGTCTCCTCCTTGTTGGTTTCCTGTGCATTAACGACTTTAAACGCAAAAGAGGAGGTCTATCTGTTATTCTCGCTTTCTCAGCTACAAGCAACCAACACTCTTATTAGTCGCCACCAATACCGTGCCACTTTCTTGGATGACTCTAACAATGCCAATTTCGTTACTACCGTGGGGTCAGAAACGGCACAGCCAACTCCAGAGTACACGAAGTGGCGAACTTTCAATGAAGTCTATCGAAATCATTCTCGACACCGACCTCAAATATGCTCGATTTGAGCGAACGAGAATGGCTACAGAAAGGACTTGGATGAACTCCCGACGCAGAGCTCGAACCGTTATTGCCGCCTTGATTATTTGCTTCTACTTCATTTTTTCGCATCAAAGGTTGATAACACGCCCCAGTATACCAATCCAGCGCCAGAGTATGATTCACTGCCCCCAGAACCCCATGGCGAAGGAAGTACTGGTCGTCCTTCGTACAGGTGCAACCGAAATAGTGGAAAAGCTACCGATCCATCTCAACACTACACTGCGCTGCATACCAAATTACCTCATATATTCCGACTTGGAAGAAGACATCGAGGGACATCACGTCTATGACGTTTTTGATGAGATAAGCCAGGATCTGAAGGATTCGGTGCCAGACTTCGACCTTTACCATCAGCTCAAAAGGAAGGGTCGAGATGGCCTCTCTTTGGACGGCATCGCACACGATGGGAGCGGCACTGCAGGGTCGTTAGGCAATCCTGGGTGGAAACTCGACAAGTTTAAATTCTTGCCTATGATGGATAAAAGTCTCCGACAGATGCCGCAAGCAAAGTGGTTCGTTTTCGTTGAACTCGATACGTACCTGATGTGGAGCAATTTACTAGAATATTTGTCCAAATTCGATGCAGAGATTCCGCATTATCTTAGCAAGCAGATGTTTATTGGCGAGATACTCTTTGCTCATGGTGGTTCAGGATTTGCTTTGTCAGCGCCGGCAATAAGGAAGGTAGTACAGTATTGGAGAGCTCATGAGAAAGAGTTGAATCAGTACACCATCGCACAATGGGCTGGAGACATGGTCCTCGGGAGAGCATTGAAGGACGCTCAAGTACCACTGATGTGGGCATTTCCTCACTTCCAAGGTGATCCAGTATCAACGCTCGACCACAACACCACAAATGTCAACAGGCAACCATGGTGCTATCCCGCGATCACCTACCACCACATGCCAGAAGACGAGATCCGGTCGTTGTGGGAGTTCGAACAAGAGTGGCATCGTATGCGTCCAAAGGATGCTCCTTTGAGGCATGCCGATGTCTTCAAAGCATACATACACTCCAAGCTGGGCAAGGAGAATTTAGAATGGGATAATTACTCCGTCGACCCGGAATTCAGTAAAAATGTGTTGAGGAGCGAAGAGGCGCATAGCTCTGTCGAAGCTTGCAGGTCGGCGTGCGAGAGTCATGCTCGATGCCTGCAATTCTCCTACAGCACTTCCAAGTGTCTTGTGTCGAGTGCGATACGCTTAGGTCGAAGGTCGACGTCACAGTGTTCCATATATTCTACTGCCGCTTCGAGGTGTGAAAGACTCGAAGAATCGGTGGTGGATACGAAAAGGGGAAGCCTAGATGCGGTCCAGTCTGGTTGGATGGTGGACAGGTTGGCAGATTACGTGAGTCCTATGGATCAGAGTTGCAACGTCGATATGGGCTGGATCACCTAGGGGGTAAAGCAACTCGAATGAATACTGTTTACTGGTCAGTCGTGATGAAACAACGTTGCCAAATCGTTCTGTGTCTACGGTGCGAAGATTCAAGGCGAGAGAATAGCATTGACATTGTGCTGTGAAGGTGTGACTGTTTTCAGATGGTAGCTGTGATGTCTAGCTTAGGCGTCGACGGTGGTGGTGGAGTGTTGGTGTTTCGATCGTTCGCGATCGTCATTCCGCTGGACCCTTGCTTAGCCTAAGGTTAGTTGTCAAACGACGTAACTTCTCGCGGCAGGCGATCACTCCCACTTCACACACGGTTGCCTAGATATCAAACCTACCTACGAAAGTTTCCACGTGTACAAAGAAGACAGCGCAGTCGCCTCTACACATAGCGACATCTCGCGCACAATGAGCGAACCAAATCCTGCCCCGCACAGCGAACGCGACCCCGCGGCCACGACCGACGCGAGCGAAACACGCGATGAAGACAAAGACGACCACAAGCCACGAGACAGCAACGGCTGGGACGGGAAGCTGCGAATAGACAAAATGAGTATCGGTGACGAACCAAGAGATCCGCATGCGCAGGTTGTGAGCGACCCAGAAGTATCAGACGACGAGGGTCCGCCTCCGGAACAACTGGCTGCGGATGAGGATCTGCTCGACGATACACCAGAAGATGAGGAGGATATAGAAATCGTACATTCCAAAATCTCGGACATGTCGGCGTTGCGGTTAGAGAGGTTCAAGCAGATGAAGGTATGCCATGTCTCAGTCGTGGATGAGTTTGCCTAACGTGACAGCGTCTTTGCTTGCGCCAAAACCGCATCGAAAGCATCGCGATACCGGAAGATGTCGCATCAACCCTCACAGAAGTTGATCTCTACGACAACCTAATAGCGCACATCAAAGGTCTCGATGCTTTCACCGAACTCACATCGCTCGACCTCTCCTTCAATAAGATCAAGCACATCAAACGGCTGAACCACATGACGAAGCTCAAGGATCTATACTTTGTGCAGAATAAGATCAGCAAGATAGAGAATCTAGAAGGGTTATCGAACCTGCGACAGATCGAGCTTGGTGCAAACAGGGTACGGGATATCGAAGGGTTGGAGACGCTGACGGGGTTGGAAGAGCTGTGGCTGGGCAAGAACAAGATTACTGAGATTAAGGGCCTGGACTCCCTCACGAATCTTAAGATCCTCAGCATACAGTCGAATCGTCTGCGCTCAATAACGGGTCTGGAGAAGCTCGTCAATCTCGAAGAGCTGCACATCTCGCACAACCTCCTCACCGAGCTATCTGGGCTGGAGAACAACGTCAACCTCAGCGTGATCGATATCAGTGCGAATCCGATCGAGCATCTCACCGGATTGAAGGGTCTCAAGCATCTCACGGAGTTCTGGGCGAGCAACTGCAAGTTGAGCGACTTTAATGAGATTGAGAAGGAGTTGAGGGACAAGGAAGAGTTGGAGACGGTCTACTTTGAGGGCAATCCTCTGCAACGCTCACAACCAGCGCTATACAGGAACAAGGTCCGGTTGGCGCTACCGCAGGTTGTGCAGATTGATGCCAGTAAGTTCATTCCGTTTCCCAGCATGTCGGAGAACAGAAGTTGATATCGTAACAGCATTCGTAAAACAAGTTTAGACGGCCAGGTCTCAACAGAAACATGGTAGTAGAGGCAAGGAAGGCATTTACATGGCGCACTGGGAAGAAGCTACAGGCGTTTAGGCAAGCGTACACGTAGCATGGTGATATGGTGATGATACCCAATAAATGCATGGTATTGTTAGCTTGAAGCATTGCCCGTATCGTTCCAAAATGGCTAACGATCAAGGGCTCGCGTATGGAACTACAAGCCATGTACTCAGCCCTCGTTATCGCGCAATATATGGCTGTTTGATGGCACTACCGGTTCTTCTGTCAAAGGCGCTTCTATACTTTTGTTGTCCGTATGCGAACAGCTGTCGCGCACGATATGCTCTTGACTGTCGCCGTCATCGTCGTGTTGTCGAAGCGCCGTCGTAATGAAGCGACTATTCTTTGTTGTGCAAGCACCCGAGTTCATTTCGTATTCGCGCGAGTAGTAAACGTTCGTCGTAGGGCGAGTGCTGCTCTTGGAGCCGAAGAGATGAGGTGCGCATCGTGTTACCAAGGCTTTGAGCGCGGGTCCGCAGGCGGCCATAATCGCGACGTTGACCTCGATACCGGAGAGAGTTATGGAGACGTTGTACGCGGGGTCTGTAGAGGTACCAGATGGGTACCAAAAGTCATAAAAAACTTTGAACCGGACGATGCCGAGGATAGCTACGATCCAGCCGACAGAAAGTACAGCGCCGACAGCGAATTTCTGGCGGATGGCCATGCGCAAGTTCCACATCATGACTACGGGTACAAGGAGTATGAGTATGTCCGTTAGGATCGCGAGGCCGGCGGTGACGAGGGAAAAGGTGGCCATATCGTAGCACTCATAGTTTGGGTTGACCACCTTGCCGTTGATATTCTTGTCCGTGTAGTAGTGGTCCCAATACATGTGGATAGGCAGACATTGCGTCAAAGCGGCGAAGAAGACGGATACCATATGCCCAATGTTGAACCACCAGAGACCATGCAAACTCCAATAGATTAAGGTCCTTTGGTCGCCTAGTCTTATCAGAAAGACCAGTGCTGATGCTTTCACGAGACATAAGATTGGGTTGTATAACAGCTGCTGGGCCATGTTCCACTTGTCCGCCTCGACGCGTTGGTCCACGGTGGGTGTAGAGATATTCCAGATGTAATGTCCCTGGTTCGTCAGAACGACGAACTTGAGAAACACACCCGCTTGCGCAACGGCTAATGCCCATGCCATGCATATGAGGCCATCATCTAGGTATCTTGTTAGCTATGTGATGTAAAAGGTTGATGTTTTGCGGATGGCTTACCCCAATAAAACTGTTTGATCAGAACCCGGTGATATAATCGCAGGCCTACAAGAACAGTACTGACAGAAGCAAAGATGATGGTGATGGCAAAGATAGCTGGCTGCTTTGAATCTGACGTTTCACTCATGACTGTCGTAATGTTTGACGAGCGTGAGTATTAGCGTACAGAATAAGAGACTATGGTAAACTGGCATCAGCCGGCTACATCGACGTGTAGCAGGATTATGAAAGGCTGACGCCATAAAAAGCGTGGCTTGCAATACCGCCGCCATGGCGAAATAATTGAAATGAAGCACTGGGATGTGATACACATCGTACGTCGTTTCCGCAGCCCAGGCGTTCTTGGTTCGATTTAATTGATGACAAGAACTGTGCCCCAGGTACGCAGATCGTTTCCTTACTTTGATGCTGCGCCGTGCCGTTAATGCAGCTTGATTTGTTACCAGCAAAGTTCCCAGCAGTCGAGCTTCCGTTTCCCCGACATTCTGGAGCACGTTCGGCTGGAAGTCTGGAAGGATATCTTACTTTCAACACTTTCTCACTCAGCGCGCAATACAGCTCCCTGACAACAAAACCTCATTGACAGACTTTGGTATACAGATACACTGATCTTAGGATTTAGAGGCTGTTGATCGAAGCCTCCCGACTCGGACCACAACCGAAGCCCACGCTATCCCCATTTGGGGCACCTAACAACGGGTCAACTCCTCCGACCCTCCCGTGCCGCGCGCCTGCGTTAGCATTGACCTAGTAGTTTGGAATATACTCCGGAGTATAGCTAGCAATATCTTACCCGTAGTCTCAAAGGCGGGGGTACTCCAGCATGAGGATATGCTTAGCAATGTAGTCCTGAACGATACCTAGGTACCGCCATTGAGTGGAAGCAGCTGAGCTGAGGAAAGATTGGTATACCGGGGCGATACTGAGAACGGCTGTTCGTGACTGCAGGCGGTGACGGTCAATGCTAAATCCCTCCAATGCTCCACCCTGCATATGGTGGGTCTCTTCCCTGCGTTCAGAATCATGGACTCGCTGATGCCGATGGATCTCACCATTCACATTGCCATCATCGTCTTGCCAAGCAGACATGCCGCTCCCCCGAGCCTTTCCAAATTTCGCCGACTCTTAGACCGCCTCCTCGGTGCATGCAAGCGAGCCGTGGTAGTATAACATGGTACCATGTCGAAGTTTTTCCTAGCGAACTTCTGTCTCAGTGGTCGGTCGAAATTCGTAAGCTAGCGAGGAGTTTGTGGGAACCCTGCTCAAATATTCGTATGTTCAGAGAAGAGTGGAATCAGGCCACCTAACTCCAGAGGAATTTCTTGAGTGATTTCGTTGATCAGCCGTGCCTGAACATTGAACATTGATTGTTCGATGTGGATTAGGGAACGAACTCTTTCTAAATCCTTGCGACGAGATATATTCTTTGGACCTACGTCGCTTATACCGCATGTGCAGACGAGTATACTACTAGCGCAGAGCGATGCCAATCTCTAGTAACAACACCGATAGGGGGTGCAGCGGCCCGTTAGCCAAACCCGGGCCAGACCCCACATAACCCGCAAGTGTACTATGAGGTGAGACATGAATCGCGTACTACTGTCGAAGCCAGTTCTGATGGAGCGAGACTTCGGCAATCAATCCCGTGGCGAAGACCGCATGCGAGCTTAGTTAATTTTCCTCAAGTAGTCGCTTTTTCTCTCCTTTTTCTTCGTCGTTCGCCAGGTTTACAAAGGCTTCTTGTATGTTCATTGCGGCTTAACACTCGCAACCATGGTGTCCTCTTATATTGGCGCACTCTTTGTAGTGTCAGCCGCCGCCAGGTTTGCGCCTCGCTCTGCAGAACCCCCGATGCGTCTTGCTGATCGCCAGTCGGGCACCTTTGCAAGCATTGAGCAGACGACTGACGGAGCCATTCCTCGTTTCGACTGGGAACAGTCATTCTTAACGGATGCGACCATCGGGCAAGCCTTAGCTTCGGTACCGGCAGACGCAAGGTCTCTCTTTCAGTTCGCTTCGCATAACATTGCCAAAGACGCCGTCCCTGAGACAAGCAGTACCTTTAACGGCCGTCAATGCAAGGTCTTCCCCGGCGATGAAGATTGGCCGGAGGAGGCAAGCTGGTCGGCGCTCAACGAAATCACTAACGGTGCTCTGATGAAGCCTGTTCCCCAAGCGCATGTCTGTTACAACAGTAGTGCAAGTAGCTCAGACCAGAGCGCTTGCGATGCCTTGACCAAATCATGGACGGATCCATTCTCGCAGTATGTCAAGTACCGAAGACTGCTTTCAAGTAATTGTCGACTAACCTAAACGAACAGGCTCGAGGACCCCATTGAGTTGCTCAGTCCACTGTACCAAGGAAGTACGTGCCAGCCGCCTCAGATCTACGATAGTAAAGAGTGCACTCAAGGAGGCTACTCTCTCTATGTTGTCAATGCTTCGACTACTGCCCAGATTCAGCTGGCGCTCAACTTTGCTCGTAATACGGGCATCCGATTCGTCGTTCGTAATACTGGTCACGACTTTGCTGTAAGTTCTTTACCGTGGATTCCTTGATCCTTCAGTTGCTGACTACGTTCAGGGCAAGAGCGGTGGTGCTGGCTCTCTTAGCGTGTGGACTCACGGCTTGAAAGATATTGCGTTCATTGAGAAGTACGAGTCTGAAGACTACTCTGGTCCTGCCATGAAGGCTGGTGCGGGTGCTCAAGGCTTCGAGCTATATGCTGCTGCGAGAGACTTCGGTGGCACTGTCATGGGAGGTGAATGTCAGTAACTGCTTTCCTGTGTATAAGAAGTAGGCGCTGACTTCGCTTGTACATCCAGGTCCTACTGTCGGCGCGATGGGCGGATGGATCCAAGGTGGTGGCCACTCGCCTCTGTCGGGACACCTCGGCCTAGGCGCGGACCATGTGCTTTCCATGGAGGTCGTCATGGCAGATGGTCGCTATGTAACTGCTGACAAGAACAACAACTCCGAGCTCTTCTGGTCACTACGTGGTGGTGGTGGTCTGACTTTCGGTGTTGTAACTTCCGTCACCGTCAAGATCCACCCAGATCAACCTATCGCTTCCGCCAACTGGCTTGTCACCACAGGAAAGAATGTCAGCACTGAAGCCTTCAAGCAAGGGCTAAAAGCCTATATGAAATACTTCCCACAAAACGCCGACAACAATACTTATGCCTACTGGAAGGTATTCCCGTCGCCAGATTCGATCATGATGGACATGTCACCGTTCTTTGCCCCTGGGAAAACTGTGGAAGAAGCCAAAACTCTCGTTGATCCTTGGATAAAGGATATGGCTGCGCTCGGGATTGCCGTCGAGCCCAAATGGACGCAGTACAACGGATTCTATGATGCCTATAACGGCTCTTTCCCTGTAGAGGGTGTCAACAGCAATGGCGTCGCCACTACCTCACGCATGATCCCTCGCTCCAACTGGGCAAACGAATCGACTTTCGACGAGACTTTTGAGGCCATTTGGCAAGCGGTTGATGAAGGCATGGCGCTGATCGGCTACAACATGGCGCCATCCTGGGAGAAGGGTGGACGCCCTGATAACTCCGTCAACCCAGCCTGGCGTAACATGCTTGGTTTCATCATCACTGGCACTCTCTTGAACATGACAAATTCAGCTGCAGAGATTGTCGAGGAGCGCCTCAACATGACCTATGGAGTCATGCAGAAGTGGCGCGACCTCACGCCCGGCTCTGGATCGTACCTTTCCGAGGGAGACCGTCTCGAACCTAACTTCCAGTGGTCGTTCTGGGGCAGCTTCTACCCACGTCTCTTGGAGGCAAAGCGCAAGTTCGATCCCTTTAACCTTTTCTGGGCCACAGGTGCAGTGGGAAGCGAGTTCTTCAAGGTGCGCAGTGTTGATGGTCTGCCGAACGAGAATGGAAGGCTTTGCGTCAACCCGGAACCAACGCTTTACCAGGCTGAAGGTCCGGACTGGGTCCCAGAGTAGATAGATGGTATCGGGACGACCACACGTGCTTGGAGGCGAAGGTTGTCAGACCAACTAAACAAGATACTAGTGAGCTTGCATTCATCGCTTTTCGTCCCGTCCCGTCGCACCATTTCATTCTCGTCATTCGTCAGTATAGAAATCAACCCGGTACTGTATACAGCTCGGAAAGTTTTGGAGAAGGAAGGACTACCAGGATACAAACGTCCTTGTAAGCCTAGTGTGGGGGATCATCGTGCTCTAATTGCAGGGGCTTGACCATGACGCCTGTCAGCTACACATTCGCGAAGTGGGCTGCCTCGGACACATCGCGTGGGATTTGCTTTTTCCCTCACTCAGAGTAAATTGCCTACATCGATCAGATTGGAAAATATTGTCTTGGTAATGATGGTCTCCATCTAGGGTATTGATTGCCTCCTTTACTGTCAAGGTATCATATGCACATGCCACGTCAATGTCGTCTATGGCCAGTTAATGCTTCTTCCGTAACTACATAAACCTTCCCGTTGATTCCAAACTGTCCCAACTCCAAAAACAGATCATCCAAGCCCAGGTGTTTACTACTTCAGTTGTATTCTCTCGACTCTCCGTCGCTGCTAATATCCCAGCTCGGCAGAGCGGTATCTAGCCTAGTCGATGGATAGATGCGAGTTCGCACCTAGAAGCTCGCATCGCCGTTGATCTTCAAGCCATTCACACCGTTGGCGATACCTTCTGCACTAAGACCATCCGCAGCGCCACTTTGGTAGTCGCGAGTAATCTCGTCGAGCATACCGGCACTAGCAGCGACAAAGCCCAAGTACGGCCGGCTTGGGTCCAAGACGCGGGAGAGGTATTCCGGATGGAATTGGACACCAACGAACCAGGGGTGGTCTTTGATCTCAATAACCTCCATACGTACGCCAGCATCGTCTTTGCCAACAAAGCTCAAGCCACCCTTCTCGAGCGTCTCTATGTAGTCTGGGTTGACTTCATAGCGATGACGATGGCGTTCGAGGATCTCCTCCTTGCCAGCATATAGAGCACGGAGACGAGACCATTCGCTACCTGGCTGGAAGAGAGTCGGTCGGAGACCCAGACGCATCGATGCGCCCATGGTGGTCTTGTCGACCTCCGGCATGAACATGATGAGCTTGTTCTGGGCCTCGCCGTTGAACTCCTCGGATGTTGCATCCTTGATACCACAAACGTTGCGAGCGTACTCAATGACGGCGATTTGCATGCCTAAGCAGACCCCAAGATACGGCTTCTTGTGCTCACGCGCCCAGGTAGCTGCTGAAATCATACCTTCTGTGGCACGTTGACCGAAACCGCCAGGTACAAGGATACCAGACGCCTTGACGACCTCATGCCAGGCGTTGTGATACTTTGCGGGGTCTGTCTTCTGACACTTGGGCTCCAGATGATCCGAGTCGACCCAACGAATGTCCAGTTTCCTTCTGCATCGCATCGTGGCGTGTTCCAACGATTTGATGACAGACAGATATGAGTCCTGGAGCTCAACGTACTTTCCGACGAGTGCAATCGTCACCGGGTCGTGAAAGCGAGTGTCGTGACCTGTAAGCGACTGCCACTGCGCCCAGGTATGATTGCCCTTCTGCAGCATTGAAGGCGAGATAGACAGCTGCTCAAGAGCAAGGAACTGGCGGACCATGGGAATCAATCTTTGTTGCTCGAGAAGCATAGGTACTTGGTAGATGGATGGCATATCACGCACAACCAGGACTTGTTCGTTTTCGACCTGACAGAAGTGGGCAATCTTCTCGACGGCGGAGGCTTCGAGTTCTCGTTCGCAACGGCAGGCAATCTAGAAACGTCAGTCATCCACACGTAACACTGGCTGCCTGTGTGCCTCAAAAGACCAATACGCCAGCTATGTGCCAACACAAAAGCTTTGGAACTGCGCCAACAATGGGTACGTACCAGATCTGGGATCAGACCATTACTCCTCACCGCCTTGATAGCTTGCTGCGTAGGCTTTGTCTTCTGCTCGCCGTGGATGACAGGCACGTACGAGACGTGAATCTGCATGAAGTTATTCTTGCCCGCACGTCGCCTGAGCTGGCTCATAGCCTCAATAAAGGGCATGCTCTCAATATCGCCCACGGTGCCTCCCAACTCGATTATGCAGACGTCAGGCTCCTCGCCTGAGTCATCAACGGGTATCCGCGCAACCTTCTCGATCCAGTCTTGAATCGCGTCGGTGATGTGTGGGACGACCTGGACGGTTTTACCCAGGTAGTCGCCCTTGCGCTCGCGCTCGATAACGTGCTGGTAGATCTTGCCCGTGGTGATGTTATTGTCGCGTGTAAGGGTGATGTTGAGATAGCGCTCATAGTTGCCCAGATCGAGGTCAACTTCACCGCCGTCGGAGAGGACGAACACTTCGCCATGCCTGTGGATTGTTTAGTCTGAGGATTATAAAAGTGGTGGTAAACCCTACTCCTTCGGATTCATAGTTCCTGCATCTACATTGAGGTATGGGTCGACCTTGATCGACGAGACGTGCTAAGACGTCAGTATAGTCGGTGAAGCGCGTCAGTCCGCTGCACTTATCTTGAGGCCGATCGTCTTGAGCAGGAGACCTGTAGACGAGGCTGTGACGCGTCAATTAGCAACGATACACAAATGATCATCCTCGTGTATGAGTTGTTTCGCAGTAGTGCAATTCGGCAACACTCTTAGAGCCATGATCCTAGAGAGTCTGAGATGCTCTGCATAGACCGCAAAAGCCTTAGAGAGGCTCGAAGTTGCGTGACGCTTCTCGCGCACGTCACAAGAGCTTACCTATGATACCCTGTGTATACGCATTAGTGGTGATCAAAGGCGCAGCAACCTGCAGCTTACCTTCCCCACGCCGCTGATGACGCCGCCAGACACAAGCACGTATTTCATGATGTTTTGCTTTTGGTGCCTCAATCGGTTATGGGGAAGGGGAGGGAAGGAAGGAAAGCTGAGATTTTGCACGCGTTAACTTTGAAAGAAAATCTACGCATGGACCCTCTAGCGGGGCTGATCCCCGCACTAGCGTCCCTCGAGGCGTGAGGCTTGCGGCTTGCGGCCATCATCCTTCGGCGAATCCTGACCTCACAGCTTCATTGTCGAGGCATAATGTTACCGGCCTAGCTAGTGTCTCTTTGTGTTATTTGCAAATACGAGCTATCAAAATGGTATCGTGCTCCTTTCCGTCGAATATCAAATGCATTACAATACGGCCGCCGCATCAAGTTCTCAGACCCCTCTTGTATTGCGCGAACGCCTTGCAAACAGCCTCGTCGCTATCCGCCAGAGAATTAAGATATAGGTCGTTCAAGGGAATGTTGTTCGTTCATCATATCGTCAAGATGCAAATCGGTATCTGCGAAAAATGCTCCAGATAACCCAGATAGCAGCCCACGCCGCCCGCTATAGTTGATGCTTGAGAGAAAAGTAAATGCCGTCGAGGTGGTGTTGAGATGGTTATTCCCTACGCCGTCGCTTCAACTCGTCCTCCTCCGTGTTATCGTGCTCTTGACTCGCTGTAAGTCGTTTGCGCGCTAGCGCCTTCTCATTGCCCTTCTTCACTTGGATGTTGCATCCTTGTAACTTCAATGCTCGCGTAAGAGCACTGCTTGGCCGCATGCCTGGGAAGTCCTTGGCCGTATAGACCGTGAAGACGTCGCTCAGGACCTCGGTGAGTATTGGCGAAAACCCTCCCACATGGAGATTCATAGGATCGATGCGCATTAGGACAAATCGGAGTCGGTATTTGCCATGTGTACGACACGAAAGATCTGGGAAGCAGAAAAAGCAGCCTTCAGCATCATGCTCGTCCTTTGCTACAGATGGCGAGGCCACGAGCTGGCCCATTAAGCGCCGCGTTGTTCGTCGGTCGGGCTGTATGAGTGCCGTCTCTTCATTCGTTCCTTCTGCATTCCAGAGTGTGCAATGGACCACGTTGAGCGAGTAACGTAGCTCTTCTTGCTCGGCGGCACCGGTCTTGGGATCTGTTACCAGTAGTTGGATGATTGGCGGAGGGTCAATCACCCTCCGGTCGCGTTCTCCGAACCCACATGCTCGCGCAGCGATGGGTTGCTGCCGCACACGGAGCTCATAGTTCAAGTTTCTGCATGCGTCAGTGGGAGTTGACTTACTCGGCCAGAGTGGAGGTATCCTTACAGTTGCTCATTATACACTGGCTGTGGTATCGAACCAGGTAACGGAATTGCTCGATGCTGTTTCTGAGGTGGAGGGGCCGTCGCGGACGGCTCTGAATACGCAATAGATCCGTGTGGGGCTGCTATGGAGCCTCGATGTGATTGTGAGTGCTGGTGGGAACCTACGGATCCGCGGAACGGAGTACTGCTTGATGCATAGCTCGGTGTGTACCCAGGCGACGGCAGTGGAGGATATGGCCTTTGCTGCGAGCTCTCTACTGGGGAAGTGAGGGACGAGTATGGCTGCTCATGGTGCTGGCTATGCTGGTAGTGCCGGGGTTCCTCGTAAGGATAGCGGTGTTCTGTCAGTCTCCGCGGTCCTCTGCTGTCAAACTCGGAGCGTGGTGAGATGGAGGGACCATATTGCTGAGGAGAATATGGAGGGTCTGATCTAGGTGGGGTGTAGGGATTTGAATGCTGTAGTAGTTTCTCAACGGGAGCTGCTGATCTATGTACTGAAGGCGGTTGGGGGTAGTCGTGTCGCGGAGGCAGTCCAGCGTGGATCGAGGGCAGTTGATTGATGGGTGATCGAAACTGGTGATCGGACCGGGGTGGTACAGCATCTGGCGGGATCTCTAGCGGGGGAAGTCGGCGGTGAGAATAGTCGAGGAAGCCAGGGGGCGAGAAGATGGGAAGCTTCTGCGTCTCGGTCATATCTGGAGCAGGACGAGAGGTTGTTGTCAAAGGGAGCGATGGCGGCGGCGGAGGAGGTGGAGGTGGTTGGGACATGCGTGTATTATTATTTGGCCGGGCCAGGACACGATGCACGAAGCCGCATTGGGATGAGGTTTGTGTTCAGTTCGGAGGCTCTTTTTTCAAATTGGGAGCAGCAGGGAGTGGTGCAGTGTTGGACAGGACGTCAGGAATGGGGGCACTGCCTCGAGTGTGGCGGCGTGAGTAGTTTATAGTTTAATGTCCCTTGTAGGCGACCCTGTACGTATCTGGATCGCCAGCAGCCAGATCGACGGTCGGATGCTTGGATTCAGTAATGGCGACGTTGAAGTGGAGGCGCTCTGACGCCTTAAAACAACGGGCGCCCGGGAAGAGGAAAGGATGCAGACGGGGGTGGGCCCGCAGCACCCTGTTCACTCACAAGCCTCACGCCAACCGTCCAGAGTAGCCGGCTCGGAGCATAAATTTTGACCAGGACAGCGACAAGTGCAGCGATGAGTGCGTGGATCCGAGCTTGGCGGGCAGCTGCTAGTCCCCAGGTTTCAGACTTGGGTTGGGTGCAAGCGATATGAAGGCCGGGAGATGGGCACTATGTACAGTACAAGCAGGTGATTGTGTGGAGAAGGGTAGTCATGTATGTTCATCATTCTCTAGGGTTTAGGTGAGCTAGTGGGCGCATGTGGTCTCTGCGGCCTCCACTCTGTCTTGTCACGGCGTTCGCAGCCCATGCAGCTGGAGACTTTGGGACGCGACTGGCTCAGGGCTTGTTCGTGTCTAGGTGTGAAGTGGCCTCGCAGTATTTTCGTGGGGCGTCACCGAATAGGCTGGCAGCCGGGTAAAAAGAGAGAGACAAACAACGGCGTCCCGGTTTCGCAGGCACGTCTGTTTCGAATCAAGACGGACCAGGGTGTCGCACACTGTGACCTGACGGGCAGCCAATATGGAGCAATATGCCAGATATCACGTAACTCGGTCCATGGGCACTGGCGAGCGGAGGGTAGCATCGCGAGCGGCGGACGCTTTCACATTCGGCGAGGGTCCAGATAGAGTGAGGGAGTGGCTGCAGCGCGAACCTGGGAAAGGCTTGACAGGCCCATCTGTCAGAGTGGGTGCAGGCCAATGGCGAGGCTGGAGGATTGCGGCTAAAAGCGATCTGCCCTGCGACGCCTTTGTTGTCCGTCTCCGCGCACCCACTTAGGGCGGGTGGGGTCTGATGCCATGCTGGATGGGCTATAGGTGGCCCAAACTCTGGTGGTGGTGAACCCAGTCAGGACGGCTACCGGGCTTTTGGAAGACGGCTGCCGTCTCATGCGCCCATCTATCAGTGACATGAGACATTGCCTCCGCACCTGGCTATCGGACTCGATGGTCAACGGGCAAGGCCGCCGAGACGATGTCGGTGGCTTGCGCTTGACCAAGGTGGGCGACCGTTGTCGTTAAGAGCACACATTAAGACACACATACATCGCTTCCATGGCTGCGACACGAATCACGGCCCTTCGCTTGCGGCGCAACGGTTTGAAGAGAGTGGCAGGAGATTGGGAGCAGCGTCATGGGGTGTGTTGTTCAGCGGGTGACTTGAGCATGGTATGCGGCAGTTGCAACAATACTCTCTAGCACTCCCCCATGCAGCCAGCACAATCTACGGTGAACATGTGGACCATGATAGAGTAGACGCTCCAACGATGAACCAAACTCTTTGCATCGTTTAGCAGGTACAGACCAATTTCCATTTCAATTCCAATTCCAATTTCAATTTCAATTTCAATTACTAGTCGGTCGAGAGCGCAGATGAAATCATAACCCGCGGAACACACATCGCCTGAGTAACCAAGTTGCAATGACACCCTGGCCGACGGCACCTATTTGGAAATGCTAGCGCCACTCTTATTGCCTCCTCTACTCCTTCAGGTAGGACCCAAGGCTGATATTGCTGCCCGCACGGGTCCAGTGTACCTGCGCTGGCCCCCTAGCCTAGCCGCCTCCGCTGTGTGCTACCTCAAGCGGGCGCATGTCTACTTTGACACACTCCTCCTTTTGCTACCCCTCACCATCCATCGCGACATTACCTCCGGTGAACTGCTCCGCCAATTGCTCTACCTGGCACTTGTGGTAGCCAATCGTCTGCCCAGGCACCTGCCGTCTCTAAGCTTTACGCGACTTGCCAACCGCCGACCACTCACCACCCGCTGACCACATCTCTCACCGCCCGTCACTCCCCCAAAACACACACCACGCTGCTGCTCGACGGCGCATGAATCACGTCGCCACGCATCCACCACAGGCCCACCAAGAAACTCCCCGGTCGCGATCGACACGCAGCCTCGACCCTCATGGCTACTCGGTTTGGCAACTACATGGGTATGTGCCAACCGATCTCACCAAGACGGGTTGTTGGCGTCTTGACGTCTTCTCAAAGCGGTGTCTACTCGGCAATTGCTGCCTTGCTTCGATTCGTGCTGACTCGCCTGCAGATTATAGTGGGGTGTCAAAACTTCCTGCCTCTGCGACTCACGTTCTTGACCCACGTCTGAGAACCCTGGCTACGCTGATCCCCGGAATCTTTGCCGCCAAGCACTGTTTGGACGTCGGCTGTAATGCTGGCACTGTTTCAATTCAACTATGTAAGTGTAGGAAGGATACCCCTGCCACCTTTCTGCAACCGACTATTACCACATCTTGTCGATATTGATCAACTTGCAGCCCTCGATTTCCAAGCCGCATCTGTCACTGGCGTCGATATCGATCCCAAGCTGATTGCCCAAGCCGACAAGCTCCTGGCCTTGCGCGCTTCTCGTGCGAGACCCCCCACGACTGGCTCGGCACCCGTTGTCGACTACTTTCCCATATCGGCCGTGCTCACTCATGGTTACCGGATTGAACCGCAAAACAAGGCTGCGCACAGCGTATCCACTGCGTCAGCTGCCTGGCCGCGTGTAACCTTCTTTTCTGCAGATTGGGCCGTACCCTCTGGCCAGGACACTGACGAGTCATATGATGTGATCCTGGCATTATCAGTCATTAAATGGATCCATCTCGAACATCGAGACGCTGGTCTAGTTGCATTTTTTGAAAAATGCTCTTCGTCGTTGAGAACAGGTGGATACCTCATTATTGAACTCCAGGGCTGGGACTCATACCAAAAGGCCGTTCGCCCAAACCACTCTCCGCATTTTCAAGAGACTTTGATGGAGCTCCAGTTACGACCGGAGACTTCGTTCGACCACCTCCTTGCGAATCAAGGTCTGCAGCTCTGCGCTTCATCGGATGCACTTCCTCGCCGCATCAATGTATATCGCAAGGTCTGAAAGCAGATCTCTGGATAGACAATATGGGTAGGGTTAAACAGTCTACCACCAGGATTACGTTTCACCGTGTTCGAGATTCAAGCCTTTAGCATCGGGAATTACCATCTCATCTAGCTCGAAGAGATGTTCGACTCATTCATGGCATTCCTCGCGTCGACTAATCTTTACACTGTAGCGCACGGTTACTCTGCAATTGCTATCCGTCCTTTTGCCGCGCCAGCGCCTATTGCATCTGAGCCTTTTCTTTTGTTGGTCAATTTTACAAAAGTTTGATAGAGTATTGCTATCACAAGACTTCGAACACTATCCCAACCCGCGGTCAGTTACTACAAACGGCTGGTCTGCGCTCCACTTTCTTGGGGTTCTCCGGGCCTGAACCCTGCATGCCGATCTTCCCTCACCATTCCAGGTTCTATCAATCCATGTATCGTACGATTGCGGCAGCTGTGGAAGTAAAGATCGACCAAATAACAGGATTTCCAAAGTTTCCGCCTAGATATTCGCTTCAATATCGAAATATGCAGCTACAACTTATCCTTGATCGTAGCGGTGACCTCGAAATCTGTCTCTGGCAGGCCACGGTGGAGCAATGTGAGATTGCGAAACCTGCATTAGCCGCGTCACTACATAATCCGCAGAACTAACCAATGGTGGCTCGGAAGCTTTTCGGCGTATACCGGATACCCATTCTGTGGTTCTCCAGACCGTAGGTCACATGTCATCCGCTAACGCAAACCTTATCCCACACCGGATCTCGTGCAGGCCGAGGTTTTCTACTACACTATCATGTCTACTGCGAGCCGCACCTTCTTCTTGTAACGTCATTCCCTATAGCCGGCTCTAGATGTTTCGATAAGTGGTGATCGCTCTCCGGTCAAGATAATGTGACAAATGCTAGGTGGCTGGAAGGCAAGTTCGGCGAATCGATAGTACCATGATTTTAACCTAGCCTGCCATCGGCGACTAGTTATGAACCACCATAGAACCCGGAACTATCAAACTCTCGTTGATGGAGTGAAGGCTAATCCTAGGAAAGGAGAGATGCGATGTGACCTCTCTTATCACAGTCGAACTATATCCGCCTCTATGACTTTATGGAGATGTAAAACTCTCAAATTTCTTTCTGTTCTTCCTGAATCTCCGCGGCTGCCGCAGAAGTTCAAGCGCTTGGCTTCCCTCACCAGCAAACAACGAAAGCTAGCTCGTGACTGCTAGACAAGTCGACTGTTGGGAGAGCATGTTCCACCTGTTTAGTGCGAATAAAGCAGGATCTTGTTCTAAGAGCAAGTCTCATGCTCTACAAGATACAACTACCAGTACATGAGTGTATACAAGCCGATGACTTGGTAGTTTGGCCATCAATCTCGCTGGATACACTTTGCATAGTCCAAAGATCTCAAGGGGTGTTGGATCTTGCAGTCGGAGCCAAACCTCGCGAAAGGCAGATGGGTTCCTGATACGCACAGTCAAACCGTTGTTCAGTTTCGACCACATTTATGTAGCCGTACAGTATCAACAGCTTGCTTCCCTCGAAAGCTGCACCATGGAACGCTGATGCAGTATTTCATGAATTATCAAGTCCACCGCAGCGATGCAAGGCGACATGATCTTGTCTTTGGTAGGTAGAGAAGACCGATGAGGCACTCCCATGCCAACCGAGCACGCTTCCGACTACTGTCGTCAGCAAGCATGAGCCTATCGGGATCCAGCATCTCTGCTTGCTTGGGTTGTACGGCAGCCAATATGGTCACCGATAAACGCATCGGCAGTTTCTCTCTAGCCGATAGGGTAAATCACCGTAGATGCTTTTATGCCGTGCTCGAAAGTGTCAGCTCTGGCTAGCCAATTGCAATGCGGTATCTCAATCGTGAAACGGCATCGCCATTCGTATTCTTGCGATCATCAGTTCATCCAGTCTCTATTGCGTTATAGATGACACACAACTGTAGAGGAAGATTGGCTGACATCGAGTACGCCCTACACACTGTTTGCGATGGTTAGGAAATGTCGACTGACTGGGGCGGCCCACTGATGGACAACACATCGACGGACAGCTGCTTCGTGGACACACCACGTACCGCACAACAGCGTCTTGCACAAGTGATGCTGCCCAAGAACATGTCGTGAGCTGGCTCTGGGTGACAACACAGTCACTGCACCTTGCGCCTATCTCCTCGACCTGGACTCCCGATAATAACCCGCAAAGATCTATGTGAAAACACTGGAAAGTCATGATTAAAGTGCACGTTGCATATGCAATGAGTAGAGCATACTGCTGTCAGCCACTGCCACGACTTCTCATGTCATTCTCTTTCCGTACTCGCTGCGGTTGTGGTGTGTTGATATTCGCTCCTGCCGTCTTCGGAGCAGGTATTGCACCTCCCTCGATTACGTATGCTAAGAAAGCCCAATGATACCGAGCGTTCATGCATTTACCAGGGGCTATGCAGAACATAGTTTCTGTCGTGACACCTTCCAGCACATCGCTCTTGCCTTGCCACGAACACTTGCATCTTGCCCCCGAAACACGAACTCGATATCGGCCAGTATGTTCGAAGGATTGCGCTGCAAGGAGCTCGAAATGACGGTCGCCTGCGTTTCCTCGACGTGTTCAGACGGGAGAGCATTGTCGACGCTCCAAGTCGGCGAAGCGCGGGGCTGGGAAATAGCCTCTGGCCACCTCACCTTGCCGCATCGGAGACTTTTGTACCTTCAACAAGTGCTCCTTCTTCCCTTCCCTGGGCTTTGCAGGGACCGACGCAAGACGATGCTAGCGACAGGGCAAGCCCCGGCTTTGGTTCGCGATGGCAATGATGCGTAGCTGCTGGAGCTTTTGCGGTGGCGGGTCATTTCAGCTTGGATGGACATCCACTTGCAACTAGGCGCGAAGCCAAGCACTGCACCATTCGGGCTATATAACCATCAAGCAGCGTGGAGGTAGGCCTCACGGGATTGCTGTTGTCCCTCCTGACGTCTGTACCGGACCATGATTCAAGCAGCGTAGTTTGCGTCGGAACTCCAGGCTGAGCCGAACAAAAAACAACCATCTTCTCTACCAAGCTGCGCCAGCCAGGTAAGCATCAGAAGCGCGCGCAGCATCAGTGCGTCAGCACGTGTGTTGTTCACACCACAGCTGGTGAGGCGTAAACGAACGGGCGTCGTATAGGGCGCTTAGGGGGTATGAAACGTCTTCGTGCTGACCGTGCGATAGGCTTCCTTGACGAGTCTCGCGCGGGCGCCTCTCACGATCCCTCTTGCAGATCTCTGGTTATTTGACATCCTGCCGAAGTCAGACGTAAGCCGGATCCTTGCTTTTGCCAAAGCGAATGACCTTCCGAGCTTGGTCACACAGAGCTAGACAACACTCAACACGACTCGGCATCTTGCCGGAGCTACGGAGATCTACTACATATACATACGCCATCGAAAACTACTCGTAGAACAAAGCAGACCGACGCCGAGCGCTGATCTCCGCTTACCGACCGCGAGCGCGTCGAGCGCATCACCGAGGCCATGCCACCCGCGAGCTCCTCCTTCACGCCCCTCAATATCCAAGGCGATGTCGTACCAGAATGGTTGGGTTCTTTTACTCTGGCTGCGCCCCCAAACACCGATCTATGGAGGAAACCACCATCAGGGGATACATCGACGGCTCCAATTCTCTACACGGCTTTGCGCAACCCCTTCATAGTAGCAGAAGTCACAGTCTCAGCAGACTGGGAGCTCGAATGGGATCAAGGAGGACTGGTCATATTCGCGGGCGCACCGCCAGGGCAGATAACGGCGGCAACAGCAAACGCGACAACGACACTCGAGGTCCCGAATGTTGCAAACATACGTTTGGACGACTGCGCGGCGCCAAGTTCCGCCATCTCACTCTCGCAAACCTCAAGTATTGACGACGTTGAGAGCTACGACACGGCAACTTCACAAAGCCCAGCAGAAGATTCAGGTTCCAGCCCCCAACTAGAGCGCGGCCCCCCACCGCCGTACGTTGCTCCTGCGCCAGCGTCCAAGTGGGTCAAAGTTGGGCTTGAGTTCTCCAGCAACGCCTGCCATGCCACTTGTGTGGTCGCAAATTGCGAAGGTGCAGACTGGTCATTGAGTGCACTCCCGCCCCATCAACAACGACGTATGGACTTGCGTGTAAAGATTGAGCGCATCGGCTATGCGCTGTGGGTGTGGTACGAGGATGAACTACTAGGCTGGAAGAAGCTCAGAGAAGTCACCTGGTTCTTCTGGGGTGTGGAAGATAAAGCCGTACGCGTTGGTGTCTATGCGAGTCGACCTGCAAACTTTGGCATCACCATGTGGGACCGGAGACACGCTGCGGGACTTGATAGCGGAGCGCGAAATCTATGTGTCGAATTCGAAGGTTTGGAAATCTTCTAATCAAGAGAGGAACCGAATGTCTTAGTTTCCGTCATCATGTCTTCTTCTCTTTTATTTATCGTCACATTTACCATCTGTTCATGCGGTTTGGGACCCATGATCAGTTTCTCTCTTTGCTTCACAAACATCCATACTGTCTCTGTTTCTAACCATCTCTATCATATACGCATCGTAATCAGTTTTTCGTTTCGGTTCTCTGTCTCTATTCGCTTTTCGCCGCGTGCGGCGTTGCTTCGGCGCTTGCCACCATTTTCTGTTCCTCGTACCGTCGCAGCCACCTATGGCGACTGTTCATGCACTGCCACCCCTCCTATTACATATCGCGACCATGCCACAGTCTCACCGTATCTGCTTATTATTGTCTCAGATGGCTGATGATGATGATGATGATGATGATGATGAGTCCCGATGTGTCACCTCATTTCTGGCTCCATTATCATCATCATCATCATCATCATCTTCAACTCTTCTTCATTACCTAGGACATATCTATTTATATAATATTACATTTATTCGGTAGCCACGTACATGTGCTCAAAGACGAAGGCTCAACATATGGTGGACTGATGTAGTGGTGTAAGCCTCATGTGACTTACGCATCTGTGATGGTGCTTGTGTAAACGCCATCGTGTGAAGCAGGCGGGTTTGTTGATTGAACTCCACACCACCTCAAAACTCTGCACGGCGATCAAAGCTCAGCAATACAAGTACTGATTGAAGGGGATAGCAACAGTCACGATGGGTATCATGTGCACTAATGGCAGACACGAGCGACGCGCGCAAACAACCGAGCTCATCTTTGATCCCGCAACCCCGAGGAACATGCTTCATCCGCATATCAGAACCATACAAGTCTTGCCATCTGAGTACAAGCGTTGAGATAAATTGCTAGAATCACATCACAGTCCATGACAGTCCCCGCATGAGAGATCGACTCTCGTTCTTTCCTCTAGTTAACGGGATCCTTCACACTCGTTTCATATCCGCGACTTATATTCGCCACGGATCTCGACATTGAAGACAAGATGATTTTGGGTATCTTACTGCTGCTGGTCTCGATAACTGTGGCAGTTTGCGGATATAGCGGTGCTCTGAACGATGGTCAATCGGCCGCTGCTGCTATTGAAAGCTCTCTCTCGCGCTACGCCACCAATTCCTTGAGTCAAAGACCCATTCCCACACCTTGGCGCTCAAGCTCACAACAAAGTACGCCAGTAGATATGGCCAGCATACTCGCTCAGACACCTAATATACCCCCTACAGTCGCATGCTGGGCCACTCCCTTTTGCGACTCGATCATTACCGATTTTGCATACTGCTATAACCTGACTGGAAGCATGACTGACCCAAACGCCGATGACGGACGAAGTGAGATATACCAACGTTGTCTTTGCACCGACAGAGGCACCATGTACAAGAAGTAAGAGCCCTTTCCAGTCCTGTTGATCTAGCTGTCCCTAACATGCAGACAAAAAGCATTACCCTGGCTTACCCAAAAGACGCAATGGACAACCTAACGCAGTGCTACGAGTGCATGCGGCAAGCTGGCGTCGACCTCGACAATGTCTACCAACTTAGCTTCCAGATGAGATTGATGATTCATAATTTCTGCAACACTGGGAGCCCGAATGTGTACGAGCTGCTCCGCTTCTTCCTAACCTGGCTCAAGTCAACAAACGAACCAGCGGACCATAATACCAAGTTGGGCGGTATACTCTCTATATCAACTCTTGCCAGCTATTTTACTAGCACAAGTGGGATGAACGAGCCTACTGTTATTTTCAGTTCCCCTCAAACCACGGAGACACCGTCGTCGGAAAATACGCTTACAGTCAGTGACGGAATGCCGCCAGAGTACTTGCAACAACTACCAGAGAACTGGCCCTACACAGCTTATGGCGTGGCGAGAAAGGCAAACCAAACTACTTCTTTCCCGCTGACAGATCCCACTTCGACGAGTGTAACGGCAGCGTGGCTTTTCCATAAGATGCTCTGGAATCCGCGACCGCTGTTCACCCCATCATCAGCAAGGAATGATATGTACCAACCAGCACTCCAGGACTGGGTACCAACATTCTTGGACGCGAGTGCTCTGAGCATAACAATCAATGCTTCGTCAAGTCTCAGTACCGAGATACCAGATCCCATAGCCACGCCGGCCACGCCGGCATCGGTCGGACTGGTATCGTTTGCTTCTTCCACAATGACGACTACGACTACGTCATCTGTATCTTCAACAACGACAACTACAACATCTATGATTACAGCGAGTCTCAGGTTACCCACATCTACGTTCACATTCATACCCAATACGCCTTCGACAGGATTATCACCACCCTCTGCTCCCCTTTCTTCTTACTCGTCCTCCTCGCAGAAGCCGGTCCCCGTTCGTCCAGCGTATCATCAAGAGTCGGTTCTGAGTAAGATGCCGGATCCCGGAGATGCTACTACTGCGTTATCTCGAAGAGCGCATCCAAATGACATTCCTGGAAAGCAACAAGAAAAGACGAGAAGTCACCATGGAGAGACATTATGGGGAGAGATGGAGAGTATAAGAGGAGGCAACTGAGGGGGGCGAACAATTGAAAGTCAGGCGGCATGGCTAATTAGCGGTGGAGATCGGCATGTAAGATGGAGCCGAACCAAGAGTGTGTATTGTGAGGCCATTCGTGTCATAATTACGTATTAACTATCTTTACTAAATATGTATCAACCTCCCAAAATGAAGGGTTTTGCAGACACGGCTTATACCACCCAGAAAACGCCAACCCAATGCTCTATGTACAAGCCCCATAAATAGGGGGCAATGAAACGTATATACATTACCCATATCTCCTTCTTTCTATCGCAATGACTACTACCTCTTGACCTCAGCAACAAGATAGGGTCCAATAACACAAATGGCAGTCCAAACGACCATAGTGCTCTCAACGCAGAGTGTGTATGGTGCCTTCCAAACAGGAACCTCCTGCAACCTAACCCAGATGGCGTAAAAGGCGACGTAAAAGAAGTGCCAAACCAGCATCCAGGGATGTGTGATGAGACCGGCAAGCATACCACAAGGTTCACTCACGCTCTTGCCGCCGCGGAGAAAGTACTTGAAGCAACCTTTCTTGATCAGCTCCAAGTGTTGGTTGTTGGCGGCGAAGAGACTGTATAGAGCCATGGCCAGGATGTTGATCACAGAGGAGCCGTTCTTGCGTTGCCAGTGAAAAGTCGACATGGCGGATAGGACGGCGGATGTGTCTTCGAGTGTGGGTATGTTGGAGGGAGAGAGAAGGTTGGAAAGGAGGACGACGTCGTTGAAGGCTACGGTCATGCCGCCGCCGGTGAGGGGGTGTCGCATGTTCATGGCGTCACCCAGGATAATGAGTCCGGCTTGTTTCTGGGTCGAAGGGGGTAGGAAACTATTTGGCATGGAGCGTAATTTGCCGGCTTCGATTGCTTTGCGGAAGGCGGGTTGGACGCATTCTGGGAGTTGGGGCAGCGCAACGTTGAGCATGTGGTTCTTGACGCCACCGTTCTTGGGGCTGGCAGAGGGAAGGTTCTCGGGTATGTCGACAAGGATGCGGGTTTCGTGGGTGCCAATTTGGTAGATGAGGATTGGAGGAGCGTCGGCGAGGATGACATGGCCGTGATTAGGCTTGGGGAGTTCGGCGTCGATCATTTCGAGGCCCCAGAACTTGCTCCGGACTTGGGGCTGGTGGGGAATGAATTCTTTGCGGAACTTGGAGGCGTAGCCGTCTGCGACGAGGGTGACGGCGCCGAAGTAGTAGTCTTGCTCTCCGGCGGTTTGGCATGATACGCCTACGACCTGGTTTGTGTAGTCGCTCTTGACCATGGACGTGACGGTTGTCTCGACGACGGTGACGTTGGGCGTAGACTTGGCCTTTGCACGTAGCTTGGAGATGAAGCGGCCGTGGTGGAAGGATCGGCCCTCAGGCGCTCTCGAGGGCCCGGATGTGATGAGGTTGTCGGGGTACGGAATGTGGACCTCTTCCTTGCCGTAGAGGATCTGGTAGCCGTAGCAGGGTATGGCATCAATGTCGTCGAGGCAATCTGTAGTGCGACGTCAGCGTTTCACTCTCCATGTATACAGGCGGTGGGCAGCCGTACCCCTCATGCCTAGCTTCTCCAAAGCATTGACACCACCAGGTTGTAGCAACTCTCCTACAATCCTGTCCGGCTGCTTTAGGCTCTTCTCGAGCAATATGACGCTTCTACCCTGCTTGCCAAATGCGACAGCCGCTGCGCACCCAAGAATGCCCGCGCCAACAATGACGATATCGGCTTCATGGTGCACGCGCCGCCTCTCTTCGCGATAGTCGTTGGTTTGGGTGGATTCGGCCGTGGGTACGGATTGTGTTGATGTTGTTCTCTGTCGCAGCTGTGGGGACGGCGATGTGGAAACTCCAGGCGGGAGTTCTGCGAGCTTGGTGCCAGAGAACATTGTGAGCATGGTTGCGGTTGCTGAGGGTCTGTTGAAAGACCCAATCGAGTGTTGTTTGTTTGTTTGTTTTGGCGTCGAACAGTGGGGTGAGTTGATGCGAATGCGATAGAGACGCAGGCAGCGTGGATGTCGAGTGTGGAGAGGAAGCTCAATCAGCCTTGCCGAAACGTCGCACGGCTAAAGAGAGTAGAAATAAACTTCACTCAACGTCAACACTCCTGTAGATCCAGGGTCTAGCAGGGTAAGCAGGCAGTCTTGGACACAAATCCGAGTGGCGACCTCACGATCTTAAGCCGCGAGATTGGTGGCAAGGATCGCCCTCACCGCCATGGCCTGTTCTGCCAGGGGTACCGTCGCCGTCTGGGCGACATGGCGTGAAGATCATCTCATCGCACCCGATCTTTTCTCGCTCTTTACTCGAACGACTGTCTGACGTTTGCTTCGGCAATTCGGTGCATACAAAGTATTACTCCCGCCGTCTAAGTGTACCTGCATATATTCACATGTTCGGCTCCGAGGCACAAGACTCCAGTCACACACCAACAACACTAAGTTGACAATCATCTGTCGCTCTAAATATCCTTTGATTTTGCGCAAACTTGATGTCTTGAAGAAGCCGAAAATCGACTCTCACAAGCTGTGTATATTCAAAGCGCTACATGAGCAACGCCGCGTACGCTATGGTACTCTAATAGAAATTACGAATAAAGCCAGTACATGGTGTAGTGTAGAAGGTGTGTAGTAGTGGTGCAGGAAACATGCGTCTCGTCGTGGTAAACCCTCCACCTTTTTGCCCCTGCATATGCGAGTCCGATTCATCATCGAACCATCTAAGCCATTGTGTCGTCGTCAGCGCATCCGAGGTAATCCGCCCAGATGAAGAAAAGGTAGAAATAAAAAGCCCAAAGACATGTACGTATACAGGTCGAAGCCTGAATGAAACGCCTCACCGCTAAGATTTTGCCGCCATGCAAAAGAAGAAAGGCCTGGTTAAATGTACAGATATGTACAGATATACACAAGATCGTGAGCGTCTTCGACGTGTCGCTCAAGTTGAGTCGTGTTGGAGGCGAACATGTCTAAAAGGCAGCGCCGGGACTCTGGTCGTTGGGAAACATGGGCGACGCCATCGGGGTATCGACCTCCATGATGGTTGACTGCCTTTCAGCATATTGTTTCTTAATATCGCCAGGCTGGGTTGAGCCAATGTGTGAGTTGCGGTAGTATGCTTCGTAGAGTTCACTCAGTCGAGCGTCCTTTCCTCCTTGGCCTGGAGCAAGCAGAGTGCTTGAGTGGCTGGGACGACGTTCTGCCTCGTCGTCAGTAGACGCAAGGATTGACGTGTGACCAGGCTCGACTGTTGAGGCGGCAGAGGCTGAGCGGCGCGCCTTCTGCTTTTGCGAGATTGGAGTGTGCGAATCCGGTTTGTGCGCATCCTCCTGAAAAGCTTGGTATGCTTGGAAAGTGCTTAGCCGGTTGCCGCTGCTGTAGATGCTGCTCGCATCGCTTCCGTCTCGTTCATGGTGTGGCGAGTAGGTTCGTGCCTGTAGTTGGATTTGGGGAGGAGCGGACGACGAAGGTTCAGAGTCTTGCAAGAAAGTTAGGGATGGCCCGATATATATCTACTAAATGCTAAAAGTACAACAAACAACGCACCAGGAGATCGTGTTACCTACTCGGCTCGTGGACCTGCACGCGAGGGTAATCGTACTCGGGCGATGGGGAGCGCGACTCTTTCCTCAAAGCGTGGCCAGGAATAGATGGCAGCTTAGCCGTCGGCGGGTTGTGAGGCGACAGCGGTGTTGGTGACTGACCAGGCGAGTTGTGGTAAGATCCTTGCTGCGACTTGACGCCGTTGTCATCTCCAGTGTGGTGTGAAACAGTGAGCGCCGGAGCGTATTGCTGGCCGTTCAAGTCGGCGGGTGACATGGATCGTGGAGATGTGAAGCCTTCGCTGTCGCTGTCGGAGCCACCAAAGGTAGGAGAAGGAGGGCCTCGTGGGTGACCAGGCGAAGGAGGAACTTGGAGTGACATGTCGACAGCGCCGTTGTGGTTGCGTCTTCCACTGAGCTCGGCTTCAGAAGGACGGAGCTTCATTGAGGGTGGAGAAGCTCGTCGTGTGTTAGGCTGGTTGGCAGCGTTGAGGTTCAGGCTGAGCATGCTGTTGTTGGCGGATTGCCCCTTCATGAGTGGCGAGTTGACGCTTCCTCCAACCAAAGTGCTGGAGCTCATTGTTGGGTTATCGCCCATGATAGACCCTGCTCTTGAGGTGGGTCGCGATTGAGCAACACCGGCGTAGAAACCAGCCTCGATGGCACGGATACCAAATAGATCGCCCTCATCCTTCTCGCGCTGGTTCAGTTCAACAGTGTCCTCCTTGGGTCCGGCCTCTAGCTCGACTTGCTTCGCCTTCTTCAACCTTCCTATTATTAGTTCCCGTAACAGTCATCTTAACATGGCCACTTACTTCTGACGGTTGTACAGCACTTTAATGAATCCACCGAGGATAGTAATAACCAATAGTGACAGGAAGACGACACTGTGGAAGATTAGTCTAGCACCATCCAAATCGTTTTTTTTAAAGACTTACATGTACTTGTACGCCAACTGCAGATCTCCAAACCAGTTCGACATTATGACTGCTACCTCGCGATGGTGGACAGTGCTCTTAAGCTAGGGTATTGTGTGCCGGATATACGTAGGCGTTACACCTGAGATGGGCTAAAGGTGCTGTGGTCGTCCCAAGTATTGATTCCGCACAAGTCGATGCACTCGGTGGGTATAATTTAGGCGGATCGTCTTGAGTACTCGTCGTATGTAATGTTTGAGTAAATGAGTGTCGGTTAAAAGCAGAGGATATCCCAGTTTGGAAGGCGTAGTGCAGGACGATATTCTGAACGAAAGGACGTGTATGCAAGATACACAAGAATGAATGACTGGGGTTGCGAGTCCTTGAAGGAGCAAAGCAAGACGAGCAGAGCTACGGGGGATGAAGAGTAAAAGAGCGTAGCTTTCACAGGCGCGCGCTGGCTGCTTCAGTAGTATGGCGCTATTCATACGACGTCGGCACGCATGGTTGAGATCTAAAAGCGGAGGCGACAGCCTAGGTCCTAATGCCCGCTCGTGTAGCGAGCCTCCAGACCAATCAAAGATCGCACGGTGCCATAAACGGAAGGCTGATTCAGGTGGACTAACGAATTTAGTTGTGGTTTTGTTTGACGGCGTAGTAACCCGGCATGCCCATGCAGAGCCAGCCCTGTACTCGTGTCAGTGCTCTCCGAAAACTCGGAAGAGCTCTGTTCGATATCAGTCTGGCCACTCGTACAGCGTAATGACCAGGTCACTTCGCTGATATCGATATATCCTCTTGCATTACGCACTGCAAAGGAGAGCGCAGCGCTCATGAAGCCAAAGCCATTGGAGCGGCAGCAACAGCAGCCAAGCAGCCAGAGCCTGTGACGGCACAGTTGTGGCGCATCAGGCACTGAGCCCGCGTCGTGTTGGCGGTTCACGAAGGCATGATTCGCTTCTCGTTCCGTCGAGCCCCTGACGGCGAGTTGGGATAGCGAGAGGAACAGGAATGGCGGCTGTTCAGGCGACCTATTAAGACCCACTTATGCTTGCTTGGCAGGGGAAAGGGACCCCAAGTTGGACATGGCGCCTGAGGAACTGGCCACTGCATATGCTTTTTTCAGCACAGCGAGCCCGACACCCACGCCCGGCATCCTTTTCCCGCTTGCTGGCCATGCGACGGCCATCTCCCGGAGTCCCTCCGCTTGCAGCAATCTCCCGGGAGCTCGGCAACAATTGTACAAGTGATTAACTATTCTAAACTCAGCTTCACGAGATCAGCATAGGCTGTTAAACGGTCACCGTTGAGACCTCCAACACGTCAGGTGAGTGCCAAAGATGCAAGCGACGGAGTAGATGCAGGGCGCAACTGCAGTGAATCCCACGCTTGCTCTGAAAGATGCGTGACAGGAGGAGAGCCTGTCGCACCAGCATGCAATGGGCCAACGTCCGTGGAAACGAAACGTTCCGTTACTCGCTTCTGACTCCTTCAGCGGCGCGGTAGCTTCTGTCACGACTGATGCTTGTAAAGGAAGAGAACCTTGCTCCGCGGTATAGTGAGTACGATGTCGCAGTAAGCACGCCATTGCCGACTTCCAATTAGGTCCGGTTTCCAGATAGCATACGTTTGCGAAATTGGCAGACTGCGGCCATTGCCCAGCGTTGAGGTTTGACATGTCTTCAGCATTATACGGTGACCGTTGGCGGAAAAGCCTTCAGCCCTGGCTTGGCGGGTCCTGAAGTTGGGCGGTTCCACGGTAGCTATCCACCTCGTACTTTTTTCCGCGCCGGCAACGCCGCCATGCCTATAGTGTGCGCCTTAGGGACTTATGTTCATCTCACCCCGTCATGCGAAAAGGGATAACGTGCTGGATAGGAGATTGCAGTCTTTGAACATGTCGCTTATGGTCAGCCAAGGACCAATTATGGGCACCTGGCGAAAGGTCCGTCGCGCTATCGATTGTAACTTCCAGTCCGCGCCCGCGTCATTTCGAAACGCTCTGTGTGGTGGTGTCATAGAGAGCTTCGGCCCCCGTCCTCATGATGTAGGTCACGCCCAAGCTTCCGCTCCGTCTTCTTGCAAACAATGCCAAGCTTCCACTTGCTGTTCCCTCCTATCTGACGAGCAGCGCGCAGTAGCTCTCTGCGCGATGCGAAAGCCGGGTGCAGAGGTTTGAACAGCATGCATCCGGCAGTTTCGCTCGAATTGTGCGAAGATCAAGTCTCGAGTTGTGGGTGAGACACGGCAAAGGGCGGTTAGCCTCTCAATGTATGCACATAGAACGAGGCACTTCTGGAAGGCTATCTTTCAGACAAGTTTGTAGGTATCCATATTCCTTTGGTAAGTAGCGTCATAAAGGCGCGCTCCGAGGGAATCTCGACATAAGAGCTTCTGAAGATCTTGGGTGTGTGGTCTTGGCAGCTCGCGATGTATGGCGTCATACACATCCTGTCTAGCGGCCACCCTGGAGAAGGGCTCTCCTCGCATAACGCCAACACTACATAGCACGAAACTGCCAGGTAATCCGGTCTTCCCTGTATCAAACCACTGTCATGGCCTCAAAAGACAAATCTTCCGACAACTCCAGGGTGATTAAGACTGAGCCCTTGGACAACAAAGACGCAAAATGGGCAACGCTTGTCAAGTAAGTGTTTAGCTGCTGTCGCCCACGCACGCGCTCAGCTTCTTTTGGGTTGTTACAAATGTACCAAGTTTCGAAGGCACAAAAGCCGCTCACATTTGCGTTAAAAGAAAAGCTTTTGCGTCAAAACTTGATTGACGATCCCTAGAATCACCTACACTGACCCCAAAGGTATTGAGCGTACATGGGAGTCTGGAGAGCGTCTCACTCGACCCAAGGGATCTGACATTGACGGCGTCGGCGTTGCAGCCATTCTTCAAGACCCGGCGAAGCCCAATGATGAGCCTCGGATCATCCTCCAAAAGCAATGGCGCCCACCCGTCAACGCGACCGTCATAGAAGTTCCGGCTGGCTTGGTGGATCCGAACGAGAGTCCAGAGACTTGCGCTATCCGCGAGCTCAAGGAGGAAACAGGGTACATTGGGGAACTCGTGCCGGATAAGACCGTAAGTAAGCTCTTTGAGTGTCAATAGAACTTGCACTGACTGCATGTCTCGGTATTCAGTTTCAGGCTACTCCAATCATGTTCAATGGTGAGTGAGGCTACTCAATGACACTCGTTATCCTCTTCGTCTTGCGTCCTGCCCATGGTCGTTTGCTGGCGATAGTGCTACACACAGAGCTTGTGTCACGACCACCATTTGTTGTCGCATCCACTACACTAGCATTACTTGCTACCATCTCTGCTTCGTATACTAATCTCCATCTAGATCCAGGCTTCTGCAATACCAACCTCAGGATGATCCATGTTACAGTCGACATGTCTCTCCCAGAGAACCAGAACCCACAGCCCGAGCTCGAAGAGAACGAGTTTATAGAGACGTTTTCCGTTCCATTGAATGATCTATATGATGAGTGTATCAAATTCGCGGAGCAAGGGTACGTTATCGACGCAAGAGTGGGTACATTGGCGGAGGGGATAGAATTCGCAAAGCGATGGAGGTTGGCATGACTAATCGGCAAGACCGCCAAGTACTCTCGTTTGGATGTACAATGCCCCACTGGTGGACGCCCATGGATATTATTCCGCGCACGTGAGCGTGCTGTAGAGAACCAGCAGACCCCCACTGCACCGACAAGTTCAGCCTTAGCTTTCTCTTATAACCTATTCAGTATAGTATAGTAGGGCAACATCCCGACCACGAACGTCCCCAATCCTTTCGATCTCACCTGATTTCGACTGATGTGTAATTGGCCAGATATCTGTTTTCGTTGGCTTGCCGCTAACTGCATTGCACCATCATCCGCTGTCCAGACTCCACATCCTACGCCACATCCACGGCCGACTCGCTTATCTCCGCGCTGATTTTATGGCTCTAGCATCGCTTAGTATAGTGGTCAGCCACCAAAATATGATCTATGACTTACGCGTACAGATTTTCCGTTCGTCCTGCGTTTGACCCGTGCTCCTGCATGGATTTGCTTGTCGCAAGCTGGTTAATGTCGGGAGTTGCTGGTACGGCCTCCATCTCCAAACTTTATGTGGCCTATTATCGCTTGTCTGTACTCAAGGCGGGCAAGTTCTGATACAAACGAGCCGCTCTTATGTCTCATATGCATTTAACTGGCCGTAGATTCGAAGAATCTCGGGAGTGTTGCACTGCATCGATGTTCTTGCTTTTTTGTTCGATCGATACCCAGTCCACACCACGATGGGGCAGGTAACCCAAGATATCTGCGTAGGCGTTTCCACGGCTCTCACAATACTCGCAAGTAAGCAAAGATCAAGCAGCCGAAGTTGTCCTTGTAATAATCGTCATCAGTCATTTGTGTCGCTCTCCGACTCTACACCCGTACTTTCATTGTGCAAAATACAGGCAAAGATGACTATGCTATGGTATTCGCGCTCGTACGTCATCGCAGACACTTGCTGCTCAATCATTAACGTGAGCAGCTGTTCACAGTCGCCTATCTTGTCGCCATTTTCATCTTGCGTGACAATGGTATGGGCTTCAGTGGCAAAGTACTGGAGCTCCAACAGATGTTGAATCAAATCCAAGGGACGTTGGCGATTGAGATAGTTTACTATCTCATCGTCAACGCTATCAAAATCTCGATTCTCTTCTTCTACCTACGCATCGGTCAGTTTCAATGCTCTCAACAAGAGGATACTGCTAATCGGTTCCAAAGCTGTCGAGCAAAGGTTTGAATACCTTTGTAAAGGTACAATCTACTTTCTGGCTACTTTCGGCGTCGTCTGCGTGATCGTATGTCTGGCACAGTGTATTCCACTCCACAAGATGTGGGACTTGACCGGGCAGGTTCCAGGCCATTGCATCAACACGACAGCGTTCTTCTACAGTGGGTGTACATATTCGTTGTCTCAATACATACTAACATTTCGTTCAGCAACGAGCGCTATCAATATCATCGCCGATATATGGATTCTGCTTCTTCCCATACCTACGCTGCTCAAAGTCCAGCGCCCGAGACGAGAGAAACTTGCTCTTCTAGTAATCTTCAGCCTCGGTGCATTCAGCTGCATCGCATCAATCGTGCGCCTCTACTCAGTTGGCATCTACACGGAATCTAAGGATCCCTTCTTCGATAGCGTACCCATCAACGTATGGAGCATGGTCGAAATTAACGTGGGAATCCTTTGTGCCTCCATCCCCGCAACCAAAGCCCTCTTCAGCAAAGCGCAAAGAGGTCGCACGCAAAACGGGTCTTATGAGTACCATAGTCGCGAACGCAGCGTCATGAAAAGCTATGGCCGGGGTAGCGGGAACAACAATAGCAACGACAACAGGCATGAGAATACCGCTAAAGGCCCCACCGGAGCCGTTATCCAGAATGAGTCGTATGAGCTGAAGGATGTGGAAGGTGGAGATCACGAACGGTTTGACACGAGAAAGCAAAAAGGTGATGGTGGGGCATGGCACGTTCCTGACTCGGATGTGGATGAACAGCGCCTTGTGTGGCCCGAAAGCAGAGTTTAAAGTTTGGTATCGCAAGCCACCTACCGTTCCTATCGTGGCCCCACCATTGCGTGCTCCTCTTCCTGTACTATGCATGACATGCTGTAGGGCTGAAGTTTGGGTTCAATGGCGTCTTCAACGTTTTAGTTGGCATCAAAAGGGTATAGGTAGTAGTTTGATGATTGAATGAATGTACCAGGTACCGGGTTCTTGGTTATGCGATCGTTGCCTAGTCGTTTGACTTGGTAGCCGGAGTGGAGATCAGGCGTGCTGCAGCTGTCCCGTGTACGGTGTTATCAACATATGCAGGAACCGGGTAAACCACCAGCAGAATCCAATAAGTGGTGTCATGCACAAGTAGTGTCAAAATCCGCGGAAGCATGACGGCTCTATATTCCGAGCTCCTTCTCTACCTCCAGATCATTGCATAATCTTTGTGTGAGCTGCAATCCTGTTCACGCATGGGCAGAGTTAGCAAACTTTAAGTTACATGCTGGTACCAAGGTTGCAGCTTCGAGATGGATGGTAAATTCATCATGACGATGGTGGACCGGATGAAGATAAAAGCGCGGCTGAAAGGATCGTCAGACGAGGTTAGCGTGAGATCTGCGGGGAAGATCGCGTGCAGCCATCAATCCCGTCCATCGCGTCCGTTCTCATCAGCGCCCATATCGCACGAACACGCTTTGGGAACTTACAGAGGTGCGGTGTTTCGATGTCCGCGATATGAAGGAACTCCGACAGCATTTGGACGCGTTTTCCTACTCTTCCACAACAACATACGCTCACGCTGATGCATACAACATCATACGCTTTTGAACATCCGACATACGTCTTTGATACATCGCTCTGTGTAGGTAACAGAACTGGGATCTCCAGCGATAATATGTCACGGGAAACAGTCCTCATTGTGCCTTTGTTCACGAGTAACAACTCTTTGTATCGAATTCGACCGGATCTGGTACCTGTGCGATCATGCGCTGCCACATCTCGAATAAAGACCTGAAGCCGCATGAACACAGCCTTGAAAATATATGCGTGTGCATGAGCTTTCAAATCTGACTGACGATCTTGTCTCTTAGAAGTAGCTTCAATCTTTCATTCTTATCTAATCCGCGAACAACGACGGCGAGGCGCTCTACCATGTGTTAGATGAGCTTTACACTCGGCGGCTAAGAGAACTGCAGTACGCCAACAGCCTTCAGCCTGCCGATTTTGACTTTCAGCAGTTCGCGATCAGCTCTAGGCCGATAGGCTGGCAATAGTGATGAAGTATGGCATGTCGACAATATTGCACTACTGCAAGCCAATACAGACTTTGTACACAAGGAATCCTCAACGCAGACAAAGTTATCGAATCATGGGGAAACAGTGATGAAACTAGCCGAGAGCCATTCATCGAAACTCTGAATATCGAACCAGACCCTCGGCTATCTATAAGCTATTATATCTCACCAAGATTGGACTGGAAGAATGGGAGGCGGTATATAGGATCGGTCAATAAACCGGCAGCGGGACTAGCGGAGTTTGCGAAATATGAAGTGGCTCGCGACAATGCAATCCTGATTGACGAAGAAGCGCCTCAAACTTGGAAGGAGATGAAGCAGTATGGCAGGAAGAAAAGAAAGGCTGAAGTTGTGAGCCTCGAACAAGACAACATGCCGTTTCAGATGCGACGCTTGAAGTGATAACAGCTCAGACATCCACCATTATTGGGTGGTCTTCCAATAGGTGGCGATGGTATAATGTGGGAGTACAGAATGCACCGGTCAGATAATTTAGGGAAGGGTAAACGTCCAGCAAACTCACCACTCCAAGGACCAAACGAAGCGCCACTCTTCCAGCAAGATCCCGCATTGAGTTTGTCCCAGCCGCTCCATTGGTTCAAGATTATGACCCAGAATGGTTGAACCTCATGTTCGGACAGCTACCAACGGAGACACTAGACCGGACACATCAGACCGGACTCAGATGCTGGAAGAATCGATCCAGAACGCGCTTGGCTAATATAAACCCGCAAGACGTATCTCACTCACTGAACGGTGAGATTCTACAATAATTCAACCTGAAGATGGTGCAGGAACACCAACTGTTACACGACATCTTATGGGCACTAAAGTTCCTATCACCTAAGGTATCGCGGATGGTTTAGGTCGAGTTGCTGGGCTCAATTATCATGAAAATGGAAACTGCCCTACCACTAATTTTCATTTCGTACGAAGAAGAAAACGAGGAATGAAACAGCAGTTTTAGATGTTTGACTATTCAAAGACTGTGGTATGCGTGATGCACGAAAAGATCCCTATTTAATCGTAATCCGTATCGGTAGCAGCTCCCCCCCACTCCGTCAACAGTTTCAACGTACCCTCACACTTCTTCCTAATCACTTGATGCGCATCTTTCCCCAACACAAGCCTAATTGGTATCTCTTTTCCTTCTGCGCATCCGCTCATCGTCAGAGCATCGACGATGACCCTACATGCTTTCGCCGTATCCCCTATCTGCTTCCCATCTGTCTCCGCCAGCGCCTTCCTCAGCTCTCCAATTTCGCCATCCTCATACGCATCGATACGCTTCTCACTTTGCGCTTGCACGTCCTTTGCAAGAATGGCAGTACGATACCAACCTGGCTCAACGACAGTGACAAAGATGCCCAAGGGTGCTAGCTCCGCGCGCAACCCTTCCGTAACACCCGATACAGCCCATTTGGTTCCCGAATATATACCGTGGCCTGCACCACTATACCAAGACGTTACAGACCCGAAGTTTGCGATGGTGCGATGACCAGACGTGGCGCGCAGATAGGGCAGGAAGGCTTTGGCGACGTTAAGGGTGCCGAAAACGTTTGTTGTGAAAGCTTTGAGGTCTTCTTCTGGGCTAGATGTTGTCAGCATATCTGGTAACCTGGACACCAATAACAACGGAGTGCGTACGAGGTCTCTTCTACAGCGCCTACGAGCACGTAGCCAGCGACATTGACCAGATGGTTGATGTACCCGTATTTGTCGTTAGCTTCTCTCGCTACTCTCTCGAGCTCCTTCAACGAGGAAGTGACGTCCAAGACCATGATATCGGCGCCCGCATCTTTGAGCTCTGCAATGCGAGAGAGGCTTCTGGCACTGGCGATGACTCTGTGACCTCGTGATAAGGCCTCAAGGGCGATAGATTTGCCGAAGCCGCTTGATGCTGCTGTGATGAACCACACTGGAACTGGACCGCCTATATCGAAATACTGTGTGCCTGGCATGACTGTTGTAAATGAAATGAGGACTGGGAGTGATCCCGTAGATGAATCATGCGCTGGTGGTGTCTTGGGGCCTTATCTGACTTGGGAAGTTGAGTCTAGATTTATGACCTTGGAGCAGCGATATCAGATGGTTTGGAGTAGAATGACCAACTACAGTTGTTCACAGAGAAACTTCGATACGATGAGGGTTGCAAGAACAGGGCTGACAAAAGTCCTAAAAGCAACTTGAAAGTTCAGCAGCGTCCGCAAACGGACGTTGTCATCGGTAAGCGTGCTGCACACGTTGTCTATCGAAAGATATGCCTTGTGCCCGCGGGTCGCCATCATCCATTGTAAACCCATTCCTGCGCCCGGTAGTGCGGTTCGATACATGCTTGCAGATGGTTGGTGGGAGTCCTCGTAGGTGTGCGCCTTGGCGATGTACAGCTTACTTACGCCCTGCAAGGCGGAGTACCATCATAGGTCTGGGTCCGGAAACAATAACATGATATCGAGGTAGGAAGCTGGAAAGAGAGAAAGGGAGATAAAGCATCGATTCAGACACGATTGGTAGGCTCGTACAAGGGTGACGTGCCCCACTTCAGCCTTGCAGTCGAGCGTAGTCTACCGCAAGACGGGATCAACTATTCTCGCTCGTGGGTATGATAACCAAACATCCCATTGACAACCAAGATATTTCTCAACAATGGCCAAGATATTGGATCCTGCATCACCAACTTGCCATAGATGTCTGCCAAAGTGTAGTAAGATTGCGTAGTGTGCGAGCACTATCAAGGCCACGGGCTGCTTCGCGGCCAAGAGTTTGGTAAATCCCGGAGGAATCAACATAGTCCATTCGCAAATCATCTGGTACCGGCTGATCAACAAGTCTTCGTCCCTTTGTGCTGCATCGAGCCCGACTTGCAGATAGCGGACTGCAGTTCGACATGCGTGCTTCTCCTCTTCGCTCATATCATCCGTACGGTCGATAAGACTGCTGACCATTGAACAATCGTCGCCTTCAGGTTGCCGGGAAGTAAAGTCCTTGCTCATTGACAATATTGGTTCGAGCTCGGACTTCATCAGCAGTGGCCATGCAGAAGTAGCAATGGTATAAATCCCTCTGTGCATTTCTATGCACTGGATGTAGTGTGATATGAAGCTCTCAATATTAGTTGAAGGATGTACTGCAAGTGTGTCCGCCAGTAGATGCTGACCCAGCATTGAAGAGAAGAGTAGCATCGGTACGCAATTGAGCTGGTTCACGTCGACTCTGGTGGTATTGAAGATCGAGACCGCACGTGTCTGCAAGGACACAGCTTGATGACGGTAGTAGGCTGAGCGGTCCGGGTTCCCATGCGCTAAATGGTAAGCGGAGAAAGCTAGAATTTGGTGCATGAGGTATGGTGCCTTCAAAGCCGTCTCGAAACCCAGAGCGAGACCAGCCCGATGAAACTTCTCAAAACCGACCGCAAAATTATACATCTCTTCATTGAGCATTGCGTGTACGAGAAGCTCCATGTGACCTTGGTTGACGGACTCCTCACAGTAGGCATGGCCATCACCGATCGATCGATTAACTGTCTGCTGCTTGTCGCAGAGTGCAGAGGGTGATGAAGGTGCTTCGCTTCGCGTCGTTGTAACAGCAAGGCCATACTGGACTCCTGGGCTCACGGATCGAGAGCGCGCATCTGGGGTCAAAAGAGATGCGAAGCTGCACTCCCGGTCGGAAACAGTGCATAGTCTGCATTTGGGGCGGTTCTCATCGCACTAGAGATGATGACGCTTCTATCAGTAGAATTTAAAGGGCTTCTAAAGCAATGCTCACTTTTACATGCCGTCGTTTACTACAGAAACATATTAGCCAAGCAAGGAAAGTGGGGATTATTGTCAAGGCGGAAAAGGAGAACCAAGGACGCACCACTCCAAGCACCCGCCTCTCGACTTTCTATGGCTGCGCCGAAGCATTGTAGTTCCATGACTGCGAGAGATCAGGTAACACGCGTATTACATATGTGCAGAGGTCGGAAGCCTGGGTGGGCAGTGATGCTTGAAGCCCACCAGCTAGCGCTACTCTCGGCTGACGTAACACGCGTGTCGACTTCTTCGGGTAAGCGCAAAATCCTCCGTCTCACCTCCTCGACAAGCCCCAACGGCTGCATACTGGTTATAATGACTTTAGTAGTCCATTCTAACTGCAACAGACCTTTTGCACGGACGAAGGACTGATACCAGCTCGCAAGCTTCACTGGCTTCGGCTAGCCACCTACTTCCAATCCATGCCGTTACACATCGATCGTTGTACAGTTCCGCGTTGTACGTGTCTGAACGCAATGGCTATCAAGATGCAAGCTCTTGGCTCTTTGCTAGATAGAAGAAAGAGGAGACCAAAATGCCTGGGTGCATGTACACGTCTCATATAAAGAGTTCCAACCCTTCCTTAATCGTGGTGTTGTATCTTGCAGTCTCCCTTTCTCTCTTCGACTCGTACGCAAACCTTGGTTTTGCACATCACTCGTTCACTTGTGTCTTTTTGCTCAAAACATCTTCTAGCCATGCCGACGCTTGAAACCTACAAAGGCGCCTACCTCTGGAAATACGTGCCCAACTTTACGGCAGCCATTACGTTCGGAGCTCTCTTCCTCATATTGACTTTGGCGCATACCTATAAGATGTATAGATGCCGAACGTGGTATAGTATACCGTTCGTCATTGGCGGCTTTTGTATGTTTCGAAAATGTCTACCATTTTCTGTCCTATGCACTTCAATGAACTAACATCCTCACAGGTGAGCCCATCGGTTATGCATGCCGCGCAATAGCAACCCACCATACAGGCTCCATCGTTCCATTCCTCCTACAAGCGATCTTCATCCTCCTTCCACCGTGCCTGTACGCCGGAACGTTGTATATGGTGTACTCGCGCGTGGTGCGCGCTATCCACGGCGAACGCTTCTCCTACATCTCGCCTCGATGGTGTACACGAATCTTCGTTGCAGGTGATCTCCTCTGTCTCAACATACAGTCAACTGGAGCAGGGTTCTTACCTAAGGTAAGTTGTGACTGTACGAAATGTATATGAGACACACACTGACTTCGTATCCTCACCTCCGCAGCAAAACTTGGTGAATGTTGGAAACGGCGTCATTGTCACAGGTTTGGGACTGCAAGTTCTCATCTTCGCGGGATTCATGTGGTGCTGCATACTTTTCCACCGCAAGTTCTCACTTCATCTTCGCAGTTATGGTCAACATGTCGACGTCCCTTGGAAGAGTGTGCTCTGGATGTTATACGGGACTTCTGTCATCATCTCGATTCGTAACATCTTCCGACTAGTCGAGTTCATCGCTGGACACGAAAGTTACCTGTTTCTGAACGAGTGGCCGGTGTACGCTTTCGATGGTGCTTTGATGCTACTAGTCATGATTGGCTTCTACATCTGGTATCCACAGCAGCTGCAGATCGAAGAGAGTGGTACGGAGAGTATGATTGATCTCACGAGCGAAGAAAATGGTCCACCAGGAGATGATCCATCTAGGAAGTAAGCTGCGATCAAGAACTATCGAAGCTCAGCAATCTCACAGCGACAATGTAATCCACTATACTACAGTTTCGCTCAAGTTAAACATTACAGGCCTCGTGTCCGTGAACACCTTCCTCTGATCTAATTCCTCAAACCACTTCGCCAATACCTCGTACTTGCTCTTCCATCCAGGCCTCATTTCTGCGAACTCAATGAACCCGACAGCACACACGACCGCAATGTCCGCAATCATCAACTCATCACCAACAAGATAGGCCTTCCCTTGCTCTTTCGTATTGCGCACCATTTCATCGAAAGCCCGCAGTGCACCATCGATCTTGCGATTTTGTCTGTTGAGCCAGAGTTGCGACTGCTTTTCTTTCTCACGTCGACCTTCGAACCGAGCTATTACAATGGCGTCCATACACCCCTCGCTGAGAACAACAATTTGTCGAATTTGCAAATCAAGGTCAATGTCGTCGGTGATTAGTTTTGGTCCCTTGTCGGCGTACTTGCGCACAATGTACTCTTGGATGTGCGCACTATCGTAAACGGGCGGGCGATCATCTGGGAAGAGCAGAATGGGTAGTTTTTCCAAAGGGTTGTATTTTGGTGTTTCTGTTGCGCTTTGCCAAGGTATTTCGTTCTTGAGTTCGAAGGGTATGCCTTTTAGAGTGAGCGCTATGCGATTCATGCGTGCAAACGGTGATGGCGTCGCCGATATAAGAGTCAACGGGGACGTTTCGACGATGGAGGCAGACATAATCGCTATATAATCTTGTATCTGTATATCTATGAGGAGTGTTGGAGGTGGAATCGGGAACGTTTAAATGCGAATGGTGAGGATATGATGTGAACGTGGTTTGGATGATGCACTCGCGTGTGCGGAGATAAGCCCGATGCTACGTCATGCATTGCTTCGCAGTGGTATTTGAAATTGTGTAGCTTTTCTGATCCGAATTATACTTGATCAAAGCCTTGATAGCACTCATCTCTGAAGATTCTGAACTACCCACCAATGGTTCGTTTGCTAATCTTCTTGGTCCACCCCTTCCCATCACTCTTGCTATCTCGAACATCTCTGGCATCCATCCTTCTCGCCCTCTGCACACTATCTACCAGGTCTCGAACAGCATCTTCAACCTCTTTCCTCTCGTTCGAACTGATCTCGATATGACGGAAACCCTGACTTGCAGCCCATTGTTCCGCCATTTCCTTCTTCACCTGCCTTTTCCCCTTATCCTCGTCGACGATGTCCTTCTTACTACCAACTACCACGCATCCAAACCTCTTCCTCACTCCTTGCATGCTCCCTTCTGTGCCATCTTTGATGAATACAGTGTTGCGACAGTGCCAGATATGCAGGTACGTATGTTGGATAAGATGATCAAAGGTAAACAGAGATGTGATATCGTATAGCAGAACAACGCCATGGGCACTGGCTATATAAGTATCCATGACTTCACGGTAACTGGGAGCTATGCTGCCATTGAGATTCAAGTCTATGAATGAAAGGCTCCAGGTCTCGTTTGCATGCGAAATGGTTCTTGAAAGTGGTTCGGAGTCAACAGCGCTATGGCGAATAAAGTGCTTGCCCTCGAGGAACTGCAGCAGGAATTGGTAACCATTACATTACAAGAGTCATGCTCGTATAGGATGTTGAGGAAAGGATTGCATACCATGTCAATAAAGCATGTCTTGCCGACAAGTTCCTCACCGAATACAACTATCTTGAGGGGGTTTGGTTTCTTTAAGCGCAACATTATCGAGTCTGAGGCAAAAGAACAAGTGTGACGTCGAGATGGAATTGGATCCTGTTGATTGTCAAGGCGTAAATCCTTCACGACTGCCTGGTCAGACAGCGCTAAGCTTCAGGAGGAGGCGCGCAGTACATTTCCCCATGTTTAGTCCTGCGCACTTCCCGAGTCGCGATGCAAGCACCTCCGGCATGTTAGCTCTTTTCTCTTTCACAACAGTTGCGTGAAGTGGCTTATTGGCATACGTGGGTTACGCGTGTACCCCCTAATGTGACGGCCCACATTTCTGCCAAGTGTGCCGGCAGCCCGGCACGTGCCTGAGATCGACGCTGGGGTGGGCCAGGAACGCTAGATGGTCTTCGACAAATGCGAAACAGCAGCGGTCTTGTTATGAGGGCTCTTCGCCCATGTGGCCTTGCGTCGCTGACATTTGGGCGTACTTTACCATATCACTGCTTCGACGCTACCTCCTAGAACCCCCAACTGCCACCCCAGCAAGGACCTGAGCAAGAGACATCGAGCGGAAATGACTCTTCGATCAACATAAAAGGGAGTGCTATAGCGCTGTCACCACTCTCGCACAATACACACTGTCCCATTTCAAGTCTGCATTGTATGCTGTGAAGACAACCTTGAGGGAAGAGCGCATTGCAAGAAATCTCCTTCGACCCACGTATCGCGATGACGTCGTATCGGGATAACCCCTATGCGTACGCGCAAAACCGCCCACGACCCCTCATCGAGCAGATACCAGACTACCGCGACGATCTCGACGTATCAGACGAAGAAGACGGCTTCTACGCACGCGACGACGATTTCCTGATCCCACCAAAGTTTCAGGCGGCAATCACACGCACAACCGATCGAATCCCGCGGAGGATAAAGCGCCATAGTGGCACGTATCTCGTAATCGCGATCCTCTTTATAATCAGTTGGTTTACGTACCTGGGTCCCAGACGGACGGTATACAAGACGGAGTTGCACCTCATGAACAACACACCAACGATGAGCTACGGCAGCAATGTGCGCCCGGAATTCACGGGCATGATACAAGTCAGCGACATGGACGAGCAGCATCTGCCTAAGAAACACAGCAGACTCGTCTTCGTTGGCGACGTTCATGGCTGTAGGAAGGAACTGGAGCATCTTCTCAAGAAGATCGACTTCAACCACAAGCATGACCACCTCGTGCTGACCGGCGACATGATAGCCAAGGGCCCCGATTCGCCGGGCGTCATCAAGCTCGCTCAAAACATCGGCGCCTCCTGCGTCCGCGGAAACTGGGAAGATAAACTCCTACTCTCCATTGCCGAAGCGCAAGACCGTCACGTCCTCAAATTCAGTCCCGACGACTCTCCCGACGCCAAAATAGACTTCGTAGACCAAGTCAGCCAGTCGCACGGCGACTACAAGCTGCGTAAGCTAGCAAAACAGTTTACCAGGAGAGAAATCGAATACCTCAAACAATGCCCCGTCATCCTCCGCGTCGGCACCGTCCCAACCCTGGGCAACCTCGTAAGCGTACACGCCGGCCTCGTCCCCGACACGCCTCTCGAACACCAAGATCCGTTCCACGTTATGAACATGCGCACTATCGATCTTAAGACGAGGATACCTAGTAGCAAACATGCGGGCACCCCTTGGGAGAAGTTCTGGAACCATCGCCAGGAAAAATTAAAGCAGGAAGACAGGACGACGGTGGTCTATGGGCATAACAGGAAGAGAGGGCTTAACATACATGAGTATTCCTACGGTCTGGATACGGGATGTGTGAGTGGGGGAAAGTTGACCGCGCTTGTTGTCGATGGGGAAGGCAAGACGGAGTTGGTGCATGTCAAGTGTGGGAAGGAGAGTGGGTATGCTAGTGATTAAGGGATCACGGCACTTTGTAGCATGATATCCGGGCGTTTAGGGACTAGAAACCATTCTTGGGACATCACAGGATATGGCTTGAAACGTACAGCGTTGGCCATCAACATGATGGATACTACTGTCGATTTAGCGTTAGCATAGCATTTTTGTAATATCACGATATGCCATCGTATCTCTTCCTCAATCGTCTCTCGGAGGAAACTATGCTATATGAGTAACACGTAAGTCGAAGAAGCAATCTACCAAGGCACAAAACAGGCTGTACGGATGAGAAGGTCGACTGTCCCCTGAGACCAAGTCGCGGAAACATATGTTGATTGAGAAACATCATTGTATATTCTACTGCTTATGGAAGACAAGTGCGTCGCTACGTGTGTGTAGCGAAGCTAATATGTCACATCGACCGAGCTGTACTATTAAACATTAGAGGTGATACATAGAGAACCGACGTCAAGGTGGCTAGGCACCCTGTCATCTAACCATCCCCATACCTTTACATCTGAGAACAGGCCCAAGGCTCACTTTCGACGATACACTTCGACGCCTCATCATCTCAAAGAAATGGAGCGCCAGTGTCTTTTGCAGCTGGACTTGAAGCCCTATCTCTCCATCTCTACGTCCTCAACCTTGCCAATGCATGCGCTCGCACCACCGCCATCACCACCTCCGCGACGCATATGCTGCGGAACAGGGACATGAGAAGCCATTCTGTCGCCCATTACGTGTGCAGCAAACTGTGCAGGCTGTATCGTAGGCACACCGTTCTTCTGGAAGTCTGGAAATGCCTCGCGCGCGCCGCTATCGTACCTAGGTCGACGACCCTGCATGCCATGAACAGAGGTTGGGAACCGGTATTGCTGCATCGGAATCGGTGATGACATATGTTCGGTAGGTTGGCGCACAGCCTCTAGGCGATCTACGAAACGGCTACGCTGAACTGCTGGACCATGTTGAAAGCCAGCACCGAGAGTGGCAGCGAACTGAGCAGCAGAAAGGGGGATCTGACCAATACGGCCAGCGGCACAACCGTACTTGCCCTGCATCAGCTCATTGTTGCGCTTAACCAAATCATTGAGCATATGGGTTTGCTGCGCCATCATCGCCTTCTGAACTTGGTTCTCTGAGCTGAGGCTGGTGATCTGACCACGTAGCTCCATCATCTTAGACTCAACAAGGCGGTGCCAGTTTGCGATAGTGCCGGCATTTTGATAGATTGGGGTCTCGCCGTTGATGATTTCGACGACTTCCTCTGAGACTTGCGAACCAATTGGTGACAGCGGAGTTTCAGTTCCATTACAACTACTCTCGACCATGGCTGCGATGCGGGACTTTGCTTTCATGACCATGATGGTGTCCATATCTCGGAGCTTGATTTCGGCACGCTCGGTATCTTGGACGTCGTTTGGAGTCATGTTGTAGTCGATCTCGATGTAGCGCTCGCGCTGAGCATTCTCAGGTCCGCCTAAGGCGTATCGGTAAATGAACACCCAGTCCACGCCGTACTCCTTGCTTCGCTGCTGACAATAAGCGTCCAGACGAGGGCCGAATATTTGTGACATGCGGATTCTGAGGATAGAAAAGATGGGAGTGCTGTTGATGTCATACGTGTTGCTGTGAATGCGAAGCGTCAGTACAGCATCGTTCTTGTCTGCCATGAACGAAGTGGAGCGTTGTAGGGCGATTGGCTGCGTAAGCTCCCGAGCCACAGATCCCTTCGTAGTCTGAGATATCGGGTCCTTTCCTGGGAACTGCTCAGGCGGCGGCGGACGTGCCGGTGCGCGCAGATGCTGGGATGGCTGAGGCGAGGACTGTCGAGACGGCATACGAGACCCTGGCGCACTTGCAACGAAGTCTTTTGATCGGAGATCCCGGCGAGCAGCGTCTTCAAAGATCTTGAAATTGGCGGACTGGATAGGTCGGAAACGATTCAGGCGAGACTCTGGGGGATGTGCGTCATTGAAACTAGTGCGATGAGCGTTCAGTGGCGGAAATGCCGTATTGAGTGGTGCAGGCACATGGTTTACACGCAACGCGTTGTCGTACCGAGCTGCCCAGACCTCTATACGTGCTTGTTGGTGCCGTACTTTCTGAAGCAGCTCGTCACCATCAATCATAGATTGGTTCAAAACCTCTCCGGCTGGGCCCACAATATACTGCATACGACCAGCACTATTGTGCGTTTGTGGCCAACGACTCAGAGCCTGATCGACAGTCACGACATCGCGACCATCATATTGCTGGCCGGGTGTCAAGCGGAGTATATCCGAAGTTAAAGACGGCAATGGTAGTCCTTGATCTTGTTGCACGCGCTTGGTCATGATTGTTGGTCGGAATGGCGGTGCGTTTAGAACATGATAGTGCGAATGTTGATGATTCAGAGTTTGCAAGCCACTGACTGGGACTGTTTCCGTTAATGTCCGTTTAAACTAGAGAAGCCAAAGGTCACATACTGTTCTGCCTAACACGCTGCCATTCTCGAAGCTTCTCGTTTGGAGCGAACTGCGGCTTATCTGGCGGGCGCGGACGTACAGTCTTATCACTTAGGCCAACAATTGCTCGCTTCTCTTTCCTGGCGACAGCTGCTGCACGTTTTACGACGGGTTTGAAGTTTGGGCTGGCATCTGGCGACTCGGTGGCTTTGCGCTTGCCCTTGTCACGCTGTGCAGCTGTACCGGCGCGGCTAGATCTAGGAGCTGACTTATATGCCTGTGGCGGTGCACCTGTGAGCACCCCAGGAACACAATCTGACACTGGTTCCGTGTGTTTGGTACATGATAGCCCCTGCTGCACACAATGTTTGCATGCGCCGTCAGTATAGAAGGCGTCGCATGTAGCATTTTGGGATCTGCAGCACTCGTCGCAAACCTTCCAACAGGAGTCTTTGATGTGACGCTACTTTTACGTTAGTAATATGTATTTTTGAGAAATGAATGGACTGCCGACCTCTGTAGAATATTTCTTAGACATTTGGGCTTCGCACCGTGGACAAGCGTACACACTGCCACTAGTGCTGTTTCCAAAGCGACTCTTTGCGCACGTGGATCGGCTATCCCTCAGATGATGCTGTCGTTAGGTAAGCAAGTGAAGATTGACTTTTGATGTCTGGTACTTACATCGAGTTCCTTCTGGCCAAAATATGTCTTGCTGCAATAGTCGTCACTTGGTTGTTCGCCCGCAGAATCTTCGTCCGCGCCAGCAACACCCGAGCCGACATTTACAAGCGCTTTAACGCGATTAGCATCACCTCGGAAGCTCGCACTAACCACTTCCAAAGAGGGAGTACCAGAAAACTCTGACATAGGTGAAGAGTCAGGAACTGGGGTCGAGGCAACCGACACAGCCTGCGCCGCACTATAACTTGTAAGCAATCATCCGAGGTGGCTAGCTCAGGAATACATACTGGCTCTCCTGTCGGTCAATATCTTGAATGTGTTTCATAGTTGCTTGCTATCGTGATGAGCCGCTGTGAGTTGACGGAGTTGCAAACTTTGAGGAAGTAGAGTCTAGGTGCGCTATTGGTAGGTAACGAAAGATTTTTGTATATTCGCACTGGTGAACCATTAGAACTGATACAATGGGCACGGCTAGACCCTGGAAACTAGTAGCAAACGCTCATCGCCACTGAACGGTCAGAAGCAGATGATATGAGTCTGTGCATTCTGCGATTCAGGGTCTGCGATGACGCGGCTCAAGTGCGCGTATCAAAAGGGAAAGTTGACTGATTGAGGAACGCTGGGAGTTGTTGCACCATGCTTCTGAGAGGATCCAAATATATCCATGTCGCTTGTTGTTATCCAGTCTCGAATTCGGCTTGCGGAGCAGCCCTAGATCATAATCGATATGCGGATAATGGCATTCTATTGTTCTTACTGAGTAGTACAAGATTGGTAGCGCGGCGAGGCGCAAGATGTTGTAGTAATGATAATTTTGACCCGTAGCTTAACCAACGTAATGCCAGGATGCATAAGAACATATGACGGTTCGTAGGAACAACATGAGTGAAAACGAAGATACACTGGCAAAAGGAATCGAAATCAGATGCAGAAGGAATCTGGGGAATACTCAAGTTGCCAAACGTGACTATGAACATGCTGGAGTACCTCAGCTGGGTTCTATCGCCAGCCGAAGGAGACAAGCTAGGACCATAGAAGAAACGAATCTGGATGAGGGGAATGAAAGTGTCATTGAACATGAACGCGACTACTGGAGGCACGTAGGCGCATTGACTAGAGCAGTACCAACCAGTGAAGTGTATTGTGTAATTATCAGGTTCATGCAGATACGGTGATTGTCGCGGGATGAGGTGGTGATGATAAACCCCAGGTTGAAGCGAGAGATGAAGTTGAGTTCTACAGTCTGTGCTCGCAGCCCCACTTTCGGTCGTCATGCAGCAGCTACTCAGGTCTGACGCTGCCCAACGCACGATGCCCCTTCCAACCTACATAGACTTATGCTCTTGGTTGCATCCACATGCGTTCGTTCTCACTCGCTGACAATGACGGCTTCGGTAGGTTAATGGACTTCTCGTGACTGGAGGTGATCGATCTAATACCTAGTATCCCAATGCGCAGCCGGCCGCCAAATGCGCGTCTTAGACTTGTTACCCGACGACCCTGACGACTTTGTGGAGTGAGAAGTTTGCATGGCTAGCGTCAAAGAGGATTCCCGATACGAGATGTTGTCATACGTTTGGAGTGTCGCTATTGAACAGAGAAGCATTGAGGTGGCAGGACCTGTCATCAAAGTTTCGCCACATCTCCATGACGTCCTTCGACCTCTACCTTACACTGACCGAATTCGCGCACTACGGGTCGATAAGATATGCATTAACCAACGGAAAATGAAAGAGAAGGGCAATTAAGTCGTTATGAAGCGGGAAATGAATGAAAACGCGTTCATTGCATCCTCCGGCTAAGTGAGATTCTGTATGTACATAAGAGAAGCAGAGAAGCAGAGAACCCCCCATTTATAGGACAGCTAACCGAACCATCTTATGTGTTTCCGTGTTAATTGCTAGCCAAATAGGTGTTTTTCTGCGCGTGTTGTACTTCAGTTGTCTGCAAGATACCTGCAGTATCTGTCTCGCCCCACCTATCCCTCGGAACCAAATAGGATAAAACCATCATCTTGTTTTCCCACTCAAACCAGTACGCTACAAACGTTTTACTAATCAGTTAGCCAGTCGTCCAGTCAGGATATAAATTGACGACTCGCTCTTTGCGCTGACTGTTGCTGGCACTCTCGCTCATATTGCAAGTGCATTAACGAAGCAGCACCATGCGATTCAAATGCCTCAGAATACGGTGACCGCTTAGTGAGTAGTGACAGGAGGTTTTGTAGTCAGTCTAGGTGTAAAGATTAGCAGGTAGGCCGCAGGCACAGCCCCAGTCTCAGCCACCATACTTGGCTTGCATAGCCTGATATCATCGATACTGCGAGGCGTGTAACACATGAACAACAGCCACTAAACCAGAAGTAATAAATTTTGTGCCCTACAATGCCGCTAACCCAAACACCTTGCTAACGAAAGCAAGCTCGACAGACAGACGATACGCATACACAAAACAGCCCCTAACATCATACATCGACCCCGTATTGCCTAGCAACAACTCTCCGACCCGGACAGTGTCACCCATGTCCCTGGAATCTTATCCAAACGACGTGTTCTTGACAACACCTTGATGTGTGATCAAATCCAGGTAGTCCCAATTCAGCTTTCTAACATTGTCAGCACCAAGCATGGGAAGTTGAGATCTTGATGTTCAAGACCTAGCTTCCTCAAGCTCGAGCTCCAACTGTCTGATACGCTCATCCTTTTCGCGGTCCGAAGGTTCTGAAGTTGCAACCTTGGCCTTGAGTGTCGAGACTTCACGCAGCAGAAGTGCGATCTGATCAGATTGGTCCGACATGACCCTGTTTTGCTGCTCAAGCTGGGACTTGATATCGCCTAGCGCATCGCGAAGGGCAGAGGCAGGGCCACCGGTGCTGGGTGTGGAGGTCGGCGCAGATGCGGCGGGTGTGGAAGTAGATTCGGCGGGTGGGGCAGACCTGGCCTGCGAAGGCGCAGGGGTGGGTGTCGGGGTGGTCTTTGCGCTCTCGGGCTCCTTGGTGATGGTCGGACCCTTGGTCTTCTCTTCCTGACGGGCAGCGGTGAAAGTACGGCGCTCCGCTGGCTTCGGGATTTCCTCAAAGCTCGATGCGCTCTCGTTGTCTGAAGTCTCGTCCTTGTCTGCGAACTTGGAAGCTGCCGACGCCATAGAGTCCTTGTTGTCCTTCATAGAAGGTGGGGGTCCACGGATAGCTATAGGTGTAGGCGTAGGCTCTGGCGCGGGCTTGGGCGCCTCAGTCTTGACGGGTGAGGGCTGACTAGTTGCCGGCTGGGAGGGCTTGTAGTCGTTCTCCACCTCCTTGGGGGCCTCACCCTCATACACGCTCTCGAGTGAGATTTTGGGAGGCGCTGCGGTCTTACCGCCAAACCACTCCGCTGCTGAGACACCAGGCTTGAGGCCAGTTGTGGGAGGGTAGATGTCACTCTGGAACATCTCGGAGCGGCGGGGTACGATGAAGGATACGGGCTCGACGTAGGCATCATTAACGGTCTTGAAGCAGCGAAGGACCTCGTTCTCGTGCAGGTTGATACCTCGCTTGGGAAGGAAGGCGATACCGCGCTGCGGGTCGCCAGATTTGTATTCGGAGAGGTACTCGAACTTGTCGTTCTCGTATTCGTAGTATCGGATGTTGCCGTCACTGCGCATGTTAGTATGGTGTTTACAGACTTGGGAAAGTGTACGTACCCCTTGCCAGCAAGGTACAAGCACTGTGTACCGTCGTCCCAGAAGGGCATGCATACACCCGAGATGGAGTCGAGAATCTGGAAGCCACCAATGGGTTCCTTGGGGTTGCGCGGATCCCAGAGGCCAAGCTGACGGTCGCTCATGCGAGAGAAACCAGTGGTCGCAATGCGGTCGGTCTCACCCATCCATACAGCGCGGCTGTTCTTCGCACCAGGGTGGCCAGGAACTTCCTGGGCGGGCTTCTCCTGTCGCACATCCCACACGCGCAGCTTCTTGTCGCGGCTCGTGGTGACAAGGAGGGATCCGTCGGCACTCCATGACAGCGATTGGACAATGTCGTTGTGCTTGAGCGTGAGTTGCGGCAGACCGGCCTCGACGTCCCAGAGCTTTACGGTGTAGTCGCCAGATGCACTGGCGAGGACGTTCTCGGCGGCGGTGTTGAAGAGGACATGGCCAACCTTCCTATGACACTGTTAGATGCGAACCCAGCCCGAGGCGCATGAACATACCTCATATGGCCGCTCAGCTTCGCGACAGGAGCGACATCAGCTGGCTCATCAGCATCAGTCCACAGGGTAAAGTTTTCGGGCACCTTCCAGATGCCGACTTTGCCGTCGTCAGAGGCCGAAGAGATGAGCGAATCGTTGAAGGGGGACCTGCTCGCAATTAGCGCCGTGTCCGCTCCATCTCATCCCTTGTACGACCATACCAGTCGGTGTCGAGGACGGCAGCAGTGTGGCCGCGGAAGAGAGGAAGCTGGTCGGGAGCTCGGCCGCGCTCATTGATGGGAATGACAGCAAAGGCGCCGCCACCGCTGGCTTCCCAGTTGACGGAGATGTATTCGGGGTTGGCCTAGAGAGCGTGAGCGCATGTCTGACGAGGTCGCGTGCGAATGAGCTGACCTTGATCAGGTTTGTGTCCCAGGCGTTCTTGGAGATGCGAAGGTTGTCATAGCATTGCTCCTATACGACAGTAAGTATATGTAGGTGCATTCAACCGCATTCGATTGTACCTTCTTGGTGCCCTTGCCAAAGACGTGGCCTGGTCGGTGTTGTTAGCATGGTAAGCTGGGCTGCAGTTGGACATCAACACTCACGATACTTGGAAGCTCGCACAAACCGGCCTGCCATTGTTGCAAATTAGTGTGACCGGAGTGGTGGCAGATGTGTAAGAATGATAGACTCTCAGGCCTCGGACGTTGGGCTATAAGAAGCGCTGAGGTTGATGAGAGGACTATGCGACGGTGTCGAGCGCGTGTTTCGAGTCTTGGACGCAGTTGCCCCCAGCATGCTGGTGCAAGCGCCTTGGCAGGTGGACCCTTGATGCCCGCTCCAATCTCGCCAACGGTCCCTAGTCACTTCTTCACTCCACCACTCCACCTGCAATCCACCAATTTGCAGCTGTTTATGCAGCCTAAACCTCGCTTCTAGCTGGCAATCGCATGTTCGCAGCAAGATCCTCAGCTAATGAATTAGCACCTAGTACCTCAAGATGGTAAATATGATCACAATGGTGCGACTTCTTTTTTTTCACGTTTCTTCTTGTGCTAACATGGTTTACAAGCGAGCGCCGCGTACAAGCGAGCGCCGCACCCCACCAACTTTGCGCACCTCTACAGTCGTATATCTTAACAACGTGATAATATGATATATAGATATTTATATAGCAGATTAAGCAGTATCTTTAGTATCCTTCTTGCATGTACGTGAGTTGTGGCCAGTCTCCCTGCACCTCGTGTAGCGCGCCAGAGCCTGGCGGCTGAGTCCTGATCGCGCTCCTCCTTGACGCTCTTCACGAGAAATCTGCTGCTTAACCTCACGTTGAGCGAGTATATCCTCTCCCTCTCCCTTTGTTAAGGTCCCTCGCTTCTGTATACGCTTTTTTTACGCTGTTTACGCGCTGAGGCTGCCTTATTAGCCCTCTCAAGGCTGGCAATCCGATCGCGCATCAGCTCAGCTGAGAGCATTATCACCTCAGCGCCCTTCTTAAGCTGGTCAATCGCTTTAATAATAGAGGCAGGCGATGAGCTCTTGTGCCGCCGAACGCGATTACGTATCAACTTTGATTGAGCCTCAAGCTCGCGTACGTTGCTCGGCGTACGCGCCTCCCAGAGGGCCTCTGGCAGGGCAGCTGGAGTAGGCGTACGCAGCTGCACGTCAAGCTTCGATAGTACAGTATCTGGTTGGAGAGGCACGAGGCCTGCGCCTCGAAAAGCTGAGCAGATATTGACTGATGTGAACGATCGATCAAAGGCTGCCTTGAACGCTGGCAGAAACTCGAGCTTGGTGATGTGGTTGATGTGGTGGCGGATCAGGCTCTCTACCTCACGACTGTACGCGCGCTTCAACGGCGAGAAGCAGCCAACGTTAAGAGGCTGGAGTAGGTGAGATGAGTGAGGTGGCATACAGAGCGTGTAGATGTTGTTCTCCTTGCAGAGCTCTTGAAACTTAAGAGAGTGGTGGCTCCTATGGCCATTAAGGACGAGCAGACGACGCGCACTAACAACGCGAGTCTTCGTGTAAGCGTTAAAGTGCTTTAGCTACTCAACTCCTAGCTCGTTATTTGTCCAGCCCTTGTCGCTAATTGCAATCGCCTAGTCGCGTGGGATATCCTCCTCGTACCAGGCAGACAGGTGATACTGGCCAGTAAAGATAAGGAATGGTGGGATTGTCCAGCCAGCTGCGTTGATCGCAGCAATTAACGTTACCTACTTACGATTGCCTGGCTGAATAGCCTTTGGTCTGCCTCTTCTCTCTGACCCTGTCACGACAAGCTTAGTCGTGATCTTGCCTATTATAAAGCTAGCCTTGTCGAAGTTGTAGACGTCCTCATCGCAGATGCCGTACTTAGTCTTTGTCTCCTCTACAAGCTTAAACCAGCTCCTAATTAGAGCTGGATCCTCGCATAGAGCTCGCTGCCTATCGTACGGTCGATTAAAACACGTCGTGAGACTGTCTGTACGCTTGACAAAGTTGCGCGGCCAGTGGACGCCGACCTGACCAGCGCCGCGCGTAGTTAGTAGCCTATTAGCTATATCATGTACAGCTTCGTACGTAGGCGCAAATCTACGCTGATCTAGGTCGAGTATATAGCTAATAATCACCTCCTCTTCTCTCTAGGTAAGCTTTCTTGAGTTAGGCTGGCAATCGCGTCGGGCAGGTACACCAGCGCGTCGGCGGCGGATCGTTCGTTCAGACACGCTATAGATAGCAGCAGCATTGCGATTACTCTGTATTTAATAAGATTTAATAGAGAAGATAGCAAGCTAAATATCTGCTTCATTTGAAGCTGGTAGAGTAGCGCTACGCTGAGCCATTGTACGTTAAGATGAGAGAGATGCGCAAAGTTGGTGGGGTGCGGCGCTCGCTTGTACGCGGCGCTCGCTTGTAAACCATGTTAGTTGCATTTAACTCTCAAAGTCTTTTGTTTACTACCAACCATAGAATTCAAAACATGGACGATTGTTGTGCTTCTACGCCTACATGTCTTCAAGTACCTTTCTCTCCGCCCTAGCCTCAAGCATCCCCAACTCCTCGCATTTCCCGCGAAGCCATATCGCCCACTCATCGCCGCCAGCGTTCAAAACAACATTCTCTTCCGGATACATGACCCACTGTATTCCTGAGAGTGCTTTGTCAACCCCTTTGTTAAAGAGCCGTGTTTGCTCCTTGCTCCACGACTGGAAGACGTCGCACAGCTGTTCGCGGATATGTTCCTTGTACATGTTTTCGATGAGGTAGGTGTAGCGCTCCATATACTTGGGCTGTGGCCGTCGACTCTTGCGATCGACGGTTGTGTCGTTCGGGAACTTCTCAGAACAGCCATCCGTAAGACGTAGATGTGCAATGTACTGATCGATCGCATCCACGAACCCGGTAGCCCATGTTAGGGCTTCTGGAACCTTGTTGCGGAACCCGATAGCGTTCTCCAAATGTGTTGCTATCAGTGGAACGATGTGATAATGCATCACACCCAGTGCCATGCCCACCCTAAAGGGCTGGTCGATCTTTGTCCGGACTTTGGCAATAGTCGCTGGAATTTCGAAGTTGTATCCCATTTTTCTAACTGCAAGAGAGTTAAATGCGAACTGTCTAGTCCGCTTAACTGCTTGTTCTGGTGGGTTGGAAATATCATAAGCGGGCGCCGCCCGTTTAATGCCCTGTGTCTGTGGATTCGCCATAGCTGACAATCAGTTACAAAGCTGGAGTATGACGGCTCACGTGAAAATGTTCTACGCGCAAATGCAGGCTCTCAGTTGACAGCCAAGCAGTGCATATCATATTTGCGTAGTGTTTGCGCTGACATTGTAGGAGTACATCTTTGTCGCGTCACGTTGGGCGACGAAATTAACACAATGGCTTTGTAATCTCGTGCCTCAACATGTCTTTCATGGCACCAATACCCTGTCAGAAACTTTCAAGACACTGATTCTGTTCTGGGGTATGAACTAGTAAGGGTTGCCGATAGCACGCCTGGGTGTGCTCCTACCGAGTTCTTGAACAACAAGGTGAAGCAAACGTGAGAACCACGACGTCCTCCTGACACATCGTCTGGTTCGAGAGCTAGGTAAGTGCACCACATGTGAGAAGATAAACAGGTGTTCAAAACTATGTAGTACACAAGGTTCATGCCGACGCGTCGAAGGCGACGGCATGAAGGAGGACCTTCCAATGACGTGTAGGCTTGGGACTAGCTCGGTGGACTCTGCTTGGACCTCCTCTGGCACGTCTGCCTCGTCAATCGCACCTCGACATCGATCTTCGTCGTCCAGTAACGATTTCATGGGAAAGAACGTCACAATATGAACATCTCATGCAATATCTACGCTTCTCGGTCGCGTTCAGCGCGCGATTTCCACACATTGTCTCAGCTGAGCTGAGGTAAAGCTGAACCCCATCTCTTAGCTGGACCTGCATCATCTGGAAGGACCTCTTTAGCGCCTTCCTACCCTGCTACTCTCAAAGTCGCTACTGCATGGGGTTGAAGCACTAGATCTTATCAAGCTTTGAGTAGAGGGCAGGGCCGCTCCGCGATGCGACCCATGTTCGCAAAGCTGATGCTTCATCATCCTATTCAACCTTCAGCGCTATGGTGCAGTGTTCCAACAATTCCTCTGCCACTTTGGAGTATCATTTATGAGTGGCTTTGAGAAGGCCCAGCAAACATCCACCAGATGCTATGGTCTTGCGCCTCAACAAGCAAATTCGAGGTCGACAACCATGTCGACGCCCCCAGCTAAGACGCCGAGGAGCAAAGCCACCTTTACTATCGGTTGCAGGCGCCCACCCTCAATAGCAGTCGAGATTCCGCTCACGGATCTGCGACTACATGTTCGACAAATGAACGTCCGATGCGGCGCTCACTGCCCCGCTTCGTCTATCTCAAGATACCCCTACAGCTCGTCTAGCCTTGCACGAGCTATGGTGGAACGACGAGTGCAGCGTAACGCCGCGCCTGATGGCTTGTTATTGCGGCAGAGCGATGCTAATGAAGAATGTGACATGTGCTGACCGGAAATCTGCACGTGTCCTGTGTGCCATACATGTCATCGCAGTGTGTGCATATGCAAGGCAGTGCTAGGTACCCATGTGAGATTGCCGCCTCTCTAGACATTATTTTCAAGTATAAAGTGGCTATCGATAACTGGACTTTGGGGATATCTGATAAAACGCACAAGGTTAAAAGCAGCTCATCAGCGGACCGTTCGCTTTACCACACACACCCTGCTTGTTTCCGGCACCCCATTGCTACGCAATCGCTGCAATGTCTACCGAGGATACTTCCTCAAATGTCCTTTCCGACTCCCTATCTATACGATGTCGTACCGACAGCGTTTGGAAAGACACATTGAGTATTGCGAACCCCTTGACCGTCGCCAGAGCCAATCCTGCGTACCTTCGAACCCGCATCAACGATATCTCCAAGACATATCCCATCGGCCTTAACCAAGAAGGTCACTATGTGCCTGATAGGGAGCTCATTGAACTGTTCAATGAAGAAACCATCAGAGAAGCTCTGGGCGAAGGCGTTGACGTTACACTTATAGAATTTGTCCTAAAGAAAGCACCCAAGACCTTTGCAACGTTGCAGCTTGTATTCTCTAAGCCGAAACATCGAAAGCTGGCTATGGAAGCATTCCAAAAAAGTGGCTTCACGGATGAATTGTTAGATTGGAAGAATCTGATTGTATGCAAGTCATCCCCGTGTCCACAACCCAAAGAGCCTCGATCCAAGGAGTCACAAGCCAACGAACCATGCTCGCATTTCTTCCCGTACTCAGCCCCATGGGACGATGTGATCCTCTCTCAATTTAAGACTCTTAGGTGGACTTTCCTCGTTCCGACTTTTAACCACGAGCGATTTCGGTATGAGTTCGACCCACAACGACTCCTACCATTTAAAGTCAGAGCCGACTCGAAAAAGCTCAGCTCGGGCAACTTCAGCGATGTTATCTGTGTTGACATGCTCGCTGACAAACAAACAATACTCTTGCCGCCCCTACCCGAGACGATCGCGGTTGCTCATAAGACTCTACGTCCATTGGATGTACCAAAGTACGATATCCATATGGAATGGCTCCGTGAAGCCGAAGCTCACAGACAACTCAACGGCATCAGTGCTCACCTCGTGAAGGGCATTGCTGCTTACCATCGCGTCGCCAACAATAGCGCCAACAACACCTATCACATCGTCTTAGAATGGGCTGATGGCGGTAATCTGTTCGACTTTTGCAACAAGAGTAGTGAGCCTCAATTAGATGGGGATACTGCAAGAAGCCGCGAACGTGTCCGCATGTTACTTGAGCAGCTCTATGGACTTTCTCATGCAGTTGAGTGCATGCACAGCATGCACAATGAAACTGCAACATTCTCAAGGCAGAACACTGGCGACCTACTAGAAGATCAGCATGCAAATGTTGACGTTATACCAACTGAAGGGTCATTAACGCCGGTAGTGAACATCACTAAAGCACCTGTTGAGGATAACCCGGGACGGGCGCGTCATTCTGACTCGGCCAACTTCAGCTCAGGCAGCCAAAATGAAGGCCCTTCCCTGCTAGATCCTGCTCCCAGACGCCGTTCGCGTAGGGCTTCCGACGCGAAGAATTGGAGGCACGGAGACATCAAGCCAGAGAACATACTTCGCTTTACTGGGGGCGATCATTCAGCATGGCTTGGTACCTTGAAGTTGGCAGATCTTGGGAGAGCACAGCAACACGATCTTAAGACTGCGCAAAGGAGTACCATCGAGAAAGAACGATGGAGGACCCGATGGTATGAGCCACCAGACTTGTCAGATGATCTGCACCGGCAGGCCCACGGAAAGATTTCCCGTCTATTCGACATCTGGTCCATGGGATGCGTTATACTCGAAAGTGTAATCTGGCTTCTGTATGGTTCAAGTGAGATCACCAGGTTTCAGAAGATTGAGACACTCACTGCCGCTACACCATACTGGAGGAAGATAGGCTATGGTAGTTATCAAGTTACCGAGAGGGCATCTTTATGGATGGATCACATTCTGAAATATGACACAAAACAAGCCAGTGCCATTGGAGATGTAGTGAAGCTCGTCAGGGACAGGTTACTCAAAGTCGATCTACCCCCAGACTCGGACGTGTATACGCCGGGAAAGAGAACCAACGCAAAGAACATGAGAGAAGAATTGGCACGTATCCTGGATAAGGCATCCCGCGAACCTGGGTACCTTTTCGATGGCGTCGACAAATTTGGATCGTCTCCCCCACCGGCAGACATCTCCACCCCGATTCAACAGTTCAGCACATCCCCAAACCATTTACTTGTTCCAAGCGGGGAACGTTCAGCCGATACGCCCATACCCGTAGGCCATCGCACCAGAATTGAGAAAGAGAGAGTCTATACTGACAGCATGACTGACGTCTGGCAGTATCCTGATGACCATCGTTTTGCGGAACGAATGATCAATCAAGACCAAACCCCCAACGAAGACGATCTGTGCGATCATTGCAAGAATATCGACATCAAGTCCCCAGAATTGGTCTTTAATAGATCGAGCCTAGAAGCCGATTGCGAACAGTGTGCACTCTGTGACCTGACCAAAAAGGCCATTGACAGGGTGGAACTTCCAGCTGGCGATCAGATTCGCCTTGAGCGGGATTTTGACTGTTTTTTCGCATATGGATCAGATGGATCTAAGCTCAAGATTCTCCGGGTGTGTTGTCCAGATCAGGGTGAGTTCAGGCTTGGTATTGTTTTTGACATCGCTAATTTAAATGTAGAAACAAGCGAAAGCCTGACGGATGTGCCTGTAGGTGCCCCCAGCCTGTACGATCCACCAGGTGTACCCAAGGCCGCCGATGCATTCATGAGATTACCGGGGGAGTGGCTGAAAGAGTGTGATGATAAGCATCGCAAAACCTGCGCAGTGAGATCTGAAAAGATCCAGCTACCTAAGAGGCTAGTCGACCTCAAGAGTAAGAAGCCGAAGATCGTTGACTCAGCAAGTATCAACTTGGCCCCTGAGGCTGTACGCTACATCGCCTTCTCCCACAAATGGGGTAAGATGCCAGAAGCCGCCTTGAGCACTAAGACCAATCTACAAGCACGCAGGACAGCGATACCTCCCAGGGGCATTCCTCCTAGCTTTGCCGACGTCATTGCGATCACGAAAGCATTTGGGTGCGACTACTTGTGGATCGATTGCCTCTGCATCAACCAAGGGGAGGACGGTGATTTTGCAGAGCAAGCTGTCTCCATGCAAGCTGTCTTCAGTAATGCTTACTGTGTGATCGCCGCTGCAAGTGCAGATGGCGCTGTTGATGGGTTTTTGAAGCGGGACACAGAATCAAACCCCCTTGATGCGGTCAAAGTAGGGAGCGTATACTTCTCGGCAGTGACAAACGATTTCAGCCGAGACGTGCTCAAAAGCCCTCTGAATAGTAGGGGCTGGGTGTTACAGGAGCGCGCACTAGCCCGTCGAACCATTTTCTTTACAGCGAATCAGATGTACTGGGAATGTGGGGACGGTATACGCTGCGAGACGTTGCGAAAGCTGAAGCAGTAAGTACACACCACCGATCGTGAAGTGCTTTACTTACACATCGTAGCGACGAGATTGCCTTCCTTGGCGATGCACACTTCCCCAGCAAGACGATTGGGCCTAGCAGTACGCGAGGCGAACAAATTCATCTCTGGACTGCCTTATTCAAGCAGTACACTGTGCTTGAATTCTCGCACAAGGAGGACAGATCTGTCGGGATCCAAGGCTTAATGGATCGTCTCACTTCTACCTTTAGGACGCGCAGCCACGCCGGGCTGTTCGAAAGCTTCTGGGGTCGCTGTCTGCTATGGCGACGTGTGCTGAAAGGACCACCGTTGACGTGGATACCTCCTGGTAAACATACAATGAAGTTGCCGCCAAGCTGGTCGTGGATGGCTGTACATGGTTCAATCGACTTTCTCAAGCCTGAGGGCAGGCATGTGGATTGGAACACAGACGTCGTATTGCCATTCCCGACGCAGTCCCTAGGTTCTTCTCTCCAGCCGAACACTCAGCCGCTGGTTAGCATGAACGGCAATGCAACAGGCGATACAATCCGCGCGACAGCGTTCAATCTGAGGATCGGGGCTGGAGATACAGACGAGACGAACCTCTCCTACGATGATGGCAGGAAACATGTCGATGGAGCAGTGCGGTGCGTCATCATTGCTACCACGTTGGACAAGGCCAATCACTATATACTGTTGGTTTCGTCAGCTGTACACACTACCGACGCAACACACGAGCGCGTTGGCGTTGGGTACTTATCAGAGGAGTCCATCGATCGTGAGAGTAGTGAGCAGGTTGTCATTGGTTAGCAGATTGAGCGTATGGAACAAGTTCAAGCCAAACTATTGTGATGATGAGCTACACGCTGAACTGCATGATATGTGGAGCCCCACTTATTGTTCATAACCTACAACCAACTTGGAAACTGTATCAGTTCCGCGTCATTTGCTCCTTCTACAAGTAAACCCTAGAAATTAGCCAACAACAATTTAGAAGTCAAAATATATCCATTCAAAAAGCAAAAGTAACAGGAATGTCATGGTCGACGGAAACGCGCCAACGCCAATGCCTCGGCTCACGGGGATAGCGGCAATGAGCTCCCCATAACGTGGCTTGCGCGCGGAGAAGCATAACCCGCGAACGCGCCCTTTACCTCATTCTACCCAGACTTCCTGGCATCTTGCATGCTCATTATTACATATACGAACCAGAATCGACATGTCGGACCAAAACGAGAAAAGCATCCAACCCGAAGCGCCCAACGTGGCCGACACACCTGATGTCAAGGAGGTTGTCGATAAGATAGCGGATGCTGCACCTAGTGCGGATCCGAGGGATTTGGACAGGATCGACTTGCTCGCAGGCGTGAAGAAGGTTGACCAAACCATTTTGAGGCTGAATAAGTGAGTATCTCGACGTTCTGTCATGATGAAGTTTGTAGCAACGAGCTAATGTAGGGCAGACTCCTAGCTTCCCCAGGCGGTCTCTCCGCATTCCTCTCCACATTCAACTACACCCTCTACATCCTCGCATACGTGCAAACGAAGTCGCCGTCCATCTCTAGCTTTGCGACCAAGCTCCTCAGCCTCATACGTCCTGCCTGCGACGACAATAAGATCTCCGCGGCAACACTCCTGAACACTGGCACCGTGCCACCCATCGCTGCGCTTGCAGTCCTCATTTCGAAAGCGCGCACAACGCTGAGACTGTTTGGTCTCTTCCCGTTGTATGCATGGCTGCGCTCGCTAGCTTCAGGCCCCAAAGCCGGTACAGATGTTGTCCTGCATAGAATCGCAATGCTGCAAGCGAGCAGCTACTTCTCCTACCAAGCGCTAGAGAACATCTCTCTCCTCGCCGACTCCGGTGTCATCGGGCCCCGCTTCATCTCCACCCTCAACCGCGGCGACTCCAAAACCGCACGTCTATACCTGTACGCCTACCGCTGTTGGTTAGGCGGCGTGTCTTGCGACTTCCTTCGCTTGATGCGCGAGTGGCAGCTTGAGGGTCGCAGGAGGGCGACTAGGCAGCAGATGGTTGCTGATGGGCGCGCGATTGCCGAGTACCAGGATGAAGAAGACAAGAAGTTTGACAACAGGTGGTGGACCGACTTTGTCATCGCGAGTGCGTGGCTGCCCATGGCGCTACACTTCAGCAGCACGAGTGGTGGTCTGCCGGGCTGGAACTTGGGGTGGATGGGAGCCTGCGGGTTGGTTGCTGGGAGTACGAGGTTTAAGGCCCTGTGGGCGAGTACGGCGTAGGAGTTTCATCACGGCGGTGAGCGATTTGCATGAAGATGATTGACTCCATTCATATACATATTTGGAGTGTTTGTTTACTTTGAAGCTGGAAGTATCTATGTAGCGTTTGCCTTTGTGCTAATTCGTAGCGTTTTCTGCAGCTCGAACATGAAGATAATATGCCGTCGTTCAAATGCGTAGATATCAAACTTCACTCACGGCATACACTAGAAGCAATACAGTACTGTGACATATCGGGTATAGAGGATACCTGCACACTACATGAACTAGCCGTACGGGGAAAGCCCAACCGACTATCATCCAGAAGTGGGGAAGTGACTATCTCCCGGGCACGATTACGTTCACCGAACCAACCTTGCTACTGTTATAGGTGACAGACAATCAGACCGACCGGCAACAACGGTGCCATTATTATCACTCCGGCATAAGAACCCAATTCCAGACCCCGTTTCACAGCAACATTGTCGCTTGATACAATATCCAGAGGTGCCTTAGCAATGGAGGGCAACAGTGTATGTTCACAACTACTAACAACGCAACACTGACTAATGGGCTTCCAGGGTCTTCGGGACGCGAGGATCCAGGAGCTCTGGAACTTAAGATTAGAGGAAGATGGTTTCAACATTGTGGAAGCCAGTATCGATGACCACCGGAAAGCCTTCGACAAACAAGAGATTACCAGCGTTGACGTCGTCGTCAGCTACTTGAACCGCATCGCACAGTATGACCTCATTCGAGGGTTGAATGCTTTCACAGTATTCAACGACAACGTCCTCCAGGATGCAGCAGCTTCGGACGCTCGTCGAGCACAGGGACTGGAGCCTCGTCCACTAGAAGGTATACCGTATACGATCAAAGACAGCTACAAAGTCGCTGGGATGACGGTTACTGATGGTTCCCCTGCTCTCAAAGGCGTCATGTCGAGCGGCGATTCTGCCATCGCGGAGAGACTACGAGCTGCAGGAGCGATCTTGATCGGAAAGACTAACATGCCACCTATGGCAGCGGGTGGGATGCAGAGAGGTATGTATGGCCGAGCAGAGTCACCTTATAATTCGAAATACCTTACCGGAGCCTTCTCTTCTGGGTCCTCGAACGGTGCCGCGACTTCTATAGCTTCAAGTATGTCGGCTTTTGGTATGGGCAGCGAGACGGTGAGCAGCGGTCGAAGTCCGGCGTCAAACAATGCCATTGTTTGCTATACGCCATCGAAGGGATTACTCAGCTGTCGTGGGCTGTGGCCATTGTACATCACATGTGATGTACCCACGCCGTATGCGCGATCAGTGGACGATATGTTGGAAATACTTAACGTCATCGCTACACCCGACGAAGACACGACGGGAGACTTCATACGCGAACAGAAACATGTTCAGATACCTCAACCACCTTCAATCGACTATACTACCTTGCGCAATGCCGATGCACTAAGGGGTAAGAGAATCGGTGTGCCAAAGATGTACGTTGGTCAGAAAGACTCGGATCCGTATGCAAAGCACCCTTACGTCTCACCAGAAGTCGTCGCATTGTGGGAGCAGACAGCCAGGAGTCTTGAATCTCTGGGAGCAAAAGTCATTTATACCGACTTTCCTCTCATAACGAACTACGAGAACGACTCCGTATCCGGTGAAGCGAATAACGTTGATGGGCGGCCCGCAAACTGGAATCTACTCGAACGAGGCATTCTTATCGCCCAAGCGTGGAACGCTTTTCTTGTAGAGAACGACGATCCCAACATCAAGTGTTTAGCCGACATCAAAGATCCCGCGATGTTGTTCCCAAAGCCACCAGATTACAAACCTGACCGATTCCTCGAAGTGAGGAACTGGATCGACTACCCCGGCCTGCCCAAGATGGTGCAAGACGGAAGCATACACGACATACAGGGCATGGAACAAGCTCTGAAAGCACTCGAAGCTCAACGAAAGCGCGACCTAGAAGATTGGATGGACAAGAACGGTCTCGATGTCGTCGCATTTCCCGCGCAAGGCGATGCCGGTCTTGCAGATCTCGAGTTCGATATCAACAGTACAACGCATAGTCTTCAGAATGGTGTCAAGTACTCTAACGGTAATCGGGCGATTAGACACCTAGGTGTACCCACCGTAAGCGTGCCGATGGGTGTTATGAGCGAGAAGAAGATGCCCGTGAATATCACATTCGCTGGCAAAGCATACGAAGATACCAAGTTACTGGAATATGCATATGCCTTCGAACATGCGACAAAGAAACGTGTACCGCCACCACTCACGCCCGCGCTGCCAACCGATGTCATCGCCCACGCATTTCCTTTGTCACCCGATGACAAACCTATCATCAAATCTGTAACAGCCGTCGTCAAACATGTGGACGCTTCTACTTACGCTGACAACGAGCTTTCTCTGACTGTACATGGAACCCTACACGAGCCTGCATCGGAGAATCTGGTTCAGGTCTTTGTAGATGGGTATGCGGCATACACTGCGATGGTCGAGAATGCAGAGTGGAAGTTCTGGACTGCACATCCAGTCAAGAGACCGGAAGTTCTGGGTTGGGATCTCAAGCCACTCCCAAAGAGGGATCTCATGGTCATCGTGGTTGTGAAGAGACATATGGGTGATGAAGGGATTAAGAAGGACGCGAAGTTGCTTTGGGTGCCTGTTGATAAGGCTGCTGAGGTCACTATTGGGGATTCTAGATAAACGAGAAGGCGTCAAAGAGCAGTGCACTAGCTATGAATATCTCCCTACTGTGTACTGCGCCGAACAAAGATTACTGCGGTTCCAGAGTTTGAATGAGCTGCAAAGCCCCATTTATCACTGTATTGCACTGCCTTGTGGTAGATATCCAGATGATTCCACGAATAACACGAGCGCACTGACTGCATTCGTCTCCACTTCTGCTGCAGCAAAGTAACGCTACGAAACTTGGTAAACTTTGGAGCAAGCGTCCTTCAATTCACCTGCATACCACCTGGCAATGCCGTCAGCCAGCCATCAAAGTTCTCGCCGACCATATCCTTGACACTACACTTGTTTTGTGTAGCAATGTTTTGTTTCTTTAGCGTCGGAGCGGACACGTAGTTGTTCCCGTCCATGGCCTTCTGCAGCGAGTCGTCCTTCCAGCCAAAGAGGTAGTCTGCATGCGTCGAGAAACCGGTAGCATCGCCACTAGACCAGACAAAAGGCTGACTGCCGTCAGTTGGCCAGTCTGCCTTATTATTGAATTGCTTCGTATCCCAGACAGTCTCAAGTAAGATTTGGGGAATGCGAACGGGGTGGGTAGATGGACATGCGCCGCCGTTCTCGAATGTACCGGTCGCGGGGTATGAGACATGTTCGCGATGGTTGGGTGAATCGAGATTTACGCCATCCCAGCACTTCATAAAGTCAGTACACTTGTCATACACGCATTGCTCGTCTATACGTAACAGTTGGGAATCTATGATTTATCATCACACCCGCCGGGCAAGGTTGCTTTGGGAAATCGAGCGTTTCCGGCTCCCGAGTGCCCTCATTCTGCATGCAGATGTACGTCAATTGGCGGAAGTCGCGAGCTGCTTCCCGGGTACGGTATGAGACATCGCCAATCAGCATACGGAAACCGGGTTTGAATGCAGTTACTTTTGTAGCCTGTGAAGTGCTGAAGAGGGCATCGGTCATGTAGTATACGACCTAGATGGATGTTAGACACTACCTGAGAGATGACTTGGGAAGAAACACGTACCATGCCACCCTTTGTACCATCCATTCCTTGCTGTGCTCGTTGAGGAACACGCTTAAAGGTGCCATTCCTTGCTTTGAAATACACTACTGCGGTCCAGTAGTTGCCTACAAGTATCTCATTAGCGTTCACTCATGATCTCATATTGCGATGTAGTCCTTACTTAGGTCTTCGGTAAACTCGCAGGTAGTGCATGTCGATTGCGCTGCAAGATCATGGCCTTTAGCTGGGTCCATAGTGACGTTGAACGAGTTCTGTTTGTGTTGTGTTAACAACTGCATGCATGTGTTTGACTAGTAGATTTCTTACGCCCCCGATGATCTGATGAAGATGCGGTGATGGATTGGATCCTGGGTTGACCAACGGGTCAAGTCGCTGAACAGTCAACTGTGCGCATCCGAAGCGCAATAGCCCTGCATTCGTGGTCGCAAGTAGCCCGAAGGCACTGATGATGGGGTGTAGTCTCATGGTGTTCACTTGTTGTTTACTCGCTGTTCTCTCCAGTGTTTTGATACTGTCGATAATCTCCTTATGCGATGCTGCAGCGCATTCCGTAGTCCCTCTTTCATAGACAGCACAAGCGTCATATGTTGATATCTTCGATATCAACAACTGCCGTCGTCTTTAGGTGTCGATGCGAAGAGCCGAGTGCCAGGGCAATGTAAGCTAATATCGCGTAGCGAATGCGGGCTCGCCTGCCAAGGAGGATTGAACAGAATCTCCGCGTGAGCGAGGCTATCCTTCTGAAGCCTTCGAATAGGAAGAGATCTATGAAGATTGCATCCCGGGCTTGACCCAGGATCTAAAGCAGAAGTCTGGGAAACGCGGGACTATCCGTCCGACCATCTACAAGCGTGGCATCTGACCTTGACAGTGGCAATGGTTCCTCTATATCCGAGATATCACCTGGCATCCAGTAGTCCAGAATATAGTGTTCCAAGCATTTGGCTTAGAATCCGACCGGACATATGAGTCCGCTCAGCTAGGTACCAGTGAGCTTCACTCGCATCTTCGAGCAGAGTAAAGCAATACCACCGACCAACAGATCCTGCACGATTAGGTTTCATCATCTCTTTCATCAGCATAAACCCATCATGAAGCTCTTTATCGCCATTCTGGCGTCTCTTCTCGCCTCTAGTGCCGCTCAAACATACCCAGAGTGCACTGCCGAAGTTGCGCGAAGCGATGATTGCGCCGCTGTCATCAACGCAAACGCGTGCTACAACAAGTTTCGATGGAATGCGCAAACCCTGACATGCATAGATGGAAGCGACAATACGGTAAAGCAGAAGAAGGTAAGGAATGAGCGCGGTTGAGGTTGAAGGAGAATGCAGAGCTGACGAGAATGGTACATGATAGGTGTGTGCTTGTTGCAGCTGTGTTGGGAAAGTCATGTGTGACTGGGCAACAAAGCAGAAATTTTGCTAAAAAAATTTGAGAGCTGATGGGTCGTCACATATGGTACCTCAATAGCTATATTCAACTTGTTCGTACAGAACCATATTCATAACAGCCTCACCAAATGGTATATCCACCATCTACTATGATCTCGCTGCCCGTAACATAGCTGCTAGCATCACTGACCAACCAAACTGCCGCACCGCGAAACTCCTCTGGCTTAGCGATCCTCTTCATCGGGATATCCTTCAACCACTCTTTACTCAACTTCTCCATCTCTTCACCCTCGTTAGCCTCAGTCTGGATGTACCCCGGGCTTAGCGCATTGACGCGTATATTGTGCGGCGCCCATTCCGACGCTAGAGATTTCATGAGGTGCGCGGATGCGGCCTTCGAAGCGTTGTATGCAGACTGCTTTTGCGGACGGTTGACTATAGAACCAGACATTGACGAGATAATCAATATGCGGCCGTCAACTTTGTTCTCGATCCACCACTTCCCTGCTGTACGAGAGAAGAGGAAGGTTCCGGTCAGATTGACGTCAATCATGCGCTTGAAGTCTTCGAAAGGGTAGTCTTCTGCCGGTGCGCCGCCAGTGATCCCGGCATTGGTGACGAGGATGTCGACGGTGCCGAAGTCTTTGACGATCTTGTCCCAAGTCGATTTAACACCTTCTTCAGAAGAAGTGTCGCACTCGTAGCCATGTACTTTTGGTGGCGGTAGGCCGTGAGTTTTAGCTTCCTCGATGAGGGCCTTGGCAGATTTGTCGGCGCCTTCTTGATCAAGATCTACAATCGCTCCATGGGCGCCCGAAAGGGCGAAGGCGGCAAGAATCTGTTGACCAAGGCCTTGAGAAGCACTGTGTGACACTTTAGCTTGGTCGTAGCCGTGCTCCGTAGTCTCTCTAGAGACGTTAACGGTCACTCACCCGGTTACTGAACGAGGTTAGCATATTTGCCCAAGAGACCCTCTCATTACTACTTACCAACAGCCACCTTGCCTTCAAGCGAGAAATCGGGCAAAGTCCTGCGCTGCGTGTGAGTGAATCGAAATGCCGGCCTTGACAGATGCAAGAGCGCCTGTGAGGTCCGTAAGAGAGCATTGCGGGCGACATACGGAGGCATCTTGAACGTTTGCTTATGTGAGACGAGTAGACGGGGAGGCTTCTTTGATGTTTGAGGACTTTGGAGCTGTGTATTTCAAAGACGTTCAAGAGCCCATGGGGTTCTTTTGATCTATGCGATGTTTACCAGGTACGGTTTTGTGATGAGAGAATTACGTCACTTTTGCGTACGCCTGTGCTCAAGCAAAACATAGTCGCCCGATTGTTGCACTGGATTTGGTGAGGATACGAACGTCTAGATGAGGAATAATGAGAGAAGATAGAAGGTAAATAAAACCAGGAACAAGTCAATGCAGGAGTGATGGGAGACCACAATAGATCTGTTTAAGCGAGGAAGAGGTGGCGGGTATATTTGTTGAAGGGTTCGCATGAAGACTGCCTACTACAACTCTCCTTTACTGACAGTAGTCAGGTATCCTCCAATGTGATGATCGTAATGTTCGTATCGGGTATAAGTTGTCCTCCGGTTTACATGACGACGCACCAGCATGACTCGTCGCAACCGCAGCAGTCGCACGACTCACCGCACTTCGGGGCCGGTGAGGGCTTGATGATGGTCGAAACGGAAGAGGCAACACTGGCAGGCATTGTGATGGTGTTTGTGTGAAGATGGTGCTAGACAAAGTGTGAGATGCGTGGCTAGCAGCGGATAAAGGATACTTACCGAAAGAGCTGTGTTTAATGTAAAGGATGAAAATTGGGAGCTCTGGACTCTGGTGTTGATGTGTATGTGTGTAATGTAGGCCGTTTGGAGGGTCGAGTCGAAGTGTGGTGAAGGATGAAGGGATTCTGTCGCAGATGTCTACGGCTCTTTATATCGCCTTTGGTACAGGTCAGCAGGTTTGATACACTCTCCGGGGTCAATAGGTTCAGAGAGACGGCTTCCGTCATAGCGCTTTGCTGACCTTCGTCATTCGACCTCGTTGGTCACAGATCGAGCCTTGACCCTGAGGCATGCATACCAATGTTTCGACGCCTGCCAGTTGTCAGGCACGAGATTGGTCCTGCGGCCCCAGTGCACCGCCTCACCGACACTGCTATCTCTCTTAGCAAGCCCCAGACGCGAGTCTGGACAGCGTGATGGATGCAAATGGCCGCGGCTGTGGTGGCTCAGCTTGTTCGCGCCCGTTCTTTCCGTTGCTTGATTGGCCTGCCAGCAGCGTTTGTCGTAACACGTCTGCATTGAAGCATGCAAACCCTTGTATGATGCATGGCTGATTGCGTGGCTAAGCTCTACTAAGCTTTGTGGCGCCAACAAATGCCTCGCAAAATCAAGGAATAAGCTTCGCCAAGCTGCAACCGAGAAACTTGGCTGTGAATGTGTCGTTAACGGCCTTTGTGGGTCTGTTCGCTCGCGCGCGTTAGACCCTGGCTGTGCCACAAGTGATATGGTACATGATGTCGTCCTGCAGTGGCTGCGTAAGCGTTTGACATGGTGCTAAAAGTGGAGGATCGGCTTCGTGTAACGGTAATACGGGCTGAACGGCGCTTCTACACGAGAAAAATGCTTTGCACATCTCACCTCTACATGTGAGCCACGCGTCGTAGCGGCATTTTTGGGCGGTATTTGGGCGAGCTGAATGTTGCGGGCCGATGAAAGTGGTGTAGGGACGCCTTCAGTCGTTGGTGGGCCAGAACTACATGTCAGCTAATAGTAATATACCTCATCTCGATAAGGGAATCACTATCGAGTAATTTCAGCAAGAGAGGTTGACGTTCGTTCGGTATGGAAGCTATGTGAGATAGGAAAGCTCCGCGACTGGAGCTTCCGTACATTCCGGCGACGACTCCGCCTAATACTAGAGAACCCCTAAATCCACTAACTTGCCCTTCTCATCACAGATCGATTACCAGACTCTCTTTGTCCAGCCCGCACCACTCGGCGCTCTTGCGCCATAGCGCTTGTTGCATGTCTACATCCAAGCTGTCCGGAGAGCTCTTGACTTTCTCCTTCCCTTCAAAGTAACCCTCTTGCCCTGCAAACTTATCGGCCACTGCCACATCGACAAAGGCTATCGCAGCTTGCTCAACTGTTACCAATCGAGGGACAAAGTAACTGAGCAACGGCAACAGCCAAGTCACAACTGTAGACATGATCTGGATTTTTCGTGGGACGTGTGGCTGATGGAAAGCCCGCGAATTGATCATATCGAGAGGATCAACGGCTATTGCCCTGATAGACTCCGTTTCTCTTTTCTAGCATGACAGTCAAAACTTAGGTTTATCTGAACTTGCGCCAATGGGATACTTACGATCTTGAGGCGACGATTGAGCTCGTACATGACCATGATGGGGACCAGCCTACTCACAGCATATCTTTGGAAACCTCGTCCCAGTTCCTCGCCCTCGTTGTCGGCTTTGGGGTGAACCAATAAATCTAGGTCTTCCGGCACATGAGTCGGATACCCCTTGACGAGACTAGCTTTGTCCGGCCAATGCGCGCAACTCCCTGAAAAGACGATGCGGCCATGTACGGGGTCCACGGTACTGAGAAGCTCGCACAACAAAGAGAAATGCGCAAGATGGTTCACCGCAATCGACATTTCGTATCCGTCCTTTGAATACTGGGGCCCGTCGGCCAAATTCCAGGTCATCGCGTTACAGATGATCGTGCGGATAAATGGCAGCTTTTTACCCTCGATTTCAAGGCGTAGCGCCTTGCTGAATACACGGACGTTTTCCAGCGATGAGAGGTCGAGTTTTCGTATAGAAACTTGCACCTCAGGGTGCTGGTCCACAACACGACAAAGTTCTGCCGTGTTCGCATCTTGTTGAGAATCGTCTCGGACGGTGAGGACCAGGTTGAAGGATGGATATGCTTCCAACAAGTATTTCACTGCCGGCAAAGCCAGCGAACCGTTTGCGCCGGTAATCAGAACTGTGCCCGTCATGGTGCCTGTAGTAAACGAATGATTGTGGAAGACGCTCGAGTAGCGACATACGTTCTGTGAAACGGGGCATGGAAGGTACCATTGTTATCTTCATGTACCCATGGGGCATAGTTGATGACAGGCGTCCCATCGCATGCCGTAATGCCGGTCACCTAAGCTAGCGGCCACCGAAGCTGGCCACCCACTGAAGCTGGCCACCCGTCCAGAACTTGGCCACCCACTCCACGCTCGTGATTTCTCCATAACCACGCAACCAAAATGGATCCCCGTGAAGCAGCAATTCAAGCAGCTATTAGCGACGTTGTTTCTGGTGTTTTACTAGTCAACGAGCTGCTGCAAAGGCGTACAAGATCCCTCGAAGCACGCTTGCGGCCCGACTACGTGGTACACAGACACGTCAATCTAGCCACGAATACCAGCAGCGATTAACTCCACAACAAGAGGAATTTCTTGTACAATGGATCCTTGAAGAGGACGCACGCGCGTTTCCTCCATCCCACGCGCGCGCGCGAGAAATGGCGAATCGAATCCTGAGGATGAATGGTGACAACAATCCTGTGGGCAAGCGTTGGATATCCTTCTTTCTTAAGCGTAACCTACGCGTCGCATCTATTGTTGGTAGAAAGATAGAGGGCTCGCGGGCTGAGGGCGCAACGCAGGAACAGATACGCGCGTTTCTTGAGCTCTTTGAGAGGACTCGCGTACGACTAGGTATACGCACTGAGGATATGTGGAATATGGACGAGACTGGCAAGGCTATGGGGGTATGTGCAAACACTAGAGTCCTCGCAGATAGCCGTAAGAGCAAGGCTTACAAGCAGTCGCCAGAGAATCGCGAGTGGGCATCAATAATCGAATGCGTGTCGGCTACAGGCAAGAAACTGCGCTGCGGGGTGATATTTAAGGGCAAGAACCTACAGAGTACTTGGTTTCCTGCGATAATACCCAACTGGCTTTACACAACCTCTGAGAACAGCTGGACATCAAATGCGATAGGCCTCGAATGGCTGCAACAGATATTTCTGCCTGAGACGGCTCCATTAGACGATCGTTGGAGGATGCTAATTCTGGACGGCCACGGCAGCCACATTGATCTGGAATTCCTGTGGACCTGCAAGCAGAATAAAGTTCAGCTTCTGTTTCTACCTGCTCACTCATCTTATGTATTACAGCCACTAGATCTCTTAGTTTTCTTAGTAGTGAAGAGATTCTACCGAAACCAGATCTAGGAACTATCGCATCTAGATGACGCAGCGCCTGTTAAAAAAGAACGCTTTATTACAGCCTACTATAACGCTAGAGAGGCTGCGATTACTGAGAGAGTAGTACGAGCTGGATGGGCCACTGCAGGCATCTGTCCATTGAACATTGAGCGGGTAGTTAACTCCTCACAGGTAGCTCAAAGGCCTGTTACGCCACCACGTCAGAATCAAGCTCAACCTGCTGAGAGCTATCTATCTACCCCCCGTGGACCTCGTGATCTTTTTATAGCTCAGCGAGAGCTGCACAGGAACGAGAGCGTTAGCCGCAAGACTCACCAGCTTATTCAAAAAGCAGGCAAAGCTATTGCAGTAGCAAATACTCGCGCAGCACAGCTAGAAGCAGAGAACAAAAGACTATATAGTCAACTTGAGGCTCTTAAGCCTCAGCAGCCACGAAAGAAAGTTCATGTAAATTCAAATTAACGCTTTGCAGATATAGAAACAATTATGGTAGCAGTGCAGGCGTCTGCTCTTTTAGAGTTACAAAACAATAGTAACGCTGCAGAAAAAGCAGCAGAGAGAGCAGCAGCTGAATCAGCAGCTCAAACTCTTCAGTCTATGTGTACAGAGTGGCAATTGTAACTAGGTTGAATTAATTACGTTGATTTTTGATGGGTGGCCGAGTTCTAGGCGGGTGGCCAGCTTCAGTGGGTGGCCAGCTTCGGTGACCGCTAGCTTATCTCAAATCCACCAGTAAGCTAGCTGACCGGGATGTTGATCACCCGGGGATGTTGATCACTCACAAATCTCAGCACTCCCACACGAAACACGTGTTATCTCTCCACATACTCAACCAAAATGGGCGACCGTGAAGCAGCTATACGAGCAGCTATCAGCGATATCGATGCCGGTGTTTTCCTAAGTCAGAGGGCAGCTGCAAAGGCGTACAACATCCCGCAATCCACAATCTCAACGCGCATACGCGGCAGACAAAGCAACCAAGCTAGCCACGTATACCAGCAGCGGTTGACTCCAGAGCAGGAGGACTTTCTCGTACAATAGATACTCGAAGAAAACGCACGAGCTTTTCCTCCCTCCCATGCACGCGCACGAGAAATAGCGAACCGAATCCTCCGGATGAATGGAGACCACAGACCCGTAGGCAAGCATTGGATGGCTGCCTTCCTTAAGCGTAACCCACGCGTCGCATCTGTTGTAGGTCGAAAGATTGAGGCAGCTCGAGCTGAGGGAGCAAACCCAGCACAGATACGCGCGTTCCTGGAGCTCTTTAAGAGGACTCGTACGAGGCTAGGCATAAGGGCTGAGGATATATGGAATATGGATGAGACTGGGAAGGCCTTAGGTGTATGTGCTAACACTAGAGTGCTCGCATCTAGTTAGAAGAAGAAGGCTTACTATCAGTCCCCAGAGAACCGCGAGTGGGCATTAATAATCGAGTGCGTGTCGGCTACGGGCAAGAAACTACCCTGTTCGGTTATATTTAAAGGAAAGCACCTACAGAGCTCTTAGTTTCCTACGATAATTCCTAAATAGCTATTTACAACCTCGGAGAATAGCTAGACATCGAATGAGATAGGAGTTAAGTGGTTGCAGCGTGTATATCTGCCCGAGACAGCTCTATTAGACGGTAGCTGGAGGATGCTAATCCTAGATAGCCACAGCAGCCACATCAGCCTAGATTTCCTATGGGCTTGCAAACAGAACAAAGTCCATCTTCTGTTTCTACCTCCTCATTCTTCTCATGTCCTACAGCCTCTAGACCTCTCAGTATTCTCACTCGTGAAGAGATTCTATCGGCAGCAAATCCAGGCTCTCTCGTACCTTGACGACGCAGCGCGTGTTAAAAAAGAGCGTTTTATTACAGCTTATTATCACGCACGAGAGCGAGCAATTACTAAGAGAGTTATACGAGCAGGATGGGCTACTGCGGGTATCTGGCCATTCAATGTTGACCGGGTAGTCAACTCATCTCAGGTAACCTAGAGGCCTGTCACGCCGCCACGTCAGAATCAGCCTCAACCTACTAAGAACTACTTCTCTACCTCTCACGGTCCTCGTGATATTTTTATAGCTCGAAGAGAGCTTCACAGGAACGAGAGTGTTGGGCGTAAGACTCATCAGCTCCTTGAAAAAGCAGGCAAGGCACTTAGTACAGCAAATATACGCGCAGCACAGCTTGAAACAGAGAATAAAAGACTCTATAGTTAACTTGAGGCTCTTAAGCCTCAACAGCCACGAAAGAAGGTTCGTGTTGACCTAAATCAACGCTTTGCAAATGTAGAGACAATTATGGTTGCCGTACAGGCGTCACAGCTTCTTGAGGCACAGCGCGATGTTAATGCTGAGGAAAAGGCTGCAGAAAATATAGCAGCTGAAACAGCAGCTCGAACGCTTCAGTCTATGTGTACAGAGTGGCAATTGTAGCTACGTTGAGAAAATAAACACGTGTTTTGTGTGGGAGTGCTGAGATTTGTGAGTGATCAACATCCCCGGGTGATCAACATCCCGGTCAGCTAGCTTATGCACACAGATCGTCGTGGAAAAGATTTTAGACTTCTATTTTTTTTGTGCATAGCAAAATCAGCCGTTGTACTATTGCACCTTTGTATTCCCAACCGAAGTTGTCATACTGGCATTTATGATGAGTGGTGGCGTGGCGAAGGCTATTCGTGTTCGTTAGCCGTTCCTCCCCTCGGTTCTCACTTCATGCAGGTTACCTTCGCGCACTTCTCTCTGCAAGGTATCCGCACATTACCCCCGTTCATCATGCCCACAGCAACTCCAGTCTACCTTCATGATCTAAGTTCGAAGCGCATGCACACATGCACACATCCCTCCGTGCTGGTAGCCACGAGCTAGACAACGAGTCCCGGTCGATGCACGTCGTATCCTTGCCGACTTTTAGCACGAAGGATCATAATGTGCAGCAGTAGCCCCGAATCTAGATTAGTCACCCGTTGCTTTTCTTCTGATGGCACTTCTGTTGAAAATGTACTTCGATTCGAGATGGAAGAGTTCGGTATATGTCAAGCAAAATCAGTGATAATAGTTTGCAATGCTGGCATGCTACAACGTAAGTGCATTCTCCTACACTACCTACGTGGGTGCTTTCATCTATACCAGGTACTTTCCATACACATTTGCATCCCAGCTAACTACCTCCACCAACCAACTAGCTTACCGTGATGCTACTACTTCCACTCGGCAGCAATGTTCCATTTGCAAATCCCTCCGTACAAAGAATCATATAGTCATGGCCACCCAACCTCATTCCGGCCTTGCTCCATGCATCGAAATGCTTCTGTGTAGTGATTGTTCCGCCAACCCTCTTCTCTGTCCTCACCGACCAGAATTGTGTGAAAGTGCGCGTACCTTCGATCGACGGCTTGTTCACCCGCTGACTAGTGTAGAGCTCATAGGTGCCTTCTTCAAAAGTGAAGTTACCTTTGCGCGTCCAAGGTTCACCAGGGGCAAGAACGTCGTAAGATTCGATGATGTAGTATTCGATGAGGGGGTTACGCGTCCAACCGTAAAGAGCGAGGTAGCCGGGCCCTTTGGCATCGTATGTACCGGAGTATTTCACGGTCCTATTGTCACCCATCAGTACACTTTTGGAATATACGATGTATGTTTTGCAGCTCTTACCTCGAACCGCCAGGCTTGAAGCCGGTACCAGCGACGAAGCCTCCACCAGGCTGGCCTGACCAATTGCACGTATACTTCCCACCGCCCTGCTGATTGCAACGGAAAGAGCCGCCTCCCTCGGACCAGAAAGAGTAGTAACCACCTTGACGGGCTTCGAGCTGTTTTCCCACGGTTTCATGGTTAATGAGCGAGGTGATGCCGCTAGGTACCGCAAGGGCGTTGTGAAGAGAAACTAGCACGGCGGCTGCGACAATAGTAAAGGACACCATGATGGCGACTTTGCAGTGAAAAATGCGTCACATCGATCACGGTGAGCAATGTAGTACTCGCAGCTATATATCGGTCTGACGGAGAGCGAATTGGGGGTCGTCATCATTATTCACGGAGCTTCGGAGGCAAGCGCGCGTGATCCTTCATTCCTGTTTCTCATTAACCATCGGTTCTCACGGAGATCGTCTTGTGGGGAGTCTGTTGGCAGCGACATCTGTCAAGGACTGATCCGCTACCACCAGCACCACACATGCTCTGCCAAGACTGGGGTGCGTCCTCGTCAATATGTTCGATACTGCTGCACCGGCTCTTCACTGCCGCGTAAGGATGTTGCCTCGTACATACCGCACGCACAGATTTCCGAATTGACAACAAAGACCGCTCGTCATTTGCCGGCGGCACTTGGTACGACAATGCCCATGATAGCCATATTAACGAACAGTTGCCACCAATTACGTGCTGTGCCAGCCTAATAGATATGTTGTTGTTAATCTACGCGAAGATGTGGGGTATAGCATATGACGGAAACGTATCAGGCAAGGCTTGTGAATTTCATGTATGTGGACAAACCCAATAGAGTCTGATGAAGTGCGTTGATGATCGTGGAGCGCTTGGTGGGAACGGCGAGAGAAGGAAAGAGCGCGACGCGCGCAATTGAGACGTGTAGGTGCAAGCTCGTCCAAGTTGAGATTAACGTATCGCTCTAGCTGCCTGTGGTACCCTCATCCGCGAACACGGCCCCTCTCCGCATCCGCAGAGTTCCAGAACAAGGGGTTTGCAACTGCTCGAACATCATCTTTCTAGAGTACCCATCGTATCTGAATAAGGTCAGGGCGCTACCAATGAGCTCTGGCTCAAGCCTCCATCTCATATCCAGGCAGATGATCGAGCCACCCATCCACCTCCTCGTCAACTGAGCTCTCAACCGCGCACGCATTCATCTCCTCCACAGTCTGCGTTTTTAGCACGCCTTGCATGCCCGGGCTTCCACAGTAATGAAACATGCAACTGTCGTTCATCACTCGCTGCAGGCTGTCTCCTTTCCATCCAAATACGTAGTCAGCATGAGTGCCATAGCCTCTGCTATCCGAGTAACTCCATACGAATGGCTGCGAACCATCGGTCGGCCACATGTCAGCGAAAGCAGTAGTGTTCCACATTGTTTCGTATGCTAGCTGAGGCATCTTGATGGGATGCGAGGCAGGACAAGGGCCCGCGGGGCGGAAACCACCCTGTGTGGTAGAGAACATGTGGGATTGGTGGTCAGGAGAGTCAAGGTCGACTCCGTTCCAACAAGAGGGAAAGTGACTAAACGAGAGAGATGCGATCAGTAGGTCTCATACGAGAAGGAAGTGGTCTCTCTTGGGAAGAGCTGCGCAACTTCCAAGCGCGTAGCAACTGTTTCCAAGAGCATGCTAAGATGTTAGGTAGACTTACTGTCAAGCGGTCAGTAAGACGATTGCAACATCTGTTTAGGACCAGCTCTTACCTGGATAGCCATAATACCGGCTGGGCATGGCTCCTTTGGGAAGTCGGGAGTCTCATAGCCCCTGGTGAGAATGGTTTGCAGGCATGTGTAAGCCAGACCTTTCTTGGTTCCATTGAGTGTCGTCGTCGACGGGTTGCCGACAGTCATGCGAAAGCCCTTGACCCAATTAACCATCTGTTCTAGTTACAGACCGGATTGCATCACCTACTGGCGGAAAGGCTCTCACAGGGTTACCGAGGTCGGAACTATTGAAGTCCTTTTGGGTATAGTATATCGTCATACCTCCCTTGATGTGGTCTGCGTTCTGACCTTCAAAGCCTAGAGAAATTAATGTCACGCTGCGTCTCGATATAGGCAAACGAGTGAGCGTACCCAGTTGAGCGTTCGGGTAGATGGGTACACGCTTATACGACCCGTTCTGATGTTTGAAGTACATCGCAGCAGTCCAGTAATTGGAAAAGTCTACAAGCAGAGTCAGACGCGATGACCAGACCGGCTTGAGGGATTTTCTCTCTGCCTTCAGTGTATGCGCACGTTGTGCAGCTTCCTTGGTCGCCAATATCGCCAGTCATCGTAGCATTAAAGGCATTGCCGCCTGAGGAGATATCAATGAGAGTACCAGAGATCCAACCATACGTCTAGCTTACCAACGATCTGGTGTACCTTCACAAGTATGTAAGCTTATGGAGATTTATGTTGTGATGATGATACTAACATGAGAGGAGGGAACACGGCCAGGCTCAACAAGCGGGTCCAGACGCTGGATAGAAACGCTGCTGCATCCAAACCGGATCGCTGCCTGTGCCAAGACAGCTTGAAGAAGGAGGAAATACGACTTCATAGTGTTATCAGGACTTGTTCGTTTGTGATGATGCAAAAACCTCAGTGTCAATATACCAAGACGACCATGGGCGGTTGGAGACTTTGGAGGAGCGCAGCCCACCATGAGACGCATTCCCCATTCTAGAGGAATGGTCGAGAACCATTCGCGTCAATGTATCCGACACGCATATGAAGATGATCCACACGCGACTGCCGGCTGGAAATGCCAAGTCGCTGATGTTGCTCTTCATATACGCCATCCAGCCGGGTAATGTAGATGTGGGGCGTGTTGACGGAATATTGCGGTGAACCCTTTAGACCCGCCAGGTAGGTCGCCGCGACTACGAGTGAATGGAACAGCATGTAGACATGACCTTGGAAGCAATTCGTAGGCTCAAGATGGTAGCACATGACGTATTAGAAAACAAAGAACCCCCGCTAGCGATAGTACAGGCCACACAGCCTCCAGTGCTGCCCCGGCAGTATCTCACTTTGTCTCTTCGCGACAGAGCCCCAACCATACTCTATCGTTATCAATCCTCGTGCCTACAGGGAAGAAGTCGTAGAGTGAAGTTCAAAACCACTTCTTCGCATCTTCCTCGCCTCGCTTCTCCCTCCACACTGGTCCATCATCCCCAAAGATCCACTTTCCTGCAATATCTTTCGATGTGAAGTAGTGAGGTTTAATGAGCGCCAAACTGAAAACATATGCGCCATACTTGATCACCGTGTTCCTGGTCGATGAACCGCGTTTTTGACACAATACGTGATAGCCTTCTGCACGCTGTACTAGCGGGAACTCGACAAGACTATCCGGCGGCCCGGGTAGGAAATCAGCGGTAGCAAAGGCATCATACTTTTGCTCAGGGCGGGCCAGTTCGGGACCTGAGTTGTGTCTGAAGGCGACCCGAATAGTTGATAAGTGCGGTGCTTTGCTTTTGATTACTCCGATGAGCCTCTCGATGCTAGCCCACATCTCAGCACCAGGTACATAGTCCCTGGATATTGTGTCGATATAAGTGAGAAAAATTGTTGTTTTCCTGAGGTGTTCGAAGGCACCGGTTACCCGTTTCGCGAAAGTGTCGACGTCAGCGTCCTTATCGCCGCCCACATTCACATATATAGAAGGACACACTTCAATCGTGGCCGAGAGATCCTGGATGGGCGCAGATTTGATATATTCGTCGCATAGGCGAGAGTGTGTGCGAATTACACTGCTGCAGGGTGCGTTGTGGAATCGCACAGCGATTTGATTGACGATGTGGCCCTGGGGATGATCTTGCCCTTTGCTCCAATCCCACCATAAACTAAACTCATGATGAAGGTATGCGTATATGTTATTCCGAAGTTCGCGTGGGATTGTGAGGAGATGTGGCGCTGGATTGTCTTCGGCCATTCTTCGAAAGTCAAAGTGGTTGAACAGGGCGCGACGAGACCCGTGATGAGCGACAACGTCGACAAAGAATCTGGAGAGTAAGCAAACGAGTTGGGAACGATAGTTGGAGGCAGATAAGGTTCGTGCGGTGCCCGCTGGGGCGTAAAGTAAGCCGCATCATGAGCCAATCGGAAAATATCTCTGGTTGCTTTTGTCGCACACAAACCGATGGAGGCAAAGCTGTGTGTACTATGAACTGAAGCTCCAGTGTACTTGCGAGAACAACCACGGTAGAATGTAGTTGCATTTCCTCTGGTAGTTGTGACGATCAGTTGTAAGGGTGAAAGGGGGCTACCAGGCCCTCGTGGAATTCAGGTCGTCGAATAGCTGGCGTGATCGAGTAGACATTCGGGTTATCCGAAGAAAAAAGAAATAATGGCTCTCAGTTCTGAATAGACTTTAGAACCAGGCTATAGCTTCTCTGTGACCGTGCTTTTCTCTCCATTCCTTCATTTCATGCTCAATAATCGAAGTCGGCAATGGTGTATTCCAATTACCGATCGTGTAAGGTTGCAGCTTGAAGTGATTAAGAACATCGGAAGGTTCCCAGAGGTGAAGGTCGTGATCTGTCCCGCTCCTAGTGTACAGATAGCAGCCATGCTTCACAAGGCCATGCTGAGGGCGAGGCTGACCTAGCCATGGCGATACTTGGTCCAGACGGTACCCCTCAGCTCGCTGCACAAGTTGCAATACTTCCAGGCAGGGTGGTGGTGAGTTCAGAAAATTAGCAGTCTCGAATTGTGGATAAGCATTGTTGTGATGTTGTAGTCGGGTAGAGGAGTGACATTGGATACCAATCCGCATGGTTGATAGAAGTGGACCTTCTTGTAGCAGCGCGGAGGCGAGGCGCTTTATGGTAATCCATAATATCTCCAGTTCGCTATAGCCACCACGAATACCCTGGCCGATGTCGGTAAGAATGGTGACATGTTTGACGAATCGGGCAAAGAGTGTATCCAAAGACAGCGTATGGACTGGGTGATGTATTGTAGGTGGTGAATCCGGTAGTGTACTGATAACGAAGCCTTTCTCAAGGGTCTCTTCATCGGAAATTGTCACAGAGACTCCATCTTTTTCGATGGCTTCAAGATACTCTTCTCGTAAGCGAGGATGAGCATGAAGTAAGCTGAGATTGGGCGCGTTATGGACATGGTACTGAACGCGATCTGGAGCGAACAACTTGGTACAACGCCAGCCAGGGTCTCCCCCAGCATCCAAATACGAGTAGATGAGATTTCGCAATTCGCGAGGGAGGGCAAGGAGAGGTGGAGGTGGGGACGCAGGGGCGGCCATGGTGAGGACGGAGCATGGATGATAGAAGATACAACAAGGCATTCGCAACTTAGGTAGCTTGCACTAACCGCATGTTGCACCAGAGCTAGTCCCGTCTAGCACGCGTCATAACATGTGACGGAAGACCGAATATAGACTTATGTAGGAACACCTGAGAACAGTATTTCAAAAGACTTCTGGTTGATGGTTAAATTATCCTTCTCTTGATGAAACGGTGTTGTATTGTGATTGGAGATATCGCACAATTACTATATATACATAACTATACACTTCCATTCGGTACCTGCACTGCACCATTCTCTTTCGTTCCCTCCAAAGCCTCACCCCAAATCTGCTTGACAAGCTGCTTCTTGTTGATCTTACCCATTGCGTTCCTCGGGATGGAGTCGACAACCTTCATCTCTTGCGGGATCTTGTAGTTTGCGAGAATCTCCTTAAGCGCCCGCCTCATATCTAATGCAGACCATGCTTTGCCTCCTTTTCCTGCGGTCTTGCCTTGTTCGGAAAGCACTACTACAGCAGCGACTTTCTGGCCCCAAGCTTCTGATGGTAGGCCGACAACGGCGACTTCGTCGACCTGCGGAAGCGAAAGCATCTCGCGTTCGATCTCAAGAGCGGAGACCTTCTCACCACCGGTTTTGATGATGTCTGCTGATTTACGCCCGTAGATAAAGTAGAGAGGTCCCTTAGCCCATGCTTGATCGCTCTTGCCTGCTCCGTCAACGTTCCTTCGAACAGCGACATCGCCAGTCTTGAACCATTTCCCCTGTCCGTCCGCGTCCTCTGTGAACTCTTTGAGAGTTGCTTCAGGGTTCTTCCAGTATTCTCTGAAGATGGTTGGACCACGCAGCTGTATCTCACCCTGGCGCTCGCGTCCTGTCGCAGGGTCGACTTCTTTGCCTACCTCTATGATTTCTCCATTCTCGGTATCTACCAAACGCGCTTGCACCGAAGGGAGCGGCCAGCCCACGGAGCCGTCTACGCGATCTGTGAAACGTAACCCACATGAAAGCGCCATGCCTACCTCGGTCATGCCATATCGCTCTAGCAGCACGTTGCCTCCACTAAGCTCCGTCCACGCTGACTTTACTGGTGTAGGAAGGGCAGCGGACCCCGAGATGTTTAGGCGCATATTGGATGGGTGAAGAGCGGTCTTGGTCGCGGCTTGGAGTTCAGGCGAGAGGGTAGGGTGAGATGCGAGCAGGCGTGTATATATAGTCGGGACGACAGTCAGGAAGGTGATGGGCTTCTTGACTGGGTCGGGGTTCGGTAGGAAAGGAGCCGCCAGGCGATCCCATACAGCCGTTGCGTTGAAGGGGAACTGGAACTCGATAGTGCTACCAGCAAAGAGAGGCGTAAGCAGCGCATTAATGGTGCCGTGGATATGGTGTAGGGGAAGTACGTGTAACAGCACGTCCTCTTTGCTGTAGTTCCAAGCTTCCAGCAGCGATCGCGACTGAGCCGTTAGTACGTCTTGGGGCAACAGAACGCCTTTTGGCCTATTTGTTGTGCCAGACGTATATAGCATCATGCCGCCCTTGTCGCTTGTGGGTTCCTCCAGCGTGACATAGTCATCCGTCTTGCCCATCATTATCTTCTCCTGCTTGTAGTTGATGGGCTTGGTTTTCATATTCTCTTTCAGCACATCGTCAGCTTGACTCTGGAACTTCTCAGACGAGAGAAGCATGAGAGATTCGCTCTGATCTATGATATATCGCAACTCGTGAGCTGGGAAGGTCGGCGATAGCGGTACGGCGATAGCGTGTGCGGCGAGGATGGACAGTAGGGTCACTAAGCACGCATTAGTTTCTGCTCTTCTTGGTCGTTGTATGCAAGGCCAGAGGAATGCGCACCTACATAGTCGTATCCGTTTTCCACCAGAAAGGATATCCGTTGGCCCTCTGCGCTCTGCCCACCGCAGTTCCGTTGCAGTTTATCCTTTGCAGCAGCGACATCGTTCACAAGCTCGCCGTACGTAAACGAGCGCCCCGACAGAGAGTGAACAACAGCCGTGCTTTGTCCATCATGTTTCTTGATGGCTTCGAAGATGGGTAGGCGGGGCAGTGTAGATGCCATTCTGACGGTATAGAAGGGAGCGTGTGCGAAAGACTGGCAGCAATGGCTGGTGTATGTCGACAAGGATATTTTGTGTCGTGCGAAGGTGCGAGTGAAAAGATTACGCGCCCACATGGCGGCAGGGAGGAGTCCCGGATCAGCGCAATTGATGCAGGTTTCGAGCCTGCCTTCGGAGTACGGCAAATCGGTGGGAGATATGCTGTGTTTAGAGCCGAGTCATGCTGATGATATTACTTGAGTCTCCGGCCCGGAGCACGAAAAACTATCATCTCAAGTATCGCTTAAAGGATTGTGCATGTTCTTGTAGAGGCCACCAGAGATCTGTAGACGGTCATATGGTCTTTGCATGGCTTCAATGGCTCATCTGACTGCGCTTCAAACTTTCGGAATCATGACGCGACACCTTCCGATTCCGCCTTGGCGCGTGCCTCGGCTTGAATTCTGGGGCCGACACATCCCATCATTTCCACCACTACGCTCCAGTATTCTCATTGGTCCTGCTTGACAGACCTACCGACTAGGAAACACATTCGTGGATGTTCCTTCGAAGTACCGGCCTCGCTGGAAGGCGTTTCATGTCAGCCATGGCTCAGTCCATGACTCCAATGGAAGATGCTCTGCGGACAAAGGTCAGTCACGCACTACACATAAGACGCATCAGTTGTGCATCTAGAAACATACCTAAACAACCAAAAGATTACAGAAGCTCTAAAGCCAACCTCACTCGAGATTTTCAATGATTCACACAAGCATGCGCATCACAAAGCCATGCAAGGAGTCACCAGTAGAGAGACACACTTCCGGTAATCAAAATCTCATTACTTCTCCTCCTAGAGTCTATAATTCTGACCATCGCAGTGTTTTCATCACATCACCAGCCTTCCAAGGCAAGATGCAACTCGCACGGCATCGCATGATCAACTCCTTGATGAAGGAAGAACTGGCCAAAGAAGGCGGTATCCACGCACTGCAACTCATTACCCGGACGCCTGAAGAAGAAGAGACTAGGAAACAAAAGGAGGCAGCCCAGGCATGAGTGCAGATGACTACAGATACCCAAAAACGCACGATGGAAGGGGTTGGCGAGAAGCGGCCGAGGCAGCTGCGTGGGTAGACGAGAATACGACGGCATGTTCTGTCCGTCAGCCGTCACAGATAGCAGCGAGTTTGGTATCTAGGACAATGGTGCAGTCTAACGTAATATCCACAATGCTCATAGGTCAATTCGTATAGTCATCCCAGCGTAAGGCTTAGCAATCGAACACGATGTCTCAGCAGTTTGCCAGAAAACAAGATGCAGACACAATAGCGCCGTATCAACGAGGAGTCGATCAAGCTTTCAAAAAAAAAATAGTCATATCACATACTAGGTGACACGCGCGCTTAGCCACCCAAGTTTAACAACTTCCCTGTCGCCGCAATAGGCAGGGGGCCATGCGAAGCGGTGGCGATCATCGTCAGCAGCAACCAGCTGATACGGACTCTCATACCAATAGCAAGGGCATACCCTAACACTGAAGCTACGCAAATGCGAATAAACCGGTCAATGCAATTCAGTGAACCGGAGGTTCCGGGCCATTAGGCACGAGACAGGGACTCGCTTCCGACCGGACCTCAGCATACTCTGCAGTGTCCGGATCGCATCATCGGTGAAACTCGTTGGAGAAGCCGAGAAGGTAGATGTGAGTGTCGCCAAGACACTGAATATGAAGGCGTAGCGCTATTGACACATACCCTCCGGGATAGCACATTACTAATCCCTAGACTCTGGCGCACTAAAGATGTGTGTCTATTCATGACCACCAACTCCACATCTATATGGTGCACTATACTAGGGTATAAGTAAAAAAACCAAAACTCCCCCGAACCAAGCTCTAATTCGTTTCCGCAAAAAAACCATGTCCTGACTTTTAGACTAGATAAAATACCATTGAGCAATATGACCACTCTACCTTGTGAACTTTGTGACGTGAGATACCCAACGTACACAAAGAGTCTCATCCGTCTCCACCCACTACGTCTTGTGCGATATCTCCCATCTTCCCGCCTGACTCAAGTATTTGTCGTGCTGCTGTTTGGATGGAAAGGCTTTCGCATCGCATATTCTGCACCGTCGACTCGAGCACATGCGTCCTGGAGCGAAGACGGCTCACTTCAGCACGGAGGACGTTGATAGTCTCTGCCTGTGATGAGATCGAGGTAGGCATGCTGTGCGTTGAGCCGAAAGGCGACGGACTTGGAGTGATACCGGATTGCTGTTCCGCGACTGCTGAAGATGTTGGCTTCTGAGTGCCTGTCACCATAGCTTCTTCTAGTAACCGAATCCTCTGTTCTAGCTCTGCCTTCTCGATTTCCCACTTCCTCTTGGCCTCGGCACTCTGTGACTGGAGCCGGTTTGCCATGTCCATGATCTGCACGTATTGTGCCCCATTAGCAACCAACTGCCGCCGGGCCTCGTCCCTAGCCTGCTGTAGCTCTTCAATCTGACCTTCGACTGACATAACTTGCGCTAGCAACCTTTCCTTCTCTTCCTTCAGGCCATTTATCTCCATATCACTAACCTCGAGCTTCTTCTCACACGTGGCGCATTTCAACTTTTGTCTCTCGAGGTTCTGGAGCAAAGCGTTGTACTCGCGCTGCAGAGTCTGGAATTCAAAGGTTTTGACACGAACTTGGTGTTGTAGATCCTGTAAGTCCGCGCTTTGTACTGATGTCTGCGACGTCGCAGGTGGTGACATCGGCGGTAGGCTTTGCAAGCTAGGAAAGTTGAGCGAAGACGGTGAAGGTAGAATGATCGGCGGTGTAGGTTGCGGAGCCTGCATCGGGGACTGTTGAGGCGCGTGTGTCGACCCGGAAGATAACGTGGTGTCTTGTGAAGAGTTACCCACGTATGATCCGGACCTGGGACGACTAGATTCGTCATATCCGTGGGGTATCAAATATTGCCTTGTTAACGACGATTGTTCTTCAGGGCCATCTAGGTAGTCTCGAGCTCTTCTCATTTTGGAAACGTCGTAAGGTGGCGACGGTGATCTTGGACGATGCGACGATTGGTGCTCCATGTGCCCTTGTAGTCTAAAGCCACTCTCATGCAACAAGCGAAGCGCCCGTGGCAGTGGCTCTTCGCTCCGAGAACATCCAGTTTCAAGCGGCTATCGGAGGGTATTAGCGTTGGCCTTGTAAGATAATGGAGGCAGCCGCTAAGCTCCAGCGGCAATAGGGGGATCAGGTAGAGTAACTCACTGTATCGAATACGTCATGCTCTGTACGCGTCAACCCTCGGACTCTATTGGCCAGCACCCCCGAATCCGTGGCAATCTTTTGTGTTGATATACGCGATTCCAAACATGCTTGGTACTGGCAATCTGGTGAACAATAGGTGATTGTCCCTGCTGCATGCGCCAGCTCAGGGCTGTGACTAGGAGGTAAGTCCAAAACGCTATGCGGGAGACCAGCCCGTCTAGTACTTCGGCAATAGATTGGCGGATCTTCTGTAATCGTCTCAGTTACGAGGACGGTCTTGGAAAGTGAGTGTTGGCATTCTCGCGCTCCAATAAAACGTGAGCATCATGCGCCGGCTGTATGTCGGGCACCGCGCTTCCGCTTAACGCGCTATACAGGTAGAAAGCTAAAAAGGTTACCGTACCTGCGTGACTCGATGGCAGAATCTTCCAAGGCCGGTGTTGGAAAACATCGAAAAGAGACTGGGCTCTGGGTTTCAGTGTATCCAGCGGCGCGACAACCTGTAACGAAGGCAGTGGTTCTGCACAATTCGAAATTACAAGCTCTGCTAACATGCTTTCGGAGGAAGTAGGGCGCAGCGGCAGTCTTTGTTGGTCCGAGACATAATCGCCGTCAGTGTAGTGGCCGGCTCGTGGCGGGAGCGGGGATGGATGCTGATTGATGAAGGCTGTAACATTCGGGCCGGCGCGCTTGGGCTGCACATCAATGGCGTTTTCATCCTCCCACGGTCGTTTCTTATTCGTGCGAGACCCCATGGGTGGAATTTGACCTCAAAGACCGAATGCTGACGTTGTCGTTCGCCATTCAGGTTGGTAGATTGTTACAGTAGCAGCAATGTTGTCAAAGACTGTTTGGATCAGGTATTGCAAAAGAAATGTCCATGAAATGCTCAGATGACTAGAGGACAATAGATGTAGTGCAAACTGGCGATGACTGCCACATGTGAGCCTGAATACTCTGAGATTTGTGTTGACTCCAGGACCTTGCGTTCAGTGGTTCGGCATCTGAGGTAGTAAACGCGTAGACAAGCAGGCGTAATGTTTACAAAGTATCCGGTGGCTCTTTCAGAAAAGGCGTATAAAAGAGGCCGAAGGCCAGCGCTGCAGTATGTCAATGCGTGCGAGATACTCCGTCGGTAGTATCAAAAGACAGCCAGCGCTACTGCCGCACCAAATCGTCCTCGCTCTTGATAGCCAGGCCAAGCAAAAGCCAAGTTGCAAGCTAAGGAGCCAACAGAAAGATATAGTATCGATGCTCTAGTCACGTCAGACGCGGGTTGATGCGGTACCTCGAGAGACGGTGCCGAAATACCGATCCGTGGACGGGAATCCAGGGGACGCTCAGGAGTTGTTTGCGCGGACGACTTGCAGCCAACGACAGGGGAAGCTTGTGGAAGGATGACGGCTGAGTAAGACGGGTAGATGATTATTGGTAATGTGAACGGGAACTCATCCGAGATTAGCGTCGTTAGTCAGCACAGACCGTGTGAAGCTCTCTGTCACATCATCTGCAGAGGCTAGACTAAACACATCTCATGTCGTCTGATCGTCATACACTTGCAGCTCCACGAGACAGGCTATTGGGATTCAGTAAGTGTGAGCAAACCGATGTGGATACAGACTTCGGCGGCGGCCATGGACCAGCTTGTATCCATACTAATGAAGAGATCATTTACCAAAACGTCGAAGTGTTTGAACCAAGGCTCTGAAATTGAGCGTCACCCCTAGAAAGTAGAGTCTTTGGCGTATAGGTCGATGTGTACTGCCACAGGCAACCCATGCCGACACACATAGGAAGAAGTCCAGTCCACTCGAATAGGAAGTCCACGATCTCTTGCTGTTCCGTCAACGCCACGTGCCGCGTTTCTGAGTCTGCTCTGGCAGCTCTCTTTGTTTCACATCCGCCAAGCCGCACTCTGACCATCAACATCCACCCACTGTGTCCCGACATCCCGCGCAATCACTCGAAGACGATCCTCAACCCACTCTTTCTCTCTTAACACAACGTCAGTCTCGATCTTCTGCATTGTCTGCAACTCATCCAAGATGCCATTTAGAATTGATTTACATGCTTCAACTATGCATGCAATGCTTGATCCTGGTGCTGGTGAAGTCAGCCTGTCCAGATCGCGGGCGAGCACAGTCAGCTTTCGAGACAAGGCAGCATTTTCAGCTTTCCACGTATCTCCAAGACCTTCAATTGTACCAAGAACCGCCTTGGCTCCACCATGATCCCGTCGACCGAACCGAGTATCCTGGACCCAGGATAGCCAGTGTTCAAATTCAGCCACTAGACGCTGCAGACGGCCACCGGACTCGACCAACGACGGCAGTTCGTGAAGGGGCTCCGAGAGGACCTGGATGTGCTCAACAAGCCCCGCAGATAAGCCGCCAGCACTCCATTCGAGCAAAGACTGGAGATTTTTCTGCTCCTGAGCTGCACGTTCGTTCTCCAACATGACTTGGTATAAGCTGGCCACCTCTTCGAACTTTGTATGTAAGCTACGCTTCGCGCTGATCTCCCAGCGTCTGCACACCTGCGCCGACGATTGATGCAAAAGATGTAGTTGAAGCAGTTCTGATTGAAGACTGACCGTCTCTGGGGAAAGCGAGTACGACGCTGCTTGGGATGCAGGGTTGATAAAAGTGGCGGTTGGGGCTTTCCCTACCTTTCGCGGTGTGAAGTGCTGTTGAAGTGTGCTAAATGCTGGTCGATTAGTCTTCTTCGGCTCTTCAGCCCTGGGCATAGGTCCAGTGTTTGGCAAGCTACTTGATGCTTCTGGTCTAGCCCGAGTACTGGCAGTGCGACTAAGACCTGTGTTGCGTATCGACGTCCTGGTGGCGCCAGGTAGTGTGTCTGCGGATGTGCTGTTATTCTTGGTAGTACGACTTGGTGCCATCTGTAGAGACTTTGGTCGCTCAGATATTGTGTTTGATCTAGCAACATCCCGCCGTGGGGCTGATATGGTACTCGTCGACTGCGTCCGAGCATGACCAGAAACGCCTGAAGATGGAGCTGGATGTGACGTAGCAGCTGGTTTCCGCAAAGACTGCGATCGGCTCAGTCCTGCCTGTGGCGCCGCAAGCTTGCTGACTGATGCGGGAGGTCGCATAGAACGAGGAACACTCATTTTATCAGTATTTTCCGTGCGCTGAGACGACGGAGTGCCAGTCTGATACGCTGATCGAGGTCGAAGACGTCCCGGTACTGCACCCGGAATCTGAATTTCTTGCGGTGCTGATACAGCTTCTGGTTGGTTCTGCACATCATACAAGTTTTCTCCCCTATCTTCATGGCCAGCATCTTGATCGGATACTTCTGGCAATATACTTGACCGAGTATTGTATTTATGTTGACCGGGTTGGGGGCTGGATTGGGAGACGATTAGTTAAGCCGCGTGCCTCGTGCGCATGAGGTATACCCACAGTAAGCTGCGACGGTTCTCCGTGTCGCCCTGGAGCGACGGTAGTTTGCTCGGCGAAGGACGCACAATACCACTTGTGCCATGCCTTGCTGCTTGTTCATCGTTCTCAACTGGAATGGCGGATGCAGCGGTCTGCCTTTTGTTAGACATTGCCTGCCATGGGATGAAGGCTAGGCTTACCCGGGTTCGTGGTGGCGCATGGCCGATCCTGCCTATCTGCGAGCGCGGCTTTGCATTCATCTTTGATGTAGGTCGTGGCACTATTGTAGACGCGTCGGTAGCTTGGTTTGGTGTTGTTGGGTATGCACAAATACACGAAACATCGGGTGTTTACATCCCAGGCCAATGAGCGCGGACCACTACGCTAACACCACATATGGCTAGAACCCTGACGTATGGCAAGAGCAAGTCGGACACAATATAGAAAGAGGAATATCGTCAGAGTTCGTTATCTAGTGTATCTAAGCTGAGTGAGTGACCTAATGCATACTTCGAGAAATAGGTTTCCAAATCCATGCAACACGAAAGCACAAGTGATCCATAATATGAAGGGCAGAATTGCTACTCTCCCCAATGTCCTCACAAGCTACCGCGGCGCGCTGGGAAAGAGACACCCTCGATAGCAGCGTAGTCGACAAACCAGCTAACGCGGTCCCCACCCTTGTGGTTCACTAGACCACACGGTAGCTGCTGACCCTCGTCGGTATCGAAAATCTGGCGCATGATGTCCTTCTTTCCTCCGCCCGTTGCAACAAAGCCAATCTTAAGTCCGTGTTGCGCGACAGGGAGGGAGATGGTAATGCGCTTCGGGGGAGGCTTTGGGGAGTCGGAGATGGAAAGTACCCACGCTTCGGTTTCGCGCAGGAGATCAGAGCCGGGGAACAAACTGCAGGTGTGGCCGTCTGGTCCGCAGCCAAGCAGGAGCAGATCGAAGAGTGGTAGCTTTACGCTATCGCGCGCAGCAAAGACACTGACGAGCGTCTTCTCATACTGGTCGGCCAGCTCTTGTACGTCGTCGAGGTACTTGACGTCGATTGGGTAGACCTTGGGTGTTCCCAACTCAGACGGTATCTTGTCGAGAAGCTCCTCCTTGACCAGTCTGTGATTGCTGTCCTCATGATCGAGGGGCACGGCGCGCTCGTCGGCGTAGAAGATCTCCCACTTGTCGAATTGTACCTTTCCCTCGCCATTGGTTTCCTTGAGAAGCGCTTGCGCAAGCGTCTTGGGCAGGGAGCCGCCGGAGACGGCGACACGGAAAACTTGGTGGCGCTCGAGTGCGGCGTTTTGGGCATCGAGAACGTAGGTGCGCAGGCTCGGGGCGAGCTCAGCAGCGCTCTGGAAAGCGTATAGGTTCGGAGGCTTGCCCATTGTGTTGACGTGTGTATGTGGTTGGTGTGGTGAAGATTGTAGGAGCGCGATGGAGGGGTTCGGAGAGGTGGGGCTGCCTAGCTATGTGCCGTTGTTTCGTTCGACTGCGGGCCGGTGACGATTGCCACGATAGTGACGTGAGCAGCTTTTACGCAGCGGTGCGACGCTCGTAAAAATTGCGCGGGACCAAGGTGAAAAGATAGCGGCAAAGATTGCTTGTGGCATCACCTCATGGGCGATCGGGCCTCGATACCGAGTCCATTTTGAGCCAACCGTGCAGCTTTACCGCAGATGTCATTTCGCTCGTCCGGCCTGGGGTTTGCGCCATGCTGGAGAATGGTGCATGGCATCAGGACATGGTACCATAGGGATATTGACGAAAAGAAGGAACGATATCCACAGGAGTTATGTATTCACGCACATGACCGTCGCCATTGGAGCGACCAATGATGTTGTCTGGACGACAAGAGGAGCGTTGGAGGCTAATCCGGATATGGCCTCATCACGTGTGTCCGTATCTCGTTGTGCAACTTTCTCAAGACAAGGCATTTACCATACTGACATTGCATTAACCCCTCATTCAACCAGCTACAATTGTAAAATCGATTGTTCTAGTAGCTACCGAGTCGAGTTTGCGTTTCCCCAAGTTCCAGGCCCGCGATTGGGTCTTGTAGGACAAATCTATGGGTACGAAAAAGCTGGTTCCTCCTAGATTGCATCTAACAAAGCACATGGAGGTGTTGGCACTATTCCGCGTTAGGACACTAGTAATGTCGGGCTTCTTCGTATGGCTACTTTGGTCACTCGCTTCTCATTGTCAGAGTTCTACTAAGCCAACGTGGCCTGCAGGAGTTATATCCGTTTCCTCGTACGAGTATGGTTTAGAGTCGACCACGCGCGATCTGAGCAGGTTTTCCATACTGGATCCTACCCGGGTCAACCGCTGGTGGACAAGCGGGACCATGACCACAACTGACGTTCTCTGCACAAACTTGTATATCACCTGCTGTCTTTTTCTCAGAGAAGCTTAAGTTGTTCGCATCTGAAAGGCAGACGCCATTTGTCATGATATGGTACTACCTGACGCGTCTGGGTTGGAGGCTCACTGTCGGTCGCGCATCGCCGAGCGAGCAGGGCCTCGAGGATGTGTTACTTTTTCTGTGCGTTTATGAATTCGTTGTCTTTGCCAGTGGCAGCCTGGTCTGACCCCATACGTGGCCCTGCTTCATACGGTACACGTCGGGAACTCCGTTGCTCGAGACCTTCCTATCTGACTGGAGTCCCGGAACGCACACTGCTCAGCTGACTACACCGACGGTTGAGCCCCGGCCCGTGTAACTGGCTGGATCGCTGCAGAACCATAGAATGTGCGGTCTAGACAAAGTTCAGAGGAACCACGTTTCTTTTGCAGAATCAACCCCTAGCGATTTCGGCGACCCCAATCTTCAAAAGAAATAAATCCACTCGAATTTTCGACTCCTTGGCCCACAATTAGAGTGGCGAGTATCCAGTCACCTGGTGCAACGTAGTCTCAGACTGGACTGTTTGGGCGTCGTTCAGCTACGGCTATTGGGTTCTAGACCGGCGTCCGGCAGGACTTTGTGTGCACAACAACGGTGCAATGCAGGGCTGGTGCCTTTGGTGAAATGCAGCAAACCCGGCCCTTAGTGTCGCAGTGTATGCCGAGAGCGTTTTCTGTTAACCTGGGTCCGATCATGGTAGCACATGCAGGTCCATGTATGTATGCTGGGGTCATGGAACTCTCCGGAAGGCAACATAAGCGCTTGTTGGACGGAGTCGGCAGTACAGCACTGTGATTGTAGACGCTTGAAACGAAGGGTACGTGTCTTGAGCGGCGACTCTCGTGAGATGAGCGTGTTGTTTGCGTCGTTGTGCGTCATTGTTTACGAAAAGGTAGATGAGCCCAGGAAGAGTGTGATGTAGTCGAGACAAGTACAGTAGAGTTTGCGACAGCAGCGTTTCATTGTCGGAGGTGCAGGGTCCTATGAAGTTGTTGCGGTGGTTCCCCCAGGTTAATGGGGGGTTCATGCCATGATCTAGACCTTGAGCCAACGGTTCGGCCCGCTTGACATCGACGATGGGCAGCAAGAGGCTGCGAGGGTTGCGGTTGCAAAGTCCGCGGTCAAGAGCTACTTTCGACGGATCATTGCAGAAACTGCCGCATTGGGGTGGTTGTTGGACGAGGGGCGTGAGGGCACCGTGATGGCATCGTGATGGCGCGTGAGGAAGCCGGTGGTGCTCGGCAACCGGATGAACCAAAGCACAAGGAGCCGCGTTAGTCGGCGGAGAATGCGTGGCTGGATCGCCGGGCATAGACACACGTGACACGACACGGTCGCAAACAGTCAGCGTGCAGTGTAGAGGAGAGGCTGTGCAGGACAGGAGTGAGTTTGCTACGAGACACGAACACAGTCAGCGCCGGGGACGAAGCCCGCGCGGCCACGTAACACGTACGCAACGGCAGTGATCTCATGCAGAGGCAAATGCAAAAGGTAAAAAATGCCATGTTGCAGAGATGCAGTTTCATCGAGCGATGAGACTTTCACTTTGCACTGTAATCTCGATGGGCGCAAGTCGCTATGCTGTGGGCGGGCAGGATTGGCTCGTGTGCGGGCATGCAAGAGTAGCCACGATCGAGACCGAGCGGCCGATCGCAAACTGCCCGTCTCAGCCCGGGCAAGGCCCAAGGCCCAGCACAGACTTGGGACCCGGCGCCTTGGATGGTTGCCCTTTACCTTCGGCTGCCCAGCCATGCGCCAATCAGCCTGGCGCACTGCCCCGCCCAGCACAGGGCCTGCTACTCGCCGGTCTTGCATCGCTCGATGGCCGTACGAGCATATAGGCGACTGCGATTCCACATACTCAGCAGTGATTCACACACCCGGTCATTCTGCTCTAAGACACATACAAGCCATACCATGAGCGCAGATCACCTAACACCCGACTCCCTCCCCACTGCACCTTCCTGCTACTTCAGCATCTTGCCGGCCGTCCACTTCTCCCTGGAAACTCCCTCCCATAGCCCCATCTCCGACTACCAACCCTACACCCCCTCGGACCCGACCAATCCGCTGCTGGCCTTTCGCCCAGCACCACCTCTCTACATGACGAACCCTTCAGATGCCTCGCGCCTCCTGCAGTTGCAAACCCAGGCTGCCCACCGCCCCGCCCCTGAGCCCATCCAACAACAACGCACCTCGAGCACTTCCTCCAACAGCTCCAACAGCTCCATTTCCAGCATGGGCCTTGGTTCACCATCAACTCTGTCCTGCTGCCGCTGTCGCCGCGAGTGCCTGGCCAACATGTACCAGATCGGCACCAACCGTTACTACTGCAGCCACTGCGCACGGATGACTGGCTACAGCGCTGGCTGAAACCCACTACCCAGCTTCAATTTATTCCCTACACTATTGCCTAGTCAATATCCGCGACTACCCACAACCTGTACTGCCGGATAAACCACTACATGCATACATAGACATTCGCTGTCACAACTGCACCCCATTATCGCCGTTTTGCTTTTGAGCCACGGCCGGGAACTCCACAGGAGCACGGAGGAAGATGCACTTGGGAGATTGCCCTTTGGCACATTTGGCCGAAGAGCCTGGTAGCGCACTTTACGCGTTGCCCGAAATGCCGACGTCTTGAAGACACGGGCAAATTATTGGCATAGTCGGCCACACTATGAGAAGAAAATCATGAAGCTGGCCTTCAAATCACCACGCTGCAACAGCTGGCCTGCACGAGGATTGAACATATGATAGATACCCCATCTGTACGATACACTAGCATCAGTCGCGGAATGCGCTGACAGCAAATACATTTTTTCAAATCACAATGTTTTCCACAATCGTGCCGTGATGGTTTTTTTTTTCGCCGTCTCACCTTTTCTTCGGTCTTGCGGACTAACATTTTCGTAGCCAACATAACCCTAATCTACTTGCAGCGCATTTTTATCCTCGCCAAGGCTCCGTCAATATACAGCAAACTGCGATCCGATGATCTTCGGAAAATGCAAAAACTCCTTGTGCACAGAATTCGTTCCCCGCTAGTCTCCAATCATCCGTAGTGTGAACTGTCAATCTGAACTTCATCCGTCGGCCGCGTGGTCTTGTGACCTCCTGTCTCAGGAATTCACTACCCAACGCGGATAACAATAACCTCAAGATCAAATGCGCATCCTTCGTATTGTCGCACATGCTAGCAACAGTCAAACAATGTGCAGAGTCAAAATTCAGCCTCATGATCCACTTGCCCCTGTTCAATGTGTCCTCCGCGGCGCGCGAACCCCCGCTGTCACCCAAGCGTGTGGATGACTTACTCAGTCGAAATGCGATTCTACATGTCCACGTCCGATGGCCATGGGGATCTGCCGGTCTCCTCTTTTTCCGCGTCAGCACTATTCTATTTGCAGTAGGAGAGTCGAAGGGGGCGGCATGACATCGCTCGATGCCATGCGCCAGGCACGATGCAGGGCACTCTGATCCCCATGGCTGTAATTGTGGGTATGGGCTTTGTTGAAAATGCCATCGGCGTTCGATGCCGCGCAAGACGGCTGATGCACGGAAACTTCGTAATTGACCAATCAACAGCGTTGGGTTTCTTCTCAGGTGGTCGCCCTGATAGTGTTGTCGCAGATTGATCAGGAGAAAAGAATACGTGGGGGCCTCTGGAGTCATACTTTGGGGATCGAGGGATCGTGAACGCGTACGCAAAAGAACCGTTTTACGGGGTAAACCGGATTGAAGGCCGCTGTCTTTCGTTGGCTGGGTCAACCGTGAAGTTTACTGACCCAAGGTTCCTGGGCTGTTTGACATGTGCGTGTGGCTGGGTGATCTCTGGTCCGGCAATAAGGTTCGTTATCAGTAGCAGCTATAAGCTTATCGGCCATCGAAAGTGCGGAGCGATGCTTGCGATAACCTTCCTCAAGCATCACCCTGCTCATTTCCCGCAATGCGAACATCTTCGTGGTCATCCCCTCGCGCACTCCACTGAACGCAGTTTCGCATTGCCAACCACACTACCCTTCTCCAGGGAACAACCATCAGGTCACACACCCCATAGTCCCGCGTTCCAACGCCGCACCGACCTTGTTCTTGTTAGTGCCGATACTAGCGCCACATAACGTCTGCCATGCATCGGCGATGTCAAACCAGCATCGAAAATCTCCCGTGCATGATGGGATTTCCAAGCTTTCTCCCGCCTACCGTGCACTTTTCTTCCCACGCCTTTGGTGGCTGAACGTGCCACCCGCGTTGTTTTCTGTGGACCAGCATCGGATCAGCATGGCATGAGCAATGGTCAACGTATACATCTGAGCAGATCAGTGGCTCGCGGCTAACGCACCCGCGGGCCCCTTGCTGAGACATGGACGATGACGTGCAAATCATCAGGGCTGATCATCCCGTCCAACATATGTCATCCCGTCCCTCCCTCTTCCGCCCAAAGCATCGAAAAGCATCAAACGATGCACAGGCCAACCGGGATGACGAACCTCCTCATCGGGCAAAGGAGCTAGTCGACACATGCCAGCCGTCCATACGGAGGAAAACTGACTCCGCTGTAACCGTTGCGCAGAAACCTTGCAAAGAACCTGCTTTCTGACTGCTCCACTGCGTCTAGACCCTTCAGACCCTGCCAGGTAGCTTGACGTAAGCCCTTGCATCCTGCGCTATATAGCGGGCTACTCTCACGCGTTGTCGTGTGCGATCGGTTCGACACCTGAGGATCACCTGTTGGACTAGCAATACGGACCACGTTGCCACGGGAAGGTAGAGTAAACATCGGAGACACGGCATGCCAGTTGCATCTGTTCGATGTCGTGCAGCATCATGTCGCGACATACCGGAAGACTAGGTATAATGGAGGGGGAGAAAAAAGGCCTGCATTCACCCACCCACTTCGCCGACTCCTATCTCGCTCCCCGGGAAAAACACAAGATGTGTCTTCATGGTGTAGCGCAAGCACGATCGATCGATTTCATCAGAGTAGCTCGCAATGTCGACATCTAGCACCCCACGCTAGCTTTTTTTCTCCTGCCCTCGCTTTCTGCAACACTGGAGAGAAAAGCACATGTACGTGTTCTTCGCTGCATCAGACAAATCTGCTGGAGATCTTACTACGCAGACTTTCGGGTATGCTTTCTTCTCGAAGCGCTCTGTGCGCGATCCACAGAAGGAAGCGTAGAAGCAACAAACAACCGCAAATACCATCTAATACACATAGCAAAGCGGGTAGCTATGACAACTTGGAGGATGGACGCCGTTCCCAGAAATAATGTGCGCGTGATGGACACCATCTTTTTCATATTTGCGGAAAGTGTTTCTTCCGACGCATGAGCCGCAACGTTCTTGGTGAGATCGATCGATGCATCTTGCGTCGAGGCAAACTGAACGTCCTTGCAATTCCCTCCGTTCGAGCTCAATGTCGATCTGGTCCATTCTCTAGCCGACCGCTGGCTGCCAAGCATATGGTTGGTTGATGTCGATATCCATCAGTCTGACAAGGCTTTATTGTCGACAAAAGCACCACGCAACACTATCTTCTTTACTATGAAAGTTCACAAACAACAAATGTAGGCTGCAAGAATTATTTTTGAAACATTCAAGACCGTGGTTATTATTTCGTATCCAAGTTTCCCATTGTGCCTTGTAAACACCTCAGTAACTACTAATCTACGGCCACATGATGCCGTTTCCGTCAAAGCTAACACCACTCAGATCAGTTCTGACATCAAGCGGGTAGTCAGCCGCCTTGAGGTCCCTCCTCCAGGACTGCATCCTCTTGCTGTGCGCCCTCTCAGACACGCTCAGCTCACGCTTCGCCATGCGCGATGTTGAGTAGCCACCGAGGTCTCCAGCAATGCAGTGGCTGACTCCACCCCAAGTAGAATCAGCAACAGCCTTCCAGATAGCAGTCACATCAACCGTCATAGCCTTGGTGTAAAGGATACGACAGTCCGAGGGCTCGTAGACGAACTGGAGAGGTGTGTTTGTCTCATCTCCATCACGGATACCGTCGCGGAAGTTGACGTTAATCGCGTTGTTGGAAGAGCGATCGAAGACTGTGTTGTCATAGTACTCGCCTAGTTCAGTAGTGTTGAGCTGAGCGCCTTCTTCGGGCGTGGACAGCTCTTCGACGGTGTATTGGGCGAGAGATTGGATGTAGGTCCAGGGGAAGTTGTTTGTTCCCTTGACACCACCGACGGCTTGAGTGATACCCTCACGCGGGCGACCACCGAGAGAGATGTATTTGACGCCGGCGCGCTGGCGCATGAGTTCGGAGAAAATGGTGCATGTCGACGCGCAGTAACCATCGGTAACGACGACAATGTCCTCAGCGGCGAAAGGAGCCTGGGTGTAGTTCGAAAGCGGGCCGTAGCCGTGAACGTAGACGCCACCGGAGTTGAGTGGAATGAGTACATCGCTGAGGTTCCAGCGGAAGAGGTTGGTGAAGTTGTCGCCCTTCTGCTCGAGACCAGGGCCAAACTTGTCCTGCCAGCTCTCAAAGTTCTCACTGTTTACATCGAGATCAGATCGGTAGTTGAAGACGGAGGAGACAACACCGTCGACCAGCTCCGCGAGTGTTTCGTTCTGGCTGTCGATCACACGGGGTACACCCTCAGCAGCTTCAGAGAACTTCTGGTTCAGGATCTGGGTGGACTCAAATGCGCGGTAACGGTCGGCAGCTGCGTGGTCGATATCTTGCGGGAAAAGAAGCTTGTACAAGTCGTAGCCGAGTAGAATGGTTCCACCACCGTTGGCTGAAACGTCAATGACGAGCTTCTTCTTCCCAGCAGACTTGGCTGCGGCGAGGAAGTTGGCAGCAGTAGCTTGGAATTCCTCCTGTGCATCGATACCAACAAAAGAGGGCACAGAGAGCACAGCAACATCTGAGTAGTCGTCCTCCAGGAAGTAACCGCCGATCAAGTTGTGTGCTTCACGGAGAACTGGGGGTGGGTATCCAGGTGCGGGAATGGTAGGTACTGCTGTGGCCGAAGTAGTGGCTGAGGGTGTAGGTGTGGCTGAGGTCGAGTTTGATGGTGTTGGCTCCTCAGTTTGGGTTGGGCCGGTGAACCAGAGCTTGTAAAGGCTCTCTCCGTCGGTAATACCATCAAATGGAATCAAGACCTTCGCAAAGTTGTCGTAGGTACGGCTGGTACCGTTCTCGAACGTAAGCTCAGTAGTAGGACCCGGGTAGATCCAGCGACCGCGGCCAGATCCTGCAAAAGTACCGATACCAGATCCAACGGGGCCAAGTGACACCGTCGCAAGCTCATAGAAGACGTTGTTGTACAATGCGTCTCGATCTTGGAGGGATCCATATTGAGCCCAGTTTTCCAGGAAGTCCTTGGCGTCCTCGCCATCGATGTGGGTGATGGGTGAGGGTGTGAAGGTAGCGTTGCCGAAAGATTCCGCCAGTACGTCCGCATAGACGTAGGGTTGAGGAAGCTCTTTTCCGTCGCTGGAGACGGATACCAGAGGTACCGGGCGAGCAAAGTTAAAGACAGTGCCTACAACATCAGGGACGTACACAAAGTGACCGTCGTGGGTGCTTTGCAAGAGAGTGTAGAGCTCGAATCCGAACTATACTAGGTTATTTCATACTCTTAACATCAGATCGTCGTAAGAAACTTACCTCATACTCATTCTCATACGCTCCGGATGTAACCTTCCCTCTGATTTCCTCGAGCCCGCCCCAGATGTCGACTGGTGGCTGTACCTTCTCAGCATACTCTGCTGGAGGGTCCTTCAGCCAGACAGTGTTACTTTGCCATCTAAAGTACGGGACGACGCCGTCCACCAGGGCGAGAGCAGCGCTCTGGTTGAATGGGACAGAATTGATGCAATCCCATGCGAGCTCGGCGGGTACAGTCGCAGTACCTGCAGTAATGTTCTTTCCGGCAATGGCAGCGCTGACTTGCGCACAAGGGCTTGTCGCATTGTATTGTCGCGCATGGATGTGAGGTGCAACAGGCGACGAAAGTGCAATTGAGGCCAGCGAGAGGCCAGCGACGGCGTTGAAGAGGGAAGCCATGTTTTCAACCCAAACAACACAGCAGACAGCTCAAAAAACTAATTTCAAGCTCACCGTGCCGTTCTTCCAACTGAACGACCTCGACCATTTTATACCTGCACAAGCTGTACCGCGGACCTGGCAACAAACTTGCGCGTTCTCAAGGCGATAGACATCATAGCTGCATGTGCTACCCTGTACTTGCCATCGCCAGACCCATGTAGAACGAGGGGAACAACATTCTGGCGAATAGGCTGTACAGATACGATAGGAACTAGATTAGTAACAACGGGCCATGCATGCATGTATAGTTGCTCAAAGAGGAAAGCCGTGGTGTGCTTGGTACTCTGCGCGATTGACGATCACATCCGGAACGGCATTGGGGTTCGGAGAATTGCCCAGTACCCAAGGTTGTGTAGATTAATCGATAGTCATAGAACTTGGGGTCGGGTCAGATACAATAGTAATACCGCAATCCTGCATTACAATGTCAATTGAAAGAGTGAGCCGTCCGCCATCGTAGTACCGACTGCTGAAGCTTCGTGGAGTTGTTGAAGCTTCACAAGCCTTGGACTTCGGGACGCTAGTCCACTCTCTAGGCTAGAAGAGGCAGGCGCGAACTGCGCGATGCCGCTTCGTCCTATCGACAATTTGAACAATCATCCCCGCTCTTACGATATCAGTTGCCGAAATCGACTTGGTCGTCCAGGAATCCATGACTCATGACGGAGATGCAGTGCATTTGGGTGGCTAGTGGGATGCAGTGCAAGGGTTCAGTACGTGGGTGGCGTGAGGCAGGTTGAGGCTCCACCGAGGGACTGGCAACAACTCTGCAAGATACGAATCGCGATATTTCTCTCGAGATGGCGAGGTTAAGTTTCCGGCTTTCTAAACTGGACGGGAAAAAAGGCAAGCTTTGGTAACCAGACAGACACTCATTTCCGTCGCCATCCGAACTATAGGTTCCCGGTCTTATGTGAATGAGTATGAATCGATGTGGCCCAATATCGGAAGTCTGAGATACCTAGGTATTATCGGTGATTTTTCTGATACAGCAATTCCGGTCGGAACTAATAATCTCAGTACCTTGTCGTATGCGGCCAGTGTAAGTAAGGTGTTGGGTCGAGAAACGAGGAGATGTAGGATTGTCAGTCGGACCCGTTGGAACAACATTCGCTGCTCACATCGTGTCCCGTTCATAATTCTCGGGAGAATAAGCATTGTACCGTCCATTTTAGCTACGAATATCTGAGGGACATGCTCACTTTGGCTGGACTTGGTAGACAATAACTGACCAAACCTTGAAATACATCAAGGTCTTTTAGTCATTGGGCATACCTTAAGGCTTAGAGTGGAATGATACTACTCTGCCTTCTTATGGCGTCCTAGCTTTTGCGAACTCCTTTCACAAGATTAAGTAGGGAATGACTAAACTAACGTATACACATACCTCATCGCATGGCACTCATGAGTTCATCAAAGCCACCCTGGGTTATTGCGTAATGACTTGAGTCTGTGTCACAGATACAGTATCCGTGTGTGATCGTGCATTCGTGCCCGGTTGCGACAACGACACATATTATACAGCATGTCGCAGTTATGACACGTTTTCGACAACAACCTTTCGAATACTTAGTGTTTACCTTCTTCACGTGGTCGCACCGCCTGGGATATTCTCCAACTGCTAAAAATGTGAAAGGCTAGTTCAGTGTTGAATCATATCGCATACAACACTGTGTGGACTCTGTCGTAACATGGTACACGTTTAGTATCGTTCCATGCTCACAACGTCGAGATTCAATCAGCATAATAATAAGAATTCATCTACCAAAATATAATTCCCTAGCCAAGTAGAACGGCTTGTTGCGTATTAAGTTAGAGTTTCCTCGATATGACGTATTTTCCAGCACAATCGCGCGAGCAATACTTCAGAAGCTACATCAAACCTTCAGGACCTTCTGACGATCCGGTATGTCCAATCTGTTTCGAAGATTGGAACCCGGACACCTCTCCCATCGTTCAAACCATGTGCAGCCATACCTTTCATCGATTTTGTTTGGCCAAGTGGTTATATGGCATAGGCATGGAAGTCTGCCCGAACACGTGCCCAAGCTGTCGTGCCGTGTGTTTTCCTGAGCACTCGGAACAGGAAGCACACAATGTCAACCACGTTTTAGTTCCAGGGCTCGGAGCTGATTCGAATTACGCAAGCAATAACGTCTTCGAGGCCATAGCTACACACATCGAAGGTGTCGTTGCGCCGCTTTTGGAACTAGAGGAAATTTACGCGCGGTTTGGTATTGACCTCGAATGCTCGGATGAGCCCTCCCGATTCCTTCAGGCTATGGAACAAGTCATCTCTGCAGGCGTCGCCCTGAGTCGAATCCCATTGAATCTTCACGAAGGCTGGATGCCTATGTTGGCGCCTCACCTCAACGACTGGCTGACTGTTAAATTTCTGGTAGCGTCACTATTTGTCACTACTCAGTGGCCACTCATGACACCGGACCAGTGGACTGATGTACTGGCTGCACGGAATCGAATTGGGCGTGTTGCGTTCTACTCAACGGATTTTGGGTCTTCCACGGTTGTTGCTTGGTTAGAGCACATCAACGACCGCCACGATGCGCAGTACGAAATACTGATTAGCGGTTACTTCCCAAACGCCACCTTTGCTCGCTGGAAGGAGACTAATACAGCTGGTCGTGTAGTCAACGCGGGCTATCGCGACTGTACAATAACTAACACCAATTCGATGACTTACATCAACATCCCGGGTACAGATTTGAGTCCAGGACCTGTACTCTACTTTCAGGGCAACTCACTCTGGATTTCAGAACGAGTGATCGGCAATATCGTAGGGTTCAGCATCGATGAAGACTCACGTACTGTTGTTGTGCGTAGCTCCGCTAATCATACCTTCAAGGTAGTGTTCTCTCAACATGAGCTACGAGAGGACGGCGGTTTCCTATAAGCTATGATTAACATGAACAAAGAAATGGAATGGAGGTATGCGCTACTTGTATTTTGTTATCGTTTTCATTGAGATGACGGCGTATGTCTTCAGGATACATTGGTGTGGTAGTACAAGAACGAGCTGTAGTCGCAGACGCGCTAAAAGTTTCCCCACCCGCGCCCGTGGCACTTGTACTTGCGTTTCCAATGGCGTCTTCGTTCTAGCATACCAACTCCACCAACCACAAAGATAACCATGTGTGCCTTTCGCTCCAGATTCTTTAACTCTCACTCATAAAGTCATACATCATTGCAATAGTTGTCCACGGCCAATATCGACCATTTCTACACATAGTACTCCTGCTCCCAGCAAGCTGTAATAACCCGCCTCCACCGAATAGACAAAATGAAATATAGCGGGTAACTTCTCACTCCCCAGACTTCTCTCCACACGGTGAAGCTAATATGATAGGCTATACTTCGTTTCTAATCCCTCTACCAACATCGACGCCTCCCTCTCCACTGTAAACAGCCTCATTCAAGGCATCGAGACCAGCTTCCAAAATGCCACACGGAAGCAAACACCATGGTCGCTCTCCTACCGCGCATTTCGCGACACCATACCTCCAGGCTACCAGCCACCTACGGGCGCAGACGGCAAACCGAAGCCATACGCACACTCCTACCAGCACCTCCTCCATCTCTCGAGCCTCTCGCCGAATCGCACATATGTATTTGCGCAACCGTTAGCGCAGCAAGAGTCCATTGCGTCGATACCGCTGCGACAGCAAGACGCGCATGCTTCGATACTACGGTACCAATGTTCTGCTCTGTGGACGCCGAGACAAATACTGGCTGTGCGCGAAGGAACATCTTATAGTGGGGGTCTTTGTACGATACAAATTGGGGAGCTACGAGCAACACGCGAAGGTCCGCAATCAGGCGCCGTCTTATCGCCAGGCGTCGTCGTCTGTATCAGCACGACACTGGGCGCTGAGGATGCAGAGAACCACATGAATTCAGGCTATGACACGACGGAAAACGGTACGGCAATGGATGTAGATGAAGAACAAGTCGATATCGAGTACGCGCAGACTGTGGTTCGTGACTGCTGGAGTAAAATCAAAGATGGGCGCGATTTGGGCCGGTCGGAGATCAGGGAAGTCATGATGGCCCCAGTTACAACGGGCAAGAAGAGTCAGGAGCAAGAGGCAATGGTGCGCATGTGGTGTGATGCTTTGCGCATGCGCGGCTGAGCGAGTGTGGATTTGATCTCATTTAATACCAGATACCCAATTTACTCATATTCAGACGGAACAAAACTTGTAGCGCGAACTCAACTCATACGACGATGCATGCACATAGACGAGGGCGTAGTAGATAGCTTTACAGTTTGATTGACTATGCCAGGCCTACCCTGCCCAGACACTCGTAAGACCGTCTAGTCTCATTCCCTCCTACCAATTCCCTAGGTATCCCTACAGGTATCTAAACTACAACGTAAAAGAAAAAGCGAATGAAGAAAGAGAAGAAAGCGAAGGTGGTAAAGTCAAGTATTAAGGCAACGTTTCGCACACATTCAGATTACAACACATAGTTGAAGATCGATCCCCAAAGCTAGATCAGCTGCGCGCCATAAACCCTAGACCGGACATATGCAAAAGAAAGTTTGTGTGAAGGAGAAGGTAGTAGTAACAACCAACCAGTAGATGAGGGGAAAGTATCGCACAGTGAAGAAGATACACAACATCTAGGATACGCTTACTGCGCACCAACCTCCTCTTCGGCCCAGCCAGGAAGACCACCGTCACCCTGGATGGCGAGACCGTAACCGCCGTTACCACTGCCGAAGCCACCGATACCAGAGCTCAGGCTGCCGAAGGAGCCCTGCTGGGGTGCTTGTGTTTGCTGCATGGAGTGGTTGAAGGGACCTTGAGTGAAAGCAGGAAGGCTGACAGCACGGGAGTGTTGACCACGCGAGTTGAGGTTGGAGGGCGCAAGGAGACCACCAACAGTAGTAGCACCGGAGCCACCAGCTGAGGTACCGTTAATCAGGCTGAAGCTTGAGGTGCTCTGATGGGAGCTGTGAGAGTGATGTGGCTGAGGAGTGTTCAAGTCAGCGCCGTAGAATGCAGCCTGCGGCGACTGGAACGATTGCTGGTGTTGCTGCTGGTTCTGCTGCTGCTGCTGGTGTTGCATGCTGGCCTCGACCTGCTGCTGTTGCTGCTGCTGTTGCTGAGCTTGCAAGTACATCATGAGGGGGTTGTTGTTGCCAGAGTTCATAATGTTACCAGAAGCAGGTGCTTGAACAGAGGGGAACTGTCCGTTGGTGCTTTGGCCAGAGCCTGGGGCGCCGGAGCCAGTCGGTGAGACTGATGCACCAGCGCGATTGGGATGCAGTCCGTTGATAGGGGACGGTGACTGGAGGCCATCGCTACCGGCTTGCTGGGCCTGAGCCTGTTGGCTGTTCATCTGGCGGGGAGGGTTACCACATCGGTCCTTTCCGAAGTTGACCTTGAATCGCTTGTATTCGTCACGACCGCGGATCGCTTCGATCGCCTTGATGGCATTGGCAATGTTGGTGAAGTTGACGAATGCACAGCTCTTCTCACGCAGTGTGTTGACCAGCTCGATCTCACCGTACTCGGAGAAATCCTGCCTCAGACGGTCCTCTGTCCAAGACTCATCCAGGTTGCCAATGTACACGTTACGGGAAGCACCACCACTGACAGCAAGGGCAATCGCAGGGGGAAGAGCACCAGAGTGCTTGCCCCAGCCAATCTTCAACCGACGGTTGTGGATCATCAGCCCCTGAAGGTTGCTAAGGGCGTAGAAGGATGCAGCCGATGTCGGGTCAATGAAAGTAACGAAGCAGATGTGCTTATCCGGGATGTACCTAATGTGATGAAGGAGACCACCACGGACAACGTTGCAGATCTCCTCGATAGTAGTCTCCGGGTGAATGTTTCCGAGGTACACCGTTCGGTTACCCAAGTTGTTCACACCTCCAGCAGAGGTTGCGACAGCGGCAGCAGCGACGGATTGCTGAGCAAGCGCATTGGAGATCATGTCGCGGTCCGCACCGTTCAGGACATGGGCGTATCCGGGAGCGATACCGAGGTACTGCGCAGCGTTCTGTTGCTGGGTCTTGGAAACGTATGCACATCGATCCTTGCCGTAGTAGACGCGCCTGGGAGCTTGCCACTTAGGCTCCTGGGGAAGCTGAGAGACAGCCTTGATGGCATTTCCGATTGACAAGAAGTGAACAAAACCGATGGCCTTCTCCCGGACAATCTTGACGGTGTCGATTGGGCCGAATTTGCTGAGGTCTTCGCGGAGTTCATCCTCTGAAACATCCTCGGACAAGTTGCCTAGGTAGACGTTGCGAGAAGCGCCCGACTGCTGCACTGCCAAGGCCACGGATGTGGGGACCTGTGACGGCTTTCCCCACCCGATCTTGATGTCCTGGCCTCTAATGGACAACTTCTTCAAGATTGCGTCAGAGTGAAAATGGGTGGCGGAGCTGCTGTCGAGGAAGGAGATGAAGGCGCAGTTCTTGTCTGGCAAAAGCCTAACGGACTCGATTTGACCACTGCGTACGTGGCCGAGGATCTCCTCTGCCGAAGTCTCAGGAGGAATGTTGCCCAAGTAGACGGTCCTGCTAGTTCCAGAGACAAGACCAGGGGCGATCGGCATGGAGGAGCCGAGTCCACCAAGACCCTGCGCGCCGTAACCAGGGAAACCTCCAGTAGGTGACTGCGGGCCACCGAAGAAACCACTGGTGGGGGACACCATGTTCTGGTAGAGCTGCGGTGAGAGAGGCTGCTGCAAGGGGCTGCCAACATGGTTAGACTGGTGGTTCTGTTGCTGCGATTGGTTCTGGCCGGCGAACTGTGCAAAGTTCTGGAATTGCGGGGAAGCGAAAGCGGAGGGCGAGCCGGGCTGGAAGGGGCTACCGAGGAGCAGTTGGGACGGAAGCAGAGGAGTGAAGTTCATGTCGAAACCGGTGCCTGGAGTTTGCAAGTCGTTGCCGTTCTGGTTGCCAGGGTTGAGTCTGCCGGTGTTGATAGACATGTTGTTCGCCCTCTCCGGGTGCCGGTCGCCATAGCCGGGCTGGTTTGTCGCGAAGGCGCCGTGGGAAAAGCCGTGATGACCACCGCCGTTCATCTGCCTGTGGAAGCTCGACTGGAGACGGGGTCCGCTAGGAGCGTTGGGGGCGCCCTCGTGTTGCTGCATACCGAGAAGGTGCGGGGGCAGACTGAAGCTGTCCCGCGCGCTTTGAGATAGAACCGCCGTGGTGAAGGTGTATTATTGCGTCCGGGACTCGTTGGACCGGACGGCGAAATATGTATTTCAGAAGGTGAAGTTGCAACCGGTTGCAGGGTGGTCGCTAGGCTTAGGAAGATGCTGCTGTATTACAAGATGTAGAGCGGTCTGTACGTGTTAGTCTCATCTCACATGGGAGAAGATGTAATTGTGCAGACGTACATCCAAAAGCACAATGCCAACGAGTCGTTTGCAAGTCTAACAATACAAGACAAGCTCACAACACAGTCAATGGCAGCCTAAATGATACAGGTACAGACGTCCAAAAGGGTCCTGTCGCAGGCCTGAATAGTGAACGCAGCGGGGGCGCAATTAAATGCAGTGTGCCAGAGTTTCCGAAGAACAAACTCGCGTGGCTTGTTTGAGGATGCGTACACTAAAAGAGCGAACAATAAGAATGAAGTGCAAAGAAGCAAGCTTTGCCGGGAGCCTCGATGCGGGGGAGAAGAGGAGGTAATGAACGAAAGGGATCGAAGAAGAGGGATGCGACCTGAAGTCGGAGCGGAGGAGCGAAGAAAGAGGTCGGTGAGAAATGCTAACTAGCAGGGCACATTAGGAGGCAGGCGCAAATGAGGCAGCCCAAAGCGGACAACTAGCGCACCGCTTATTTTAAACGCGCAGACCACGTATGAATCGTGCAAACCACCGTCGACACCAACCGCTGCCCTGCAGTTCTCTGAACCCGTAGACGCCTGTGCTAGGCGGCGTGGTATTTCGTGCAGCAACGCGCCCCAGTGCCTGGCGTAGATGGTGTTGTGCTACCGGCGGTGCAGCTCGGAGCCATGCAACGGATGCGGACGACGGGTAATTGCAGATATGCACACTCCGTCCCTGACTAGATGAGCCGCCTGATAGTGCTGCTCTTAAGACGGGTCCCTTTTTCCCTTTGTCACGCGAACACGAAAGGGTCCAGATCGTATTGCGGCGGCTCCAGTTCCAGGCGTAAGGATGGCCCTTAGTGCCAGCCAGTCTACCGCCTCGTCTCAGCAATCGATACAGAACGTTTCCACATGGTCTGGTTCCAGCGGTATACTACTGCGAATCGTCGCTATGTGTGCAATAAACACGGAGCGCTCCGTATTATGGGTATCAGATGTCAAACGTGACTATGCGAAACCTCCACGTGTGTCATGCCTACCCCTGAGAGTTTGCTGACTTCTAGAATGACGTTTGCGCCTTCTGTCGTTTGACGCGTTCAGTACATACGTAGACCAGCTTCGTACAGGGATCATCCCTAAGCGAGCACGTGATGCCGGACTACGAGCGACTGGTCAATCTGTGCTTTCCGACGATCGTGCATCCACCCGCTGTCAATTCTCCCATGGCAGAACTGTATCCGTCCATTGCGCAGTGCGCCGTTGTGGCCACGGCGCTCAAGGTGCTGCTGTTTCCTGCTTAGTACGTCTACATGCATAATTCTCATGTTTGATCCTTCGTCCATGCTGACCATATCCGGCAGCAAGTCGACCGACTTCGAGGTTCATCGCAACTGGCTAGCTCTAACGCATTCCCTACCCATCAACGAGTGGTACTACGAAGTCAGACAACCGTGCCATCGACGCCATTCAAGTATCCCAGTCTAATGCTGTCCACAGAAAACGTCAGAATGGACGCTAGACTATCCGCCTTTCTTCGCCTACTTTGAGTGGCTACTATCTCAAGCTGCAGCATATGTTGACCCAGCTCTGCTCAACGTAAAAGATCTCGGATACGACAGCTGGCAGACCATATACTTTCAGCGTACTACAGTCATCATTACCGAGCTTGTCTTGGTCTACGCTTTGCACCTGTACTTACCTACCACCCTACTTGACGTGCCTGTTACTAAATGTTCACCAGCTATGTGAAGACGTCAAAGTCCAAGGTGACTGCTCATGCCGCTGCACTCTCCGTCTTGTTGTCTCCAGGACTCCTGATCATCGACCACATCCACTTTCAGTACAATGGCTTCCTCTACGGCATCCTTGTACTGTCCATGGTCCTGGCCCGCAACAATTCGACGCTCTTACTGTCCGGTCTGCTATTTGCAGCGTTGTTGTGCCTCAAACACATCTACTTGTATCTCGCACCTGCGTACTTTGTCTACCTTCTGCGCGCTTATTGCTTAGCGCAGCGGTCGTCCTTCCCGTACTTTAACATTCAATTCTTCAATTGTATCAAGTTAGGAGTAGGTATCGTTGCTGTCTTTGTAGCCGCGTTCGGTCCTTTTGCGATACGGGAACAGATCCCGCAAGTATTCAGTCGCTTGTTCCCATTCTCGCGAGGTCTATGTCATGCGTATTGGGCGCCGAACGTCTGGGCCATGTATTCGTTCTCTGATCGAGTTTTGATCTACCGTATGCAACTTGCCATCACTATAGTGTACCAAGCTAACATGTATAGTTGCCCCACGCCTCGGGCTGCACGTTGATCAAGAGGCAGTGAATAGTGTCACTCGAGGTCTTGTCGGAGATACCTCTTTCGCAGTGCTTCCAGATATAAGCCCTTTGACTTGCTTCCTACTTACACTCGGTACACAGATAGTACGTATATCTGCGTCGCAAAACAACCACTGAACTGACATTGCTTAGCCCGTTCTCCTCCGTCTCCTATACAAACCGACTTGGGAGGCCTTCGTTGGTGCTGTGACACTTTGCGGTTATGCATCCTTCTTATTCGGATGGCATGTTCACGAGAAGGCGATCCTGCTAATCATAATCCCATTCAGCCTGATAGCGCTCCAAGATCGTAGATACTTTGGCGCTTTCCGACCCCTAGCTGTCGCCGGTCACGTATCACTCTTCCCCCTACTATACACAGCAGCCGAGTTTCCCGTGAAAACAGTTTACACCATCTTCTGGCTCGTGCTCTTTCTTATCACGTTCGATAGGCTAGCTCCTGCGTAGGTGCCATCTTGTTTTCTTTGATCGTACACTGACATGCCACAGTTCCCCCAAACCCAGGATCTTCTTGCTTGATCGCTTCTCTCTGCTATATATCGCTCTTTCGATTCCTCTGATTGCGTACTGCTCATTGGTTCACGGGATAGTGTTTGGCTCTCGATATGAATTCCTGCCGCTCATGTTTACAAGTTCATACTCAGCAGTTGGAGTGGTGGGCAGCTGGGTAGGCTTTCTGGTCGTGTACTTCGACTTGTAGATACTCCGATCCCAATTATACTTGCAACGCAGCTCTTCCTGCTCTCATGGCTTCGGACAAGAAATCTCCTCACTAAATATCACAACGCTTCTTATGTTATCTTGTAGTTGAGTTGACTTTCGTCTCAAGTGCAATGGCACAGAAATGGACGACGGTATGTGAGAATTGAATGAACTTTATTTGTTTTGTCACTTCAAGGAGCACTACGGATGTTTCGGAGATCCAAGTCGTATCATACGCTTACTTTCTGTGTAGCAAAAGAAGGCCACGACAGCATCAGTCGGGAGTAGACAGTGAACAAACATCCTAGAGTAACCCTGATATTGTGAAGATATCCGATTGATGTCTGACTCAAGATCTGAGATCATGCCCCCTGACGTGCAGCTCGAGGTGGGGGTAGAGTTGGTGACTTGGTGTGTCTGAGCAAGTGGGTCAGGCTGCCCCCAGGGTTTGCTCGGGGTGGCTCAAGGCATGAGCTTCTCATGGCCAACCTACACTCGATCTTGATAAAACAGAAGGTTCATCGTAGCGAAATAAAACGATGCATACAAATCGCAGTTGGATAGAACTCATTCTGACGGTTCTAAAGAGTCCAAACACGTTGATATTTTGATGCTAGTGGGGTGCGTAGATTTGATGCGTAGGTGGTAGGGTGCGAAGGCAGTCCTTGCCGGATCAAGTATGGTATCTAGTGCCAAGGGACTACGGGCCTCTTCTACTACCCTCCGCTCGCTTTTCTCCCCCATTGACTACTCTCCGACTAATTCTCTCCACCCTACCTCCCACCTTCTCAACTATCACGCCCTCAGTATCCACGAACTCACCCACAAGTCGCCTAGACGCGCTTTCGGAACCGATAGACGCGTCTCGGAACGCTATTCGGACCACCGAAGAGTGCGACGACAATTTCGAGAGACCTCTTTCTGGCGCGTAAAGACAGGTCTTCGCTCTACCGCCTACGGAGGGGCCATTGCCCCCGTATCTTACCACGAACTACCTCTAGAAAAGGTAATCGGCGCGTTTCGATTGTCGCGACACTTCCGAAGTTTGCGACGCGATACAGCGGACACCGAGAAGGCTACATGAGCTAGAGTCTAAGCCAACATGGTATGTATTGGGTCGCGCTCTATATACGAACGATTTCTGAGAAGGTCACAGGTTCTCTTCAAGCGCAAGCCCGTCAAATACGAATCCCTACCGAAGAACCTCGACGATAGCACTGAGGTACGCCACATTTTCTGCTGAACCACAGAACATATATGCTAAAGTTGCTGGATAGGTGTGGCATATTGAACAGACTGGAGAGGTCTTCACAGACTATGAGAGGTTTCTTGAGCGGTAAGAAAATGCATGAAATGACGTCAGTCATTGGATGTAGCTGACGAAGGATAGGTACGACTTCTACCAACAGCGGAGCTTCACGTGCCAGGCAACGGGTCATTCAGGCTACAATTATTTCGAGGCCCAGGAGAGCGAGGTAGGCTCCACGTCAATGCTCGTCAAGGCCGATGAGGAGGTAACATCCGTGCAGACGGAAGCCACCAAAGAGATAAACAGCATCTTCCCGGATGTCTTAAGATCTCCTGTTCTTCACTATGTCCAGTTCCAAGATCATCATCGAATGGATGATCTAGGTGAGTCAATCTCGTCTGCTCAGCCTGTGGGTCCTTGCTAACCACCTATACAGTGAATGATGTTTACGATGTATGTTCACGAAGCGAAATCAAATTCTCACGCGAGAACGTCATACTGACTTATCATCGCAGCATTTCAAGGAGCAATTCATGCTGGGTGATCGGGTTTCTGTCGAAGGCGATCACTCGCGCCGCTTTGGCAAAATTACTGAAATCACGGACAATAGCCGACTACACAGCATGTTCACTGGCCAATCGATGGATGACAGCATCCGGTCTTACACCTATATCATCACAATGGAAGATGGCGGTGAAACCGTCACCAAGTACAAGGCCTCGGAACTCCAGCGGGATCGGAAAACCTACTCCAAGCTCATCCTAAAGGCCTTTCTCCGCAATGCGCTTAAGCGTGAGTCATGGATCGGTGCACCGTGGATGGTCAAGGACAGTTTAGCAAAGCGATACGACATCCCAACTAAACTCCCTGACAAGAAAACCAGGGAGGCCCTACTAGCTGCTAAGAGAGCTGCCAATTGTGTACCCAATGGCGTGACCCAACCTGTCCAACAGCAATACCCGCAGCAGATGCCAAACGGTCCTGGTCCACATATAAATGGTCATAGGCCGCCTTTGCCACCTGGGCAAGGTCAGCCAGCCTTCGTCAACTTCTCCGCCAGTGGCCCTCCACCCTACGCACAGCAGCAAGGCGTCATGCCTACATGGGCAGCTGCCAATGCTCCTAATCGACCAGCATATTTCATCAACGGCCCACCAATCTACAACAGTGGACCTCCGCCGATTGCGAATGTTCCGCCGCCGCCACATCTCTTGGCTCAACTACAACCTCACCTTGCTGCGCAGTTGATGCAGATGCCTCCCATTGGCCATGGCCCGCCCATCAACTTCCCGTTCCAGACCAGCTTCAACCATCATCAAGGTCCCCATCCGACGAACCTTCCACAGCCTCAACTGGCACCTCCACCGCCCCGTCCTGTTGAGTATATAAAGTATCCATGCGAAGATCTAGAGATCAAGCAACCTCGTCTACAAGTCAACCGGCCGCCGCTAAAGTTCTTCTCCGACGACGTTCCTGAGGGAGTTGAGCCACCTGCGGAGGAGAAGAAGACGGGTATCTTAATGAAGAGTATCGGCCCACTACTCTGTATCTGGGAGACTCTCAACGTCCACGACACTATCTACATGCTAGACTCGTTCACTTTTGATGACTTTGTTGATGCTATGCGATTCTCGCACGAGACTGTCGAGTGTGAGTTGTTTGTAGAGATGCATTGTGCAATCCTAAAGCAAATTGTCAACGACTCCGGCAAGATCCAGACCTCTCTGCCCAACCTGGCCGACGAAGACTCATCAGACGAAGACTCAAGCGAGGAGTCAACGCCCACCCCTGAGCCTGAACCACCAGTCCGAACTACTCGTAGTAGCTTAAGGAAGTCGGGCGCAGCGCAACTTGTGGCGAAGCCACGTACACCAACACCTGAGCCTCCAAGGGAACTCCACAAGGCTGAGGAGTTCGTCAATAATTTCGACTGGGTTGAGCAATGCAAGATCCGCAATTTCGCTGACGGAGGATGGCAAGCAATCGTCGTCGCACTCCTCTATCGCCTATCATTCGACTCTACCAGGAAGGAAGCCTGCGACGAAGTTCTTGCCGAGCTGTGCCCACCAGATGAGGAGCCTACCATCACCACCATCGCCAACAATTACGTCGAGCTTGACGTTAATCTCCGCATCTCGGCACTTGACATGATCCTAAGCTTGACAGTCGTCACTGAGAACTTCCGCGATCAGCTTGTCGCTGCCGCCCAGGAGATGACCCGTCTGCGCAAGGAAAAAATTGAGTACCAACGCAAACGCAAAGAGCTGGCCGATGAGCTGTTCAAGTTAGATTTGGAACGTAAAATTCACCTCCCAGCCAACACACCTGCCTCGCCTACGGATACCAAGATGACCGAGGATGTTGACGTGTCTATGACCAGTGTCAACGATGATTCTAAAGAAGCAGCTGATGCTGAAGCAAACGGTGGCGAGGAGGTGACAGCCTCCAAGAGCAGGACCCGCCCGGCTAACAAGAATAAGCGCAAGGCAGCTGCTGAGGAAGCCCGTAAGGAGAAGGCTAAGAAGGCCAAGGCGGAAGCAGAGAAAACCAAGAAGCAGAAGGAGTGGGAGAAGCTACTGCAAGCGATCGAGAAGAAGAAAGACGAGCTCAAAGATTGCGAGGACAACATCAACGAGCTTGACGATGATCTGCGCGAGACTCTTGTACATCGTAGCAAGATTCTTGGCAAGGATCGGTTCTTGAACAAGTACTACTGGTTTGAGCACAACGGTATGCCCTTCGGCGGTGTTCCCAATAGCTCTACTGCCGCATATGGGTATGCCAATGGACGCATCTGGGTACAGGGACCGAGCGAGCACGAACTTGGACCGAACCTAGAGGAGCCTGCCCTCTCCCAAGACATGCAGCGTTTTGGATACACTATCCCGCAGCGCAAGGAGCGTGAAGAAGGCTCGACCCACCTATCAAACTCCAATCAGTGGGCGTACTACGACGACCCAGAAGACATTGACAAGTTGCTTGCGTGGCTCGATGAGCGCGGTCATCGAGAGCGTGTTTTGCGTAAGGAACTTCAAGCGTTCCGTGACCGTATTGCTGAGTACATGCTCAAGATGCGGAAGCATCTGGAGGACTCTAGCAAACCCCAGGAGGATGACGAAGATGACAATAAGACTCGAGTGTCGACGCGGAACAAGACCCACGCCGACAAGGATGTCCCCAAGGATCGCTGCTTGCTCTGGACCAACAGCATCATGCGCGAGGAGTCCGGCCATAACCACATCGAGGAGTACGAACCACCGAAGAAGGGCAAGGCGAAGGCCGTGAAGGTGACCAAGGCCAAGGGTCGAGGACGCTAACGCAGTCTCTTGGTTCCACAAGCCCACACAGGAGGCGAAGCATAACAGAAATGGCCATAGGCTTGCTCTAAAACACGGCCACAGACTATATATCAGCTTACGAGGCAGCAATGCTTACGGAGCTAAGAAGCTCAGAGGAGCTACAGAGAACGGTTGGAAAACCGGGGTGTATTCACGATTGACGACACAGCATATTTTTGGCGATTTACGGAGTTTCGATACCATGAGCAAGAGCGCTCAAAGTACATGTTTTGCATTTCTAGGAGTTCGGCAAGGCGCATGGCCGACTGTCACTGCGGTGGCATGGCTTGCTAGGAGACTTGATTCAGGTGGTTACCAAGTATCTGGCTACGGCCGGTCCTTTGGGAGTGTACATGTTCAATAGTTTATCGAGCTTGATATGCAGATGCAGTTTCCAGCAGGAGCATCTTGCATAAGCGCATGATGCTTAGCATCTACCATGAGCATATTGTTAGTGTAGTTGGAAATGCAAAAAAAAAAGGTTCTTGAATGTTCGGTCGTATACAATGTGATGCTCGACATTTTGGTGAGGAGCCAACTGAGATGACGCTGATTATAGCATAGACATGTCGACGTTGAGAATATAGTTAAGACATGCGTGCTCTAGTTCTGGAACGGGCCGACATTAGCATAGTGTTTGGTTCAAGTATGGCATTCAATGTTTTGCTTCATTTTACGGGCTGTTGATGTTCGATTGATAGCAGCTGACCGGTTGGCCATTTCGGGTTAGTACGTAATGCACGGCAGCTTCACGCGACTGGAGCCCATCAGCGGCGCATGCCTCCAGACTCGTCGCATTCCATCAACAAGAGACATTTCCGCATCTGGAACATTTGTAGCGCACCTAGAAAGATCTCTCGGAGCGATCAGAGGGACACCGAAGCACTCCGCAGGTGTCATAGAGCCACCAACATGGCTACGAACGGCGCGCGAAAGGGTGAGCTCAACTCCGCACCCCTCCCCGGCTCCGCTACGAATGGGACTAATGTACCGCAGCATCTTCAGCCACAGAGTCCGGAGGGAGCTCTAGCCTACTGGATACAAGCGCAGTAAAAGATGTGGTCAAATCGGAGAAACCAAGAATCAAGTTGAAGATCAAGAAGCCGGTCCCGAAGCCATCGATATCTGGAAATTGGAAGGAAAGCGATGCGACCAGTACGTCCTCCATAACGCGCTACATCCGTACATGCGCATAAGTCTATAGGGCGATCTAATATACTACTAGACATTGAGAACAAAGCCCCCGCACCATCGACTACCTCGCCTGTAATAAACCCTCTAGACGAGAAAACGATAGCCGGCTTCCCCAGCGGCCGGCCCCTAGACGACAAGGTAGATACAGTACAGTGCAAGCACTGCCGCCGGCCTGTCCTCCGCGCATCCTCGGCTGCACACATTCGCGACTGCCTGAACAAGAAGCAAGAGAAGCTCAAGAAGAAGAAAGAGGCCAAGGAAGCCAAAGACGCAGCTCTTAGGAAAGAGAAGGGCGAAGATGACGAGGGCGGCAAATCACGCAAGTCAGCCATCAAAGGTGCTTCGATAGACGGCGACGGCGCAAAGAAGGGCAAGAAGCGGAAACTTGAGGGTGACGCAGAGAAGGCACCCAACGCTAAGAAAAAGAAGAAGGATGAACCCAAACAGAAGGGAGCAAAGCCCAAGGGCCCGGTCGATGTCGAGAGGCAGTGCGGTGTTTCTCTACCAAATGGCGGATACTGTGCAAGAAGCTTGACTTGCAAGAGCCATAGCATGGGTCTGAAGAGGGCTGTTCCAGGCCGAAGTCTGCCATACGATATGTTGCTGGCGCAATATCAGAAGAAGAATCAGGCCAAGATCCAAAGTATGTATTACACTATCGCTAACCTCCATACTTGGTATGCTAACGTATGCCCAGGGTCTCTCATCGACGCCAATGCGCCCCTCCCTGAAGACCTCGAGCCATCAGGCGCTGTTGATTCCGACGAAGAGAAAGACTCCATTATGGCTGCCCTCGCCCGACACCGCCCGCGACCCATGGCAACGTACACGCATACCTCGCAACGCTCAAAGTACCAGTACATCCGTATGAAAGGCATGATCCGCTCAGCACTCGGCGCACCCCCGGGCGGAGGTGGATCCATGTTCTCAGGCGGTGACAGCATGAGCACTGGACGTGGTATGGCACTCGGCATGATGGGCGCACCTCTGAGCGCAACCAATGAGCATTTCCCACAAAGCGCTGGATTTGGTGCACCACTGAGCGCCGGTCTAGACAGTGGAGCAGGAAGCAGGAGACCAAGCGCTATTGGTGCTGGTGGGCCTCGACAAATCCTCCCTGGGCAACTACCAGGTCCCGGACAACAGCGGAAGGGCAGCATGGCGAGTGTTGGCGCTACCTAGGAGGAAGAGCCGACGCAGGTACCCAATGTCGCAAGCGAGGGCAAAGACATGAACACGAATGCCAACATGCCCTAGGAGGTTATGCTAGGAAAGGCGCTCTTATCTACAGGCGAAGATATCGAAGAAGAGGCGGTCTCATCCAAAGGTAGGGCTAGCCCAGAAGACGGCCAGCAAAGTCCATTGACCGGCTTTTTCGCCAAGTTTGGTTGGGGGTTGATGGAGTAAAGATGTAGTCACGCTCACGGCTGGGATATGACGATTGCATGATAATCATTTCATGGGGTAGGAAAGGCTTCGGGGTTCGGTTCCTGTATTACTACTTGGGTTTGGGAGTTTGATATGATACCCTCTTTGTTTTTATGTCCATCAGGAGTCCGTTCAGAGTAGACAATGGTAATACGACTTCATCATTTGAACTCGATATAATGTTCTTTGAATCTGTTGCAAAGCCTTGGTTTCTTAGGTCCCGAGAATCTGATATGAAGACTGAGGACGGTATAGATGGCGAAATACGGTAGAAAAAAACAAAAAGAAGGATCGTGGCTGACGTGCTGCGAAAGCAAGACAACTGATTACGACTCCCCTTGCATACCCCAATACCCCACTCTCTGTGCTTTTGGTACCGTCATCTTGAAATGCAAATCATCTTCGTCCTCTCCACTTCCCAAGGCATTGTCATCATCGTCTCCAATGTTGTACTCTTCGTCATCGCTCCCATGGCGATATTTAGATTGATAAAGATTCCGATCAAACTCATCGTCGTCGCTCATCTCATCCTCGGGATAGTCATTGGCGTAGTAATCCTCGGCATTCTCATCTTCATCATCGGTATCAAACTCCCGGTCGCTACCCTCTTCGTTGTCCCACCAATCTGCGTCCTCCTCGCTGATAACTAGGAGACCGACTGTGCCTGTGGGCGCTGGGGCGTCTGGTAGAACAGGTTCGCGGACGTAGTGGTCGTATACGTATTCGCTGTCAATATCCATTGCGTCGGCTTCAGCCATTGGGTCGTCCTGGGCTGCGAGGGCTGCGGCTTTATCAGGATGTCGCTCTGCAAAGCGCTTCGCTGGAGCTTTGGGCTTGTGTTTTGAGGGCGAGGGAAGGGGGATCTCGAGATTGTCTACTTTCTCCACCTCTTTTGACAAGGCTTCCAGATTGCGGACATCGTTTTCTGAGGGCTCGGTGACTGGCGGTTTTCGGTGTATGGATGGCTTGGCTGAGTGGTGTAGCGCGCTGCCTGCGCCTGGCCGCTTTCGTGGTCGCGGTGTTGAGTCTGGTGTGGGGTCTGATACTGGCTCTTGTACTTGTCCGCCAGTTAAGACGTTCTCCCTCTTTGCAACTTCTTGTTCTTCTACGAAATGCCGTTTGGCGCCTATTCTGGAAACGGGATCGAGACGGAAGCGTCGCGCGAGAGTCGGTGTGGGCGGTGCTGATGATACCTGTTGGACATGGTCGCCCGGCTTTGTGAGACGCCTATATGCAAAGTTGCTGCTCCTTTGTCGCTTGATTTCCTTTTCACCATGCTCGATCCTAAGAGAGTCGACAGGCGTATCGGTGCGCTTTCGCTTGATGGAGATTGTATTTGGGGGGAGTTGCTGTGACGACATTGCTGTGGTAAGAAGCGAAAGGCGTGGTCTCGATGAATAGTCCCAAGTCTAGTGCAATATGTCGAATGGATATTCTGGTGGTGAGACGGCCCAGCGAATCGGAGGGGCAGCGCGGGGAGGTGACATCAAAGCATTCCAGAAGCCGCGCAGAGCCCCGGTCCACTAGCGCGATCTACACCCGCGTGTCGCTCCTCGAGCTCACCCACGCGATATGATCATGAGTCTTACTAGTGCCCAGACGGCTTGAACATGTCTGCCTGTGCTCACTCGTACAGTCCTTGTATCGCTTTTAAAGACGTCCCTTCCTCGTAGACGTGCATCGACATATCTGCAACTCCGCAGTACACCCCCGAGAACACCTCCAACGCGACGGCACTTGCTATCATGGATCGGATACGGCAGATATTCGAGCGCGAGAACTCGTCAGCATCGTATGAACCGCTAGAAGGCGGCTCTGAGCGGCCAGATGGCGAGCACATCGAGGCAGAGGATCAGGCATTCTCGTGGACCGACTATGCCGTCTTCACGCTGCTGGGCGTTTCCATGCTATGGGCTTGGTGGGTACCTTGGACATCACAGTGTACATGACACTGACCGTACTAGGAACATGTTCTTAGCAGCAGCCCCGTACTTTCAGCGACGCTTCGAATCCAACGATAACCTCCTCCGCAACTTCCAGTCTTCCATTCTATGTGTCTCCACGGTAGGCAACCTAGGCTCCATGATAGTCTTGACCAAGCTCCAGGCTCGTGCCAACTATCCCAAACGTATCGTCGCATCCCTCGCCTTGAACGCTGTTGTCTTCACATTGCTCGCTATATCCACAAAATTCTTCTTGAACATATCTGTCGGTGTCTACTTCGCCTTCCTCATGGTCATGGTGTTGAGCGCTAGCCTGGCTACAGGCCTGTGTCAGAACGGCGTCTTCGCATATGTATCCGGCTTTGGAAGAGAGGAGTATACGCAAGGCATCATGTCTGGTCAGGGCATTGCTGGTGTCCTACCTTCCATCACTCAAATCGTATCCGTCCTGTCCGTGCCGAGGAAGCAGCATACCGACGGAGCACCGCAAGAGTCGAGCACGTCTGCCTTTATCTACTTCTTGACTGCCACTGCTGTTTCTGCCGCAACGTTGGTCGCTTTCTTCTACCTCCTCTCCAGGGCTAGCTCCAAGCAGCGTATGTCGCACGCCTCATACGATGAAGGACCAGAATACGACCCGGCTCACAGCGAGCGTAAGAGCATACCGCTGACGAGAATGCTGAAGAAGCTCTTCTGGCTCGCGGGCGCCGTCTTCCTCACTTTCACAATCACCATGTTCTTCCCAGTTTTCACCCCTCAAGTACTAAGCGTACGCGATCCATCAACCGCACCTCGCCTTTTCCAGCCAGCAGCGTTTATACCTTTGGGTTTCTTTTTCTGGAATCTTGGTGACCTCATGGGCCGCGTGGGACCTGCTCTACCTGCCCTACGTCTTACACATCGCCCACGCCTCTTGTTCTTCTTGTCCATTGCGCGAGTCTTCTTCATACCCTTGTACTTCCTTTGCAATATTGGTGGGAAAGGCGCTGCCGTTGAATCCGATTTCTTTTACCTCTTCATTGTACAACTGCTCTTTGGCATTACAAATGGTTACTTGGGCAGCAACTGCATGATGGGTTTTGCCGAGTGGGTTGAACCGGAAGAACTCGAGGCAGCAGGAAGCTTCATGTCGTTGTCTCTAGTTGGCGGTCTCACCACAGGAAGTTTTTTGAGCTTCTTTGCTGCACAGTCCTCATGATTTAGGGCATTTTCTATAACCATGGCTTTTCCACACAACTAGCATCAGTAGCAACAGTATCAGTCAGATTTAGACAAGAAAAAGGTTATCAGCAGTGTGAAGTCACTTCATTGATCTTCTTTCAATTTCATAGACGACAATGACCATTATCATCATCTATACAGTTCTCAGATGCCAGCTTCTCCTCCGGCACATGAATGATGCCAAGATCATGGGCACAGGGGAAGGTGGCTTAGGCTAATTGCTCGAACATTGTACGAATTTCTTTACTTTGATTGCCCTTCAATTCTTCCATGTTTTTGGTGCATAACCAAGCTTTTTACAAAGCACCCAATTCCTTCAACTTGCTAATCATACCATCCACATCCTCAACCTTGACACCACCCTTCCGTGGCGGCGGCTCCGTAACCTTGACCGTCTTCAACCTAATCTCGGTATCCAGTCCATAATCGCTCAGACTCTTCTTATCTAGCTTCTTCTTCTTTGCCTTCATAATGTTGGGTAAGCTGGCATATCGGGGTTCGTTGAGGCGCAGATCCGTAGTGATGACCATAGGGAGCTTGGCCTTGATGGTTTGCACGCCGCCGTCGACCTCCTGTACGACTTCGACGGTTTGGTCCTTGATTGTGACTTTAGAGGCTTGGGTTGCTTGAGGCCAGTTTAGGAGGCCTGCGAGCATTTGTCCTGTTTGGCCAGCGTCATCGTCGATGGCTTGTTTGCCTAGGATGACTAGATTGCTCTTTTGCTCGTCTACTACTTTTCGTAGGAGCTTTGCGACACCCAATGGTTCCAGGGTGTCCTTTTCTTCTACAACTACGTGTATGCCTCGGTCTGCGCCCATGGCCATGGCTGTACGGAGGATGTCTTGGGATTTCGCGACACCCGCAGAGAAGGCGACGATTTCTTCTACGTTGGGGGCATTTGCGTGGTGGGCCTTCTTTTCGCGCATGCGGACTGCTTCTTCGATGGAGAGTTCATCGAAGGGGTTCATCGAGTGTTTTACGTTTGCGGTTTCTACGGCAGTTTGGGCGCGGTTTACGCGGGGCTTGACCTAATCATGGTGTCAGTATACCATTCGCCATGGGACTCGTATGATTATAATCTTGTGTACTCTCATCCTCGTGACCAATCTCTCAAGCCTTCAAGTCAAGCATACGAGCGTCAAGTCTGAAAGTTAGGGTAATGAACGTACCGCATAGTCAATGACCCGCTTGACGGGTACTAATATCCTTAAACCTGACATAGTGTATATGTTACCTCCTCAGCACCTGGCAGCGCAATGTTTCGGGGGTATCACAAGTAATGATGTAGAAGAACCAGGGTGGGGGATAGCATCGGAGCTCGTCCTTGCGTTCGCGATGCTTAGCCGAGGCTTTTTCCGATGTCCGCGGCGGCCTTGGCGGGGATCATCGTCATCTGGAGACAGGCGCAAATACACTTAGATGGCAATAACTTCTTGTCAATGCATCTCATGAGTTCCAATCTGTTCTGTCCTTACTCGTTGTACGACCGTGGAAGCGTCCTTACCTTCCTGATTGTTTTGCGCGAGTAATGATGGTGCCAATAGGAAGGATAGTACATGTCAGGATATTTCGGCAACCTGTCTACCTGCTTGCTTGTCTCACAATACCAGATCATGTGTTGATTGTATGCCCACTTCATAAGATCCAGATTGTCTTTCATAGGGTTCATTACTTAGATCTCATCTTCCTCCCTTGCTTTCGCATCTGTCAGTTCAAAAACCATCTTCCACATCCACTATCAGAGCTCCGTTCATACAAAATCTCCAGGTCATGCTTAACGTTCTTGTCATCACGCTTGCAGACGATCGTGCTACAGTGCTTGGGATGTCAGCTGACACTCTCCCTCAATTGGTACAACGAGCAGCGGTCCACGAGTCACGAACGGTAGAAGACGCTATCCAACACATTAAAACCGACTGGCCTAATGTTATCGTGGTCGAGAGCAATCTCATCATGAGGAGCGAGGACACAAGTAAGACTCTTCTCCATGAGTTGATTGGTCGAACGAGGGGCGGTTGTACCACGATATTCACAGGATACTTTTTCCATTTACTATGCAAAGAGAGCCGGAAAGGCCTAGAGGCTCTCTTCGTGGATCACTTCGAACTCAAGTGGAGGCTAATCAAGTCTGACTACGTGATCACTGACCTCGTAGTGCATGACCCCAATGCGTTGCGCACTACAAACCTTGCACCAACAATACAGACAAGGGCAGTCTTCCTCGGAAACGTATCTAAAGAGGAGGCTGTATATCGTGCTCGACAACAACCGGAATTACTCGCTTCCGTGGCTTTTGCAAGAGTGGTTCTAGGCAAGATGGGTTATATTGGTGGCTTAGGAGACGGTGGTGAGGTGGCTAGAATAATCCTGGCTATGTGTGGGTTGGACCGTTTGGAAGATGCCCCTGGGCCGCCTGACACAGCCGAACAGTCATTGTTACGAAGAAACATGTTTTTGTAAACTGTACTTCTAAACACGAGAATTTGCTGTAAAGATATACGTAATGATTTATCTTAGAACTCAACAAAAAAAGTAACAGTGTATGTTCAGGAACCACCCACCCCGTCAGCAAACTGTTCACAACTCGCACAAAAGCCAAAGGTCCTAGCAGCGTTATATTCCCAACACTGTTGCGCATACTCCGGTGTCGTAGTCCCGCAGCCATCACTCAAAAGTACACAATCGTACCCATTGCTGAACGCATCCGTCAACGTTCCACCTACACACTGATCCGTGTTGACACCAGTAAAGAACAACGTCCTGATACCCTCTTTATCTAGAAACTCTTTGAGAGGTGTCGTTGCACCCCACATTCCGCTCATCCTGTTCTTGTGTATCCAGACATCAGGTTTACTATCCAACTTGCTGCCTTCGGTAAACATGGTGTCGAGTGGAGGGTAGAGTGCGGCGTTCCAGGAATCGCGCATGAGCAGTTTACCTCCCTCTACAGCCTTTCCATCTGGAAACTTGAGAGTCCCGCAGTCAGCTCCGATTCCACGATAAAAGGACTGATTTTCTTTGCCATAGCGATCCACGCTCACGCTTTCTTCGTGATGTGCGAAAGCATCGTCGGCCTTGAAGTTGGTATCGGCGGGGATAGAAAAGAAACCAAATGCGCGTTTCACTGCTGGCGGCATTTCTTTGACTTCCTCCTCCGTAAGCCCCCAGTTCACCCAAACTACTCTGATACCGGCTTTCCGTGCTGCTGGTATTGCATGTTTGATCAACATTTCGCAAGCAACGTGACCGGGACCTTTCTGATCGCGACCGAAAGCTTCGGAGAGAAAGAAGTTTTGCATATCGATAATGACAAGGGCGGACTTGGATGGGTCGATTGTAACGGGTTCAGTCGATGTCTGAATTGTGTGTGTGGGCCCTGAGATTGGTGACGAGTGTGAAGACGGATGGGTGAGGTCGAATCCATTTTTGGAAGAGTGCGACCAGAAGTTTGAGGGGGAGCCTATCAAGGCTTTCCGGTGTGTTTTGAGTGGGATTGTAGACGACATGGTCGTGAGAACTACCGATGTGCTAAGCTCAAGGGCTTGGAGTTGATTTCTTCACGATGGATTTTCTGCAGTATGGTTGCAAAGGTCAAGGCTGATACTCTACAGGTGCAGAACGTATCAGGCTGATCTAAGTCTCCAAAGGGTCGTCGATTGCCGTGGCCACTATCAGCGTGCCAGATAAGGAAGGCCAGTATCTCATCTGCCGAGGCGGGGTAGTTCGGTGTAGATCCGGAGATAGTCATTTTGTAAAGACTATGACCAAGATGTATTTCTACACGCATACATGCAACTCCACAGATATTGCATGATTGGGCCATGATACGGTGCTACCGGACTCCAGCAAGTCGCTTCCTCGCAAGTTGCAGGAGTTGCGGCGACTCTTCTCTCTGATTGGCCATGCTCGGAGCTTCGATTATTTGACGCAAGTAATCTCTGGCTCGTTCGTTGTTACCGATAGAGTCGTAGTAATCCGCAAGCTGCAACATTGAAGGTTTGTGGCCGATGACGGACGCGACTTGTTGCCACTCTCGCGCCAACGCCGCAGTGCTGCCGTGTCTCCAGCTTAGCACCCAGTTGAGCGCTTTTTGTATGCTACTACTTTTGAGAATAGGAGAGTCTGCTGCTGCCACTTCTTGATAGAAGCTAGTGAGGTTCAGTATGGCTTGCTTATGACCGGAGGCTGCTGCTTTGCTGATGTATCGCAGCCACTTCTCGCTTGTTCTCGGCTCAAAGGCTGCAAGTTCGTAGTATGAAAGCGGATCATCACCTTCGAGAGCGCCCTTTTGGAAATAGAATTTGGCTTCTGCTTGTGCTTTAGGATCTTTGTCCGTCTTGAGTAGGTTGCCAAGCGCATTCCACGGTGCTATGAGAGGCAGTTTCATTGCATGTGTTGATTGTCCAGGTTGAAATTTGAGAGCCGCAGGCGTAATGGCTTCTTGATACAGCTTTTTAGCCTCCTGCTTTTGTCCTGCTTGCTCTAGGAAGAGTCCTCGTAGAGTTAAAACGTCCAGAACCAAGCCAGGATTTTTTTCCAGGGACTGCAGATTAATCGCATCAAGGGACTGGCGATACTGAGTTATTTCCTGCTGTGGAAACAGTTTTGCAATCGCGTGAGCAGAACTATTGCCCGAACTGCCAAGGTAGACGGCAGTCAAGATGTGTACTATCGCTAGAGGGTCCTCAACTTGTGCACATCCTTGGAGTATCATTCCGGCGGTATTCTTGTGTTGACTTGGAGGCAACTGAGCTCTTATCGCTGCATCGCTAATCTCGGGTACCTTGAAAGTGACGATCGCAAGAGATGCTACATCGTTTAGTGAGACGTTGTACTCTGTTTATGTTAGTACCGTCTATGGATGCAAGTATGGGCATGAAACCCACTATTTACTATACGCAAAACGTTCTTGCCATGGGACATAGTCTTCTTATGCGCAACGAAATCATCATAGATGCTCATAGCAGTATGAGGCTCTATATTATGTATGCCTTGCTGCTTGGTCAAGGTGTAAAAGCCAAGTCGACCGCGTGCATCGGCATCAGCGCGCGCTCTCGGACCGTCGATTCTTTGCTTGGTAGCATAGCTCTGGACTCGCATACTTGTTGCAAGCCTATACGAAGCTACTGGATATCTCGTAGCATTGCGAGAGATGGTTGAAGCGAGTTGACGTGATTGACACATCAAGCAAGGCTCCAGACTCGCAAGTGCTCTTGCTGAGCGTAACGCGATTCGGGAAGACGACATGGTGACTGTATATTCGCTCGATAGAATGTGGACGATGGGAGGGTGAATCCACCATGGCCGTCGTTAGCCTCGGAGGTCCGCAACGGCCGCGAAATCTTGGCACGCCAGAACTTTTTCCATGTCGCGAGCGATCCACAACTCAGCAACGACGAGCACAATTGCGGTTCGTACACAACCCATTCAAACCCACACCAACGGAGTCGCAATGGTCACTACACGAGGTGGAACAGAAACGCCAGGCGCGCCGACACCAACGCCGCGCAGCTCGACGAGGAAAGCAGCAGGAAAGCGAGAACTCGAGTCGCTAGAGACACCAACACAAGCAAAGAGGCAGAGGAAGTCTGCGCCCACGTCATCGTCCAAGAAGAGGACTGCCAAACAGGCGGCCGAGTCAGATGCGCCTTCTCAAGAACCTTCGCAAGAGTCTGCAGACAACACCTCTGACACCATCGCTATCGCGGCGCCTGCGACTGAAGATCCCCAGACACCGAACAAGGACGACCTTCTACCACTCCGACGCCAATCGAGTCCTCATGTTGTAGTCAGCAGGAAGTCACCAGACGACTCTACTGCTACAGACAGCTTCGGTGAGGGCAAAGACGAGGCTCCAGCAACTTCACAAAATCCGTCCTTTTACACACCCGCGCAGCAGCCTGGCTCCGGCTCTGTATATGCGACCCCGGCAACAACATTCAAGCAGCCTGAAGGCTCACCAACACCCAAGGCTAAAACGGCAAACAGCCAGACACCAGCGTCGACATCAGCGAAGAAGGGTAGAGGGCGCCCGAAGAAGGTCGTAGAGACGCCGTCCAAGTTTCCCGACGAGATCCCGACATCATCATACGAAAGCGACGCAGCTCCGATACCCTCGCAAGATTTCGTACCTCCTTCGGCACAACCCGAGAAGACGCACAAGCGCTTTGGTAGCGAGGAGCCTGCGGAAGCGCAAGATTCACCTGTTGCGAACAAGCAGGGCAGCAACCGATATGAAGAACCAGCAACCGAAAAAAGCGAACTAGATGCGGACGAAGCAAGCGATTCAGACGACGAAGCGCCCGAAGTAGTCACGACCGCTGCTGCAAGTTCGAAAGCACAAGCGGCACAAGCCGAAGCCGACCGCGCACAAAAAGCTCAACAGGCAAAGGAACAGGCTAAGCGACAGGCGCGCGAGGAACTCGCCGCCGCCCAGCAAGCTGCAAAGCGCGAGCGTGAGGAGAAGAAGGCAAAGAAACTGGCAAAGAAAGCTGCCAAGGAGGCAAAGGCTGCCGCCGGCTCGGACGACGAAGAAGAGCCAGAAATTGCGTCGCGCATGGACATTGACGTATCCAACGGTCTCCTACCCGCTTCCCTCCTCGAAACCATCGACGACCAACGCCCTCCTACACCGCCACCCCAACGCCGTGGAAAGACAGAGGAGGAGCTCAGAAAAGAGAAGCTCAACCATCACATCAAGTTCCTGGAGCGCGTCGACAAGCCGGCAAAGGATGTGAAGAAGGGCAAACTTAGCGTAGCAGTGTTGGCGCAGCAGAACAGGGTGCTGCCACCAAAGGTGAGCAGGAATACAAAGAACGTGCGCGAACACTGGTTGAAGAGTCGCGAAGTAGAGAAGACCCGTGGGAAGCCCGGTGTTAGGTTTGGCAAGAGGATGGAGAGGAGGCCGCATGGTAACCGGGGTTTCTTGAGGAATGGGGATGACTAGACAATGGCACATTGTCAGTGGAGCTTGGGTAGCATGATACAAAAGATAATTATTGTCGTTCGACATCTATGCCTCGAGTGACAGGCGCTTTTCTCGCCCCTCAATTTTCCTAGTTTTCATCCCTGCTATGCTATCTACCTCCGTCCTGGCCTCTTCGGCTTAGCAAATCCCTTGCTCTCCTCCTTCTTCTCCACCTTGAACTCGTCCAAGATAACTTGTTCAGTAATCTCCTCAGGATCCGTTGCCTCAATCTTCTTCTCAACCTTTAGCCCACCCTCATTCTGCGCCAGGCTAACCACATTGCCTCTGCTCGCCGCATACAACATTCTCTCTCTGATCTTCGCTCCACTAGGACACGTCGATATGAACACGATACTCGCGCTAGCGTCGTCATGGCGGTAGAACGAATACCTTGGCTCCTTTGTATCGATGGCCTGGGAGATGGTGGAAGGCGTTGCTGACGAAGAAGAAACCAATTCAAGGGTCTCATTTGAGCCATTCATGCGCAACTGCACAAGGTTATCCGTTCCACCCTGACCCAACTTCTTCAACGCACCGCCAATCTCGTCATCAGCACGAATAGCAATTCTTCCTCCTTGGGCAAGACCTTGGCCGCGCGTCCCTCTGCTCTCCAGCGCCTCAGCAGCCTTGATATCCTGCAGCGATTGTTCTTCTGCCGTCAGCGGATTCTCAGACTCAGTATGCGCTAGGTGCTTCTCCCAGCCTTCTGACGTGAGCTCCGAAGCTTCGGTTGTGAAGACGCTTTCGGCGAAGTGTTCTCCGCCCAACTCACGCACGAGTGTGAGGCGTGTGGACGCAAAGAGCATTTTTTGGCGTACGGGCGCCGAGTTGGGAACGTAGGTTACTGCTACGAGGGACTTGTCGGGTGAGGCGAGGGAGTCTGCGCGGCGGAGGAGGATGTAGAGGGCGGCATTGGGTTGGATATGGGACTGAAGGTTTGAGAGGTCGGTGGTGAAGGTGGATGACGACGAGGATATTGTACCGCTGGGGACAATAGTTTCGTTTTGGATTGTGGCTAGGATACCGCGTTGCGTGGTTGAGGTTATGAGGCTGCCGAGGGCAGACTTGAGCTCTTGGGAAGCTATGGGTGGTTGTTAGTGGGGTGAGTGAGATTTGGAAGCGTGGGGTAGTCTTTACCGGAGATACCGGACTGCATCTTTGCAAGACTTTACTGGGGTACCCTTTGTGGTTGCAGAAGCAGTCAAAAAAGCAGGTTGCAATGTTGTTGAATGGACAGATTTGAATGTTTACATTGACGTCGAACCAGCGGTGATGCTGTACTATAGTGGGGCAAGTGGGCTGGAAGGCTGATGCACCTTGGCGGTCCTACTTCAGCCATCATGCCTGATCCCTGAGCTTGCGTCTCTAAGTCGTGCAGGGTGTTGCATGTCATGTGTAATTATAGACTCCATTATGCTATTCAAAAAGTCCACTGTGGATATCGAAAGGCGCTTTCCAATGGATCAGAAGATGCAACCAGCACTCACTCCTCATATGCCCCACCAGGAAGCATCTCTCGACCTTTCTCCAACACACCTTTCAGATATTCGTATACGGTAAACGTGACGGCCTGACCGGGGGCGACTCGCATGACACGCGGTGTAATACCTTTGTAGAAACTGCGGATACCTTCCTGCTTCCACATGTCGCTGTAAATCGTCAGTTAATCCTCATAAGATCGGAGACATTCATGGACTTACTTCCCGATGTTCACTATCCGCTGGACAGCACTTTGACCCGCCTCCGCAGGCGTCTTCTGTAACCTCGTCTTGATAGTGTCAATTGGCGCATTCGTAAACGGACCAACGGCGCCACTTATCAGGCCGATTAAACTTGTCTCATAACCAGGTAGGTCGGTAGTGCCATGGTACTTCTGTAATCGTGCTCTCAGTTCCGAGTACGCCGTGAAGTTTGCGGCTTGATTTGTTCCCTGGCGCAACGCTGTAAGCGAGACACCACGCCATAATGCGCCTGCGCCTTCTTCCTTTATGACGGTATACATGGCGTGGGCGGCGTTTCGGTACTTGGGTACGTCAAGCGGGTCGGCCATCGAGTGGTGTTGCGCTTGTAAACGGATCTTGACGACCTCCATGGGTGTGACGACAAAGACGGCTTCCGTAATACCAGCAGCGAGACCAGCTGTCTCGTGTTAGTATTTAATCATGCTTGAGCTGACCCTCCCCTGGAAAGATGCGCCCACATGGGCTTCGCACTTTCCAAGGTTGTACACGTACCCATAAATGTTGACTTTGACGCGACATTGCCTTCTTTGTCGGCCAATAACTGCTTATACCACTCGTAACTCGTGAACCTTATAGCCATCTTTGGGACAATGCCTGTGAGCACAGCGCCTAATCCCTTATATAGACCCAATGCGGTTTCCCTCTTTACGATCTCGGCTCCGGTCGTAATGAAACCGCGCTTCTTCGCCTGTAGTATATTTGAATCAGTGATGTTCTGGATGGCGCATACTAATGGCTGCGAAATTGTAGATTGGAACGTACTCCTGGCGCGCGAGCTCGTCTTGACAGTTGCATTCGGACTTTGATTGTGTCTATTTTCAATTAGTCCCAGCACGCATGCCATGTCGGCATAGTGGATTGGAACGTACCTAGAGGATGACACGCGAGCGCTTCCATCATTCCGGCGCCACCACCGGCTTCATGATCGAGTCAGCATTCTGCCATCGTGGTCGTATACCCTTCAGATTCCCATCTTGAAGCTTACCAATCAGGTTTGTGGCCGCCGAAGCGGGCTTCTTGCCGCCAGGCCCTTGTACTGACTTTGCTGACATGTCGTGTATTGTTGTAGTGTAAGAGTTCAGAAAGGCGGTGGTTGTTGCGCGAAATTGAAACCAAAGGCCGTCCAAAGCTTGAGCACGTGGGGTTACACGAAGTTATGACGCTGAAGGAGCGACCCTGAGCTGAACCCCAGTTTTGGGAATGGGAGCTATAGCACGTAGTCAAAACCTCGGCTTTTGAATATGACGACAGAAGAAGAGCAAGCTATTGAAAAGCAGCAGCCGCGCGATGGGTATCAAGAAGAAGACTTGAAAGGAGGTTCAGGAAAGCAAAGAAATTATGAGCGCAAGGAAATTCGTCAATCATATTCCTACCATCGCTGATCAAAAGCCTGTCTACCCGCGGGTGTGAGGACAAACACCCATTTGCTCCGCCAGCCTCGGCCCTTGCGTGAGCCCAGACCGCGTGTCATTAGTGTGAACTGGCACGCGTCTGTCTGGCAGCTGGCAAACAACGGGGTACCTTGGCATACCCCGGATTTCGCCTTTGGTGGACGAGCGGAAGTTACGATGCGCTGATGTCGTTCGGCCGACGATCGGCTGGTGGAATTACGTTACCGAGCTATAGTTGCCCAGTTGCCCAAGCATTTGGCCGTTCATCATGACCTGCTTGGGACGATAGCACATGATATCCTGGATTTATGCCAAAGTTCGGGTCTCATGTGAAAACGGGTTCGCGCTTTCACAAGCTCGCGTAAGGAGCTGTCTGATGGCGGATGAGGGGTGGAATGATCGACATGTGAAAGTGTGGAAAATGACGTTGGAGGGGCTGTCGGAAACTCTCCGCTGCAGGTCCTCCCCGAAAGCGGCCGACAACGCACGTGCGCGAAGATGCCTCGGAACATGCCTACCTAGTAGGTAATTCTGAATCACTCTTCTATCCTGTGTTATCCGGGATGCGTTGGAAGACAGATGAAAATGGGTATATTCTTGCTACATCAACGCTTCCCCTCGTCAAAACCTACACTCAAATGAATCTGACCTCATTGAACAAACTCGACCTGACCTGCATCAACGCGACCAACTCCAGTACAAAGTTCTGCAGAATGACCACATTCGTGATGATATGCAGCAAGCTCGCTTCTCGAACATCGTCTTCTTCTGCGTTCTCAGCACCGCCCGTCGTGTCATCAGAGGGCTCCTTGGGTGGCGGCTGAAACTTCGATAGCATGACTTCGACCTCCTTTGATCCAGCCGGCCGGCGAAAGCGAATACGCCTCTTGCCGAACTGATTCATCCTGATCTGTGATATACTAGCGTCGACATCTGACATCAATGAGGGCTGTTGTACCGCGTATGTTGTTGACATAGGGGATGAGGCTCGGGCAGGTGAGCCAACGAGTGTCTGACCTCCATATCTTGACGGTGCGGGTGATGGGCCTGGTGTATTCCTTGCTTCGGAGAGCGTCTCCTTCCTGCCTCTGGGAGACTGCGCTCTTGAAGGTGTCGTTGGCTGGTTACGTACATGTTGTGGTATCTGTGGAGTCCAGGATCCAACTGGTGTTTCTGAAGGACCTCTCGCGGGCTTTGACTGGGGTGTTGACATTTTCGACTCTTCCACGACATCCTGGTGAAAGCGAAAAGCGTTCTTGCGACTTGTAACGTGTTCATCCCAATCCTTGATGTCACTACGCAGGGCATCAACCTGCGCTTGGAGTTGTTTCAGACATGCGAATAGCTGAGGAGTAGCAGAAGACTCCCATGTCGGGAACCTTTCAGCCATGAACATGGCGCGCAAATTCTCATTCGTGAACGGCTCAGTTTCAAGACTGTCACTTTCGAAGTGGTAGTCGGCAGGATCCACAGATAACCATCCTTCCAGACGTAGCTGAGCGCAAGTGCCAAGTGTAATTATTGCCTCAGTCAGTGCCAAGTTTGTCTCGACGTCGTTCGTAAGGAATCTCAGCAGTAGCTCCATAAGAGACTGGAAGAGCGGATCTTCTGGAAGCAGCTGATGTGGGTCGACCTCTCTAGTTGAGGCTTCAGTCGAGTCGAAGTACCCTTGAGTCTTTGACGACGTCGAAGGTAAGGCAATAGTCTTTAAAGAGCAAGGATGTGTCTCTAGTAAGCTCAAAGTATCTTTCAGGTAGCTTTCGTACGCTTCATCGACACCTTCCAACCCAGCGAGGTCGATGGCGAGGTTCAGATACAACTCAAGCTCCTTGTTCAGAGATCCGACTGTTCTATGGTGTTCTTTGTGATGCAGGTTCATCACCTTGACAAGAGATCCGAGGGCGTATCCATGATTTTTGCTTAGTATCACATTAGTCAACTTCAATGCTGCAATGACCGTCTGTGGGTTGCGTGACGCGGTACTCCCTAACACGAGGTCGACTAGATTAAACAAGGAAGGATTCAGCTTGTCGTCGTCCTTGTCGGAGGCGGTAAGGAGCATGAGCGACTGGCGTCGTTTGACAGCTGCAGGTGACCGTGTTGTCTTCGAGGATGCGTAGTCCTGGAGGGCGAATAGATACTGAAGCATCATATGGACAAGCTCTGGATGATCCAGCGCATCTAGAATATGACGGAGATACGTGAGTACTGCCACAGATGAGCCGCCATCAGCGTCAGACGACTCAAGCAGCGAAGGATATCTGCACGAAGTCAGCTATGTACGTACTGAAGATACATGAGCACGACGCACAAAAGCTGCTGGAGGAACAAAGCCTGAAAGTGATCGATCAATGTAACTCTAACATCCAGGGACCTGCAGTGCTCAAGCACATCTTGCCAGAAGGCAAGGTACGACAAGAACGTCAGAAGATGGCTCTGGAAATCAGGGGTAAAGAAGTTCTCTGCTTGTTGGTTGGGCTGCATCTCGGTGTAATCAGAGAGTAACAGAACAGGAGGCAAGTTCTGCGCCGGGTGGAGTATTGAAAGTTTTCTGGTCAATGTTAGCCTCGTGGTCATGAATATGGTGGGTTCCATACCTGCTCATCTGACTGTACAGTGCTCCCAGCCCAGTCGCCATGAGCGTCGGCAGATCACTGTTAACAATCCACTGCTCCAAATCCATTGATCTAGATGCAGACTCGAATATATACAGCAATCCGGTGCGCGCAAAATCTCCGATACGACCTTCGTGGTGGACATGATCGATGAGCTGATAGCACAACGGGAAGTCTTCCTTCTGCGTGACCCCGGCGAAGTCAGTCTTTTGGTTCAAAAGTCGTCCCTCGTTATCTGCAGACGTAGTAGTAAACCAGACATGCAGGATCTCTGGCTGCAACCTGATCTTGGCCGCGATACCAAACAGCAGCTCCACGATATCGGCCTCAATGTCTTCTCCTATGCCCATGCTTCCCGAGCCGATTGTGCGGTCGATAAAATTCATGAGAGACACAGCGAAGACATCGTTTTCGAGAAAGTCCTCCTCTTCGCTATCGATGAGCGCATTGTAGAAGGCCACCGCGTCCCTAACTGTGCCCTCATCGTGTGCCGTCGCGGCGATTTTCGAGATTGCCGTATATATCTGTTGGGCAGCGGAGAACTGGAGGCACATATGCGGTGCCGGTGATCGGGACTCATCGCTGAGTATCGCTGTGAGGGCCTGGAACCCGCGCCGGATGTTGCCCAGGGCTTCGCGGTCGTTGGCGAGGTTGGTCGACTTCTGCCATGTTTGCTGCAGCGTGTTAGAGGCCAAGCAATTTTTAGTAGAGACCTAGCCATACCAGTATCTGGTTGTATCGCTGTCGGAAGCGTGCCAGCCGCTGTTGGGGGTTGTTCGGGGCGACCTGCTTCTTCTTCTGGGACGAGCCGCCGAGTAACCTCACCCACTTGCTGCAGTCAGTCCTGATATCGCAGCTAACGTGGTGCAAAGACGTACGAAATCCATTTGATCTCTTACTCACCCCGCATTTGGGCCGTGTACGTGGGGTGCAAGGGTGGAAAGGAGTGATGTCGACGCGGAGCGCGCCGTGGTGGAGCGAACTCGAAACCAATCGCGTTGCATCCTTCTCCGCAGAGCAGTGGCGATCGCTATTCTCGCACCAATTCTCCTACACGACAACATGATTTTGAGCGAGTCAGTATGTCTATGTTTCTCGAAGAGCTTCTCTACTGCTAAAGATCTGCGAAAATACAAGTTCGCCCCATCGAAGTTGCTGCATGAGATCTACCAAATGCAGCTGTAGGGCAAGAATCCGCTACCACTATGAGAGAAAAGCAAGTGCAGTCATGTACCTAGGTAGTCGGTAGCAGCGAATCGATGTGACAACGTGGAAACATCGATGAGAAGCCATGATCACAGGTATTACTCATATTACTAAAATTCTACAACCGAAAGAATCAACAAAAGAGAAGCATCGCAGGCTATGCAGTATAAGAAAAGTTTCCAATCCAAGTCCAAAGGCCCATCATTAGATAGCAGCCTCCTCCTTTGTCCACTTAACCTCCTTCTTGACATTTCCACCATTTAGCGTCGGCAGTCCACTCATGCCCAACATGAAATCCCTGCCCTTTAGCATCCATACGAAGAAAGAAGGTACCTTCCATCCCATAACAGCACCAACACCACCTCCACTTCCAATCGGCACAATCATCGACTTTCTCGTATCAAGCGTGTACACTCTGTCTTGGCCCCTGGGTTTCTCTTCAGGAAGCATGGGGTTGAAGGAGAGCAGGTCGCGCTTGAGGTTTGTAACTAGGGTAGGTAGAGCTTGGTTGATGTCCCAGAAGTTGTTGCGCGAGTAGGACGCAATATCACCGAAGCCGTAGACACGAGGGCCTGCGATGTCAACGCGGAGGGTGGAGTCGTTAGTAACGAGGTAACCCTTCTCGTTGAGGAGCTGCTCTGGGAGCCAAGAGGAGTTGGGTTGAACACCGTAGGCGGGAACGTAGAGATCTGCTTCCAGCTTGTCACCATTCTTGAGGGTAAGTGCTGTGCGGCCATCTGTCGTCTGCGTTGAGTCTGTTACCCGTGTGTTGTAAACAACCTTTACGCCAAGTGCGCTGAGCTTGTGCTCTGCTATTTGGGCGATCGCAGGGCGAAGACCTGGAAGAAGTTGTTTATCCGATGTGATCAAGGTAACGTCAACATTTGGCTGCACCTTGCTGAACCATCCCGGCTTGCCATTGCGGTGCTCCGCAACTTCGCCTGCGAATTCAACCCCTGTTGGACCACCGCCGACGATCACAATCTTTTTCGCCGATTTGATCTTATCGTTCGTCGAGCTGATTGCGTCCAGAGTGCTTCGAGCATCGGCGCTCATCGAGAAAGCTTGGAAGTAAGTTTTGCTTCCTGTCGCGACAACGAGGGCATGGTAGTTTAATGACTCGTCCTCTAGTCCCTTGTTGCTGCGGAATAGCACACGTCGCGCTGATGGCTCTAGACCAGTAGCGGAGGCTTCGATGAAAGTAAAGTCATCCTTGGAGTACTGTTTGAAGCCCTCATGCAGATCAAACAGAACCTTCTCAGTCGGCATGCGGTCGGTTGAAGCTGCTACTCGTGGTGAGGCGACCCTGAAGTACCACTGCGAAGATGGCGAGATGTTGTAGACATGGTACTTGGCGTCATTCCTGGCCTTGAGAGCAGGCAGAATATGCTTGAGGATGTAATGGGTTGCCTGAAGGCCAGCGCCTGACGCGCCGATAATGACGATGTTGCGTTGTTCTGACATTGCTGGGTTGTTCGTGTAGAAACTTGGGAGAAATAGACAGAAGTAATGCTGGATATCCACTGTGAAGATCTTCAATGGTATCTGAGGAATGAGTGCTTTGAATGGACTGAAAGACGAGGCCGCCTTGGTCTACATATACTTGCCATTTTCACCGCATGGACACCGAGCACCTACAATCATGTGAACTACGGACCAAATATTCAGGTAAGCGTGTAGTGAAACAATAAGATTCAGCCACATCAGTGCATAATTCTACAAAGATACTCCCTCTGCATTGCCCACGATTGCGTAGCGAGGTTTGTAATGTAAGAAGGACCGAACGCCGGTCGGATGCTCCAACACCCGCGGGACCGTAGAGTTCGTAAGCATGTTGCCAAGACACCCAGGGCTCTTATTGGCTATGGTAGCTAAGCACGCTGCATTTCCGCTCGCTGATGCAGGAACCAGTCCGCTATGGTAATTCATCAAGCCTTGGTTATCTAACGCTTTCACTGCATCGCGTTACTGAAGTTTAATCAGATTTTGTCCAAAAGTTATAAGATATCATGTTCGCAATAGCGCCGCTCGCTTTCGCCCGCCCGGAACTCCGAGTGAACCGTTAAAGGCTGTCAGACTTCTTGGGTACACAGTGTTATTAAATCAAAGAGTGCGCTCGGATCAAGTCGTCGATATCGAACTCGCTCTCATCTTCCCATTCTTCGTCATCGTCATCGCTTTCCTCCTCATCACTGTCGAACTCGCTGTCTTCGTCGTCTTCTCCTTCCACTAGTCCGTTTCCCCCATGTGCATCGTTCATGTGTTGGTACGCTGCTTCACTCAGTGGGAAAACCTTAAGGCAGACCCAGCACATGTGTCCGTGGCAACCACTACACTCAACGTGATTGCATCCGTCAACCTTCTCGATGAGGGTTGCACACTTTGGACATTCTTTCGTACCAGCCACGGCTTTGTAGTCGTCTAGTAGTTGCTCATTCTGCTTGTTCTTGTGGAGATGCGATTCGTATTCCACGCAAGTCCAACCGACGTGAGGCTCAGCATGGCAAAGGGTGCATGTCTGGGTTAGACATGTGGGACACGTGAAAATCTCGTAGGATCCGCTGCGCAGATACACTGACTTGCAATCCGGCGTTCGACAGTTGCGATATGCATCAGGAAAGGATCGGACATGGTAGGTCAACGAAGCCTTCAACAATGCGTCAACCATCGTGCCGGTAGCGTATTTGCGCAGGTCCGGAATTGCTATCGGTTGTTCGCAACTCTCATGCCAGCATACTAGCGGAAAGTGATTGCTTGTTAAGTCTGATGAAGCTACTTCCAGTTGATGGTCGAAGCATTCCCGACAAGTATAATGACCGCATTTGGAGAACTTGATGTCGTTCGTCACATCGCCACACTGGGGGCATATATGATGTTTTGACGCATTGTCGGAGGGTGGCAGTGGCAGGTTTAGCTCGAACATAACGAGCCAGGCGGTTTGACGAGGGCAATGGAGAACCAATGTTTTCTTGAGGACATCGAGGCCGACTTTAGACTCACCCAGCTTCTTTTGTGCACGAGCAACTATATCTGAAGTAAGCAGGTCCCTGAAGTCTTTAGGGGCGAACTGGATGGTGGTTGTCTCTTCCCAAGTGGTTAGCATAATGACTTTTTCGGCGAGGTCGCGCTCAACGATCTTCATATGCGCGTCATCATTTTCAGGGTCATAGATGCGCAGACGCCGTTGCAACTTATCACTCATTATGATCACACCCCTGTCACGCGCCAAATGCTGAAGCCAGACGGCTCCTGGAGCGGTCGCGAAGAACTCGTGCCAGATCTCGTATTGCGTTGCATGACCGCCTAGTCCCGCAGTCGCTACTCTTCCTGCGAATATTGCCTCTAGTATTCTCTTCATGTCGATGATCTTCTCGCGGTTCGTCCCGGATAAGCGTAATGTGACCATACCATTCCGAGGTTCTTCCCAGACTGCTGTCGCTTCAGGGATTTGCGACATGATTTCCTCCACATCAACCAAGACAGCGTCAGAGAGCTCTTTCAGTGCGGTGAAGTAAACAGTGTACATCATGTGTGCATCCACTTCTGGGCTGCTACTGAGATGCTTCAAGGCTGCGAGCGCATGTTCCGGTTGGTAAAAGCCGGCGATGGTGTTGGTGTGCCAGCGTCCATGTACGGTAGGAGAGGGTCTATGACAGAACCTCAATGGTCCAGCAACCGATTGAAGTACTCCTTTCATTAGCAAAGGTCCGACCTCCCTGCTCGGACGCCATGATATCAGTATCGTATTGGCATCGGCCTTGATCGAAAGTTTGTTGGTGATCCGAATGCTGGGGTTTAGGTTGAAACCTGACAAGACACAGCCAGCAAGAAAATCTGCATTTCCTCCTTCGATGTGCCGATGGACCCCTAATTCAGCCATTCTTAGTCCAAGGGTGTGTTCGAGTGACAGGAAGGGTAGTGTGATAGGGTTCGTAGTTTCACAGTCACGGCTCGACGATATTATGGAGGGATAGACAGGCTAGGCATGATCGAGAAACATCCGATTCTGACGGCTGGGTCCGGTGTTGGTTCCTACGGTTGCCTGGTGGGGTATGTCTGCTGCTCATATGAATGGCGTGCCACAGCAAACGTGACGTGCAAACGTGCAAGGAACGGCCCCAATAACGATGCAAGGGTCAGTGAACAGTCTAAACGACAAGTGAGTTGTGGTAGCACGGTTCACATGCGAAACAGGATGGGAATGATGATTAGGCCATGATCTTAGTTGGTACCCGGAAGGCTGGGAATTGGTCCGCGCTAGCGACATAAGCAGGCGCGATGGCGTGTCCTCTCCCCCAGAAGCCTAATGGGAAGACAGAGAAACAAACCAACGATTCAAGCTCGTGATATATGCGACACACAAGAAGTTGAACCTTGGGAGGTAGAATGATACCTTCATTCGTCTGATGCTTCAATAGCGTCTAGTCGATGTCATTATACACTATTCCTCATACCGTCAGCGGAATCTAATCATCCTGATCCCAGTTGCCCGGCTGCGCCTTTCCAGGCATCTTGGGACCACCAGCTTGCCTTGCGACAATGATCTGGTCGACGCTCAGAACCGTCCTCGCAGCCTCGGTCGCGAGCTTGATGGCCCACATCTTGCTGACCCAGAGATCCAGAATGCCCTCCTCCTTCGCGTCAAGTGTACCAGTGTTGTCGTCGTTCTCGATGTCGACACCGACCGTCCACTCGTCGTCTTTCCTGCCCTTCTGTGCAGCATGTGCAACGTATAGCTTAGCGAGAACTTCAGTTGCATCCAGACCGGCCGACTCCGCGAGCGTCCGTGGGATGACCTCGAAAGCCTCGGCATACTTGCGGATGGAGTATTGTGCCAGTCCTGATGTCTTGTCCGCGATCGCCTTGATCTTTTCAACAAGCTGCATCTCCGTTGCTCCTGCACCTGGTACCAGCCGGGGGTCACGAGTGATGGCCTTGACTACGTTCACACCGTCGTCGATAGCCCGCTCTACATCGTCGAGGTGGTTCTGAGTAGCACCGCGTAGGACCAGGGTCGCGGTCCGTGTCTGTTCGTTCTCTTGCCTGAATACTGTGACGCGGTCGCCGCCAATCTCCATAGTCTCAACGACGTCAATGGTACCCATCTCGTCTGGCATAGGCGCACCAAGGCGAGCGAGCGGTGTAGCACCGACCACCCTGCATAACCGGCGAAGCTCGAACTTGGAAAGGACCTTGATAACGAGGATGTTGTAGCGGTTGAGGTAGTGAAGGGCCAGCTCTCCGACGGTCGAGCCAGCAACAACGACCCTCATACCAGAGTCGTGGAGCTCCTTGATGATCTGCTCCACTTGCTGCTCCTCGCCCTTTGTGAAGTCCATCATCTCCTTTGCGTTGTGTAGCAATACCGTGCCCTTGGTCTCGGTTTGTGAAATGTCCACTGGACATGAGAAGACTCCGACCTTGGCCTTTGTCGCCTTCGTGACAGTGCCGTCTGGCTGCCTTGCGAAGACCATGCCCTTGACAACTTTGCTCTGCTCTAGAGCACCACCCATAATCTTGACTACGCGGACGTTGTCGACGTTGAAGTTGACGGGGTTCTTGGGGAGGACAGCGAGAACGGCTTCGGCGACGAGGTCAGCAAGAAAGTCTTCGCTGCCGGACTGCTTGGCTGCGACTACGGTGCGGATGGCTTTGCTGAGTTCTTGCTGCGAGCGGATGTCTTCGACCTTGTCACATACCAGCTCTGTGTTGCGTTAGCCCCGGCTTTATTTTTTAGCTAACGTGTGCATAACATACCCTCCAGTGTCTGCAGAGCCGCAAGTTGTGCCTTTTCGTAACCCAAGACAATGTCACTTGTCTTCAGGCCCATCCGTATTAACTCCTCGGCCTTCTTCAACAGCTCACCAGCCAAAACAATGACCAGGTTTGTCGCATCACCCATCTCTGCCTCTTGTTGCTGGCTGGCCATGACAAGGAGCTTTGCCGCAGGGTGTACAACCTCGAGTTCTCGCAATATTGTTGCCGCGTCTGAGGTGAGGATCATCTTTTGGAGGTGGTTTATGACGATCTTGTTGCGGCCATAGGGACCTAGAGAGGTCTGAACGGTCTGGGCAATAGTTCGGCAGGCATCGATGTTGCGGATAACAGCGCCATCTTCAGCGTCGTAGCTGTTGCGGGGTGGTTAGTTGAGTGTTTACTGTGATTGCGGGGTTGTAAAGGGCCGTACTTCTGGTAGCCTTGCTTGAACAAGCCGGCGTTGGGGGCGTTGGGTATTGAGAGAGACATGTTGGTGGTGTATGAGGGGTATCTTGGTTGTGGTGGTGTACCTGAATCTAAGCTCTGCGCGGCGAGAACGCGTCCAGTCCCAAATTTCGATGCCAAGACTTGGGGATCGGGGGAAGGAAAGACCGACAATTCACGATCAACAATCTTTGGAATAAGGTATCAAACGCTGTATATTGACATGACGTGTATAGCTAGGCTATACCACGCAAGGCCACAGTTGTGTGCCATCCCAAAGCTTGAGCTTGAAGGAAAGGCGCAAGATTGCGTGTCACTAAAGTTACTCTAGGATTGTATACCGCAAGCAACAGACCAACTGAGCCGCGAGCCTACGTAGATGCAAGTAACTCGATATCAGCGCATAAGCTGTTGGCTGTACTGCTATTCAAACATAACTTTGTCGCGTACGTCAAGCGTGCAAGCGTATAAAAATATCTTCAAGCGCATAAGAATGTGAGCAAAATCTATCTAGCCGTACACCTTAGGATTTGTGAAGGTACCGCTAGCGAAAAAGACTGCTCGACTCCCTCTAGGCACCGTTAAATGACCAGGATCTCATGACAGTGCGAGTATGCTGGGGATAAGGATAGGTGCCGTAGAGAAGGAGACATGGTGTTTGCGCCGAAGAAAAGTTAACTTGAAATGTCTGCTTAGGTAATGCCGCTAGACCCAATGCACTTCCGCTCCCCGAACTTTTCTGAGACCTCGAGATGGCAGCGGTTGCATCGTGATACCGCGGAGGGCATTGGGAGAAATGAACGCCGGACAGCAAACAACGAGGCGATTGGCCTCGAGAGCTGGTATACATCGCAATTGGGATTGCAGGCATTCCGAGTGCTGACGAACCAAGGTCAATCAATATGTCGCTCATGTAGAGACACCATTACCCGCACATACGCATCTGCCGCCGCCGCTGCTGTCCAGACCGAGGACCAAGTCGCCCAGCATATCCCTCCCGTTGCTCAGGTCTCACCCTCTACCTCTTACGCTGTCAATGCCGGTGTCGTCCTGTCCCGCCCCCCGCAAATAACACGCGACCTCCACCCATTCGAAGCCTCCTTCTTTCTATACCAAAGACGTCTGAACGAACGACTTGCGCTGCCCTTCACACGATACTTCTACGTCAAGAAGCGAACACCTGCAGATTTAGAATGGAAACGAAAGATGAAGCAACGGTTGACCCCCGCCCGCGATATCGGACGATACCAAGGATATGGAGACGAAGCATGGAATGACGAGGTTCTTGTAGGAGCACAAGAGAGCGATTTTGAACACCAAGTCGGGAAGCTTATCGAAGACGCTGAGCAGTCTGGTCTGGAGGACGCACCGGACACAACTGGCGCAAAGAAGATGGAGCGCGAGCCAGTAGAGAAGCCGATGCCGAGGATAACAGAAGCGGATCAGAAAAACGACACCAAGAGCTTGAACCGCGCGCTGCAGAGAACACTGTATCTGCTTGTCAAGAACAAGGAGGGGCAATGGCAATTTCCACAGGATCGCTTGAAGGAGGAGAACCTGCACGGTGTACGCAGTACCACAGCCCGCAGAGATTTCAACAGAATGCTAACAACATATAGGCGGCAAACCGCATCATCACACATACTGGTGGCATCAACATGAACACCTGGCTTGTCGGCCACGTGCCAATCGGCCACCACCAAGTGGACTACCGCGAACCCCGATCCGCAGGGAATCTCAACGAGTACGGCGCAAAGACCTTCTTCTTGAAGGCGCGCATTATGGCCGGTCAGGTCAACCTCAAAGAGAACAAGCTCGGTCTCCAGGACTTCAAGTGGCTGGCCAAGGACGAATTGCAGAAGGAGGTGGACGGCAGCTACTGGCGACAGATCAAGAACATGTTGGCGGAGCGATGATTGATATGTACGACATGATGTATTCTAGCATTGCTTATCGAAAGCGTTTAGCTTGTGGCAGTCCCTGTAGCATTATGTACAGTAGTTCCGATGATGACATCACGGTTGACACAATCAGAGATTCTCGTGATCGCGCCTCTGAACCTTCCCAGCATATCTGGCACCAAGTTGTGGTAGGCTCCATCGGACCCTCTGTTGGTCAATCTTCGCACACACATCCTCTCTGCTATCGAAGTCACCTGGCAGCTTCAGGCGTACTCTTAGCTCCGCCCAGACAAGTACTCCAGTCCTCCGTCCAATACGCAGCGATCGCAGCACCATGGCCTTCCATACGAGCTCATGTTAAGAGAGCACCCTCCTGGAGGAATGATAAAACAGTAGCTCGAGATGAAGCCAGCAAGTCAATCTATAAATTCTTAGCTTGTCTGCTCAATGAAATTCATGTCAGGGGAGGTGTCATACAGATGCCACCAATCCAAACAACAGCGCCGTAGCCCAGTATAATGAGAAAGACGTTTAGGGCAGCGGTGGGATAGAAGAGGAGCCTGCGCCAAAGCGCATTGATGGAATTGACGATGAAACAGATGATGATGGCTTCGAGCACAGACATGCAGGTATGGTCGTGAGACGCGTTCGAATGGTCATCTTCTAGAAGGAGACTTGTGCTCACTTTGTAAAAGGCTATGACCGCGATGATGAGATATGCAAGTGCAATTACAACATGCAGGATCATTCCAGCATCTTGCAGAGGGCGGGCAATCGTATAGATGAGATCGAGTAGCAAATTGTATCTGAGTGACGTGATGTGAATTGTTTCCGTTGGGTGATAGAGCTGTGAGCTAAATCTGAGACCGAAGCTACTTCGAGATCACTCTCAAATGATGGAGCTTCACGGTGAGAGTGAGGTTCAGATAGAGGATGATCGTGATTGGATGAGGCTTAAAACAGTACTCGCTTTTCGTTTATATCAACTCTTCGTAACGCCCAACTTTTCCTTTACTCCTACTGTAGTTTCCCCACTCCGAGCCGTCAGTGTCAGCACCCAACCTTTTGGCCCTTACTCACACTTCTGCCAATCGTAGCTGAACCCCTGCTGCGCACCATAGTACTGATTTCCCAGCTCCTCGCTGTACGAGTGCTCACTATCCACGACACCCTGCTGTCCCTCCTTACCTTCAACCCACATCTCTGTGCGGAAGGTGAACGTACCACTCCCGCAGTTGGACTGAGGAATGAGCTCCGGTGGATAACTGATGTTCGAGTAGTACTCTTGAGCGTACTGACCAGATGAAGCAGGGCCAGTTAGTGCGATGGTATCAGCGACCTGTTTGAAGAGTCAGTATGTGGCTACAGGGAGTTGCAGAGACTACATACCTCCGTCCTCCCGCTTCCCTCACCCACGTAGTAAGCGAAGTCCCAATAAACCTGTACTCCCTCATCCAACTCATACGTCATAATCCCCTTCGTCCCATTTTTGTGCAGCCTCAACTTGTAATCCTCCGCTTCGGCAATCATATCCACATCTTTGTACTCCTTGTATGACAAAGTCGTCTCGCACCATGTATGGCGGGGACCATTCTCGAGGTCTACACGCATCCATGGGTATGCAATGAACCAATAGTATATCTCGCTACCGTCGACGGTATTGGAACCGAAAGTTGGACGCGTAGTGCGCGAGAAGGTGCCATTTTTGCCAGAGTCGGGGCAGCCGGGGCCTCGTATGGAGGAAATAGTGAAGGACCAGTTCGGTGGGAGGATGCGGAGGGGATTGGGTTGCGCGAGGGTGGTTGTCAGGCCAACGAGAGCCAGGGCTGTGGTCGTGTATCTCATCGCAGATGTCGGCACTCGAGACCAGGTAGGTGATCAAATACAGTTGAAGCGGTTGTTGTGCGAGAAGACACTCGTTCTCGGAAGTCGTTCAGCTGGTCTTTATACATGTCAATGTGATGCTTCCGAGCTGTGTAACTGCGTATGATCTGGGGAAGTCTACCACTACAACATGCGAACAACGACTTCGAATATCATCCGCAGCCCAATGAGCACATTACCCCACATCATCATGGGGACCAGTCTATATTGCTATAGTGGTAGGCCGAAAGGGTTCGCTGTGCAGATATAGCGATCGCAATATCGAGACGAAGCGACGGTGACATCTGACGACCATTATGAAGGTCGGCAGAGAGTAGATGGGAGGAAATAAGGTCAGGCGACGACCACCCGAAGTGTAACCAGTTACTACCCGCCTACGGCTGTATGTTGCGTCACCCAGATATCAGGGGTCTGTTAGGCCAGTATACTTTGCACGCGCATATGCAGAGGTGGTGGCTTTCATCTGAGGTTGCTGCTTCAATATAGGGTTAAACGAAGCTGTGTGGAGAAACCTGGAAAAGGAGGGTATGTAGCCGTTTAGTTAAGGTGCTGACGCTGTGCATCACCGGCCGTATCCGTCAGCAACGTGAAACATGACGAATGAAGGCAAGTTAATAAGGCATCTCCCTCCCCATGCGTAAACCAGTATGCCTGTGTTTAGCCTATAGTGCTTGTTGTACATGAGAAAATGGGAAGGTGCTCAGTACGTAGTGAGATACTTCCTTGTTGCTTCGGATGTACATGAAAGCATTTCGCAGACTCCTTTTTGTCTGAGATTTCCCCAGAGCGCCGAGGTTTATGTGTATCAGTGCGACTAACATTTTTTTGCTAATATTATTGACAAGGTATGAGAGGTTGCTACGGAAGAAGCTCGTTGGGTAACGACCAACAGTGCGCCATTGGTAGAGAATGTTGTTGATGCTATACGCAAGATGGCTGATTTCAAAAATTCTCTAAACGCTGTACCAGAGTGAAGTAATTCCCAACCGTTCAATGCTCGAAACCGATACCTAGTGCACCATTGAGGTCCCGGAAGTCGCCCCTCAGGATCTCGATTCCATCACGCTTGACTTCTTCAACCAAATCCTTGATCTTTAGTGTCATAACAGAAGGCTGAAAACCAAAGTACTCATACGCGGTCTTGCTCGGCAAGCTCTTGCCAAAGCGGCGCATCGAGATGGCGGCATCGGCATAGCGTTCCCAGCCATTTGCTGCGTAAGCCTCGATGACGACAGTAGGCTTGCCAGCTTTAGGCTTCAAAACAGACTGCTTGTAATCACGAGTCTGCTGTTCAAACAAGCGTGGGCAAGGGAAGGACACGACCCGGGCTGTTATGCCATGTTCGGAGTTGAGAAGGTCGCGCGTCTGCATAGCGAAGACCATTTCGGATCCAGTACTGATGAGGGTAACGTCGAACTCTTCCTCTTCCACAAATACATAGGCACCCTTAGCAAAGCCTGACCGCGATGATTGCTTCCACTGTGGCAGAGCTTGGCGAGATAGAGAGATGATGCTAGGTGTCTCATTGGCCTTGATGGCAACCTCAAAAGCACCAGCCACTTCTTCAGAATCGCAAGGACGCATGTAGAGTAGGTTGGGCATGGCACGGTAAAGTGCGGCAAGAGCGATAGGCTGATGTGTAGGGCCGTCCTCTCCTGTACCAATCGAGTCATGTGTCGCGATGTGGATTTGCTGTAATCCTTGCAACGCGCCCATACGAACAGCTGGTGCTGCATAGAGGTAGAACATAAAGAACGACGATGTGATTGGAAGGAAGGTGCCTTTGTTGAATGCTGCGAGACCATTGGATATAGCACACATAGCGTGCTCGCGAATGCCGTAATGTATGTATCGTCCGGTGTAATCCCCGTTTAGACCACATGCAGTCTTCAGCTCTGGCTGAGTAGAGTAAGTAAGTTGATCGGGAGATGAATTGATGAAACTTGGTTCTTACCGACTGAAAATCGACCTTCTTCCGATAGGCAACATTACAGGACGGCGTAAGGTCCGCAGTACCAACAAGGAAGTTGCCCATGTTCTCACCGAGAGGGTTACCAACCAGTCCAGCAGACCTACGTGTTGCAGTCGGCTCACTAGGCAGTTGCTCTCTCTGTGGAATGTACTTGGTCCAATCAGCGGGCATCTTACCCGCAACACGGAGCTTGAACTCTGCTGCGAGCTCCGGGTACTTCTTCTCGTAGTCGCCGATAGTGGCAGACCAGTCGGCTTCAAGTCGCTTGCCACGAGGGGCTACGTCTTCAAAGAAGCTGTACATCTCCGATGGAAGAACGTAATGTTCATCTGGGTTCAGGCCGAATGACTTCTTGATGTTTACGATATCGTCCAGGCCGAGCGCAGCACCGTGGGTCGCAGGTGTTCCTGCCTTGCCTGAGCCGAAGCCAATGACGGTGCGAATATTGATGAATGTAGGCTTGTCGCTACTTCGGGCATTTAGCAGTGCATGAACGATGCTGCTGACGTTTGAATGGCCATCGAGGATATCAACAACGTTCCAGCCAGTCGCCTTCATCTTCTCGTTCATGTCCTCCCCAGCATTTGCGACATCAGCGGTACCATCGCACGTAATGTTGTTGTTGTCATAGATAATACAGAGATTGTTGAGCTTCCAGTGGCCTGCTAGTGACACAGCCTCAAGACCTACACCTTCTTGAAGGCATGCATCGCCGATCATACACCAGGTCATGTTGTCGACAACTGTGTGCTCATCGCGGTTGTATGTGGCAGCAAGGTTCTTCGTGGCCATGGCAAGACCGACTGCGTTGGCAACACCTTGACCAAGAGGACCTGTTGTGACTTCGACTCCCTCGTTTTCGATCTCAGGGTGCCCTGGGCAGATGGAATCGTACCGAGAGCTGTGATAGGATTTTAGCTGCTCGGCAGTCATGCTTTCGACACCAACAAGGTGCATAAAGAGGTATTGCCACAAGCAAGCATGGCCTGGCTTATACATTAACCCGTATTCGGCTTAACACCCGGTCCTCTGTGGCGCTTGGAGGTCGTAACGTGGATGCACTTACCATTGGAGAGAACAAAACGGTCGCGATTGAAGTAGTTGCCATTCTTCGGTGAAAACTTCATGACATATTTGTATAGCGCGACACCGATAGCAGCCATGCCCATGGCAGAGCTAGAAGATCGGGTTAAATTGGAATCAAGGCTGATTGTGACTGGAGCTTCCTACCCTGGATGACCGCCATTGAACTGCTGACAAAGGTCTGCGATGTATGCACGGAAGTATTTGAGTACAAGATCGTGTTTGTCCGATTGATCGAGCTCTACAGCAGCAACGCCGGCCACACCATGGATCTTGGTTGCTACTGGCTTGATCGGAAGATCATCCGAGACCTTGTCGTAGAATTCTAGAGAGGGTGACATAATGAACGCAATGGATGTGGTACTTGAGGATATGTGTTGTGCAACCTCTTCCGCGAGAGATCCGAACCCTTATATATCATGGTTGATGCTCGTCAAAACCCCAGTAGACCTTTGTAAGTAACTTTCACCACGATGCGATCGATCCGAGCGCTTCATTATGGCCGTATCGGTCGTTGTAATGCCATTCAACATCCTGTTCGAGCTCAACCGTGCAAGATGGTGATAGTAATCCCCAGGAATGCCCAAAGGGGCAACGCGATGCGCTAGTCCAGTCGAAACTAGCCTGAGTACAATCCGATTGGAGCTCGATGCGAGATGCCCGAGCTACGTAGCTTCTTGGAAGCGGGGCCCCAGGATCGCAAACCTGGGGTACTGTGGATGGACCATCTCATCCTTGGAAAACTAGGATAACAAATCAGGCGAATGAAAGTTCCGTATATGCGAAGAAATGCTCAGACTGTAGCTAGATGCCGTTGCCAGATATGCGTGGCTTCAGACGCGTCGCTTTACGAAAAGCCCCAACGACTAACGTACGCAATTATGCAGCGATCCATAAAGCCTCGCTGGTATCATCAACTTGCGCTACCACCCCAGACGTTTACTAGATCGTCTAGTATCGTGATCGCCGGAAACTTGCTGATACTCAAGACTATTCTGAGAATTTCGAGTATCTCAGCTTGTCTGTCTTTTGTCTCCGTACAAAGTGCCGCTGATCCTAAGTCAGCATGCATATCAGATATGAACTGTGGGTGAACAGACCTGCATAGATAGCCTGGAAGCTAACGAAAGCCGAGGGTGCATTTTGCGATTGCTGCGCTAATGCTATACCGCATATCGTCGAGGTACTTTCGCGGAGGAGCTTGAAACGTGTCTGATACGTGTTAAGGCCTCCGGTGGATGGCTGGTTGAGGATCATTATGATTCGTGCAAAGTGATACATTTGGATAGCAGCAGCATGTGCGGGAGGATGTATCCAAATCGGCGTCATATTCGCTTCGAGCGCTGGAGTTGGTGAAGATGTGTGAAATCCGGATTGGACAGGTATGGGCTCAAAGCTTGGCGGAAGGAGACTCTTCCATGCATCTAGCATTCGTAATAGCGTTTCTCCCGCTTCGATGTATCCAGAGATATCACCTTGCTTCGGTGTTGCGGCAAACTGAACACATTTTGCGGCAATATATATAATACGTGTCGCCAGACCTTCTGATGTGAGTTCAGCCATTGGCACTCTGGGTTGGTGTATTGTCAGTGCTGGTCGTCCAGTACGAAAAGCTGCCCAGACGTCTTGCCGTAGCCATGCCCACCAGACTGCTCGTTGCAAGCCATCAGTAGACTCGCCACTCGTGTCGGAATTGCGTTGTATCCAGAAAGCTCCCCTTAGGTGGCGATCCCAGTTACTATGATCAGAGGTGCCAGCTGTCCCGAACATCTCTAAAGTTTGGTATATGTAGTCAGTGGCTATCGCTTATGCTGCTCGTACAAAGCTATTACTGACCATACATCGAGATCATGGTAGCGGTGACCAGGATTTCGCGTGATTTTGTATAAGACTGATACAACAGATTCTGCGATAGATACTGCAGTGTCTCGTAGTATAGTTGCTCAGCAACCATCCGTACAGTTGATGGTGCACTGGAAGGTGAAGCGGGCGTACCAGGTGGCGCTTGTGATGCAACCTCGTTGCTTGCATCCTGATCCTGAGATAGGGCCATATGGCAGGCACCCACTGCCAACAAAGACTTGAGCAACCCTATATTACGCAAGGCAAGATGAGGCACGGCGTTAGCGAAATGCTTTACCGGGTCGAACAAATCCAAGATTGGTGCTACCACACTGACGTAGTGTTCGAAGTATACCAGCTCTTGTCGCTTTAGCTCGATCCTCGTCTCCGTATTCCATGGTTGTTCAAGTATTGCCATCGCATGCACTTCAACATTGCCGATAGGATTATCATCTGCTTCTAGAGCGACAGATTGCCGAGGTGACTGTCTTCTTGATAGGCTAGCAATGTCGAAATTCCAGCGATTGCCATGCGGTTGCTCTTGCATATTGTTGATCGCGTCTTCTGCGAGTAGATCATACCTAATAAGTCTTAGTTTCTCATGAATTCCATAAGCAAGTTGGCATCACCATTCGACAGGTCCGAAGTTAGGGGTCAGACTATCCCCGAAAGTGAAAAGACTGTCGTCAAGGAAAAAATCGTCGCTAGGTATTGCACTCTCAGAGAGCCCCGGCTGTTCTGCGGGAAAAGGTCTCCACGACTGTGCCGGCTCTACAGACTCTGAGCTTAGTGCTGAGATACCCACAGACCCGAGCCCGGTCTCGTTGTTTGATGGCAGAGAGTCCGTGATCGCTGAGGTCTCTTCGGTGTTTCGCGCACTCAGTGCTCGTGGCTGTCGTGGTGTGGGAGTCTTCTCAGCATATATACACTCGCGGTGGACTCTTTCGCAATTTTTGCAACTTGGATGGCTTTCATCACACTTGACCTTACGCTTACGGCATGTCAGGCTGTTCCACTCGTTAGCATCGCGCTCATAATGTGTTGCATTAGGATGACTAGACGTCTGCCTTCACCAAACTTTGGCGATCCGAGAAATGTACAACTTACCAGCCTGTCGAAGTCCTCAATCCACGTGATTTGGAAGGCATATCGATCTATGCTGGGGCTGAAAGCGAGTGTGCGAAGCGGTCGTATCGAGCGATGCAGCTCGATGCGGGCAGGCTGATTGAAATACCCGACACGCGGAAGCTAGCCGCATTCGCATGCTAACATTGGCAGAGACTCCACACATCCGTTACCATCAGAAGCATTTGCTGCGGGGAAGCTGGATGCATTGACAAATACGCAAGGCTGAAGTCTGGGGTGATGGGTGCTGTGGCTGTGACGCGGGTGAAGATCGTCCCGAGCTTCATTGGTGTAATGTAAGCGGTAGTCGGGCCTATAACACAAAGAAGCTTCATTCCAAGTTCATACGAAAGACTAGATATCAGCGATGAATTCCCATGGATAATGAGGTATCTGTCATGTTGTCCGTGTTACACTGTTGTACAAATGCACGTTTCGAAACTGTGACAGTCCGACGACCTTCTATCTCACGCGCAGCTCCCGACGTCCGAAAACCGCCGTCTTATCCCCCCATTCATGCAGTCCTCAAGCCGTTCATGCTGTTTTCCTTTCCCTTCTCCCAATACGCCTCACATTGTCCTTCGACATTTCGTATAGAGGATCTGACTGTGTACCTCCTCGGATTCTAGTTTCTTCAGCTTCGTAGTGGGGTTCGTTGCGAAAGCGAACACCGTGAAACAGCCAACGGAAGCCACGAGAAATAGCGCAGCAATAATCCCAAGGACTTGCAGCCTCACTCAGTGCTTCGTTGGGGCCACACTCGTACATTTGCTCTGGATATTTTGGAAGCCGATCGATGTCGTACAGCCTCCATGGAAACGCCCAGTAATGCAGGATCGCAAACACCAAAGCCTCTGCGCACGTAAGCAGACACGGGATGCCGACGTGGAGGTCTGGAGCAGCGATGAGCCGCGTTGGATGTAATGCCCTGAGTTGGATGAGCAGGGAGATAAGCCATGTTTGCCAGTAGGTAAGCAAAACGATCAACTTGACGCAAATCATCTTGAGGACGGGCTTGTTGGGTGCGAGATCTTCTTTGAGCTGGTCGTAGACTTGATGTATACAATACATGGCAACAAGAACGGAAAGGGCGTCCATGATGGCTGTCCATGTCGATGCGTATCGTGGGTTGAGATTTCCCTTGCAAAGCTGACCGAACGATTGCGTGACGACGGCTATGATGGTCACGATGGTTCGAAGAACAACATATTGGAAAACGCCAACATAGTTGATCTGTAAAGGGTCAGTGACCGCTTGAGAAATACGAGCTGAGCAGTCGCATACATTGAACCAGGTAACGCCGCTTCTGGGCTTCCTCATCCAGCCTTTATGCTCGCCGCCGGTCAGCTTCTGAATCCAATTTAATGGCCAACCCCAGTTCTTCGGCTTGACGTTTCGAAAATAATTTTTCTGCTCATGGAGATTGGGTGCGATGTAATGACACATGAGTGTGAAGAAGCTCACGGTAGCGTAGGCGGCGTAGCATTCGCGGACAAGCTCGCAGTAAACAGCACTGCTGTAGAAAACGTAGGAGAAGAACGTGGTCCAAGCATAGACAGGGATGACAGCGAGGATGCGTATGATGTGTTTTTGTTCGTATGAGCACAGGTAATGCAGCGCGTGCTGCATGATGTGGAAGACGGAAAAGGCGATGGTCAATGAAGCTAAAGTGCAGCAGACGTTGAGAGTGAGCAGGTGGAAGGTAATATCCTTATCACCGAAGGGTAATGCCTCTTCAAGGACTAGCTGGCTCACGGAAGCCCCATTCCCACAAGTACGGACCATGGTAGAGGGTTGGCGATGAGTTGTGTAAATTGATTGTGGGCGTTGGTATACAAACTGTAAATGAAGTTACTCATCTGAGAGCATCATTGGTGCAGGAGCAGCAAGAGGTGTGGAGAAGTCGTCACGTACAAGTGCTATCGCTCCTGTCTGGTATGGCTCGTATGCCAAGATAGCATAAGGAAGGAAAGAATCATGGAAGTATTGTCAAGAAAAGTCCAGCCCGTCATCTAAACTTTAGAAACTGCTTATACAAGGCGTAAATTCTTTCAAGTAGCTCATCCTCTCCATAAATCTCCTCTTCTTCCCCTGTTTCCACCTCGCCCTCTCCCTCTGAAGCCACCACCACCTCTGCCGCCTCTATAACCCTCATCGCGTTCTTCGCCAACCTCGACGATCCTGTCGTCGTCATCGAAACTGTACTTGTACTTCATCTCAACCTTAATACCCCGTCCTTTCCTCGTCTCGCCAGGTGCCCAGTCTCTGCTTGTCTCGGCATCCAATTCCTTCAGTCTCAGATCAGAGATCTCGTCTGAAACAGGCAAGTAGAAGAGTTGAGGTTTCGCCTCTGTAGCGCTGAACAGGTCGTGGAGTGTTTTGAACGAAGCTTCAGTATCTTGCCGCGTATCTTTTGATGAGGCTGTCAGGAGTGACGGCGTGGGTGCATGTTGCGTGGAGGGCCTTCGTACGTCTATACTTGCGCGTGGGCCTCGTGGTGCATTTGCGGGAGCGCTTGAACCGACTTCTTGGAAGACGGCTGTAATTGAACCGTCGCTTGACTCGGAGTATACGACCTCAAATCGCTTGGGGTTAGTCGGCTGTTTATTTGCACGAGCTTCTTTCTCCGCAGCCAACGCGTCCTCTTCCTCTCTGATCCAGTCTTTCACAGTTTCGTCAGGAATGAAGTCTACCCACAACTCTTTCCTGTTACCCTCCGGTGGCCAGATAGAGCCATGTAGCGAAGCTCGTACTCGTGATGCAGCGGTCTTGCTGCTAAACAAAACGAGAGCATGCGTCTTGAGCGCGTCGAGGAAAAGTTCCTCAACTAGTGTCGGGTCTGATGAGCTAGATGGCGGGGAAGCAAGAGAAACTAGATGTGCTCGTAGTGGCTCCGGACGCAAAGGGCGCATGAAGTTGCGAATGTATAGAGCAGATGTCACAGGATGGAGTGCGGGTACTGTGGGTCTGTCGTCTGTCAAGGCTTCCTGGGGTGTGTCGTCTTCGCTGGTCTTCACCAGATCTTTGTATCGAGCAGACTTTTCCTTTTTCTCGCGCCTTGTGTCAGTTTCCACAGCTGGCGACTCTTCCTCGACTGGTAGGTCGTGACTGCCGTTCGTTTCGTGTGTCTTGACATCTGGCGAAGTGTCGGCCTCTTCGTCCGGTCTTCTTTGCTCCATAACTGTGTCTTCGTCTTCCTGCAAATGAACTTCAGGCGCCGGTTCCTGAATTGGCTTGTGCTTCTTTGCTTTGATGTCCTCAGCTGCCATCTCAGGTGTGTCGCTCCTCCTCTTTCTCTTCTTTGAGTCTGCTTCTAGCTCCTCTGTGTTCAGCCTCGATGTGTCAACCGTCGGAGGCTCTAGAATGGCGAGTAATTCTGTCTTCTCTACCGATTGCTGCTCATTGGGTACAGGTGAAGCTGTCCTCTCATCCATTGTCGTGTCTTGCAAGTCTTCAGGGAGTCCAGATGGTGGCTGCACCATTCGCAACGCCTCAGCAGCCGGTCCTGGAGCATCTGGCAGCTTATCTTCTGCAACTTCGACATTTTTGACGTCCTCAACTTCTGCGTCGGTAGGCTCAGTGACGGTTGGACCAATGGGATCCGCGGGCGGCGCATTAAAGACTCCCGCGGGTTGTATCGAGCCAGGTTCCTCCGCATTGGTGGTGTCTTCCATAGGCTCCTCTATCGCCTTGATCTGATCTGGTGGGGGGAAATCGCTGTCAATGTGCGAAATTGTCTCGGGAAGGGTATCCGTGGTTGCTGCGGGTACGGGTAGGGGGTTCGACTCGGTTTCGTGGTTTGGTTGCGCTGGTTCTACATTTAGGTTAGTGATTGGAAGCTAACAATATTGTCTTACAGTGCGTACCTCCAGCTTCAGAAAGCGCAGGTCCAGGAACATCCTCGTCTTGGCCAACTTCTCCCTTAACCTGCTCCACCGGATTAGGCGGCGCGTCTGCATTTTCGGCACTCGCGACCATCTCATTGGGAAGTTCAGTAGAATTTGAGATTTCAGCAGCATCTGCCTCTTCCAGCTTCTCGATTATTTGCGCTTTGCGTGTCAGGCCGGTACTCGGTATACTCCGATCTTTCAACAGCTGCCGCAGTTGCGCGACCGTCTGCTTGCTGTAGTCCGCCATGGTCGAATTATGCGTTCAATTGTTGTAAAAATGGTAAGATTGTAGTCGCATAGAATTCACTGAACCTATGCGCCTATTCAGCCGATAGAAGAATGCTAAGTAAAGGAGAGTGAGAAGTTGCGACAAGGCTAAGTGGCCGCAAACGTCACGCTTCAAAGAAGTTCGCGCGCACTCGAGGCAGGCGCTAGTAGCTTGGCGTACATCAACGTCCCGCAAGCCACGTGCGGAGAAGGTTGCATTAACCGAGCGATCATTGCATTACGTCCCATTCTCACTTAGACGTCGTTGCCTCTTGTAATGATTGCGGGCCTCACTCTGCTTCGACGCGTCTGTGTTACTGATGCACGCCACTCAAACACCACCTCTATACACTCTTCTCCTTGGCGCTCACGATTAATCTGCCGCCTATCCATCCCATACATGGACTAGACCGAATTCCAGCAATCGTCTCTTCAGCACCTCAACCAACGCATCATCACTCAGTCTGTATTCAAGGCTCGCTGTCCACTTGATTACGGCAAGCACATATTCCTCTCTGCCAATCGGATGAAACGCGTCTCTCAGAGGTTTGAACTGCTAGCAAAAATGCACCACGCGCTTTTCGTCACGTTTTATCAACGCGTGTGTGATAATTGTGGTACACGGACGCAACAAATGTGTCTTTTCACGTGCCGACGAGTCTGCCTCAGCCAGAATCGGTACTATGAAAGCAAGCTCGTCATATGGTAACTAGTCAGTGACGCGTATGGCGCCTGGGTTCGTTCGATAACGTCAATGGTAGAGTTCTATAAGCTGGAAAACACCGTTCATCTGCCCCGCTTCACACCAGTACCCGGCTGCTATGCGCTCAACCTCTCATATCGAAGAGAGACTACATATCGTATAAGTGGGATCATTATGAGCAGCGATCATAGTATACAGTGCTCGCTTTACCAAAAGGAAGATCAGCAAATGGGAGGCCTGATCAAGCACATGTGCGAGAAATATGAGATTCGAGACATCTTGGCAGCTCCGGCAGTACCGCATGGTAGCGCACTGGCCCTAGACATCTTAAGAGCTAGATATATGGCCGCGTGGTGTAGCCATATGTAAAGATCTATGGAGGATATGTGAAGGGGACATGCAGTTGCCTTCGAATGAGCGTACGGGCGCTTGGATCACCAAAGACCTCATACAGAACTAGTCGCATGTTGTGCACATGTCTGTTTTGGTTGTCTTCCAGCATAGCCACGATCTCAATTTGAAGACCGTTACTAGAATATAGGATGGAGCGCCCCCAGGTCCTTCCATGTGTTCAAAATCTTCGGTTGTCGATTGGAGAATTTCAATTGCTCCAGAACATCATTTCCCAACGGTGAACTGTAAGCACTAGAAGGCACTCATTTGAGCAAGCGATTGCGCAGGCTAAAGAATTACGGAATATTCATTTAATGATCATTGTGTACAACTGTACGACAAGATGCTTAGCGATGTCAAATATCTTGGTCCACATAACACAGATGACAGTCTTCGGGAACTTCATAGCCGTACCATCTGAGAGTCCTCTCATAGGGGGTCGGAGCGGGCCGGGATCGCCACTACCGTCGATCATAGATGTGCCTAATAGATACTTTGAGGCTAGCCTTGGTTTAGAGCGGGCTCGTAAAAGTCCGAGACGGAGCGAATAAAGCGCTAATTCATGGTTAGCGCACAGGACAGGAGTAATGATGTAGACCCAACGAATGAACATGAGGCTGCTCACGGCTGATCTTAATGCCTAAGAGTGCACCATTCGCTTTAGGTAACACCTCGAGGCTTGAATACAAGGCGTTAACTGAACTACAAAGTTAACGTAATGACGAACGGCACTCGAACAGCCTAAGACGACGGACTTAGGAAAGGACGTATAATTGTATATAATGAGGCCATCCCATCATGAGGGCAATCTCTACTCCAGTACCAGTTTGACAAACTCTTCCACACCATGGCACGCGTTTTTTTCCAAATATGGCTTGCTGCCGCGAGTCTCGTTGCTGGCCAAAGCACGACATGCCCAAATGGGGTTGCCATATACAACCAACAAGATCGCACCATGAGTACGATCAGCAGTGAGTTTGGTCCTTGTGGAAAGCAAGTAAGACCGGATGCTAACATGTGCTGCAGGTTGGTTTCTCGTTCCTGTACCAAAGGATGCTGTGAAGAAAGCCCTGAAGGAGTCGTTTCCAAGTCTGGTTAACCTACAAGGACTGAACCTGTTACCTCTTCCGGCTGGGCTAAACTTCCCCGATGGCATGCACCCCGTTATTGTCAACGCCGGAGCAAACACCGACATCCGCCAGGGTGGTCTCCAGCTTGCCACAGGGCTGATGACTGCGAGCTCCATGATCCCATATATTGGTATCGGCAGCTCCAAGACGCCACTCAATGCGCCACTTGTGTCGTACCTTGCAGGTGTGGACGAGGTGACGCAGGGCTTCGTGTTCGGTCTCGTACCTTCTCTAGTTGGTAAGTAAATGGCGTCCGTATACTGATTACCGCTCATTGTTGCTAACGCGCAACCGTTCAGCAACAATAGGTGGACTTCTTACCAGAATCGGCGCTTTCCTCCCGCTTAACGCACCACTCCAGATATACAGTGACGGCACTGTCGGCATCAACTCGAAGTGGGCACAAGCACCCAACCCTATCAGCGGTCCAGGCTTGTACTCCGAGGCCATCGATTTCAAGTTTGTCAGCGAACCCAACCAAGCATCACCCAGATACCCTCTCAAGATGTGGAAGAGTATGCTCAACCAACCTCTCATGCTTGGTAGCATTGGCAGCCTCCTTGCACCCAAGTGCCAGCGCAATACCCAATTTTTCAACAATAGCACCGCACAACCTACTTTCCGGTCTGGCAATGTAACTCTTGGTCCTTCGGCGGGAGTTGATGTACTCTCTGCTACCCTACAAAAGGCCAGTCCGGACGGTTCTGGCTTCTACCAGAAAGTTTATGGCTTCACTGCGTGTGCGCAGACCGTAGGCTATGGCGCTGTTGTTCCGCTAGGAGAGGACTGTGAGGCGGCTGCCCGGGCTGTTAAGAACACTCCTGGAGCCTTGTAGAGTGCAGAAACAGATAATACTATGTCAAGCAATATATACAGTATGCTCACTTTTCCTCGGTTGGCGAAATCTTTGCTGCATTCCACTGAGATATCTATCGACTGAGACAGAAAGCAACTGCCACCAGTGCGAGGGTGGTTACGCCATTGCCGTCGCATCTCCGGACGATGCGCTTCCACGGTGCACACGCGTCTTTCTTCGATTCACCAGCCATCCTCCCTATTTTCGTACGAGCGGGATCTGCTCGCAATCTGTCAGCCGGGAATATATCCGATCTCAATGGGAATAAGTTTTGAATATGCTGAGCAATGAAAGTACTATACTCTGCTGGGTTAGCGCGGCTGATTAGCACGCAAAATCTACGTCACACTGACCGGAGATATCGAACAGTAATCGCGGGGTGGCAGATGTCAGCCTCTAGGGTTTCGAATGTTTCACGATTTCTTTCTTCTATTGTTGCTCGCGGATGTGAAATTAAAATCCGCCATGATTCCGGCTGTTTCAATCCTCACTGGAATCACACATACAATTGGAAGCGCAGTACTTAATTCCAGGCAATTTTATATACACTTTTGAGAAACAGCAAGGGAGGGGCTGTTAGTATCATGGAGGCTAAAGATGAACGATTAACGGATACGATTCCCACCCCAACATCGAATGCAGACCTAGATCTCGAAAGCGGGAGGCAATCAAGACCAAGACAGCGGAGCAAATCAACATCAGAGTCATCCTCGGATTATGAAGAGGAAGAGAAGGACCTTCATCATGATGGCCACCGTCCATCACGGAGAGAACTCCACGAGAGCATTTCGCGATCGCGTAGCAGACGACGTTTAGCACGAGACAGAACAGCGACAGCGACAGCAAGTGGTATGAATCAGCCGTTGAGCCGGACAATTTCCAGACGCGACACAGTACTTTCGCGAATACGGACACGACCGAATGTTGCCCCATTCTCCCATCCTCTTGCGCATCAACAGACGACTGCAGATGTGCTAGTCGATTTCGATGGCGATGACGATCCTTATCGACCCATGAATTGGCCCACAAAGAAGAAGGTTACGACGACGCTGATGTATGGCTTCACTACTATGAGCGCAACATGGGCATCTTCTGCGTACTCTGCTGGCACGCGACAAATAGCAGCCGAATTCAATGTTGGAAACCAAGTCGCTGTGTTGGGTACTACCCTCTTCCTCTTTGGCTTCGGTCTTGGCCCGCTTCTTTGGGCTCCACTATCCGAGGTTTACGGGAGACGTTTGGCAGTCTTGACGCCCATGTTCGTCGCGATCTGCTTTAGCTTCGGTAGTGCCACAGCAAAGGACTTCCAGACACTGATGATTACACGGTTCTTTGGAGCCTTCTTTGCTAGCGCACCAGTTACAAATACCGGTGGTGTCTTGGGAGACCTATACAGTCCTGCATGGAGAGCCCTAGCTATGGCCGGTTACGCTATGGCAGTCGTTGGAGGCCCGTGTCTAGGGCCTATCGTTTCGGCAGCCTTCGTTGCCAATCCCTCATTAGGCTGGCGCTGGACCGAGTACTTCACTGGGATACTTCAGGCAATCACCCTCTTTATTGACATTGTCTTCATCGACGAATGCTATCCACCGAAACTTCTCGTTTACAAAGCACGCCGCCTAAGGCACGACACAGGCAACTGGGCGCTCCATACCAAATTCGAGGAGTGGGATGTTAGCATCAAAGAGCTGTCTAAGAAGTTCCTCCTCCGACCAATACAACTTCTGATGACACCCATTTGTTTTCTCATCGCACTTTACGCCAGCTTCTGCTACGGTATCCTTTATATGATGCTGGGAGGCATTCCGATTATCTTTGGAGAAATGAGGGGATGGCCAGCTGTAAGCGCAACGCTGCCTTTTTTGGGTATCCTGGTCGGCGCTATCATCGGCTGCAGCATCAACGCCTACAATCAGCTCCTCTACAACAAAGTCTACCATGCAGCTGGGAATCGCGCCGTGCCTGAAGCACGTTTGCCGCCGATGATGCTCGGTTCAGTACTCTTCTCTGCTGGTCAATTCATCATGGGATGGACTGCCGACCCACAATACCCCTGGATTGCTCCCGTTATTGGGTTGGTGTTACTGGGTACTGGTTTCTTCACCATCTTCCAAGCTGCTCTAAACTACTTGGTCGACACCTTCACGTTGTATGCCGCTAGTGCAGTAGCAGCAAATACCTTCCTCCGAAGCGCTTTTGCGGGTGCTTTTCCGCTGGTGGTCACGCCGTTGTATCATAATATTGGAGTTGGTCCTGCGAGTAGCATCACAGGTGGATTTGCGGCACTGCTTATACCAGTGCCCTTTGTGTTCTATATATATGGCAAGAGGATCAGGAGGGCAAGCAAGTGGAGTCGTGCGAGTGTATTCGATTGAGTAGTGAAATAATCAATATTACGTATGCGGAGTGTTGATGCACAGGCAGGGCAACACAACGCGATCAAATAACTCAATACAATAATCTTAATGCGGGTATATTTACTAAACACCTCTTGTTCACTATATGCAGCTATAGTAGTCGATAAAACTCTCTCTCATTCGATAGCTCTTATACTTAAACGGACGACGAACGTATAGGCGAAGCTCTCTCCCACTAGAGACATCGTCGCGCTCTTATGCTAGCTAACTTTTGCACTAGTCGTAGTTGTTGTCGTTGCCTTAGAAATCCTACATTATTGGGGTGAGGTGAGGTTTGAATAAGCTTCGCAGAAGTCTGGTTCAAGGGCCCAATCGATCTGTCGCTACCGCAACAACAGGAGCCTCCCCATTGGCAGGAAATAATCAATATAGTCGTGTTATTATGAGTACCCTGGTACTCTCACATGATATTCTAGCCAAACAGGTCATGTGATTTCCACGGCTAACACTACGAGGGAGCTCGCTTGTTCTGAGTTGTACCATAAAGGAATTTGCTGTACTTCTTCCTGCAGTGCTCGCAGGATATTAAAGCTGTATACATTTAGGATACCTTCCGAAGGCACGAGGTAAAATTCAGAGAAGACAAGCTTCTTCGTACAGTCCAGGCCGCGCTCTCACCTGGACGCCTTCACTTGATGCTCCAATAGTACTACGTTGACCCATAAACGACGACCCACTCGCAATCCCCGCAAACCATACCATGCTCATACGAAAAGGTATTTACAAATGGTAAACACTGCAAAAATAAGGAATCCGATACTCTGGAGAGTACAATGGGGATTCAGATAGTTTCTGTGGCATGCCTGTAGCAGTCCGTTTATACCATTGGTTTAGGATTTGGGGCTGGCAAGCGATGAGAATGGCGTTTTGTACTTCCTACGTTCAGTTGATCCGTGACCCAGCTCAATCTGTCATCACGTTCTTGATCTCCTGGAACACATCCGCAACCCGATCAGGGAAAGACTCAACGTACGCACCCCACAACTCCTTACACCCGTCGCATAGCTGTACCCTACCAAAAGCAAACGAAGTATCGGCACCATAAGTCTCGCGATGTTGACCGTGTTCACAGGTCTTCTCGCAATCAGATGGTTGTAGCGCTTGACGTCCTGGACATTCCCATTCTCCACGTCAACGCGGTTCCAGAGTTTGATATTTTGGCGTGCTTGTTTGACAACAGTGGAGGTCTCGGGAAGACCAATCATCATTCCGTCTTCGACGAATCAGTAGCGGCGCATCACTAAAGACATTGTTACTTATTATACGCTTTGCGAACTGAACAAATTAACCTACTCATGTGTATGGGACCACCGAAGAAGCGTAAGAAGTTGATGATGACGAGATGCTCCAGTTTGCTAGCCCAAGCAACATCAAGAGCCCAGAGCAACTCACGACATTGGTGAAAAGCCTTGATACGGATGTTTGGAGGTACGTATGCGAACGTGGAGTTCTGAGCGCTCTAAGTTAGTATATGTCTACCACGTCCTCCGTTGGCGATGTCACTTACTGTCTCTCCCTCAGACCGATGTTTGAAGAAGGCTACGCTTTCATAGAGCGTTGCGCCAAGTTCGTCCAGGGTTTCGAATTGCTCTTCGGTGTACCAGACGTCGTCAAGGTCGTTGCAAGCCAGGGCATCGCCGATGGTGAAGCGGAGTAAAGCATCGTTGTCTCGCATGCGGAACCATTGTCGTGGCGACTTGGCGAGTGCGGCAACGTATCGTCGAAACAACAAACCATCACGTCGCTTGCTGGCTTTGTCTGCTGTAATGAGAAGGAAGCAGCGAAACTCGCGAGCCATATCCGCACTGCAAGGTGACTTTAGTGTTCATCCTTAGGGTTTGTTACGCTCGGCGTGGGAGGAATCTCGACTTACTGGCCTGGAGTACCTTGGAAGAGATCGGCAAGAATGGCAGTGAGATCCTGGCCCAGAAATTTGTCAGTAACTGTTACTTCCATCAGGTCGCCTTTGCATTCTGCGATGATACCGATGATGATGACGCGCATGAAAGCCACGTAACGACCCCAGTTAGTGTATTGGGGAATCACGCAGCGCGTGTATTCCCATGCACATGCGTATACTTCTTCCTTGAATCTCTGTGGAAGGTCGTAATCTTGAAGTTCGTTGGCGATCTCTTCAGGATAGTCTATGAGATGCAGGATCAGTACGTTTCCTGTAGTTCGCCATGAGGACGGAAAAGCTTAAACCATTTTTCTTGGATCAGCGGCACCGACTGCTCATTCGGCGCAGCGAGAGATGACTTGAAGAACGATAGGCTAGCCGTAAAACCCTGATGCGAGATAAGTACGCGTTATATCGGGTCCCGAGTACTGCTGAGTCAGTTCCGTAAAACGCACCGTCAGAATGTCGCGGTATGGCTTGCTCAGTTGTATGAGGTAGGCGTACAACATGTTGAGAAACGCAAAGATGAACATGCTGCTCGAAAATGGGGATGAAGATCCGTGAGCGAAGAGAGTCTGCACCGGGTGCGACTGGGGTTCAGAGAGGACTTGGTATCAGAAATCTGTGTTACCTTAGCGGCGCAAGCGAGCCCTGATGTCCCGCCACTCGCAGATAGTGCTTAGTGAATGTGATATGAGATAGTGAGTGCACCAGAAACGTTAAGCTCCGACTTAAACTGCCAACGAGATTATTGTGGACCTTAAGAGCGGTCAATACGCTCCCGTCTCACGCCAGTTGGAATCTCGTATACACATCCACAAGGAGCACGCCATCGTGCGAGGCTTACCAGGCTACGGTAAGGTTCCAGAAATGGGGATAATGCGGAGAAACGTGAGATTCAAGGAAATTATGGGTGAAAAGATATACTACATGGTGACCCAGCTCTCCGGCTCCTGCACTGTTATGTAGGTATCAACCGGGCGCCCAGCTTCATGACGCTCTAATACAACAAATGGTATTACTCTCGGATTCGCCTCCGCGTAGTTGTTTCGCTGCTCTACACAATTCCTGACTTGGGATAGTGATCCAGCAGCATAATATCGATGAACCACGTAGATCAGCCAATGAAATGCATGGCAAATTGGTCGCGCAGGGCGAACACAGAATGCTAAATATTCGGAATCAGCGAAGTGGCAGCACCACGCTTACGAAAGCCATCAATGGATGTGTGATTGAGTGTTATCCGATGCGGCCGATGTTGGATATCACCGCGGTGATGAAGGAAGAAACCATGCTGAAGGATTGATGTGAAGCACAAGCGACTGGAATGACGTAATAGCGCTGTACCGCGTGAGAACGCGACGCACTCTCAACGCCTGCTGTCCTTCAACATCGGCACCCACAAAAACCGAATCTCTCGATACATGTTCAAAGCAAACTGTTCCAGAAGTTCTCGATTATCGTTTGTGAGCCCACTCTGGGCGCGATGTGTTTCCCAACTGCCATCATTCGCGTCGAACCAGACCTGGTAAGGTTTCATGCGTAGTGGCTCGAGTTCGAATGGTGATAAGCATCAAAAGGCTAGAACATACGGTCGTGTGTACACTCTGTGATCGAAGAGTCGAGCATTGCTGTTGGATGATCTATCGTCGTTCTTGTCAATGCTCAGAGACACGCTATACTTGGAACGCCACACCCTCCCTCTTGACCATGGCTTTTCCGCCACTTGCAAACCCAGTACCCTCGCTTCTAATCTCCACAAGCCCAGGCTTTGGCGCCTTTTCCTTCTCTTTATCCTTCTTCTTCTTGCCTTCCTTAGTGTCTGGGACGGTCGTAAGATCCGCATCGCAAACATAACAGTGTACAGTCTCTGGGTCGGGTCCATTGTCATGTGCATCTCTCTGATGGCGATGCTCTGGCTTGAGAAATTTATCGACACACGGCTTGCATAGGACGTGGCCGCAAGGTATGGCGAGCATAGCTTTTGTGCTGTTCGAGAGCGCTTTCTGGCAACTTGGACATGTGCGGACCGACTTTCCGGTTTCGGCTGACTTCTCTTCGTGGAAGTTGACGCTCGTCAGGCTCTTTAACGACAGGCTGTGTGGTTGATCGGGGTGGCTCGACGGGCAGACAGGTGTTTGCTTTGCCTTCTCTGCGCTTTTGTGGTGTTGATCGGGTGTCTCGCCTGGTACCCAGAAGCTAGGTAAATGGCCTTTGGCAGCTTTACGTTCGGCGTCTAGTGTACGTTTCGCTTTGCTTTGCTCTTCATTCGCAATGCGTTTGAGCTCTTCTTCGTCGATCTCGAACTTGCGTTTCGTGCCTCTGGCCTCGCCGGTCTTAGCATCCTGCTCCTCTTCTACCATGATCTTGCCGCCTTGCCGGCCAACGACTCTTGCTGATGCGCCTGCTTTGACCGAAAGTCCCATCTGAACAGCCTCGAACTCCTCGACTGCCCGCAGCCGTGCCTCCTCTTCTTCTCGAAGCTTTTGGTCCTCGTCCTCGACCTTTTGGCGTTCGTTGAGTTTCTCGAGCCTCTTCATCTCCTTCCGTTGAGCCAAAAGGTTGGTCATGGCGCACTCGCGACAGAATAAATCGCCATGTGAACAGCATACTGGGTCTACTGAAGGAAGGAGACACAATTGGCAGGAGCCAAAAGGTAGAAAAGAGTCACGGGTGAGGCGTGTTGCCTGCGAACCCCATCTGTCTTTGAGCGCATTCCGCTCGTACGATGTGAAGATGGTCTTTGGAGGCGGCATGCTGAACCAAGTTCAATTCGATAGAGTCGCGAACCGTGGAATGCGAAGTTGAGACGCGACTTTTCGTGATGAAGTTTACTAAATACCAATCCGAGCAATAGTGCCAAGCCAAGTTATGTTGTTCTGTGTACAATACTTGGTGCACAGAAACTGTAAGCGCACGTCTAGTGTTGTAGAGTATTGAGCCCGTGTTGGTGATGGAAGACTGAGTGTCGACGGTGGAAGAGCCAGCCACTCGCCGCACGTGCAGGCCGCAATGCCGCTAATCCCTGTCGCCAAAATTCCGGTCCCTGGCGGTGACGTTGGTTGGCCGCGGCAGCCAACTATTGAGCGCGAAATCTTCACATGTCGCTCTCAACCCCACGACAACACCAATGCGACCAGAGGAGCAGCCGGAGGCTCCCAGCGGGCCATGGCGCGCCGCGTCTGCCTTCACCATGGGCGCCGTCGGTCTTTTATGCAAAGGATTCTTGACCGGGCTAAGCAAGGTGGAGACGCATGGCATGGAGGGCTTCTTGAAGCTGTTGGACGAGAGGGAGGATCCTGCGAGTAGAGAGAGGGGTCTCATTACTGGTATGTCATTGTAAAGCATGGAGAATGAAATAAGGACTAATGTATGTGTAGTCTCGAACCACATCTCCGTGTACGTACGTTTGCCATGGCCTCGCACTCGCAATCAATCGACTCCGCTCATACAATTTGGACAGAATGGATGATCCAATATTATGGGGAATTCTACCTCTCAGCTACATCTTCAACCCAGACAACTTGCGCTGGGGACTGGGCAGTTACGACTTATGCTTCACCAACAAGTAGGTTACTTCAGTGGGTAAAAGGCTCCACTGACACCATACCAGAGGACTATCAACGTTCTTTACCTTCGGACAGGTCCTTCCTACACATCGCTCGGCGCATTCTCAATTCGGCGGCCTTTTTCAGCCTACTATAACGCAAGCGATCCGTCTCCTTTCGCGCGGTCCATTCCACGAGCAAGATCCACCAGCGAAGCCTACGACGTCGCTCAAGAGCCCAGATCTCATCGATCCTTTCACCGACGGCCACCTCACGTTCACTACAAACGGACAAGACACGTTTCCTGCACCCTCTGCATACCTCAGTAGGCGGCATGCGTGGGTTCACATTTTCCCTGAAGGCATGATCCACCAGACTGAAGACAGGATCATGCGCTACTTCAAATGGGGGGTATCACGTCTGATATTGGAGAGCGACCCGATGCCGGACATTGTTCCCATCTTCATCGAAGGCTTCGACAACATCATGCACGAGACGCGCACGTTCCCACGCTTCATACCACGGCCGTTCAAGAACGTTCGGGTAACATTCGGCGAGAAGCTGGATGCTGAGGAGGTGTTTGGCGATTTGCGCGCACGCTGGAAACAGATGCGCGCGAATGAGGAGCGAAAGGGAGGGCAACTTGAGGTCGGTGTGCTGAATGACAACCTGAAATATTCGCCCGAGGCCGTCAGCATACGCAAAGAGTGCACGCGACGAATACGGCAGGCAGTATTGGACGTTAGGCGGCAGCGCGGATACCCTGAAGATGACCCGAAGAACAGCCTTGCAGAGACATGGCTGAGAGAGGGTCCAGGTAGAGAGGGCCGCAAAGAGGATGGCAGCATCACAAAAGACACATGAGGCGTTTGAGGGGTATAGTATATTTTCTATATGCGATGGCAATGTGGACGGCTGTAGAGAGAAGTCAGGAGTTGAAGCATCTCACCCGAAGAAGGATACCAGGCAGACGCCTCGTCAACTTAGAAGCGCGGCAGAGTGTCAGATTAGATCAAGTAATTACACCATCAGCGACTCCAGGTTCTGCGCGCCGATCAACCACAGCCTCAGGCGACCGAGGGGGTTTCGTCATTGCGAACAGAAGCAGGAACCGCGATGCTGTTTGTACATCGCGGACATGTCTCTGGCGTGCTCGTGTCGTCATCCACTGCTGGCTTCGCGCATTCACCGATGCCCTTCCAAAGCGAACCGTGGAAAGGAACGATGAACGTGACAAGGCTGAGGAGCGGAGGTCGAATACGGATGCGTGGTTTTGTCGGGAAGGCGCGTTGGGCACGGACCTCACACGCGCGGGCTACAAAGTAGATAAAACCTGCGTGGTCCCCGCTCGTCGACGGTGGCAGATGCTTTCACCGCCTGCACCACACCAAGACTAAAGCAGCTTCATAGCGTCACCCAAGTCTCGCTACAAGGCCCAATTAGCGCGTCATCTCCCTAAGATCCTTGTCCCACCAGCTCCAGCCAATGGACAACAATTGGGCTCCACAGTCGCCAGATTTATCTTCCTACTACTCCGCCGAGCAGCCTACTCATCCCCAGCATACAGGATACAGAGGTTCAATCTCCCACGTCGCACCCCTTTATCCTCCACCAAATCCTATTCCGGCACTACAGAGCCACCCTGCGCCACAGCCTTTTATGCCTCGTGGTGTCAAGAAGGAGGAGAGTATGCAAGATGCAGACTACATGCCTGACGCGTCGGTGCCCGCGATGATGGCAGACGCGGGCAACGGCCTGGGCGGGGCAGACACGCCCAACACCGACAACATCACCATCAAGAACCACTTTCCTGTCGCGCGCATAAAGCGCATCATGCAGGCCGACGACGATGTTGGAAAGGTCGCCCAAGTCACGCCCGTCGTTGTTTGTACGTACTTGCGATTCTGTACACGACAAGCTTCCCTAACACTTCGCAGCGAAAGCCCTCGAGCTCTTCATGATCTCCCTCGTCACCAAAGCCGCCGCCGAAGCCAAGGCGCGCAACTCTAAGCGCGTCGGCTCCATCCACCTCAAGCAAGCCATCACCAAGACCGACCGCTTCGACTTTCTTAACGAAATCGTCTCCAAGGTCGCCGATGCGCCGGAGAAGAGTGAGGGCGACATGGACGTGGATGGTAAGAAGAAGAAGACTTCGAGCCGGAAGAAGAAAAAGGCGGAGAGTGATGATGAATTTTGAGTCTGCGGGCATGACTTGTTGATGGACTTACAGCTCCTCTTTACGTGCGTTTGGAAGCTCATACTGAGCTCTTCCTATGCAGGTCTTGGGCGCCGACACTTCTGCTGGGCACCTCCGCGCGACCTGTAATTCTAGCCAGAAGATCCACCGCACTTGGCTTCCCATTTACGTCGCCAAAGTCTTACTTTCTGACACTCGAAGCGGGCGACGGTTCGAGAAACCAATACCTGTACCTTCTGGATGAGCGTTATGCCTTCTAATTCTGTGGTCACATATCCGGTTGGCCACAATACACGGCCAGGTACGACGTTTAGAGACGATGCTTCTGGCTGGCAAGGCGTTAAATACTCCTGGGCATTGCATGGGCGGCGTTGTTGTATTATTGCATGGATTACGATACCAATGAATATGGATACATGATTCTTTCCACTCGGTGCTTCTTCGCCCAGTCCTGTCGCTAACGGAACAATTGTGCCCGCGGCCCGAATACAGCGCGCAAACGTCAGGATTGCAGTTTACGCGGTTTGCAGCCGATGGATAAACAGCGTTGCGAGCAAAAGAACGCGCCCACCAACCAGGTTTTCTCGGTCCGCTCAATTTATCCGCCCATCTCCGCAGATCCCCACACTTTAACGGCACCCCAGATACTCTTTCAGGAACAGGCCGTAGATCGGTTCCTGCACCATCCCAGATGTATGCTCGTGTCCCTGCTTAGCCTCAATTCTTTCCCTACATCCGTAATTTGGGGACCGTGGCAGAGGTAGGGTATTAAACATGCGTAGACCCCCAATATGTTTGTCGGTCGTGGCATCGTCATTCTATCGAGCCGTCAATCCCGGAGTACCTGAGCCAGTATGATCTTCTCCAGGTTAGCAGTGCTCCTTGTGGGCGTTGCAGTGTCCGTCCAAGGCCATGCGATTGGAATCGAAAAGAGGATCTTGGACAAGCAGAGCATTCGTCCCAACCCTTCTAATGGCCACTGGGTGGACGCATGGGCATCGATGCCTCAGCTCACGGAGCCAGCGAACCTACCTCCTGCTCCATTCGTATGTCGGCATACTCTCGCATTGTCAAAGCACTACTAACAGAATATATCAGAATCAAACAGGTGCTGTCTTTGTAAACTCTACGATCCGACAAACTTTGTACATGACGACATCGGCCCACCAAATTCGTCTCAAGTTCTCCAACGTCTTTGGCGGTTCCAACCTCCCCATCACCGCTGTAACGGTCGCGCTTCCGTTGAACCAAACCGCCGGTATCCACCAAATCCAGTCCAACACCGTACAAAAGGTGACATTTGGAGGGAAGGACGGTATCAGTGTGCCAAACGGCGCACTCGCCGTGTCCGATCCCATCAACTTTGAGATCAAGGCGCAGCAGATCGTCACCGTGACCATGTATCTTGCGAACGGACAGACCACAAACAGCATCACTAGCCATCCCGGCTCCAGAACAACAAGCTGGTGGCAATTTGGCAATGCGGTCTCTTCCGCTAGTCTCGCTGTCAGCGACTCAAACGCACAATCCGCAGCACATTGGTACTTCCTGTCCTCCATCGAAGCTTGGGTCCAACCGCGTGTTGGCTCTCTACTTATCGTCGGCGACTCCATCACCGACGGCCGCGGATCCACAACCAACCAGAACAACAGATGGCCCGACCTGCTCCTCGCACGTCTCCAGAAGAACCCCTCCACCAAGTATATTTCCGCTGGTAACCTCGCTGCAGGAGGAAACCGCATCCTAGCAGATGGTCTCGGTCCCAACGCTTTCGGACGTGTCGACCGCGACGTACTGGCGCATCCAGGTGTCAAGTATGCGATGATCTTCGAAGGCGTCAACGACATCGGAACTGCGCCGGCGACACCCGAAGCGCAGGAGCAAATCTACCAAGAACTGATTCAGGCATATGAACAGATGGTCACCCTCATCCACGCCCACGGCATCCCCGTTTTCGGCGCCACCATTACGCCTTTCAGCGCACCGGCCAATTTCACTCAGCAACCTTACTCTGCTCCTGAGCGCGAGAAGACACGCCAGCGCATCAACACATTCATCCGCACCTCCAGGGTTTTTGATGCTGTAGTAGATTTCGACAAGTTCCTTGCCGACCCCAAGATACCGAGTCAACTCAACCCATTGTATGATTCGGGTGATTATCTTCATCCTAATCCTGCTGGATACCAATATATTGCCGACAAGTTTCCCATTCAGATCTTCGGTATGTGGGCGAATGGCGCGGATGAGTTTAGTTGGGGAATGTAATGGACCGGAGACGACCATGCGTGTTGCTCGTGTGTTTCCAAAATGTATATAAAGAAATAGATTGGTGCAAACATGATCTTGTGTAATGTTGCTGTTGATTTCATTTTGCAAACACATGCCCATTTGGTTTGTGACTCCTAGTTTATGGGAGTATGGTAGCGTGTTGGAAGTAGGAGAAGAACCAAAGACGGAGGCTATATACCATGCCACCATCTCATCTTACGCGCCGGCGACGAACTCCGCGGCTCTCTTACGCTGATAGCGCGCCGCGTTAATCAGCGCACGTGCTTAGCGCTGGGGGATGATGGGTATAAGGTCGCTCGTTTCTTCAAAGTCTTCTTTTCAACCTAACTCACTTCTCTTTGCGTTCTTCCAGAAACTGAACGGGGTGTCACCCATGTGCTGTCTCCAAAACAAAGAACCAACTGCTCATGTGCTGTCTGGTCTCTCCGAAAGTACCATGTATCCACATATGAGCATGACGTGTGGAGAACCGAAAAACAGCACATTATTCCAGAATCCGTGACACTGCGTCTTGACGTTTTATTGTATAACTTAATCCTCCGCTTCCGCTTACTACTTCTCATGTACACTATTCAGTTTCGATACCGAAAACCCGACCGAAGGCACGTATGTCGCTAACCATACATGGAAAGAGAAGTTGTAGCGTCCTCTTGTTACAATATATCTGTGGTCCAAACATGAGTGGCTATGACCCATGTGGAAATAGGATCCGCTGCATCACCTTGCCCAGGTACATTAGCGCTCGGCTCGGTCCATGAAAAATCCTGAACATCATCGATGCCTTCTACCTTACTTCATTCAATCCCACCGTTTAAAAGTCTATTTTGTGTGCGCAGATCCAAGGCAAACCCAAATTAAACACGTGCGAGCACCACCTTCTTTTCGAGCGCCATACTTCCGGAAATCGCTTACCCTCGTGTACATGCTTTCGAAAAGATCTGGAGATTAGAAATTTATCGATGTATTTAACATGGCAAGGGCAATAGTATATGCGCACTGCAGTATATAAGTCTTGTCTCCCAAGGAAACATAGCACCGTGAACGTCATGGGGTATCCGAAGAGAGTCTTTATCTGGAATACAAGAGCCTAGGGCGTGTCTCACAGTGAAACAAAGCCTCAGAAACGAGGCGTCATATGGGGTTGTCTCTGTAAACAGCATCAGATTCTCCGCATGTTGCGGCTAAGTTTTGTATATACATCAGCAGGATATCTATATGTTGGAGGTATCTTCCCTAAAGAATAACTGAAACCGCCACTGCAGGTCCAACGCCATTTTGAAAACACCCCATGCTCAAAAATCCATAAAAGTAGTAAAGACATGCCAGCTACCTCAAAACTCCATGTCGAGAACCCTAAAGTCGTTCATGCTCTGATCGGGCTGTTTGCTGTCGCCGTTAGACGATACCTTGCGAGAATCTCTCAACTCCATTCTTGATCTCCCTTACAATCTCCACTGCCTCGTTCGTGCTCTGAGCTTCAAAGTCGTATCTCTTCGTCTCCCTCTCTTTGAAGACAATGACTCGGAACATCTTTGGGTGCTTTTTGCTGACCTTACTACCGACCACACTGCTGAAGTGGACAGTGGTTGTCTTTCCTTGACCTTCAACACCGAAACCACCTCGCGCACCAGTCTTGGACTCGCCGGGCATAATGTGTATGTATTCGTTATCGAGGGCAATGATGCGAGAAGTGGAAGAGGCGAATGACATGGGCTGTTTGCGAAGGACGGCATAGCGGCGGTAGTAGTTTGTTGCTGTGAGAGCTAGAGCACCAGAGTCGCCGTTCCTGGCGAGTGGATGAATAAGGCCTTGACCAGAGACAGCGGCATTGGTTCGGTCGCCCTTCTTTGTTTTCTTTGGCGCGCCGCCGGTACTGATGATGAGTGGTGCATTGGGTGATGAAGAACCTGGCGAACCTGCAAGTCCGTAGACGCCGTCACCCACGAAGCGCCGACGCACAAGATCCAGATCCATTCGTGTGTCTAGAGCTTCTACAGTACGGTCGGGTGGCGCTACCGTAGTGCTTCCGCTCACTTTGAGGATGTACAAAGCTTTCTCCAATCGCAAGTCGTGACACACTTGATCGAATATATCAGCAATGTAAGTGTCGGTAGTGCAGGGAATGTTGAAGTGTTTCGTGTTGAAGTTCTCGTCGGTGAAATGGACGTTGACTGTCTTTGGTGCTCCGGTACGACTAGCAGCATGTGTTTGTGGGACTTTTGGTACGTCGGCAAGATTACTGGTATCTTTGCGCGTTGCTGTCGGCGCGAACGAAGGACCGGTAATAGGGTTCCTGAAGCTCTTCGCACGACTTGGGAGGGGCTTCAGGGGCTTCTTCTCTTCTTTCTCGTCGGGACCGTCGGTTTGTGACGCAACTGCACTGGCTGCTTCCTGACTGTAGACCGGTGTGAGCTTCTCATTCTCGCCAAACTCTCGTTGAGATGCCTCAACAAGTGCAAACTCGTCCCATGGCTTATCCCGCGCTCGGGGGCGCATACCACGGGCGTTATTCGAAGCAAAGTCTTTCAACGGCTTATTCCTAGTCAAAGGCGGGAATTCGTCATCGACTTCTCCGTCGTCGTACATGCGCATAACCCAGCGATTTACATTCATCTGTTCAGGAGACAACGGCGGTTCAAGTTTCTCCTCTTGATATCGATGCAATGCGTATCCAATTGCTTCCGCGACAGTAGGACCCTCCCCTTTGTCACTAAACTTCCGGATCAACAGCTCGACAGGCTTTGACGGTTTGGATGAGAACGGACAGTAGAGTTTGATGTACAGAGGGTTCTGCTGAGCCTCACTGGCAGCATTCCACATGGCAAAGCGCTGTAGCGGATTTGATGGCTTCTGCTCCTTGGCCCGAAGTGCTTGGGTCAACGCGCTCACTGGCAGCACAAAGCTGATCGGCCGTGGCGGAGGTAGTGCTTGTAGTGTTGGCGCAATCGACTCTTTCTTCTTCTTCGGTGACATATTTTGGAAGGGTGTCATGCCGGGCATTGTTGGAAGGTCACCACCTGCCGGAGAGGAGTCTAATGGGTCGCCACCTGCGCCGATAAGAGACGCGCTATCGTCGGAGCCAGAGAACTCAGATGTGAGGGAATCGTCTGATTCATCTCCTTCGTGTAGAGCCTCAAGGCGTGCACGTGCGCCAACAGCTCCTACAGCGTCTTCTTCAATGCGCTTGGAAAGTAACTGGCTCGCGCCAGCGGCTTTGCGAGGATTCACTCTCCTCTTTCGGAACGATGAGTTATCGAATTCATTCTCTGAAGACATCTCACTGCTCGTTATGGTGTCTCTTCTTGGCCGGCCTTTGCCCACATCTACAGCATCCAACGACCCTCTTCGCAATACGTCGTCCGGTGGCCGTGATGGAGACGTGATCATGAGTGAGGGTCCTTCTCCAGCTTCTGCAAGCTCATTGCGCAGGGCTGATCCGGGCATGGGCGACGATCCGGAGCGCGTCCGTAGTGGCATCTTAGTGAATTTGATCTGGTTGGCTGGTCTGGCATTCCGTCAGTTCATTTCGCACAGCGCTTGACGGTCGACTACCTTTGCGCATCTTCGTCTTCGTCACTCTCATCGCTGAGATCACTACTGTCGTCCTCTTCCAATTGTTCCTTCCTCCTTCTCCGCTTCGCATTCAGCGTGGGTCCCACCGTATCGTTGCTCCCCCCTCCCGTGACCATGCCACCCTCCTCATCATCTTCACCAAATCCCTCTGGTGGCTTCAGCCCAGCGGATCGCGGAGCCTGGAAGTATTCCGAGGTAATCGCCGTTGGTATTGGTGGGGAGTAGGTGCGCTTGATGTCGGCTGCATTGGGAACCCAGCCGGCAGCGCGGAATGCAGGATTGTTCAGGACGCTGGAGTCGACATTGATCAGTCTTTCGCCCACGCCGTCTTTGATCGAGGAGAGGTATGCGGTTCGAAGCTGGTATAGCACAAAGCTGCCCAAGTTAGCTGCGGAGTACGACGTGCAAGTAAGATGGGCTTACTCTTCGTTTTGAAGGAGCGACATAGTTGGGAGGTCAAGGTATCATAGTCTCGTAATAGAAGGGTATGCTCAGACCAGCTGAAAGGGTATCATGAAGCCATCAAGGGAAGCTGGAGTGAACCATGTGGGGAGATGAATGTGTACCTTGGACCCTGGCTTGGCATTGGCCCTTGTCGAGGCGCGCGTGCAGTGATCTCATCGTCGACATTCCGATTTCCTGCGCTGAACACCCGTTTTCGAATCCACGCGACAGAACTACCATGAACCTACTTGCCGGTTATTCCGACTCAGAATCCGATGGCGAAGCGCCGCCCGCACCGAAAGTAGTCGCAAAGCCGACCGCGAAGCTCGCATTTCAGAAAGTCGTCGATCGCTCGAATCCAGGACGTATCAAGGTCAACCTTCCCGGCGCGTCGCAGTCACGATCCGAGAATGTTCAGGATGATGCGCCACCGGCGAAGAAAGCGCGACTGGGCGGGGGTTCATCGTTTGGCGGCTTCAACGCAATGTTACCTGCACCGAAGAAGCCAAATGTGAACGCCATTTCAGCATCCGAAGGCTCAAAGACAGGGAATAGAGGGTTGGGGAAGGGTCTCGCTTCTGGTGTCAATCTGAAGACTGGTGCAGAGCCTGCATTCAAAAGGGAGTCAAAAGTAGAAGCAGAGGAGTACGATGAGACTGGCAATCCGATCAAGAAGGAGCCTATGAGGAGGGAAGATTTCAGGGCTATGCTAAACTTGCCAACACCTAAATCAGAGACCAAAGCAGAGGCCAAGCCAGAAATAACGGCACAAGAACCGAAAGCAGAGCCGGAGTCGCAGCAGGTACCCAAACCTGCGGCGCCGCGTTTTGTACCTATGTCTGTCGGCAAAGGCAAGAAAAAGAAGCCCGTGGCTCCTCGGCCAACAGCAACATTAAATGAGACGAGCACTACGACAAGCACAAATGCAAGCGCATCCGCGTCGCAACCGCAACAACCACCTCCCGACACTAAGCCGCGGAAGCCGAAGGTCTCCCTTTTTAGCGTCTCAAATGAAGCAGAACCAGCACTCAAGGAGACATCCGGCGGCCAGTATCAACCACTTCTTTACGGCACAGAAGAAGGACAGGATGTTGCTATGGCAGAGGGAGCCTATAATATGCCACCAGCAAATGAGGCAGCACAATATGCTTCTCCATCCACAGGTGGATCGAATCCTCATGACCTGACCAACATTGCTTCTGAATTGAACCTATCGGAAGCAGAACGCCGCCAACTATTCGGTAAGAAAGGACGCGGTGGGCCAGACTTTTCTGGTGCCACGATCAAGGATTTCAACACAGACATGGAGTATGCCCATAATGAGAAGTTACGGCAACAGGGTGAAGCGGTGCAGCACAATCCACTCAAGTCTATATCTGGCACTGGGAAGAACAGTCTCCGAAGCTTGGTAAACGTTGCGACTACCCAGAAGGATGCACTGGAGGATCATTTCGCTGCTGGTGCTCGGAATAAGAGAGAAGCAGGCAACCGGTATGGCTGGTAATAGCATGAGGCACAGTAATTTTCGCGGAGGAACAATGCACGAGACCACGGCCTGGATTAGGAGTTATTTTGGCTCAGGACGGCGACGGCGCTATCATAAAGACTTCAGGTACGGATTCTGCTTCTGCTACTGCCGATTGTGAACCTAGATGTCAATTGTGAGCCTAACGACTAGGTATCTACTCCTTGCTTCTCCTGATCCTCGTACGTTCAGTGCTTCTCACACTTATCTCTATGTTCATCTCTTCGATTTCGTTGCTATCATAATCCTACATTGTAGTTCTGGCATTGTAGTATCATTGGCCATCCCACATCGCCGCAGTATCACGTCAATCTCAATCAACTGCCCTGTGTTGAAGTGTTTGCAGTCTTTCGAGGTGAGGTAGATCCTAGGCAGTTCTCGAATTGACTGCATCTCTTTCCCGACCCACCATCGCCATTGGTTTGCCTGTTACGTACTAAGGACGCATATATCTTGTTGATCTTGCGGCCTTAACTCCTGTTTCCTCTTTAGCTATCGAACGTTTGCCGCAACTTCGCGATACCAACACTTTAGAATCTGATTTGACCTGACCCTGGGCATTTACTGATAATCAATTAGTCGATCGCAGATATACAGGCTATCTTTCAATACAACAGCCACATCGTCCTCAACTGTCACTGAGAACCCCAACGCCATCATCTCCTCAAACAATGAGGGAACCTTCAGCGCCGCTGTCTCTGCCACGATTTCTTTTCCCCGGCTTGAAGCCGTTGAGCGACTGGCGCTCTCCATTGTCGTTGACTTGAAGATGCGTAAGCTCAGCACGGGTTTGTCGGTGGTTCGGGTTCTCAACCCGCTCATTGAGCGCATCGAACCGCGCGTAACGCAGTTCTCCGAACATGACGCCGCTCTCAGCTGGAAGCTGATGGGCATCAAGGCCCATCAAGTGATGAAGGCCTTTGGATTCTCTCTAAGCAATGATACTGAGAGGTTCGTTCTTGCCAAGATGAGATGGAAGAGGGTGATGAAGGCGGTCAAGGAGGATGAGCAGAGGACTGAGAGGCTTGAGGAAAAACAGGGCGAAGTTGGGTTTGTGAGTCGAGGCTGATGGGATCCGGTGAGTTTCTGGGCGGTGTAGGTGAGAGGATCAGGGTGTGAAGAGGGATTTAGTGTATATAGAGAGTTTGAATACATTCTACAAGTGCGCTGACGACCTTCTGGCTCACGCATGTGTTTGGTGTGCGAATTGGCAAAATGTCACGAATGACTTCTGGCTATACTGTCAAAAACACGTATATCGATGTGTTGTGTATCATTACTACTTTCACTTCCCAGCCGCAGCTTTGGCAGCAGCTTCCTTCTCCCTCTTCCTCTGCAGATACCTCTCCTTGGCACTGCTGATATCCTTCTCTGTCTTCTGACTCTTCCGTGCATGTTCCAGTTTCGCCTGTTCCTCAGCTTCTTCATCTGCTTTCCGCTTATTCGCCGCTTCAATTTGTTCGGCCACCATCTGTGTCTGCCGTTCGCGTTGCGCATGTCGACCAGGCTTAGGTTTTGTCCATGCTGGCTGTGTTTGGTTTCCAGCGGCGGTAGAGGCAGAGGCGGAAGGAGGGGGCTTGGGTTTTGCGATGATGTTGAGGCCTGCTGAGAGAAGCTGACTTTTGTCTGCTATCTGGCCATCTTCGTTGAGAATAACATTCTTGCCTTGTTTGCGTAGCTCCTCCACAATCTCAGCGTCCGTCTTCTCCTTCTCGGCTTCTTCGACGGGGAGTTTAACACCGTCTTTCAGTGCCTGTGCCGCTGCTTCCATAGCCTCCTGATGCCGTCGCTCCTGCTCCGCGAGCATCTGTTTGTGAAAACCCTGCATACCGAACTTCTTCTTCTTCTCTTCCTCGGCTTCTTGCCGCCTCTTCTCTTCCTCTTCCGCTTGTCTGGTTTCTTCTTGTTGGACTTTGTATGCGCCTGTAACGAACTTCTCCTTGTCGGCGAATTCATCGCCTTCCGCTTCGCGCTCGCGCTGGAGAAGTTTGTCGCGTGCTCGTAATTGATCTTTCTTACGTTGCTCTGCAGATTCGAATAGCGCGTCCATGTACTTAGGTTTCCGTTCCGCAGCGTTTTCGCGCTCAGCGGCTTTTTTGGCGGCACTGACTGCGTGGAGCGCGTCATAGGCGGCATCGTAATCGTACAAAGTGGCATCGGCTTCTAATGCCTCTTGTGCGCGTCTCTCGGCTTCTGCGGCGCTGGCAGAGTATGCGATAGTTGTGGGATCATCTTCTTTCGGTTTGGGTTTCTTGGACGGAGGAGCTGGAGCTTGGCCTTTCTTTGGCTTTGCGGGCGCTGGGTTTGAGGAGTCTGCTGGGGCAGACGCAAGGGTATCTTCGAAGTTGAACTCGCCGATTTCCTGGACGCCATCTGCCGCTTTAGATTTGCCCTTTACATCTTCCTCCTCTTCGTCGAAGAGCGGCTTCTTCTTCTTTCCGAGAGCAGGCTTGGCAACAGCTTTCGCCAGTGGGTTTGCGCCCTTGTTTTTGACATTAAGACCGAATTTGAACGACATGATGGGTGTTGTGTCGGAGTTATGTTGAGTCGCGATCGCGAGTTGAGATGTTGCATGCCAAGGCGCGCGCGCAACCAGTGAAATCATCGACACCTCCGCGACTTCTCCGCAATCCACCTTCCTCCACTCTCAACCGTGGAATGACCGCGGGCATTCCACTCGCGCATCCTTTTACATATACCACTCATGCACGACTGGCTATTGAATCATCATAGTCCTCACCATGGAGGAGCAGGCTAGCGACCCAGCGGAGAGCCTTTATACCAAGGCTAAAGCTTCACGATTTCACTTCAAGTCCGGCTCCAAACGTCGCTCAAAGCGCTATGAGAGCGAAAGCAAGGATGAAGGTACCGACGATCACACTTCAAAGAGACACAGGTCCAGTCGTGACAGCGAAGAGCGACGCAGCCATCGCGACTCAAGACGCAAACATAAGCACAAGCATCGCACTTCTCACGAAGATCGTCACCCTACGTCTACACGAGACGGTGCATACTACGATCCAGACTACCGTCATCGCGAATCACTATACGACAACCTAGAGGAGTCAGGCGCAGGTTCTCCAGGTCCAGTCTCCGAGGAAGCTTTCCGCGAGTCGCTGTTCGATGCGCTTGCCGACGACGAGGGTGCTGCGTACTGGGAAGGCGTATACGGCCAGCCTGTACACATATATCCTGATACCAAGCCTGGCCCTGATGGCAAGCTGGAGCGTATGACAGAGGAGGAGTATGCAGACTATGTGCGTTCAAAGATGTGGGAGAAGAGTCATCAGCACATCGTGGAAGAGCGCGAGGCGAAGGAGCGGGCGCGTCGAAACCGGAAGGCACAACGCAGTCAGCTCGACGAAGAACTCGAGCGGGAGGAAGCGGAAAGAGATGGCATACGGCGCCGCATGGAAGAGAGCCTGCGTCGAGGCGAAGAGCGCAAGAAGACCAAAGAGGCAGAGGCTGCATGGGAGAATTACACAACCAAGTGGGACAGTTTAAAGAACGCCCAACTTCTGGATGAAGAGACAGAAGTGAATGTGCGTGAGCTCATGCCATGGCCTGTAGTGTCTGGTAAGGCAAAGCACGTGTCAAAAGAAGAGATAGAACGCTTCTTGCGCAGCTCAAAGGCGTGGAGAGAGGACTCTGTGGCGCTACTCAAGTCCGAGCGAGTGCGCTGGCATCCCGACAAGATGCAACAGCGATTCGGACAGCACATTCATGGCGACACTATGAAGTTAGTCACGGCGGTTTTCCAGGTCATTGATCGACTTTGGAATGACCGATGTTGATTTGGGAGGGCGGCGACTTAGCCAGTCAGACTCTCGCCTCGTTGTATATGCCATATTTTCTTTATTTTGAGATACCCAAGAGAGCGTAGTCGCATTTGTTTACCGGCATGACTGTCCGCGGCTATCGGACTTGGCAACGAGTTAACATCAATCGTACTACTCCATTGCCTCACATCTTGGCATCATGTCACCCCACCTTTACGTATTTAATTTCCGGCTACCAAGAATCTTGGCGCAATGTATCCATGACGAAGCAACCGGGTGGAAGCAGTTAAGCATGACGATCTTCACTATAAAGGCGCCCGCACTGCTAAGTCACCGGCTAAATGCTTGGTCTTGGATCAAAATGCTTTTGCTAACGCCATCAGCGAATATATCACGTATGGTCATCTGGTCGTGTCGCATGCCGAGATGGATAAAGTGCAAACAAGCTAATGATGCGAAAATAAAGTGGCTTGACTGCATGCTCCATGGATTGGCGCAGTGCTTGAGTGAGCTTGATTACGCTCCGAAAGCTTGTACAATATCAACATACACGCGACCAGAAACACGTTTGCAATGATGGAATAGATTTTGGAGTTGTGAAGAATTGATCCAAGTGCAGTGAGTCAAGGTGGTTCTGGACGATCTCAGGAGGGTGTTCTACGCTCCACTCTTGTCGCACCACAGCCCTTCGGGCCTATAGCATGACAGGTCAACACCAAACGCATCTCTATCGGAAATGACTTTGTTTCAAGTTTCAAAACCTCGCCTTCCAACACTTATCCAACCAGCACTTTTGGTCCCTGAATAACCGGTGGTTCGATCTTGTTTTTAGGGTACGGCTCCACACATGGCAACGGGTCGTAGCCATGCACCCCACAGTTACAGCGGCTGATATACGCCACTAGTCAGGCATGCTCTTCCGGCCGCTGTCCTCCAATTTGGAAAACCTCCTTCAAGCCGATGCGTAGCCGTTGTTCACAGGTGATCCCTGGTAGTGATCAGTATGGTGCAATGCTTCCACAGATATATAAGGGTCTCTACTGTCCGTGAGTGAAGGGCACCAAGCATCTCCAACTTGAATCGACAACATGGTTGCTTTCTCTTCTATCCTCCTCGCTCTCGGCAGTGCCACCGCGGTTCTCGCCTCGCCCCTCAACCTCATCCTGGAGGCTCAAGCTCAGGAAGAGTCTGCCAACCTGACTGCTCGCTCTACCCCCGCTGGCACTGGCACGAACAATGGCTTCTTCTACTCTTTCTGGACCGACGGTCAGGGTCAAGTGACTTACAACAACGGCGCTGCTGGAAAGTACGACGTCCAGTGGTCCAACGTCGGTAACTTTGTTGCCGGCAAGGGATGGTATGACGTTCCCATTACCCACACTCTCCACACTACTAACTCTCTTTCTCAGGAACCCCGGCGCCGAGCGCGTAGTCACGTACTCCGGTACCTGGAACGCTGCCAACGTCAACTCTTACATTTCACTGTACGGATGGACGCGCAACCCGCTGATTGAGTACTACATCGTCGAGTCCTACGGCTCCTACAACCCCTCTTCTGCTGCTCAGAAGAAGGGTTCCGTCACTTCTGACGGCGGCACATACGACATTCTCCAAACTACTCGCACCAACCAGCCCTCCATCGATGGTACTGCTACCTTCCAGCAGTTCTGGTCTGTCAGGACTAGCAAGCGTGTTGGCGGTACTATTACTGTCAAGAACCACTTCGATGCTTGGGCCAAGTACGGACAGAAGCTTGGTACGCACAACTACCAGATCCTTGCTACTGAAGGCTACCAGAGCTCAGGATCTGCTAGCATCACTGTTCAGGGTCCTTGAACAATGATTCCTGCAAATTAGAGCGTCCGAAAAGCCCTGTGGCTTGAATTCTTGTACATACATACAAAAATCATCATAAGAAATGCCATCGTAACACGCATCACATGTTGAGTAGAACTATGAGTCCGTGATGCAAGTGTCGAAAGAAACGCATGTGTATTGACCCGGCAAGTCGGGCAATGTAAGCCCGAGAACGCAGTTCTGAGACACGCTTGGGCGAACGGAGTTTTGGCCACCTTCTCAAAGCGCACCAATGTCAGCTTTGCGACGCGTGACTGTGTTTCTTGTCGAAGGGAGGAATTCCCGTGATGAGCCCACTGACACCATCACCGACTATATTACATTCGCTGGTACACAGTAAGACATACCCCAGGCCATAGGTCTTCACTTCTTTACTACGAGCAAGTTGACGCTCGCGGTCAGGCGATGACATCGGTCACCAAACGCGCGAGTGATCATGGTGATCTTTCACATAGCGTCCAAGTGTTTGCGTATGTGAATATGTCATTGCCAATGGCAGGCGCATACAAAACTTGTAGCTTGCAAGGACGCAGACAGACACTCGAATACCCTCAGCCTTGTTGTCTGACACAGATAAGCTGAGAGCCTCATCAAGCGATGTCGCCTTTTCGTCTCTTCTCACAAACGTACTTACATTTAGCTCGCTGTCATAGTATCATCTCCCCTCTTCGCTTGCGTTTACAGCCATGATTTGCGGAAGCAAACTCATTTGCGACGCGCGAGACACCACCGTACTCGCGAATCCTGATGTTGCAGGTTATGGGGTATGCACATCTGCACATCTTAACACGGGTTAGCATTGCCATCTCTGTTTTGTAGCTAACATCAGCTTCGCCAGGTTCTTGTATCATTTATACTCTCCGCTCTGCTGACCGTCGGAGCTGTAATATATGCATATCTTTCGGACTCAATGCTCAAAAGGTACCTTAGTGACACAGACGAGGCTTTCATTGGGGAATTTCAACGACTTGGGAAGAATTTGCCGTTTCGCTATCTGCTTCTAAAGCTCAGTCGCGAACAGCGTGAGTAAGCAGTCGAACGCTTCATATTGTCGCTTAGCGATCAACAGCTTGCGACTGGCTTAGCGATTCTCATAGCTGCCATTGGAAACCAATGTACGCTATCGTCGCCTGAATTTTGAATTGCTTTCTCGTTGGCATGGTTCTCGACTACTACACATCTGGCGACACTGGATAGCTTACGGCAGTACTTAACGAAACACAAGACTCTACGAAACGTGAGGGTTTTCGGCATGCTCACCTTTATGGTCTTATTTCTCTACTGCTTCATCGTTGTGTTGGTCACGGAAAATAGTCCCGACAACATCGCGCCAGTTCCATGCAACGTCCAAGGCTCGGTCAAGACATACAGTGACGAAGAGGTTACCCTCTCGAATTATTCCTGGCCATAGGCAATGGCAGCCCTCATCATCATGTTTGCATACAAGTCAAAGCTCCTCCGTCCAACCTGGAAGGTATGCAGGAGACTGTACTTTAACTCTTCCATTCCGTATGTGCTTATCCTGTAAGTCATTAGTCGCCGCTTTAGCGCTTTCGATGACCACCATTATCTTAAGTGAGGCTTTTCCCAAGGTGCCTTCATTTCGCAACATATTTTCTGTCAAGACATGTAAGTTGTAAGCCAGCAAGTTCAGGCAGTGATCTAACAATGACACAGTGAAATTCGGTTCCAATATGGCAAACCTTAATACACGCTTCGACGCACTTCGTCCCAAAATCGAACAATCGATGAGCATTGGAGGCTCCCCTGGGGTCAGTCTGGGTGTCGTGCAAAAGGGCAAACGCGTTTACTATGCGGCTTACGGTCTTAGCGATCTCGAGCGAGGCTTACCCATCACCGACAAAACTGTACTGCCTCTCTGCTCCACGACTACAGCAGTGACATCAGCGGCTTTGGGCATTTTGGTCGAGCAAAAGAAGGTAGCATGGGATACACTCGTGAAGGACTCTCTTCCAGAGTTTAACATCAGCTATGAAATCCTGTAAAGTAACCTTACCATCACCGACCTTCTCTGTCATCGTGCTAGAATATCTTGGTCGGATAACTTGCTCATTGGGACGGAGAATAATGTACCCATCAGCAGCGAGAACGCCATGAAGTACATAAATAGCCAAACGAGGCTTCTGCCCTTCCGTGGACAATTCTCCTACAAGAATCTCGCTTATGAGCAGGCAGACAAAATAATCGAGTCCCTAAGTGGTCAGTCTTTTTCTGACTTTGTCCAAGAGAGGATATTCAATCCTCTCGGTATGAATCGCACGTTCCTTAAGACCCCTCCGTCAGAACTGGACGACATCGGCACTACCTACAACGCGCTGGACGACGGGGCTTCAGCGCCTATCACGGCTGTCAAGGTCGGAGATGATTGGCTCGGTCGGCCTCACGCTGGTATGCGAAGCTGCATCAGTGACCTTGAGAAGCTCTACAGCGCACTTGTATTTTACTTCAACGATCAGTTTGAGAAGGGAACTACATCAACTGGACACTTGCCACTCAAACAAGTCACACAATTGATGTCAGCTGAGATTCCAATGGACCAGCCATCCAGAAATGAGGCATCGTACAGTTTCGATTGGGGACGTGTTCAATTTCCCAGAAGGATGGGTCAAATAGGTATCAACCCAGACCTCTTAACTGATGGTATGCCTGTGGTCGGCAAAGGTGTTCCTTCTCAATTGGTCATTTTTCACCAGAGAAGTCTATCTGGAGCCTTGTCGATTGTAATGCTACTACCAGAAAGCGAGACTACTATCGTTATATCGACAAACGCTCTTGCTCTCAACGATGTTGCTAATTGGATGGGGCAAATAGTTCTTGAAGAATTCCTTCAGGTCCCAGACACAGAAAGAAACGACTACGTTGAATTAGCGAAGATATCGAGAGCAGAAAATCTGAAGTGGTATCCCGCGCTCATACAACAGCTTGGACAGGAGTGGAAGGATGACACGTTGGTAAAGCCTCTCGATGAGTACGTCGGCACTTACTGGAACGACCTGCACATCTTCAAGGTCGACGTGAAACTGGAGAATGGCCAGCTGTACTGGCTTCTACAGGGCCTCGAGTCAGAGGAATTCTCTCTCAACCATTACGAAGATGACTCATTTACATGGCTGCAGCCACATAATGAGGTTTCCAGACGTGGACGATGGGTAGAGTGTGACCAGGGACCAGATTTCTGGAAAGCGGTGTTCAAAGGAGGCGAAGACGGCAAGATAAACAAACTATTCTAGTCGCATGACGATGGAGTACCTCCCGTAGAGTATATGAAAGTATGAATGTATGGTAAAGGCATTGTAAGACATCATCTGTAGGTTGTCTGCATCGCACTGAAGACCATGGCGCGCTGGTATCAGTGTTAAGACTTAAACTAGCTACATTCGCCTGAATACACAGCTGGCTTTTCAATCACCTGCGCCAATGTGTTTTTCAACCAGTCATTCCTCTTTCTGGGAGTTGCTACTTTGTCTACTGATAATGGGAAGTCAAGATCACGTACTTTCATTATTCTGGTGGTGTTGGCGAGCCTTGCCAGCAGCTGACAAACTGGTAGAACTTGACGGCACTAGGGAGTGAAAGAGTTTGTGTCGGCTCAGGTGCCCACTTAGAGATCTCTTTTTGATAAATGGTATTACACAAGCTCGGCAGATGTAGGAACTATGTCATATGATGTTAGTCTGCGACAACCAGACGCTAACGTTTTAATAGCGTCTAATGCGACATGAATACCTTGGCTTTCTGGTGAAGTGGGCAAAGATATTTGATACGCAGAAACCTTGAAGGTGCATAGTCTCTCTATTGCTGCCGCTTGATGCTGCACTTCTCGAGGAAAGGCCGCAGTAGTCGCTATCGTGCTAATACGATCGCATTGCTACAAGATCGCGCTCTGGCAAATCATGCAAGGAACGAAAGCAATAGACAGAATGGCATGTTAGCAGCCAGATGATAGGCAGCCTTAAAAGGGAAGAAGAGACAGGCGAAGAAGCCAGGCAAGCAAAAATTGAATGCAAAAACATACAACAGCGGGGATTCGCTAGTGGTCACCCACCTAACTACTAATCCGCCGGTACACTGCTTGTATATGGCTGAGCGGACGGGAAGCCTAATTTTCAGTGTCCTATGGTCGTATGTACAACAAATCGTGATTTCATCGTTTCTATAGATATTGTTACAAGTACTCGCTTCAATGGAGAACCGCACGATCAACAATTTCTGTCAACATGAATTATACCTGCAGACTCTGAAGTAGAGATAGACATTGTTGAGCGCTGAGCGCTTGGAGCTCTTCTCGTTCCTCTGTCGTCACTACTAGGAAGAAGTGGTTATATCCGCATGTCTTCGCATATCATGTTGTGCACACTCCTCGTTGTAGGTTTCGTCAGAGATGCCACTGGGAGCATTTACATCGGAGTAGAAGACAGTCCTAGCCTCAGACACGGTGTTATTTGTCTGTTGGACCAGTCGCTGAGCATTTTAGCCTCCAAGCGGCGAGAGAGCCCATGATATAAAGAGAGCGAACGTACGGAAGCTATACGAGTGTAGTGCAATGGCGTGTCCGACAGCAGCAAAGAGACTCCGGCTGCCGGTTATCTGCTCGAGGATCTCTCGGATCGTCAGGCTCATTCTTGCGTTTAAAGAGATTGTGTGAGACGTACTCCTAGTGTAGTCCCCCTCTCAGCCCTCCATAACCCAATCTCCCTGAAAGCCTGTCCACCCAAGCCCGCGAACGCAAGAGGCAAGAGGGATGGACTAAGTAGTATCATCTCTATAACATCCTCTCCACGATATGAAATGGACTCCCTGTTTAGATCGCCGGCCAGACCTGCCAGGGCTACGTTCGTTATCAGTAGGTGCCCAAATGGTTAAGTGAAACGCACAATTTACCGATGAACAAGAAACGCATGATCAAAAGTATCAAGTCGGCAAGTATTTATCACAGAGAAACAGAAATCCGCCGAGCTACTGTCGGCCGGCCTGCGACTAGAGATCGCTGGCTCGAAGCATCCATATCGGATCGGCCAGACTCAACCTTGACGGCTGCATAGTTCATATCGTTCTTTTTCTCGGATCCTGGGAGATACAACTTTAGGCTCAATTGAAGACTAGAGAAATGAATGAAATAGCAAACGTGGTCGACACGTGAGATCTCAGGCGGCAAGATTTTTGTATTGTAAACAGGGTGTGGGGGCAGAGAGTTAGCGGGAGAACACTGTGTACCACAAGGTTCAGGTCGGAGTACTCCAAAGCTAAGCCACACCGCCAAAATTAGAAACAAACCTATTTCTCGCCTACGAGTGGAAGAGCAAGCGCTCTGTATGCGCAGTATGGGAAAGTAGTTGTCGAGTAAGCAGGGTGGAACGAGCGACAGGACATGGTTCCTGCCCCTCTGTCAAATGGTCGACTCTGGCACATCGTGGCAAGCAGATGTCTGGCGGCTTTGACGAATCGCTGCTCAACGGCAGAGGCTGGGCCTAAGCAAGCCGATAGCTATGTAGCCCGCAATCACCACTAGTAGTGACTGCTTTAAATGGAATCAGCAGGTGAAATGTAACCCATGGTATAGTTACGCAAAGCCAGGCGCAGTAGTTGTTGCGACAAACGAGTTAGGGTTTCGAGCAGCCGACCGAGTACAACTCGCCAGAACCAAGTTCGTAAAACTTCATTTCATACCTATCGAGTATACATTAGTCGTACAGTATATACACAAGTCGTAATCGAGCCGCGCTCAAGCAGCCTTTGTCCGTAGTTGCACGCCATGCCAACTCTTGATTTCATCCTTTAGCACCTCGTTGACCAGCTTGTGTTGCTTGATGACCGTCAAGCCTTTGAACTTGGGGGATTCGACCTGGATCGCGTACATGGACCCACAACCGCCGCTGATGTCTTGAACCTGTGCCAGACATATTAGCATGCGTTTGAAGACTAATAGAAACACCTCTATTGCTTGCGAGTGTATTGCTTTTGTCCTGAGATCTGACGTGCATCTCAAGTTGTAATGTACCCCGCAACGCTGATATGACGTGCATGCTTGCGGTGCAGTAGTCGGTCGCACGACCGGTGTGGGCAACGCATGGCGCTCCTACCTCCGCACATGTGTAATTTCTAAAGACGAGAAAGCGGGGAAGCATCACATACCTCGAGTTTCACGGGCTCCAATTCCGCTTTTATCTTGTTGAAGACGTGTAACTCTGCCTCGTTGAGGTAATCCGGTGCTTCAGGCGCTGCACTGGCTGACTGCGAATATGATCGTGTGCACAATGTGGGGAACTGTGGCTGTTGCGATAGGCTCGATCGCAACGCCGACGATTGTTGTGTCCTACATAGCGCAGACGTAGATGTTGTGAATAGACGCGACGTCGGTCGTAAGTATGGTGTTGCGGCTGCGGAAACCATGCGGCGAAGAAGGATAGCTCTTGATGGTGCCATTGTTGCGGTATGAGCGTCTGTGATACCACCGTTAGTTACTGCCTGTCTTGTTTTGCATCAGTTTTGTTATATGAAAATAACACGCTTACGAGATCTTGTGTGATGACTGACGCGACGACCTAACGGCGTTTGCAAGTTCGTGAAGTTCACATCGCGAACTCCGTCATAGGTCCGAGCGTCTGCCGCCAAATCACATGCCTCGATTACTAACGTAGCACTTGGATGCTGTGCCCACGATAAAGTCACATCCTCACAAAAGCCTCAGTCTGTTCGACTTCGGAAAATGCCCACTCCTACTCGCGGCATTAATGCCCGACTTTTCTTGATCTCAACAGAAAGTGGCAATATACGATATTCCAAGCTAACCCACGCGAAAACATCGTCGCACAAGTTATGCTGGGATAGGTTGGCATGAGGGGACACCGACCCACCAAAACCTTGAAGTACCTCAATGTACCTCTTGTATCGCCAATCTTCGGTTCACACCGATAACAATTCTATTAGCAAAGCGCAATACTGAAGGCTTACAAATTCGCACGCCACTCCACCAAGCGCTCTCACAACATTGAACGGTGGATGCGTCTCCACAGTTGGTCTCCGCTTCATGCTGATGGCGGAGTGCATAGCATGGCACCTCAGCACACCAGGCCACACTTCTCAAGCTTACAGAGGTTTTAGGAAAACAACAACCAAGCGACGGACCTGGACCCCTCTTTTCCAAGACACAAGCGGCTGAGACCGTTCGGACCCTGATCAGCAAAATGCAGCTTGCGACGCAGACTTTCACATGTTGAGGACAGGGTTGAGATCGCAAACAAGCACCAGCCCTCCATCAGGACGTCCTGAACGGGCCGTCGCAGACCAGGAGGCTGCTTCCAGCCAAGCTCTGCATGAGGTGTACGCCACATACATGGGCTGTGCCGTCCGGCTTGTCGAAGGATCGTTCAACCGATTGAGGGGACAAGCTCGTCTTTCGTCATATCGAACTGGCAGACGCCTCTGAAGCGCAAGAAGAGCTCATACTGCAGCGAAATGACGCGTTATGGACTCTTTGGGCTTCCTACGACGAAATCGATATTGACGATCTCTGTGAGTGGACTACTAGTCATTGCGTGTCGAACCTATGGTCTTAACGTCTGGCAATGGTCGTGCCGTCAGGAATCTGTGTTGGGCGTTAGCGACCATGAGCCCTCCAATTTAGGCAGTTTAGCCTTTGTGGGGAATATATCAGGTCCAGATTAAGACGTGTAAAAACAGCCAATCAGCCACATCGTCTCCAGCACTCACAATCACGGTAGAGTAGCTACAGCGTGGAATTTGCTTTGGCAAATATCGACACTACTTACGCTGCTATGTATAGCTTCACAGCGTACGCGACTACGATTCTTGTCGCAAATTGATGGGAGAAGCCTCTGTCTAGGCAATGATATAGTAGTGCTAGGTAGTTCCCGGGAATCACAATCTGAAGAGCATCGTAAACCAATATGGATCTGATGAGTGGTACCGAAGAACAGCGGCACTTAGGTATAGTGAAGAGGTTGAACGGTACAAACAACCTAACTTCACAGCCTCGGCGCACGTCTATGAATTCTACAATTGACAACATCCAACAATAGCAGAATGCGTACCTTTCTCCTGGTCAGCGGCCTGGCAGCGTTGGTGACTGCAGTTCCATACCCTCAGGCAACAGAGTCTTCAATCGCTCCCGGCGCAACTCTTATCTCGCTCTCAGCGATCTTACCAAGTCCAACTGCTATTACCCCAGGTCCGACATCGCTAGACATTACGATCACAGCGGTACCGACAAGTGATCCTGACACAGATGACGACGAAGACCCAGAGTCCAGTTCGTCGAAGAAGAATCCTCATTGGGAACCAATTCCAATTTTCACAAAGCAGTGTCAGTGTCAATTGGCGACAGCTAGGTATCCGTGCTGGGCTACCGATGCACTACAGGTAAGTCAATGTGCCCAAGAGATGGAGCATTGGGTGTATCAAACGCTACGTAATGTGATTCTAAAACAACAATCAGAGCTGTCACTTCGAAGAAAACTTCTCGTACGGCTGTTACATGCAAGCTGTGGGTGGATGTCCAACGCCAACACGCATCGTGAGTAGCTCTTTCTCCCTGGATACTAAGCCCTTGTACTGACATCTCACAGTGCAGCAACCTCTTTAAACCTACACCTCGTCCTGGACCTCATCCATGTGAACTCGGCCCTAATCCTCCCGTCGTAACAAGCTTTCCCACTCTCACTGGATTGCCAACTGCAAACTTCACTTTGCCAGTCTTACCTACCGCAAATTTGACATTGCCAACGATATCTTTGTAGGCGGGGGCGGATAGAAGTGTCTAGGAAGTTCCAGAGGCTTACATGCCAAAGTAAAGATGGTTTACAATGTAGTAGAGTTAGATAGAGCCACTCGCGCAACATATCGTCGTATGCCATCCAAATGCGAGCAATATATTCTGCTTACCGCCCAAGCCGTCAAAATCCGAATGCGCAAATAACTCTTTTCCAGTGTGTCACTATAACCTGTCTCTAGTGCATCGTGTTCAACACTTTCGTCAAGATCTTCACCATCGTGAAACATCCCACTCCATACCCACCCATTCCATCGCGTCCATCGCGCTCTGCAACCCTCCTCTCCGCTCCGCGAATCCGACCGCAAACATCGGAAGCCTTCCTCACGCAGCCCTAGCTTCCGCCGAATGACTCCCATCTTTGTCTCCACAACTCCCACCTAACTTATGTCCTAGATCCATAAGAAACCTGGCAAACCATCAGCCTTTGCTAAAACCGCGGGTTAAGTATGATTCTCCGCGGAGCTGAGCGAAGCGCTTCAAAGCGTAGTGCCTCTCGCATACCCACGTCCTCATTGGCTCCCAAGCGAAAAGTCAGAGCAGCAAATTATGGGTACAAAATGAGGCTTGGCTTCATGTGAATATGAGATGGTGGGATAGGGTAAGTAAGGGGTGGATGGGATGGTGGTATGTGGTGAGATGGGAGACCCACTCTCAACAGTTCGAGTTTGCATAATGAAGACCTAGTCCACGCCCAATGCGGGGCTCGCTCACCCACGCAAAGAACATGATGTCTCACGTCGGTATTCTCGCTACCGTCTGTGGAGACTGGAGTGCAGAGGGTAACTGTCAACTGAGTGCCCTGTGCTGGAAGTATGTCGCTATGTGGAGAATGGAGTAGTAAAACTGGTAGTGTGTATAGTGGATCGAATTGTGAGCTTTGATGTCATACTCGGAGACGTCCGACGAACTCCACAGGTTGTACATCATATTTGCGATTATGCAGGCGTTCCGGTGGGTGAGATAGGTTGCATATGTCAGGATTCAAGCGTTGATCGTTCAAGCGTTGATCGGACCCTGAAGGTTTGGGACTGGAATTTGGACCCTCCTTTTGTTCGGATAGAGTTGAGCCGCAGGGTCCAGTGATGCTACGATACACGAGGTACCGTGGTACGGACATGCGATGGCGTTTTTCGGACTCTCGAGGAGATGGTGTATTCGGACCGCGGAGGAGAGAAGACAAAGATAGTATGGTGCGCGGTCGAGGTTTTTGCCTACCGTCTATTGAATGAAGATCCGATATCTCTGACTGCTGACATACTCAGAGCTTGTGATGATCAACGCTCGAGGCCATCGTGAAGCTATCGCCGTGTACCGTGGATCCCTTCACCGCTCGCTCCCCGCAATCAACAGACCCCCGCGTCTCTTGCCCCAGGCGCACAAGTTCTCGACTATCAACCAGATCTGCAAGTGATGCTCACCTCCGACCTATCCTCCACGGAAAATCAATCTCACCACCCCCCTCTCTCCACAAGAGCTCCCATAGTAGCATCCCAACGGCCCGCAGAATAAGCTCACCCGTCATCTAGCCTCGTCTAGCACGCAATCTCCCAACACATCATATCACACCTGCCTCGAGCCCCAATGAAAGCGCCACCAGAATCCGGAGTACACTCCATAAAACACCTAGACCCTGGCTTCTAAGGCGAGAAAGGGAAGGGAGGCTCCGTGGACCCTGCCTAGATGACCTACAGCCGCCCATGCTACCGACTACTACAGCTGGCTCGACGCTCATCTGACCGGGCAGTGGCTGACGCAGTGCGCATGGCTCAGTGACTGTGAACGCGAAAGCGGTGGTGGGGAGATAAGCGCAATGGTTTGTTTGTTGGGAATTTGCCGCCCCGGAAGATGTTGTAGCCAAGGCAAGGATGCGTTGATGGTAGGGTAAGCCACATACACACCGTTGCGGCTCAACAACGGTGAGATTCTCATTCGACTGATATCGTACACATCTAGGGTACTCGTTTAGCGTTTACATGGCTTGATGTGTCATCTTGCTTCGTTCTTCCGACGTCGGGTTTTGATTAGTAACGTCGCGAAACGTGCAACTTGTCGTGGTGATGCTTCGTCACAGCATATTATGAATGTGGATTGATGATGGGAAGAAGATTTGTACGAGTTGCTAAGAATATCGCACCTTTTTGCGCTAGCCCATCTTCGTTCTAGCTTCGCTTTCTGTTGATGCAAAAACTGTGCCCCTCGTGCTCGCTTCGACGTCGACAGGGATGTAGCCGGCCATAGCGAACTTTGTTGATCGCTATCGCGGGGCATTAACTTTCTTCTCTGCTACTTCACGGAGCTACAATGGCGAAAATCACAACACCATATCATCCTATTTAGCCTTGGACTGCTCGCAACACATGTGAAAATTTTCAACGTTATTGATATCAAATATGGCATGTCGTGCGCCACGCTCGGGTTCTGTCAGTAAGCGCCGAAGCGCCCCTTGTTCGTTGAGCGAATCCTTCCCGCTGCACTCGCCACAGTTCGCAGAATGCTGGTATCCAGCGGTTTGGAACGGACTTTTGTGTAGGCGCGCAACAGCGTATCTGTGCAGGCAATGAGAATGCGAAGGGGATTGGTAGCATTCGTATAATGTTCAGGATAGCAATTTGCTACCTGGAACAAATGGTGGTACGGTTGCTGACTGATAGTTGCAAGTAATTAGGTTGATTGCCCAGGTGTGCAGCTCAATGTGTAAATCCGCGTAGAGGTAGGACAATGCTGTTAGAAGCACGCGATGAATTTACATACTGCATTCAAGACGACTTATCCACTATCGTGAGATCTACTCCACTGTCCGCATGGCTGCGTACTCCACACACAAGCCGAGTACAGAACGCTTGACCCCGCATTTGCTCACCGTTCGGTCTATCGCCGACATCCTCACACCCTCCCCCCTACATGCTATGAACATCTACGCCACACGGCAGCTCATCTTCTGCAATCATTACATCGTTTGCGCGATCGTGGTCGAATGAGGCAACCCGTCATAAAGTATATACATGCAACAGATGTATGGAGGGCAGCCGACTGGAGCGGGGTGCTTTTGTTGAGAGGGAGGGGATTGCATGCATTGATCCTGCAGGCGTTACGTCTAGGCACGTTGTATGCACGCAACACCCGACAGGCGAAATTGCACTGCACGTCCAAGTTTGGGCTCATGGGCGTCATTTACAACCGTGTACACGCGTACGATAGGTAAAATGACAAGATAGTGGAAATGAAGTCCCGTATAGGAAAATCTCAGGTGAGGTATGTACTGGCGCGTATTGTCGGAGGTGCGACTACCTAGACGGAAGCTGCATAGATAGGGCGATGTGAGGAATATCAAACGTGGAGGGCTAGAACAATCCGATATGCTTCAGGTAATGCGATGATGCCGAGATAGCCGTTATCATAGGACGAGGAGGAATGAGAGTCCGCTTTCAAGGTTTCGTATCATTCCTGACGCCCCATTCCGCAACAACCTGCTGGAGAGAACCTAATCAGGACGGATCATGCTGTATGTAAGACTGGTTGGGTATCGTATTAATCTGTGGCTGCGGCTTACCCCGCGATCGAAAGCTCTGATGGTGTTGGTGTTATCGCCGAGCGTTTGCGCAATGTGTTGGTATCATGTTGAAGCCCTGTCTACTCGGAGACAAAACCGCACATATAGTGCCTTGTCACACAGCATAAGCCATCCGGACTTCGGGCTGCCAAACCAAGACGATTACAAGATAGTGCAATGTCCAATGTCATCGTCCCAAACCTCCGATAACATGCGCTGATGGTGTTGCAGTGTGTGTGGAACGATGATGTATGCGTGTAGAGGATCATGTAGCATGTAAATCATACAAATGTAGAAGGAGGCGTAAGACTACTGTAAGCCGCGCGCCATGATGTCGGTGCACCGCCCTGCATACTCTGATCCTTTGATGTCGATTGCAACTGGCTGGGACAGTTGCTCCGTACGAAAGGCACGTTGATGTCGCTACAGTTGTACGATAATGTTTGGTAGACGACGTAGCTCACACGGTCAACCAGAACAGATCAGCTCCTGTTCAGATGAGTTGCTGCCACGTGCACGACGTTCGCAGCTCTAGTATAGGGAATCGACTATCCGAGCCAAAGTCTGCGCGTTAAGTAGCTTAACATAATGCCGTTATCGTCGGCAAAGGTCAGACATCAGTCAAACTGTTGAGCGCGATCATATCGTAAAAACCCTTAACGTACTAAGCCCGGTTCAGCCAAGAATGTCATTCCATCGATATTGGTACTGTCTGTGACTTGCGAAGTGCGAACAAAGTTGGCGATCACGATCATCATCGGCCCTTTGCTGGAAGTTTTGTCGGTGGGTAGCTTAGTGTTTTCGGCCCGTAAGTTTAGAGATCGTGGGGTGGGGCACAGACGGGGGGGACGTCTGCTACTTCCCTCTGCACGGATGCGACGGCTATTTACCTGGCTCGACTCAAAGTCATGAGATCCTGATTGCGTCCGCATTTGGAACAATGTCCAGTAACGAGGGGAACTCTGAGTGGAGGTGAGGTTTGTAAGAATGGAAATAGAGGGTCAAGTAGCGGTGAAGGTCTGGCAAGGACAAGCGCTGACAAGCATCGGCGTTCTAGTATCGATAGGTAGTGTATTCCTGCGCGCGGTGGGCGGAATGAGTGGAATATCCAGTTTTTCTTTTACCAGAGTCATCGGAGAAGGTTGAAATTGACGTCACGCACCGTGATCTTGCTAAGCAGCCAGTATTCAGAGCGAATTGCCGTTTGTGTGGGGATGCCATTCTTAGTTCTTGCGGTCCGTGACATGCCAGATGGTACGTGGCATTACTCCTTAATAGTCGCTGTCGTGAGTGACACTTTGACAAGTGGACACTGGAACCTAATGACTTCGCTGTGTTCGGCCTTGGGCAGCGTTATTGAAAGTTGGCAATATGACAGTCTGGCTTTACGCGCCTAGCACAGCACAGGCAGCCCC